ACCGCCTATATCACCACAACCCAACCAAGCCTATGATTACAATGAAGCAAACACGATGAAGATTTCCCGTAATGAATAACTAATTTCGGATGAAGAGAGTATTCTCATGAAGAAGATGACCACTCCTGATTCACCCGTTAACCTATCCAACTCTCAGCTTTATTTCCACGAGATTGAGTCACAGGCTGAAGAAAGGGCCAAAGATGTGGGAAACAAAGTTTCCACGCGAACCCTCCAAAACTGACCATTCTGAACCTCAAATCCTTGCACAAAGGTTTGAAAAGGTAACATATAAGTGTTGAAAACTAAAAAAACTATCACTTATAGGTTTAAAATTCATTTTTACAAATGTCAAATTAAAATTTGGCTAAAAAATGATAGTAAAAAGCACAAAAGGTTAATATTCATCAAAGAAGACGTTATAAACAGTCTTTTCAGCAGCACATTATCCAAAGACAAAGCTAAAACAAAACCTAACATCCCAAAAACACAATAAAAACAATACCACAACCATCTTTAGCCAAAAACACCTCATTGAGAACCAAAACTAAGACAAAACCCTCCCAAACGATCATGAATAACATGCCGTAGTCGCTAATTTATGCAGATTTTAATGATGTCTTCAAATCACGACAATCGTTCTGTCCCCAACAAAGCCCATGGAATCGATGGCACGGCCATAAGACAAATTGGAAAATTGTGCAAAAACACGCCAAAACCCATTAAAATTCGACCGTTAAAACTGGGAATTTGAATATCTTCACCCCCAAAGTGCTATACACGTTCCGCGCATATGTTAACGCTTGAAATATTAAAATATTAGACAACAAAAAATAGTTAATTGAATAAAAAAGTATATTTGTTACCTAAAAAATGAAAAAACAATACCTAAAAAAGTAGGTTTGTTGTGAAAAAGCGATATAATCATACGAAATTGAGGTAAGACAAGATCGAGATGATGTCCTGAGGAAAAAATCGGAGATTTACCTAATTCTCGATTTAAAAGTGTCAAAATATAAAGTAAATCTCCTAAAAACTTTAAAATTTTATAAAAATATTTTCAAAAATTAAATTCTCGCCAAAAACTTTTTATAAAATCAGTCATAAACAACTTTAAAATGACCGATTTTCTAGACCAATACAAAATTTTGTCCAAAACTTTAAGTCCATAAAATCAGTCATAAATCACGTAATAACGACGGCTTTTCCAAAGCCAAACAGAAAATTGTCGGAAATTGCGCGAAAACTGACCTCTTGAAATAATATTATTGAACCTTTTGGAGTAAAAACCGCTGAATCCTCTCGGTTTTACCTTCTGAATCCGGACTCGCGCTGAAATTACCTTAACCTCAATGTTGAATACGTAATTTATTAGGTTTAATACTCTTTTCAGGAGACCACGAGCTCAAAAGTAAACAATAATTGGTTGGCGGACGTGATTTGGGGTCGGGCAAACAATATCAGGATTCTGAGTGGACACGATGTTATACATGTACATGATCATGGGTAATACGGGAAAACAGGCAAGTGACTTTGATACTTTTTGAAACTTTTAGGTAGTGGTTTGGAGGAAAGATGTTTTATAAGGTTATACATATTGAGGTAGATGAAAATTTTGTCATTTTTAACAATTTGGTACCTATTTATCTTAACGTAGGCTTCAAAACAAACCTAAATTGAAAATAAGTTATTATCAAATATTCCACAGATAAACCTTTGTATTCCAAGCCCAAACTTTGTCGCAACACATTATGAACAATGCAAGTGAGTAATAGAAAGCCGTTGGAAAGCAAAAGTTACCGCGGTATTCAAATATTTACTTTTCGAAATTCCAAAATCCTTTCCGAATCCGACGCCACACCTTTGAATGTATAAAGCCACACAACTTCAATAAAGATACGACCTTACCGTCGTACGAACGGGCATTACTTTAATCCCGTCACCTTGAAGGCAGGGCTTGATTTGCGTTAGGGAATTTGAATACGAAGGATTGTTAGAGTAGCGCCTAAAGGATGATGTAGTTTTAGAGCTTTATATGGCATAACGAACAAAGGTTGAGAAATTGAGAAGAAAAATTGAATACTATTGTACTACTATGGTTTTATTAGCTAAATCGTTACTTTTTTATTACAATATAGGCTCAAAATGGCACAAATTTGTCAAAATGGCAAAAATAAGCGAAAACTTCTTAAAATTGACAATAATTATCACAATAAACCCCAAAACTTGAACAAAGAAACTATATTAACATAGCGACAGGACCGTGACTTCCGTCACGTTGATCCTTTTATTGAAATTCTGTTTGCTATACCAGTTTTGCAAGTAGAATTACAGAGTAATCCTGGACGTTTATTCGCAAATCTTTTATCCCAGCTGGCGATCGCTTTCTTTCGCTTCAGCCGGCTTCAGAAGGGCTTTGATCGCAAAAAACATTTGAGAGTTTATGGCCTTGTTAAATATATGTCATGCTGTTTAAATGCTTTTTGTTACTTCCAATGCTTTGTTCAGTTAAGATACTTCAAGAAGAAAGTTGAAAATTTGAATCGCGTGGCATGTTATATTATCAAACATATTCGTAAAATATCAAAGCGATATTTACTAAAACGAAATTTAAAATGAATTGCTGTTCAAAATGGAAGTTGTTGTAGGAGTAACAAAACGTGCTTGTTTTTTCTTAAAATAATTGAGCAGCACTCTTCGGTATGGTGCAATAACTGCCATAGTCATAAGTGGATTGAACATGGGAAGCCAACTAACAAGCACAAGAGAAACGTTTGAAACTACTCCAATATCCAGGCGAAAAATTAGTGGTCCCATTATGACTGTCGCTGGAAATACTGCGATTCCGAAAGTTATTGACGCCTAGAATACGATAACTTATAGCTCAAGGTATTTTTGATTTTAATAGATTGTTCAAATAATCCTGTGCTCTTCTCAAAGAAAATTTTTGGTTTTGTGGCACAGAATTATTTGAACAAATTAATAGTCATATAAATTAAAAAAATATTATAAACCATGCTTTATGTGGTTTAGAACTCTGTTGGCTTGCCTTTTTTAGCTTTACAGTGTTGACTATAAATGCCTGACAGAGTTGTCTATGCGTTGACTTAGTGCTGTCTGAGTAATTGTGGTCATGTAGTTGAAGCTGATTCATCGTCAATGTGGAAAGATATACAAATGAAAGATATGCTACATTAATTGTTACCAACCCGGAAACAAAATAAAGTTTGGTGTAAATAGATTCCTAAATTAGAAGATGATTATAATTTGGGGTAATACAGTATAATATTGTATGTTGGAGGTTGGTATTCTTCCAAAGACAGTTCGAAAAGTGTGCAACCGCTTGCAACTTTGTCAAAACACTCCGGCTGTACCTATAAACAACCTTACTTACAATATTAGCAATTAGCAGTGTAGGTAAAGGAAACTGTTTGAACCAAATATTGGCATAGTTATACTCCTGCCATGCATTTGCTGACTTGTCGAATGTAAGGTGAACAGAAGCTGTCCATGGAGCTGTTAGACTTATTGCCATTAGTATGACAAGCGTCCCTTTGGTCTGGCTGATTTGGCGTTCACTATAAAGAGAGCGATAGTATTCTCATTTTCCAGTGATAGTATTTTTATGGTACAGTAATATTATCGTTTTCATGTTACATTTAAAAATATTAGTTTGTTCAAATAATTCTGTGCTCTCTTATTCCGAAAATATGTTTTGGTAGGGGCACAGAATTATGTGAAAAACCTAATAACTTACTTTTTCAAGCAATAGTATCGAAAGTAAGCTTGTGCTGGCAACAGATTGATAACTAAACATAGAGAAAAGGCATAAAATGAGATAATGTTAAGCTGGGCTGCACGGCTAAAGTGTCTACCAATGCCATTGTTTACTAAAACAAATACACCATTTTCTTCTTTGGCCGCCTAAAACGTTGCATTTTTGTGATATGATAAAAATATTACATAAATATAAAAAAGATAGTACATACATATGTAAAAATAATATACTACACTAGTAATTGTACACGATACGTAAGATCCTAATTGCAAAGTATTGAAAAGCAAGATCAAAGCTTACAAAGTCAGTCGTGACATTGGCTAGCCAAAAACAAATGTCACCACACGAACAGGTCATCAACACGATCTTGTATGGTTTCAAGGTTCCAACAGTGTGTCGTACCACTATGTAGAACATAGTGGAACATAAGATAGCGCCAACAATGCCAGAGGCTATGTAAATGTAAGAAAAGGCAGTATGCAACCATCCTAACTCATTATACGGTTTACAGTAAGTTTGACCGGCAATAGGGTCAGATATACTGTAAGAGGGCGGTAAAACATCCCAAGCATTTGGGTTACTGTCACTTCTGTTTGTATGGTAGATTACTGTGGTATTGTCAAACATATACGTTTGTTTATGATTTTGACATGGGTGTAGGGAGTTATATTATTTTATGTTATAGGTATAGTTAAGTAGGTTGTTTTACTTTGCGATGACAGAGTTAATTATTAAATCACATGTTATTTGTGGTAGTATGTTATGTTTTTGTACTATAGTGTAATCACTTAAATCTGGTAAAATTAGCATTGTTATCGCAAGTTTTAATCTGGTTGTTACCAAGTACCTAATGTTAAGTTGTAATGGTATGTGAGGTACCATTATAATATATAAAGGCTGGTATAAGAATAGTGTGTGGAGAATATGTTGTTTGGTTTATTAACATTTAATATTGTCACAAATGTACAAAAATATGAGAATAGTAATGTCATGGGGAATGGAAGTACGCGAGATGTTCGTCAAGATATATGTGGTGGTAATACAGTATGATGTATGTGTATGTGATACAGTAAGATATATGTGTGTTATACGAAGAAAAAGTTTTTACAATATTTGTAAACTACAGTACTTAAAATAGCTATATTGACTATCATAGTCATATAAATGTCGCTCAAAATAGCCATATTGACTTCTATAGTCACCAACATGTCGCTTGACATAGTTAATGACCGTTCTGAACACTTGGCAGGTCAGATTCCTTCATCTTTCCAAACTCGTAGCCTCCGTAGCCATCGTACTTCAGAAGATGGGAGTGGAAGTGCCACAGGGATGGGCGATGTGAGATGGTTAGTAATGTCACACCAACATCCTTAATCGCTTGGTATATCTTGCCTTCTACATCGATAGATACGGCCGAAGTGCATTCATCAAGAAGAGCGTACAATGGCTGATGGTACAGTACTCTGGCCATGCCTAGACGCTGTTTCTCACCTCCGGAAAGCACGTCCATCCAGTCGGAGTGGGCCGAGAGGCCTGAAAGGGTGGGTAATATAAGTGTTTGATTCATTTTTTAATATTTACATCATGGATAATATACATGTCAGTACCAATATATAAAGGATAATGAAACTGTAGCCTATAGAAAGTGTAAAATACGCTTTTATTTAAAGCAGCCATTTTAAAATCTAAAAAAAATATAATTGAAGCCCTTACCTCCCTCCCTTTCCACTATATGCCCCAATGTTACAGTATCCAGAATCCGCATGAGATCGTGGTCAGTGAATCCGCGACTCTTCATGACAGCGTGACTATCTGGGTATATGATCTGATTCCTCAACGTCCCCAATGTCATGTATGGTCGTTGTGGAATGTAGAACATTTGGTTGCGTTTGGGACACTTGAGAGTACCAGAATATACTGGCCATAGTCCGCCTAGGACACGGAAGAACGAAGATTTACCACAGCCATTGGGGCCGGTTATGAAGACATGGGTGCCCGGCTCGATCTGAAATGTACAAATTTAGTATTTAAATACTTTTTTACAGTAACTGTTGCTATAGTAAACATATAATTGGTAATGTATTGTTTTTTGTAACCAGAGTCTGCTCTATGGTAAGGTAAAAGTAAATCTAACGTCTATCATAAGGTTTACTACAATGCCATTTATAATCAACTTACTTTAACGTTAAAGTTGTTGACAATAACATCTCCATTCGGTGTGACAATAGGCATGTCAGTGGTCTCGATCAACCCACTACTCTCGATGATACTACCCTCTACCTTGCTGATGTCATACTTCTCTCCTCGCTGTTCAACATCACCCACTCGCTCGAACTTGTTGTTCTTGACTTCCTCGATCACCTTGAACATCTGATGTACTCTGTCGGTATATCCTGCCAACTCGTTGATCTCTTTGTAAGATACCATCAACCTCTCGGCGGCGTCGGCCGAAGAGTACAGTAGATTTTTGGCGGTAGCAAAGCCTCTGGTTCGCTCACTTACTCCACCATCAGGGTCGTTGTCGATCTTGGTGTTGTGGGTGAACAGGATGGGAATGGCGATCATTGCCATGCCTGTAGCTGACCAAACGTACTTCATTAGGAACTGTTCGATGGCTACGTAGGGGATACGTTTTTTGAAGATGTAAAGGGTTTGGTCATATAGGTCTTTGAAGGCCTTCTTCAGAAGGTTGTGCTCTACCTGAAATTCGAATATTTGTTGTGGGTATGGGTGAAATGATATTCAATACCTATAACTATTAGTTGTAAATATAGGTATGGCGGTGTCATTATTTAACGACAGTATATAAGTTGTCGTTTCTTACCTGTTGTCCTTTGTAAAAAGCGATTTCTTCAGAATTTGTGATGACTCTTGAGTGTAGGTACCGTAAATGACCTTTTAGATGGGCTTCCTTCGCTATCATGTTGTCAAACCTAAAGATATTAACGCAGCGTTAATAATCGTATATTCCTTATATATCTATTCAAAGTATAATATTATGCACGATCTCAGAATACAAAATAGTAGCGATTTCGACTTACCGTGGAGAGACCTTCTTTAGTATCCTTGCAGTAGCTGATACTATAACGCATGCCAGTACTACTGGTATCATAACTGTATTACCCACTTCTCTTCGTCGTGCGTAGTTGATCAGTGTTATCCTAAACAAAGAATGTGTTAGTTTTCATATTGATCTACCATCAGATTCTGATGTTATCTATGCCTAACTTGATACTATCAGAATATTTAGGGCTAGGGCCAAAACTAGGGATAGGAATAGAAGCGAGGCTATGAGCAAAGCTCTGGCTATGGTGATTCTGATAGTATCAGTGTTTTTACCAAATATTCAAGTGTGATCCTAAACGAAGATGCTAATGTTACTGTAGCCACTTACGTGATTAGGGCAATATCAAACAATGGCTTGGTGATTTGGGAGTAGAGGTGGGCTACTTGACTCGAGAACATGGATATATCTTCGGTCAGACATTGGTCTACGTTCAACAGTCTGGTGTCGACGTTCGACACTTTGTAGTATACGTCGTTCTGAAATTACATTATTTGTTTATGGTCTGTAAACTAGTGATTTACTAACGTTCTTGACGTAATACTGTACTATGAGTACCTTTACGTCAACGATCGTGTTATATTGTTGTAGCTAGATCAATCACATAAAGATATATGACTCAAATTAGGAGTTGGGTCAAATATATATATACAAAGCCACTTACCTCAAAGTAAAGCTTGTAAGCATGTTTGCTGAGCCGTTCCCTGAGCACTAAACCAATGTAAGAGTCGAAGAATCGGATCAAAGAGTTTACTAAAGTCGCTGGCACAGCTACCATAATCCATTTGCACATTAACCACGTGAACTGTGATACGTTGGTTTGTACGATGGCTTTGATCATACGACCTTCCAAGGCAGCTACGTAGATGGACAGGAAAGTTCTACTGATTAGTACGAAGGAGTGGATACCTAAATGTGATATTGTTGTTAATAATAGATAATAGGTCTACAATATATTTATTGATCGGTGATAAAGGGACCGTATTTTACAAAAAAGTAAATGATATATCTTCAGTAGAATCATAGTAGTTACAATTCGAAAAAACAATTTCTATTGGGTTATTCAAATAATTCTGTGCTCTATCTCAAAGCAAATTTCCGGTATTAGGGAGCACAGAATTACTTGAACAACTTGATATTTACCATTCAGAAACACATCTACGACCTACAAGTTAGTGAAAGCATCTGTAAAACATACCAATAATGCCAGTTTCTCTGCAGAAGAACTTGGGTATCATGATCTTGAGAAGGTATTGGAACTGTTTGAAGAATTCTGGGTTGATTGCATTCTTTCTCTTACTCTTTTTGACATGTTCGACTAAAACAATATAACTCTAGTCATTAATTTTTTTTCAATTACAAACGGAGTGGAAGGTTTGAGGCTTAATTTTTTGCCAAAAAGTGTTAAAAGTCCACAGTAATGGATTGTTAACATCTGTATGATTAAGGTCTACGGTAAAGGTCAGTTTAGTAGGGTCTGGCTTGAAGTGGGGAAAATGGTTTACCAGACAAGAATAGGGCATGGTAAATACCTTGATAGGACATACTTTGTTAGCTTTTTATATTAGGTTGTTCAAATAATTCTGTGCTTCCTAAACCCGAAAATTTTCTTTGAAAAGGGCACATAATTATTTTAACAACCTAATAGTAGCATAAGGCAAGTACTATAATACTGAGATCTATTTGGTAACTTAAGGGCAATTACTACAATATTTTAGTAATTGCCATGATATTCTTCTTACTTTTTTGACTGAGAACGATGACTTATTGCCATGATATGACTAAGAACGTGGACTTACCTTTAGGACAACCTCTATTCAAGAAAACCTGACTGATTATTTTGCCAGTAATGGCACAAACCACCAAGGCCAACAATACCTTCGGAGTCTTACTTTGGCCATATCTTAATTGGAGATACCAACGCGCAAGTTTGGATTGGACTGACATCTGAAGATTAATATAAAATACGAATCATGAATTTATTGTACAAAACGACTTCAGAAAAATATAGTTAATTTTAGGTTATTATACTACATAAAACTAGTCAAAGACGGCCTTTTAAGTCGGTCGATCTTTGAAGAGTTCTGGGCCGAACCTGTACGCCGTATTTTAGAATATCGTCTATAATATACACTAATATAACAATACAATTTTAATGAAAAATATAAAAAATGCATTTTTATTATACATTAAAATCATCTGACTACGACCCCAATTTCAAAAAAAAAATTTTTCTGATTTCAAGGCCACCTAATATGAAAATTCAAAAAAGTTTTGTACTTTAAAACAAAAAATTAAAATTCGAGTTGAAAATCAGTTTTTCAAGAAATGGAAATAGCTTTAAAGTGTTAACATCGATTGATAAGGGTCCAGCGGACAGGAGATAAACAAGGGCATGGTCGTTAGTTAGGGTCTTAAGACTGCCTTTACAAGCAACTAGAGAAGTCGTACTGTTGCGCAACTCTTTTTACGGCTTTTAGTCTCATGTGGAATATATGAACATAGTTTTTTATGAGATAGATTTATTAAATTTACATTTTGGTTTGTCTATATTTGACATTTTACAGGTTTTACTAGGGTAAAAAGACAAGAAACGAAATGGCTAGAACAAACCTAAAATATTAACAAAAAACACTTTAAAAAGCAAGATTTTCAATACCAAGCATATAACTTTAAGTATAAATCAGTAGAAAAACAACTACTGTTCCCAAGAAATCACACTTAACAGCCCTCACTCAATCATATACCGAAATACCGCGGTAAATACCTTGACTTAAACAGAATCCACGTGAAAAACGAATCAACGTCTCACTTCAAACGCCCCCAGGGCTCAAATTGAACTCAAATCAACTCCGTCGATAAAAATAACGTGGAACGAACAAAGGCGTGGCAACAAGTAGAACGAAATCAAAAGTGATAGTCATTTAACAGGGGGAAGGGCAGGTGTTTTCAAGAGTACTGGAGGGTAGTGGCTTGTAGAGTATCATGGCTACTAGGGCTGAACGAAAGTAATAGTCATGTATCAGTGGGGAGGGCAGGTGTTTCGAGACGGTACTGGAGGGTAATACCTTGTAGGGTACTATAGCTACTAAAGTTGAACGAAGGTAACAGTCCTTATTAGGGGACGGCAGGTGTTTTGAGGGTGTACTGGAGTGGTAGTATTTCTTAGAGCACTATGAGTACTAAGGTTGAACGATGAGGAGTGGGGAGGATTTGTTGATCTAGTCATCTATATAGGTAACAGGTGGGAGAGTACTGGAGGAGTAGTATCTTATATAGTACTTTGGCTACTAGGGCTGTAAGATGAGGAGATGGAATGATTTCTTCGTTTTATTCTAGAACATGGTATACCTTAATGAAATATACTTATGATATCAAGGGTAACAACATGAGCTAAAGAAAAGAAAAGTCAGCTTAACAAAATATCATCCTTCCTTTACTAAACCTTGTTACTTTTGAATGTAAAACACGGTCCGCAATCTTTAATTTGACTTAAAAAAATTTAAGTCAAATTTGCAAAAAATATAAGAAATATTGTTACAACGACAGTAAAAATATACATTACACAAGCTATTAAATCAAAAACCTGTCGCGAAAAAAGAAATTCGACATGTTTTGAGGTTAAGAAAACAGAGTAATGTAAAAAAGATGGTGTTATCTGTCTTTCCTGGTCATTTCCTTCTCTAATCAGCCAATTTACTCGATATTCCAACAGGTATTTCCAACCAACTAACTTAATTCAAGCCCTTTTTAACTTTATTTTAAAGTTTTTTTTAAACTTGTGTCAGGCTTACGTATATGATCGTATAATACACTATATTGTCATTGTAGATACAAGTTTTGGCTTTTTTTAATCAAAACTTGAAAAACAATGCCCTTACTCATAAGGTTAATATAGTAGTTTATTCATATTCAATGTTAAAAAAATCAAAGTACAGTACTGACAACAGTACTCAGTTAGGACCATAATAGTCCAGACTATAGTTAGCGTTGTAGCCACCTTTCAGAACATAACATTCCGATCCTTCATCGGTCTTTTTAAAATAGTTGTCGCCTTCCTTACACTGAAAAGCATTACTAAACCCTCGAGAACACTTGAATATGTTCCAGGTAGCATCAGCTGGATTGTATACGTTCTTGTCATTAAGTCGCATCCTGTTGAGTACGATGATTTGTGCAGCATTAATGAAGAAGAGCTGTTCATGGGTGTATTTATTGTTCAGTTCTTCGTCGATTGGGTCTCCGATGCCGTGTAGAGTGACGTATTTTATATAGGTTTGGTGGACTATTTGGGCCACTGAAATGTACTGTGGTTAGTGACGGTGAAAATGGTTAGTGATGGTAGTATTAGATGTTCAAATAATTATGTGTTTCTCTCAAAGCAAATTTCTTAGGTTAAGGGGCACAGAATTATTTCAACAACTTAATAGTTGAGCTACATTTGATACTATGTACTACTGATAAAATTTTTTGGTCCTTCGCTATGGTACTTTGAATTCTACTGCAGCTAATGATAATACAATTAAAATTTACTGATATCAAAAAAGTAGTCGTGCACCTATAATTCAGCATATTTTAAACTTACTGTACTCTCCAAACAAATCCAGTACAAATCCAGAGAATAAAAAGTACGGTGGGTAGGACTCGCTGAAAAATGGCGGCAGAAGCGACGTCATTCCAGTACCAATGTAAATATAGCTACCTTCTCGTATGAACGTCGCAGCATCCTACAAAAGTATTGAATTGTAATACTTATGATACTTATAAAGATTATCTTCTGATATTGCTTATAAAAGCACTGACCCGCCTCAGAAAGGCCCTACAACGCCTTAGAAAGACATTACCCGGCATCAAAAAGGCAATACCCTGCCTCAGAAAGGTCCTACCCCGCCCTTAGACATGAGAAACGGGCCGGGCCTACCATCGGGCCGGGCCGGCCCTGAGCAAAATTTCGATCGGGCCGGGCCTAACATTCAGGCCCGGCCCGTTTCTCATGTCTACCCGCCCTCCCCTAAAATTAAATTCACCAAATTAACCCTACTCCAAGGTTATGAGTGAACAAGTTCTTCTGCTTCATATCCACGCAGTACTTGACGACCGGCAAGTCGTTGTTCATCAGCCTATCTCTGTCAGAAAATATATGAAAATGCGGTTCTGAGAAGTATTTGTTGAAGTTGACATCCAGGAAGATGGGGTGGCCTACACTGTGGAATCTAATATGGTCGATTACATGGTAGGCCGCCTCTTTATGTTCCGGTGAGATGTCTTCGTAGTCGACCAGTCGACGGAACTCCTTGATGACCAATGATGCTCGTTGAATGAATTTAGCAAAGTCTACATTCTTCAACTTGGTATCGAAAATCAGCTTCTTCACATACATGTAGTAGGCCCCTTGAACAAACTCGGCACAGTTCGAGTAAGGGTGCATTCTGTTGTCTTGGTAAATTGCGATTAGTTTTCTCAATAGAGCTTCACGAGGTCTTCTCTGGAATGTTAACATGGTATATTTAGGTGTTAAAAAAGTCTTGTCCTTGATTTTTTTGTACTTTCACTGTTAAAAACGCCAAAACTTTGTTGACATTATAAATTAGTTCTTTGCTACATTTTTAACACAATTAGCTATTAGGTTGTTCAAATAATTCTGTGCCTGCTAACCCGGAAAGTTTTTTTTTAGTTTTTTTGAAAGGAGCACAGAATTATTTGAACAACCATATATAATAAGAACACACCCCTTTAGGAAAATACACAGCTGCCATATCTTCTGGCACATCCACCCCTAATATGTACTCCATCAAGTGAGCACATCGCCATACACTAGCATCAGATACCGCGTTCCTACACGTGTCACTGTCGTTGATCCTCAGCTCTCCCGGATAGAAGAACATGATCTTGTGCTGCATCATAGTCTCGACCAAGTTCTTGGCTCCGTACTTGAACATGTCGCCCAGTACGGCGGTGTACACTTGGATGAACTGCTCGTCATTCATGACGTCAGTCGAACCCCGAAGCATCATCTGCATCTGTTGTATCATCGAAGTACCTTTTGGGGAGTGAAACTCTCGAGCGCCGTAGCGTTTGTTTACTGTACACATACGGTACTCGCTTTTGAACTTTTGGAGGATTGCGTCCTGGAAAAACAAAATAATTAAGTATTATAAGCAATTTGAGGAATAAGAAGTGTTATATCAAACATATTCATCGCGGATTTTTTTATTTAAAAAAACGTTTTACGGTAGAAATACTGTAACTCACGTCTCCATCGTAGCCCGTAATAATGTCTTCAATATAATGGGTCAATTGATATTGAACCTGTAATACATTGTATGTAGCAGCAAAATTAACGAAGTTGTTGCAAGGCCTCTCATTCACGTTTATACCTTTCTTGACAAGCTTAATCTTGTCGCTGAGGTCATCACAGTTAACTAAACTTATTAACTGTAACACAAGGATAAACTGTACAAAATTAACAAATTTAAACATTTTGCATTAAAAATGTTTGTGAACTACTTTAAAATAACAGTTTCAACAAAAATCTGCTATTTTTATTAATTTAATAATTGATCGTTTTATTGGCTTGGGTATCAATGTTAACATCCGCATTATTTACAATATAATGGCTTAACAATAACAGCTAAAGATGTAAAAGCTTGTTTTTTCAATTTTAATATTATTTTAATGTTTTTTTTTATTTCGAAGCAGTTTAAAATTCGAAAAGTGCACTTTAATGTGCTAATTTTGCTAAAACCCTTTTTTCTTGGCATTCCGTCGCAAGCAGAAAATATTATTTTTGGAAATAAAGCGTTTCTTTCCAGGGTTGGTTTGTTAGTGTTATATTGAAGATAACTTAATAATTTATTGTTTTCATCTTATAAGAAGGTCGTTTTAAAAATGGCATTGGAAATTAGAGACCGGGATTATGTTTATCGACTGATAATTGGGTAAGTTAGGATAGTTTATATCTTTAGAAAGTGTTTTAGCTGTCTTTTAATTTTTATAACCAAATTCTTTAGTTTGAAGACTATTATTATATGATCTATAACGTTTTTTGTTATAGGCAATTATTTTACGATGGTCACCAAAGTATGGCAATGAGTTTGGCTCAAGCAGTCGGAGTCTCAAACCAGTTACCACCACCGTCAGACAAGTTATATAGAGTTGTTTCTGTGGCAAAACAGTTTGTGGACAATACTGGGGATGCTGATGGAGAAGGCAGAAGTAAAGCGAATGTAAGTTTTTTAGTTTTTGAATATTTAATGTTTTAGGTAACAGTATAAAGCATAATTTGATCCGGCTTATATAAAAGCATAACAAGTGAATTGAGTTATGTTGTAAAATTGGTTTTACTTTGAAAGTAAATTATTATCTTTAGTTTGAGTACGAAACCATGGGTCTTGACCTTGAGTACGATGCTGATATCGTCCCCACAGCTCCAGAACCCTCCAACTACGAGACCATCTACGTGACGGCTCACAAAGGAGCTTGTCGAGCAGCCGCTTTTAGTAACGATGGGTCTTTATTTGCTACTGGGTCAGAAGACTCTTCAATCAAGATTCTGGATGTGGAGAAGATAATGGGAAGGAACGAACAAGATATCGCCGAAGGGGCTTCTGATGCTCATCATCCTGTCATACGAACACTGTACGATCATATTGCTGACGTGAACGCGTTGGCATTTCATCCGAGAGAACAGATTTTGATTAGTGGCAGTAGAGATCTGACGATGAAGATCTTTGACTACTCTAAGACCGCGGTTAAGAGAGCGATGAGGACGATCGTGGAGACATATCCTGTCACAGCCTTGTCGTTTCATCCTTCTGGAGAGTATGTGTTAGCTGGAACGACTCATCCGACCTTGAGGTTATACAACTTTGAAACTCAACAATGTTTTGTTTCATCGATGCCTAGAGATCAACATACTGCTTCTATTGTTGATGTAAGATAACGTTTTTTAGTTTTATATGATTTTTTACTTTTTCGGTTATTTTTTATATTAATTAATATTATTATTGTTTAAAATTTAAGTTATACGTTATTTTTTTTATCATTTTTAAAAAATATTGTTCTAGGTCCACTACAGCGACAATGCCAAACTCTTTGTGACAGCGTCGCGCGACGGAGATGTAAAAGTATGGGACGGCGTCTCAAACCGTTGTGTAGAAACCTTCCAACGTGCTCACGATAGTGCAGAAGTTTGTTCGGCTCGTTTCACAAAGAATGGCAAGTATATCTTGACCGCCGGTCTGGATTCAACCTGTAAATTGTGGGAACTGTCGACCAACAGATGTCTTATCGCTTACACTGGAGCCGGTTCTACTGGGCCTCAAGAATTTCCGCAGAAGGCTGATTTCAATCACAATGAAGACTACGTCATGTTCCCTGATGAAAAGAGTGGCAGTATGTGTGCGTGGGAGAGTCGATCTGGGGAGCGACAGCGATTGTTGGCGTTAGGTAAGATTTTTATAGTGTTTGGCTATATTTGTGACGCGATTTTTAATTTTTTTTGTATTTTTTGAAGTTTTAAATTGTATTTTAAGTCTCGGTTACGGCTTAAAACTGGCTTTTGATTAAAAACTGGGCAATTATAAGATTTTTGTGGCAATTTTGCGAGAATAACCAGCTTTAAAGTCAACTTTTACGCTTTAATATTCACGTTTCTAAATATTTAAAATCTAAAAAGTTAATATTATTTCAGGTCACACAGCTCCATGTCGTGTCTTTACCCATTCCCCAACAATGGCAGCTTTTGTTACAGGATCAGACGACTTTAGAGCACGATTCTGGGTTAAAAAGTCACAAAATCATTAGTTTTAATCTTATAAAATCTCAATTCTTTGTATAAATATTATTGTTGATTCGTTTTATACTTTTTTATGGATTTTATTACAGTTTTATTGACAAGTATTATCTTTGGTTATTTTAAGATGTTGTAGTAGGCAAAAAGTATTTTAAAGTTTTTTACAGTGTCGTAGTAGGGGAATCATTTTTTAATGTTATTGTAAGGTTTACAAGTAGAAAATGTGTTGAGTATACATATTGTGATATTGTAGTAGAAATGTATTTTTCTATATGTTATGAGAATTTATTATCTACTACAATATAAGATCCCAGTTCAGCTACAAATTAATCTTTGAACATAAACTAGAAAAAGCTGACTTCACAACGTCATCAGTTCAAAAGTATACCATGAAAAAGGACTCTGACATGATGTATTCTTCCCCCTTTTATATTAATTTACTCTTTTCAACCGGGATTAATGTTTGTTAACTATGAAGACATCAGAGTAATACTCGGTAATTCTTGACGTCAAAGTATTTGAATACCGAGGGACGTTGAAGGAATATTGTCATAGTTTTTGAAAGGATATTGTTATAGAGCTGGAAAGACATAACTTCGGGATGAAAGGTATTTTACCATGTATTTGAAAGGACATAGTGTACATAACTGTCTTCCTCTCTCGCTTTTGTCACAAAGTCGTAAAGTTTTGGAGATCGATTACTGACCGGGTTACTTTTACAGTTTTTATCGCGGAAAAAGGTAGTTTTACAGCTTTTTCAGCTAGTTTTTCTGCTTTTAAACGGCTTAAAGTTAATATGTTAGGCGTTATTTTGGGTTTACTGTGGCAGTATCAATGATTACAAGGTGTTCTATTAACTTCTTGACTAATTTAAACTTCGTTTCGATCAAAAAATGTAAAAATCTTGTCGATTTTCAAGCCTAAATTTATATCAGGTAGTTCAAATAATTCTGTACCCCCTTTCAAAGCAAATTTTCGGAGTTAGCGGGCACAAAATTATGTGAACAACCTAATATTACCAACTTTTTTGAGTTTCTGCTGACCAGTACTGTTTATTTTTAACCGCAAAGTAAAATCAGAACCGTGTTCAAACGTTGCAATCCGATCCCGAAGATACGACGAGGATACGTCATCGTACGACCGAGTTTGCTCAGGCTCTAATCTCTCAATTTCGAGAGTTAATTTGTAAATTGTTTGTTTTTACAGTACTTGAACTGCGACTTCTTGCTGAGGGCTTCGTGTTTGACACTTACAATTGCTACTTTTGATGTTTTCAACTTTTAAGTTTGAGGATTTTCTGGATTTTGAAGATGTTTTTGATGGCATTACTGTAAGAAAGTGCTAGGAATATAAAGGTAGCTGTACAAAACTGTCTATTATATATCGCTTATGGTTTTATCTTGGTCTGTATTATCATGCGTTACATAAAAAAATTGGTAAAGATGAAGTTATGTTACTCTAACCGAGCTTAGAGTATTCATAATGGCTTGGTATTGAGTCACGATTATAATCTTTTGATTGTTTCAGAGAGCAAACAGTAATTATACTGCTTTAAACCTATTTGTCTTAACTTTGCATTAAACAAACATCAAGTTTTTTGTTTTTTTCATGCTAGTTTTAGGTCGTTTTTTGGTCAAAAAGTATATAGAAAATGCTTAAATCAATGGGTGTTTTGGTAATAAGAGACTCTACGAACTTTTTGACTAAAATTTTTTTATTTTTTAGATGTTTTTTAACATTGATTTGAGCTTATCTTACTTTACAAAGAAGATATACCCTAGCTCTATCTTATCTGTGTCATAGCTCTACCGTAACCTTATCACAGCCTTATCATGTCTTAGCTTTGCCTTAGCCTATCCTATCAACTGTATGAAGTCTACAATTGTTTTCCTATTCATTGTACCAAGCTCACACTTGATTTACTATCATTTACCATCTAAAGTAACATCTCAGAGGTCACAGACTTCATTGTAACAGTGAAGTTTAGGCGATTACTGTGTGTTAATGGTTACAACGCTGTTTGTATGCTTAATTAACTTTATTTAAAATCAATTTAAAGCCATTTTAAAAAGTGGGTTTGCGTGACAGACGTGTTCTTTCATCAAATATACATTTACATGGCTGTCTTATATATGAAGCAATGTTGTGGGGTATATGTTGACTTGTGGTATTGATTAGATATGTGGATATATGGGATTATACCTTTGTATTTATATTGTTTTGTTATATGCTATACTACTATTGATGTTCAAATAATTCTGTGCTCCCCTTTCAAACAAATTTTTGAGTCTAAAACTCCGAATTCGAGGTTAGGGGCGCAGAATTATTTGAACAACCTAACAGTAATATAATATATAACAATGTTACATAAAGGGTTGAGAAGATGCGAAGTTAAGGTAGGTTACCCACAGTAACTTATAGTAAAAAGTCACTAACTTGACACTTCTCGGCATATCAGTTTAGGTTTGTCACATTAACACGTTATTCTTGTGACAACCGGCTGACTATAATATGTTTGTATATCATTCAACGTATCTTCGGACGAGCGGATTAAATACTTTTTACTCAGTAAACGAAGATAAACAGTTACTGAACGCTGTCATATTATACTGGGGGTTTTTTATTTTTGATTTTGGGTTTTGGGGTTTCAAAAGTTCTCGGATTTTTTCAATAACAGTTGTAAGATACCTACTGATAGATCGTATAATATATCATAACCTGGTTAATCCGTTACAGTAAGCCTTCCGAAAGTGCATTCCATAAAGATAAGTAAAGTATACATCCTGGAGAAAAGTCACGTGCACATATGCTTATCAGGACCTTATCATTGATCACAAAAACAGTTGTAAAGGCTCTATTTGCAGGTATTGAGAGAGTTCCTGTTCCAATTCTTACAGCGCCAAATTACTATTAAATTACCGTTAAGAGAGGGGGGGGAGGCAATTAACTTTTTGTAGGGTAAGGTAGGGTAGGGTAGGGTAGGGTAGGGTAGGGTAGGGTAGGGTAGGGTAGGGTAGGGTAGGGTAGGGTAGGGTAGGGTAGGGTAGGGTAGGGTAGGGTAGGGTAGGGTAGGGTAGGGTAGGGTAGGGTAGGGTAGGGTAGGGTAGGGTAGGGTAGGGTAGGGTAGGGTAGGGTAGGGTAGGGTATAAGTATAATATCATCTTTCCTTGATACCAAAAATAATATGACTACAATAACACCTATAATAACACAATACCATCTGTCCGTGTGATTGTTTCTTGTTTGTTGTTATACCCATAAAAGTAATTGTTTGTTTAGTGTACCATAACCTCTGTCATCGTATTATCTTCGTATTTTACGTTGATCGAGGTCATTTTTTGAGCTTTTTCTCCAGATTCTGTTGACGGATTTTGTTTTTTCGACGGCGAAAATAGATTTTTGAGCTTTTACATTGTCGCTTCTTGTTGGCGATATTGTTGTTGATGGGTTATTTTGTCATAATATGTTAGATTTTGTAATATTTTATTATAATTTCGTGTTTTTATGACATTTTATTTGGTTTTCCGACAATTTTTTAATTTAAAAACAGTATTACCTGCGTGTTTTATCTTTGTGAAACAAGAATATACCATTTTAAAACTGAATATAACATTTTTTTTTTAGAAAATTACAAAAATGGCCAAAGCTAGGTAATAACTACAGAATGGAGTACAAAGAAGCCAATCTTTGGACCAGGAGCAGCCTTAAACTTAATGGTAATATTATATTGTACTTGAAATAACACCTTTTTATGTTTGTATTATTCTTTTCTATGACTTTGACATTATTTTCTGCTAATATTTCTTACAAAAGTAAATTTATATTAACCTTTAGATTAAGATACGTGAATTTATGTTATTCTCTAGGTTAAGATACGTCAATTTATTTATTCTTTAAGTTAAGATACGTTATAAGTTCAAGGTTCAGTTTTTCAATGTATGTTTCCAAAACAATTTATTGCTATAAAAGAATGTTATGATTAGGTAACAGATTGACAAAAAGTTCGTTTGACAGGTTCCTTTTGGAAATTAACCTTACATTCTCAATTTACTTTCCTTTCCGCTCAAAAAGACAGTTTAACTATGGTTTTCAACTGAAATGTCTGGTTTTTAACTATTTTTGGCTTGGTTTAAAACAAACTAAAATTATATTTTTCATAAATTAAAGTAATATTTTCAAGAGTTGCTGGCTTTAGAAACTAGTAAGAATGCATTTTAATACCTAATTTTTACTTTAAAAGTGTTTTATTATTTAAATTTAGGTATAAAATTAGATTTTGATCAATTATTAGGCTAGTATAATATGCTCCAGCTTAGAAAAACTTGTATTTTTGTTATCACAACTAAAAAACAACTCAACTACGATGGTATCTAGTTGTATGTGAGCGTATTAGTCTCGTCTAAAGTATAATATCAAATGTTTTTCGCTTCAAATTCAAAAAAAGCGATCGACGGCAAAGATACGAAGCGCGACAGTCGAAAATAACCTTGCTGTAACCTCGGGTTTTGAAGAAACTTTGTTTCCGCTTTTTACAGTTGGTTTTTGTTTATTTTGGTTCATTACTTGACTTCCATTGCTATATCTTTGAAGCTTTATCTAATACGTGCTGGGCGCGGGAATTTAGTTTGGGAGGGGTAAAGTTTTTTTGCGTAGGAAGAGGGGTGACGAAAAAAAGTTTTTAAAATTTTTTTTCTTGGTAGAGTTCATATTTTCAATTTAAAACTAAAAATGTTGACTGAAATCAGATTGAAATTACAGTTTAAAATCACTTTTGAAAGCTAGATTGATGGCTGTTTGACAGTTGTGATATTTAATGTCTTATTAAACGTCATTGTTACCTAAATATCACTAATAAGCTTTGGAAGGCTTGATTGTTGTATTGTATTTCTTTAAAGTTTAATATTTCGTTGTTGTTTTTTGAAAAAGTTGGATTTTTTATATTTTAAAATTTTTGAAATTCTAAATTTAGTTTTTTTAAATTCAGGAGTGCTACAGCGACTTCTGGGCCGAAGGCGAAGAGAACACACTTTCTTCAATTTATCGACCAGTCGGATGACATTCCAGAAGCCAAAAGAGGAAAAGTGCGACGTTGTCAGAGGAAATGGTATCTTGAAGGTATGTCATCGTATCTTCGGTTATTTTTTGTTTTTTTTTGAGAACTTTTAAATGCGAAAGTATTAATAAATTTCTCGAATTACTTCAACAACCTTATTAAAACTTAAAAAGATGATAGGGTAAAGTAACATAAGGTAAGGCAAAAATCATTCTATACTTCAAGTTACATTACTCTAGGTAACAAACATTTAATTCCAGGAAGTCCTGAACTCATGTCCGTATTCGGAACATACGATGACATTGTCACAATTAAATGACGTCTACCCCCTATCTCGAGTCAATTGTCGTGAGTCTCGGAAGAGTCCTGGAATGAATGACGTAAGTTAAGGTTGATGACATTGATTACACTTAACGACCTTATTTATGGTTTATATTGGGATTGTTAATCAAAACTAGATGATACGGTCAAAGGCAATTAAATTTTTGTGAAACTTTGCAAGGTTTTATCAATTTTTGATGATTATATTAATGTTTACATCAGAACAATGTAGGAATAACAAGTAAAACATGGTATAACAGCATTTCAAACATATTTTACTGTCGAATTTACAGATTTTTGAACGCAAAAAGGCCTAAAATGTATTAAAAACATGTAAAAACAAAGTTGAGGTAAAATCAAGTAAAATGTGACATATTTCAGGACGAAGTGACCTCCTTCCTCATCGAAAACGGTCGAAACATAATAGAACCCCCTAAGAGACGCTTATCTCAACGTATTTTACTGTTCGTTTTCCAATTTCTGAACACTTTTCGACTGCTTTTACTACTGGCAGCCTTGGTATGTTTCCTGATCTTCGTATTGGATCAAACACGACGAAGAGAAATGGTGATGGCCATCTTCCTGACAGCCGTCTTGATCATGATGTGTGTGGCTAGCTATGTTCAACAGGGCAACATCAGCAAGGTGAGGGTGGTTTATTGTGGTTTGTAGGATGTGATAAGCACTTTGGAAGTATAACTGTATAAAATTTCGATTGATGGCATCTAATTAGCTTTAATATTTAAAATTTTAGCAAATCCGAGGCTTTCAAAGCATAATTCCTGGCGAATGCACGGTGCAACGACAAGGCCGCGAACTGCGGATTCAAGCCAACGGCGTGGCTAGAGGGGATTTGGTGTGGATGAGGGTCGGAGATAGGGTACCAGCCGATTGTAGATTACTGTACACTCACGATCTTCGCATCGAAACATCTTGGGTTACTGGCGAGGTAAGTGTGTCATATCTTCTGTAGTTTGTGCTAATTTTTTGAGATAAAAAAAAATAAAAAAGTTATGGCTATGTTAATACCTTTTAGAATACGTTTAAATGATTTTTTGACATATCTTTTACTTTTCACAAATTCCAATATTTTTTGTGACAATTCGTTTACCTTTCTGAAATTCCAATATCTTTTGTGACATTTCGTCAAATTTCAACTTTCTGCAAAATTTTGTTTTATTTTGACAAATTTTTGTAAAACCACCGTTAATCCGAGTGTTTTTGAGTGAAGCGGATGATCAGTTTCATTTCAAACTTCAGGTCGAACCTTTGGAATATCACAGTGGAACGGCGGCGAAAAAGGATTCCGTTTTCGAATCACAGAACGTTGTGTTTGCTGGATGCTCCGTGACGTCGGGCGAGGGATTGGGATTAGCGATACGGACCGGGAACAACGCGGTAGGTGTTTTTGAGCGTGGGGGGATGTTGTTTTTGGGATTAACCTAACATAAGGTTAATTTAAGGTAATATTAGGGGGAAAATTAGAGACAAAATTAAATTAGGGTGTACCTAAATTAACAAAAAACATCAATTCATACCTAATCATACCTAAAATACCTTCTTAAGTTTAAAGTAACGCGAATAATGATTGAAGTAATATCAAAAACAAGAAGAATAGGTAACAAATATAATGATTAATGTAATTTATTGTTAGTATCATGTGTCATTGACACGACATCGTATGTAAAGGGCAATGATGCCTAGCATTCGGTAAGTACAAATCATGACGAACATAATACTCAAGTTGAACCACACTCCCGACAGTTCTGTATCTAAACCATGGTAATCGAGGTGGGTGGTGCCATTGGTACCCGTGGTACAGCTGTCTACGCTGTGATCGGTGGCGTTGCAGCCTAAAAGCAGTTTAATTTACTGTAGAATGTAAAGCCGGATAGTGTAGGACACTGTGGTACTGCACTATATTGTACTGTAGCATGATAGGGTACTTTTATATACAGCATGGTAGGGCTTGTATTATGGCATGATAGGGCTTGTTCTCAACAGATCATAGTACTTATAAGATGCTATGTGTTGGCCGTGTCATTACTATTTTCGTCTACTTAATCATAATACAACAGTGTCCACCATCAAAAAATACCGTATTTTACCTTGGATCGTTCCCTCGTCGTACCACATGTTGATCATGAAGCTCTCAAAGGCATACCGATACCATGATATGTATTTCAACCACTTTAGATACTCAGGTACTGACGTGATGTTGATGAACAGACCTCCGAACAACAACATGGGTAATGTAAACAATGGCAGTAGCTGAACTGCCACTTCGGCCGTTCCCATAATGCACGATGTGGCGTAGCCAATCGATGTAGCCGTGTTACACATGGTGATGCTGATCAAGATGTAGGTCAGGTACTTTTGGACTGTCAGTTCCATGACCCCGGTCATAAAGTAGACAATGTTTGAGTAGATGAAAGGAAGGATCAGGTACTGTAGCAGTTCGGCCAGGTTTTTGGCGATAAAGTAGAGGTGGATACGGTAGACATAGGCGTGAGTTTCTCGCATTGTAACTGGCAGCTCTTCCGTGAATACCTACAACAACATACGATAATATACAAAGTATATAGTATGTATACGACAAACCAAAACAACATACCAACACACAAGGAAACAAGAACATAAAGTTCATGTCGCGGACCGTGTTGAACATGATACCATCGTATGTTAGGACGTTCTCTCGCTTCATCTCTGGTTGGAAGTAAATGGTGCCTACGATGACGGCTGTCAGCTGAAATTACATTATCATGGCATAGTTTACCTTATTGTTATGAGCTATATTAATTAGACCGTAATCGTCTTAAAGTGAATTTTAAAATGATATACTGTAACATACCGCAATTTGAATGATACGAAGTTTCAATATGAAAGGATCTCTCAATATACACATGGCTGATCTCTTCGTTAGGCACAGTAACTGTGTGTACCATGGTGCTGCGAATCTGAAATAGAGTATGGTATCTGGCTGTAGTGTAGATATAATCTACTGAGTTTCTATAGTATTGGCATACTCTACTGAGCTGCTGTAGTATTGACATATCCTATTGTGTCAAAATACTGAATCAGAGCCGCTTTACAGTACCACGTTGTCTTAATTTGGCTTCTCCTTCCTCAATATTCACCTATGTTAACATAAACCCCCCTTAAACCTACGTAGGTCGATCCCTGACGTCCTGATTGCCAAGTTTGACCCTCTTTTCGGATACAGGATCACAGATCCTGGCACGGTACTTCTCGGCCATGGGAGACTCTTCGTACATCTTGGCCACCTCCTCTACTCTCTGTTGACAAGCATGCTTCTCCTCACCTTCCTTCACTGCCAGACTCTTTATAGCGTGCTCAGCTGGATTCGTGTAGTCGGCCATTGGGTAGCCGACTTTGGCAAAGAACTTTGTCACTTTTGTCGCTGGACCAAGGTAAATCACCTTGCCCATACCCATGAAACACACTCTGAAATGGCAATTGGTATCTTCTTTGTCAATATAGCGGTATTTAGAGTTGACAGCTTTATATTGCAAGATACGACGCATACTACAAGCCAAGATACGAAGCATAGTAACTTTATGTTATACCGCAGCTAATACTTTGTAAAATTTGTAATTACTACACTCGATTATGCTGTAAAACATGTGGTAATATACCTACATGTTCTATATCAACTTACTTGTGGAACATTTCGAAGATCTGACTAGAAGGCTGATGGATAGTGATGACGATGGTTCGTCCTTCGTCAGCCATCTTCCTCAGCGATATTATCACCTGTTTGGCCATAAAAGCGTCCAATCCTGAAGTAGGTTCGTCGCAGAACATGATAGATGGGTCTGTTATCAGTTCTGAGGCGAATGCCAGTCTTTTCTTCTCGCCCAGTGATATTGACTTCTGGAATCGTTGGCCGATTACTGTGTTCTGGCAGTTCGTTAGGCCCATCTGCAATTGAGGATGTAGTATAGTATAGTGTAGTATATGATCTTTAAGTGGCAATAACCATTATATATTGTAGTAGCTTGCTCTTCAGAGTTCTAAGGCCTTATAAGTAGAATATGTTGTAGTGAACACTCATTAGAGATTACTATTAAAAGTTTAAAGTAACAAACACAATATATTATCTTTGATTTACAACCGAAAAACAAACAAATAGCTATAACTTACCTTCTCAATGACCTCGTTGACCCTCTCCATCTTCTGAGCATTGGTATACTTCCGTCCCATTCTCATTTTGGCAGAGAATACCAATTGTTCTTTTACCTTGATCGAACCCACAAACAGGTCATGTTGTTGTACATAAGCACTCATCTTCTTCAACTCGTACTTTGACACAGCTTCACCGTTGATCTCTACTTCTCCAGCGATTTGCAGCTTCCGGAGGTTCTGTTGCATCAGAACATTCAGAAGAGTGGTCTTTCCTGCTCCGCTTTCGCCCATTATGGCTAGGATTTCACCTGGTTCGGCTACGCCCGAGACTAAAGTAATATAGCTTACATAATAAGTACAATATAACTATATATTATACATCTTTTCCATTGCTTTTTCTACAATAATTTACGTTACTTTACCCTGGCGTCAGTTACTTAATCTTGCTCTGCTTTATCTAATTCTACCCACTCTTAATATATCCTACTCTAAACTATTTTACCCTAATCGTGTCATATACAGCGGGTACATATAGTAGTATTATTGCTGCAATAAGTTGAACATACCATTATTGAGTACTTGTCGATACTCGTCAGTTCTTTTGAAGAATCGACCAGATTGTTGTGGTACCGAGACATTAAGATTCCTCCAAACTAGTACTTTAGGCGTCTAAAACAATATCTGTTGTAACTTTTTTTAAATAACAGTTAATACATTGTTGCTGAACTAGTACTGAACATTAGTCTTAGTAGTACTATCTTTATATACTAGGTATCTTGTACCAGACTACTTTTTAAGTCAATATAGTACAGTACGACTAGTACTCACTTGTCCACTCTCGTATGGTCCACTCTTGATAGATGGTACAATTCTGCTGCTCCCCGAATTCCCAGTACCACTAGTACCGTCGGTACCACCACTCGACTTGTGTTGTTCAGTACTAGTACTCTGCTTTACTGGCGGATCGGCGTCGGGCGCAGTGTCCACGGTCCTATCTCGATTCTTCTTATCATTCTCTTTTGAGACGATTTTCGCCGCCTGCACGCTGCCGTCCATGGCGCAGCGACCGGTCGATATAAATGTAGAAAGGAAGGAATGGCAGAGAGTGGGACTTTCTCATAAGGTTTTGTCATTTCGAAATCTATGTTGGTCCAAGGGAGTTTAGTTTTTGAAAATTTTGCGTTTAGTGGTTTTTGGTACAATGTGATGCACTTTTGTTTTGTACAGCCAGGTACACTTTTACTATTTGGTACGGTGTGGTACACTTACTATTTGGTACAGTCTGGTGCACTTTTATGTTTGGTACACTTTAATTTTTGAGACAATCTGGTACACTTTTACTATTTAGTACAGTCTGGTACACTTTTGTTAATTTTGGTCCAATTACAGTACTTAACCTTATTCTGTTTGTAAATTTGTTAGTTTTCTTACAATAACATTATACTTCAAAGTATCAACTAAAAGTATACTTACAGCTGATCGGAAAACTAGTCCAAATAACCAGCCAAGAGAAGTCCACCCCCAGCTGGCTAGAAAATGAACACAAAAAGTTTGTCCGATTCATTACGATCGTCGCTCTCAGCATTTCCACTGTCACGTTCTGTGTTGGACTGGCCATAAAAGGAGATCAACATCTCATCAACACTTTCATCAATGGATTTCTGATTGTTGTGGTCGCTAGTGTGCCTCAAGTTAGGTTTTTTGTAGAACTTTTTTTGTAAAAAGGGCCTTCTCAGTCTCAGTAAACTTTTTGATTCATTTAAATTTTGTAACAATATGGCTGTATTTTACAATAACACATAGTATTTTAGGTCTGCCAGTCACATTAACATCCCAACTGATCATCGTAGCTCGTAGACTAGCCAAAATGGGAATGTATTTGAAGCGAGTAGACGTAGCTGACACTCTAGGCTTAACTTCAGTTCTATTAACGGACAAAAGTGGAGTTTTAACCTCGAATCAGATGAAAGTAATGGATTTGTGGTTTGAAGAAGAGCTATTGGACACTAAAGATCTGAAGACATCTTCTGATACCAAGATATTGCTCAAGAATTATTGTTTGAAGAGGATTCTGGAGGTGATCAGTGTGTGTGACAGAGCTCAGGTCAGGTCGCCTAAGAAGACGAGGAAGGTGAAGAAGGAGGACGAAGGAAACTTGACTCCAAAGTGGTCGACTGTGAGCAAACCGGTGAGTTTTGGGTCAAAAAAGTGAATGGAAAATCAATGTTGGGTCAAAAAGTATATAGAAAATGTATTTTCAGATCCGCTTTTATCGTATTTTACGTATTTTTTTATTCAAAACATAAATTATGTTACCTATTCATATATCACCCAATATTATCCTACCTTTCAGGTCTGTGTCTCTCTCCACCACACTTCCCTCCGCCAGAAGGGTGTCGCTGGCAAAGCGACAGATGTTGCTCTAGTCAAGTTTGTAGAACAAATAATTCCGACCAACGATCTTCGAGAAAGCTTTGATATTGTACATGAACTTCCATTCTCAGCCCAACGACGTTTCCAGCTGGTGATAGCGAGAGAGAAGAAGATATACGACAGCGACGATGAGAGTGACACGAGCAGTGACAGTGGGAATCAGATGGCCAGATTCGTGTTGATGGTGAAGGGAGCTCCAGAAGAGCTGATAAGGAATTGTAGTACTGTCAGGACGAAAGGTGGTACTCAGAAGCTGGATTCTGAAAAGATCAGCGAGTTTGAGGTAAAGTCACTGTCATTTGAGTAAAGTTATTGCTATAGTTAAGTGCCTGAAGGTATAAATTTTAATTTTAAACTTCAAATTTTGAAATTACCTTGAGCTACTTTCAGAAAACGTACAGCCGGCTGGCTACAGCAGGAAAAAGCTGTATCGCTTTTGCCGAGATGGAGTTCAGCGACCTCTGGGACGCCAACTTCATCGACCGGCACGATGGAACTCCACTGTACCCGGAGACTGGCTGGTCGTTTCTCGGAATGGCTGCTATCTTTGACAAACCCCTCCCAGAGGTGAGAACGGCCGTTCATCGTGCCAAAGAAGCCGGAATCAAGTTGTTCATGGTGACTGGAGATCACCCCACAACGGCCGAAGCCGTAGCACGTCAAGTCGGGTTCTACGATGAGGTTGAAGTGGCCAAAGGGTCTGTAGCCAACAGTAGCAGCAGTAGTAGCAGTGATTGCTCGTCGAGTATCTCCGGGAAGGCGGTGGAGATCATGCACGGTGATGCGTTGAATGACCTGAACGATGTGGAATGGAAGCGGCTACTGAGTGAGAAGCATGTCATCTTTGCTAGGACTACTCCGACTCAGAAGCTACTCATTATTGAGGTAAAGGGCATCATTTAAAGGGGGGGGGAGGCTGGTATATTTTTATTTTAAAGGGTATCCACTGTAATTTCGTATGATAAAAGTACTGTAACATAGCTTTTTGAAAATATTTTCAAAATTTTATAATAATCTTACCGTAACTTTGTTGTAGCAATGCCACCGTCTGGGAGAAGTGGTCACTATGACAGGAGATGGTTTGATGGACGCTAGAGGTCTGAAGAAGTCTGATACTGGAATCGCGATTGATGGTGCTGGCTCAGTATTTGCGAAGGAGGCGGCTGATGTCGTTACCACAACTGCTGAGCTCTCTACCATCATGAATGCTATCTCGGAAGGTCGATTGTTGTTTGACAATCTGAGGAAGACCATCGCTTATACTTTGTCACATCTTCAGCCAGAACTACTGCCAGTACTATTCTCGTTTGTACTCGGATTGCCTTTGGGATTGACTAGTGTTCAGGTAGGTATATGACGGTATACTATATGTTAAAGAACATACTATAACATATACTGTGGTAGAGGGGCGTATGGGAGATGTTCATAGCTCTATACTATAACATCTGGGTACAAGATATACTTGTGTCTTGTATATATGGTACAAGTAAACCTTAACTTCTCTAAATTATTGTGCTATAGCGTACTATCTTCCAGGTACTGACAGTAGACTTACTGACCGAGCTCCCCCCTTCCATCGCTTTGATCTTCGAGCCGGCTGAAAGGGATAACATGAAGCGATTACCTCGAAAAAAGTCCTCACATCTTGTCACAGGACCAATGTTATGGTACTCGTACGTCATTGCTGGTAATCTGATAGGTCTTGGCTGTACTTTGGCCTACTTCACGGTGTTCTGGCATCACGGATTCTCGATCAGCGACGCCTTGTTCACGGTGGATCAGCAGTGGCTTCCAGAATCCCAAAATATCACAGCTTCATTCTCTGGCAAAGTATTCGATGGGCCTTTGCAGGTCATGGTAAGCGTAATATAGAAGTGGAAAGAACAGTATTACTAATATATCGTTCACAATATATATTATCTATGGTTAAGTTGGTATATGTTTCTCTAGTTACTTAAGTTCAATGTCAATCCTACTGTAACATCTCACTAAACGAAAAAAAACATACTTTTATGTACTTCTAGGTACACCAAGAAGCCTGTGCCGCCTGGCAGATCACATTAGTCATGTCGCAGATACTACACTTGTGGCAATGTTCAACACGTCGTATCTCCATCTTCCGTCACGGTATCCGCAACTGGATTCTAGTGTTGGCAGTTACTTTCGAAATGTCATTTCTGATAGGACTGATATGTATTCCATGGCTTCAACGTCTGGTAGAAGTTCGTCCGCCTCCACTCATCATATGGGTATACCCATTAGGTGTTGGTATATGCTTGTTGTTGTTCAACGAGGTCAAAAAGTATTTGATACGACAAAACAAACACAAAAAGTTGGTGAAGTTGGTCAAATGGTAGTAGCTTTTGAGGTTTATATCTTAACATGGTAGTAGATTTTCAGGTTTATATCTTCATATTGTAGTTGTTTTCGAGGTTTATATCTTCACATGGTAGTATCTTAGGTATATATTGTGATCTTCTTTATATTATTGATTGTAACTTTAATACTTTACTTTTAAATATATATCTAGTAATAGTAATATACCCATAGTACTACAGCTTTTAATACCATACCTTGTATATAATATTAGCCTTCCAAAAGTTGTCAGACCATAAGTAAAGCTCAATATTTTAGTTTGAAAAATAAATTTATGTGCTCTAAAGGCTCCTTTTAATACCCAAAAAGGTCCGAGAACTTTTGAATCCGCTTATCATTTTAAACCTAGTAATTACGGTAACACAGTATAATCTTCCGGTATTAGAAAACGCTTACCTTTAGTGATACACATGACTCTTACAGTATTGTTCTCAGTCCGTTTTCATAACAATATGCTCAATCACATAAGTTATTTCACATCGCCTTAATATCATCAACAGTCCAACGGGTATTCCTATGTTTGTAAAGTTATTGTAATAAACGTTTTAGTCTTTATACTTGGTGTTATTGTTATAGTTATGTGTTTGGTTTTATTTTTATAGGTAATTTGGCCTTAAAATCCGTTAAAAAACTTAAAATTTGAAAAAATAGCTTTGAACGATGAGGAACGGTACAGGCATATTATTCAAGACCAACTACTGGTCTGAAGCTCAACTATAAGAACGTTTTAAAAATTCTATAGCCAAAGGTCTTTAACTTATGTACAAGTACACCCTCCTGGCCATCCTTCCCGTCTTCAACTTCCCCAGAATTAGGCAAGAGAAAAACTTGACGCATAAAAAGTAAAGCTTGACCCGAAAAACCGCTCCAAGTCGTCGAAACCGCAAAAAGTAGATTTTCAAACGAAAATCGAAACAAAACTTTTTAAAAATACAAGTTTTCAGATTTTAAAAATTCAAAAAATATGTTAGGCTTTCAGATTACATAAACTTTGCAATAATAACAAAGAATTGACTAAAAGCAAGTACAACATGGGAAAGGCCAGTTTATTCAGATGTAGATGCCTTCAGGGACTTCAGACGTGCGTTTCATGAGGACATTCTTGACCGCTTTCTCAAAGTCAGCCAGCGACACCATCTTGCGTTGCGCTCTCAATGCCAACATACCACATTCGGTGCAAATCGCCTGAAATATTTGGATTAGCCATGGGTAATATACTGGAGTAGCGTTCCACACAATCTATCGCTTTTCATAACGGTACCATGAACTCAACCGTTATATCATACATATATGTAACTATATTAGTTGTTTGCTAAGTACTCTTACCTTGATGTCAGCTCCAGACAGGTCTCTTTCCTTGGCAATGATCTTCTCCATCTTGATGTCTTTGGCCAGCGACATTCCAGCTGAATGAATCTGGAAGATCTTGACCTTGGTCTTCTCATCTGGCTTCGGAAGTTCGATTTTCCGATCGATACGGCCAGGACGGATCAAAGCAGGGTCCAGAGAGTCGATTCTGTTCGTAGCCATGATAACCTGGAATCAGAATTCGTTTCAAATCCAATTTTAATCTACTACAATATACAAATTTACCTTAATATACGTGAATATGATGATAATGTAATAAAACTATAAGTTAATACTTTTTAGAAAGAAGCACAAGCCCCAAGATTTACCTTGACATCACCACGACTCTCGAACCCGTCCAGCTGGTTCAGAAGCTCCAACATGGTTCTCTGAACTTCCTGTTCACCCTTACTGGACGTGTCAAACCTCTTCGTGCCTACAGCGTCCACTTCGTCGATAAACACTATGCATGGTGCACATTCCTTGGCCATCTTGAAGAGGTCCCTCACGAGCCGGGCCCCTTCTCCGGAGCTCTTCTGAACCAGATCGGAGCCTGTGGCCCTGAGGAAGGTGGCCGACGTACTGTGAGCTACAGCACGAGCCAGCAACGTCTTTCCAGTACCAGGTTCACCGTACAGAATCACTCCTTTTGGAGCCGTGATTCCCATCTCTTCGTAGTATTCTGGGTGTGTTAGCGGGAGTTCGACGGACTCTTTGATCTCCTGAATCTGTGAATCCAGACCTCCGATGTCGTCGAAGGATTCTTTCGGAGCCTTCTCCAGTTTGTAGCACAAGGCCTTGGAGTCGACGTTGTCCTGAACTACACCGACTACAGCCAGCGGCACGTTCTTGAAGGCTCCACCAGCTTTTACGAGACACAGGGCATTAAGACGAACCAGTTCTTTGTCGACGATGGATAATATGGGAATGTACCATTCTCTTTTGCTGCCTTCCACCACAACTACAGCGTGCTGAAAAGGTGACATGTTAACACAGTGTTACACAACATATCTTACTCAAGAACTATGTTTTTAATTATAAGTTTACCTGTTCATCGTTGAATAACTCGTGAATCCTGGCCAAGGCCGTTGGGGTACCTCTGAGGCTTTGGACCAGTTTTCTCTCGTTTTTCCGTTGAGAATCCATGGGTTTGAAGTTGTTTTGTCGCTGAATGAACTCCCTTTCCATCAACAGGTAATCGTGGACTCGATTGTGCTTCAGAAGTCGCAGAAGACATGTACGTCGCGGGGTTACTGTAATCTTACCATAGGTTAATTTAGATACAAATGACATAAAAATAAATAAAAATGACATAAACTACTATTATAAATAAAAAAATATATAAACCACTATCAAAACTACATAAACCATCATAGTCCAAACAAAAATATAACAAAAGCAGTAAACTCACCTTGAGGTAGTTTGTTAAGGGCTTCGAGTCCACGACCTGGCTTCCCCATCTTTCTCGCGACCTTAGGCGCCGCATGTTGAGGCATCTCACGTTTCCCACCATGTTTGCCCATCTGATTTCCCATCTTGGCCTAGCTACAGTAAGTCCCACCAGAATTGGGGAGTCAGTCAAGTCAAAATGAATCAAATTCAAAATCAAACTAAAAATGGCTTTTCCAAAAGATTTAAAAGTAAAAATAACAAAATCAACTCATTTACTGTCTGTAAAATCACTTGAAAGTCTTTCTTTCCGTGTAGGTACAAAGATAAGGTAAATTACAAAAAAAGAATCACGATGACGTCGCTTCTTGTGACACAGGTCGATTTTTGCTAGTGCTAAGAAAAACATTGTTTTTGTATTAGATTGTTCAAATAATTCTGTGCTCATACTCTCAAAGAAAGTTTTTTGGGTTAGGGGCTCAGAATTATTTGAACAACCAAATATGTCTGTTTACAGTATTCTTGTTTACCCAATATTTCAGTTTATCTAACGATATATACTGACAAAAGCTTTATAAGTAATGCATTTACTGTAAAATAAGTGAAATACTGAGGGAATCATAACATATGACATAATTAAGCAGCAGTTACTGAGGTTTCGCCGTCCTTTGTGACAAATTTTAACAGAGAACCGGTCTTTGGCCTAGAGCCTTGTTCCTTTAGCCATTTGTGGAAGTTTTCAGCGATGAATGTCAACGGAGTCCAACTGAAAGTCAAGGTTTGTAAGTAAAACACATAGTAATTTTACTGTAATATTAACATATATTGTTATATTACACTATACATACAGTACTTTTAACGTATACCGTCATATTACTACTATTAATATGTCATATTACTCTACACACCAAAAGCTTACGTTGAATGATCAGCCTTAGGCATCCATTTCCTGTTCATAGGTGTATCCAAAGTGACAGGCAAGATGGCGAATACTGTAGCATTGTCTGGGAGACCACTCTTCTCTTGTCCCAGGCTCTGGACTAGCTGGTGGACTGCTGCTTTAGCCAAACCGTAGCCAATCATTCCAGAAGTGCCGTCCAACGCCTATACAATATCATTTTACTTTTAAAGTTCATAACATTGATTATAATTCAAAATAACCCCTCTCCTAGGTCCACAAAAGATTTAAAAAATAACCCGCCCAACATTATAAACACAACGTAAAGTTGTCAAAGACAAACTTACCGCGGCAGCTCCAGTTAGCTGAAGTAGTCCACCTTCCTTCAGGTGTAGTGCAGCTAGTCTAGCTGAGATTGCTGAACTCCAAACACTTTGTTTCCACATCAGATCGGCATTCTTGATGAAGTCCTTAATCGAAGCACTACCTCCAGCCCATCCTCCAGCTACACAGAAAATGGCATCCAGTTTGTCGCCTGCCAACAGCTTTTCAACTCTATAATAATATTTGTAAAAACGTAAAATTAGCAAAAGTAGTAAACAGATTTAAGAAAAGTAAGCCAAGACATCGCAAAGATATTGAATATATTCGTCTAGACCCCAAACAGTTAGTGATAGTTCAAAGATAAGAAGATAACTTACTGAGTTGCAGCCTTTGTTTCCTGTGTAGTCCAGTCATCGTTCACATCCAAGACCACGTTTCCGTTGGCAGAACTATTTTCAGTCAAATCAACGTTTAATACCCACTGTAAATAAATCGAAGATCAAGATCAAAAAATTACGTTTCGAATTTCTCGCCAAATTGACATTGTGTTTCAACTTTATAAGTTTTTCATTTTTAGAATTTTAATCATTTTTCTTTGATATACTAGTAGAGAACCTTTAAATGGACCTACACTTTTACATTAGTAAGCGTAGATTGTCTGGAAAGTCAAAAAGTGTATGAAACACAATGCCAAAGTTGCCAAATTGGCAGGTAACTCAAATATTTAAATCTTAAAACTCAAAAGCGCAAGCTAAAATTTTATGGGTACCCTTGGTGGTACAAACAATTCATACAAAAACTTTGAGCTGGTTCTGAGCCGGGAAGGTTGAGTACTTTCCTGTAAGGTAAAACAAAGACCCATGAATTATGGGAAAGCATATACGTCAAAAAATCATTCCAAAGCACGTTAGTCAACCTACATATCCATTATTTTTGAAGTAATCCAAAACTACAGATCCCAGCGCTCCTTTCCCTCCGTATACCAATACTTTTCCACTACTCATGGTTTGTCTATAAGAATAAAGTTTAAAAATTAACTTTGTGTATGCTGAAGCATAAGAATGTGCATATATTAATACATGTATATAAGGCAGAACGTTTTTAGTTGATCAACAAAACCCGACCACAATTTTTTTCAAGTTTTGGTCAATTCTTCGCCAATTCAAGGCCTTTTGGATCAACTAAAGATCCTCTGCCGTATATGCACCCAAACCAATTACGTAATACCTAGGTATTAATCGTAAACATCTTTATAACAACCGAAACCTTTAACATTTTTCAATCGTATTTACGTTGACAAAAACCGTATTCGCCTTATCATATCTATACAAAAAATACTTTCTTTTTAAAATACCAAAATATTGTTTTGTTGATATAAAAAAACATCTCCCCATGTCCACTTTTGCATAAATCTCCAAAAACCCCGTGTAAAAGTGTTCATAATAAACAAACACAACATGTTTGTTCGTATATCAAGATAAGAACCCAGCGTTTACCACTCTTTGACCCATCGAAACCCACGCCCCTTCAACAAAACCAAAATAACCAATATCGAGAGCGGAATACCTTCCGGCCTCTGAATACTTTAACAACCAGAAAGGGAAAAGGGTAATATCTCGAGAGTAGGTGGGACCGGAGACCACGAAAGTAACTCTTCAACGACAAACTTGCTCAAACTGTTTATTCCGAAAGAAACATACATCATGAGCTAGTAATGAACAAAAAGTGGAATTTTATTATCATTAACAACATTTCTCTTGTAATCATACAAATTTTAAACTTTTAATAACAAAATTACAAAAAAAACGATTATCAATAACAAATAGAGATCAGTTAACATATTTAAAATAAAACGATCAAAAAGCTTGTTAAAATGCCCATCGGCAAAGTTAATAAGTAAAATACGGATCAAATTGACATAGTTAATATCAAAAAACAAATTAAAGTAAGATATGTGGCCGTTATACCTTTACTTGACATAAAAAATTTTGAAAAAGTGATATACATCTTGAAGAGTATGAAATCAGTTGACCTCGTATAACTGTACACCCAGATCCTTCGCCTTCAGATCAGATGGAATCAATATCTTGGAGAAGCGACATCTGTCCAGCGATACCTGAAGGTCCCATTCGTTTTCCATGAAGAATTCGTTGTGTTCTTGAGGTGTTGGTGCTTCTGTCGCTGAAAATAGAAAAGAAATAAAGTTATGGTCAGAAACACAATGAATATGACCAAGAAAGCATGCTACAGTACAAGTAAAGTAATTTTAAAAAGTCCTGAAGCATTTAGAAAGTCGTATAATGTAAATTGAAATACAAACGCACGTTCTATAAAGACTTTGGGTTCTACACGTTCTGGAGTCGGCGACCGTGACCTTCTCTCTCTTGTTCTTCTTCTACTGCCTCTGGGGTATTCTCGAGATTCATACTGTGGGGTCTGAGTACCTCCATAGCCAGCATAAGTGTTCATTACCTAAATTAGCATTTTTAAAAATATAGTTCTAAGATTTTATGTAAAAAATAAAAATAACATTTACAACTTTTATTTCAACAACAATTTTAATACCGAAATTCTTACCTGATTAGTGCCAAATCCACCGCCCATACCTCCAAACCCGATACCTTGACTATTCGACCCATAAGAAGGTGGTCCTCTCATGCCCACTGCTCCTCTAGGTGGTCTGGCTCCGCCTACTCTTGTCTTGGGCTGTGCCAGCTTTAGTATCATCTCTTTTCCTTTTACTTTCACCTTGTTCATCTCCACCAAAGCCATTTGTTGATCAGTTTCTGACATAAACCTAATGAATCCCGTCTCTTTAGATGCACCCTCCGGAGTTCGATAGACTTTTGCACCTCGGCAGCTTCGATACTTCTCGCCAAATAACTAAAAACTTAATTAAATGAAAGAAAGAACTTACCTTAAACAACACAACTTCATCTACGGATCGGTGAAGATTGCTGACCATAAGGTTGAACTCCAAATGTCTGAAAATATAGAAAACATTAGGTTTTTAAGTATCAAACATTCAAACATATAAACAAAAAAGTATTAAAAATCAAATTTTAGACAACGATCAAGCTAAACTTTATAAATTTAGGTAACACAATTATAAGATGAACTTACGGATCTGGTGAGTTGGCAAATGATAAGTGAAATCGCCTGTTTTCATCATCATTAGGCACATGTCTTCCGTTAGCCTTCAAGAGAGCTGTTCGAGCATCGTCTTCATTTGCGAACTCCACAAAACAATACGGAGCCATCTAAAGCAATATACATAATAATTAAATAAATAACAACTAAATTCCTCACCTTTCCTGTATTTTTATCTGTTACAAACTTGACGTTCTTGACAGGCAGCTCAAACTTCTCGAATGCCATCTTTATGAAATCCGTCGTCCAATTTGTATTCATATCTCCCATCCATAAGGTTGACTCTGGTGGACACAAACTGTTTCTTGGCTCCATCATTGGTGGAGGAACATTCATAGTACCCAAGGTTTGGATCTCCATTTTTTATAAGCTTTACGGCTTTTTCTGCAGGTTTATGTAAATTACTGGAAAAAAGTCATTTTTTCGATAATAAAGCTTGAGAATTTGGGCGCGAACTGCGCGAAAACTGCGGGCAAGGTGTTATACGCAAGACAAATTTTTGTCAAGCTCAAAGAGATGAACAAATTAGAGCTGAAATTGAGAGTAACGATTGAAAAGTAAGTTTTTATAATATATTTTATTAATATAGCTTAAAGTTTGTCAATTATAAAGTAAAAATTATATTTATATTGTAGTAGATGATAGGTTCATGCACTTATTCTTGTATGTAGCAACACGTGCTGTGTTAAATGAACAAAATAACTTTTTTATTTAGATAGGAACCTTCTTGACACATACACCACCTTTGCTGTTCTTGACACACGTCATTCCGACTTCACAATCGCCTTGAGTTGAGCAAGTTTGCAGACCTATAACAACATAATGTAAGTCTTTAAAATAGCACTTTAACCTTCAAATTACTTGATCTTATGGTCTTACCATGTGTAGCAAGTGTAAAGCAAAGAAGCATGATTAGGAATAGGGTTATTTGAAGGTTGTGGAGCATTTTTGACGACGAATTTACTTCTGGTAGCTACTATAATATGTTTTATAATAGTTTTGGTCGATTAATTTAATGTGCTGCTTTTAAATTTATGTGTTTTTATGTTTTTTTATTATCTATGGTAACCTTTTCAACTTTATTGTTCTGTGTTTGGCTTAGAAATCGACGAAAAGCTAATGTGAGCATAGTATAATATAGGTATAGTAGAGCTGTTACCATTAGTTTTGAGCCAAAGATCGATTAAAATTTAAGGTGTGTTTGAATGAGGACGTACTTTACATTCCAAAAGTATTGAAATGTACAAAACCCGTTGAAATTGTTAGAAATTTATAGTAACAACAAGTGTAACATGAGTTCATTCGTTTATGTCATACTGGTGACCCGGAGTGACATGTGACCTGGTTTTCTGTCGATTGAGCTTGTACTTTGTACCTTCAGAAGGCTGTACGGTCTTCTTATGCTGGAGGATCGTGAGGATGAAGAGAGATCCGTATCAGTGGATCTGCTCATCGGACTAGATGGTGAAGATGAGATGTTGGAGAGGGCGTTTGAGGTGGTGGCCGATCTCCGGAGTGCTAGTGGGGGTTTACTGCTGTCTGAAAGTGAGGAAGTGATATTTAGAATGGTAGAAATTGAGTAAAATACGAGCGATTGAATTGATTTTGGTTAGACTTGCGGTAGGTTTGTCATAAATTTGACACAAAAACTAATTCTAGGAACTTTTTGACCGCGCCATCTTCTGTCTACTACAACAACAAGACCCTCACCTCTAGGAGCATATTTCTTGAGATTAGAATCAGGAGCAGGGGTGCATTCTCTCGACGTTGACGCACTTTTGTATCGACCGGTCGAAAGTGGTAACCGTGACTTTCGATCCTTTTCGCCTCGAGGCATGGGAGATGGGGCACGTTGAGTGACGACAACTTGAGGTTGAGGCCTAACAATGGCCATTTTAGGCTTTTCCTTCCTCACCGTTTTCCACGGAACGGCACAGTTTGGAATGGTGGTCGAGCTGTATGTGGAAGGTTGGGTAGTTGATATAGTGGTGAGAGGTTTGGGTGCTTCGTTTGTCACTGACCTAAAGCAATGTTGTTATTGAATGGCTACTTTCAAGTATGGTTTAAAAGGTTACTTTTATGTGTGCTAATAGGGGGAGGAGTGTTTTCAAAAATCTACCCCCTGCTTCCCACCCCCAAGACCCTGGGAATATTCCATTCAAGGGTAAATAAAAGAAGTGAAACTGACTTCTGAAGATTGGTAGTTTCAGACGACGTCCTTCTGATGCCCACTTTTGGTTTTGGCGGAACGGGCGGTGGGGTCTTGGCACGTTTTGTCGGTGAGGGTGGGATTTCTCTGAGCGTCGTTTTAGGCTTGGGTAAGACAGCTGGCACTTGAGGTTCAACTTCTTTCCATAACTTATCTTCTTCTTCTAATCTCTTTTTGTTCTCAGCGTCACTCGTACTCGTTTCAGCACGTGAGAGGTCGCAACCAAACTATAACATAATATTTTTATGGTGAATTTAGGTGCAGTAAATGTTATGTAAAGTATGTTTATGGTTTTTACTCTAATAGAGCCACGTATCGTGTATGGGTTGCTACATTAGCTCTGATGGACATGTTTTATATAATGTATATAGAAAAAAGTAGTAACTTTATATTATCCTTCCCAAAATTAGATAAAATATTATATTAGGTTGTTCAAATAATTCAGTGCCCCCTCTTAAAGGAAATTTCCGGAGTTAAGGGCACGGAATTATTTGAACGACTCAATAATTAAAAAATCTGTTTCAAAGTATGAAGAACTTACTTGTTGCACCATCTGCCGGTTGTGTGTAGTCGTATCTTCCGCTAGTAACTCTCTGACAGCCTTCTCCATCAAGTTTATCGTTGGCTCATCGTGTGGGTATATCAAATGTTCTTTTATTTTTATAAACACTTTACACACTTGCAGTCTGAAAGTAAAATGATTGTAGAAAGTTTACTGTAACGTGTATATCAATATAGTTACTGTAATGTGTGTATTATAATATCGTGATCTGAGGGAAGAGGTAATCACATAAGGTATACCTAGGTGTCAAAATAAACTTCAACCTTACACATTATCTTATTATAACCAAAAAATCTACTCTATCCTACCCTCTGATATTCATACTTACTACAGCTGTAGAAGTAAAGTATTTTACCTGATATTCCAAACCGGATCCTTCGCTAGCTTAATCACAGTGTCCAAGAAGTTACTGATGAAGAACTCTTTACTGAATTGCTCCAAAACCACTTCAGCGGCATTTATGACCAGCTTTCGACGCTGACAACTTTCGTGTTTGGCTATGGCTAGACATATCAATATTAGTATTCAAAAGACAACCATTACTTATTTCAGTTAGTTATGGGTACACACCGGGTTAGGCGGGCCTCAAAAACGGGTTTGGCCCCGCCATTTCTGATTTTATTAGGTGCCGACATAAAGAACCCGCCATTTTTACAGGAAAGGTGGCGGGTTCTTTATGTCAGTACCTAATACTATAAATACAGTTTCTCAAAGCAACAAAAGCCTCATTTGAAAGGGCTATATTACCATACTAAACATATTACTATAGATCATATCCTACTTAAGGCTACTTACTTTCATTGAAGAACTCAATAACCTCCCCTCGGTTCTTCTTTTCCGGCAGTTCTCTCATAATCAACAACAACGTTCTCACGGCAGCGACACGGCACGGTAGAGCGCGAGCAGTGAGCACTTCTTGTTTGAACAATGGTAGAAACGACACATACAAGTCACTGGTGGGTAAGATATGTCGCATCACACTGATATTCAACAGGTAACTCTCGTGTGCCCTCCAGCAGCCAGTATTTCGTATCAAGCGATTACATCCCAACAAGATACGATCTAGTTGGACGGCTGTGATTTTCTGAAGTAATGTTATAGTAAAGGCAAGGGGCCGGAAAATTGTAAGTTTTGGACATAACTTCATATTTTTACCTTCCTCATCAACTAAAACCTGTCATAATGACAACTTTAACATAAAAGCGCTTACAGAATTAGGGTTCGTCTTCAAACTCTGATATAACGGTGGCAGGATCTCGTCCAGATGGGACGTCAAGTGCTGAACAACATCCACAGCCCCACTTCTGATTAGCTCCATGAACGGAGCCAATAAGAGATGGCAATGACCGCCGTATTTTACAATTTCGTGGAAGCCGGAAGCGATCGTACATCGCACTTCTTCGTCCTGGTCTTGGGCTAATTTCTCCAAAATTGGCATCAGACGGTCTTCGAATGCGTCCAACGCGAAGGCTTTCACAAAACACTAAAATTTTACAATTTGTTAGGTAAAACCTATAATAATATTACATTATAGTAGTTACAAAGCTATGCCAATGGCGGGAATTTCAAAATTTTAAAGTTTCTTTGGTTGAATATAGCCTACCGGTAAATTGTAAGCGCACATCCGTTTACAAGCCAACGATACCACCGATTCTTTCTCGATGCACAACTCCGTAACCCTGACATAGATATCCAGAAACCATTTCAGCTCCTGAGGGCTTAAAAGATCTTTCAATTCCTCCAACCAAGCGCCCAATTGTCGCGATACCGTAGTCAGCGTCGTATCCCTCATTATGATGGCTTGTTCAGCACAACGCTTTAACAATGGCACTATCACGGTTTTACGACTTTCCTTTGTGAAGTACGGTAGACATACGACCAAAGTGGTTAAGATAGACTCCCTGACTTGAGTATCGTCATCCTTACATAATTCGATTAGGGATGGTAGTAGGAGGGAGACCGATTCGGAGGAGTTACTGCAACAAAGTCATATGTTCATTATCAGCTTTGTTAAGGATTAGGTGATAAAAGGAGAAAAAAGCTATTATTAGGTTGTTCAAATAATTATGTGCCCCTATAACCCTGAAGATTTGATTTGAGAGGAGCACAAAATTATGTGAACTACCCAATACTTTGTAAAAAACGAGGAAATTAAGTAAAAGTGCTATATTACACTAAAATTTAAGATTTTTTATACAGTACCTTAACATCAAGATAAAAATTAATTTTAAAAATAAATTTTTACGCCTTTCTTTACTATATTATACTGCAATATTTAAAAAATTATAAGATATTTTAAAAAATAATAAGAAAACTTACTTTAGAGCTCGAGCGATCACCGACAACCGTTTGGCAACTTCAGTTCGTACTGAAGGTGCTGGATCTTGAGACAGCATTTGAATGCACGGTGTAAGGTCCTTCTTTACGCTGTAATTTAAATATCATTTGAAAAAATGTATTACTAGTCGTCTATGTTAACAAATCCAAGTCCTTAGGGCGTATTTTACAAAAAATTAAAGATCTTAAAAATTCCAAAAAATTTTTAAATGAGCCCAAAATTGACAGAAATTTGTTTTACATTTCAATATTGTTATGGATTTTATACTTACTTCTCCGCCGGCACAATCTCGCTCAACTTGTCGATAAGCCTAGCCGAAATTGCTCTTAACTGTGCCTTTCTGTTCGGTTCGCAACGGCTCACAACAATAGGTACAATCTAAAACAAACTAGGTAATATGACTCCAGAGATTCGTATGAAAATATACTTTGGCTTCAGGTATCCACATGAAAACATATGTCGACTCCAGGTATATAATATATACTCCAGCTATGTAATATATCTATATGAAGTTATACTTTGATATCTTATGCAAACATCGATATTACATGGCTATATGTTAACATAGAAATGCATATACTGTTTGTTCCGGCCCGAAGACTTACCAAATCGACCACCGTCCGAGCGGGGAAATAAGGAGCGATCTCCAGAAAGTTCTCATACCACGCGGTTCCCGAGACTAAAATGACATTTCTTATATGATATGCAATGACAATAAGAGTAGCAATGTAATATTGTAGTTGTACAAGATGTTTAATAAGTACCCATTTGACCTAATGGTGAGGCTGAACTTTACTTTTATCGCATATTTTTTGAAATTTTAGGGCAAAATAGATAAGAACTTTTATAAAAAAACCATAAAAAACGAAAGTTGGGACCAAAATTTCATAGAAACACTCTTTATTTTGAAACGAACAACAGTTCAGTTCCCTTTTTCACCAAAAATACAGTAAGATTACAGTAACGCAAGCGATAAACTTACGCGATTCAGAATGCAATTCGACAAATTCGAGAATTTGAGATAAAACTTTGGAGGGCAGCTCCCTGAAAGAATGAGATTGAAGTTTCGAATGGTCAAAAAAACATAAAACACCTGTGGTCATTCGCAAAAAAACTCACGGATGGACATTGACAAGGGCCCGGTCCCTGATCAAGCCCGAGTACACGGCGATGGCTTCGGCATGCAGGTCTAGCGAGGCGTCTGATGATAACGTGTTCTGGAATAAAATCAAAATATTGGTTGAGCTACTATAATATCATTATTAGAAAACTTGATTTAAGTGGGGCTCAGAATTATTTGAACAACCTATAAGTTACCGTTTTTATCACAAAAGTATAATTACTTACCTGGATAACCGGTAATAACTTTTCGATCGCTTTACTGCCTTCGTCTTTAATTAAAGAGGGCAGGGTGCGGATTACTGTAATCCTCCTCAACAGGTTTCCTTGTCTAAAACATTATTAAATCAATCATAAATTAACAAAACAGACAAAAAATAACGGTAAAATGTAGTATAACATACTACAAGCTTATTTGACAGTAAATTTTATCAAAAATAGTAAAAAATTTTAAATCTTCAAAAATTTGCTGCATTTTTCACATAATTCTGTAGCCTCTAACCTTGTTTTGAAAGGGGCACAGAACTATTTGAACAGATAAAATCAAATTTTGCATCCCACTGAAGTCTTACTTAATATCCCTAATGGCGACGTCTAAAGGTCCCTCATCCAGCTCGAACTCAGCTTCAGCATCAGCGATCAGCTGTGCCCATCGGTCGTTCGAAGCCTTGGAGCGAGCGATGAAGTCGTCTTCCTCATCTTCTTCCTCCTCCTCGTGCTCTGCTCCATCTTCTCCGTCTTCTGATCCGTCCTCATCTGAATCCTCTTTCTCCACCGTAAATTCTACAGTTTCGTCCGTTTCTGTTGGGTCTGGAGAGTGTAGCTCAATCACGGCGTCTGTACACGGTTCGTCATTAGACATCTTAATTGGTATGTTAAAGTCTTGGTTAATATTAGGTTTAAAATGGCAGTTTTTATATTTAGAAGTAGTTTCACGGTATATTTAAAGAGGCTTCAAGCTATGGCAATCTACTTTTTACACTTATAAATATATTCACTATGGCAGAACAATCAATTGTAATCATAATAATTGATTCTTCAAAAGTAACGGTTAGTAAAAGTCAATCATAGTAAGTAAAAAAAGTTAATCTTAGTAGATAAAATAAGATATTGAACGAATTCCTAAATAACGCAAAAGAATTTAGATAAAAATAGGATTTCCAAATATTTTTGTGTTTTAAAGTGACATCACACGAGCTCGGACCGTCTTTTCACCACAAGTTTTTGAAATGTAACACAACTTGACTTGTATACATTAACATACGTGATCTATGACTTTTGACACATGGTGATCCTACTTAAACAAAAATATTCCTAAACAACGTTTAAATATGTCTCGTAATCCATCAAACTTTAAAAAGAATATGATACTACGTTACCTCTAAAATGCTGCATTACCTATTATATACCCCTTTTACATCGATAGTGTTAGGTTGCCCCAAAATACTATTTATACCTGTACGTACTATACTCTTTGATACTACATTACAAAACACATGTTGAGTGACGCGCCAAATTCCTAGCCCTCCGAACACGCTCCCGGCTGGCTCTCTCTACCGTTTAGCCATTTCTCGAGCTAATCACAACTCGAGAACAAAAAGAACTGAGGTTAGCGAGAGTTTGGTTTCTCTGATTCTTTAATCCTATCTGTTTTCCATAGTTTTGCGATCACTGCGCCCTCTGGCTTGTTCCGGATCGGCTTTCTTTCCAGGAGGGGGGGGGGGCAGAGCGGAAGGAAGCCGCGGCCGTGAAGCCAGCTGCCCTTCAGCACAACTGTTCAATAACTTTTTCATTTATTAACATTATAACTAACACCGGATACAACAAAAAACACAATCACAGACATTAGCGGTTCTTCTTCTTCGTCCGACCGGTCGGGGCGGTGCTCGGAACATCGGTCTTAAGAGCTGCATGACCCGTGTCCTTGATGTGAGCAAAGAGTTTCGAGCGCGACGGAAAGTCCAGACCACAAACTTTGCATTCCGATTCCACTGGTACCGTGGGGCCAGTAGGCTTTTTGGGCTCCTTCTGTTTTTCTGAAAAAGATCATTTTAGGTAATATCATTTAAAAATCATTAAATATGCGATTATTAATTAAAAAAAGCTGTAAATTCTACTTCATAACTTTAAAACTTCAAAAAAAACTGTCAATTCTTATTGTATGAACCTTAAAACAAGCTTTCAAAATAACAAACAACAATATAAACTTACGTTTTTTCTCCTTCTTGCCCTTTTTGCCAATCGGCTCTACAACAACATTTTCTTCTTTCGTTTCAACTTCATTCTCATCCTTAACTTCAGCTACTCCAGGTTCATCCACAGTATCATCGTCTGGTAAAGGCTTGCTTGATTCTTCTGTAGGATCATCATCAACAACTGGCCTAAAAAATATTTTAGTATTAAATTAAACGCAATAATGTAAGCTTCAATTAAAAGAAATAATGATGAAAACTTGAGCAATAAAAACTTACACTTCCACCTTTCCTCTCTTCTTTTTCTTCTTCCTTTTTGTTTGTTGCTGTTCTTCTTCACTTTCTTCATCTTCCAACAACATCTGGTCATCTTGATTCATAAATTCCTTCAACTCTTCTAAAGCTTGCTTATGTTTCTTTGATTTCTCATGATTTTGGAAAGATTTTCTAAAAGAATCAGTGTTAAACTGCCATAAGTATATTTAAAATAAGCTTCAAGAATAAAAAAAAATAACTGCAATAAAGCAAACATACAGTATTATATAAAAAAATGAAATATAAAACTAAACTTACTTCGTTTTAAATTTCTTCTCACACACAATACAGTAGAAGCTGGCATCGTCATCATCACAATCCAAAGCTCCAAATTGTTCATCCAACTCATTCTCTAACTTCTCCAAGTCTTCCAGATGTTCCTTGCTCATCTCCGCAACTTCTTCGTCCTTCAACTTCTCCCAGTTTTCCCTGATTTGTCGCTTTCTTTCAGCTTCAACTCTTTCAAACTCCTTCTGCTTCCGTTCTTCTAATTCAGCGCGATACCTCTGAACCCTCTTATCCCGTTTCCTTATGTAAGCTACCAATTCCCTTATATCGTCGTTCCTTTGTTTCTTTCCTACATCTCTTAACTTCTTGTTCTCTTTGTCCATACATTTTATAGTATACCTATCGTTTGCTTGTCGTAGATCATATTTATCTAACCAAGCAAAAGACCGTAGCGTAGAAAACGAACTCCAGAACCCGTAGAAAGGTCCCACAACTTGATCGTAATCAGAATTTGCATAGCCAAACGAAGGAAACTCATGCTCTTCATCTTCTTCTATATAAGGATACTCCTCGGCAGCCAACTTGTCGAATAACTGCCGGTAAACTGAATAAAACCCCTGAAAATCACAACCATATAATCCGGCTTATACACAACGTAGTTCTTAAATTAAATTTATCACTTGTGACATTCGTCTAAAATCTTCATACGGCATGAACAAAAACTACTTTTTGATTAAAAATAGCTAGCATGTGTCAAAATCACTTTTTAAACTATTAAGATGTGTATAAAACATACGTCTTCATCGTCCTCGTAACCGTTAAAGCACTTTTGAAAGAATGGATATAAGTTTATGCCAGTGTCTTTCTTTTCTTCAGGTGAAGCTAAAAACAGATCAACAAAAATAAATCTACAAAGTAATCTAAAGATTAAACCCAATAAAAACAATATAATACTTAATACCTACATCCTTGTATAATATTCTCCCTGTGCTTATCATAAAACGCCCGTTCTTGAGGATCACTTAAAACTTCATAAGCAGCTTGAAGAAGAACAAAATAAGCTGTACATCGCTCTCGTTGTTCCGGCTCCACCTTATCCGGATGATATTTTAAAGCCAGCTTTCGGTAAGACTTCTTAATTTGATCATCCGTCGCATCACGAGGAACTTCCAACAGTTCATAGTAGCACTTTTTCTAAACAACAATAAAAAAAATGAAATAACACTTACTGTTTCCTGAACTTCACCTTCTTCCTGACCTAGAAACGACTTTGCCTTCTCGAAAAAGTCGTCAAATATACCCATAATCAAGATACATATGAGGTAATTGATCCGAAATTAATTTTTCACGACAAATTTTCGTCAAGAATTCATTTGTCTATAAAATGCGTCGTCAGAGAACAATAGAAGTATTGTGTTTATTTAAAAACTAATGTTCGATAAATTATTACAAACAAATGTATAAAAAATTAATATAATATATGTGTATTTACAATAGAAGAATAATTTATTTCTGCGGTCGTCATGAGGCTTTTTCTAGACAATCGTGCTGCAACGAAATGCCAACAAAAATAAAATGAATTCCGAATCTTTTTCCGCCAAATTCTTTGCCCGCGCGGCTTCGTATTGAAGTCCCACGTCGATTTAAACTTACTAAAGCTGTGTTGTAATAATTCGTTTGTAAATTATCTGATGAACGGGGTAAGTTTTATTAATATAGTTACTTTTTGTTCAGAGCAATGGACAGTTTAACAATTTTCCTCAAATGCAACCACAGACGGCGGACGCTAATCAGGCCATGCTAAATCAGTCTCAACAATCTCTACTTGGATATGGAAGTCAGTTGCAGTCGTTGGTTCCTCAGCAGCTACAACAGCCCAACTATGGGTTCCAGGCGTCGTATAATCAAATGGCGGCGGTAAGAATCTTTATTATTAGTGATGTTTGTGTAATTTTATAAAAATAGTCTGAACGTTAAAGGTATTTTACTATACAAACATTTTTAGACGTTTTAATTAGTTTTTTCAATATAATATTGTGTTGGAAATTAGGTATGCTGTACTATATTGTGGTACCTTAAAGGAAATTTTCAGAATATGGCTGGAAATCAAATTGGATTTGGTAACTATCAATCTCAGCTTCCTCTCGATTTTCAAAATCAAAATTTTCAACAAAACTTGTTGTCTATGCAGATGAATTCTCAACCTTCGGTGAGTTTCTTACCTAAATTCATATAAACTATAACAATTAACAGTGGCTTTCTGTTGTTATAATATAAAGTTTATTGATGTACTAATAACTTTTTTTCCAGACATTTAACACAAATTTCGATCAACAGCAAGCCTACCCTAATATGGCACAATCATTTTCCGCTTATCAAGCTCCTCAGAGCTATGAGAATCCTCAATCTTCACAACAACAGCTCTATCAAATTCAGCAACAGCAACAAGAGCTTTATTTACAACAACAACAGCAGCAAGCGACGTATTCAGCCTTACCAACAACTTCTCAGAACTTTCAGCCGGCTGTCACAAGTCAGCCTGCTGTCCAACATCAACAACCTTACACTGAAAACATTCAAAGGCCGACTTGCTCGAAGCCGGCTGTGGCTAATGATACGGATACTCAGATTGTGAACGTGGAGACTCCAATGAGGATAGCTGAAAGGGCGGCAGCGGTATGTTAATATTTTTAAAACTATTTTTGAATTTTAGGTAATACTCGCAAAATTCTACAAATTTTGACATTTTCATGTTTTGAAAAGTAATTTTTACATTTAGACGGCAGCAGAAAACTTGAAGAAGCTGAAGGAAAGGGAGGAGAACGCTGAAAAGGAGAAGAGAACGAAGGCAAGGGAAGATCACGTTCAGATAGAAGAAGATTGGCGGCGGAGTCAAGTGTCGGCTTCAGAATCTACAGCTCAAATGCAAAGCCGACTAGAGGCTATTCCTGAGCCTGTACATCTAGCTGGTTGTCATACATTGACTAAAGGTATGAAATTTGTTACCTAAAAAGTTGTTTTTAGATCTTTGCATTAAGATACTGACCATAAATTTTTAGTTTAGACTAAAATAATCATTCTTTAGGGATAAATTTACTGTTTGTAGCTTTATTTTGTTTAAAATTTGAAAGATTTTTGATAATTTTGGTTAATAATGTTATTTTAGTTGCTAAGCTTCTGCCGTTTCCCACCGAATGCTCAGTAACATCTGAATATCTGGCGTTGGCTAACCTTTCTGAGGAACCACCTTTAGATGACAATATGGCTGATTACATTACCTGTTTGTTGAACTCAAGTATGGAAGAGCTGGATCTGGTCGATTTACGGCATTCAGAAGAAGAAAAGGATGACTTGAATTTGAATGAAATGAGCACTCTATTCAGAGCCATTCATGATAGAAATCCATCAGCTTTAACAGTAGAGAAGAGGGAAAGAGTGGTGGAACCCGTAGAACAAGTAGCTGTAGCAGATGTAGTGAGGAAGGAAGACGAACCAAAACCGGTAGATGAAGTTAAGAATGAGGAAGTAAAAACTGAGGTGAAGAAAGAAGAAGAAAAAGTTGTGGAAAGTGAGAGAGACGTTGAACCAATGAAAGAAAAGCCGGCTCCAGAAAAGAGGAAGAAAGAGGTAAGGACAGATTTTAATAATTTTTACTGAATTTTATGTTAAAGCACATTTCTTCTGCCGTAAATAGGTTTCATTTTATAGTAATACATATGTATATATATTTCCTACTTATATAAATGAGCGAAATTTAGGAGTCGATTGTTGATCGAGAAGTAACGTCAATATTCTCAACTCCAAAGCCCAAAAAACCAAAAGTTGTTGTTCCAGAAAGGCCACCAACACCAGAAGAGGGTAAGCAAATGATTTTATTTTTTTTGTGAAACATACGCTTTTTGGTTTTTATCATTGAATTGAATTATGAAAGAGTTAAATTACCGGTATTTATTAATATAATAAAATATTGTTTTAGTTATTTATGAAAGAGAACGTGAATGGAAAGAACGCTTAAAACAACGTCAGGAAAAGCTGAGGAAGAGGCACGAAGAAGAGAATTCAGAGTTGTGGAGCATTGAGGGTAAGAGAAATATTATTCGTAGGCTTATACCCACAATCATAAGGTGAAAAATAAGTTTTTTAGCTTACATAGGCACATAGTTAATATTTATATTTCCAGCTACTGCTCAAAACGAATGTCTGAATCGTTTCGTCTCGTTCGTTGACAGGATCGTGGATGCAGAGATTGAAGACGACGAATTCACGATAGATAAGGCTCTTCTGGAGGATATGAGAGCAGAAGCTCAGAAGTTGAAGGTCTACAGGAAGGTGAATAAGGTCCCTATGGATCGACTAGTAAAGTTGTTGTCGATCCTCGAACGGATAGTCAAAGACGTGTTGTCAGAAGATGGAGCTGTGGTTATTTTTGCGAATATGGTAAGTGGAATGTTAACAAATGAGTAGAATCTTATTATAGTTATATTGTGGTTTACTTACGAATTCAATTAACTGCCAGTGGTTAACATCGATCTTTTAGGCAGACGAAAACGAACCGTTGGTAAGAGAGATAATCGACGAAAAAGTGGCAAAGTCAGCTGAAGCTGCTTGCCTTGCTCTGACCGTTATGACTGCACCAAAGGTACCAAAACAGTTATTGATGGAAGATGTCATAGACAAGTCGATTCAAGTGTGCAAAGAACTAAATCAGCATGTTGTGTTCCCTGCCTTCGACTCCACTGCTGGGACTGTCGACAATGGTATCAAGAGGAAAGGTATGTCCATCTTACTGCTCACTTTCTTGGAATTTCAAAGTATTTACCCTAGGTTTATATCAAATATGGCTAAGAATTTGACTGTAAGATTCTTTGAATAATTTTAACGGTTTATCGTTATTTTGTTGTAGCCGAGGTGAATCGTAAGAAGCGAACGATGGAAAGGACAAATCCATTTGCTGTAAAGTTGAATCGCCGTATCTGCGAGATGTTGGAGTGCTACACGGAACTGACGCGATTCGAGAATCTCAATGAAACGACTCTAACTAACCTTTGTACTCTGGCTACAGCGCCTTTTTTCATCGACGGTGTTAACGAACTCCAAATCGAGTCAATCAGCTTACTCAGTAGCCTATTCTCATTGGCTCCAAGTCTACGGAAGTCGATTCTACAAGATATTCTGGATTCGCTTCATCGTCTCCCACCAACCAAATATCAACAGAATTCTTTCAAGTTGAGCGAGAATGTTTGGATCAGCAACTTCACCGTCCTCATGCTACAGTTGATCCAATCGGTCGTAAAAGTGCCAAGCAAACGGAAAACTGATACTATTGATGAAAGTGATGATATACAGTCAAATGATATTACAGTAGAACAAAAGGTTCTGATTGAGTCGTATCAAGAAGCACAGACGATGGCTACCATTTTTCTCAACGGATTCTTAGCCAAGTAATTTTTTTGAATATCAATTTTGAAATTTAACATTTTGGAAGATTTGTTTACAATTTCAAAGCGAAAAATAAGCTTTATAGTAAAGTAAGGTTGAATTCCCATTTCAGATGTACAGCCAAGTCAGAAGACGACTACCGTGGCCTGTTCGAAGCCTTTCTTAACGACGTGCTAGCTTCTTTGTACAAACCTGCATATCCCGTAGCTGAACTAATATTAACAATTTTGGGTAATTTGTTGGTCAAGAAGTTCAGGTCAAAGGCGGAAATCACTTTACGACAAGCTTGTCTGGACTACTTGGGTACGGTAACAGCACGCTTGAGGAAAGATCGAGTTGGAGCGAGAGGAGATGATAAGGGAAGGATGGATTTGGTGGTCAAGACCTTGATTAGTGAAGAGAAGGAGGAACCGTTGGAAAGCGTAGACATTTCTGGGGTAAGAATTCGTTATAAGTTGTTACCCAACAGTAAAGTATCTGTTTTCGGTGGTGAAATAGGTGAAATAAGCATTATCTTTTAGATGAACACGCGAGAAAAGGTGCAAAAGCTCCAGCAAGCCCTAATCGACTATATTATTACTAAAAGTGACCTAGAAGATGTGTCGGTAGAATACACCGTAAAGTTTTATGTAACAGAATGGTTCAAAGAAGTGATAACAGATATGGAAGCGGCCAAAGAACGACACCGTGTGAACATCGAGAACGGAGGCGTGGATCCAAAGAAGGAGGAACGTAAGATGAACAAGTTGTTGGACAAAGGAGAACAGATGAAAGCCTTCATTTTACGACTGGTCGATAAAAAGTATTTGAAGAAGCGGACGCAGTTACTCACCAAGAACCTAAACGTACTTCTGGATTCAGATGCCCAGTGGGTGGTCAAGTATCTGGCTTCGAAGCGAGAGTTTAGTCAATCTTTTGATCATTTCTTGAAACAGATCACTTACGGTATCTCTAATGAGAGTTCGGTGGGAGTACGGACAAAGGCGATGAGGTGCTTGACACAAATTATAGAAGCCGATCACAAGATCCTGTTATTCGTAAGTTTTGCCTTATTTGGTTACAAATGGTTTATTTGAATTGTTGCATGTTTCTACTTTTTTGTAGTACTTTATTATATTTAAGACCTTACATATTACTTTTAGCACGATGTCCAAGCCGCAGTACATGGCAGACTGGTCGATCCGAATATATCTGTGAGAGAAGCAACGGCCGAGTTAATCGGAAAATACATAATATCTAGACCGGATCTCCTGAACAAGTATTACAATATGATCATTCAACGCATAGTGGTAGGTTTATATCGACGCATTCTAAATTAATATATTAATATGAAAAAGCCTACATTGAAATATTTTATTAACTACTTTAGGATACTGGTGTTGCTGTAAGGAAACGGATAATTCGGATATTGCGAGACATTGTAGAACGTCATCCAGAATCCGAAAAAGTGCCTGAGATATTGGCCAAGATGATACGGAGAGTAGGAGATGAAGAAGGCATCAGGAAGCTGGTACTTGACTCTGTATTCTCCCTTTGGTTCTATCCAACACGAGATGAAGAGGCTCTGAATTCAAAGGTATGAGCCCATCTTTTTACTTTTCTTATCATACTTTACTTCTTTTTTGTAATTATTGTTTATGATTTACAATACTGTAGCATCGCTGAATGATGATACCTAAACATTCACAAATTTCAGATTTTGAATATTGCTGACACAGTAAACGAAGTAGTGAATCTTGGGTTTTTGGACTTTTTCAAACAACTAATCCAAGCCATCTTCAAAGACTACAACGATCGACAGCTTCAAACATCATGTGTTCAGCTGATCGATGGTCTCGTGGAGAATATATTGTTGTTCGATGCTCAAATGGCTTCTGTCGATCTGGAAGGTGTAGCTGGTTTGGACGAGGAGAAGGTTGAACAAAAGAGAATCAGTCAACGAAGACTGATTGCTTGTCTGACAACGTTATCAGTGTTCTCCAATGTGAAGCCGGAGTATCTGACGAGACACGCTGAAGTGTTCGGGCCATATTTGAATATAAAGCCTAACAGTCCGACTGATTATGTTGTTATTGTTAATGTAAGTTGATTAAGTTTGGTATTATTTTGCTATGGTATAGGTATTGTAATGAATAATATATAGATTAGACGCAGCAACTGTAATGATTATACCATTTTTTGTGCTTTTAGATATTGCAAATGTTGGAAAAGGTAATACCTTTGATGGAACATCCTGGAGACGAGTTTCTAAAGACGTTATACATGAAATTGGAAGAGTTATATGGGACACAGAACAATCTTGCTGTGATCAATGCGACCGTCGCCTGTTGTGGAGCAGTTTATCGCACTTTCCCCAAGTTTTGTCCGACTCTCATACAGCGGTTTTCCAAATTTTATGGTAGGTTTGAGAAATATATGATCTTTGCAAAACTTCTATGTCAAACTCATTTTTGATACAAATTAAAATTTGTGTTTTTAGGTAACAAATTATTTTTTTACCAATTGTTTTGTTACCAAAACCTTAAATATTGTGCCTATTTCAGCTTACTTAAAAATGAAGTCTCTGGACATGCCAAAAGAAGTGGGTCGCGAGCTACTTGGCACCATGAAGAAGGTCATGTACGCAGTTGGTGTTGTCGCCAGATTCTTCGACCTGAACGAGCTGATTCAGAAGCATCCGGTAGAAGGACTAGAACAAGGTATCCGAGAAGACGTACTCAGCACGTTGACATTGTTCGCTCAAGTGGACAATGAACGAATCAGGTTGTTCGCTGTTATGGCATTGGGACAACTGACAGCCGAAGTGCCAAGCTTCTTATTAAATCCGAACGTGGTCAAGATATATCTGGCAGCATTGAAAGACCGAAGGCCATTGTTATTGACACAGGCTTTGAATAACTTGGAATTGTTCCTGATCACAACTGAACAGAAGGCCATCAAGAGCAATGAAAAGTGTAAGTTATCATCTTTATGGAGATGTTCTCAAGTAAATCTTCTTGTTTTTAACTATATTTCCGTAGGATATTAATATAATTTTACACATGTTATTTAAGTTTCACAAATTATACCTTCGCTTTATAGTCAGAGAAACCAAGGACGGTGATCTAAAAGCGATGGAAGTTGGTAACTCCGGCCTCAGTTCGACGGCCATGCAAAACTACTGGCCGTCAGTCTTGCAAGCCTACTTCAACAAACCCGATAACGTCCGTCAAGAAGCGGCCAAAGTTATATTCCAAACCCAGAATCAAGGTCTTCTGACACCAGGCTCCTCCATCCCCACCCTGATTGCCATGTGTACGGATAAGTTGCCATCAATTCGAGGGCGAATCGAGTCTCTAATCAAGGAAATAGACAGTAAATATGCTGGAATGGTGGCTAGCAATGCGATAGCTGGCGTCAGAAGAGCATACTTCCTTCAGAAGATTATGAGAACAGACGCGAGTGAAGTTGTCAGAGGGATAAGAGCCATCGAACAGAAACCTGGTCAAGACGCCTTGCCAAACTCGAGTAACGAGGTACAAGCTTGTTTGACAGGCTTGTACTCATGTCTCCGTGGCCATAGGCAACAACGAAGGAGCTTCCTCAGCGCCTTTCTGAAGTTGTTCACCGATTCGAAGGATGTAAGTTGAAGTATATTGTTTAGGTGTTTTTATTGTTATAGTAGATATTTAATATAATTTCACTTTTATATTAATTTTAAAAGCTTCGACAGGTTTTTAAAATTTGAATTGTTTTCAGAAGGTAACACTAGAGGAATGGATCTTCTTGGCAGACAATCTAGCTCACTTTTCATACGTTAACCTGGATGAACCACTATATGTGATATTTACGGTCCAGAAGATGGTATCCTTTAACGGACAAAGTATTCTGAACTCATTCAAGAAACTACAAGTGGCGTCGACTCAAGAAAATGAAGACGAATTCTCTCCTGACACTATTTACTGTAAGTTACTGAACCAGATTAATCTCATTTGATTGGTAATTCCGGAATCATAATTACCATTATATTGGGTTTAGAATTTAAAAGCTACGTATATCTAAAAATGTTTTCAGCACGAATGCCAGAAGACAAAACGACGCTATACGATCTGCAGAAGGAGAGCTACGCCTGTTACCTTCTACTCTCATTGAAATCATACCTGATGAGGGTTTACAACTTCAAAGACGAGTACGTTGACCTTTCTAAATATATTTGAAGCATGATTAGTACATCTTTTAACTATCGTTAATCTTTTCAGTAAAATCAAGGAATACTCTCCATCAGAATCGGCCAAAGTCTACGAGAAACCAGTGACCAGAAGACCTGCGGGCATATTCAATCCGAAGAACATTCTAGATGCTTGCAAGAAGAACCCCAACGTTGAGAATTCTGTGGAACAACATATAGAGCTGGCACATCATTTCAGCTACGTAAGTATACATAATACTACATACCAAATCATATACATGATGGACATATATATTTATATACATAATGTGGCAGGTTCAAGTAAATGTTTGTTTAATAATATTGGTTTAGTTCTTCAACAAGTTCCTCCAAATGGAAGCAGAAGACGGCAACGAATCCGATGCTCGAGCCGAAGACCAAATGGAGGAAGATGAAGAAGAACAAGAAGAATAACTTTAATCTCACAAATACGGGCATGTACAAAGCTACTTAACAATCTCATGTTACTGTTTTACTTTTTTGTTTTAACGTTAAGAATCGGACTGCCTAAAGTCATTTTACTCCGCTACTTATTTACCTAATGTAATTGTTACTTTAACTATTTAACGCAATAAATTTTAACGTATTTTGTTATATGATGGACTTGGATTGCCATGTAAGAGTGGTTTTGCTCAAGTTTTATTGCATTTTAATCGATTCTTCAGATTTTTAAAGCAAATTTCATCAAATCACAAAATAGTATACATACTTTAAGGCCGTAGATTGAGATCTTTCAGCGTTCTCTCCAGCTGTACCAAATAGTTATCGAGTGTAATATCCCTGCACTAAAAAATTTCAATTTAAAACAAAACGTATGTTTTTAAGACGGTTTGCAAATTTTGATATTTATAACAATCAAAATACTAGAACAGATAATAAAAGCCTTAAATCAACTAAATAACAATAACTTACCGTATTCATCTTTGAGTAGGCCAAAACTGGTGCTTTTTTGAGTATCCGACCACTCAATTTCTGTGTGTCATTTCTTCCTGTAATTCCTTCAATCTCTTTCTCAATATCTTGGTTTACTTTGTTTGAAAATGCGCCAACCTGAAATTTTAGAAACCTGCATTAAACTATTCTTTTAAGGTACAATCCGTAAAGGCTTATTCCTTTAACAGCCTCTTTTACAATAATCACCTTCTTTACATTTAATTTTACAAGAATCCTTCAGTTATTAAACATAAAATATTTTAACCTACCCTGCACATTTCATTGACAGCTTTTGACAAGATGCCAGAAGCCGCCTTCCTTGACGGATTCCCAACAAACTTGGAAATATCTGTTCTGTCGAGAAAAGCCGGATCCAAAGCTTCAGTAATATTGGATGTAGTGAGCACAAGAACGTTAGGATATCGACGAATTCGGTCGATTTGAGTAATAACGGCATTCACAGCTCTAATCGAATCTGATGGATCATTGGAGTGAGCTGATGTCCTGCTCATGACCAAGCTCTCGACCTCATCTACCAACATAATAACCAGACTTTTTGGCTCTTCTGCTATCTCAACTACTTGATCGAACAGTTTTTGTACTAATTTACCACTCTAAAACAATATAAATTGACAAAACTGTGAAAAGTTGCTTTAACATAAAATTTTATTATAATTATAAGCCAGTAACGCCATCCAGGCTTATTTAAAGCTACATTAACTTACCTCACTGAACCACTTCGAGAACAGACTGTGGCTGTTTACCTCAACAAAGATACTTCTCTTGTATGTTCCTTGATATCTTGAAGCGATACGTTGTGCCAGTCCTTTACAAAGCGAAGTTTTTCCTGATCCTGGTGGCCCTAAACATCAAAACAATTTAAAATTCAAAGAAAACGTACCATGAAGTAACATCAACCGGTTCAAATCAATCACATTCCGATCTACACCAAGGTTTGAAAGCTTAATCACTCCACAAGCATATCGAAGTAACTGAAAAAAAGAAAAGTTATGATTGGAAACGTTAAACATATCTTGATGATCATTTAGAGGCAATTTAGGTAACAAAAGCTAAGTTAACATACCTCTCCTTTCAAATTGTTCTCAAAGAACAGATTCTCCCAAATACTGTCAAACTCTGTGTTAGGAATCTCCCAGATAGTCGAACTGACTGCACTCTCGCTGCTGTTCTCATCCAGGAATATCTCTTGAACACAAGGTTCATAGTCTTTCGACCAATAAAAGACAACCTCGGTTTCTTCAGTAACACTTACTTCCTAAAGCAATACAAGAGTATAGACGAGTTTTACAAAGACCAAGACATTAAAAAAATACTTTGTGTTTTACAAGGTATATTTATTATGTAAGAAGTACAAATTAATTATCAGAAACAACGTACCGAATCCTCTTCGTGATCAAATCCAACTAAAACATAGTCGATTAAAGATGCCAAATCTGGACAAGTCACAGGCACTGGTTTCCAGTTAGGTACGGCTCCTTTTGATATCAAATGCTTTAACAGCTCGTTCTGCTTCAATCCAACTTCATTTCGATCTCTAAAATACGAAAAAATGATTTAAAAACGACAAAACTTACTTTCCCTTCAAAACTCTGGCTTCAACAATCACCTTCATGTGAAAAAATATGTTAAATCAATAAAAACTGTAAAATATAGCTTGTGAAAATTATTATACAAAAAAACTATTTTTGGAAAATTTTTTTTGGTTTGAAAGATAATTTTCGCGGCGACCTTGTACAGCTTCTAGAGTATAACTCGTTTCAGTAAAATAAAATTATTTCTTTTTGACAAATATTTTAGAGTTAGTTGATAAACAATTGTGTAAGTATGATACTCAGAAGGCTTCAATCTTGTCGGCTTCAGCTCCGGTTCAGTTCTGAAAAGAAAGAACTTACAGCTAAAGAAAAGGTATGTGGATAATGTAGGTAAATCTAGTTAAAATTAGTAAAATTGTGTACTTTTGTTGACTTTATTTTTCTTTCTAATCATAAACTAAACTAATGCAAGCTTTTAGGAGCGTTTGCGAACAGTAATTCCAACATTAAATGTGCAAAAAACAGAATCTAAAGTGGAAAATTGGACTAAACGTGGGGATATTATCGATGAAGAGACAAAAGCATTTGACGAGATCAGGGCCAGAGGGTAAGAGTAATATTTTTTATGTAAGTGTTGATTTTTAGGTTTATGAAAGTGAAACGTGCTTATGTGCCTGAAGGAGATTGTCAGAGCTTCATTTCAAAGTTGGGACAACAACATTCTTTGACTGGAGAAAGTGAAATCTCTAGTTTGAAGGTGAAGTTAGAGGTAAGTAGAGCAGTGTTATTTGTTTTTTAATAATGAATGTTCACCGGGTTTTTTGTCGAAATATTTTACTGATATTTTTGTATTTGGTTGATCTTACCGGTTTTAATGTTTTTCTCTAGCTATTGAACGAAATTGGCCAGAAGTATGCCTATTTTGTGCCAAATTCTCAATTGCACCGTATCAGGACTTTGAATGACGTTGCCAACTTTTACAACACACCGAAAGATAATGTCACGACATACACAAAGTTAGCAAGGGATGAAAACAAACCAGAAAACTTGGAAATCAGAGAGAATCCGGTCAGGTTCCATCCAGAAGACAAACACGCCTTCCACAAAGGTGTCACTGCTTTCCCTGGCGAAGGTGGCAAAGTTATTTCTCTCAGAAACAAGAGGATCTATCGACAATACAGGCCTAAAAAGGAGTGGTTCGACTACGAAGAACAAACCTTTGATCACGAGCCGGTCGATAAAGATTGTCCATGGGACCCAGAAGTGGTGGCTAAGATGGATACCTACACTGACAGAAAGCTGATAGGGCGGTATTTCCGCAGAATATAGAGTTGTTACTTAGGCTGTTATTTGTTTGTAATAAATATTTGTTTTGAATGTTTTAGGTGTTTTATATGATGTTTATTTCGCTTTTTTTGGCAAGATTTTCGTAACGTAAGCTTATAATCTACATATAACAGAATCTTTTAATTGTTGGGCTTATAAATGACATTATGAAAACATACTTTATTGACAATATAGATACCCGTAAACGGTATTGCTTTAAATTGAAAAGTGAAAAATTGAAAAAAGTTTTAAAAAAAAGTAATCACAGTCTTTCATAGATTCTGTATTTACCATACTTCAAAAAGTTGGATGTGAACGGAACGGCGAATGCTCGGAATAGTGGATGTGACTGGTCGTTTAAAAGAAAGTCTTTTTCGTACAAAACTTTGAAATTTTTCTAAAAAATAAAATTATGAGTAAGCCAAAACGTAGAATTATCAGTAAAAATGGCAAAAGCGTACTGCATCATGTATAACTTTTACAACTCTCAACATAACCTCATTGATCAAAACCCAACTTACCGAAGTTTTTTCGTTAAAATCATCTTGATCCGAGTAGCCTCCAGTAAACAGATCAACGACGTAATCACATTGGCCCACTTTGACATATCGACCGGTCTCTTCTTCGTTCAGATCGTTCATTTCAGTCGGTATCAAGCTTGTAATCTCTGGTAACGGCCCGTCGGAAAAGTGTTTTGGCAGAATTCCTTTAAAGCTGGACCTGAGGTAGTTCATGACCACTTTCTTCTTCCTGTTTCCTTTACCCACAACATATTCTGGAAGGTAGAAGGAGGATGGGAAACGATACCATTCCTTGCCTACACATAACTGGATTGGATTCTAAAGAACAGTAATGTAGCAAATCTTGATTTTTAACGGGAAAAACTTTTTAATAGTTTTAAATACAAAAATGTACACCTAAATTTATCTGAGCATAAACTTTACAGTGCACTTACATTAAACTTGTCCAGATCGATAACCTTCTGATTGACGATAAAGTGATCGTTCAAGTACTTGTAGGTCTCAGTTGAAGCATAGTAATTCCTGTGTAATGCATAACCTCGAGAAATCGACAATACCACAAATCCAAAGATGAGCAGATTTGACAAAGTCACAAATCGACCATGAATGTGGTTTAGAGCATCCAACCCAACAGCAGCTAAAACAGCTATCAAGGGGAATATGGGAAACAAGAAACGTTCCTCTTTGTGTGGTTGGAGAAAGAAGATCGTGATCCAAAGATAGACTGACAAGAAGATGAAGAAAAACGGGATAAAACGGTACCAAAACCGTAAGGTTAGCTCTGAAATTATAAAATGCAAAAAAAGCGTTACTTAAGATGTACGATTACAAAAAAAAGATATAATATAGAACATATCTAAGGACCTACCAGCCTTAACGTTGTCATTCCCTTTGAATACATATACGTAAAGAGCAGTCGGCAAGGCAATCAAAGCGAATAGTAAGGCCACATTCCAGTTCAAAAACAAATTCTTCAGATAATAACTAACCGGTTCGACACCGTACAAGTCCGGACCATGTCCAGATAGTACGTTGTACAATACGATATTTAAAGGAGCCTGCAATAATTATGATTTTTAGAAACATAAACAAATACACACTAAAATGTAATATAAATTGCATTGAATTTAACTACAATATTTCAAGCAAATCTTTTTACGTACAACCCCAATATAATGTAAAACAAACTTACAATTACAGGTTTTCCATAGTAAAAACTATCGACCAAATACATAGGCACAAAGATAATAGCACCACTCAACAGTGCATAGCCGACAAACCTCAAAAACAACAACCTAGTCCTGATGACAACCATTTCCAATACTATAGGCAATCCCAATACAACAGCAAAAGGCCATCCACATAGCGCACTGAAAGCGGTGAAGAAGATCGCTATAAACCAATATTCTTGAAGATACGCAGCCATCGCAAAAGTATTCATCGTCATCGAAAACGATGATGGCAGGAATGCGGGGCTTGCATTGAACATGGCCACGGATAACATACTCAGTACGACAAAGTACGATCCTATCGAGTTACCCAGTCGTTTGCATATACTATGGTAAAGAACAAGGTCGGAAACCATACTAATCAAAGCAATAGATATTCGAATAAAGGTGAACAACATTACTTTGGAGAACGTTATACCCAAAAACGGTACTGATAACAAGTAATGAAGGTAAATGTACGCCCATGATCTGCAACAAGAATGTTTCAATAAATTAGCATTGTGAAATAAAACTAAACTTCATGGCCAACATTTGAGATAATTTTTTCTGATAAATGTTATCTAAAAACTTAAATAAACTAGCAATTAAGCATACCGTATGCCGTATTCTGGAGAATATTCCCACGTCTGGAATCCTCTGCCAAACAATAACAAATGTAAAGGCTCCCAGTAGTTGTAAGTCTCGTCACAATCTAGTATTATACTCCAGAAGGCACTTCCAACTCGTAGCGACACTAACAACTAAAAATCATACAATAATAACATTAAAAGAAATGTTAACTTTAAAAAGCTATCCAACTCACCTTTAATATTGTTGTTGTGTTAAAAACATATCCCTGATCATCTTCTGAATTTGAATAGAACAATTTTCCTCCAATATTGGACCAAAGAAACTCTCCATTATCCTCTGGTTTGCTTTTCTTCGTCGTTCTATTCTCGTTCTTGTCCAAATCCGGGCTTTTATCTTGAGGTAGACGTTGAGTACGACGATTTTCTCGCCTTCGTATCGAAGCGATGGTCGACATTGGAAAACGTTATTCTAACACATTTGGAGGTTTAAAGCTGCACTCTAAAAGGTTTGCAAATTTATTTTTTTTGAGAAGTAACAGTTTTCCGCTATGCAGGTTGCAGGTGACAGGTTATACGAACGAACATAGTTAACAATGTTTGATAAAGTAATTGTGTTATTGTTTTATTATTTTAGATGTAGTACTTAAAACGATAAAAATTTTAGGTTAATAATTTTTAATGATATGTCAAATTTTAATTGTCTTTTAAATGTTTCGTGATACTGAGTTATGTTTCAGCGGTTCGCGCCCGTTTATGTAAACTTTTAATTCAGAATTTTATAATTTTTTATACTTCTTGGCCAATATTTTGCTGTACCACAGCATGTTGAGGCACAATTACAGGACGTTTCTACAGCCTCTGAGATGTGCTTCTGTTTGGATCAATAGTTCGTAAGTTCATATTGATTTAGGCTGTTTCGATGTGTTTTATTTGGTAAAATGTAATAAATTATTTAATTTTAGTGCCCAAACATCTCAGAACAGGGAAGTAGATGTAGAAAAGGTGTTTTGCAAGACTGATGTACAATCCTTGCTGTACGACATAACCGGACTTGATATGGAGAGTAAAGTGTTTAGAGAAAGAACAATTCCACAACAGCAACGTTCACAATACCATCTAATGACGGACAATATGTTGGAAGAGGTAACGGAGATTGTTTTTTAATTATTTTTATTGTTTTAGACATTGAAAAAGTTCGAAGAAAGAGGCAAGAAGTTTCTACAACTGGTTCCTTTCAAAGAACCTCGAGCTCGAGAGTTCCAAGTGTTGTCCAAAGATCCTGAACTTGTTGGCTTCGACCAGTCGAAATACGTGTTTACGGACATTACTTTCGATGCAACGAATAGGGTAAGGTTTTATGATTTTAAAAAAACTGTTTAATTGAGTTTTTAAACTGATTTACATTAAAATTATACTATTTTTGGTTGGAAATTGAAGAATAACCTGTTATTTTTTAGTTTTTTGTTTAATTTATGAAAATAATAGTACGATACATAAGTAAAAGTGTCAATTTGTCTTTTTACTATCATATTTTTTGATTTTAGGACCGTCTTGTGGTTATCAGAGAGACTGATGGTACCTTAAGAACAGCATTGCCCGATGAACATGATAGGATGAACAGAGTATATTACGAACAGCCAGACCGACCAGTCATTCCACCAAAAGTGTTTTCAGACCCTCAATTATCAGTGAGTTATATTTTTGTGTACAATACAAACTTATGTATAACGCAACTGTTTGAAGTTTGTAGGTAATATTAAATATTATCGTGTTGACCTATTGATTCGTACTGTTTTGTAACTGTTTAAGGAAGCTTTGGCTAAAAACAAACACGAATTCATCATGGATTGGGCATGTTACTTCTTTGAGCCGGATTGTCCTGACTTTGTTGAGGTAAGTATACAGTAATTGTGATTATTAATAAGGTATACCTTCATTTTTATAGCGTAATAAAAATTAGGATTAAAATTATTAATTAAATTGTTTTAGCTATCAAAGAAAGTGTTCAATGATGCCATCGAAAAGAAAAAGTTCCAATTGTTGTATTCAACCAGACATTTTGGTACACTAGTGTACTACAGCTTGTTGAACAACAATATCGCTCCACTGTTGGAATACTTTGGCACGAAATCGGATCTACAAAGCGCTGCCCGTGTTGTATGCTTGTATAAGACAATGTACCCAGACTGGAGAACGGCTATATCGTCAGAAGATACTCCTCATCGTATCTTGCAAGATTACCTAAAACAAAATAAGCCTGTCATCAAGCGGATACCATCACTGGTCGCCGCATTGGAAGGAAAATCAAAGAAAGAATCATAGGAATATGTTGTTAATTGTTTTTGTTATAAACATAGCTGTTGTTCAAAACGTTTCTCTTAATGTCTTATGCCAAACTATTTTAATATGCCGTCTAGAGGCTTTTAGTATTTAGAGCTTTTTCTTATTTTCACGAAGATCTTAACCATTTCACACCAAACGATTTCGGGCAACAGCAAGTGTTTAAACTGTTAAAAGACGATTGCTAAAATCAAACAAGACAACATCCCCACAAGTTTACTGAAAATCTGGTGTGGATCATAATGTAATTAAACAACAATCCGGTAAGTGATGTAACGACCGGCCGTCTCAGATGGCCTGATTATCTTAACAACTTGGCCACGTTTCAGTCCAAAATATCTCGAAACAGGGTCGCTGAGTTGGATTCTAGGCAGTTGGGAGTCTTTTAGTTTACTGAAAACATAAAATTAGTGATAAATTCATGTTTACACCCAATCTACATTGCAAATACTCACAAAATCTAAAAGCTGAGACAAAGCTTATTTTCTTACTTATAAATCACAAAATGTAAAATTATGTGACAATAAGAAACAGCAATCGAACTTACTATCTAGCCAACAACTCGGCCTTCTCGTCTTGGGTCATAACAACATGTTCGGGTACCAACTCGTGCTCAGTGATGTTAACCATCAACTCTGCTTCCAAAAACACTTCTAGCTGATACTTGGGCATCATATCATTGACAGCCTGTTTCGAGGAAGGTGTCATACCGCCCTGGACAACAATAATAGCTCGGGTAATGTTCTGTTCTTGCATTTGTTGACAAAACGCCTTGATGGTTTTGATTCCAATCTTTGGATCTTCCGGAAAGAAAACGTACATTTGGTCTAAAGATGAAGTTGTTTAATTATTAATTAACATAGTATACGTATATAGCTTATAATAGCCAAAAAAATATAAAAAATATGTCTAAAGAATTATTTCTGCTGACTTCTAATCTATTCAAAACTAAAAGTATTGTACCTAAAAATAAAACGCAACAAATTTAGCATACCTGAGGGATCGTCGTTGTGATGAACCAACAAAGTCAATGAACTTCTGGATGGATTTCCTTCGGATGGCCTATCTCCGAAAAACTCTTTGAACTGGTCCAACGTCTGCTCCAACTCTTCCTGTGTAACCAAATATCCGCGGTCATGACACATCTAAATTCATTTTTATAAACTTTAAACGAAAATAAGGTTACTTTAACTAAAAAGTATACAAGATAAACGAAGTTACCTTTTCAACTTCATCTAAAACTCGAAATGAAACTTTAAAATTACCTGAAGAACAGTTCTACGCACTCTCCACAATGTGTAACATACTTGTTCGTCGTTAACAGACATTTCAACAACAATGCTCAACAAGAAACAACGAGCTCTGAAATTCAAGAAAGGTAAACCTCGTTGCAATCGATGTAAAATCCGTAAACAAAACACTTTATTTATCAAATATAACAATACGCCAAAATTCAAAATTTAATTTATTATCTTTACTATACAACCAAGCAAATTCAGTAAGATTTACATGTTAAATTCGCTTCTTTCACCAAAAATAGGCGCTAAAACTGAAGAATTTTGCGAAATAAAATAAACGGAATACTTGACACGAAATAGCTTGCGTGTCAAGTGTTTTTCTTGATGTAAAATGACTTGGTGCGTTTTCTGCTTACCGTAACAACCTAATTCTGTGTAAATAAGGTTAAATCAGTATATTTTAGGTTTTCAATTTATTATGTCAACGAATTTCAATTAAAAATATTATCATGGGATTCAAACGTAATCTCAAATTAAAATCTTTAACTCAACCCTCAAGACAGAAATTTACATTTATTTATTGGTGACAATGTTAAATAGGGAGCGGATGAGACAGATGAGTATAAGTTTGGCGTTCATTCAGGTAGGTTATCAACGTTTTTCCGCGAATTTCTTGGTATATTCATCAGCCTTTTGGGTAAATAATGCTGGGTTTGAGTTGAGAAGTTCAGCCAAGTCGTTTCTGAGCGGTCGATTTGCTTCCAGGTCCAGTATTAGCTGAGCTGTGCGGAGGAGAACTGAAAAGAATGATCATTATAGTCTTCTGGTACCTGTAATTTGTCTTTTGAACTTAAAATGCAGCTGTTACAACACTTCATATTACTTTAGCCTATTATAAAGATCCTGGGTTTAAATTATCTGGCATAATACATACAGCTGTATTTTCATACAAAAGATGAAAATAGTTCAAAATGTTAGTAAGAGTGTTTAAAAAAAAATAGATATAACTTACCATCCCGAATCCTCAAAGTTGGCTTCCATTCCTCGGATTTGAAGCCAGGAATACTGACATTGCCGGCTTCATCAACACACGGATGCATGATCTTGGTCAAAAAATTGACCGAAGGAGGCTTGAATGGGTAGTTTACAGGGAGTAGAACTGACAAACGGAAGCCACCATTGTTGTACGGAGGTTGGTCCTATATTGTTGAAGGTTAATACTCAAGCGAGATCACGATATTGAGATACCATTTGGTATGTCATAACGTGTGACATCAAAGGTTTAAAAGGTAATCACAAATTTTTGTCTGTAAATCTTACTGGGGTGAACAAAAAAGACCAGTTCCTGTTCTTCTCGTCTACCGTGATCAACTTGAACATTGGTAAAGTGTTCTTTTTAGCCCAATTCAGCTCCTAAAACCTTTTTTATTGCGTCTGTGTATACTTGACATTTTTATATTGATTTTGCAAATGCAAATTGTCAAAGATTTTAGATTTTCGAAAGTTTTAAACTGAAAAGTGCAAAGCTAAAAAATTAAAATTTAATGAAATTTGGCAGTTAAAAATGACCCTTTATTTATAAAAAGAAATTAAAGTAACTAAAGACATGTCTAAAGCACTTACGGCCATGTAGCGTTGTTTACAGACTTCCAGCATCTCTGCATCAAGACGGACATCGGTTTCTTTCTTCTTATCCGTCTTGACCACCATCATTTCTTTGAAAAATAGCCAGAATGAATTCAAAATTAAAAGAAACCAGACAAAGGTTTCAAAAATTTTTTAAAAAATCTAAATTCGGTGAAAATGACAACATAATAAGCAAAACCAATTTCAGCTTCGCTCGGTTTTACCAACCCATCCCAAGAATGCCAAACTCTCCAAACTGTCAATCTTGTGCATGGCCATCAGGTACATCAGTATCTTGGAGTACGTGCTGGGGCTGAGGTCAGAACCGCTCACGTATCTGCTCCCGTAGCCATTCCGTATCCTTGTGATATATGGGATCACTTAGCCACAGAGAGGAACGTTTATAGCAGAAATAATACACTACTGATACTGAAATTACTTTTAATGTTAAAATTATAAAATAAGTATATTAGACTTCACTGATATAATCTTAGGTTTTACTGACATAAGATAGTGAGAGTTATTGTTGTCAAAACTTACATAACCTTTGGGTCAAATAAATAGCATGTAGATATCCTGGCCAGAAATAATTTTCCACACTCCAGCGATCTTTCTGAATAAAAGGAAATCAAAACCCGTGATTTTGTCTTAAAAAGTATTCTTTAATGACATATTACACAAAATATCTTCATATAAACAATATGACAAACATACCAAGCTGATGACATGTAAAGCAATACATGATACCAGGTATAATATAGACACCAAAAATGTAAACCAAAACTCCTTGGCCAACACTTCCATTAATCCAGCTCTGAACACAAATGTCGATGAGAATGTTATCAGTAATATTACCACACCCATCACGAGTAATATATCTTGTAATCTAAAACATACATTTTAAAGATGTCATACAGACTGAAACAAGTCGGAAAATGTATAAAAACCATTGAAACCAGCTCTACAGACTACGCCTTACATAAATATCATCAATTGAGCTGTGTTTTTATCATAAGCGGCAGTAGCAGCCAGGTTGAAGAACATATCAGCCGCTATAATTGTCATATGCAAAGGCATAACCTGATTGTACTTTGAAGTCATGATTAATTGAAATTTAAAGTATACAACTAAAACATATTTAATTAAGAATTTATGCTTTATCTGGAGTGTAAAAATCAACATACGTTCCTTGTTTCCATAGCAATTTATGGTCCCGCCACGAAAACGTTTGATTTCAATTTGCGCAAGACAGTTTTTTGTTTTTACAAAATTTTGAAAAATAATTTTTTTAAATTTTTCGAGAGTTTCTACAACGATTTTATGTAAACATGAGCAACGTTCCACTCACAGAAGATCAGATCGCCATCGAATATGCTAAACATTCAGTGGCTGGCATCAGGGTAAGACAACATTCTTTTCAAAATTACTGAATATCAATATCGTATTTTACTGTTTTGGCAGTCAATAATAAAATTTTATAGATTTAGGTATATAATATTATTAACTTTTTTAATTTTTAGAGCGAATGTCGTGCGACAGCTGGAAATGTTGAACATGAACTAGCAATTGGAAATATTGTGAATGATAATTTGAGTAAAATTGCCAAATTGAAGGAGAATTTTGAGAAACGAGAGGGTTTGAATCAAAAGTAAGTAACTTTCGTAAGTTTTGTTTATGTTTTAATGTTTGAAAACTAGGATAGAGTTACAATAATATTGTTTCTTCAGGTTTAACTCGATGAAAGCATTGTACGAAGCTCTGATTGCCAAAGAAAAGGAAATGACAAGGACCGAGAAGAAGCGTAAGCTTACATTTATGTGTTTTTACTCAATTTTAGGTATTTATTTTTTGCATTACTTTTATATTGTTTTAGTCAAAGAAAGACTAGACAATGTTGTTGCGGTAAAAGAATCCAAAGTGACCGAGTTTTTCGGGTTGAACAGTGGAATTGACGCATCTCTGCCACATGATTCATTTGAATTGGACCAAGACGAAATCAGCGATAAGATTGAAGAAATTTGCGCTCGGATACAGAGCAAAGAAAGACAGGTAGCGTAATAATGAATTAGTTTGTCAAACATTGAATATTCTCATATCTAATTTTTCGTATTTTCTTATGTTATCATCATTTCGATAGTCAACATCTGAATGTTTTTCTAGAGCTTAAAAAATATTTTTGGGTTATAAAGAAAGCAAATTTGATATTCTATATTTGATCATAGTGTATATAGTTTATTTCTTTTAGTATGGGTTGGTTATCCAAGAAACACGTCGGAACTACAACAGATACAGTGAAGAAAAGAAGCGTTTTGATGGTATGCAAATGTTTGGCAAGTTATTTTTTTATTATATTTTATTTTAGTTGACAGAGAAAAACTGTAGGGACGTCCCTGGTCCGCACGTCCCCTACCTGTGGACCGATTTTTCAAAAAAAAATTTTTTCTATTTTTCGCGTACAGGTACCTGTGAAATTTTTTTCGGCTCTGGGGGCGGATCCAGCCCCCCCCCCTCCCCCTAGCGACGCTCCTGATTGTCCATGATTTTTGTTTATACTTTTCATAAATGTTTTTCTTCATTATAATTTAAATTCTATTTTCAATAATTTACAGTTTATTCTTTATAATTTTCAGGATCTTTGAAGGATCCTAAGCAGGAATTCGGCGAAAAGTCAAAGGATTCTGAAGCCCCACAAGTCCTCACGACTTCAGAGAACATGAGTGATACTGTGATCAGCGAACACGCCGATCTGAATGCCTCGCTGTACGTTGTCTGATATAATCTACACTTTAGTTATTAGTTTATTTTGTTTGTTATAGTTTCTAGTTTGTTGTTGCTTGTTGATAAAGGCTTGTTTATCTTTGATAGTACCTTTATTGTGATTTGATGTGCTCGAATTGAGACTTTTATTGATGGTTCTGAATCGTGGTTCTTTAATCTCTTAAAACATGTTAAATTCATTTGCTTAATGTTTATTGGTTACATGAACTTTTTAATTGAAAAATTTTGATTTAGGGTTTTATGACAATGAATGTAGATGCTCTTAAACAAAGTACTCTCGGAAATTGCAATAATTTGACTTTTTCAACGTTTTATGACCTCGGAATGGCAACGATTACATCAGGTTTGTGTTTTATCTATGGTATTGTTTATCTAAGAAGAGGTGTTTCTCTTTTGTACTCTTTATGCTTCATCTACTTTGTTCATTGTCATTTCTGTTGACTCAAAATGACAAGGTTATTTAAATTTTTAATTTTGGATGTGAAACTATCGGGGGGGTACATAATTTGAAGGTGTTTTATTAATTTTTTGCACCATGCTATTTATCAAATGGATCTTTTTGCACCGTGCAAATTATAATATTTTCTAAAATTGATAAATGTTGAAGTTGATTTTTGGTCAAGTTAAAGCCAGTTTAATTTTTTTTAAATGTTTTATGGGGGAGTGACACTAAAGGTCGAGATAACTAGACTAAATTGGAATTATTTTAATTTATGTTTTTTACTTGCTATAAAAAGATGTTTTTATATTTTGAAATCTTATTGTTATCAGGCTGTAACTGCTGTTTGATTATGTTTATTTAACCTCATAGTTTGTTTAAAGATACAGAAGGTACTTTTTCTAGTGAAAAAAAGTTTTTTTTAAATATTGAACATTTCAATTATAATATTCAAATATATATAATAGAACGTAAAAAGAATGTTTTTACTTATAACTGTTGTATGTTGCCTGCGATGAGCGACACAAAGGATTGTAGAGAGCAATCTTGACAAGGCGACCTCTGTGTACTAATATACGCTATATTCTAAAATTACAGTAATTATGTTATTCCTTTCAGACACAACTGGGTCAAATGATATCAGAGAGTAACAAGTTAACGCCATTCGAAGCTTTTGCCTATTGTTTTGGCGACATCATTGGGTCTGGTATCTTTGTGTCACCGTATCAGATACTGAAGTTTTCCGGGTCGATTGGATTGTCCTTCATAATATGGGTGGCTGGTGCTTTGATTGCGATTATTGGAGCTTTAGTATATGTAGAGTTAGGGACAAAGATACGAAAACCTGGTTGCGACTTTGCCTATCTTACACATGCTGGTTGGTAGGTTGTCATATTTATTGCTGTAGAGTATTAACTACAAAATGGAGGGTAATATCATTACACTACAGTAGGTATGTTTTGATAAAATATTATGAGGTTACAGTAGCTATGTTATAGGACGCCCATAGCAGTGCCGTTCCTATACGTTAGTTGTTTCTTGATATACCCTACGATCTTAGCGATACAAACAGTGTCTTTTGGAGCTTATATAGTGGATGGCTTCAAGAACATAATGTGTTTGGACGACTACTCTCAGTATGTTCTGAAACACCTTGTTGGCCTAATAGCATTGCGTAAGTACAGTACTGTAACTTTAATTGTTTTTGAAACAGTTTCAATATGTGATGCTATGCGTAAAAGGCAACATTTTCAGCCATCATAGGTTTATGTTATCTAAGTAAATCTAATTTTACATTAAGCGTAAATTTAATAACTATAACTTACAATTCATCGTATGTTACAGTAGTCCTGGTGTTTATTAACATGTTTTCTCTTCGAAGTTTCGCCGGCAAACTTCAAATAGCCGTGACAGTGTCGAAGCTGGCAGTAATCTCTCTTATCTTGCTGGTGGGCTTCTACTATTTGATATTCAAAGGTAGGCACATCTTCGAGTACCATGTTTTAGATATCAGATGGCTACAAACACTTCGACAACGCTTTCTTGGGGACAACTTCTGATCCTGGCGACATGGGAATGGCACTGTATGCCAGTTTATATGCCTACAATGGGTGGGATATCCTTAATTTTGGGACGAATGAGGTCGAGAATCCAAGGAAGTAGGTATATTAAGGTGATGATTTGTTGTTAGAAAGAGATTTAAAATTACTGATAATAGATCAGTAAGTTTAGATGAAATACGAAACGATTTCATCTTAAAGATGACAGTATAATGTCATGGCGTAAAACATGTTTTTAGAGCATTTGTCTCATATTGATGTTATAATGAAAAAGTAATATGAGAATTTCAGAAGTTTGCCGATAGCTGGTCTTGGTGGTATCTTAAGTGCCGCTGTCTTATATGTTGGTATCAATGTCGCTTATATGGCCGTACTAACAAAAGAAGAGTTTTTGTCGGGTGAAACTGTTGCTGTGGTAGGGTTTGTCACTTTAAAAATTGTTTTTGTTACCTAAATTTCTACTTTGCAAAAGTTCAGTTGCGTTTGGAAAGTGGTCAAGAAGTGTGTAGAATCTTTTTGCAAATTAGTCTTTGAAAGTTATTAAGATAGGATTAGTAATGTGGTGTGCGACTGTTTTTAATTTTGAAAAATTAATATTAAAATCTTCAGCAATTTGCTCGTCGTTCCATGGGAGATTTCAGTTATGTTGTGCCATTTCTTATCGGCGTCTTGTTTCTCGGCAACCTAAATACAACTATATTTGGGTGTAGTAGATACGTGTTGGCTGGAGCCAAGACTGGCTACTTTCCGTCTTATTTGAAGGCCGTGAACCCGGCTTCAATGAGTCCACGATGTGCAGTTTTGGCTGAAGTAAGGTCAAGTTATATGATATATTAGACTGTTCACATGATTCTGTGTCACTAACACAATGTACAAAAATGTTTATATGGTTCTAATTTAATGTGGTATAGTTTAAAGAGGTTAGGAAAAGCTGTCCACATGACTGCCATAGTTTAAAACAATGTTTTAGCTGATAGTAGCAGTGATAATCTCTCTTGTGGCTGACCTAGAGCATTTAATGGGCATTATGACATTTGCCATGTGGTCACAACGAGCCATAGTGCAGATATGTTTGTTGTGGATGAGGTACAAAGGCTTCATATATCCAAAAGATGCCTTTGTCACTCCAATATTCATGCCAGTTCTGTTCTTCTGTATATCCATAGCACTGATTGTAGTGCCGGCTCTTGATGTAAGTCTTTACACTGTAAAATGAGACCCTGTACTCTAAGTTACAAAATGTATCTTCTTCGGTACAGTTGTAGCATCTGCAAGTTGTAGACTACAACGTATTAATGTTGCTTTTCAGCACTACTACGTCGCAATAGCAGCCCCACTACTCATCCTATGCGGCTGTTTTGTTTATTTTGTCGTTCTACCTCATACGAATCGACCGTTCCTGGTCAAAATCGACCATTACATGTTGGTACTGTTTCAGATTTTGCTTAATGTTGATGTAGTCGAGAAGAGTGACTGACTGATAGGCTTATCTTTGGAAGGTGTGTTAATTCGTTTTCCTTATCAATCCAATAAAATAATTATTAAAAATTCATTTGGACTTTAACTTGCTAGAGTTTTGGAGCAGAATGTCATAAAATGCATTTCGGAATAGGTAGGCGCAAAATATGATAACACCTATTTGGCAAAGTGAGAGAAGTGGATTTTAAAAATAATGCCAGAAATGAATCAAACGCTGCATAACAATATTTTATATGATAAAATGTGTGCTTTTAAAAATAATATACTGCTGGCAATAAGTTTTGGGACACCCCATATCTCAGTTTGTACATGTAGTTTACACTAATATATCAACCTTATCGCAACAAGAATTACTGTGTCCCAAAACTTTTTGCCAGATTTTCATAGCAAAAATATTTTTTTACAAGTGTAACAAAATGTCAATTTTGATTTTGACAAATTGCTTATTAATATCAATTGTAAACCTCTATTACAACCTTTATGTAAAAATTTATGAAAATCTGTTTTGTACAAACTGAGGTATGGGGTGGCCAAAAACTTATTGCCAGCAGTATAATAACTAAATCATTTTGTCAGTTTACGCTTAATAATACCGCTTAACAACTTTAAAAAAAAGAATAGAAGGTTAAAAGTGAAAATAATAAAAAATGAGTTAAGGCGTATCATACTCAAAATTTTAGGATTCGTATCCAGACCTGTGCGTTTTTTGTGCAAATTTTTGCATTTTAAAGTTGCACTTTAAGGTCGTTATGAATTTTCAAAAATCTGCATTTTCACCGAAAAGAAGTTAAAACTATAATATTAGTTTTTTGTTTCACGTCTGTATGACTAGTTTAAAGAAATTTATAAATTCATATCAAAGAACGTTAAAGCGAAAAAACTAATGTTATCTTATTGTTTTAGTCTTTTTGGGTTTGATATTTTTGAATTTAACTATTTTTTATATTACTTTAGAAATTGCAATTTCGTCTGAGAATTATATTTTTGTTCTTATTCTTCATATTATTTTTTAACGTATTTCTATTACTTTTTACAAAAAAAATTAAATCAGAGTAGAATTCAATGCCACTGTTTTAATATACGGTTGGATATTTGACATAATAGAGCTCTTAAAAAAGGTCACAAACATGGATAAGAAGTTAGGATTGTGGGGAGCGTGTGCCTATTGTATAGGTGGAATGATTGGCTCTGGAGTGTTTTTGTCCTCTTCTTCTATTCTGCAATATACTGGCTCTTATGGTATGGCTTTGGCCGTCTGGACTGGGGCTGGTTTGATAACTGTAATGGCAGCTTTGGTTTATCTGGAAATGGGAACTTCTATTCCTAGCAATGGGGGTGGATTTGCTTATCTCACAAAGGCCAACTGGTGAGTTTAAAGTAAAGTATGAGACTATTAGATGGTTCAGGTAATCATGTGCTTCTTTTAAAGCACGTTTTCGGGGCTACGGGCAAAGAATTATTTGAACAACTTAGTATGTAAACAACTTTTAAAATATGTGTTATAGGCACCCATTGGCAGCATCTTTCTTTTGGTTGGGAACTTTCTTTACATATCCGGCGACTATGGCAACGCTTGGATTAGGAATGGCACAAAACACTGTTCAAGGCTTGAAATCATTTACTGAGTTTGACGACACGACATACGTGTGCATTACTATCTTTACCACAATAGCTAGCATTGGTAACTCATCTTTTTTCTTATTTTGCCAGAATATCGTATAAAAATGGCACTGAGTACGCTTATCTTCTTTTTAGCTTTTAAATCCCTTAGGCTTATATCAAAGTTATATTAATCTAAATAAAGTAATCTATCAATTCTCATCTAAAATCTTATCATTTTAGTCCATTTCAGTAGCCGTGTCAATTCTGAATCTTGGTAAAAGTATCTCCTTCCAATTGGTAGTTACAGTGGCCAAGGTTATGGTAATAACAGTGATTATTGCCATTGGAATTGGTTATCTGGTAGCAGGACATACTCTCGCTTACGACGTTTTGTTTGTTAACAGTACTACTGATTCACTAGACATTGTAATGGCTACCTATATGGGCTTGTTTTCGTACAGTGGATACGAGGTTCTGAATGTTGTTATGGGAGAGATACGACACAAGGTTTTGTAAGTGTAAAATAACATTTTGGTTATTAAGTTTTACTATGCAATTTTAAATGTAAGGTATTTTTTATGTATTAAGTTTTCACAGTAGGTGTTAGGTAGTATATGCGTTATATATTTAAAAACTATTTATAATGGTTTTTTCATTTACCTCTTTTTAGTACAACAACAATAGCTGGTACTGGTACAGTAATCATGGTTATGTTTGTCTATTTTTTGGTCAACATATCTTATTTTACGGTGATCGATAAGAGCCGTATACTAAAATCTACATCAATATCAGCAGTAAGTTACAGTTTTTAAGCCGTATGATCTTATAAAGTTATCTTATCAAACTTACAGTGATTTAGTGCATTATAGACATATTATTATACCTAAGTTTTATATACACTACCTACTATAACATCATACATGGCTTTAATTTAGGACTTCTTCAACTTATCGTTGGGTAAAGTGTTTGGTAATATTATGCCATTTGTGGTTAGCTTTTTGATGCTTAGTAACATGAATACGGTAATTTTTGGTGGTGGGAGGTAAGTTTTTACTTTGAAATTTAAAACTATATGTCTATAGCACATTATATTATTACATACTAAGCTAAATTACATATACACAACATCTTTGAAGATTCATGGCTACAGGAGCGACTAATAACATCTTGCCATCTGTGATCGGCTACACCAATCCAGACCACAACTCTCCACGACTAGCCATCTTGATTCAGATGACTATAGCTATTGGTCTATCGTTTGTGAACAATCTGTCATCTCTAATGTCATACATGTCATTTGCCGAGTTATTGGACAGATTCATCGTATTGTCATCATTTCTCTACATGAGATATAAAGGTACAAAGTTTGCTGAAGGAGCATATCACAATCATGTCGGTGTTGTATTGCTCTACTTCGGGATCTGTGGAGCGTTGTTGACTTTACCTATTTATAGAGTAAGGCTTTTTGTTTTAAGCTATGTTATTGGGTTGTTCACATAATGTGCCCTTCTCAAAAAATTATGTGAACAACCTAATACTAATGTTTTATTACTAAAAGTTGATCCTTTGTATAGAAACTAATGTATACCTAATGGCTTTCGGTTATATATATCATTTTTTACTGTAGTACATGTTCGAAAAATGACTGTGACTTTTTCAGGGTTTAACAGCAGCATTAATAGCCTTATCAATTGTTTTTACTGGAATTGCACTATACTTTGTTTTACTGTTGATACAACGTAAGTACAATATACCATCAATGTCATCAAGTAAGTCCTTATACGACTTTTAAAAATACATCTACTGTTATATAAAATGAAAAGTTATTAAAAATCATATTTAGATCCATTGGCATCAAAAATATGTTCAGTATTACACATATCACCTCAATAATTCCAATGTATTAGGTTGTTGAAGTAATTCTGTACCCCCTCTCAAAGCAAATTTGCGAGGTCAGGGGTGCAGAATTATTTGAACAACCTAAGAGAATGCAATAAACAAGTATTCCAACTCGTTCAACAAGAATACACTAAAAAAGTATCATGATATGTTTATTAGCGTATCTTCTACCACTTTAAACTCTCCAAAGCGGAGAGCTCGAGCTCTTTGAATAACTAAAAGCTTCTCGACATGGTGAAGATCGTCCCGTTTGATGTGCTGTTCTGTTCGAATCAGCAGAGGGTATTCTGAATTGGCTACAGGGAACCGACCGACCAATTCTGGTGGAATTCGATTCTGGTTATGAAGTACTTTGGCGTTGAGGTAAAGGGCCACAAAGCCGGTCATGAAGGCGTCCATTCCAGCGTTGTGACAACCTAAAACAACGTTGAATCAACCCTCAAAGTACGAAATGATAAAAAAATGTAGTAATAAAACCAAAATTTAAGTTTTTGAGCAATATGTTAAGATTCTACTGGTTCCTTAAAAACAGACATGACATAGCAATCTAACCCCAACATACCAAGATCATTTGAGTTAGAACTCGTTTTCTCATCAGAATTATGTTCTCCATTGTTATCTGAAGAAGTAGAAGGATCGTGAGGTCTTTTGACGCCTTTGGACTTCTTGATCTTGTCGAAGTCTTCTTTATCCAACACCACTTCCACGTCGTGATCCAAAGGACATGTGTTATGTTTGGGGCAGAAACCGAAGCTCTGAAAGGTTTTCCCATTATTCAAGTGTAATATTACACTCAAGTAATATATTATATATAATGTAAGGTTTTTAAAATTAACAAAATAGTTTTATGTTACTCTTCTCTACCTTACCTTACCATTCCTTATCAATAACTTCTCCAAATTAACCTGAACTTACCGCAAATCTAGGACAGATATGTTTGAAGTTGTCCCTATCATAATTTCCATCCCAAAAAGCGTCGGAAATCCTTGACTGAATGACACTCACATCTTCACCATCACTCTGCTTGAACTCTACATTCACTGAAACGTCTCCATTCCGCAGATTATCTCTTCTGCATCTTCTGAACAGATATTCGAGGAATGAAGCAGGTAACCCAGCTTGTTTATCAGCAATGTATTTCGTGTCGATTATAGCTGTTTGGTATGCTTTTGGAATGTTCTTCGCATCTGTAGGTTGGTAGAGGTCACTGAGGTTGGCAAGGAATTCGGAACAAGTCGGAGGTAATGGCAAGTAGAAGTTGTGATAGATGAACATCATGTCAATGAGACCATTGTGAAGGAACAATGAAGCTCCGGATTCGAAAATATGGTTGAAGATTGTGTTCAAAGAGTCGTCGCTCTGTAACAAGATTAACTTCAAGGGTAGTTCACCTGTATAAGTTGTAAATATAGTTTTCGGTACATGATCATATAAGAAGAAGGAGTTTGAATTTGGCAAAGTAACCCTTAGTAACATATAAATAGAGTTATAGTACCCAGACAGTTATAATCGTACCCGTTTCTTGAACATCACTCCATTAGTGATCCATTGATTAAGATCTGTACCATGTTGTACCAAGAACTGTAGTGATGAAGGATCCACCGTGAAGGCTTCGGCTTCTGTCAGTAGCACATCGTATACAGAAGCTTTGTAGTACAGAATCCTATCGTTCTGTTCCCCGCGACTAAAAAAGCTGAATCCGACTGACACAATCGACCGCAAATTGGCTACCAACTTGTACATCTGGTACCGTTCTTCCATTTTGGTACGGACTGATACGCGAGGTCCTAAGCCGGTCATTTCCTAAAAAAATGTTTAAAAGTTTATAAAATACGATGGAGAAAAGTAGTTTTATATACATATAAGTAGGTAAAAGATGTAAACAGCTGATGTAGATGAACATACCAAGTCGATCGCAATAAACTGAGCACTGCGTATAGCTTTGAAGATGTCATCCTTGACCATTTTAATGTTACTTCGGTTAACTCTATGAACTGGTATACTTTCCAGCCGCCTACCATCATTTCTGTCCATCTTACTGTAACTTACGATAAGTTATTACAAAACAATTACAAACCTTATAAACTCGTGTAACATTTGTGACAGAAAATGATTGTAATATGACACATCATATAATAGTTATATTAAAAAAGTCAACGTTAAAACATTTAAAGATCTACGTTAAGGTTAAGATATGAGTTAGTCAATAAACAAGATTCCAAAGGCTTTAATGACATAATTTTTAGTATTTTATTAGGTTTTTAAATACTATAGTATATACTATCAACAAAGAACATTGTACTATGTATACTAATGAGAAAGTAAAGTTTATTGGTCCTTTTTGTCCGCGGCTGGCACCGTTCCGTTCTCCACTTTTGCTGTTTGGAACTTTCGTTCGCGCGATGTTACAATGGCTCTGAAAATGATAACACGTTACAGTTGAGATCAAAATTGAACTAAATCTTTAAAAAATAAAAAAAAATTAGATTTGTCCCATTTCCACACATTTTTTGACCACACTACTAAAAAATTCAGAAAATTATCAATTAATCTCAACACAAACCATCTTATTATCCTCAATTACCACAGTAAAACTCCGCCCTTACCTCGACAATGCGTCCCATATGCCGCCCATAAAGATTGCGCAGACCAGATTCTCGAACGGTGCCAGAGGGTCGTTAACATGAAGCAGAACTGCACTTAATTTGAAGTAGACAAAGAAGAGCACCAGCCCGAGGTATGTGATTTCGTGTGGCAAGTTGATGTAGATTGAGCTTTTGTCCAACGTGAAGATGAGAGAGGCGATCACACACGCTTTTGTCGTGAATGTAGGGCGAAGGATCTCGCTTTGGGCTGGGACCCACACGCCGCGCAGTAACTAGAACGAGATTGTGTTAGAGACCTTGTTTTTGGCTTTAAAACTTCATTAAAGCCCTAAAATGTAATATAAAACTTCATAACGAGCTCGTTCTACGCACTTTTTGACCGTACCAAGAGAATTCTTAGAGAATCACTTTTATTTTTATCGCCCCCTATTAACCCCGCCATACCTGCTCGAAAAGTCGAATAATCCCGGATCCAGCGCCCTTTGCCGTGCCTATCATAACGTGAATGATGTAGGCATTTGGGTATAATTTAGCAGCATATGCGACGCCATGATGTATTTTGTACGTCCTTTGAGTCTCTTTCAACACACACAGGAAGATCTTGATCGGTAACACTTTGGTCAATTTGTAGACAATGTCAAACGGAGAGTAAAAGACAAGATACCAAACTACAGTCGCCTAAAAATAAGCTTTTTTCAAAAATTAATAGTTTTAGAGCTTTTTCTTCGTAAAAAATAAAAAAGTCTCCACAAAGCATTATGTAGTGTTAGGAGCACTAATATATCGTGTTGATTACAAAAATCGTGCCTTGAAAAAGAACCTAAACTCAACCAAAGAAAGTAAAAACTCTTACCAATACAACATCATCGTGTCTTTTGAAGGTTGCCACAACAGGTTCACCCAAGAGGAAATTGGCCAAGAAGTTGCCAGCGAAACAGACCACCATCGACGACAACCAGCAACTTAAGGGATGTCGCCGCGAAAAGCCTGTGGCATTGATTCCCAAGTCGTCTCTTACTGTGCAGCACATCTACAACATTTTGTTTTTAGAAACTTCCACTGTACTTTATTCAAATTTTAGTCTAAAATCTCTAATAAACCTAACTAAATACTTTTTTTTTTATTCGCTGTATCAAATCATAAATGACTTAATGCTCATAAGCTTACCAGTGCATAATGTGCAAAGTCAAAGTAAGGGTACATCTTAAGGCGTTGTATATAACTACCTGAACTCAGCAGGTAGTCCTGGTCGATCTTCAGCGATGACGGCCAATGCATTTTGGATCCTGAAAGCAAAGATAAATAATTGTTATGTTTTATATTATCTCAATATTTAAAAATTTAAAACGCAATTTAAAAAGGTTAAAAAATGAAAAAAAATATAAAAAATTTAAGTAAACAATAACTACTTTTGAATAAAAGTAATTCCTGGGGTCAAAAAATGTATAAAAACTTTCTTTCCACACTAAAAAACCCTAGACTTTAAATATCCGTCTAATTTCTGACCAAACAAACTTGCAATTTTGCAAAAATATGGAAAGATACGAACACAAACATGAAACATCTTAATTATTTGAAAAGCCGAACAAAACTCGACTCTCACACAAAGGCCCTCAGGACGAGAAGGGAAAAAGCATATCTTGGCCAAGCTTTCGAGGGAGGGGGGGGAGAGGGATCTCCTCAGACGTTAAATGTCCGCCTGAAAGAGCAATCACCCGGCTTTCGAGTCAGAGACTGAAGTAATAAGGACTATTTTTAATGATCATGTTTTGAATACAATCAAAAATGATCAAATCTGTCTCTTTTACAAAATTATAGGTAATAATCAGCTCTGAACTTACAGTATCCTCCATATTTTGGTTAAGAAATCATTATAGTATAAAAATATTGCGGATAATACCTAAATATAAAATAAGCCTGTCATTGTTAAGATATAAACACACTGGTTATAAGCTGTCTGTCACAAAAGCTGATAACAATTTAAAACATACAAATTTAAAATTATCAAAAAACTATAGCATGGTGAATATATCCATGTGATCTTAAAGGCTTTAATTTAAAACACTTTTCTTCACATGTTTATTTTAACGATAGTAAAAGTACGGTAACGTTGTCTCCACACCCTTTCACTACTGCCTTAGATGCCAGATCTGATGTTACTTTATCCAAAGTTTCTTTGTTCTCTTCCGAAGGTAACTGTAGAAGAACTTCTTCTTCAGTAAACGCCTTCCATAGACCGTCGCAGGCGACTACTAATGCTCTATAATAACAAAACAAGTAGTTGTCGCATAATTGTTTACAAAAACACTCTCAACTTTAACAGACTATGTGGTTGTTGATGAAAGTTTGTTGATATTCATTAAAATACCATAATTAATACGAGAAGATTATTAAAATTGATAGAAATATTATAGAAAAACATTAGACAAACTTACTGATCTTCTGAAGTCAAAGTAATCTTTTTTACTGAAGGGGTTGATATCACTCCATGTCTCTTCAGAGGTTCGTCTCCAATAGCTCTAGACAGTTCAGATATTCCCATTGTACGGCCGTCTCTAGAATACCATAATTAGTATAGCCAAACTGTTTTCAAAAATCGTATTTTTCCCATATCAAAAAAGTAAACCCCATTACAATAAGACACAAAAGCCTGTTCCTGCACTAACGTACTTAACAAACCCTCCAGCCTTCTGAATCCGTTGTCGCTCCTCGAAGACCAATGCTGTATGATCAACAGTAAGTGAGAGGGCAACACACTTGTCCTCCTTCCTTCTGGCTACAATTGCTTTACTGTCTCCTACATTGGCACAAAATAACACATTGTCAATCAGAAGTACGACTGTTGCTGTACATCCATCTTTCAGCTTCCGGTTGCTAAATAGTGTCCTTATTAATCGTATATAATACATACATTCATTTAAACTTTAGAATAAAGCAAAACGTTCTTTACAAAACAAATATAAGAAGTATAAAAAATAAACAGAGTTGACAGGATCACCAAAGCCGAGTCAACAAACAACATATTCTTTACCTTCTTCTAGCCAATATCAGGAACTCATCGTCCAGTTGCTTGAAAGTGTCCACAAAGACCTTCTTGATGCCCTTCTGAACCGCTTCAAAGCTAGACCCGGCTGAATTTACATAAAAATAAATAAGTTTACTCTCAATTACACTCGACCATATTAAGGTAACTTTCAGTACCATTTTTTACATGTTTCTCCAAGATCTTGACGAGGTTTTTCGAGCAATATTCAGCGCATTTAGAACCAGCATGTCCGTCAAACAAGGCCACCAACGCACATCGTGCTCTAAAGTCATAGAAAACATCAATGAAGCCATACAGATAAATGATAATGTCAAACATCTGATATGAATGTAACTTACGTTGCAAAACCAATATCAAAGTCGGTTTGAATCACAAAATAATCTTCCATAGTTTCTCGTTCGCCCTTAAGTTCAGCATGATAACATTCTAAAGGTTTTGAAGCATTGGCTTTATCAAATTCTTGTTCAGAGCACTCTTTCTTACTCGGAACCTCGTTTTCCTGGACATCTTCTGCTGATCGCTTCATCTTTTAAATTCAAAGTTAAAATCCTAAAGTTAACAAAAGATAGAATAACAAGAGTTTATTCAGAACAACAACGATATTCACAGCTCTTGTTATTACAGAAACAAATTTTTGTAGAATAAAAGCTATTTTTATTCAATAAACATATAAACTGATCGCGCAGTTTGCAGCCTGTGACGCGAGCTGCGAGAAAAAAGAAATATATTTTATTTTTCTGATTTCAATATTTACAATACCAGACGATTACAGACAATATGGCTACAGATGAAGCTGGAGGAGGAGACAAATTTGACATCAAAGCTCTATGTGATGTAAGTTTTCAATTATTTTATTATTTTCGGTTTAGGAGGTAACAAAAAATGCAGATGAAGCTGTCAAAGCTGGGGCTGCGTTGCCCAAGTTAGGAACGGACTATGAATTGTATAACGTGGACAACAAGTTTATGAAAGTGAATCAGAATTGTCAGAAGAAGATTTTCTCAATGTTGTCATGTGTATTGAACGCTAACAACTACTTGTTGAGTGGTCAGACAAGGATGAGTGATATGAGCGAACTTGTCAATGCTAATGACTATTTTCTCCAAAAGGCTGTAAGTATTTATAACGTATATGCTATTTTGACGTTGTTCTAGGTAGGTATAGCTTTTTAGTCTTAATTGATGTGAATTGTTTTAGTCTATGGCAATTGAACGGCACGAAAACGAGAAGAACGGTGAGAGTAATGTGATTATCCGGTGTGCTGATGGGCAGCTTAGAAAGCCAACTGAAGCGTATGGTAATGATGGTGCAGGAAAGTACGCACATTTGTCTAGCACGTTCAAAAAGGTGGATCAGAATATGGTTGTGGTAAGTTTTTCCAATTATAATTGCTGTAAAATGTTAATTTTAAAGGTCAGGGCTTTAATTAGTTTAATTATAAAGGGTTTTACATTTATAAAACATAATTTCATATTAGTTTAACTAATAATCTCATTTTATTTTAACTAATTATTGTTTTTAAAGATTTACGGTTTCAAACTTTCAGACGAAACCACAAAAGGCCTTTCAAGATGCTATCAACAACAGCAGCAGGCCATTCGTGCCTAGATTACCGGTTAAACATAACAGTCTTGATTTTCATCCAGATGTCAAAATGGAGATATTGGATTCAGAACATCCGTACAATCGAGAAATTGTGGAACTACAGGTTCTACCGGACACTTTTTCGAAATCTGTACAGGTAAACTACGATATTTTTAATTATTTTTCGTAGATTTTTGAAATGTATAGCAATTTTTGTGTAGGACTTCATTATACTTATTGGGAAGCGTGTACGTTTTTGATTCAGGATATGAAAGAACTGAATCGCACCCCACTAGTTATGGTTGATACAGAAGATGGCCTTAAAGAGCTGGTTTCTACCTTGAAGAAGACAAAAGAATTTGCAGTTGACGTAGAACACAATTCTTACCGAAGCTTCCTAGGGTTGACTTGTTTAATCCAAATTTCCACACGATCTTCTGACTACATCGTTGATCCGTTTCCAATTTGGAGGTCGATGCATCTTCTGAATGACCCTTTTTCTGATCCCAAGATCCTGAAGGTGTTTCACGGTGCGGAAAAGGACATAATATGGCTACAACGAGATTTTGGAATCTATGTGGTGAACATGGTGGACACATTTGTGTTCATGAAGGCATTGAAGCTACCTAAGAAGAGTTATCAGCACCTGGTGTTTTCCAGTTTCGGAATCATGTTGGACAAGAAGCTTCAGAAGTCTGATTGGAGACAGCGGTAAGAGATTGAAAAATGTGTCATTTTATAATAATTAAATTTTCGATTTTTTATAATTACTATGTAATGTTTGGCTTATAAAAATTAATTGCTTTGTACTATTTTTTAAAATCATAGGCGAAGCCTTGGATTTATTACCTAAATTTTCTAATAATTTAAAGACTTTTAGGCCGCTAGACAACGAGCATCTACAATATGCTCGGTGTGATACTCATTTCCTTTTGCCAGCTTATGACAAGTTATGCAAGAAATTGAGTGAAATGGATGATTTCGACGACTTGAGCAACTCAATCTTTGAGAAGAGCAAACAAGTTTGTCTAAATGTATGTTTTACAAGCAGACGATATTTATATTTGTACTATCTTGTAATGTAGTACTCTTTAAAGTAGTTCAACTCACTCTTTATTTAAATATTTGGTTCTGTAAATTCTAAGCTTTGTATTGCATGTTAAGATCATTAGAGATGTTGAGTTTTAGGTATTTGAACAACCATTGTTTGATGAAAACGGCTACAAATCATTGGCGGTCAAGGAGTTGAACAATCGGCAACTCTACGTTCTAAAACATTTGTGGGAATGGAGGGATTCTGTAGGCAGGGAAGAAGACGAGAGCTTAGAATTCATTCTTCCAAACCATATGTTACTACACATCGCCGAAGTTTTACCTCGAGAAATACAAGGTATCTTGGCATGTTGTGCACCAGTCCCAGTCATGGTCAAGAGGGATATCTTTGTGATTCATCGGTAAGTCAACAGTATTTATAAACTTGATGAGAGGGAGTACTATGTTTAACATTTCAGCTTCTTTGCAGTTAATATAGTAATCTGTGAAGGGTTTTAATAGTACTACTTTAGAGTTGATGAAAAACTTGGTTTTTAGATTTGTAACTGCAGCCCGAGACTTGCCACTGGAAGAGAAGGAACAATATGAATCAGCCTTGTCATTCCAAGAAACAGTCCGGAACAAAAACCTGGTTAAAAATAGGTATACCAAAGAGATTGCCAGACTTGACAGTAGATTCGACCAAAGGGAGTATAAGGTCGAAGATGAAAGACCCGATCGTGCAGAACGTCTATCAATCATATTCCATAATCAACCGGTCGGACATACGGAAACATCGAAAACTCAACCTCTACTACCATTCAAGAAGGTCGGGATTACTGTAGCACAGAAGGTGAAGCATAAACTAGAAGAAATCAGACAAAAGTTCGAACAATGGAATTCTCCGTACAGTAAATACTTGTTGACCCTCGAAGAGGTAAGGATTTTGGTTTAGCCTCTCTTTGACAATGTTTTGGTATCATGATAGAAATTATGATGATAAGCGTAGCGTTTTGTGTAACTTTATTACTATACTTGTATGCTATGTTATTACTGTTTTTAGAAACGAAAGACAAAAACTGAAGAACAAGAAGAAGCTCCGACGAATCAGTTCAGTCATCATTGCCCAGCACCTCCGCGAACATCACAAGTAACGTAAGTCTTTATTCATCAACTTTAGTCACTATTTGTAAAATACTATAATAATCTACCTCCTTTTGCCTTCTCATCCAGATGTCTCGAGGTTGATATCATTAGTTTCAACGTTATTGAATAACATATTTCAGGGAAGTAAAATCAGAAGTCGTCGATGTGGACCCAGTAGCTCCCACAGCTTCGTATTACCGTAAGAAAAAGCACACGAAACCGGCTATGGATAATTACCCAGCTAAGAAGCCGAAAGTGGCCTAAATTTAGATTGTTGTTGGCCCATTTTGTTATCTTGTTATTGTTACCAGCTTCAAGTTGTCATAAAATTTACTACTCACTAGACTGTAGAGACATACCCGTACGCTTTGAATACTTTCTGTGGAGACAAAAGACAAGCAAAATATGAAAGAACTTGTTTTATAATGTTAGAATAGAAAAACTTTGTTAGACAAAATAGTAACATTAGTAAAGAAATAAAAAACATTAAAATACAACATTAATTTTAAAAAGTTACCATTCAGAGACAAAAATATTCAGAAAAGATGAGGTAGATCAACGTCTGGACGTGATCCAAGACGATCCATTTGGTGCTGGGTTTCTGGGGCCGTTCCAAAGGCCATCGTGTCGCGTTGGTGGAAGCAGGGACGGCACGGCGAACGAGGCCGGCCTCACGTTGCCATTCCATCCCTCGTTTCGCATTGATGTCATAGACATTGGGGCTCTGAATCCGACACTAAAGTGCATGTTCATATCATGCGCTTTGTCAGCCAGACGAGGAACCGGACCCTAAAGTGATAATTATAGTACTAAACCACGTATATTATATGACTTGGTACTAAAAAATACAATTGAATCTAAATTGTTACAACCAAAATCTGTAGAAATACAAATTTTGTACGTAAAACACTACAATTATCAATAAGAGCGCTGTAAACAAAGAAGTAGTTAGTAAGTAAAAACACTTACCTCTCGGTAATACGGTGGCGGGTGGGGAGGTCGGTTACAAGGCGGCGCCAATGGTGGTGGAGCCACTCGTTTCCTATCACATTGTCTGAAGAAGGTATGCTCTGGCGACTTCGAGGGCTTCCGAACCCCTTTTTGCTTCTGGCCTCTTTGCTTCTTAATCGGCGTGACTACATTCTTTACCTGATTCTCTCCTGTGGCAGTCACGGTGATCTTGGGAACATCTGAAACACGAAACATTACTAGCTGATTAAATTCAGAGTAAATAAACTTTTTGACCGATATACAGGGTGTTCCAAGAAAAATGTTAAAAACTAACTAGCTATAATTTTCTTCTAACAAAGCTACAGATGCCAAACTTGGCATGATGAAAGTTTAGAAACACAAGAAGTGTCAAAAACTTAGAAAATTTCACCAAAAAAAGCATTTCCAACTGAAAATATGTGTAATTCCGGGGAAAATGAACATTTTTTGAAAAATCATAACGTCCTTAGTATTTACTTAAAAAATCCAAAATTTTGTGGCAAAAAACTTGTGGTTCCAAACTTTCATCATGCCAAGTTTGGCACCTGTAGCTTTGTTAAGAAGAAAATTATAGCTCGTTAGTTTTTAACATTTTTCTTGGAACACCCTGTAAAAGTAAAGAAACCCCATACGTAACAAACTTCTTACTGTTATTGCTAATGGTCTGTGGATTCGGAATCTGTTTCTTGGATTCCTCCAACTGTTTAGACAATTCATCTATCTTTTTCTGGTACTCTTCGTTTTTGTCTTTTAATTCGCTGATCTCCACCTTGGAGGCCTCTTGTTCTTGCTGACACTTCTCTAAATCTTTAGTGATAATCTGGTTCATTCGTTCATGTGTAGCTACTTCTTGTTCTTTCTGAAAACTTATAAATGATCCATGATTTATAGAAGAAAACAGCAATATATTAGTTTTTAAAACCAAAATATCTTAGATGGCTGACAGAAAGGTCAAAGGGTAAAAATAAATTCAAATACGATCATTTTGTCATATAAAACCATCTACAGACCTCTTCCAATCTCAACTTCAACACCTCAAACATCTCCAATGGCACATGTCCAGCCTTGAACATAGGCTGACTGTCACTCTTGTTAGCTTTGTCTGACCCATTGTGCCATGGTGCATTCCCTTTTGGGCCCAAGTTTTCGTACGCTGCCTGAACGTGCTTCTGAAGAGCAGCTCCAACCTTCTGGGCGTCAGCAAACTTCTGTTTCTCTGTCATTTCGAACTGTTTTCGTTGTTCCAACCTCTTGGTTTCTCGTGCTTCTCGATCCTTTCGTTGTTCATCTGTTTCGCCTTGGCTGTTACATTTGGAACATACTCGAGATTCCACTGAAAATTTCAAAAATTAGCATAATTCGATTTATTTGTTGACCAAAACAAATTAAAGCTTCTTCATGTCTCTAAAGTTCAAAAATATACAAAAAAACTTACGAAGCTTAGTTTTCTGTTTCAGCTCAACCTCGAGATCTTCTACCTTCTCAGCTGCTTGGAAGTAGTTTCTTTCAGCTACACAAGCGGCTTCAATCCTCTCTTTGTGTGAAGCCAACAGAAACCCAATGTCAACATCCACTCTGTTCAGTTGCTCCTGAAAACATCAAGCCATCAGAAAAGATGTAGTACGCAGAACATACGTAAAAAGATGGCCCTAAACTTAAGAATAAACATCATTTGCAAAGTCCTTACCGTCAGTTCGTTAATCCTTTTGTTCTTCTTATGAATAAACGTCTTGACTTCTGCCCATTGCACTTGCATCTTCTCCTTTCTGGCCAAATCAGATTCGATTATCCGTTTCAACGTATTCATCGTGGTTTTGCGCAGAAGCTCAACTTCATCCTTGAGCTCTCCGCTCGTTCTTGCCAATGCCACTCTAAAATATGCAAATTAAGAATCTTCAAGCATATTAATCTAGAAAAAAAGCTTAAATTTATAAAAGAGCAACTGATGTTACCTAAAAATAAGAAATTAAAAAATTTAGTGAACTAACGTACTTGAAGAACTTGATTTCCCTCAAGGATCTGTTCAACATTTGCCCTAGAGCTTGCACTTTCCAACACAATTCTTTGTTCACATCGGTCAATTGGCTGATGGTGAAGATGGCAACTGATAACCGATAGTCGTCCAAGTCGTCATTAGACTCTGGGATTCTTTCCGAAATTCTAAATTCAGTTTTAATTAAAGTTAAAAAATAAAAACTTACTTTGTTATTGTACGAAGGGTTTGAAAAACGTCAGAGTTAAGTTTCACTTCTTGGTCTATTTCCACTTTAGAAGTTGAAGGGATGTCAAAATGCTGTAGTAGGTCTTGAACATCCCAATTTTCTCGGATTTGCCGTTTCATTTTATTGTTTTTGGACCGCTGTTTTCGCGACAACGACAACTGAGACAATTCCTGAGCGACTAATGCATCAATGTCTCCGGAATGAATGTCCAACTTCATATTAAGATCCAATTCCTTCCCATTGTCCATCTAAAACAAGAATAAATCAAGCAAAACACAACCTACAGAATCACAATTTGAAACTTCGATCTTGATATGGCAATCTCCATTTTCTTTTACATCAATAACTTTCAACTCTTCTGTTTCCGCAACATTATCAACCAGCTGTTTTACGATTTCTTTTACAACTTTCATATTAACCTTGCTCATTTTCACAGCTTTTAAATTACATCTATAATCAATGTAAAAACTTATCAAAAAACAATTTGTAAATTAAAGCTTTTTTGTATCAATAAATGCAAGAAATGAGTCGAGTGTTTCTTTCGTGTCAAGACTTACATAAAATAATATTGAAGAGATTCGATGAAGACCACCGCGATGCACCGTCGATAATATACATATTATGTTGGGAAATCTGTTTAAGCTGATTCTAGTAAAAGACAATTTTTAGTATAATTTCAATCCAACTACAACAATAAAAAAGTGTTTTTGTATATATTATGGCTTACAAGAGTTTCTTGTATGGTGTTTTATACTATAAAGTTGATTTCTTGTTAGCTTAATTATTGTTATTCAAGATGCAAACAACAACGCCAAAAGCTCAGCCGACTAATACTATTAGTAGAGCGACGGATGAGGATCCGGTGTAAGTTTTTAGCCTACAGAGGCAGACATATTTTTTGGTTCACAAAAAACATTTGTCGAAAAGAAGCGGTTTAACTAATATCAAAAACATTAAACTTCTCTAAAGTATGCTTAATTTTAGAAGCAGATGTATGTTTTTAAGCCATAACCTATTCAAAAATGTATCATTTAACATGAGTTATACGAAATATTAAATTTTAATCAATTTTATACAGTGAAGTCGAGCAAAGATGAAGAAGATATCAAGGCCAGATATGTGACACAAAGAAGGTTGTTGTTAGCTGCCATTGACAGTGTTGATGCAAAGTCCAAGACCGGTGGCTACATTGTGTATTCGACTTGTTCAGTGTTGGTGGAAGAGAACGAAGCTGTTGTACAATATGCTTTGGAGAAGAGAAACGTCAAACTAGTACCAATGGGACTAGACGTCGGAGTTCAAGGTTTCACAAAGTAAGATTTTTGTGTCAAACATTTTAAGTTTATACACTTTACTCATGATTTTTTGTTAGGTATAAAAATGTGTTTTTAATGTAATTTTTAGATACCGACAATACCGTTTCCATCCTTCAATGTCGGAGACAAGGAGATACTATCCTCACGTTCATAACATTGATGGTTTCTTCGTTTCAAAGCTGAAGAAGTTGTCAAATGACATCAAGAAGCCAAACGAACAGAATGGCGAGGAAGAACACAAGGAACAGAAAACACAGCAACAGAAGAATGGAAAGAAAAATAAAAACAAAAAGGACGGAAGAAGGAACTGATTTTGAAGATTTTTGTTGATTTATTTGTTATTCCTTGTTACAATAAACCTTTACTTGAGGTGCTCGGTGTAGAGTCTTAATGACATCATGATGGAATTAACTCTCCACGACTAAATCAAACATGGCTGGATGTGTAGGACAAAATTCAGCATTCACAATTGCTTTGTTGACGTAAATGAAGACCAATATTCAAAGCTTTCATATATTTTAAGCAATATCACTTATGATTTCTCTATTTTATGTAACAAAATGTTTAAATTAGGTTAATAAGCGTATATTTTGTAAAAAATATATAATATTTTTAAAGCATATTCACTTCTTTCAAATATTAACCTTGTGTTAATTTAGGTAACAAAAAAGTCTTCAGTCGAGAAATATGTCTTTAGCCATTAAAATTTATTGTTTTTCATCATTTACTCTGCACCTAAAAATAAAACGAATAATACAAAATACATACTCAAGGCCAATTAACCTGTTTCTATAACAGGCAACAAGTAACAAAGCGTTTTATGGTTAAAGTCGCAAAATTGACACTTTAGACCCAAAAATAAGTTGATTAATGTTGCCATAAGGTCCAGTCTTTAGCTATTTATTAGAAAATATAGGCCAAAAAGTCTCAAAATCAAGCGAAAAAAGCCGAAAAAAGAAAGACAATTTTTCCCCCTACCTGACCCCACCCCTGACCCTATTAGCCCTACCTGACCCTATTAGCCCTACCCAACCCCACCCCTGACCTTTTTACCCCTACCCAACCCTTCCCCTGACCCTATTAGCCCTACCCAACCCTTCCCCTGACCCTATTAGCCCTACCCAACCCTTCCCCTGACCTTTTTCCCCCTACCTGACCCCACCCCTGACCCTATTACCCCTACCTGACCCCACCCCTGACCTTTTTACCCCTACCCAACCCTTCCCCTGACCTTTTTACCCCTACCTGACCCTATCCCTGACCTTCGTACCCCTACCTGACCCCACCCCTGACCCTATTAGCCCTACCCAACCCCACCCCTGACCTTTTTACCCCTACCCAACCCTTCCCCTGACCCTATTAGCCCTACCCAACCCTTCCCCTGACCCTATTAGCCCTACCCAACCCTTCCCCTGACCCTATTAGCCCTACCCAACCCTTCCCCTGACCCTATTAGCCCTACCCCACTCTTCCCCTGACCTTTTTACCCATACCTGACCCTACCCCTGACCCTTTTGGCCCTACCCAATTCCACCCCTGATCTTTTGGACACTACGTACCCCCCCCCCCCTTTTTTGGCCCTACCCAAGTCCACCCCTGACGCTTTTGGCCTTACCCAACTGTTACCTACTATACTACATCATACTCATCCGACCTAATATACCATACCGTACCGTAACATACCACGCCTTATGTTATTTCTATACTATATCTTACCTTCTTAACTATATTATACTACACCATACCATTACATACAATACCCTAGTCTACGATAACATACCCTACCATACCATATCCTATCCTATGAGTAATGCCCACTTCGCGAGTGGACACTTCGCGAGTAGGCATATAGTCTAAAATAAGTTACTATTACAGTTTATTGTTGTTTAAACTGTCGTATTATAACATAAAAAGTGACAAAAATATTATATTATTTAAGTTTTGTTTATAAAAGCACAAATTTTCTAAATGATTATTAGGTGACAATCAGTAATGACCTTCATTATTAAAAAGATAAGGTAAAATTCTATAGGAAAGTGATTTGGGCTCGTAAAATAGTAATTTTGGTAAAGGTTGACCAATTTGAAAAATCTAAAATGCTATCATATGCAGCTTATTCAAAAAAAGCTAAATTTAAAACGTATTTTGCTTCAACTTTACTGTAAAGGGCTGAAAAACACAATGCCAAGATTTGCCAATTTGGCAAGAATTTAAATTTTTGTTAAACTTTAACTAAAATGTTGTCACTGCTGCTTTTTACAGTGTATCAGTAGTATACATACAAAATTTGGTAAATTTTTATCACCTCATAACAAAGTTACTGCCTGTAAATTCAAAAGATACCACGTTAAAGTTATATAAAAACGTGGTAAATTTAGGAAAACTTTTTAAAAATTTTTAAAAAATGTTTATTTCCTCTTATTGCCAATTCTGGAAAGTTTGAAGTTATTTGGATAAGTAGTTTAAAAGTTACAAATTTTAGGTTCAAAAAATTAAGTAAAATTCTATAGGAAAGTGATTTGGGCTTGGAAAAAAATAGTAATTTTGATAAAAATTGACCAATTTAAAAATTTTGAAATGCTTTCGTATGCATTTTGAATTGAAAACCCTAAATCTAAAATCAGTTTTGTTTTAACTTTTCGTTAAATGACAGAAAAACACCATGCCAAGGTATGCCAATTTGGCGGGAATTCAAATTTTTGACAAAATTTTGGTTACCTGGAATGGCATTGCTTTTTGTATAGTACGAGCACCTTAACTTCAAATTTTGATAAAATACAATTAACTTATAACACAGTTACTGCATTTAAAGCGAAATGATACAAACGCTCTAACACAACTTGTCTAAACTGAAACCTCTCACTTCTCCTTCTACCAGTACGTGGTTCACGCATGTATCTAGCCTATTGTTAACCTACAATGACGTTTATCTTACGTTTTATGGTGAAAAAAATCTAAGTTAATAGAGTTACTTTGGTATCTTTCGACTTTACATGTAGTAAATTTATTATCGGTTGGTAAAATCTTACTAAAGTTTTAAGTCAAAGTACTTATACAACACAAAAAACAATACCATAAAAATTCAAACAAAATTTTGTCAAAAATTTAAATTTCCGCCAAATTGGCAAATCTTGGCATTGCGTTTTTCTATCATTTAGAGTTAAAATCAAAAAAAAACTAATCTTAGATTCGGCGTTTTCAGGTCAAAATGCATATGATAGCATTTTAAAATTTTCAAATTGGTCAATTTTTACCAAATTTACTATTTTTACAAGCCCAATTCACTTTCCTATAGAATTTTACCTCATTTTTTTGAACCTAAAACTTGTAACTTTTTAAACTACTTACCCAAATTACTTCAAACTTTTCAAAATTGTAAAACCTGAAACATAAACGTAAACAAACAACATTTTTTTTTAATTTTACTATAGTTATCATACGTATATACTTAGTTACTGTGGTATCTTTTTACTTTACATGCATTAACTTTGTTATAAGGTGATAAAAATTCACCAAACTTTCTATTTATACTACTGATACACTGTAAACTACAGTAGTGACAACATTTTGGTTAAATTTTAACAAAAATTTGAATTCCCGCCAAATTGGCGATTCTTGGCATTGTGTTTTTCAGCCCTTTACAATAAAGCTAAAACAAAATTAAGTATAAATTTAGCTTGTTTGGACCAAACTGCATATGATAGCATTTTAAAATTTTTAAATTGGTCAACTTTTACCAAAATTACTATTTTTTCAAGCCCAAATCGGTTTCCTTATAGAAGTTGACCTCATTTTTTGAACCTGAAACTTGTAACTTTTAAACTACTTATCCAAATTACTTCAAACTTTGCAGTATTGTAAAACGTGACACATAAACACTAACAGAAATCGTATTTCTGATTTTAACTTTTTTTATCGTGTGTATTTACTGGGTTACTGTGGTATCTTTTGACTTGACATGCAGTAACTTTGTTATCGGTTGGTAAAATTTTATTAAAATTTGGAGTTAAAGTTCTTATACAATACGAAAACCAACACAATTAACATTTAAACAAAATTTCAAAATTTTTTTTGACAAAATTTTGATAAAAAAGTTAAAATCAGAAATACGATTTCTGTTAGTGTTTATGTGTCACGTTTTACAATACTGCAAAGTTTGAAGTAATTTGGATAAGTAGTTTAAAAGTTACAAGTTTCAGGTTCAAAAAATGAGGTCAACTTCTATAAGGAAACCGATTTGGGCTTGAAAAAATAGTAATTTTGGTAAAAGTTGACCAATTTAAAAATTTTAAAATGCTATCATATGCAGTTTGGTCCAAACAAGCTAAATTTATACTTAATTTTGTTTTAGCTTTATTGTAAAGGGCTGAAAAACACAATGCCAAGAATCGCCAATTTGGCGGGAATTCAAATTTTTGTTAAAATTTAACCAAAATGTTGTCACTACTGTAGTTTACAGTGTATCAGTAGTATAAATAGAAAGTTTGGTGAATTTTTATCACCTTATAACAAAGTTAATGCATGTAAAGTAAAAAGATACCACAGTAACTAAGTATATACGTATGATAACTATAGTAAAATTAAAAAAAAATGTTGTTTGTTTACGTTTATGTTTCAGGTTTTACAATTTTGAAAAGTTTGAAGTAATTTGGGTAAGTAGTTTAAAAGTTACAAGTTTTAGGTTCAAAAAATGAGGTAAAATTCTATAGGAAAGTGAATTGGGCTTGTAAAAATAGTAAATTTGGTAAAAATTGACCAATTTGAAAATTTTAAAATGCTATCATATGCATTTTGACCTGAAAACGCCGAATCTAAGATTAGTTTTTTTTGATTTTAACTCTAAATGATAAAAAAACACAATGCCAAGATTTGCCAATTTGGCGGGAATTTAAATTTTTGACAAAATTTTGTTTGAATTTTTATGGTATTGTTTTTTGTGTTGTATAAAATTTTTTTTTTAAGAAAACTGTTTTAAAAATTGCAAATAAACCATATTTTTAGGAGTTTTTAAGCAAAAAGAAAGCAGTTTTAGCGATCCTTGCTTTTTTTAAAAATTGAAAAAATTTTTTTTGCGGACCGGACCGGACCCAAAAATTTTGGGTTTGGACCGGACCCAAAAATTTGAAGTTTGGACCGGACCTAAAAAATCGCCGGACCGGACCGGTGAAAAACACTGGTTATCACCTTGAAATGTTATATATAAACATATTTTAGAGAGAAGAAGCAGGAAAACACTCGGAAAGAAAGCCAAGAAAGCTTTTCTAGAGGATTTGGCCGAGGTGGTGCTACGCCGTGGAACAAGGTCGAAGCTGTGTGGGGTGCTCCAGATGTGTCAAATTTAACCGACAATACAGAGAAGTTAGCTATTCGAACAGAACCAGTGAGTTACTTACATTCTGTTTTATATTAAACTTCTTTAATTTTTGTTTTATGTTACCTTGTTTACTTTCAGGAACTCGATAACACTTCTGAGCAACAAAATATACTAAATTCTTTTGCTCAACAAAGTACAGTAGACCAGTGGTTTTACTTAGATCCCAGTGGAGTTCAACGGGCCTTTTGAGACGAAGGAGATGCAGGCGCGGTTCTCTAGCGGGTACTTCCATCCCGAGCTACAAATCATGAAGCCTGGAGATGCGGCATACACTCCACTAGGTAAGAAAGCTTCTTGGAGAAGTAATTGGTAGTTGGGTTCGCTATTTTTGGTATATTCAAAAAAAGTTGTTTTAAAACTTGTTTCCTGCGTATTTTTATATAATTTAATTACTAAAGTGAGTATAAATTGTTTTTCAGGTGAACTTGTAAAGACAAATGGTGCCCTTACTCCGTCCATCGAAAAGAAGCGATCTCAGAAGCTACCCCAATCTCCCCCAGTCGCAAGTACCCAATCTGCTCGAAATGCTTGGCAATCATCCAGTTCAAGCAAGGAAGATAGTGCACAAGCAAAGCCGGAATTGTCTATAGACCAGCTACGATTAGAAGAAAAGGAGAGAGTCCTACAGGAAGAACAAAGGAGGCTTAAGGAAAGAGAAGAGAACATCAAACGAGAAGAACAGGAACGGCAGGAAAGGGAACGCAAGATCAAGGAGAGGGAAATGGAGCTGTTGAGGAAACAGGTAAGAAGAATGTCAAATTAGAATGTTTCTTTGTATTTTTACGTTTTTTGGGTACTAAATATGCATTTGTTGCACGAAAAGTTAATGTTAAAGTTCTAGGAAGAGTTCCAACAAAAGGAGAAGGAACTCTAAAGGGAACGAATACAGGCTCTTGAGTACGAGCAGCAAAGGCAAGAAGAGTTGAGACAGCTTAAGGAACAGCTGAAGAAGAGTCTTGGGCAAAAACACCAGCCAGGACGTGAAGAACTTCTACAGTATGAAGAAACGTTGAGAAACAAGATGAAGAGTGTGGACATCGACTGGCAGAATCGAGATCTTAGTGAATTTTTTGAGCTAATAGCGTTTGCTCAAGTGGCCACGTTAGGATGAACGGAATGGCTGTGTATTATGGACATTTTTATGTACATGAAGGCGTAAGTTGTGCAGTCCATTTTTTTGTAAACATGTTAGGGTTGGGGGGGGCAGTGGGATACTCTCCCCCCCCCCTCCCTCCCAAACGAAAAATTTGAAAAAGTTGAACGTACTCCTTTCCTGTGGATTTTTGACCCCCGCCCCAGACCAAAAGTGGCGATCCGGCCCTGGTGGTAACTTAATAATAAGATTTGTAATTAATTAACTGGGAAAGTACCCATTCTATCCCGCTCAAAATCAACTCCAAATTTTTTATATTTTCTTGTACCGCCAATAGTATGTACAAATTTTTAGTTTGCGTTTTTGAGTTTTAAATTTGAAATATTTCGATTTTCCGCTAATTGGGTTAATTTGGCAGTGTGTGTCAAGCACTTTTTTTGACTTTAGACAAGCTATAGCTAGCTACGCTTACAATTAAAAAAATGAAGTTTCATTTTAGGCAGGTCGGGTACTTTCCTTGTGAATTTATTTTTCAGCCTTTCGTATGATCTAGATCCAGGCTGCAGAAGCGAATGCATGGAGTTTGCGCTTGGTGTGTTTACCGATTGGGTCACTTCGTTGAGCAAAGAAGAGCTACAAAGCCATTGGGCCAAATATATTAAATAATTTTTATGTAGTTTATTTATATTTTTGGCGTACAGTTAAATAAATATAGCTAACATCTTATTATATTTTATGAATTGTACTAAAATTATAATATTTTTTATAAACCATTTTTCATTGTAGAATTTTATTTCCTCGTAAATCTCTTCGGAAATCACGGATTTTCTTTCTATAAATATTTGAAGTCAATCAAAGCGAAACAGGTTGGGTATTTTCCTTATTAGTTCTTTCAAACGCAGTAATTAATATTTATTCTAAGAAATTATTTATCTTTAAATAAAAATATAATAAAAATAAAGTACTAGTTACGTTCTTACTCGTAAAAATACAGTAGCAATTAAGTTCGTACTGATAATAATGCAGCACCAGCTAAGTTCATACTCGTAAAAACACAGTACCACTTAATATTGTATTCATACCACTATTACTGCTACCAGTATCACTCCCACTCACAAGGAGCCTGCCAATCAGGGTCGAACCTAGCTTCAGCACTCAGGTTCTCGACCTGACATTGAGTGATTGCCTTCATACTCTTTAAGCACGGCTGATACGAGAAGATGCTCTGTAGATCACAAGTGGGCACGTCTCCTTTGCAGAAGCTCATACACTCTTCGGCTACACCCTTGGCCTTACAGCATTCAGTATTATTGTTGTTGTCTGCTGCACAGTAAGCCAACGTGGTCAGTTGAGATACACACTTGACTCCGAGAGAGCTGCCGAGCTGGAATCAGACTTTGAAATTTGAATGAGTAACTTGAAGTTTGAGTTTTTGAAATTTTAAAAATTTATTTTAAAAAGTTGATTTATACTTTCTGTTGAGAATAAGTAGTATACATTAATGCGGTTTCAATTTGATACCTAAAGTCTTTTAATAGTTAATAAAGAATTCTTACCTCTTCTACTGTAGTATTGTACCCACACAACGGCAAACAGAACTTCATTTCAGGCTGCCCCACGGTCTTACAGCAGTTCTGAATCCGCGAATGGAGCACCTCGCTACACGAACAAGGACAGTTCTTGTTCAGCACCTGGGCCTTCAGCGAGTTACCGTAACACTCGCCTTGCGCAGCCTTACTGTAACAAATCTCCTTGTCATTGGGACACGTGGCCCTCAGATTGTCGGCGGTCAGCTGAGCCGAAACCAACGGAATCAGAAGCAGAATCAGGAGTGACGGCATCTGTGTTCGACGCATTCGATGAAACTAACTCTCGACAAGCCAGCCGGCTGTCATGACTTTGAGAGATCGGCGACAAAAAGTGACAAACTAGTTCGAAGATGGCATGACGAGTTATAGACGTTCTACTGCGCTTTTATGTCACGGTAAGTGGGTACACAACATATGTCGTATTGTGTGACATTTTTGACATTATTTGTTATGTCATAATGACTGTTTTTTGGTTTAAAACGTCATTTTTTAAAACAAAAGTACTTTCTTATATTATACTAGGTAATTTTACTTTAAGATATTTTTATGCCACCTTTTACCTTATAGTAAATGACAAAATATTCTTTATATAAAACCCAAAGCTAAAATATTTAAAAAACGATTGCCACATACCTAAAAAAGTTTCGAAAATCGCAAAAAACAAAAAATAATTGTAATTTTGCGCGCTTTAAAGATCACGCCCTGAGGGGAAACACGTGGAAACGGGGGTTTTATTCCGCTCGGATTTGGGAATAAATTATTTTAATAATACAATACGTAAAAGAAGTGCAATACCTATGTGTTTTTTGTTCGTTCCGCCAACTCTCAACCTTTGACGAACAACTTGTTTTAGTTTTTTCAACAGATTATGTTAATATTCCACTTTACAATTGTTTTTTGTTAAAATGCGGTTTCAAATTGTGGTTTTCGTTATGTTTGGAGCCATATTGTGTTTGTTTTACATTTTATCAATAGTTTTTTGTCAGGTTTTTATCTGTAAAGCTTGAAATTAAGAATATTTCGTCTAAAATATTGAATTTTTGTTTAATTTTAAAGGAATTCCAATAAAAACCGCAATAACGCCTAAAAATGTATTAAACTTTGCTTTTCGAATCGTATTTACATTACTTTAATGCTTGTCTTACGTTGCCACGGAATTGTAAAAGTTATCTTTTGACCAAAACAATAATAATATAACTTTTCTTACCATTATTATATTACGTTATATTAGTTTTGACACAATATTAGCTTCAATTTTCAATAATTTATACAAAAACAAACAAGATTTCTCATTAAAAATAACATTTTTTGTTTCAAAAAACACTTTGTTTAAATTTAAAATTATTTTGGCCGTTTTGCCATCACATAGACTGACTAGTTTGGCAGTTAATCATAACATTGAAGGAATGCAATGGGAGTGTGGTGATTCAATTCCACTGCTCCAGGACAAATCTGACTCCACTGACGATCTACAGATGAAGGCACGGACTGGGATCAGCTGGTTGGTGGCAGCCGCCTTTATCGTGGCCGACATGGCCGGAGGAGGTGTTGTTACCATGCCCGTGGCTTTGCTCAAATCTGGTAGGTTGTTTTGCATTGAAAAGCAAAAGATTTAAGTAGTTTTAAGGTTGTTTTGAATCCAAGTTATATTGTAGTAGGTTTAACATTATTCTCTGAGGTTATATTAGATAATACATCGCTTTCTGATTTTTTACCTTCTATAATATAGTAGAATATTATAGTAAAACACTATATAAATTATTCACTTACTGAAAGTATACAGAATCTCGATAACGATATAAATTCAGGTGCTTTTATGGGCAGTGTGGTGATGATATTGGTAGCCACAGCCTTTTGTTACACTGCCCATCTGCTTGGCCAGAACTGGATAATCATGAGGAAGAGATGGTCTCAGTATGCCAATCATTGTCGCAAACCTTTTCCAGAAATGGCATTTAGAGCCATTGGTCCTGAAGCCAGGATCTTCACAGCCGGTACCATTCATGCCATGTTGTTCGGAGTAAGCGTGGTATATCTACTGTTGTCTGCCAAGATAATCAACAGCCTTATCACTTCGCTGATGGAGTTTGACATTGGGGAGTGTAGGATGATGGTACTACTGGCACTGGTACTGTTTCCGGTCACTTTACTCAAGTCTCCACAGGACTTTTGGTATGTTAGTGATGGTTTGAGAATATAATAGTAAATCTTTAAGATATTACATAGTAAATTGATGTACATAGTAAAGGTGGTAAATTAACAAACATGTATACATATAATGTATCAATAAATCAGCATTTGTACCAGTATAAGATACTAACGCACTTCTTACCACTACCATTGCAGGATAGCAGTCGTACTAGCGATGGTAACTACAGTATTTGCAGTAATGCTCATCATAGTAGGCATAGTAAAGGATGACGCCGTATGTGGAAAGGTAGCTAACATACCATCGTTTGACTCTAACGAGTTTGTCATGTCATTAGGTATCTTCATGTTTGCCTTTGGAGGTCATGCTGTCTTCCCCACCATCATTAATGACATGCAACGGCCCAAAGAGTTCACAAGGTCGGCTCTGCTTGGGTTTGCTGGTATGTTTGACTGTATTATTACTGTATCTTCTTACTATTACTACTTGCCAGGCTACTGTAACTATTTATTAGGCTTTCATCTTCTAAATTTTATGATAATCTTTAACTGTTATGCATAACGTTATGACTTTTGATGGTTATGATGGTGTAACTGTCTAAATATAGTCATGTCTTGCTTTTACAGGAGTATGTGCTCTATACCTACCGATCACAATACTCGGATACCAAGTGTACGGTGATTCTTTGACAGATTCTGTGATATCGTCAATTCAATCAAAAGAGATCCGAGAAGCTGCCAATTTCTTCATTGCTGCTCATTGTATATTAACATTGACAATCACTATCAACCCTTTGAATCAGGAGCTCGAGAATGCTTTGAAATTACCGCATGGTTAGTTTAATCTAAATATCTAAGTGTTGTTTTCACTTTTACACTGTATTATTCCACACTGTTTTACTCTACTAAAATATTGATAATTTTAGAATTTGGTACTGGCAGAGTACTAGTCCGAGCGTTCATCCTCTCGGCTGTCACTTTCCTGGCCCTAACTGTACCAAGTTTTGGGCCGCTATTAAATGTTATTGGAGGGACTACAGTAGCCTTAACATCAGCAGTGTTACCGTGCCTGTTCAACATGTATCTGGTGGCTATGGAGAGTGGTACTCAAAAGGAAGAGCATATTAGTTTTCTCAAAGCTGTTAAGCTGACTAGTTGGACCAGGCTTACTGTAAACTGCTTTGTCATTTGTAAGTTTTTCATATTTGGAAGGATAACAGATATCCAATAACGCCATAGATGGATTATTTAAGCAGCAGGGAAGTAGTTTACAGCACCTAAGTTCACAGCCCTAACGTAATATAACTAACTTTCAGTATTTGCCATAATTTTCGGCTCAATAACAACACTGTCAGCTTGGAAAGAGTTGTATGTGTCGGAGATGAGCTACCCATGCTATTCTAGTCGTTACCATGTCACAATTTCACAGAAAAACCATTGTTGCGGGCATTTCAGGAACGTCACATCTGATACTGGTACTTGTAGTGTATATAATTGATTTCGAATAAACTATTTGGGTTTATATGGGTCATAGTAATACAAAGACGTGTTATATTTTAGGAGTAACACATTTCACATCAATAACAAAAATGAAAAGAGTTTAATCAAAAAACCGATTAGTAGTGTCAAATAGTACTTAAAAAACTAAGAAAAATCTAAAATATTGTTCAATTTGGTCCGCGCAAAAGATCAGGATGTCAAAAAACCTAAAATAAGGTCAAATCAAAACTTTTAAAATTTTTTCCTCAATCAATTTAGACTTAAATTTCAAGTGTTATATATCAAAATGTAGCTTTTAATCTCAGCTACAACATAAATACAAATTCAAGGTATCAACCATTTGAATAACACAAGTTTCCGAAGATTTCTGTAAAACAACATGTTTATATCTAAAACAATATAAGAAAACATTCTAATCAACAAACACAAACAAACTAATGATTTCTAAACTTTCACAGGCCTTTTGTCGTTAAGGAGCACTTCTACAGCCATCAATTCTAAACAAATCTTTTCTCTTTCGCCTGGCTTCCAGATCGGCGTTTTGTAGCCAACAAAGCATTTCTTCTTCGCTTCTGTACTTCTTTCTGATGTTTACGAGCTTCTATAAGTCCCAAGTTTCTTTTTGCGTACTTCTCGTCCTCAGAAACGCTGATTTCCGTTGATTTTTTTGCTTTGTCATGTGTAACGTCGCGTGTTGTTGGTTTTTGGTACTTTTTTCCATTTCTCAGTGCCTTTTGATGCTTGTAGTTGTTCCCATTGGCCTTCTTTAGATTGTTCTTTGAAGCAATTGCACTTTTCTTACGTCCTGTCATCCTAAAAGAAGTAAAATATGATAAAGTATACCTATAAATAGCATTTTCACGCATGCCAAAGTTTGTAGCTGAAGAAAAGTTTCGAAAATTGGTGAGCAGGATTGCATTGTCAATAGAAACAATAGCTACCAATCTTTTTTTACAATCAGCTTTCCAAACTATAGATGTAACAAACTAAAAAACACGAAACCCCCTACCTTTGACACGAATTTTCACCCACAAAGCTAAATTTCTAAACAAAAACTAATAATAAGTCTAAAAATAGATAAACATATTTTTAATTTGAATCTAACAAATAGTTATTTGACCTTCGGTAACTGTTAAAAGTTTTAATTTTAATATGCAATGGAATTTCCCTTCAATGCCAAAAATCTTGGCATTCTGTCTGTTATTGCATTTTTGATGTTTACATTTTGCCAAAACACAATTCTATAAAGGTCATGTTTCAGCGTACAACATGACTCATTATTTTCCGAAATTATTTTTTTAAACAATTGTTTCAAAAACATTTCTATCGAATATCTATATAAGTTTACCTTCAATTAACCATGAGAGTCCCCAAAGGTGCCCCATCAGCTGGATTATTGTATTGGCAGCAGAAGTTTCCGTTTCTGAAACAGTTCAAAACACCTCCTTTGGGCACGTTGGCCGTTGTCGGCTGTGTATCCTTCACCGTTCTCGGGATAGGTGTCATGATCCTTCAACCATACATTTACAACGACTACTACAAGGAAGTACAGGCCCAGAAACGAGCTTTAATCACAGCGAGCCGAGAAGAGTTGGCACAAGGAATGAAACCGTGGTCAGATCCCTTCAAACCTGCTAAATAATACTCTTTATCATTGGTTATCTCTTTTACAGACATGATTGTTAGAGTTTGAAGATTTCTCGTGATTGTTACCGTTTACATTGTATTTTTGTATTTATTATAGGAATAAACTTTTAGTGAGGTGAGTTCAGACGAGGAGGTTATCGAACAGAATCAGGAACAAGAAGATGCCGAAGAGACAAAAACCCAAAAGGGAGCAGGATAACGTTAGCAGTTAGATTTGGATCGTATTTGACCGATGAAACGTTTTCCAATTATTAATGTAATTTGTTCGTTTTTTGTTTATTTCGCTTTTAGACATATTGACCAATGGATCGTACCGAAACGTGATGTTCTCTGGGCCTCCAGGAACGGATAAAACAATTTTTGCTAAAGGGTTGGCCAAGCATTCCGGACTGGAAATGGTATGCCACTATGACTGGGAGTGATGTGGCACCAATAAGTAAGGATGGTGCGTGAGCCATCCACAAAGTATTTGATTAGGCCGAGGAATCTCGCAAAGGGTAGGTTTACTGGGTACGATAATTAGATAAAGAAATTAATTTTTAAGTTAAAAGGACTTTTAGTATGCTTAATATTAACTTGATAGATGTTTTTGGTTTCAGTTTAGTGTTATTTTCAGACGAAATTGACGCTTGCCTTCGTAAGAGATCGACCAAACAGATCAATGAAGATGCACGTGTCATGCTGTCTTCTTGTACCGTACTGGTGAACAGAGTCGTCACTTTACATTGATCTTGACCCGTAATCAGCCAGAACAGTTCGATTGGGCCGTCAACAACGTTCGAACTTGACTTGACGTACACAAAATGTTTTGAAGAGATTTGACGAAGTTCAGTTAAACTATCTGTAATTTTATTGTTTATTTTCGTTGCAAATCAAATCTTTGTTAGGAAACTTGTTTATGCTGATTCCGATACAGTTTTTAGTCTGATCTCAAGCAAAATATATCAATAAAAAAGTATTTTTGCATCTATTACGGCTTAAAATTGGAGAGATTTCTATTATTTTTATAAAAAATTAATATATTTTCTTATCGCTCACGTTACTATTTTACTACTAGAAAGAGAAATAGTTGACTCAAATTTTCGAACTGTTGAGTGCTAGAGTTGACTCGGATAAATCGGCTGGTCTCGAGCAGAAAACAATGGGATGTGTGACCATTAATTATTTAGTGTACGATGGGTTTTGCACTGATCTTGATTAACACGAACGATATCTGTGGCTTTTTCAGAATTTCGACGTTCTTATATTGTTCATGAGCACATAAACTTGACATTTTTAACATAAAATTTGTTTCAGATCAATCTTCTTTGACTACAACTATGTCCAACAGCGAAGTAGCGCAAAATAGCTTTAATCCATCATGGTAAGTAGTTCACAAATATTTTTGTGTTGCTTTATATTTTTAGAGTTGGGTTATGATTTATTTTGTATAATTTATGTTATTCAGGATGCAAACAACGGCACCGAAAGCTCCGCGGCCTAATGGTATTAGCAGAGCGGCGGAAGAGGATACTGGTGTAAGCTTTTGTACATTTTTTATTTTGTATTTTATTCGGCTTTTTAGGCTTTTGAGTTGGAAAAAGAGCTAAATTATCAATGATAATATAGAATCGATTTTTTGAACGTTTACCTTTGAGGCATTGATTGATGTTATGATTGATTTTTTAAGTCTTATTCATAATTTAGATATAAATTAACTTATTTTGTTTATATTTTAGGAAATGGTTGAGCCTGTGTTTGCCAAACATCGGTATGGACGTGAAGACATCTTGGCTTTGAAGCCACGTGATTCCAAGCCTCCAGATGGATTGAGCGTCTGCCCCTTCTTCGTGGAGAAGCCTTTGGTTCCGATTATATTGAGCGATTTGAATGAAACTGAACTGGTGGGCATAAAATACCGGAGATAATTTAGTTTTTGACTTTTGCAGCGGTTGCAACAGAACATAAATTCCAGCAAAGCGTTGAGTGCGTTGCCTCGAGCCGAGTGGCCAGGGAAGGAAGGAGAGGCGGCGGGCAGTCCTGCTCACGTATCGTCTAATCCTTGGACTGTTGCTGGTAAGATTTTATATTGTTTTTTAAATTTAGGTATATGAGGTCGAATATTGATATGGTAAACGAAGAAAGTCAATTTCAAATTCAAGAGGTTGCAAAAAACTTACTTTTTATAAAAAAATGTGAAAAATTGGTTTTCAGGTAGTAATAAGAACTCGTCGTTCCGATCTAATAACCGATGGACTACGGTTGGTGGAAATCCAAGTTCGGAACCCCGAGGGTCGAAGTTTCCTTTCTCGAATCGTGCCAATTACGGATCCCCAGCGAATGGAGAAAAGAAGCCTAAGTCAAGTCCATGGAGCGAAACCAAAAGGCAACATCAGACTAGTGGGAGTGATGAAGGTAATGGCACCACGAATGGTGATCCGGACATCTCAGCTGACGTCTGGGGATCTTCTTGGCGATCTGTCGATACGAAAGGGTAATTTTTAAAATTTGTTTTGTACATTTAGTTATGTTTTTAATATTTAAGATTAGAAAGCTAAAAGATATCAGGAAATTTAGTGATTTTATGCTGTTGTCACGTTGAAATGTTATGTAATTGACTAATAATATACATGCTTTAGAGAGAAGAAGCAGGAAAATACTCGAAAAGAAAGCCAAGAAAGCTTTTCTCGAGGATTTGGTCGAGGTGGTGCTACGCCGTGGAACAAGGTCGAAGCTGTATGGGGTGCTCCAGATGTGTCAAATTTAACCGACAATACAGAGAACTTAGCCATTCGAACAGAACCAGTGAGTTATTCTTACTGTTTTATATTAAACTTGCACGTCTTTGATTTTTGTTCTTTTTTGTTTTATGTTACCTTGTTTACTTTCAGGAACTCGATAACAGTTCTGAGCAACAAAATATACTAAATTCTTTTGCTCAACAAAGTACAGTAGACCAGTGGTTTTACTTGGATCCCAGTGGAGTTCAACGAGGGCCTTTTGAGACGAAGGAGATGCAGGCGTGGTTCTCTAGCGGGTACTTCCATCCCGAGCTACAAATCATGAAGCCTGGTGATGCAGCCTACACTCCACTAGGTAAGAATTCTTGGGGACATGATTGGTATTTGGGTTCGCTATTTTAGGTATATTCAAAAAAAAGTTGATTTAAAACGTGTTTACTGCGTATTTTTATATAATTTCTAAAGCGAGTATGAATTGCTTTTCAGGTGAACTTATAAAGACAAATGGTGCCCTCACTCCGTTCATCGAAAAGAAGCGATCTCAGAAGCTACCCCAATCTCCACCAGTCGCAAGTACCCAACCTGCTCGAAATGCTTGGCAGTCAACCAGTTCAAGCAAAGAAGATAGTGCACAAACAAAGCCGGAATTGTCTATAGACCAGCTACGATTAGAAGAAAAGGAGAGAGTCCTACAGGAAGAACAAAGGAGGCTTAAGGAAAGAGAAGAGAACATCAAACGAGAAGAACAGGAACGGCAGGAAAGGGAACGCAAGATCAAGGAGAGGGAAATGGAGCTGTTGAGGAAACAGGTAAGAAAAATGTCAAAATAGAATTTTTCTTCGTATTTTTACGTTTTTCGAGTATGTAAATTTGCATTTCTTGTATGAAAAGATAACTTTGATATTCTAGGAAGAAGTTCAACGATTTGCATTGGAAAAGGAGAAGGAACTCGAAAGGAAACGAATTCAGGTCCTTGAGTACGAGCAACAAAGGCGAGAGGAGTTGAGACAATTTGAAGAACAACGACTACATGTGATCCAAGAAGAACAAGAGAAACGTCGTCAAGCCGAATTGGACTTTGTCCGACAAGAACAAGAACGACAAAGATCTCAAATGGAGCTGGAAAAAGTTCGACGAGAAGAAGAGGAGAAACAGCAAAGAGAAGCCGAGTTTTTGGCCGAAGAACAAAAGCGACGACAAAGAGAGCATGAACTTCAACGGGAACAAGCAGAAAGAATCAGAAGGGAGCACGAAGAGGAACTTCAACGTCAGCAACAACAGGCTAGGGCAGCCGCTTCTGCAGCAGCTAATGCAGCTTCATCTAAAGGTAATGGTCGTATCTTAATTGATTTTAGAATTTTAGGTAATAAGGTTTTGAGAAAAAATGAAATTGTTGCGATAAACGTTAACAGTCTTTTTTTCAGCTCCATGGTTGAATGCGACGAAGAAACAGAAGGTTGTCACTCCAGACGACTTGTCCAACAAAACTTTGCTTGAAATCCAGATGGAAGAAGAGAAAAAGTTGATGAAGAGGCTAGAGGAAGAAGAGAAACAGCGTCAAATTGAGGCTGCTAACAAGAAGCCAGTTTGGAGCAGCCAGTCGACGGGTAGTGCTTGGAGTGTTCCAAAGAACGTTCCTCAACCTGTCCCAATTCCACCAGTAAAAGAAGCTCCTAAACAAGTAAAGGCCGAGAAGAAAAAGGTAAGACGAAAAATAATTCAATCTTCTTTTTCTAGTTATACTGTTTTGTACATGGTTTGGCTATATTACTTTACGATTTGTTTTAGTCGACCCAGAAGAAGGAGCCCTCTGAAAGCAAACACGAAGATTCCTTGACGGCGTGGGTGATACAACGAGTACGTCAATTAAATTCGAGCGTGGAACCAGACATATTTGCCACGTTTTTGTTGAGTATTGAGTCTCCAAATGAGGTCGAGGACTACGTTCTGACTTACTTTGGAGAGAACAAGAACGCCAAAGAGTTTCACCAAGAGTTCTTGGCCAAACGAATAGAGCTCCGACCTCGTCGTCGAGTAGCTGATAAAGATGTAGGTTTTTTGTTAATGTGTTTTTGATTGTAGGTATAAGTTGAAAGTAACAGCTTCATTTAAGTATTGTGCACAAAAAGAAATTTTTGCTTAGATTTTCTTTTTTAATATTACCGTACATTTTGCAGGATCTCTCGGGTCCAGCGGCAGCGGCCACGAATATTGCGGGCAACAACGGCACGCCTGTCGCCGGATCGACTCCCGGAAACAGCGCCAAAGCGAAGAAGAACAAGAAAGGGAAGAAAGTGGTGGACGGACTGATTTTAGGCTTCCGGCCCGCCGGCGATCCCAACCGACTGAACGTCGGCGAAATCGACACAACCCCACCCACACCTCTGAAGCGTCGCTAATTTATATATTGCCTTTGTGTTCCTTGTTTGTTGTTTTGAGGATACCAAATGTTTATATCTACAAGTTATCGCATACAATATTTTAATATTATTGTTTGGTTGTTTTTTTGTAAATTATATTTTGTCGTAGTCATGTGGGAAATCTAAAATCTAGCTTGGGAAGATCAAACTCCTAGTGCATGAACTTGCAATTTTTTTGCTTGAACTTCCATCGTATGAATTTCGTTAGTGAACCATTATAAAAAGTGGGTCGCATGAGAAACGTCCATTATAAAAATTTTTCAAATCTGTGAAGAAAACTAAAAAACAGTTTACCGCCCGGTCCTACTTTTCAGGGCTGGTTCTGATTTGCTAAAATGATTTGGCTAGGTCCCACAACGAAAACGAAATGTGCTAAACATTTGTAGCGTTTCGTCTTTTTTGTAGTTTTGCAAAATTAGTAAAAAATTAGAATTATTTTTGTAGAATATTCATATTATCTCTAGATGGCGGAAGATAAAACCATCACAGTATCGTTTTTTGCCGAAGACGGATCTGCTTTAGGTCCATCTTCTTTGATTCTACCTTTTAAAACCAGCGTAGCAGACCTTCAAGAACTCTGTAATCAGTTTCTGGAGAACGACGACGATCCATTGCCAATTCAGTTTCGATCTGAAGATGGAGCCGAGATTATTGACTCTTTGGCTAGCAGTATTCCTGAAGATGCTATTAATGATGAACAGGTACGGTATTGTTATTACAAGATTTTGAACTTGTTATCTATTAATCGGACTACACAATGTTTAAAGTATTGAAATGACTGTAAGTTTGATTTTTTTAGGGTATTAAACTTATTTACATGCCTCAAGCGCTGTTCAAAGTAAATCCTGTAACTAGATGTACATCAACATTGCCAGGCCACAGCCAGCCAGTCATTTCGGTTCAGTTTTCCCCAGATGGAAAGTAAGTTTTTGCATTTTTATTTATTTTTTGTTTAGAAGCCTTGCCTCAGGATCTGGAGACACAACTGTAAGGTTATGGGATTTAAATACAGAGTTACCATTGAAGACATGCCAAGGACATAAACATTGGGTCTTGTGCATAAGTTTTAGTCCAAATGGCAAGAAGTTGGCTTCAGCTTGCAAGAACGGAGAGGTAAGTTTAAGGAATTGATGCTTTTCTTGTAATAAACATTTATTTATTTTTCTGGACTCAATATGTCTTTCAACCATCGGAATATGCCATAATATATCGGGACTTTTCAGATATTTTTGTGGAACACCGAGACTGGTGCTCAACTTGGCCGAAAGCTAACTGGCCATAAACAGTGGGTGAATTCTTTGGCTTGGCAACCGTTTCATATGGACAGTGAATGTAGGTTGTTGGCTAGTGCTGGAAAAGATACCACAGTGAGGATATGGGATACGATAACTTATCAGACAGTACGAGTTTTGTCAGGACATACAGCGTCAGTGACTTGTTTGAGGTGGGGAGGAGCTGGATACATTTATACTGGGTCGCAGGTAAGTTTGTGCATTATTATATTGTTTTAGGTATTATTTTGTATTTTTAGGTAAGTATAACATTTAAAATGACTTTAATATCTATTTTTTGTATTATTTCAAAAATATGATAAAATTTTACGGAACACAACCAAGTTTACAATTCCAGGACAGAACAGTAAAAGTGTGGAAAGCGGATACAGGCTCACATTACCGTTCCTTGACCGGACACGCCCATTGGATCAACACTTTGGCTTTGAATGTGGACTATGTGTTAAGAACTAAGTCTCTTGATAAAGATAGCGATCAGGCGTCAGTTACAGATGCAGAAAGTGCTTTACAACGATACGTTAAAGTGACAAAAGGTACCACTGAGAAGCTGGTTTCTGGCTCTGATGACTTTACTTTGTTCTTGTGGGATCCCATTAACAACAAACAGTCGATTTCAAGGCTTACTGGGCATCAACAGCTAGTCAATCAGGTAGGTTGGTCTTTTTGAATAACTTTTTCTAATATTCGAGCCAATTTTAAACCCGTGTTGACAGACAAAGTAAATGGCTCAGAAATATCTATACGACATCTTAAAGTTCGCTTATCTGAATAACGTAGTTTTGTAATTTTAGGTAGTATTTTCGCCTGACACCCGGCTAATTGCTTCCGCCAGCTTTGACAAGTCGATTCGAATATGGTGTGGCCAGACCGGTCGATTCTTGAAGACACTGCGAGGCCATGTTCAAGCCGTCTATCAAGTCGCCTGGTCTGCTGACAGTCGACTGTTAGTGTCTGGCTCAGCCGACTCCACTTTGAAGGTTTGGTCGATGAAGAACAAAGGACTAATGATTGATCTACCTGGGCATGGAGCAGACGTCTTTGCCGTAGATTGGAGTCCGGATGGAGAAAGAGTGGTGAGCGGAGGGAAAGATTGTGTTTTGAAATTGTGGAGGCAGTAGTAAGGTTACGCCGGTGCTGTATTGAGTACTATATTCGTATGTTCGGTATATCTTGATAGTGAATTTGTTTTTTGTTATGTTGTCGTTTTGCCTTGTTTTTTGTTACCATAAATTCTTGTTACGTTTATTGTTATTGAAATAAATGCAGTTTTAAACCATTAATCTCTAAAATATACGCATAAATACTTTATTAACTTACAAGAATCACAATATTATTCACAATTGCTTCACATGAGCATCGACATAAGCCTTTATGAACATTAAAGCCGAACAAGAGGCCAATCCCCTGGCCACACTGACATTCCTTCCTGTCCCGAAGAAGACGCTTTGACACTTTTCTTCACCGAGGACGTCCAGAAACACAGTCACTTCGTCTGAAGAAGGTCATTGTCAATATAATTTTACTTATAATTATATTTAGATAGGTACAAGCACACTTATGCCCCATTTCTAACTTTACACTTTAAATTTTTAATATCTTAGTCAAGAAGCTCATAGCTAGCCTTACCTTTCATCATGGGTATCTGCTGAATCTCCCTCTCGAGCTCCGCGATATTATGATTGTGGACCTTGATCTTCTGGTCCCCACGTCCCCGAGTGTCCAAACTGTATTCGTATTTCAGATTGGGCCATATTTTGTGTAATGTCATCTGTTTGTCGTGACGAGCACTCGAGCAAATCTCTTCGAACACCGAGATGGATCCGTCACAGCTATTGTGGGTGATATGCTTGATGTTACCGTATGATTCCAGACGTTTCTTCAAGTAATTTACAAATCCACCTTCTAACACGGCTTCTGGTTTCTTGACTTCTTCCGCTTTGGGACTTGAGGCTTTGGTTTCGATTTCCGGGATTGTCAACTCCACAACTGAAAGATCGCTTATGTAAGTAGATGATTAAGATCTATCTCAACATACCAAGTTAAACTTTTTTAATGTTTCTATGAAATTTTTAACCAAACTCTTCCCTAACCAACCCCGTTCATTTACAAACTGACTAACCTACCACCTTTAATCTCCTCGTTGATCCTGTCGAACATCTTCTTGGCCGCGGCAGCCTTGGCCTTCTTCTTAGATGTCGCTGTCTCTGATACGACAATGTTCTTCAGAGTACAAGTACATTTGAAGAACTTGAGACCTTTGTCTTCTTCTATGGCCTCCATGTCATATTTGGGCTTAGTGTTGATCTTCTTTTGTCCACAGAGCAAATCACACTTGCCCGGCCAGTTGTCGTTGGCCATCTGTTCATCGTTACCTAATTCTGGCTGGAGACTCAGACTAAAAAGATATTGTAGATTGTAATGGCATCAAAACATAATAATTTATACATTACAGTGTTTTTTCCACACCTACCAGTCTTCAACCCTTTACTGTAACATATTTCGTATAAAAGTGTGGCAGCCGCACCTAACTTCTTAAGCCTACGACTCAACACTGAGATCTAGCTAGGCCCGTTTGGCCATAAGTAATTATTCAAAAACAAACTTACATATACTGCTCAGCTTCACCTTGAGTATTCCCTGGAATCGAGAACTCTCTGTATTTGCCGGCCTTCACAATCTTTAAAAGTACATCTCGAGCAGCCAAATGTTGTGCTGTCTTCCTGTTCCTAGACACACAGCTACCTTTGAAGCCGTCGATACTCAATTCAGTCCCGTGTTTACCCTAAAAATGGCGATATTAAAGAAATATAAGATGTTGTATGCTATCTTTTGAGACTATTCGTCCAAAAAACAGTTCAAAGCAAAACGACTAGTTAGATAAAAAGCTTGAAAGATAGGCTTTTTGTAAGCATTGTTAACACAAAAGTTCGGTATGTGACTCCCATACAAAAACCCGACGATCAAAAGATACTATCTCATGCTACAATAAACATAAAATAACTTACATCAGCTGTTTCAAAGTTGTTTTTCTGAGGCTGACAGTTCCTGTACTTCCTACAGCCCTCTTCCAACAACGCTGCTAAGGTTTGACCTGGTTTTTGGGTCATACCTTTAAAAAAAAAGATTATATGTTAATTAAAAAATTCTGTGCCCCTACTCCCAACAATTTGCTTTGCGAGAAGGCACAAGACTATCTGAGCAACCCAATATTAACCATGCCTGATACAACGGCATTAACCCCAGCCAAAGCCACTTCAAAGTTACTGTAATACGATAAAATAAGTTTCACAATAACTACAATGTCAGATAAACATAATTAAAACAACTTTAAACAAGAATGTAATGCAAGGAACTACCAGTAAATACAAGTTAGCACCGACATCCTATACACAGTTTATTCACTTTTGCTTAGTGTTTTGGGCAAGTCTGTTTCTAATCAGTTTTCCATATTGACCGAACAAGAAGAACATTATTGCGAAAGCGATGAGAAGTTCGATGATCTTCCTAGTTGACATCCCTTCCACTATAGAGACTGTCATTCTATCTTGAGGTCTAACTCCAAGGGAGTCTTCGACTCTCCTGACGTCGGCTTCAAACTTGTTTGGCTCTCCACTGTTGTCCACGTACTTCACAAGAACTTGGTGACCTGGCCACTAAATTTTAGAAAAATAATATAAGTTCGATGATCTTCCTAGTTGACATCCCTTCCAGTATCAATAACTTAAATTTAGGAAACAAAGTTGACGTCTTTAAATTAACTTATGATAAAAGTTTTTTCTGTTAGTCTACATATTTTCAAAAAAACCTAAGAATTTAAATTTAATAGTCTAAAACTTACAGGTTTACCATCAATTATAGCTCCATCATGAAGGTTAGCTAGTGCAACATTTGAAGACTTGTTGTACAAGATGTAGCGAACCTGAAATGCAATTTCAAATTCACTGTTTTTAAGTTTTTAATCAGAAAAAATTGTTTTAATAACTTTACAATTCTTGACACGAAATCAATAGTAAAGTTAACATTCCTAGCTTAACCTTCAATCTTGTTTTACTTACTTCTCCAGTCTTAATAAACTTTTCGACAAATTCCTCAAAAGATATAGGATCTCCTAGACCACGCGTAACATCAGACGCATTTTGAAACATGAAATAGGTTAGCACTGCAGATCCCATGAAAGAAACAAAGCCCAGGATCCGAATCTTGCGTACTAAAGTGTTGTTATCAATAAAATCGTCCTTCGACAAACAGTTAAATCTACGTTAAAATCAACTTATCAACATGTTTTGTGAAATGAAACGCAATTAAGCTCAAGCTCTGTGAAACAGATCCTTTATATAATATACGTTTACATACTCATTTCAGGTGGTATCTTCATTTTTTCCTTGATCTTTTCTTCTTCTTCAGATGTTTTTTGTTCATCTTTTGATTTCTTTTCATTATCCTTTACATTCTCGTGCTCTTTTCCATTCGTTTTGGATCCATTATGATCGCCGGATGCTTTGAAACGGACATTTCTTTGTTCTAAACACTAAATCAACAATAACATAACGAAACTTACGAATAAGAGGAAGAAGAGAACGTAGAGTAAATTTAGAAAAGGATTGACATATTATCCGTCTTGCCAGCATTATCCACTTATTCTTTATTTACCGCATTCCAAAATAAAATATTTTTATTTATCGTATGCCAAAATATTTTGATAAAGTTTTCCGGCCGAAACCTTTTATTTAACGTAAGGTGGTACTAACATAACAAAGTCCAAAAACAATAATTTATTACAAATAATTTATTGTGAACATGAGTATCAGTTATGAAATAATTACAAACCAAATAAGTTAAGGTTGACTTTCCGAATTTTGTGAGTTTTCGTCACCACTCTTTTCTTGAGAATCTTCAGAATTCTGCTCACATTCTTCTTCTTTTGGTTCTTCGGTCTTCTTTTCCTCCTCTTCTTTAGCCTTTTCTTCATCTACTTCCATCTTCTCTGTTTCCTCTGATCCCTCTGTCTTCTGTTTCTTGAACTCTTCGAGATAATACTCTGTCCACAAGCCAACGTACTCTCGATACTTTTGTTCGTTGAACTCGGGTTTGTCGTTTTTGATCTTCTTCATCTCTTCGTTGAACTTTTGGCTATGCTCTTCTAAGCTCTTTTTGCGGCTTTGGAATGCTTCTTCAAGTTTTGCTAGCTCGTCATTCAGTTTGTTCTGCAATAAACGTACCTTAATAAGAGAAGATTTAAGGCAGAAGAAATAGACAAAGACAACAATATTGAGTAATGTTAACTTATACAAAATACATATCTCATCCAGCACATATCAAATTTGCTTCTTACCTGATGTGCAGACAAAGAACCAGCTTGTCTCTTTAGCTGGTCGATTCTGGATTGAGCGACCAGCGTTCGAGTATCAGGCAGCGCTGCTGATGAGAACACTTCACTCATCAACCGGTTGTCCCTATCGTATCGTATTCCAGCTACTCGCTTCCTCGTCATTTCAAATGGATCTTCATCATCGACCGGTTGAATGGCTGCTGCACTGTTGTTTGTGAATCCAGCAACTCGACTTCGTGATGCAGCTACATGCTGGTTAGTCATTGCTTGCTGGTAGCTCTTGAGTTGACGTTCGTACTCAATCTTGTCCATCTCGTACTCTTGTTGGAACTGGGCCTTCTCCGAGTCTGGAGCTTCCCTCCACATCTGGCCAATAATCTTACCAATGTCAAGTAATTGCACTTCTGGGTTCTCGGCCTTGACTTTGGACCACATCTTTCTACTGAACCTCATGTACGGGACCAATGGTCTTTCTGGTGGCTTTATTGGTCTTGAATGCATGTCCTAAACGATGTCAATGTAATATGTTTTCTGTTAAAAACTTTACAGAAATTTAATTTACATGAAGAGTTGTGGGTTCTTCTAGCTTCTTTTCTATTGAACTTATAAAGTGTAATTCCTAAACAATAACACAACAATTTAATATAACTTACTCTGGTTGACCTGCTGGAGACAGGATTCTGTTGCCTTGACGTACGATGCATTTTTGTAGAATAAGATCACAAGATGATTCAAACACACAACGTTATACTGGACAAAATGTAAAATCTATTTTTACCGAGTTTTTTCCGCATAAAAAAGAAAAAAAGCGCTGGCGTTCTGCATGATTTCGCGACGAAGAGAGAATTTGGCGGGAATTCAAAAAGCGAGTGGACTTTTTTTTAAAGGGATCTTTAAGAAGGCAGATAGATGAGCCAAAGAATGGCCTGTTCAATTTAATTTTCAATTTTTAAGTCAATGTTGCGATGAAAACTTGTTTTTACAGAGGTGTAGAGCTTCTGTAGCTACTACACTATTCCAATGATTTCTGAGCTTTAAAGCTTTGTGTACTGCGTAAAATGAGTTTTTCGTAAGCAGTGGAATGCCCCTTTGTTTGTTTGTAAACAAAACAACCTAGGAGCCATTTCGAAATTGGTGGTTTAGGCAAGATTTATCATCTACATGAGATCTAATCGTTCTGGATTCATTGTCTTCTGCCATTTTATGGTAAAACAATTTAAATTTGGTGGACATGTCAAAAAAGACATTGTTGTCCCCATTTGTGTTTATATTGTCCTGCTGAAATAAAAAATAAACACGCACGGAGATTTCGAAACGTCACGGTGGCCAGTTTTGAGGGAAGAACGTGCTTTTCGACGGCCTACTCTCGAATCTCGAGTTCGTATTATGTGAATATTTGTTTACCGAATTTCGAGAATTACACGCGTGATCATTCAGAGGTCAGGACATAAGGGGTATGTGTGTTTGCACTTACTTTGGGTTGCAATTCCTTTTGGAATTTACTTTGTATTTTGATGGATCACCGAGGTGACAGTCTGAAACATTACTCTGTTATTGTTGTCAATAAAACGGGCTGAGAATGGCTTTCAATAGGTCAGGATTATCAGGGTTTTATTGAAATGTTATTAAAAATAAAATCTTGATTTTATTACCGTTTGATAAGTTATGGCATTGTTTTCTACCGTGCAGTCATTTGAACTCTAATCGTTTGCACTGTGCAGACTCCCTGAACTGTCCTGAGGCTTAAAGACTTTTGAGAATGTTTTTAACAAGAAACGTTTAAAATCATAGTAAGATTGACGTATTTTGCCTCTTTTTACTATGATGTAACAAAGTGGACTATTTCGTTCAAAAGTTATGGCCAACTTGATGTTGTAGCCCCAATTAATATTAGGTTGTTCAATTAATTGTGAGTCCCCTCTCGAAGCAAATTTTTAGCGTTACGAGGCACAGAATTATTTGAACAACCTAATATAAAGTTAGGCGACAGTACTAATGTAATATTGCTGATAAGGTTGTTGAAGGTCAATTCTTCTGAATCCTAGTTTTTGCGACACTGCAACCTAATAGTACTGCTATGTCTGCTAAGGCTGTTTAGTCATAAAGTTGCAAGACCTATAAATAAATCACTAAGCTATGTTGATATTTCATAGATTTGGCTATAAACAATGATAAGAGCAAAATGATGTTGTAAAACAGTCTTCAGAACATGTCATTCACTGGCCTTGAATGTTTATGTTGATAAGTGTTTTTCAAAAACTTTGCTAATGCTTGTTATCACTCTATTTGCACCTCCATGGGAGTTTAACGCATCTTAGTTTTGTCAACTTATTTCCGAGAAATTTGATTGCAATGAATGGTGTTTAAGATAGGTCCAGCGTGTTATTTTAGAATACTTTTGGGTATAGAGAGGCTCGGCACGGGGAGGGGTAAGGGTAGTATTTATGGTTTAACTGTGGTAAGATAAAGGCGTACAGTGTAAAACTACTTATCATTACATTACCTTCGCAAAAGTTAAGAAAAATATTGCTAGTCTAGACTGTTTTAACATACATCTTTGTTAAATTATTTTAAAACGGTTTATTTTTGTTGATTTTTGACAAGATATGTTCCTCGTGGCCGTGACGTCTGCCTTTTGACGATTATAGTTGCATAGGCGGGCTTATCACTTCCGGAGGCCGAAGGGAAAGGTCTGGGCTTGAAGAAAGAGAAGCGAAGATATATGTGATCTATAAGTTCAAGTGGTTTGTCTCGCTTTTAATCGTTTTGTAGTTTGAATTCTTTGAAATTTGTTTTGTCATTTCTATATCTACATGTATATATGACAGTTTATATATATATGACCCCAACTTCATACAGCTCATGACCCCATGTTCATATCGCTGTATAAAGTTCGATCGCCGCCAAAGTAACGTCCTTTCCACCGCAATGGTTACTTTGTATAATTGCCCATAATGGGCGCGGATCGAAGGCCATCACTTATATTACTCTCGAGTTCACTTTCAGGACGATGACTGACGTCGAAGGGGGTAAGTTGCCCTCGCCTCAGGCAGAACAAGAGCAAAAGTTGTTGGACGACAAGGAAACCGCCAGGAGCTTGAATCCGTCCGTGGATCCGGCTAAACTTGAGGTAATGATTTGTTTAAGTGAAGTTAGGGCTGGAGACTATTTAAGGTCAGGCTAGAAATTTAAGGCTAGAATTGTTTCTTTTTCGTTTCAAAGGCTGTCATCATGACAGAATTAATGGACTGAAAAAAGACACCAAAAATTAGCAAAAAAGCTCTTGAACTGACCACAACTTGCTATTCTTTATGTAACCTTATGTCAAAAGTCCTTCTCATATCACCTCAATCACTTAATTGATAACAACAACATCCCCACTCCGTTTACCCCACCCTATCTTGATAAGAGATAGCGATATTGTTGTTCGTAAACAAGAAGTGTCATTTGTTCGGCCTTTGACCTTTTTTCTTTTTAATCCCACGTGTTTTGGAGAACGTGGAGGTTTAAAACAAAGGAATCTGAATGGCCGACGAGATCCGCCAGCGAAGTCGCGTCTCGTCCGCGACCGAACGGAGTCCACTGATAGCGACAAAGGAACCAGAAAACGTGGGAACCCTTTGACATTGTCTTGAGTTAGCGTTAGAGCATAGATAAGGCTGTAGCTAGAGCGTTAGAGCATAGATAGAGCTGTTTTGCAAGATACTTCTATCGATTCGAACACGTTTCATAACAAAAACATGTTTACGGAGCGAAAATAGATATGATTTTACTACAATATAGGCATACATAACGTTATACTATAAAATTGTAAATAAATTTAAGTATTTTTTCAAATAGAATCTTTTAAAAATACTATAATTTTGCAAAATACGACCAAAGATGTCAAAAATTGTTACAAAAAGTTCATTTCAAAAAATTATGCCATTTTATTTAGGGAAAGCTAACCAAATCATTACTGTTCGCTGTGATCGCAGTAACCGTTGGATCCTCCTTCCAATTTGGATATCACATTGGATGTGTTAATGCCCCAGGAAAGGTAAGACAACAAAAAAGATGAGTGCAATCTACATTTCTTAAAACTTCAAACAAGTTTTAGACTTCTATTGAAGCTAATTTATCCTTCTCAGCCTTACTCAAACCTATCTTTTCTTACCTGATATTTTAAATAAAATTACCATGCTTTTTGGTCCTTCACGCTTGAAGGTCTTGAATTCAAGTTATAAGTCCTTTACTGTTCATCCTCCACTCAAAGTTTCAGTTGATCACAGAATGGTTCAAAGTGTCCCACAAACACTTGTACAACGAGACTCTGACCGCCGAAGCGGCCGACTTCCAATGGTCGATTGCGGTCGGCATCTTCGCGGTCGGTGGAATGGTCGGTGGCCTGTTGTCAGGCTGGTTGGCTGACAAGATGGGCAGGAAAGGAGCACTCTTGTTCAACAACATCTTCGCCTTGCTGGCCGCTGCTTTGATGGCCTTGGCCAAGTACGTGGACGTGTACTACCTTTTGACAGTCGGTCGGTTAGTGATCGGCTTCAACTGTGGACTGAGTTCTGGTCTTGTGCCAATGTACTTGACTGAAGTGTCACCCATCAACTTGAGGGGTGCTTTGGGAAGTGTTCATCAGCTTTTGGTCACCATTTCTATTCTGGTTTCACAGATTTTGGGCTTGCCGTTTTTGCTCGGAACGGCCGAGCGATGGCCGTACATTTTTGGTAAGATACCTACTATGATATAGCGAAAATATATCTACTGCAATATAAAATAAAAATATGTTAAAAAAGGATCCGTCTAAAAAAGCAAAATCCTTACATTATTATTGATATTTCTTCTATTCGATCACGTTGTAGCCTTCACCGTGGTCCCCTGCATCTTCCAACTTATCACCCTTCCGTTGTGCCCAGAATCCCCCAAACACAACCTTATCAACAAGGGTAACACCGAACAGGCCGAGAACGACCTCAAGAAGCTCCGTGACTCCACCGACGTCCATGTTGAACTTGATCTGGTCAAGGAAGAGGCTGCTGCCGCTCGTAACCAATCCAAGGTCACGATCTCCCAACTGTTCGTGGGCGTTCTGAAGTGGCCTCTGTTCATCGCCATCATGATGATGTTCTCCCAACAGTTCTCCGGTATCAACGTCGCCATGTTCTACTCAACCAAGGTGTTCCGTGACGCTGGTCTACAAGGAAATGGTCCCATCTACGCGACAATCGCCATGGGAGCAATCAATGTGGCTCAGACCGTGGTCTCGTTGTGGTTGGTCGACCATCCCAAGTTCGGCCGACGATCTCTGCATCTGGCTGGTCTGATTGGAATGCTGATTTCCTCTCTTCTGATCGTTGCTTCTCTGACCATTGCTGGTACCAATGCTCGTGGAGAACCAGAGAACCAATGGGCTTCGTATGCTTCCATCATCTTTGTGCTTCTGTTTGTCGTAGCGTTTGCTACTGGTCCAGGTAAGGGTTTGATAATACTTTAAAGTTTCCTATTGATATGAAAAAGCGACAGCCAACATTTTTGTAGCCTATCTAAGAAAAAAATTAACATAAATTGATAAAACCAAGAAAAATATGCTTTGATAAACTATTTAAAAAAACTATATTATACTAGACAATGTACGTCTGTTGTAAAATTATCAAATTACTGCTTAAGGTTCGATTCCATGGTTCTTCGTAAGTGAAATCTTCCCATCATCAGCTCGAGGAGCTGCCGCTTCTGTCGCCACTCTGGCCAACTGGTTAGCCAATTTCCTGGTTGGAGTTTCCTTCTTGCCACTGAACGTAAGTTATCTATCTAAATCAACAGAAATTAGCTGTTTCTGGACTCAACACAACAAAATAATGGCAAAAACAATGTTAATGTTTAAAAAACCTTGATATAATCACGTTTTGTGACATAGTTCATACTTAAAGATTTGTATAACTCAATATTTCGCCAAAATATCCTTTAAAGCTTCGCAAAATTCAAAAAAATCAGCGACAAACTACACCAAAATCTACCGATTTTGCTCTTAAAATATACGAACCCATTAATATTATCCTATAAACCTCCCTCCCATTCCAGAACATACTGAGACAGTACTCGTTCTTGGTGTTCTCCTTCCTCCTGGGCATCTTCATCGTGTTCACCTACAAGTTCGTGCCCGAGACCAAGGGCAAGACTCTCGACGAAATCAACAAACAAATGAAAAAAGGCAGTCAATAACCGTACTCTCATCCTACTGTAACTTCTCAGCCGTTTATTTATCACTAGTCCAGCATATTATAATGGATTTTCACAATTTTAAATTGTTACCAAACTGCCTCAGGCTTATTTAATCCACTAATAAAAGTATTAAAGCTTAGGTACAGTAATCCTTTGGAATCAGTCATATTTTAGTATTAAATACGGTTTTTTAGGTTTAAAACCAAATTTGCATAATTCAAAAGGTTTTGGTAACGGTAATGTTTAATGTACAAAAGTATATTACATTGTGATACAAAACATACAATTTCAAACTGTTATCATCTTTTGTAAAATTACAGTAATTAATTCAGTAATAGACCTGATTTAACTACCATAACCTTCAAAGCCTGATGACTAACAAGGAAAGTACCGTACCTGCCCCGCTCAGAATCAGCTCAAAATTTTTATATGAATACTTTGTACCCCAATAGTACCCATTAAAAATTTTAGCTCGCGCTTCTGAGTTTTAAATTTAAATTATTTGAGTTTCCCGCCAATTTGGCAACTTTGGCATTGTGTTTCAAGCACTTTTTTCGGCTTTCCAGACAAGATACGCTTACAAATTAAAAAATGTAAATTCATTTCAAGGTTTTCTACTAGTATATCAAAGAAAAATTATAAAAAGTCAAAAAATGACGAAGTTATAAGCTTAAAACACAATGCCAAGTTGGCGGGAAATTCAAAATGTCATTTTTTGATCTCGATTTTCTCGAGATTTCCTGGGAAGCGCGATTTAGTACTTTGCTATAGACCTTATATTTACATGATCTTCCTATATAAAAAGTTTGGAGTCAATCAGAGCGGGGCAGGTCGGGCACTTTCCTTGTAAATAACAGTTGACTACGGTAACAAGAAAATAAAACGTTTAACTTAATTCGAAACCAGTTTCCGCGTGAATGGCATACCGTAACTTCTCCAACAACACCGACTTTTTACTGTAATTTGGGAGTTTGAGAAGATTGAAACAAGTCGAAGCAGTTGGCAGTCGATTCGGATTTTTGCGTTTTATGGCCAAAAAGCCTCGGATCACTGAGCCCAGGGTGTCGCCTTGGTCCTGAAAAACAATATTATAAATCGTTTTCATAAAACCTCAAATTTTATACTCCTGCTATCATAATATGTTGTCCAAATATGAATGGACCAGTTTTATTTTAAAAAAATCAAAATTGCCATTTAAAGGCTCATTCATATTTGGACGACCTAATATAACACATCATTAACAATCAATTTGAGTCAATTCTTCTTTTATTCACTGTTAACTTCAGATTAACCCTTGTTACAACATGTCATACTTACATTGTCATCAGAAGTCTCAACGCAACGAATCGAGAACGGTGGTTCGAGATAAGCAAAGCCAAGTAATGGAGGTCGGGAGCAACTTGTTCCGAACTAAAAACATTCTGATATCCTCTCTAGTTAGCATACATACACTAAGATTTCAAACACGACAACATACCTTAAGGAACAGATGTCTTTCCTCTGAGGTGAATTCCTTTTCCATAATTTCCCACAGCCATCGTATGACACGATGATTACTGTGAAAGCCTCCAAAGTACTGTGTGTGCTTCTTTAGATCTTCCAAGTCAAAATCACTAAAAACGGATAATGTAAACCTTTATACAGGGTGTGCCAAAAGTCCCTGAACTCATTTTTTTAGTCATATATTTATTAAAACAATCAATCTACTTAAAACAACAACTAACAATAGTAACATATAGTACTAGTTATAACATAGTCAAGCGGTTTCGAAGTGGCTCCTCTTTGCCGCCGCGCAGAGGCGTAAACGCCTCACAAAGTTTTCAGCGATGGGCCGCAGGTCCTGATGCGTAAGTTTGTCCCATTCGGATGAGAAGATATTCATGTTGGAACAGGCACATAACCCCTCAAAATGACAGACATTACTCTACAGAGCCTCCTAGAGACTTGGCCATCGTCGAACACCGTCAACACCCTCGGGGCATTATGGTTTGGGCAGGAGTATGCGCCTCGGGCAAAAATCCTTTGATTTTGTTGAAGAAGGAGTAAAAATCAATAAAGAAGTGTACCAAAAAGACATTCTGGAAGTCGTAGTACTGCCTTGGTTCCTAAAACACTTCAGGAACACCAAATGGACGTTTCAAAAGGACTCTGCGCCAGCCCATAAAGCCAAAACAACACAGGAGTGGTGTCGGACCCATTTTCCGGACTTTATCACCTCAGCTGAAAGGCCTCCGTACTGCCCCGATCTCAACTTGATGGATTAAAGTATTTGGTCGATATTGTAGGCAAGGGTGTGTTGTAGAAGACACCAAACTTTGGAGTCTTTGAAACAAGCATTGATCGAAGAGTGGGACTCAGGACCTGCGGCCCATCGCCTAAAACTTTGTGAAGCGTTTACGCCTCTGCATGGCGGCAAAGAAGGGCCACTTCGAAACCGCTTGACTATGTTATAACTAGTGCTATATGTTATTATTGTTAGTTGTTGTTTTAAGTATATTGATTGTTTTAATAAATATATGTCTAAAATAATGAGTTCAGGGACTTTTGGCACACCCTGTAAAACAAATTGAAGACCTTAACGATTTTTTGAAACTTACTCATTCTGTCCAGATACCAAGTACTGTAGCTCCAACGAAGTGAATAGACACAACCATTGTGGTGATATTAAAGTCCTGAAGCCTTGAACAAACCTTTGACATTGTTCTTGAGTCTGATGAACTACTCGAAACAATGCCATCCGGTGAATGTATGAGATTCTGAAAAAGGAACATAAACAATAAATACAAAATAAGTTTAATGTACGACATCATAGAGAGATATATGCTTACTTGTTGATATTGTTGACTGAAATGTTACTGCCTCCAGCAATCAGTTCATGAGTTTCTACCTAAAATACATTAAAAATATTGGTAATGCCAAAAAAAAACAAAAAACATTCTCAAAAACTGTTTTTCATCAAAGCTAATTACCTATTTTAATAAAAAAAACCAAAACCCTATATTATCCTTGCCAAACCATTTACCTTCCCCAAAACCTCTTCAGTCAAGGCAAAAGTAAGCCCCAGGTCCTCCACATCTCCGTCGTAGTGCTTCACAAATGTCAGATTCTTGTACAATTCCGGATCCAGACTTGATAACTCATCAAACGCCCACAACTTCTTCTTCAGGACAGCTGCCAAAAGTACTGGAGCTAGGTGTAGGTCAATGCAGATCCCTTCATAAACCGCTTTTCCCAACATTTTGCCAACGAATTCGAACAGATTCAGATGATTATCATGAATGTACGACGTGGAAGATGGGTATAGTACATTGTTGGCCGTGTTCTTGAACAGATTCAGCCCTGGATCAAACACCTTCTTCAAGGTCAACTCGAGGAACTCCTTGAAGACACCGTCCTGGTCGATTCCCACTTCTGGCAGACCTTGTTGGTTCACGAACTTGACTCTAATCACTCCTTTCAATGCTTTTGAACTCAGGTCCGACAGTTGAACAAAGCCGTCTTCCAGTAGCCGGTCACGGTGAATCTCGATTATGTGGGTTTCGTGCTTTGAGAGCTTGTCCTTTTGTACCAGCTTTCGGAATAGTACTATACGCTGTTTGAGTGGTACTGAGTGAGGTAGCATGTTCATCAGTTTCAGTGCTCTTTGTGTGCCTTTTTCGAATTCGGCTACAATTTGTGATGCTTTTACTTCTCTGGAAGTAAAAAGATATTATGAATGTTATTATAAGCAAATTTAAATATAGAAGATAGTAAAATTAGTTATTTTAGTTAATCCTACTATAAAATATAAAAACTTTAAAATAAAGAGCTGTCCAAACTTTAAAATGCTTACTTTACAATCCAAAAGTCTTTAAAATTGACAAAAGACTTTCTACTGTCTCTCATCAATAGCAGCGAGTTCAGTTGGTACACACTCCCAAAGAGCACATCGACTGGTCGTTCCTGGTAATCTTAAAATAAAAACGTTTTGTAAATACCACATCCAGTTCAGAAAGAGCAAAAAATCCACAAAAACCTAAAACTTACGTAATAACTCTTCCCAGATGCATCTGAAGCAGAAAGTGTTGCAAAAAGAAGCAATTTCACAAAGCTGCTTCAACGTGAACGGCTTCTGATTCTCGTACAATTCTTTTTCGTCCAGAATCCTATAATTAATACAGTTTTCAATTATTAAATTAACTTAAAAAAGCTTATTCCTTTTTCAACGCACGATATACTAGAAGATATTAAATGCAATTTTATGTTGAAAAATAGGTAATAAACATTCAAAGATTCGATTATAAAATCATAAAAGTATCTTTAAACACATACGATATCAACGAATGCGCAGCTTCAGCAAACAGTTCCAAGGAAGACGAGTACGGTAGTTTAATATCGGGATCCAGGGTCAACAACTTCCAGTAACTTTCAATTCCTCCATCGTTTATGAACTCCCAAAGCCCTACCAAGATCTTCTCGTTTCGACACAAACCTAAAACAATGACTAAAGTTGTTCAAATAATTCTGTGCCCCTCTCAAAGCAAATTTTCTTATCAAACAAGAATATCTTTGAATATAAATAATTAGGCGTACTGTATAAGGAACCCATAAATAATAAAGTGTACCGTATAAAGTACCCACAACCAATAAGATGTACTGTTTACAGCACCCAAATGTCTAAAAAAAAGAAAAACTACAAATCATACCACTTAAAACGTCCGGCTTCTTCGCTCTGAATGTGGTCACCAAAGTCTGGTACAACTTGCACACTTCAGCTATCTGGTTGTTACTCGGTAAGTCGACAGTTGCTGACAAACCTTTCGTTGACAATATTTTAATCACTTCTGAAACAGAACGTCATGCTAGTATTAATAAAATTGTCTGCCCCAAGATCAGTAAACATACTGAAGCACTGTTTTAGTAACCAAAAACAGTGTTTCGGCCTTAAAACTGTATTAAAATTGTAATAAAAGCAGTTTACATTAACGCAATGTGTTACTACAGACACCCTGATAGTAATTACCCAAAAGTAAATAAACATGCTGAAAGAATAATTGCCAATACACAAAACTTACTCTGAACAAAATCGAATCCAGTAATCTCCTTCTGTGCCAACTTGACCGTTTTTCTGCCATCTTTTTTGTTGTCCACCTTTAATATCAGTCCAAATAGCTGGTCTAACATCCCTTTTGACCACAGCAACTCAACTTGGTATTGTACTCTGTTCGAAGCTGCTTGAGATCTAAAACAACATTCATTTTCATTCATAAACCAAGGGTAATAACACAAAACAAAGGCCCATCGTATAATATGTTATATAGAATCAAGTACAAAAGTTCATTGCGCGCCTTGTTACTCAAGTACAAAAGTTCCCGTCAGATCTCTAGTTACACTGTCACACCCTAAAACCAAAAAACTACAATAACCTTACCCTTCATCCAACCGTTGACTAGTCCAACCCAAAACCGAATGAAAGTACTTTTTGTTGACAACCTTCTCCTTGCAATGCTCTAGAATGTAGTTAATGGCCAATGTCCATGCCTCAACATTCATATCGAACAGAGCCTTCACTGACATTGTCAGTTGAACAAAGTTACCCAAGAAGTTGACAGAAGAAACAACATTTTTCAATTGCAGTTTATCTTCTGAAGCACGACGCAACACTCTTTCGAATACTGTGTCTGCTTCAAATTCCGATAAGGTCTAAAGCAATTGGTTATTATAATATAAAGTTGCTAATATCACTTCAGTGACTTTACATTATCAGTGTTGATTTGACAAAATCAACATTTCTGAAGTACGGTAAGTTTACGGCAGTAAATTAAAAAATATTCACTTACATCAGAAGTCAGTACAGCGTAAAATGCTGGACATACAAAGATACCATCCAAGAAATTGTCAATAATGTCCATAGTCCATCCGCCAGCTTTCATTACTCTGTAAAACTCCGTAGATTAAACTTTACAATGTTTTACTGTACATCTAGCTCTCATACTCAACATAGTACTAAAGACATTTAGTTCTCATATCTTTATAATAACCTACCTGAAGGTAAAGACAGCCAGTTGGTTCAAAGATCTAGATGGCAACGCTGTTTTTGTGCCTTTAAGACCATTAGAAATCGACGTCTAAACTCAATGTTATCATTGAGATAGAAACAAACTTACGGTCAGCTTATCAAATTGAGCAGAATCAGTCATTCCCAGTAACATCTTCGTACACAAACTTTGCATAACCTTAACCAAAGCCGGTTCTTTTACTATTCCCCACATAGTTGGATTGCTGTAAACTTCCAAGAACTCCACCAGCACTACCACCATTTTTAATTGGGTAATGTGCTCTACCTAAAGAAATATTTTAGATTATAACTTAAATTAACTGCAGACATGCTTTCTTTTTAGTAGCTACTGTTGCTACTTCCAATAGCAACTAGTGTTAACGTAAATATAAACTTAACATTCCATATGACCTTTCATCTATAGTAATGTAACTTACGTCTGCTTTAGAGACGAAATCAGTAACATGAGCAAACATGTTTTGAATGTGTTGAGAAGCGGGCTTGATGTATTGTACAGACAAGAATAATGTGGCAAAAGAGCATGACTTATTCGTACTTGTAATTGATTTTATCAACGTCCTAGTATAACAGACCAACAACTGCAAATACTTTTACTATTTTGAGTCTGTAAACGACATTTAAAAGTTTCTGTACTTTACAATATTTAAATACTAACGTCTTCAAAGCTTTACAAATCGTACTGCAAAGCTTTAAAGATGTTTGCAATAGAAAGAAGTACATCATCCAAACGTTTTTTCAGAATGTTCTTCTGATTTAACCTTTTTAATTTTAATATGTGAGCTTACATCCTTGTTAAAGTCATTTTTGCATAATTGTCCCAAAAGCAACCTTCCATAGGTTAACAACTTTGTGTTGGCATTCAGCTTGAGTCCATCTTCTCCAAAATATTCGTGAAACTCTTTCCTAAACACTCAGTAACATAAAATCAATATTCCCTTACTGTATTTGATCCTTCAACCTCTTCCGAGTCAGATATCCTTTAATATAAGCCCCGAGATCAGTAAACAACTTCTCGGTAGCTCTTTGTTGTTCTCTCTCACGTCGTTCTTGTTGTGATCGTTCCAGAAAACGCTCTGAATCCAAGTTTAACAACGCCATTGGCACTGTTAATTAGTCATTACTCAGAGACTTAAGCCATTACACCGGTCGATACATTGGTTACGCTCTTTTGCTTCATAAAGTAACTTACCACAATTTTCCGTTATTTCCGTTTATTAATTGTTTTTGCGCTAGCTGCGTCCAGAATTCTCAATACTGCGCTAAAACAACTAAAGTTTTCGAAGTGCGCGCGCGATTTGCAGCTGTTATCAATCTGTTGGCCTTCCGATATTGTCCTAGTTTTTTATTTTTTCTCGAATAACCGGAATTCTGGATGAATAGATTGTTTTCTTTTATTACATCACAGTTGTATACTAGGTTCTCGGACTTTTAAAAATATATTGTTTAGCCATGGTTGATGTCGACGAAACTATCAAACGGATCCAGTCACAGAAGGGAGTTCTGGGTGTTTTGATTATGGATGTTTGTGGTGAGTGTTTATTGATGTTTTTATTGTACTTTAGGTTGAGCACTTAACAGAATTTTGCGGTTTATGTATTATGTAAATTATGTATAGCTTAACATCGTTTAGGTCGTCCAATCCGATCAACGTTTGACGACGAATCAACAGCACAGTACGCTGACCGTTTGCACGAACTGTGTGAAAAGTCGAGGAACGTTGTGAAAGACCTCGACCAGACTAATGATTTGTCTTTCTTGAGGATGAGGACTAAAAACAACGAGATTATCATAGCGCCGGACAGGGATTATCTGATAGCAGTTGTGTCCAACAAGTCAACCTGATGCTCTCACGGCTTTAAAATTGTAAATTATACTGTAATTACTGCGTTATTGTAAAATAAACGAATGACATACATATAATAGATATTAATGATTGTGTTGTGTGCACTTTGTTATTTCTAATGGTTTTTTGGTTATGTATTTGAGTGTTTTGCTAGGTTTGTATTACTTATATTACCTTTCGCAGATGTCGTGGTTATTTGGAGTTAAGCCTCAGGCCGCGGTGCCGCCACAACAGCCAGAAGGAGCAGGTACGTTCACTGTAATCGTTTACAATATTATCGTAAATATTTTTTTGTTTTACTTTTTATACAGAAAAATAATGTTGTTAATAAAGTTTTTAATTTGTTTATAGCTCCATCAGGGCCACCACAGCCTCAAGGTGGAGCAGCGAAAGGAGATGGTTCTCAGTTTAACTACTCCTTCGATTCTACTGCTTTGGAAAGAGCTGCCCGTGCCGCCAAGGAACTGGAAAGCTCCTCAAATGCTAAACAAGCATTGGAATTGTCAAGACTTCAAGAAATCACAAAACAGAAGGAAATCGAAGTTCACCAAAAGGTAAGTTATCCAAAACATATTAACCTTGCAATTGTTACAAAAATCTGTAAAAATAGTTATTACGTCATTTTTAAGGATATCAAAAAGCAGCATGTTATTTATAAACATTAGTTTTTGACTAATCATTTATGGTTTTTTCTGAAATATAAGTAATATATGTTAATACTTCAGCAAATCGAGGCTCAAATTGCTTCTATGAAAGCTGAAGGAGCACGATTAGCTGAAGAAGAACGACGAAAGACGTTACAGAAGGAAACAGAGCACGCCAATTCTGTAAGTTAACTATTACTTTTGTTTTCATATTTAGATAGAACAGTCACACAGATAAGTTACTTTGAATATACATTTTCAGAGGGCACAATACCAAGATCAGCTGGCGAGAAAGCGGTCGGAAGATGAGCTCAAGTTGAAAGCTGCGATGCAGGAAGAACAACTGAGAAAGCAAGAAGAATCCGTGAAGAAGCAGGAATCTCTGAGGAAGCAGACCATAGAACATGAACTTCAACTCCGTCACAAACTCGATCTGGAGAGGATTCAAGCTGAAGTCAAGGCAAAAGCGAAGGCTGCCAGAGAGAATAGAGATGTCAACTTGGAGATGATGAAGGCTAGTGAAGAAGAACATCGTAAAACAATTGTGGAGCAAATCAAGTATGTTGTTGTATTATAAATTATGTTTTTGAATATATGTTTTTATAGGTTTCTCTATCTCAATTTTATATAGTTACATGAAGTAAAGCACGTGCAAAATACGGAATATAAAACAGGTTGCTAAAGTTGACTTTTCAGAACAAGTGGAGCGGTTATTGGTGCCGGCCTTCAAGAGTTTGTGAATGATAAGACCAAAGTTGTTACAGCTGTGGGGGGATTAACAGCCTTGGCTGTGGGATGGTATACGGCTAAAAGAGGAACTGGAGTAGTCGCTAAATACGTCGATGGCAGATTAGGAAAACCATCCTTGGTCAGAGAAACGTCTAGAGTAACACCATTTGAATTGGCCAAACATCCAATCAAAACGGCCAAAACCTTTTTGAAGAGATCTGCCGATCCATTGGAAGGCGTGGTACTTAATGTAGGTTATATTTCTATTACCATTTGTATACTTGGGTGTATATGTAGCTGTTTCTATTACATTTCATGTTATTTAGCCTTCACTGGAGTCTCGTCTTCGTGATGTAGCCATAACCACGATGCACACCAAATCGAACAATGGATTGTTTCGAAACGTGCTTTTCTATGGACCTCCAGGAACGGGTAAAACAATGTTTGCTAAAGGGTTGGCCAAGCATTCCGGACTGGACTATGCCATTATGACTGGTGGTGATGTGGCACCAATGGGTAAGGATGGTGTGTCAGCTATCCACAAAGTATTCGATTGGGCAGAGGGATCTCGTAAAGGGTAAGTTAACTTGTTTGAATGATTAGATAAAGAAAGTAATTGTTACGTTAAAAGGACGTTTAGTACTTTAAACCTTATAAAAATAGATTTAATATTAACTATAGGTTTTGATGGTTTCAGTTTGGTGTTATTTGTGGACGAAGCCGACGCTTTCCTTCGCAAAAGATCGACTGAGCAGATCAGTGAAGACGTCCGTGCCATGCTGAACGCCTTCTTGTACCGTACTGGTGAACAGAGTCGTCACTTTATGTTAATCTTGGCCAGTAATCAGCCAGAACAGTTCGATTGGGCCGTCAACGACCGTTTGGATGAACTGGTCGAATTTGGTCTACCTGGCCAACCTGAGAGAGAACGAATCCTACTTGAATATTTTAATGAATTCATCTCCAAACCGGCTACTGAAGGCTCACGGAAACAACGCCTGAAGATTGCCCAATTTGATTGGGTGAAGAAGATGGAGGAGATATCTCACTCGACCGAAGGAATGTCTGGTCGTGAACTGTCAAAGTTGGTGTTGGGATGGCAAGCAAGTGCTTATGCCTCCAAAGATGGGTTCTTGACTGAAGAAATCATCGACAGAAACACGAAGGAGGCCATCAAACAACACGGCAGGAAGATGGAATGGCTGGCTGTCAAGGGAAACGAAATCGGAGCCAAATCATTGGTAAGTTAACATAATTTCTATAATGTAGTTAGAAGAAACGAGCTTAACGATGTTATATATGTTGAAAAATATAGGGAACACTATGGTATAATGTAATATTGTCGAATAATGACTGATTTCAGACTCCACCCTCACTTAAACACGAACCGATCGAAGCTCGACTCAAGAAGGAAACCGCCGTCTGAACACATTCATACTCGTTTATTTAGGATGTTATAGTTTTGTTGCGTTGCTTGTTGAAATAAAATTGTTAAAAATATGACAATCGTACGTTATCGAACAATCACGATTGGTCAAACAACATCAGACAAAATTTTGTTTGAGCGACATCTAAAATTCGAAAAATTTTCTAAAATTCGTATTCTCAGTTCAAAAATTTGCATAAATGAGAGAAACATGGAAAACGCAGAATCGACCGCATTCTTCAAATTGTACATCTCAGAGGCGGTCGAATTGCGGAACGTTGATATCGTGGATCGGATTCTAGGAACTATACGCTGATACTGAAAACAGAACGGAAGCGATATGGAGTCGAAGCGAAGTAAAATCTCCGATCCGTGAGTTGTTCCTACTATTTTAAAGTTTTTAAGGATGATTACCATGAAAAGCAGTACCTATATATAGGCATACTAACTGTCTTCATAGATACATTGAAAACTTCAAAAGTTAGGCTTGTTTTATCACTGAAGATGTAATCATTATCTCCTTCAGTAAGCCAAAACCAAAGAAAAAGAAGGAGAAAGGCAAAGACAAGGAGAAGGACAAAGATCAGGTATCCAACATGACTCCAACTGCCGTATCTCCCGGCCCGGGTGGGAAAAAGAAGAAGCCCAAGCTGCTCCAGAAGGCCAACAACGCCGAGGAGGTTCGTGGCCAATGGGTGAGTGGCCTGATTGACAAAGGTACCAGAAAACTAGTACAAGAGTTCAATGAACTGCACCACAATGGAGCCGTCGACTGTGCCACCTTCTTAGCACCCGAGAACGTAGACAAGAACAAGTATCCGGACATTTACTGCCTCGAGGCGACCAGAGTACGACTCCCGAACGACGAGTACTACCATGCTAACTACGTGGCCACGGCTCAAAGCTCCACTCGATTCATCTGCGCTCAGGTAAGTGTGATGGGCTTCGGAATACGGTAGGGTTACTGTGACTTTCATTTTTATATCCAGACCAAAAGAACCGAAATTTTGCGTCCACTATATAGAGAGACCACTATAGACAGTATCTTAACTATATTGTACATTGGTCATAATGATGTGCGTTTTCAGTCGCCGAAAGAGAACACAGCAGAAACCTTTTGGAGTATGATCATCAACGAGAAGGTAGAAGCCATCATCATGATGTCCAAGTTCAGCGAGAAGAACCAGACCTGTTTCCCGTATTTTAGCCAAGAAGCTGGCGCGGCTGTGATTTGTGGTAATTGGAAAGTATTCACACATGAGGTAACTTACAAAGGTGGCATGTTTTACTATGAGACTTTTAAAATTTTGGACAAAATTGACTACTATAACCTATTTTAAATTTAAATTCGTATTTTGAGCTAAAAAATTTTAGAAGACGAACATGAAAGAGTTTGAAGCCATTTACCGCTTCACGGTCTCCATTAAAAACCAGAAGAATCCAAAAGCACCACGCCCACGAGTCATAATCCACCAATGGACAGACTGGCCAGCATACGGAATGCCTGAGGCATCTTTGTCACTGATGAACATTCTCCAGAGTGTTCGTGGCTCCAAGAATCCCATCGTCGTGCACTGTGACGATGGAGTCGGCCGGAGCGGAGTCTTTGTGATGGTTGAACAGTTCTACGAACTGTTGATGGCAGGTCATAACGCGAGTGACACACTTCAGATGCTAAAGGAACTACGGGCTCAGCGGTGGGGGTGCATCGTTCATGAAATTGTATGTTTTCATGTGGTTCCTTCCCCAGAACTTCAGTAACCTGTCAGTGGTATTGGTTGTCTTAAAACTTCTTACATCTTAAATTAAAGTATTTTGACATAGTATATTATATTGGTGAACGTGTTGCTTTCAGCAGTACCTTTATGTGTTCCGCATATTGTTCTTCTTCTTTATGGCACGGAAGTGCGTTGATTTGTCACAAGTGCTCCTGGAGTTCATTGATGATTATGATGCGGCGCACAAAAAATTCGTCCAAGTAAGTTTTTTCACTATGTAAGCCTAAAAATAGTATTACCAGAAATATATTTCGTATTTTATCAGTCTTTTGAACCGATACAAACCATGTCTAAGCCGCAAATTTAGGCTGAGAAAGATCGTGGCGGTGGTCGGCCACAATTGGTCGTCGACGGCAAACCCCTCCCACCACCTGCACCAAGTCCCAAGCAACCAACGCCTCGGGCCGTTTCCCCGGCTGTCACTGCAGCGGCTCCACCAGCCGAGCCACCTCCGCCAGTCTCGATGATCATCATCCCGGGCATGAACAATATCCAATGCGTGAACCAGCCCGCTCCACGTCCTGTTCAACAACAGCAACAACCACAGCCCGTTCAACAACAGCAACAACAACCACCACAGCAGCAGCAACAACAACAGCTAGGCGGTTTGCCTCCGCCCGAGAATAACGCTCCCGTGTCCATGTTCTTGCCATTTAAATAAATTGAACCGAGAGCTTTATCATCTATCAGTATTAATAATATAGTTGTCTTTGACAAAACTGAAATATCAGGTGCCGGCAAAAATGGATTCTCCGAATTCAAATTTATGAAGCCGGAGGGCAGAAGAGCCTAAGGTGATCGATCAAAAACTCCTCAAAATGGTTTTTCCAATCGATCTGGATGTTAGGATAACATTTTTGACTAGGCTATTGGTGCTTTTTGTACACATCGGTTCATTTTGCGGTTAAAACATTTTTGTGGTTTTAGGCGCCAAAAAGAATTCCTCCAATTTTTTATTAAAATTTAATATTTAAAAAACGACAACAACTAATTAACAAATATATGTATCAAACAAAGAAAATTAACAAGTATATATACCATTATTACCAACAACCTCTTGCCATCTCTTCGGCAGCATTTGAACTCCACTTCTGTAGAAACCTGGAGCTTTAAAATTGAAAAAGTCTAGCTGGAGCGTTTGAGCTTGTATTGGGAGTGATCGTAGTTCCATTTGATACCATTTCCCAGTATACAACACCTGTTGAGTCCTACCTAACGCTGATCATCTTTTGTTCAGGTGGTCGCTGTTTAACTTATGTCGAACCCATTGACCATTTTTCCATGATTTTCCAAGAGCGTGAAGTCCACGTGTTACGGTAGAAGGGTCACACTGAAGCTCCACAGCCAACTCAGTAATGGTTCGTCTCGGGTCTTCTTCGATCAGCTTCAGAAGACGGGTTTTCTCCAACACTGACGGTCTACCAGATCTCGGTTTCTCGGACATGTCAAAGTCACCGTTTTTGAACTTGAGGAACCAAACTTTTACCGTGTCATAGGAGACAACTGAAGGCCCTATAGCACTGCATATTTCCTTCGTCGCTCTTGCTGCGTTGCCGTGTTCACAAAACTTGAGAAGCAACATTGCCCGAACTTGATCACGGTTTAGCTTGACTTCTTCATCCATCGTAAACACTAGAGATCTTGGACATACGTTTCTAGTCCTTGGACTACTCTTTATATAGGTTATCAATAGAAAGTTCTAGAACCGTCTCGAATTTTTTAGCCAATTCCAGAAAAATTGGCGAAAATTTTTTCCCGACACCTAGTATATTAATAATTTGTTCCACAATGTATTATTGTAAATAAATAGTTATAACTTTAAAATTTTAATTTTCTCCCAAAAAATAAGAGAAACAGAACACCAATATCAATATGGTTCCCGGCGCGAAATGTCAACTTTACTGTGAAGCTTTTTTCGCCAAAAAGATTTTATTTTATTTACATTTTTAAATATACGGACATGGAATGAGTTTAGCCATGGATAAAGCCAGAAGGTCACCTTCTCCACAACTAGAATCTTTTCAATTTGAGGAAGATGAAGATGGTGAGGAGCTGGAGTCTGGCAGCAACGAGCGGTTAGAGGGAGAAGAAGACTATGATGCTATCAACGACGAAACGTTCGGTCGTTGTGAACCCATAGACAACGCAGATTTGGAAACGTTGGCAGCTAGAGTATGTTTTTGATTGTTTTATATTGTTTTAGATTCTGTTATTAGTTCTTGCTTTTTTTCAACGATTTTGTGAACAGCTTTTTACTGGCTGTTTCAGAACAAAAAAAAATATTTAATATATTTCTATTTTTAGGCAAAATTATTGGACTTTGGAGACGAACCTGATCCTGTGGCATGGCCAGATCCGAGTTCAATTCCTCTGCCGACGAATCTCTCAAGTTCTATGTTCGATAACAGCATCTGGGGATACAATAAGCCATCAACTTCTAAGAGAGATTCTAGCGATGACTTCTTTTCGTTTATTACTAGTGCAACTCTACCTCGTGAGTTATTTTATTATTTTTATCTTACGTTTAGAGAAACATACTTATCCATCGTAATTTCTCTATTTAGAGTCTTTTGATGCTACTGGGCAAAAACCACCTAAACCAGAATATCAGAAGGGCAGGATAGAAGCGCAAGGTTGTGCAGTTGACATACCCAAAGTTCAGTATTTGACTGAAGAAGACATCTTGAGGAAGGCTCGGGAAGAGGAAAGACCAAACTTGTTGTCGCAGTTGTTTGAATCGGCAAAAAGTAGGTCTTGGGTAATTCTTATGTTAGACAAATTAGACAATACTTTACTCTGAAATTTGTTTATTCTAGTGTTTGGAGTCAGATTTTTACGATTGTATGAAGTGTTAAAATTTAGGTATTAAAGTTTACTTTTTTAGGTGGAAATGGTAATCAAAAGATGCCTTTACGAGAGAGTGAAAGCACAAACAGTTTGAATGTGATGAGTTTGTTAGAAGTTGCTCAAAAATCTGAGCAAGCCAATAAACCACCCACGCCCCAAGCTCAACCCAAGATAGACAACTCGATATTACCCGGATATAACAATCCACCTCCAGGAAACAAGATGCCATATGAGATGCCAATGGTGCCTCCAGGCTTTCCTCCACCGAAACCTCCAATGCCACTTTTTAATGGACAGATGCACCCGATGTTACAAGCCATTATGATGGGTAAGATACCACCACCTGTACCACTACCACCTGGTATGACACCTCAGCATTGGGCCCAAATGGCAGCGAATATGTTTCCTCCCCTACCCCCGCCAGGAATGCCCCCACCTATGCCCTCGCCTTTTATGAATGCACCTATGCCTCCACAGCAGCAACACCATCCTGCGTATCATCCGTATTCTCAAAACAGACCTTACAAGGAGTATCGGGAACGAAAACCTAATCTACCTTCAACTAAAACAATATCAGACTTTGCATTTGATCCGTACGCTGGGCTGATGTCGAAGAAGGAAAGAGAATGGCTGATCAAGATTCAGTTAATACAGTGTATGGGGACTGGAGATCCGTGGGATGACGATTACTACTATGCTGTAAGTTGGGATTGAAGTAATATTTTAAAATACTGAAATGTTTTTCTATAACAATTTTGTTATTATTTTTAGTTGTGGAAAGATCAGAACGTGTTAGCAAAAGCACGAGAAGAATGGGCAGTTGATATCAAGCCCAAGTACTACACTTTTCATGACACGTATCCATCAGACAAGTATGTTCCTCCAGTATTTAATGGCAGTTTGGGACGACCAACTCACGTTTCGACCGCGTTTCCACGACAGATCATCGACCTACATAACGAGAACGGTGATGAAGATGACAGTCAGATTGGAAAGGTGAACAACCAGAAGAAGTTGAGGACAGTCTTGTTGAGGATTGAAAATGCATCGCTGGCTTTGTTGGAATGTAGAGATGTTAACTACAAACAACACAAGACGGAGCCTACTGATGTGTAAGTGTAATAATATTGTTTTAATTTACTTTTGTCTTTGTCTTCATAGTTTTAAAAGACGCTTTTTATATTAATATTACGGTCTTATCGGTCTTATTTTTTAGTGACATGTTGGATGTGCGTAGCAAGGTTAGCGCGATCGTACAGTCGATTGTGACGCCAGACAAACTACCTACAATCATGTTGATTCAGAAAGGACGACTACTTGTCGCTCAATTACTGGCCGAATGCAATGAGCGATTGGATTCCCAAAGTAAATGTTTGATTATCACCACATTGGTGGAAACATTGCCATTGTATTCTCGCAAGGTCCCAGCTGATGCCAATGTTCAACCTCTCCAAAGGGCTATTGTCAACGGGTTATGGTCTATGGATTTGTTGGGCTTCAAACAGTTCAGAGAGTCTTTCCCTATTAAGATCTTGTTCGCCGTATCTAGTAAAGTAAGTTCTTATTGTTTTTAATTAAGTTTTAGGTAACAAAAGAAACCGTAAACAGTAATTTTTATCATTTTCTGCCAAGTCATGTAATAGAAAAAAGCTGTTTTCAGTATATTTTGTATTAGAAGTTGCAATGAAACAACATAATCCTCATTCTTTCAGTTTTCTCAGCAGTTGTGTCTTTCATTATTGATCGGATTCGTCGGCCGAGGTGAGCTTAATCGAGAAGAACAAGTTTTTGGCACCATTGGAAGGTGGCTATCTTCAGAATCCCAAGAAGATCTTCGATTGTTGTATCCCGTGTTGAATCTCGAAGCCGTGGAGTTGGATCTTCTCAAGTTGTTCGAGGGTCTGTCATTGTTTCCTCAAAATTCGATCGGATACCAGTTATCAGATGTTCTGAAACTCCGAATCAAGCATCGACCTTCATGAGGAACTTTTTTAATTTTCCACTCAGCATTTTGACTTATTTAACTTTTGCTAGACTTAATTGTTATGAACATGTGATTTTTGTACGTAATGCAACTGTTGTTCAGAGCTGTAGTATTGTTTTGTTTGAAGAACTGGGTAGTTCTTCATATTTCTAACTCAAATTTTCACGTTTAACGTTAACATTATACATAATTAATAATAAATCCATAAAATCATATTAGTATTTGTGGCTACAAGTTGTGAGGACTTTGTTATATCTACTTTATCCTTCAAGAAGATATATATTACTTAAAATGATTTCTTATTAATCTTATAACTGAATAAGTTTAGGTAAAAATGGCCGACGCTTTCCGCGGAGTTTTACAATCATACAGACAATTCAAGAACGTTTACTTCAACTCTCATGAACACTTTGGTATGTCATTACTTTCCAGTAGTGCGCTTTGATGGCGCAAACAATACATTTTCAGGAACTTTTAAAGCTTTCATGTATGATTGATAAATTGTCAATTTATAGGTCGCAAGAACATCTGCGGAGCCGCATTCATGACCTACATTGGTATCTACCTCGCCTTCAAATGGAACGGCGCCCGCAAGGCCAAGAAGTTGGAAGCCGAGAAACACCGCGAAAAGCAAAACGTTCTCAACGACGCTCTGGCTCGAGCTGGTATAATCTAGGATAATGTCAACTTTGTGTATTCGAAGAATTAGATCATAAACAGTTTATATCATATTTACGGAGTTTTGAATTTTATACATAGCAGCGAGTCTTGAGTGGAGTAACGCTTTCAAATAGTATATGTCACCTAAATGTTGATATTTTGGTATCAAGTACTTTGTCTTTAGAGTCAACTGTAATACTATCGTTAATTTTTAATAAAAGGCTTTAAATCGCAGTTAAAAACAGTACGTTACAATAAAGTCCAGCTAGGACTTTGTGACGCATTAGGCCCCTAGGGAATAATTGGCAATGTGAAAAACGGATGCGAATCGTCGTTCCGTTCTCGGCCGTGCTTTATGGACGTATTCCACGATTCGATTTACAATTGGACCCAGGTAATCTTCAAGTTTTTAAAAGAAAAACGATAAATTCGTTTAAATTTCAAGCGCCTCGTCCTAAACCTTACCTTCCATTAGGAACTAACCATAGCCGTCTTGGTAATACAATATAATCGGTAGTTGTAGAACTTGTACTTCGTATCGCTGTTCTGCGTACTCGGACTCATATGTGCATTGGGTTGTGTGCTATGTGTATGTTTGGGATCGTTTCACCTGAACACATGTGTCACTTATTTATGGAGTTCTACGGAAACTGAAGACGTCTGACATTATCAATAATTCTTACCAGAAACTCGACAAAACGTGCTTAAACAACTAGAAACAAAACAGTTGACGAAACTTTATTCCATTTTAACTTACAACATAAAGTAATACCTTAAGCATTGTGCGTTTCTAATTATGTAAACCATGTGTAACATGTTTCTGAACTAACTAGATCTTGAATTTCGATATAACCATTAAAGTTAACGTTTTTTAAGTGTTACAACTCGAGATTAACCCTTTTTACAAGCAATAGCGTCGATCTGTGTCAATTGTGGCAGTGTCAACATCATCTTTCGTCTGTAAGCGGTCGTATCTTCGTGGTATAATGGGTTCCTCTCCAAATATAAAGTCCTCAAGGTTTTCACTTTCTCCAACTTCTGAATTTCCTTCCAGCTGCTCACTTTGTTGTCATTCAGCCACAAATCTTCCAGAGATTCCAGCCTTGAGAGATCTGGGATGGTAGAGATCTTATTTTCACCTGCATCCAGAATGTTCAATTTCACCTGAAAGTTAAGTTATGACATAGACATACCTACACGTAAAGTACAAACATATTAATACGTAAGCGTACTTACCAGCCCGGCAATTCCGGAAATGTCGTCGATACCTTGAGAACTGATATGAAGTTCTTCGAGTTCAGACAGGTAAGAGATGTCGCCGATAGAAGTCAGTCTGTTTCCCTGAACAAATAGTTGTCAAAAACTGACAAAAATTAATAAATTTTTATAAATGTTAAAACATCAAAATAACCCACAGGTACACTTAAAACTCTCAATTGCTTCAGATTCTCCAGGTTCTCCAGCTTCGTGATCTTGTTCTTGCCCATATAAAGTTCAGCGAGCTTGTCCAAGTGTCCGATGTTCTCAATGACTTTGATCTTATTGTCGCCAACTTCCAGAAGCTCAAGATTGAGTAGATTATCCAAACCCGACAAAGCGGAGATCTTATTACAGACCAAGAACAACTTCTTCAACTTGGTCAGAGATTCTAGACCTGAAAATGAAAGTTACAATTAAAATAACACCATTCAAACGTAATTAAATGCAAGTAAAACCCCAATTAGATAAAAAAAAAGATTTAAAAACTTCAAATTTTAAATATTCAACTTTAACTAACATTGTTACCTAAAACACTTACCCTCTATCGTTCTGATCCTATTGTGGCTCAAATCTAAGATTTCCAAATTAACAAGACCTTCCAAGTTCTGAATCTTCTCAATTTGGTTGTCATACAGATCAATTTCCGTCAACTGAGCAATGTTAATGTTGGCATTGATCTCTTTGATCAGATTCGTTCTCAAACTCAACGTCTAAACGCGGAATAATCAAAAACCAATCAACTTACATTAATATTTGGAAACCGGCTGAGCTCAGGAATGTTGTCTGCGACTGTGTGTGTCAAATCTATCACCTGAAAGCAAGTTAATTTAATTCGGCTGACTGCATATATGATAAAACATGGTAAGTAAAGGCGTATGAACAAATTTAAAAAAACCAAAATAACAATTTTACCGTTTCATCGGTTGGAATAACATTCAAATCGAACTGATTATACTCTCTTTTAGGCTTCTTCTCTTCAGCATCTTCTTGTTCCTGATTCTGTTCGATAACCTCCTCGTCTGAACTCATCTTTCGGAAAGTTTATTCCTGTAAAAAGATAAATATAAAAATACAATGCGAGCGCTAACAATAACAATAATTCTTCAAAATGATCGTTCAATGTTAATTGGAAGTAAATTTATATTGTATTCAAAATGAAATGAAATGAAATAATTTTTCTAGAAAGAACATATTGTTAGAAAATATAAAAGTATGTTATACGATCAAACATGTCCCATAATGTTTTTTCTTGTAAGAAAAATTTTCAAACTATCAAATAATGTTAAAAACATAATGTTTTCAAATATACATCAATACACAATAAGAGCCCAAAAAATCATTTAAAATTTTTACTTTATTTTACAGTAATCTTATAAATGCTTAGAAAGGAAAGTTTTGTTCCAACAGCTTATAATGCTTTTCTGATCTACAGTCTTCAGCCAATCCAGAAACACAGAAAAGCAATATAGAACATGTGAAACGTCTACATCTCCTGCGATTTCTTTTGTTGCTCTAAAAAATAAATTAATAACATATTATGTTGAAATCTAAAACTCATTTTATCTGACTCTACCGTAGTCAGCACCCTCTTTTACGCCCTACTCTTATCTTTCCTTACCGACATAAGTTACTAAACCATACCCAGCGCAAGCTAGGTTCTTATTCTATAACATTATATCATTCTATGCCGTACCTTTACCATTAATGTAAAAGTACTGTAATTTTAGGAATTAAACTACAATTTTTAACACAGATGTTGTAAATGACATGCTCTTGAATAATTATAGAGAACTTTTTAATTCTAACTTCAAAAAAATTTACAGTATGTCAAAAAAATATTCTAATGCAGAAAATTTTTCATTAGTGTATATCTTGACCAAAAAATCATTACTTTAACGCTGACTTTAGCTTTACTCATACCTGCTCCAGGGTGTCGCTCAACTCTTTTATAAGCAACAGAAAAAATATTAAGGGTCGAAAGCTTCTTTACGGCAACATAGCAAAAGGACAACTCTATACAATAATCAGAATAATGCGGTCCTTAATTAGGTTTGGAAGACCACAGCATAATCCGTAAAATATATACGACTTTAACTATATTTATTAAACTGTACTTTCAAAAATTAAACAACTCTTACTACACAAAAATTATTTAATATGTTCTGACCAATAGTTTTGTACCTCTTCTTTGCTCAGCGAATTAACCCAATCAGTAAACATACCAAGCGCTAATTCCATAGATTCCGTTCTGCAGCCTGGTTCTATATCTTGCGAAACGCTGAAAAATACACGTAATGAACTAAAAACCTTATTATTAAGCTACCACATAACCCTAAAAAAATGTTGCATGAAAAAATGAATTGCGCAACTTACCATCTCATGTCTAAAATGGTGTCCATAATACCCATCCATTCAATCAATCCCAATGTATCTTTTTGAGAATAGGCTATACGCTCAAAGAACTTGCTTAAATTTCGTTTCCCCCATTGAATTCCCACATCCTTCATCTTGTTTCTCATGGTTTCTTTATATTGTACCAAAAATTCTTCACGTTCTGGCCGGTGTTGTTGCCCAAGACTCTCCTTCAGCTGTTCCTCAAGCTGTCTCAACTCCTCTCGTCTTTGCTGCTCGTACTCAAGGACCTGTACTCGTTCCCTCTCGAGTTCCTTCTCCTTTTCCATTAAAAATCTTTGAACTTCTTCCTAGAATAACAAGGTTATATTTTCATAAAAACATTCTATTTTTCTTACCTGTTTCCTCAACAGCTCCATTTCCCTCTCCTTGATCTTACGTTCCCTTTCCTGCTGTTCGTGTTCTTCTCGTTTGAGGTTCTCTTCTCTTTCTTCTAGACTTCTTTGTTCTTCCTTTAGAACTCTCTTCTCTTCCTCTAGTCGTAGCTGATCAAGAGATAACCCCTGCTTTGCTTGTGCGCCATCTTCCTTGTTTGAACTGGATGCTTGACAAGCATTTAGAGATGGTTGAGACTGAAAGTTTGCGGCTGCTTGAGATTGGGGTAACTGCTGTGATCGTTTCTTTTCGACAAATGGAGTAAGAACATCATTCGCCTTCATCTGTTGGACTAAAAAATGTTTTTAGAAATTACTGTAGCTAAAAATTTACTTTAAACCGCGGAAAAATATAACTATGCGTGTCAATAATATTACTTTTTACAGTCAACCTTCTTTAGTATGATACCCAAGGAACTTTCTAAACCTGTCTTTATAACCAGGATGTCACACTGTGCGTTTTGTTAGGGGTTACCAAGGGCAGTCAGGAAGGTGTCATTATAAAGAGATTTACATACTATCGAGTCATATTAAAGAGGTTTCACAGTATCAATAAATATTTTTCAAATAGTTGGCCAATTTGTACAACCCTTTTGTTTGACAAATACCTTTTTGTTTAAGGATTTAACGCCTAGTCGTCTTATTTTATAATGAGCAGAAGAAGAAAATACGACGATATGAAATTATTATAGAAGCTAACAGGGTAATGCTAAAATAGTTGTAACTCCCTATACATAATAAAATTCAAAAAATAAATTACCAGCGAAGTGCACATAGATCGATCGCACTGCACCCGAAAACGTATAAACCTCTTTTTAGTGGTTCGTTATCGATCGGTTTTCCAATAATTGTTTCATTTCGTTGTCTTTCTTTTTTTCGGCTTTTTTTCGCTTGATTTTGAGACTTTTTGGCCTATATTTTCTAATAAATAGCTAAAGACTGGACCTTATGGCAACATTAATCAACTTATTTTTGGGTCTAAAGTGTCAATTTTGCGACTTTAACCATAAAACGCTTTGTTACTTGTTGCCTGTTATAGAAACAGGTTAATTGGCCTTGAGTATGTATTTTGTATTATTCGTTTTATTTTTAGGTGCAGAGTAAATGATGAAAAACAATAAATTTTAATGGCTAAAGACATATTTCTCGACTGAAGACTTTTTTGTTACCTAAATTAACACAAGGTTAATATTTGAAAGAAGTGAATATGCTTTAAAAATATTATATATTTTTTACAAAATATACGCTTATTAACCTAATTTAAACATTTTGTTACATAAAATAGAGAAATCATAAGTGATATTGCTTAAAATATATGAAAGCTTTGAATATTGGTCTTCATTTACGTCAACAAAGCAATTGTGAATGCTGAATTTTGTCCTACACATCCAGCCATGTTTGATTTAGTCGTGGAGAGTTAATTCCATCATGATGTCATTAAGACTCTACACCGAGCACCTCAAGTAAAGGTTTATTGTAACAAGGAATAACAAATAAATCAACAAAAATCTTCAAAATCAGTTCCTTCTTCCGTCCTTTTTGTTTTTATTTTTCTTTCCATTCTTCTGTTGCTGTGTTTTCTGTTCCTTGTGTTCTTCCTCGCCATTCTGTTCGTTTGGCTTCTTGATGTCATTTGACAACTTCTTCAGCTTTGAAACGAAGAAACCATCAATGTTATGAACGTGAGGATAGTATCTCCTTGTCTCCGACATTGAAGGATGGAAACGGTATTGTCGGTATCTAAAAATTACATTAAAAACACATTTTTATACCTAACAAAAAATCATGAGTAAAGTGTATAAACTTAAAATGTTTGACACAAAAATCTTACTTTGTGAAACCTTGAACTCCGACGTCTAGTCCCATTGGTACTAGTTTGACGTTTCTCTTCTCCAAAGCATATTGTACAACAGCTTCGTTCTCTTCCACCAACACTGAACAAGTCGAATACACAATATAGCCACCGGTCTTGGACTTTGCATCAACACTGTCAATGGCAGCCAACAACAACCGTCTTTGTGTCACATATCTGGCCTTGATATCTTCTTCATCTTTGCTCGACTTCACTGAATGATCCTTCCAGATAACACCAGTACCACTGCAAGGGGCATCGAGAAGAACGCGGTCGAAAGATTGCTTCTGAATCTTTGCGTATTCAGCACCATCCAAGTTGGAGACGATTGAGTTGTTCACTCCCATACGATGAAGATTGCCTACTACGGCTTTTAAACGGTCAGCCTAAAAGAATATTGTGTAAAGTACAGAACAGTAAACATAACTTACAACATAAACAGTGAATAATATCTCTTTAAGTCAAAACTTTGCAGTAACTTTTTATAAACTTACATTAAAATCGTTGGCAAACAATATACCGGTATTTTTCATTAACGAAGCAATATGACTTGTTTTACCACCAGGAGCGGCACACATATCCAGTACTCGTTCGTCTGGCTGTGGAGCCAGCGCCATTACTGGTAAGAAGGAACATAGACCTTGGATAGTGTAATGCCCTGACAGATATTCTGGTGTAGCACCAACTGGTACCTGTGAATCGTATACCACCAATCCCACTTTGGTCCATTTGGCAGCTGGATCCACGTTCATGCCTCGAGAAATCAAAGATCTGGCCAAATCTCCTCTGCGTGTCTTCAGAGGATTAGCTCTGATTGTTACGGGTCTGGGCTGGTCACTCGCGTCAATAAACTCCATGAGCTAAATTTCAAATTAATCATTCTGTATAAAATTCATTAAAATTTAATATTTCGTATAATTCATGTTAAATGATACATTTTTGAATAGGTTATGGCTTAAAAACATACATCTGCTTCTAAAATTAAGCATACTTTAGAGAAGTTTAATGTTTTTGATATTAGTTATTACTAAATTAAAGCATAATATTTTACAGATTTCATCCTCAAACTAACCTCAGTAGGACTCGGGAACAATTCCATAAACTTTTCCATCAAAAAGTCGTTGTAGTCACTGTAGTATGACAACAAGTTCATCTTTAATATCTTGAGGTAGTCAGCTCGACTTCTGCCTTCTACTCTTCTGTTGTTAAAGTCTCCGAGAACCTCCACAATCTCTTGAATCCGTTCTTTAACCATCTGCAAGTCCATTACTGATTTCAACTCTTGTTCTGCTTCTTCAACTGTTGGAAGATCGTACTTGGCTGTGTTGGCAACATTAAGTTGTAGTTCATCTTCATTTAGCTTGCTAAAAGATTAAAAATAATAAACTGTGAATTTAGGTATGAACAAGGTAATTAAAATCGAAAACTTTATAACAATTATAATATCAAGATTAGACGGTTACTGCTTATTGTAGATTTTAATAAGAGAGTAACTTACTCCATCTTCTTTTGTTTAGCTCTCAGCTTTTTTGATTTCTTCTCAATCTCAAGTTCTTCATCGTCGCCTTCAGAAACATCAGAATCCGAGTCTCCTCCGTCCAGTCGTTCCGCCTCACTGTCTCCATCAAAGTCATCTTGCAAATCATCAGAATCGTCCTAAATTTCGATATAAAACATAAAATAATATATTACCTCTTCGAACAACTTCATTTTCTTGGCTGATACAACTTCATCCTCGATCTCCTCTTCTTCCACAGGCTTACTGACTTTCTGTCGTTTTACCACTTTCTTAGTCTGAACTGTTTTCTTTACCACCTTTTTAACTGTGCCATTTTTAGCAACAGTCTTCTTGACGGCTACAGTCTTTTTCTTAATCATAGCCTAAAAACAGGTAATTATAATTATAATATAAATCTGTAAAAAAATATTATGGTAAATAACTTTTCAATACGAATTCGGTCCCGAAAATACACATTAGACACAAATAAATTAACAGTAACAAATCCTAAAGAGCTTTTTGCAAACACAAAAGCAACAAAAACAACTGTAATTGCAGATGATACCGTCTTAAAAGCTCTGTCTGACCTCCCACTTGCTTTTTTGTTATAAATATTAGCGAAAGATTGATGTTTACATTAAGCTGCCGAAAGGAATATAATATATTGTTGTTAGTTACTAAACCTATATAAATCTAAAAGCAAATTAGTACAAAAATCTTTAGTAAATGTCCAATATTTAGCTAAAATCTGTCAATTTGATAAATTTTTCGACAAAAATATTTTGTGAACCCTTTTTTTATTTTACGGCTTGTTTTCGTGGCGGGACCCATATGCGTGATTCGTGAATTACAGATGAGTAGCCGGCCGATGACATCAGCTATCACAGCAATTGTCTTTTATATGTAGTAATATTTGTGTTTCTATTGATAATTTTTAATTTATTTTATCAGCATCTAGTTTATTTTAGCTTTGATGGTCTATTTTGACTATTATATTTTAAATTGAAACAGCGACATTATTTGTTTTAATTGGATTACTGTAGAGGACGGAAGGATGTTTGCCTGTGTGGTGGTTTAGATTATCAAATAAACCGGGAAAGGCGAGCGTAATCTTCCGCTTTTCATGAACAGATTACGTCTTTCATAGAAATTTGATTCCTTAAACGAGGTTTTCCTGTCTAGGGTTCATCAGATGGAGGTTGAAGTGGTTCGTTGGACGGGCGGGTTCTTTAAACCATGTGTGGTGGGATTGGTCTAGGAATCTGGATTTAGGTTTGGCATACTTTGAGGACTCTTTAAGTGTCAATTTTTTGGTTTAGGCAGGTTAATTTATCTGAATTTGGCTACAAAGTCGAACTTTTAACTTGTTGAACTGGACATTAGTTTGTTTTCAAAGTTTTTTAGTTTTGCATGAGGTATTTTTCCAAATTCTAATGTTTAAAGTGTTGAGAAGATAGCAAGGGTTTAATTTTGATGTATTATCTCTTATATATTTATCTAAATTTAGGTAAAACATCATAATCCACTAAAATGTTGCTTGTTTTGACGTTTTGAACCCTTTTTGTCCATTGCTCACAACTCAATTCCTCTAAACCTTCCGAATTCGGCCTTCTCAACCTCCGGAGTTCAGTCTTCTTAAACCCTGACACCTTTTCTCGGGGCCAGATGACATTCCTGACGTGCATCTTCTCAAGGGACATCAGATACATGGACGCTGTTTTCCCACATTGTTTTGAGGAAGGAACCGCCATCTTTCGGGTTTGTAATGGAACGTGTTTTATTTAACCGCTCTTGGCGTTCTCGACGGGGCGTGCCCTCTCATTACCGTATCGATGGCGATTTAATCTTTACTTAAACCTTTGTACGGAGCTGCACGTGTTGTCGTATCTTGTAATTGACTTGAACTTCACGCTCGGAGCGCCGTTTTTTGTTTACCCGGGGGGCACGGGTTTTATTATGTACATCAGTCATGATGACTCTTTACCTGTAGGAATTACAAGGTTGTTTTTGTAGCTAAAATTACAAGATTGTTGTTTGGGATTGCAATATTGTTCTTGGAAATGTCACGGTTTTCTTGGGCTTTAAGAATAAGTTAAGAGCTTTATTAATTGTAATTTTGGTCTGATGCAAAACTATGAGACTAGAAGTTACCTTTTTAGGTTTAATAATAAGGTCAAAAAGTTCAGAGAAATATTATAATTGTCGCTGAAGATTTGTTTTGAAATTTGTTATAAATAAGGTGAAATTTGAATCTGTCTAAAGCTTGAGTGTTTCTCCTTGTTATATGTATATTTTGACCAAGTTTGTCACTTTACAATACTCTAAACCGCTTTATAAAAAACCCAAATTATTGTTGATATTACCTAAATTTCTATGTAACTCCTCTTGTCACCACATCCTCGTTAATTGTGGCCTCAACGTAACATGACAATTATCTGGCCGAGTCGTGGTTAAAACTACTCAGTAAGATGACTACTTTTCTGAAGAAGGCTTGTACATCTCCGTACGAGAGTACAACGAATCCGGTTTCCACGAAGGCTTATGAATAATTAGAAGAGATATGAGACAGGTGCCGGCTATGACAGGTGTACTTTTTATACTTGTAGTCTGTCATCGTATGTTGTGTACATTGTCGACGGTACTTAAAGAAGCGCATTCCGTACTTTTTTAGAGTTTTGGTTTTTGTGATGAGGAGTTTGGTTTTTTTTAAAAAAAATTTTTTTAATTTTAAATTATGTTTAATATAAAAACTTTGGTTTTAATAACATTACCTTGACTATAAAAAATGTGTAAAAACAGCAGTATATCTTGTAAAATAATAACCAAGTCTTAGCTTTACATCTGGTTAATGACTATCTTTCCTTCCCTAAGCCGGCTGCCTCTAAGTCTGTTTGTAAAACAATGTCAAAGCGGATCACAAATATTTTGGTTACATTGTTGTTGGATTACAATTGTAACTCCACGTCATTTTACATTTCAGTTTTTACATTTGAGTTTTCATGTTTTGGCGTTACTTTGTAGATGACCTTCCCTTTGTTGTTTGTTTTGTTTTACACTGTTCCTCTGATGAATCTACTCTTTTCTTCAAATTGTTATGACTTTGTCTAAAATCTTTTTTGTCTATTTACAGTAGGGTTCAAAGTATTATTTACTACAGTACAATTAAGTTTTTTATATCTATGTTTGTAAGATACCTTTAACTTTGATTAAGCCTTTCCTTTTCTTTGTACCTGACTTGGCTAGTTTACAGACTTTATTTTTATGGTACAACCGGAAGCTAGATCAACCTCCTACCCTCACTTTTTTTACCTTACCACCCCCTTACCTCTGTCGAAGCTGGATATTACTAGAGCTAAAACGACAAAAATTATGTTTTTTATGGCAAAGAATGCTCTTTTAACCCATTTCCTTACAGTAAACTGTTTTTTAAGTTTTTTGTCCATCTCAAGTTGGGCATGCAAATGTTTTTTGTGGGACTGTTTACTCGAGGTTCATTTAAATCTGGAAATAATTACGTCACGGATGTTTGTTTGTATTCCGTTACAACGAACGGCTCTAATTAACAGTTACAGGGCTTTGGGACAACATAACACAACACACACAATGGTGGCATTGTCGGTCGTCGTGCTACAGCTGATTACCGCGCTTCTACTGGTTGTTGACGGGTAAGTGGGGATGGTAATTTATGGTATAACGAGGCTGTATTTGGTTATTCTGGAAGTTTAGCTTTACGAAAGTATAAGGGGATATCTTATAGTGTTTGAAGCTTATTACTGTAGTTAATAATAAATACTTTGGTATGTTATGAATCAAAAACTGACTGATACGATTTTATATCATCATGTATATCTTTTAAGTAACTTTTTTACTACGTAAATGTTAGTAAATCTGTTATTCATTACTCTGTAAAATCATTATTTATTTTGTAATTCTGAATAACAATACCATGAATCGTGGTATGTTTCTACATACAATCATCTCTGATACGTGGATTAACATGTACATGTACAACGTACAATTACGTATCCTGTTTGTTTACATCTGGTCGTTCTTCGAACACATTTCCTGTAGCGTTATCTGTAGTGTTTTGACCCAATTTCGGTTTAATTATAGTATCTTCTCCTTTTCGGCCCGAGGCTATTTTAATTTCGAAGGATTAGCAAGTTGAGCACTTTGTGCAACTCTCAAAAGTAATTACAACGAGAGTCTTAAGCAGTAAATTCGAGTTGTCTTGAGTTATGACCAAGTTTATGACCAAACTTAGAGGCGTCATTATGACTTTCAAAAGCCGTCATTATGACATATAAAAGCTGGCATCATGTCAGAATTTAAGTTTCCTTAAATTATGGACAATTTTTTTTTTAAATTAGAGGCGTCATTACCTTTAAAACCCGTCATCATGACGTTTAAAAGCTGTCATCATAACACTGTTTTTATTAACATTTAAAGCCAAATTCTTATCAAATTATAAAAATTTAAGTTACCCAAAATCTAAAATATTATTTTTCAAAAATTAAATTTATTTTTCAAAATTCTGCCGGAAATAATATAAAATTTTTTTTTCAAAAAAATGTCAAATTTATGAGTCTGAAGCGTTGGCGGAAACCATTCTTTTTTGGAGTTAATCAACTGTGAGTAGATTTGTTGTCATACACTTCCAAATTATTGTTTGTAAACAAAGTTTTAACCAGAAATATTCGAAACTCTTGGAAAACAAGTTTTTGTAATTTTACGGTCAATTTTTAATTTAAATTTTGAAATTTTTAGAGTTTAAATTAAGTTTCTAAGGATTTATTATATTTCTTATTGAGTTTCACAACTTTAAACTCCAGGTGGACATCTGGACTTCAAAGACACAGCTCACTGATATCTCTTGATAATAAGCTGTGGATTTCTTAAAAGTTTAAAACTTTAAACTCACAAAAACCTAAAACAATGCGTTCGAACGTGAGAGCAAAGAGTATTAGCATTGCAATCTTGATCGAAGTGTACTTTTAAAGTGTTGTTATCTCTTTTCTGTTACAAAAAGTTGTTTTTTACAGTCTGAGCGGCGATTCAAAGAACAAAGCCGAGAACAGGTGTAACTCCTAATTAATTTTTTTGGGCTAGAGGTGGGGGAAGGGGGAAGGGGTTGACATCACAAATTATGTGCACAAAATGGAAAATGAGGGTGGATTGCCGTGACAAAAATAGACATATTATAGTAGGATTCAAAGGTATAATAACAGGATTCTGGGGACTTCTGGACCACACTGGATGCATTTCAGGTGGCTAGGTGATATAGGTGTAAGAAGATATGTATGGACATAGTAATTAGAAAAGCAAAACCGGTTTTTACTTTTGGGTATAAATACTTATTCGTCTTTCTAATAACATACTGTACACTAAGGTGTGAATAACATACTTTACATTAATGTATGTACCATATCATCAAGTACAGCTTTTTCATTTTGTATTTACTTACCTACTTCTTATACTCGTCTTATACTTTCAAGCGACCCTTGTAACACTTACATTAACTTGAGATAGCCTTGACATATAATATTTACAAAAACAAAATTTCAAAAACATCATTACTACAACAGTATAGTATAAAAACTACAGTACAACAATATTTTTTGAAATTTAAAAATTGATTTTATAAAAACGAATGTTATAGTACAATATAAAAAAATATAGTAATGTATGTATAAATATCATATCATTTTAGGTACATAATAGACAGATGGTCGACGCTAGAAGACCCCTCCCGGCTATACCCACTGTCAGACACAGACTACATCAGGTTTCCAGTACGGCGGAGTGTGGATGAGAGCTACAGTAGTCAGGGCTATGCCAAAAAGTCGCAGAATCTGAGCTACAAAGCGCTGAAGAAGTTCACCGGAGCTGGCTCCAGGAACTGCTTCTTCACGCCGATTCAGTGCATGATTCAGCACGATATGAGCAAGTACAAGAAGCTGGTGGACGGGAACAAGGTCATGCAGAACTAGGAAGATTCTACGGTATTATACAGTAGCTGACATGTGTTGTTTTACCATAACATCTTATCGTAACATTGTTGTGATACCATAAAATCTCACTATGTACCGTACTGATGCTATAATGACTCGTACTGACACCATAGTGACTCATATTGTTACCTTAAAATCTCACTGTATGATAGCATCGGTATACTGTAACGTAACAATTTTTTGCATACAGTATATGTTTTTCATATATTTTGTTGTACCATGCCATATGTTGTCATAAAGAAACATTTATTTGTATACTGTAACTTGAACTTAGTTATTATACCGTATTTTAGTACCTTTTAGTATACTGTACTTCAACCACCTTTTAGTTTACTGTATTTTACCATCTTTTCATATGCTAAACCATAAACTATGGGGCTATACCATAGAGTAATTTAGTATAAAAACCACAGTATATTAGAGCGAGTTTTACCACCATAACGTACTGTAGTATATTGTATTTTAATTTATTATCCGTACCATCTCCTGTTCTACCGTAGCATCTCTTCACTAGGCAATTGGTGTATTTACTGTCTTCTTTCACTTTACTTTACTATGTGGCCTCACCCCTATTATCTATAGTTATGCCTTGATTATATGTCACGCCATAATCGCTACATTGCTTCTGTCAACCTACTATGTCCAAATGGTATTTTTTACAATTTTTCGTCATATTTTTACATTTCGTCACATTTTACAGTAATTCATGGTAAATGTGGCATTATTGTTTGACCTATAAAATTAAAAAATTACTTCGCTGTAATATCAATTACTGCACTGTAGTATTACCGTTAATTCACGGTACTATTACAATTACTGCACTGTAATATCAATTATTTCAGTGTAATATCCCCAGATTGCCACGATAACAAGATGCGTATCATTTTGTGTTACGTCCGTTTCGGAAACATCCCTTTCGACTATGAGTAATTCAGGGAACAGCAATATGTTTGTGCAGTTACGAAAGTAATCACACTGATGTTTGGCCCTATACACTACCTTCGGTATGAATAAATATCATTTTGTAACAGATTGTATTACCAATTGGTGATACAAAGTACCACTTTCTCTTTAAAGATAAGACTTGCTATTACAATGTACCACTTGAGCGATGTAAAGATGCTACTTGGTTTTCTAATACACAAAACTCGGTCCGAAAAAAACATGAGTAATTTTGAAATTGTAATTAATAACAATGTTGTTGAACAAGACTAGCTCTCTAGTTATTAATAATGTTAATTGTCATAACTTTCGTGTTATATACGTCAGTAGGGATATAAACCGTGTAAAACAAGGCTGGTTCGTGTGGTAATTGGAAAAATATACCTGTTAAGCTGTTCAGCTAATTCTGTGCCTCTTTTCAAAACAAACTTTCAGTGTTAGAAAGCACAGAAAAAAGCACAAAATATTTATCAGAACAATATATTAAATAGTATGCTAATTATAATATTAATAGTCCCTTATAACTCAATTCAGTAGAACACCATTTCATTGTAAGATACTGCCATATCAAATTACTATAATGTGCCCAAAGAATAACATATTGTAGTAGATATGTGCCAAAAAACACCTCAAAGTCCAGAAACCATCACATGGCAATAATAATATAGAAGAACAAATGAACAGACTTACAATTTAATAACACAACACAACTTTGAAAAACATCTATATCACAGAAAAAAGAGCTACATAGTCATTATTTTTACATTACCACTGTCTCTCATACATTATTATGACTTATTACATCAAAAACCATTTGATCGGCCGGTCAATTTTGTAAATTTTATGTAAAAACTGTCAGTAATCATAAAGCAGCAAACAATATACTATTACAGCCAAACCTCTTTAGTATAAAACTCAAGGGTCTGAACCAAAGTGTCATTATAACCGGGCAATCGCACTATCCAGGTACTTTTTGTTAAAAGTTCCATTACAAAAGACGGTCAGAAATTCGTCATTATAAAAAAAGTGTCATACTAAAAAAGGTTTCACCGTGCCAATAAACATCTTTACCTAAGTTTTACTGTTACGTATATATCAAACAATATAAACAGAAAACAACCTCTATCTAATTGACAATGCCATCAACACTTCAACTGACTATTGTTTCTTTAAATCAGAATTTCAACAAATTTTTGATAACACAAAAGACAAAGAATAGTAATAAGTGAACAAACTCAAACACCATCTTTGGAGCAAACACACTCCAAACAAACAAATGATTCCTCTGCCAGAACACCATCATCGTACTCATCAGTGCACATGCTAGCCTCGAGAATGTCATTAACGAAATAAACAATGATCTTTGAGCTGCTGAGCTAAAATTTTATATTTGAGAAAATGAATAGCACACCAAATAACTTTTGTAGAATAGTAAAATGTAAGGAAGATGAATATTATTTGCAATATATAGTAAAATATGTAGTAATCGTGTTCAAATAGCAACACTTACCTCCCCATAACAATATTGATAGGACCCAAGTAGAGCTTCAGGAAGATCTGGAAGCCTACTATCAACATACTGTAGTCTTTGAGACCAGCATAGCCAACATTAATATCCACTGAGCTCAAACTTTCACTGTTACCCTGAATATTAAAATTATATAAACTATATGTGATTAGATAACACTAAGAATCAAGTACGGCATTCAGGTTTAGCTACTAAAAACAAATCTAAACTACTTTAGTCAATCTTAAGTCCAATATTCAAAGTCTGAAATTTAATTTTTTTTTAAATTAAAAGCCTTACCGTATAAAAGAAAGACGCCATAATGATCAACACATACAATGACTCCAGTTTTCTCTTCATGTCACTAATGCAACTACCCAGCAGTTGACATATAACCACTACTACGCTATCTTGAGGTCCACATATAAAGAGATACCACATAGTTAACCCGCATCGAATGTCTGATAAGTAGAACATGACAATGATTAATATTTGAGGATACCCAAATGTACTGCAAATTAATTTGTTATCAAGCATATAATAAATTTAGAAATACCAACTTTAAACAAAAAGTAAAAGATGAATAACATGGCAATAGCTATAATAATAGTATAAATAAACTTCAAATTACTACAATATATACAGCAACACTTACTTTAAAACTCCATGCTTGATTAGTCCAAGATACAATAAAATACCCGTACATTTAGCTGATTTAATATTCACAAAGTTTCGCAAACGCATTTTTGTATTTTTAACTACTAACACCATCAATAACGGCACTAAAATGGCATAGTACCTGAAAAGGCAGTTTAAACACAAGAAAAAACGAGTGTTGTTACAGGAATAATCACTGTGCTGCCACAGTAACTGTACTTAAGATCAAATATCAAGTTGACCAAATATAAATGAGCCATTCAAAGCGTCCAACTTTGAAAATTTTGGATCATCCATATTCGGACATGACAAAATATAAAACATACACCACAATCTTAAAAAAACATACCAGTTACCCCAACTGTCCAAACCTTCTACCTTTTCCATTAACCATCTTCGTCTTTTATGTTCGAATGGTAATCGCACGACTCTTTGTAGCACCATTATAACAAAACTGTACATACTGTCAGTTTTATTGAGATACCAACTCAGCATTACTACGGTTGGAACAATGTAATTCCTGAATCATTATTAAGTTAAAACAGAGGAACTAAAAGTTGTTATCACGTTAAATTATTAGGTCGTTCAAATAATTCTGTGCCACCGATCAAACCAAATTTTACGGGTTAAGAGGCCCAGAATAATGTGAACAATCTAATAGCAATTAAGCAAATATTAATTTATTACGTGGCAGCAATTAGACCCAAGCCAGAAAGTTGGCCTAGCCTAGTAGCTATGTCACAATAAAACATAAAAGTATAAAAATAAGATAGGGTAAACTAGAGATTTATTACTTACAGTACATCATGCTCTTCTTCGATAAAACTCGAAGATGTCCATAATACACATGGTAGACCAGCGAAGACCAAGTTTATTAGTGCACCTTGGTTGGATTTAGCTTCATATTCATATAAACACATTAAGAAAAGCTGTAAAAGTACATTTAAAACCATTCAATTTTTAATTATCATAAGTAAAATACGTTTCAAACAAAAAATTAATTATTTTAAGTAAATCATAAAAAACTAGTTTTTAACAATTTAAATAAAAGTTGGTAAATTAAAAATACTTACAAAAGCCAATAACCCCAAAGAAAAGAAGATACGATTATAGTTGATATGTTGAAGAGAACTCAAAGCATCGAATTGCATATTCTTGAGCAAGACATTACACTTTTCAAAGCTTTCATTTGCTGTACAGTAAATGTCCAAATCTGCAAACCAGAATGTCATATGTAGGTTTAAACACAACCTCTTTAAGTTAAAACCAGTCGTACTATCAACCTGTACAAGATATACAACATAACATCAACTTGTTACAATATATCACATAATTCATAGACAAAAAACTTACTTTCAACTTCTTTATTTTCAGAAAACAAAGTTTTAAATTGTAAAATGTTGTCTTTCATCATCGTAATACTACTTTGACCGACTTCCTTAAACGACAAAGTAAAAGATATTCCCAAGTTGTTCACCGGAATGCAAAGGTTAAGATAACTTGCAATAGTAGGTACAATATCAACTTGTTCTACCAACTTTCCTAAAAGTGTGATAAGTAAGCCCATTTGTTTTATTTTTTAAGTTAAACTCTAGTTAAATTCAAAACCTCTCCAATAACAACGTAACCTTACCCTTTTTATCCATAACATTCGTGTCAATGTCATTCCCTTTGACAAAAATGGCAACATTACTCTCTCTCGGATCTCCTCCACCGTGTCCACCAGTCTCTGTCATACCATGATCACCCATCACCACCAAATTAAAGTCACCATGACCTTCCAAACTCCTGTAGATCCGTTCCACAACACCATCCATTTCTCTCAACTTCTCCTTGACTTTATCAGCTCTTCCTCCCAACGAATGCCCAATGTGGTCCAATCCAAGATAATGCAATACCAAGATATCCCATTTGTCAAGGTTGTTCAATTCATAGTCAAGATGTCTGGTGACATTGTTGTCAACTTCGGTGTAATCAGTTACGTAGAATGATACTGTACCTTCAGATCGTTCGAAGACGTTTGGAAACATCTTTAGCCACGTATCATCGCCGTAGAAGACAGTTCTGCAAAATAATTTAATTATAGACAAGCTATATATGATATTTCGCAGTTATTTCTAATATTGCAACCAATATCTTGTCCATAAACAATAAAAGCTGAAGATATTACCTATACCCACTGTCTTTTCCTCTTTTAACCCAATTATCTTCTGCGAATTCCAATGTCGCATAGTTAAAAATTACGTCAAGATACGTTGGAACTGTCCCTGACACTATTGCCTAAAACAAAAGCATGAATCTTCAATATATCTTCCATTTATCACTGACGGTCTCCTCCAAAAACATTGAATACTTTACTTTTATTGTTAAAATAACAATAAAGCCTGCTTTATCACTCAAAAACACATTTACAGGGTGCGTTCCACGATGGCTTCAGCTTTAGGAGGGTCTGTTGAGTACCATCTGTCATTTTGGGGATTGTAGGCCTGTTCCAATGTAAATATTTTCTCATCCGTGAAAAGAATTCATTCCCATTTTTGACCAGCGGCCCGCTGCTGGAGCAGTTTACATCTTTTGAAGCGTACCGCTTTGTTTTCCTCAGTTAGCTTCTGAACTTTTTTGAGTTTGTACGGCTTCATCATAAGTTTCTTTCTCACTATGTACCTCAAAGTACTTTCTTTGATTCCTGTCTCCCGGGCCATTTTTCGTACTGGGGTCCGTGGATTTCGCTTGAAGCGCTTCTTGATCATCTGACGATTGGCCACGGTGTTAACATATGCGGGACGCCCAGTTCTAGGTCTGTCACGGTCATGTCCAAGCTCTTCGAAACGTTTTACGGATCTGTAGACTGTCATTCTTGAAATATTCAGCAATTTCGCGATTTCGGGGTTACTTTTTCCTTCATTATGTAATTTGATGACGGTGGCCCTCATGTTTGACATCTAAATACAGACAGACATTAGACAATTAAGACTTAACTTTTATGATTATACAATAAAAAAACAACCGAGAATAAGACAAAATAAAAATTTTTAAATAATTTAACCGCAAGAGAGAGAAAACGACCGGTAAAGTTTGGTAACACCACTTTTTACGCACCCTGTAAAATCTTTAAATTAACTTTTAGAATAATCTTACACACAATCGGTCTTACTTTAACTCTGGGCAACGTCACTGTAGGCGCTTGAACATGTCCTTTGACCAAGATCCCTTTCCCATTCATCAAAAACTTGAGCTCTTCTGGATGTTCGTCGACAAACTCATACGCAAACGCATCAATTACCACCAATACCAGTCGTTTCCTATCTTCCACTCTTATGTTTCGGTTATGACAATGTCCATCTTCAGGCGTTAGAGACTTCTTTTGTTGGAAAAAGCTTATACCGAAGAGTGCCATAGATAATATCGCCAAAGATAAACACAAAAGAACCACGTTGATATGCATACAACGGTGAGTACTGTGCAGGATTATACTGTATTTCAACAGTGCCCAACTTCATTTTATAATTTTACAAAAAAATGTTTTACGTTTGAAACGAAACGCCACAAATTGTTGCGAAGTGTCACAGCCATTCCGTTTTTTCGATTTTATTCCCGTATTTTTGGCCTATGAATAACAATCCTGCTTTTTCTTACTTTTTTTACAAAATGAAATGAGTCCTTTTGTTGTGTTACTCATCAACCTTGTTTTATTACACCAAATTGTTCTTCTTTGACAGCTATTGTTGATACGAGAAACAAAACTATGTTGATGATGATTGTTTTTTATTAAACAACAGCAATCTCCCTTCTCTCAATTTGAAAACTAACAAATGATCTCATCTTTGAAAACAAAAAAACTAAAAAAAAAATAACATCAACTTGTGCACTTTTATATAACACTTGTCAAAGGGAAAGGTTGTTAACATAAGGTTGTTTAACATAGCTAATAAGTGCTACAACATGGTGTCAAGGACAACAGCGGTCAAAAAATTTGTAGAATTGATTTTTAAAAATCTTTGGTCTTTACATTTGTCTTTTCAAACTTTTACTTTACAACCAAAATGAAGTCTCTACTACACATTATGGTTGATTACGTGCCTTAAAATGATGAGGAATACCAGAACAATGTCTCCAAGTCTAACATATCTTATTTATTTATAAAAGTCGGCAGAATGTGTGAATTTAAATAATCGAAAGTAATGAAAATTTGAAAAAATGGAAGAAGCTGAAGATTCGGCGTTCCTGGTCGTTCTCGAATGTTCTTTTTAGTGGATTTGGATTCCGGTGATCTCGACGTCGCCTTGAATCTGGAGGCCGGCAATGTCGCTGGGCTCGGATCGGTGGGCGAACGAGGTGAAGGGCTGGTCGTTGACGAACACCTGGAAGTGGGTGGGCTCGTTGACGACGACAAGGTCGAAGCCGACTCCCTTCTCGAATGGGATCTTGCCTTCGCGCTCTTCGTTGCCCCATTCGTTGGCCTGGAGGGCATTTCGGATCACGTGCTTTTCGTCGAAGCGAGGGTTGAAGTGGAAGGCGATGTCGCCGTTCTTTCTCAACAAGTTGATGTTGAAGCGTCTGGCCTTCTTCTCTGGGGTTCCGTAGACGACCAACTTCTTGCCGATTGGGAATCCGCTGGCGATTCCGCTTTCGTATGGGACAGGCTGAAATGTCATGGTTATTACGAATAATTTTACTATATTGTTTCTCTTTTTTATCGTTATAGCACAATATTGTCCATATTACTTTACTATATTACACTTTTTCTAAATTTCATTTCCTTGCTATGTTTTTTGCTTTTATATTACGCTACTTCTTGCTTTCTTACTATGTTCCCCGTCTTATTTATTGCTTTTTCGAAAAGGACTAGGGAATATAACGTAAACAAAGTTGTTTACAACGACTCCTCCGCCAACCAAATGATAACAAATAATATACAGCATTGTATATTGTAATAAACACTGATTTCTACATAAAATATTATAAATCCTCATGTTTCTTAATAACATGTTACATGTTGCTGCCTACACAATTTTTAATCTAATATATAATGAAATAGAAGCTTCATGCTACGACACTGAGGCTGCATGCTACGAACTTACGTAGTATTTGCCTCCCCATGAGACGGTGTTCAAGTACAAGTCTCCATCGACACTGAAGTGGGTGATGCTGCTCAATGGAAGACGGTGCTCGTACTCCTTGAATTCCTTCTGGTCCACGATGATCTGGAATTTGTCATCGTGAGCTCTGACTCTGATATCGAAGGGTTCGCCCCTCTTGATCGGGTTGCTCTTGCGCTCTTCTTTGCCCCATTCACCGTTGGAGAAGGAGTTGAGGACAATCTGAAAGTAAACATTGTAATACTGGTGTAACTTTTCAAACTTGGTTTGTCAAACACAAAGACGGATCAGACGTAGTAGGAAACACCAATAGACAATAATATTGTATCAAAAACCATTATAAACAATTTTAAGTTACAAAACTTAATCTACCGCAACATTTTTGCTTTACAATATTCAAAAATACCCACCTTTCCTTCGTCGAATCTGACGGAGATGTGGAGAGGAACATCGTTGCCAGAGAAGTCGGCCGACTTGCTGTGGAAGTTGACGGTGAAGCGTTGTGACTCATCGATGGTCGATCCCTTCACGATCAAGGTTTGTCCGGGCTCGAACTTCTCCTGGAGCTGGGAACGGTAGGGGATGGTGTAAGTCTTCTTTTCCTCGGTCATGACTCTACAAAACAAAAATTAAATTTGGTTCTGATTTCAGCCACAGGCAACATACCAAGCCGCGGATGAGTCACACGTAAGTATGAAGAATGGAAATTCTGCCCTCTCTCCACCTTCAGCCTCGCCCCTCTTTGAAACCCCATTCCGAGAGGGTCCCGGATAGACAGATGGGAGAAAACAAAAACAACAACCCATATCAAAACAATTACAACTTGTCAGCACAGATCGCGAAAACCCAAATGTCATAGCGGGACGAGCGGGGCCCGGGCCCAAGGTTGGGGAATGTAAAAGTAAAAGCATCAGGTAAACAGAGTCAGTTCCCGCAATTTAAAGGAGAAAGGAACAAACAAAGAGGAAGGGCGTAAACAACAAGTATAAGATGAAAGTAAAGGGCGCACAACCGCCTGCCATGTGTACAAATTATCCCTGTTTACAGACAGTAAAGGGCGGTGAGTCAGCGTGAATTCAAAAGTGGCATAGAGATTAGAAACGTTTGCCGAGATGGATGGCTCAAACGAACGCACACTACTCTCGAGAGATGCCCCGGCCCTTCGTCCTCCGCTTTCGCCTGAGGGGCCGAGCAAACAACCCCGCTTTGCTTCCCCCATAAACAACTGAAAGTGGACTCGCAAAGCATGAACATGTATGAAAATCAGCCGCCTTTTCTGTTTTTATTTCTCTAGCTGCGGGCCCAGGTTTTGTAGGCGAGCACTATAGTTACCTTTGAGGCTGTTTTCAAAGATGGAGGTTGACAATTTATTTTAAAATAATTAGACCGGTCTCCTCTTTTTAATTTAAACCACCGTATTCACGCTTTACCTGAGCAAAAACCGTTAAAACTCTCCCTTTCCGAAAGATTTAAGTTTCCTCGCAGGTATTCAAATTTTAAACCCGACTGAAATGCAATGAAACGGGCGGCGAAGTTTAGGTTGCGCATTTTGTTTCTATCCCCGTCTTTTTTCCATTTATTCGCTCGACTGCCAGTTTTACGATTCAAACATTCCTAAAGACCAAACTGTTGGTCTGAAACGAGAATCATCCTTCCTCTCGCGTGTCAAACCGTTTCGGGTGTTATTTACGGTAACACGCTTGAAAAAAAGTTTTATATTTAAATCTGGAAGAGAAAAGAACAACAGATGCCCGCTTTAAAACACCACAACAACTGTTCCTGATGGGCACAATCTGGCCCTTTAGAATGGCCAAAAAATGAGTAAACATTAAGTCGTTAAGGAGGAAACGGTTTGGCCAGACGTTTATCGATGTAAAACCAAGAGAAAAGGGCAAGAATCAAAGTAAAAAGTAAAATTGATCTACAACAATATCAGCAACTATATCTTGATAGAACTGTACATATATTTAATAGCCAGCATACAGTAGGCAACCGTATTTTAAAGCTGAACAATTTGAAGTAAACAGATGGAAGCAGAATGAATTTCAAAGAATAAGTTGGCGGAAATAGGCTGAACAGAGATCAACAACATATTATCGTTTATTTTGTTTATGTCCTTTAATGTGTAAACAACCTTTTCACACAGTTGTTTATTTTTTTATCGATCTTCTAATTGTACGATTTTGTACCTGTTTTCATAATGGCAGTTTATAAAGGAGCCAAAAATATTATTCTAAACTTTCTATATGCAAATTGGCAGCTATACGGTTGGTAGTGGTTGTAATTAAATAATTACACACCTTTTTTACCGTGTGAGCAGTATTTATAGGAAACAAAGTGATGAAGCTATTCCAATTATTTGAATTCGTTATTTATCCACGCTTTGGAGTAATGCTTCGAACAGTTTTCACCTAATTAATGATGTTATCATACCTTTTCACAGATATTTTTGAAATAGTTCAAAACGGAAAGGTATTACCTAAACAAGCGCGATGTCCTGTAAACAGCGCAAAATCAAAGTTTGGAAACGCCATCAACCATGTTTTCTGTAAAAATTGTTTTTGCATTTTTAAAAATAGTATTTACTACCTTATTTTTAATTAATATTGTTCAGAAGCTAAATTCTGAAGGCTTTATGAAGAGGCACATTTTATTAAAACCGTATTTTTTCTCCAAATGCGCCTTCAAAAAAATTATAATAACAAAAGTGTCCAAAATAGTTCAATACTATTTACTTATACCTTTTACAATACCTAAAATATCTAAACAAGGCGCCAGATATTGCTTTTTTCTTCAGTTTTCGATTTTTCTTTGTTTATATTTTGTTTTCGTCGGTTTTATACAACGAAAAGAAACGTTTGAATTTGGCGGGAAAGGAACATTCGAGAAGGGACGAGTTTGAGGCCAGGGAAGGCGGACCTTCTTTTCCGAACAGAACGCCGAGTCTTTCTCTGACCCCTCCATTTTTGCGGGTTTCCTCGTGGGGGTTGTTATTTACCTGGCTGACCCTTCTTTTTCAAAGGTTTAGGCTACTTTCGAAAATTGTGCGTCTCTGTTTAGTCCTCATTTTGCGAAAACTTTGTGATTGGACTAAACAGGGACGGTTTTGTCGTGTTCGCGTTATCGTATTATTGTTAGTGTCATTGTTTTTTGTAGGGTCTGAAGTTTATAAAATGCAGTTCTCATCTTTATATCGTTTTGCAGCCAAAGTTGTTGACATGTCCCGACCAAAGGTTTTCTTCGACGTCACCGTAGGTGGACAATCTGCTGGCCGCATTGTCTTCGAGCTCTACAACGATATCGTTCCAAAGACCGCCGAGAACTTCCGCGCCCTCTGCACTGGTGAGAAGGGAACTGGACGCTCTGGAAAGCCCCTCCACTACAAGGGAAGCACCTTCCATCGTATCATCCCCAACTTCATGCTTCAGGTTAGTTTTTGCATGTTTTATTTGAATTTTAGGTTTATTTTTGAGGATTATGCGTATAGTTTGGCTTGATAGAGGTTTTTGAACGTAATTTTGGTGTTTTAGGTATTTCTTTGTATGATAAACATGTTATTTTATTGTTTTTAGGGAGGTGACTTCACCCGCGGCAACGGAACCGGTGGTGAATCCATCTACGGCGAGAAGTTTCCCGACGAGAACTTCCAAGAGAAGCACACCGGCCCATACCTCTTGTCTATGGCCAACGCCGGTCCCAACACCAACGGATCCCAATTCTTCATTACCACCGTCAAGACCGAGTGGCTCGATGGCAAGCACGTTGTCTTCGGCAAGGTTCTGGAAGGCCAAGACGTCGTCAAGAAGCTCGAAACCCACGGATCTCAATCCGGCAAGACCAGCAAGCCATGCGCCATTGCTGACTGCGGCCAATTGTAAACGGCCTTACTGTGTCTGCTTCTCTGTGTTGTAGATGGTTTGAAGGTTTTTAATCTGTATTCTTGTTTTAATTTATCAATCTATGAAAATAATTGGTTGTTTGAATAAAATTTAAATCTACAAAATGTTTGCGCGATTCATTGAAAGACATTGTTCGTTATAGTTGGTTATATATTTTTTGAAGCGTAATTTGATAAGTAAAACCTTTTATATTGAGGTTTTTGAGTTTATTGGTTTGTGAAAATACTGAACTAGTTAAAGGTATAACTCGATTCCCTTAAAAACAGTAGAACGTTGTTTGTAAAATTAAACGAAGTTTCGTAATCTTTGGAGTTGTTCTTTAATTCATTAGGTGATAAACTCTGAGCCGTTATATGCGTTAAAGCAGTTACTATTATTAACTTTAAAGCAGAACTATTATTATCGATTACAAAAACGAACAAGTAAAGTTTTGAACTTGTAATACCCGTTATTAAACTTGGCTTTATGTTTATAACTGCTTCAAATAAGGTTACTTTATTAACTACTTCAAATAAGCTATACTTTTTTCTATTTTCTTATTGACCAACTAAATTGATCAATTATGGAAGGCAATGTAACTGTGTTAAAAACGACTTCAAAGTGCGTTTATGATGTAAAAAGATCAAAACTGATGGTTTTTAACGTTGCCACAATACATAATGTGCGATAAGTTACTGGTTTTTTCTATCGTTGGTACTGTTTTTGCCTCGAGGGGTGACAATTCCGGATCCACGACAATTCCGTAACGCAAAATATTAAAAATAATTGTACCCGACCTTACCCCTGACCTTTTTCGCCCAATTCAAGTCCACCCCTGATCTTTTTGGCCCTACTCGACCTTAACCCTAACCTTCTTAGCCCTACCCGACCCTACCCCTGACTTTTCTGGCCCAATTTAAGTCTACCCTTGACCTTTTTGGCTCTACCCAACCCCACCCCTGACTTTTGTGGCCTACCCGACGCTACCCCTGACTTTTTTGGCCCAATCCAGGTCCATCCTTGACCTTTTTGGCTCTACCCAACCCCAATTTCGATGACAAATTAGTTTTCTTATAGTTTATTGTTTTGTATATAAAAATAGAGCCAAGTTCGTTTCTACTTTTAAACTTGTTATCTGTCCATTAATCTTCTGAGCGCCAAACTTAACATCACAGAGATTAGATGACATCAGATGCACAGGAATAAAGTTTGAAAACAAAACAAGTGTTAATTATAAGATTTCATGTTTATTCTAGTGCGATCAAGCCTTGGGCATGGCCAACTCTTCGTGGGCTGAAGATTTATGGCCCAAGGGGCGCGTGATCCGATTGTTTTTCGCTTTCGTTTATTTGTGGGGCGGGGCTGGGCCAATATTAATTCGGCGTGATATCAATCCAAATCAGTTGGGCCGAAGCTTTTCAACAAGAACGGACCATGCGATGTGAGTTTGGGGTCTTTCTGTCGATTAGTATATGTTTACAATAGTGATATGTCATTTCCATATGGCGATGTGTTTACAATAGTTGTATGTCACTTCAATTTGGTGATATGTTTACGAAGTATAGTTATGTGTCTCTTTGTAGATGTGTTTATCATATGTAGCTATATAGTCCCTTGATATAGTTTTGTGTTTATTTTAACATGAAGAACACTATTTCACGTACGATTTTAGTGACCGTGCTGACTCTCGCATTGATTGCGAGTTATGTGTATTGTGAAGAACTGGGTACTCAGACCTTGAATGTCAACAAGACCGAAGATGCCAAGGAAAAGAGCTACCGTCTGTATGTAGGAGAACAAGAATACGTAGGTTTTATTATTAGGGTATTCATCATAGTAGTATGTTCATGTCGTAAGGCTTTCTGCTTTTTACTACATTGTTTTTCAATTTACGTAAAAATTATTACTGTAATAAGCTTTACAAACTTTTTTAAATTTATTTTTAAATTGATCAATAAATCATGTTGCTTTCAGTCATTATTTCTTTCGTATTTTAGCGTCTTCCATTCAAAACCAGAATCAGTGAACCATTCAAGGAAGGCCAGACCATCCACGCTGTTGGCAGAATCTCAAAAGACCCTCAAAGGTAATACTGCCATTATTTTTTTATACAAGTAGGACAAAGTAAATTAGGGTAGGAAAGGGTGAAGTTAAGTCAGAGTACAAGGTATGGTAGGGTGTGTAAAATAGAAGACGAAGTGAGATTTTTATAGAGTCCTTTTTTTTAGGAGGGGGGGGAGACCTATTCACTCATAACCTAGTCTTACTGACCGTGGTCAATTTGAAAACTCAAATAGAGTTTCCTTTTTCGCATTACAATATAATAATCCTAACTTTTCAGAATCGACTTCAACTTTCACAAGGGAGGAGCTAAAGACGCTGACGAACCATTACACTTGAGCATCCGATTTGACGAAGGTATCTTCTCAGGCAAGATTGTCTACAACACCTTCAAGGATGGCAACTGGAGCGAGAAGGAGGAGAGAATCTCGTCGCCATACAAGGCTGAAGAAGTCTTCGACATCCGTGTTCGAATCGTCGGTGGAAAGTACAAGGTGTACGGTAACAGAAAAGAGATTGGCACTTTCGACCAAAGAGAGTCGTTGGAAGGTGTAGATCATGTATCCATCAACGGTGACTTGGACTCACTCAGAGTTTTCCATTGTAAGTGTGTTGATGTATATTGTAAAGAAATTGTCGGTATATAAGGTTTGTTTTGGTCTAGAACATCATAGAAAGACTTAAGTTTCCCATTGTTTAAAAGTACAATATTTTAAACTTAGAAATGGCATTAAAAGTAAAATTTTAGACGGAGGTACCATCTTCCCAAACCCCTACACAGCCATCGCCAAGTTGATCGTCGGCAAGCGATTGGACATTTCCGGAATCCCAAACGGCAAGAAGTTCAACATCAACCTGTACCGTGGCAACATGGAATACGCTTTGCAGTTGTCGATTCGATACAATGAAGGAGCCATTGTGAGAAATGCTATGGTCAACAACGAATGGGGAAAGGAAGAGAGAGAGGGCGAGTTCCCACTCAACAAAAACGAAATGTAAGTTTGGTTTTTGAGGCAAAAGAGGAAGATTTACTTCCAGAAAACTTTTCTTTGAAGCCTTTAATAACAAAAACAAAATAAGAGATCTAAAATTACGGAAAATTGTGAAAAAGTCCTTTTTAATAGCTTAAAATTACACTAAAAACATATAATTGTTTGAAAAAACTACAACAATATAAAAACAATCTTCAGCTTCGACGTCACCGTGATCAACGAGAGCTACAGCTTCCAAATCTTCATCAACGGCAAACGCTTCACCACCTTTGCTCATCGTGGAAGTGCCAACGACGTCGAGACTCTCGAGATCGAAGGCAATGTCGAAGTCCAAACCGTCACGATAAACGACGCCGTTCCCAAGTAAACTTTTAGTTCAAAACAACTCAACGTACAGTTTTTATTTTAACAAAATAAATTGATATATAAGTTGACAACGTATTCACAAAGTTACAAAAAGGTAGTATTGTGGTCGGAAAGTGAGTAGATTCTACAAACTTTTTGACCAAAAATGTAATGACAACATTAATAGCGCCAAATTTGAAATATTAGGTTGTTCAAATAATTCTGTGCCCTCTTTTAAAGCCAATTGTGGGGGGTTAAGGGCACAGAATTAATTGAACAGCCTTACATTACAAAAAGTCCGTTAATTCAATTTAAAAAATAGGAATAAAAGAATTGAAAGTTTTAAAATAGTATTAGTCAAAAAGTGGGTAGAAAAGATTAAAGTTCGCTACATCAAAAATTAAAAAGAAAAACTTAAAACAACCCAAATACGTGTTTCAAACCCTATTCTACCAACTTTTCGACCAGCAAAGAAGGTGATAACAACTTTGCAGACCTTTAAAAACACAAGAGATTAGTCAATAAGTTGCCGGTAGTTGTCCTGCAACTCTTCGAAATGAAAACCCATTTGGTAGATAAGCCTAAACGGCCTTAACAAAGCCTTCAAGTCGCCGGTCACACCCGCTGCCACAATAACTGGTACTGTCAGGTACATGTGCACTGTAAACAGGACCAATGTTGTATTCATACACTTGGGTAATCGTCGTATCTTCCCGAAGATGATACGAGAAAAACGAATCCAGATACTCAAATGAACTTCTTTTTTGAAAATACTCTTTCGACGTCGAGTGGAGCTACTGGAGGATGTGGTACCACTGGTACTGTCTGCCATTCTTAGATTATACAATCTGAAAAAATATGAGTTTAGTTGCTGAGAGCGGTAGTTATTGGGTAATATAGTGTTACTGAAGGAAGGGTTTGAGCTAGTTTGTCAAAAAAGTATTTTAGATCATCTATTAGGTTGTTCAAATAATTCTAAGCCTCTTTTCAAATCAAATTTTTGGGGTTAGGAGGCTCAGAATTATTTGAACGTCTCAATATTTAACTTTTTCAAAAACTATTTAAAAACAATTTAATCAGCTCATACATATAAATATAATAACCACATCATACTTATATAATATTACCGTGTCTTCACACCTCGGGCATCAAAATAAGACGACAAAACAAAAGCAACTGCCAATACTCGAGACTTACTTATCATAAACCTTTTATTAGTCATTCCTCAAGCTTAATCGGCTGGTTTATCTTTATTTATCTGAAAAAACGTCTTTTATTTATCTTATAGTTAAAAAACAAGTCGGGAAACGCCAAAAATTCATTACTGTTGAGTACGCATACATTAACGAGTGAGTCGCATATTTAATATTTTATAAATTAACCAATGTTTACATACGAAAACCTACTACAATATTACATAAGATCAGTCAATAAGGTCATTCTACATCAAATTACTTAAACAAAACCTGTTTATAAAGTAAAAACGACTGTCCGCCCAAGGGCATTACAGTTTTAACGAGGTTTGTCCAAACTCCGCGGCCAAAACTTAAAGAAAGGCCGCAAGACTTTTGTTGATGGGACCATCGTTCTCACGCTGCGAATAGAAAAGAGATTAAAGTGGGCATGGACTGACTAATCAACAGTCAACAATTAAGTCCACAAGACGACTTCTGGTGATTACACACAACTTTCCAAAGACTTTTGGGCTTTAATTGCATTCGAGACAATGAAAATGCGATCCATTGCCAGTACAATGTCTTTATAAACAAACAGTCGTATACACAACCACATACTCAACAGGTCTTCTGCACAAGCTTGTGCTGGTATTATACAAAAACAGCGAGGATTAAGGTTTTTAAAATAAAGTTTTGAGAATAACTAACATAAGAACGTTGTTTAGAAGGAAGGAATTTAGGTAAAGAAGAAGGACTTTAAAATGATTTTCAAAATTCTAAGCCTAATGTTGTAGTTTATTTGATAAAAAAAATATTTTAAGCTCTCATTCACTAAAATCCTTAGAAGTGATAAACAAGCGCCCGGCCCAGCCCAACCCTTACGATCGAGTTAGATAGGTTGGGCTACGGCCCGGACCGGGCTTCAAGAGTTTGCCCACCCCGTGTCTAACCTCTATATGTAAATCCTTGCCGACCTTTATAGCCCAACTGAACTTTCATGTCATTGTATATTCAAGTACTTCAAATGCAATTTATGTTTTGAATGCATACATAATATTTTCGAAAAGTACGTGAACTATAAATAATGGCATTTTACGTAGAAATCAAAAATATAATGTTAACTTCATTTTAGAGTCTTAACTATAATACTGAACTTACGCCAACATTCATCTTAATAGGCAAAGCAAACCTTGTATATTACCCCAGGCGTAAAACTGAAATCTAAAACTGGCATTTTATATGTATTACATAGCTAACAAAAGCCTATATAAACTATTACAAAACTATTCAAAATCATATTAGAAAATTCCCTCCAAATGTCCAGATCCCGAAGCTTAACGGCACCTGACGTTCCTTGACGTGCTTCCTAATTCCGTGCCCATTCCCGGCGACGAAACATTTTAAAATCCAATTTGGAAATCTTTTCTTGCCGCGAAGAATAGAATAATTCTATTGTTTAGGCTGCTTCAACGCGCGCCTCCGAAGCAAATCCCTTAAATCAACCAAAACTTATAAGCCCTGAGGGCATTAGGCACAAAAGCGACGTTCCTCACCGCTCTTCCGGTGTTTTCAATGAACCTCGAGCCAAAACCAATTCCGACATGGCTTTGCAGTCGTGGAAATCTCAACAAGTTTACCCAAAAACTAATTAACTGTAGAATGACATTCGTCTGCTTGAAGTGACAGGTTGAAAAATGGCATTTGGAAACAAGAAGGACTATCACAAGTAGCACGAAGGCATAAGCATTTCATTTCAATAAAAAACCAGAAATTTACACTTAGTTTTAAAAATTTTAAAATAAATATTTTGTATTGCACAATACAGGGTGCGCGCAATGTTCTGTTACAAAACTTTACCGGTCGTTTTCTCAACGTTGCGGTTAAATTATTTAAAATTGTTTATTTTGTCTTATTCTCCGTGTTTTTCTAATTGTATAATCATAAAAGTTAAGTCTTCATTGTCTACTGTCTGTCTGTTTTTAGATTTCAAACATGAGGGCTGCCGTCATCAAATTACATAATGAACGAAAAAGTAACCCCAAAATCGCAAAATTGTTGAATATTTCAAGAATGACAGTCCACAGAGCCGTAAAACGTTTCGAAGAGCTTAGACATGACTGTGACAGACCTAGAAGTGGTCGTCCAGCATCTGTTAAGACCGTGGCCAGTCGTCAGATGATCATGAAGCGCTTCAAGCGAAATCCACGGACCCCAGTACGAAAAATGGCCCGGGAGGCGGGAATCAAAGAACCTACTTTGAGGCGCATAGTGGAAAAGAAAATTAAGATGAAGCCGTACAAACTCAAAAAAGTTCAGAAGCTAACTGAAGAAAACAAGGCGGTACGTTTCAAAAGACGTAAACTGCTTCAGCAGCGGGCCGCTGGTCAAAAATGTGAACGAATCCTTTTCACAGATGAGAGGATATTTACATTTTACAGAGGCCTACAATCCCCAAAATGACAAATATTACTCAACAGAGCCTCCTAAAGCTCAACCCATCGTGGCAGGTCGTCAACACCCTCGGGGCATTATGGTTTAAGCCAGTATCTGTGCTTCAGGCAAGATTTCTTTGATTTTTGTCGATGAAGGCGTAAAGATCAACAAAGAAGTGTACCAAAGGGACATTTTGGAAGCTGTGGTACTCCCTTGGTCCCGAGAACACTTCAAGAACACCAAATGGACGTTTCAACAGGACTCTGCCCCAGCCCATAAAGCCAAACCAACACAGGAGTGGTGTCGGGCCCATTTTCCGGACTATATCACCTCAGCTGAATGGCCTCCGTACTCCCCCGATCTCAACCCGATGGATTACAGTATTTGGTCGATATTGGAGGCAAGGGTGTGTTGTAGAAGACACCAAACTTTGGAGTCTTTGAAACAAGCATTGATCGAAGAGTGGGACAAACTTTCGCCTCAGGACCTGCGGTCCATCGCTGAAAACTTTGTGAAGCGTTTACGCCTCTGCGTAGCGGCAAAGGGGGGCCACTTCGAAACCGCTTGACTATGTTATAACTAGTACTATATGTTACTATTATTAGTTGTTGTTTTAGTTATATTTGTTGTTAAAATAAATATTTGATTAAAAAACCGTGTAACAGAACATTGCGCGCACCCTGTATTGAGATTTCGTGGCGGTTTCAAGTGAAGTATTTTTGACAAGAAACACAGAATGGAGATTGCACTATACCTTTAGTTTTTTTTTGATTTGTTAACGCTAAACCAGCTGGAAAAAAGATTGCGCCGTGCAAATACTTTATTTTTTTTAAAAATACTGATAAATACAAAATAAATTATATAAATTCTTAGCAGGTATCACAAGGTCTTTCGTATAACTTTGCGCGCTAAAACAACAAAATAGGACGCATTTCGCTAAAATAAATACTTTCTTGAAAAAATATATTTTACAGATTTGCTAAATGAGAAATAAATGTAAAATATCGTTCAATATATTCGTATTTCATATCTTTGATTTGTCACTTTACATAGTGACAAATTTATTTTAATATTTATTTTTAGCAAAATGAATCCAGAACCTCGTAACAGCAGCTCCGTCTTTAGATGGCAGGTTTTCTTGGACATAACAATCAATGGAAATCCGGCTGGTAGAATTGTGATTGGTGTAAGTGTAATACTTTAACATCATTTTATATTTTTCTTGTTTTTGATTTTTTATATATTTTTTCTTATTTTTGATGTTTATATAGGAATTGTTACCTCATTTTTTAATTCTTTGTTTCAGCTTCGACCTGATGTGGTACCTAAAACAGCCGAGAACTTCAGAGCTTTGTGCACAGGAGAGAAAGGACTATCTAAATCAGGGAAGAAACTTCATTTTAAAGGATCTGTGTTTCATCGAGTAATTCCTGGCTTTATGTTACAGGTATGTTTTTTTCTTCATTGACATGAGCTGTATTATTCAAGCTTTTGTTATATAAATATTGGGGGCTACTCTATTTAAGCCACCCACATTAATAGACACACCCACTACCTATTATGACCACCCATTTATTCAAATTTGAGTTTTTACAAATAAAATTGTAAAAACATTTCAAATAATGGAAGCGGTCGTTTTGTCGGGATACGGCTTCGTCCAAGTTGAATTGCATCAGGTTTTCGTGGTCTTCTTTTGGGATGTTTAGTGCCGGTTCATACGTCGATTCTAAAATTACGTACTGAACTATATAGTGCTTCTGATAATGGGTGTGCTAACTAAGAAATGGGTGTGCTAACTAAGAAATGGGTGTGCTAACTAAAAAGTGGGTGGGCTAACTAAGAACTGATACAGGACCGTCAACAATAATAAGTTAAAAGTAATGTAACTTACATAAAATCTATCGCCAAACACCTTCCGTTTACCCAGTTTCATCGGCGATCAACAATTGGCACAAGCAGTTGACATCTCGCGTAGACCATGGTGTTGAAGATACATACGAGCTAGGTTCTGCGCTTAAACTCGTCCATATTTTGAAGATAAAATCTCCGGAGATATTCCAACGACCACTCGGTAGCACAAAAAATTTTCAAAATGAAAGAAGCAGAACCGTGCTGGAAACCCGATAAAATATTCAAATTTGGGTGTGTCTAATAAGGCCGAAATTTGGGTGTCTTTAACAGGTGGTGTGGGTGGCTTAAATAGAAATATTGTTTAACTGTAAACAATTGATACAACTTTTATATTATGATATATATTTAGTAATGATGTATATAATGATACTTCTTTTATACTGTTGCTTGATTTTAGGGTGGTGACTTCACTCGAGGCAATGGTACTGGTGGAGAGAGTATTTATGGAGAGAAGGTAACATAAGCTTGTCTCATTTGTCTTGCATTTTGGCTACTTTAAGCCTACCAATGGGCGTTGAATTTCATTTTTTAAATTTTAAAAATTAAAGTTTTAAATTAATTTTTAAAATATCAAGCATTTTAGTTCGAAGATGAAAATTTTAATCTGGTACATACTGGTCCAGGAATCGTATCCATGGCCAATGCTGGTCCCAACACAAATGGATCACAATTCTTCGTTTGCTGTGCTAAGACCGACTGGTTAGACAAGAAACATGTTGTCTTTGGTGAGGTTATCGAAGGAATGGAGGTTGTCAGAGAGGTCGAAAAGAAGGTAGGTTTTGATGTTACAGTATTTGTCATATAAAACTTTTTTTCGAGCTATTAGATTGTTCAAATAATTCTGTGCTTCCTAATTAAGACTCTAACTCTGAGAAATTGCTCTGAGAGGGGCACATAATTATTTTAACAATAATTTGACTTATCTGCACTAAAATACTGTCGAAGCGCCGATAGCTAGTTGATGATTTTAATAAGAAATCTAGTTGATTATCAGTTGAAATTCATATTCTTGTTTTAGGGCTCTCAAGCTGGTAAACCGAGCGGAGTGATAGCTATAGCTGATTGTGGACAACTAGTATGATGGATTTTGGTTGTTGTAAGTATTGATAACTATGCCTTATGTCATTTCTTTCATTTATATCAATTTTATTAGTAATAAACATGTTATTTTAAAGAATGATGATGAATTTTCGTGTATTTTTATGTTTTCGAACATTATACTTAACATTTTGACGTTTGTTTTGCTTGGATATGATATTCGTCGGCTTTTAGGCTTGTTTTAAACCCTTTTTATCGTGGTACTTTTTAGTTTTTTTTGGTGCTTTTAAGTTAAGAATACATTTTATACTTTAAAACGATACTTTCTTGTTCGTGGATATAAACATTTTATGACATTTTTTGTTTTTATGACACTATTAAGCAAGTGCGTGTCCCATCTTTGTTGCCAAATGCTTTCGAGAGTACATTACGAGTCGTTACCCATTTTATGACGATATTAATAACGAATTTATTCAAAACAAAACGTTTTTACATGACAAAAGTGACTAGAAATCTTTGCTAACCGAGTGGAATTTACAGAGTAAAGGTCGTTGATAAGAAAGCTACATACGATGCCTATACATAAAGGTATGTATCGTATAGAGATGTTTTTAATGTTACCTAAAACTTTAAAATTACCGTGATACCTAGAAAAGTTACTGTGATACCTATATAAAGACTTATTTAATACCTAAACTCATTAATGTGATAAGAAACGTTACCTAAACATACGATTTACGTGATACCTGATTACAACGAGGCCAAGAGAAGGAGGTCAAGAGCGGCCGAGAAAGGGGAATGGTCCTAATTACAGTTAGGCTACACAAGAAGTGATATGTGCAGTTGGAAGTATTTACAGTAACACACTGTCTTATAGTCGTACGAATGCGAGGAGTAGCGATGTTATCACAATCATGGGGCTCATCACGGCTGAGGGTATGGCTTTTGAGATCAGTGGGATTACTGTAAAATGTTTTGATTATTTGGGTCTTGAGCTGTATATTGGGTTTAAGCTGTATATTATGTGTCATTTTGGATGAGTGTTTTACAGTAACATTGTGATATACCGTCTTGAAACTGCGCTAGTGTCTTGAGGTTTAATATTGCACTGTGCAACAAAATGGATTTTTGCCGATTTTCACATTTTTTACGAAATTCCGCGACAACTTACAGTATTTGTGATAGGACAGCTCCCGCTCCGCCCTCCACAACTTGCACTCTCGCTCTTTCGAGGCGGGTATGGGCCTGATGTGAGATCCACCCTTGAGATGCATCCATCTCTTGTTGTTAATCGGGTTGTAGCGCGGCCATTCTTCCGTTTCTTTGTTCGTTCGCAGCGTCGGAACTCTGAAGTCAGGACAGGATAATATAATCTCGGAGCTTGATGTAATAACATACATTCGCCGAATAGGGTTATTAGGCATGAAATGGGGAGAGTAGAAAGTTCATGGAAAGCATAATATCAGAATTATTCATCAAGGATTCGGGAAGTGTGATAGAGTTAGGGGTGTACTTTGACTTTGTCAATGTTATGGTAATGTTTTCGAGGATAATTGAAAGTGTGATCAAGGGGAAAACTCGATATAAAGGATGAAAGGAAGACAAAACATACTCCGAACATATTAATATTGAGGATCCTCATATCAAAGCTTCATATACTTTTGATATGGGAGCCTTTACTCAATGATATTAACATTCTACTCAGTAATATAAAGATATAAACCTACTATAATATAATAGAAAGAAAGCTTTCTTAGCCAAATAATATGAAGTTAGACACTTACCCGGTCTGAGCAAAAGATGTCCAGAACTGTATCATCTTCTGACTCAATATCCGTTCTCGGTTAGTGTAGCCGGCGGTCGTATTGTAAATAGGTACTCCGAAGACGTATTCTATCTCATATCCATGCATCACGCCAGTCCATGATGGCCAGGGGTTAGCACTAAAGAGTTTTGATGATTTTAAGTTGTCTTAACTGTTTCAAGCTATAGTACTATTTAAACATATAGCACTATTAACAATAAGTAGTATTTTTCTATTTACATTACAAAACTCAAATATTAAAGAAAACAAGCTGAACGTACCTGGAATGTTGATCAAAGTAGTAGATGTACACATTTCCCGGCCCCATCGACAACTGATCAGCCAGCCATATACTATCACAAGTGAAGAAGTAGTCCCCGACCATTTGATTCACCTGTTCTGCCAGAAACTTGTGTCTTCCTGTCTGATATTCACATCGATTGTCACCGAGATAAGCATATGTCACCGCATCCCTCACCACATCAGGTAGGCTCTTGAAGGCGGTCTGGACTGATTCCTGGAACTCGTTCACCGTCAGCTGAGGCTGCTCCTGGACGTCGAAGAACTTGGCCAGATTGTAGATGTTCCAGTAGTTGCCCTCATCGTGGTTGATGCCTATCATCAGGTTCACGTCCTGACGGTAGTCCTTTTTGTGTAGCGCGATCAGCGCGTCTTTTTCACGGAAAAAGTTACGATCTCGCGACACGATGACGAACGGGAACTCCAGGAACTTGAGGTCTAGGTTCCACATCTGAGCGACCAAATCGTTGAAGGCCTTGGCTTTGAGACAGTCCAGGACGTGGCGAGTGGTTGGACCGGCACATCCGACCAGTTTGGCTAGTTGGATACTCTTGTTGAGGGCTCGCTCTGGTGTGTCTACACTCCAGGAGTTGTCCAGAGACCCGGATTGAAGGATGCCATTGTTGAATATGTATTGAGAGCCTGGGGCGATCAAGTGTGCGACGATGGAAGAGGCACCAGCACTCTCGCCGAACAGACAAATGGCGTTGGGGTTACCTCCAAAGTGGTGGATGTTCTCCTTGATCCAATGCAGCGCCATTTGCTGAAAACAATGTGGATTTAGGGTTGGAATGTTTAAAGTTTTGGACTTTAATGTTTTTGGCAATGCTGGGTTAGGCGTTATGTAAATATGGACAAAATTTGGTCACTACATAGATATATTATCATAGAGTACTGAGATTGCCTGGAATATTTCTCTCAGAATCTTTGATCACAATATTTCACTAGCTAGTTAATGATTTAGTGACACTTACCTGGTCAAGCATACCCATATTACCCGGGGCGTCATCGTCGTCCAGATACAAGTATCCGAAAGGCCCTACACGGTAGTTCAAATTGACTACGATGACGTTTGCTGTTAGAGCGAGTGCTTTTCCATCGTATAATATCAGCGAAGGACTTCCAGAATAGAAGCCGCCTCCGAACAGCCACACCATCACTGTCAGGTTGCTGAAAATAGCAGGATATTGAAATAGACTAGGTACGTCATCAACTTTTACTGGCACTATTTAAGTTAGGCATTTAATAAAAATTGATGAAAGATATAGATTCTATGACTATATTAAGTGTAGGAGAATTTTACCTTACACTAGAAAGTAATACTATGTATATATACGAAGCCTTGAAACTTACTGTGCAGATTCAGCTGGCAGCCATATGTTCATGTATAAACAGTCCTCCTGGATCGGCGTGTTGGCGTTCCACATCTCCGAGCCCCAGAAGGTCTCGTTGTAGGTATCCCGTCCTTGTGCACATGCCGGCGACAGTATGTTCGCCTTCCTGGTCTCATTCCACGGCTTTTTGTGGCGTGGCGGCTTGAAGCGCAGATCTCCCACCGGCGGTTCGGCGAACGGCACGCTGAGGAAAGAGCGAACCCGTCGATGCAGGAAGATCGACTCGTAGCCCAGCAGGCGGCCTTGATTCGTGTTGATCTCGACGGGAATGTTCTCGCGATGGTTTATTCCGGACGCCAAATCCTGGAGCAGAAGCCAGACGAGCAGAAGCCAAACGAGGCCGCTCATCCCGCCTTCCTGTAAACATTTTGTTGACTTTGTCGACGATACATTCGTCACGTGCAAGTAGAGTTTATGTATCGGCAGTAAAAGTAATTGGGAAGGAAGCCAGATGTTATCTTATTTTGAACGTTTTTCGAATCAAGGTGATAAGGAGTGATAAGGATTGTGTTCTTGAGGTTTTTGAGGAAAACAAGGTCAAAAAGTAAAAAGAAAGTTCAAAAATGGAGAGAGATCTCGTTAAAATGGCATAAGATGGAGATTCTAGGCATTTTTTGACCGATTAAAGATGTAAGAATTGTAAAAACTTAAATCTTGTTATTAAAACTTTAAAGTCTATATTATACTTCATATACATGGCTCTATGTTCACAATTCGTGATGTTAGCAATGTTTTTTAACCCAACATTGACCACACCACATCTACATCATCCAAAGCAACATACGACACCTGTTGCCATGCAAAAAGCGATAAATTATGAACAAACGTGTGACGTAACCACCTCCACCATCCCCACCACCCTTTACAACATAACCTATTACATAGTGAGCCCAGCGTATAAGTACTTTATACTGATATCGCGGCGAGATAAGGCGCGAATAGACCCGGGGCCGCTGATGTATGGCCGTGAATGACCCGGAGTGGACATGTCCTTTGCTTAATAAATCACGTTCCGCCTTGTGTTAAGCGAAAGAAAACGAAAAAGATAATAAAACAAATTGGAAAGCAGATCAAACGCCCTCCGGCCCTTTTATAAACATTGGTGGCATCGCGGTGAGCAGGAAATCCGATAGCACGACATGCATAGAATAACATTCCAAACCGTTTTCCGCATCGGACAATAAGCGGCGTTAATAGAAGGGGCATATAAGGTCAATAAACAATTCTATCTAGTGGTGGGGAGGGTTTACACGTTGGGAAAAGTGTCACAATGAAAGAAAGGATGGTATGATATTATAGTAGAAGATGGTACTATAATATAATGCTATAAAATGTTCTCGCTATTGGGCAGGGTAAATCCTTATCAAAGGTTTCTCTTCCAGATATTAGTTTGTTCAAATAATTCTGTGCCATCTCTGGAAACAAATTTGCTGGGTTGGGGGGCACAGAATTATTTGAACAAGCTAATAATTTTCTAAACTAAAAAAATATAAATTCAACCAACGTTAGTTTCATGTTGTAGTAGCAAAACAAAAACAGCACTAAAACATTATAAATCAACTCTCAAGGGCCACTTATTACGGTCGACTAATATTTGCAAAAAGACCCTGAAATACCATAAATGACGACAAATTTGCATAAAAAACCCAAATGATGACAACTTTCATAAGACCTCCAAACGATGACAAACTGTCTGCCACAAACCCCACCCCACCTTGCCTGATATCATAAAGTGCAGTACTATTCATGGGGCCCTGAATCCCACGCTAACGAGTTTATTGTTGAGGTAAGTCAAGAGATTAACGTCGATTCCGGGCCTAGCCAAGCGGATTCAAATTTTTCCAGTCATAACTCGGTTCGTGGCCTGAGGGTGTGAGGCAGAAAACAAAACGCAAAAAAAACCGCGTTGGCCCCTCCCATTAAGCGCCCGATAAAGAGTTATGCAGACCTAATCAACTATAAAACCGACTAGTTTGGCCACAACTTATCAAACGTCGAGGTCGAGCGCCAAATTGCCTCAAATCGATTCCCTTATCAAGGGTCTCTCGACACGTCCAAAACAACTTGACGACTCGAATAATATCATCGAGGCGAAAGTATTTACATCGAAATGGCAATATTTACATCCGGAAAGATGAAATACGAAGTTCAGAAAGTAGAAATACGAAAATGACAAGGTTTACATCAACGTCAACGAATGTACATTAAAGTAGATGTGTCTCCACCGAGATTACAGCAAGGTAAAGGAACTTATATCCAAGTGAAAGTACATAAAAGTTAAACTATAGCAATTAACATCAAAGTAAATCTTCAAAACAGTAACTACATCAAGATGGAATTTTTCAAAACAAAGTAAAAGAATTTACATTTAATGCTAAATCAAGACCACATTCCATAGCATCACTTGCTATAATACTTGGCCCCATAAAATTGTAAAATTTGACGCAAATTCCAAATTTAAAAAGATTTGGAGAAGACTTTCCTTGTAGTATATAGTGTTAAATCGTAGTAAAAGGGCTACCAAATAGTAAGTTTACAACACAAACTATATATTTTACAATAACGTTTCAAAGGAAAGAAGATAAAGAGGAAAAAACTTGAAAAAATTAAAAAAAAGTTAAAATAGAAAAAACTGTTGAAATTTTTCAAAAAATAAAAATTTTTTAGTCAATATCACTTAAAAATCAAATAGGATAGGATAAAAAGCACAACTATCTACTTCTTTCTTAAATAACAAATTATACCTAAACTAACAAATCCCATAACCACTTTTTACACCCAAATGTTTGTCAATATTGTGATAGCCAAACCGAGACGAAAAACATTTTCAAAAAACGCCTTAAGAGGATTACGGTAGGCGCGGTGGAAATATGACAAGATAATCGACTGTTTGAAACTCGCGGCGCCCTGAGGCTAAGTGAATGGCCCCGAATCCCCACCAATTACAATCAGTGCGTGAAAAGCTGTCAAAAGCAGGCGAGTGAAGTGGGGATTCCCGCACATCCCACGATAACGCTGGAGGTAGGGGTTGACCTTTCGCTGCGAGGCTGAGCCGAGGACTCCCAATCCAATCAGGAAATCCCCCCACTCGACTCCATTGTTTTGGCCACAAAAAACGCCGCTCCCGATGCCGCCGGGCCTGAAAAAAGTCTGCGAACTTGGCCATGGAAGAAGAGCGAAATCTCTTCTGGCCCGATGATTACTGCGCGTCTTTAAACGGGCAGGAGGAGCAGAAGATTCGCCGAATATTTAACCGTGTGAAAAGCCGTACATGTTAGACATCGTGCAAGTCCGGAATGGAACCCAAGCCCCACCACCGACCGTTCTCACGGTGATGGCGGGGTCGTGAGAGTCCTCGCGAATGTCTTCGGATCCATTAAGTTTATTTAACTCCTGTAATTTCATCTTCTCGGCCGTGATTGCGGCCAATCCTGCACAGACTTGTATGGATTCTGAAGGGCAAAGTTGTATAGCATCTGGAGGACAATTAGGCAGATTCTAGAAGATAAAGTTTATTAAAAAAAGTAGTTCTTCCCATAAAAGTTACTTGCACGTAAGACTCAAAAATTTAGGTAACTTCTCAAAACAAAGTTCAAACGTTTATAGATACACAAGCCAAAAAACGTTTTCAATATTAAAATGCTGTAAAAGGTACTGTACCTGTTCGAAATATACCTAAACATGCTCAGTTTTATTACACTAGGTGTTTACACTACCTATGCTTAAACAAACAATAAAAATTCAACTTCCTCACTATATTACTGCAACTAGAACACCAGTATGACGTAAGTTTTGAAGGTCAGTAAAAGATTTGGACTTTTTGTGACTATGTGCTTTAGAGTTAAATATGGTCAGTTCAACAATAAACAAGAAAGCAACTTGTTATAGTAGCAATAGTCACATTAATCAACACGTTTGTTGTCCAAAATACTGAGCAACAATTTTATATCAATATATAAATAGCAATGCAAAGCTAAATAAAATTTAATAAATTTCAAATATTTATGTTACAAATCATCGTGCAATCTCATTTTGGGCCTAATGAAACTGCTCAATGCAAGAGCGTCAGAATTATCCAGCAATTCTTGTAGCGTGAGGTATTTGTCGTCGTTGTGGTCAGCCGTAACAAAGATGTCCTTCACTTCCTCTGACAGCCTAGCATCACTCAATGGGTTTAGGTACTCGACCAGTTCGAACTTCATCACTTTACCGTCTTTGTCCTGATCAATGACGTCTTGGAATTCCTTTCGTCGTTCGGTTTTGTAGTCACCGTCAGTGTTTTCACCTTCTACAGCACCTGGAGGAACTTGAGCAAACTCTTCGATTGTCAGGTAGCCGTTCTTGTCACTGTCTGTAAAGATTATTAGGAGTCAAAGGGAATAAAATTTCGTCATGTTATATAATAAAATTTTATAAAAAGTCATAGACAATATGAAACATACCCAAGGAATTGAGAATATTTTGAGCAAGTTCATTCAATTGCAACTTTGAGTTTTCAGGATGCTGATACGACAACCATTCAATCTCATCTAACCCATCTTGATTGGCATCAGCTTGATTAAACGAATACTTTTCTTGATCCAACACAAATCTAGCTGAAACAACTTTACTTATTATTTGTAAAACAATATTAAAATAATGTTTTACATTTTTATACACGCTAATATTATTATACTCAATCTTTTTAACCATAAATCATACTTTAAGAAATATAAAATAATTAAGTAACCATTAATTCCGTATTTTATCCTTGGGAATCACTTATGCGTTATAGGTGCACTTACAATCAGAATCCAGATGATTGTCGTGATCCTTATGATCTTCAACATGATCTTTCGATGCAATGTTTTGTTTCACCATGAAATGGTCCTTGTACTCGTCCCATTGAATGATCCCGTCAGCATTCTTATCAACCTGTTGGAACAACTTGTTTGCTTCTCTTTTCCCTTCGTCCAAGTGATATCTGATGTTCTTCTTCACCTTCTTGAATAGTTCATCATGGCTCAAGCGGCCATCTTTGTCTGTATCTGCTCTGAAACATAAATAAGACTATAAGGCAAATTCGTTTGTTACTTAAAAATCAACGATTTAATAGCTGACAAAAAGAAACAGACGAGTAAACACCTTTTGATACCTAAAACATCAATAAAGCCAATAGATGAAACTTACAAACGAAACATAATCTCAATCAAGTCTTTTGTCGACATGTTATCGTTGTGGTCTTCTCCTTCCTTCAGAAACATCTCTTTCCTAATGTCCTTGTTCAAGTCCCCATCTCTTTCTAATGGAACACCTTTCAGGTGCTCTGGTCTGTTAGATTTTACTGAATCATTGCCCTAAAATACGTTTTAAATTAAATCTGTCATATCTATTCGAGTTTCCAACACAAAAAATCTGGCCTTACACTCATAGTTCTATTACTCATGGTGTAATGCAACGTTAACTTACTTCATTCGGTATCAAAGGCCCAGAAATTGTTAAAGAAATAGTTAAACTAAGTAGGAAATATTGTAAAACAACCATTATTTACATAAAAAAGAATATATAAATGCACATTCACCAAAAACCCCAAAAACAGCTGTGAATTTTATGTAAAATAATATTCAAGAAATTGGGTCAAGTTTATCTGTTTATGTAAAAAAAATAAATTTACAATTGGGTCAAGTGTCATTATGTATAATTTATAGAAATAAACTCTAAAACACTTACACTTAAATTATTAAACTATCGAATCTTACATGCCGTTTTACGGCGCATAGCATTTCTTTCAATAAAGTGTAAATTCTTTGCTAATTACGATATGACCTTGAGAGCCAGACATGACACATTATAAAAAATATTTTTTGTTCGTGGATCAGATGAACAGCAAGATAATATCAATATTAAAATTATGGTTTTCAACTGTTTTTTCGTATCTTGAAAAATTTTGTTTGTTTTTATAATTTTTATTCATTATATTACAAAGTTTCGGGCTGTTAACTCAGTATGAATCATATTTTTGATTTGTTTATAACTCTCTTCAACTTTAACCGTAGTTTATTATAGGTTATTCCTGACGTTCTACAATGGAGACCGAGCAGGAGGTAGCCTTAGAGGAGATGCTTCGACTGGTCAAAGCACATGCCTTTGAAATGAAGCGGAGTTTGGACAAGAAGGACATCAGGGATGGTCTTCGGCACGTGAATAATATGCTGAACGAGTTGAGAACGCCTGCGTTGAGTCCGAAATTCTACTACAGATTGTGTAAGTTGATATATTCTGTTTTTACTGTACAGGCCACTTGTTTTATGTCGTTTATGTGTTTTTATACTGTTTTACATTTCGACAGTATGCTTTACTCATTTCTTTTATAGATATCGATGTGACAAACGAGCTACAACACTTTTTGTCGTATTTAACGGACGAATATCTAGTGGAAGGGGAGAATAAAGTGACAGAGCTGTACGAATTGGTTCAATTTGCTGCTCACATTGTTCCTCGATTGTAAGTTTTTTAAATTTATTTTGATGTTTAGGTATCAACTGATTGCAGAAAGCTTTGCTTTATAACCAAATCAAATATTTGTTTAGATATTTGATTGTAGAGTTGACCAATCAAAAAATACTGGCAAAAACGTTGATTTGTTACCTAATTTTCAGAAAATTGGGTTTTAAATGTTAATTCATGACAAAAATATTTTTTAGGTACTTAATGATCACAGTAGGAGTAGCGTACATAAAGTCAAAAGAAGCTCCATGCAAAGATATTCTGAAGGACATGGTGGAGATGTGTCGTGGTGTTCAACATCCCATTAAAGGTTTGTTTCTGAGGAATTACTTGTTGTCGAGTACCAAAGAACTTTTGCCGATCTGTGCGCCAGGCGAAAATGATGGTGAAGGTAATATCAACGACAGTCTGGAGATCGTGATGACAAACTTCAGTGAGATGAACAAGTTATGGGTCAGAATGCAACACCAAGTAAGGCAATTTGACTTTTTAGGGCTTTTAAAGTGTAAGATACGTTTTGCACAGCTTTGAGTGTATATATAAGTAGATGTTTTTTTTTGTTAAAAAGGTTTTTTAGGTAATATTTTGAGCTATTAACCATTTAAATTTATAGGGACCAAGCAGAGAAAGAGAGAAGCGAGAGAAGGAAAGACGAGAGCTTCGTATTTTAGTTGGTACAAATTTGGTCAGATTGTCTCAGCTAGAGTTACTTGATTTGGAGATGTACAAAACATTGTTGTTGCCGGGTATCTTGGAGCAGTCAGTATCATGTCGCGAGCCAATTTCTCAAGAATATCTTATGGAGTGTGTTATTCAGGCACGTAAATGATTTTTTATACTACTTGCTAGTGCAGCTAGTGTATTAGAAGATTTTTGTAGGCATTTTATACATTTTATACCAATGCTAAATCTAATCTGTTCTAGGTATTTCCCGACGAGTTCCACCTGGCCACATTGTCAGAATTCCTCGGAGCTTGTCTCAGCCTTCACCCCAATGTACAGATCAAGAATGTGTTATGTGCTGTAATTGAACGATTGATAGAGTTCTCATTGTTAAACGACAATCAAGACTTGCCTAAAGAACACAAGCTGTTCGAGGTATTCTCGGAACATTGCGAAAAGATTATCTCAACACGAGAAGAGATGCTGCCTGAGGATATTGTCACTATTCAAGTAAGTATGACGTTTTTTGTATAAAATTTTGTGGTTTTGTACTAAGTGATATTATGCTGTTCAAATAATTTTGGGTTCTTTTAAAACAAAGTTATTGGGAGAAGGGCGCAAAATTATTTGAACAACCTAATAGAAATTTCAAGTCATTTTTCCGTTTTTAAGAGTTTAAAGAGTAAAAGTTCGTTTGTATATGAATGAAGTTATGACTTGCAGCGTGCTCTCGTGAACTTGGCCATAAAATGTTATCCTGCCAAAACAGAATACGCCAACACTGTATTCGCTTCGACGGCTTCTATTTTCGAACGATTGAACGAGAAAAAGTAAGTTTTAAAGAGCTAATTACTAGTGGGTTGTTCAAATAATTCGGTATTCCTAATCTCGAAAAGTTGCCTTGAAATGGGCACAGAATTATTTAAACAAATTAATATTAAAACACGATAAAATACGTTTTTAAATCATTTTGCAAGTATTTACGTTATATTACTTTAGTATTCACGTTGCACTACAATAAGATATTGTATCTTTCAAATATTGTATTGCCCGTACTTTACCTTTCCTGTGCCAATGTTTAAATGATGATTTAAATTTTTAGTATCCCGCCAAACAAAAGTGTTGGCAAAGAACTGATCAAGTTGCTCAAAATGCCAATCGACTGCTACAGTAACTGTCTGACGTTACTGGAATTGGATTCGTACAAAACTGTACTCAACTTGTTGTCCACCAGAGGACAGACAAACGTGTGTTCAGCTATAATCAAAGCCATAATAGAGAAGGAGATCTACATCACGGAGGAAGAACAACTCGAAAAGGTAGGTTTTACTGTTATGTTTTACTTTACTGAGTGGTATTGACAGATTTTTTTTGTTAAAAAAGAGGGTATGAGGTTTTTTTTATTTTTAGGTATGAAATTAAGGTTTTTGAACTAAAAATAATAATTGAAATGGATTATATTAAATATTAGGTTGTTCAATTAATTATGTGCTTTTCTCGGAGCAAATTTTTGGGGTTAGGGGCGCAGAATTATTTGAACAATCTAATATTACAAAAAAGTCTATTGATTCTTTTAAATTTTTTGATATTGTTATAGTTATTCTACGTCCTGGAGATCCTCCTGATTCCTCAAGAAGATGAACAAAAAGATCAAGAGAACATCGACGAGTTCGAGGAACACATGGAGTTGGTCGCAGCTCTAGTACATTCGATCAAAAACGACAATCCTGAAGTTCACATGAAGTTTTTGTCTAAAATACGAAAAGTTTTCGGAAAAGGCGGATCTCAGAGGATTGCTTTCACATTACCACCCTTAATCTTCTCAACTTTTGCACTTACCCCAGCCTACACGGAGGCGGTCAAGGAGACGGTAGGTTTTGCTTTTGAAATTTTGATATTTTTTGAAGGTTTTGTATTACGTTGTTTGAATAATTCTCTGCCCCAAACTCTAAAAAATATTTTTTGAGAGGGGCACAGAATTATTTGAACAACCACCTAGTGGTAAAGGTTTACGATGCTTTCAAGTATTATTAGAGTATTAGATGTGTATTGTTCTTATGGAAGTATTGTAGTTTGTCTTACTGTACTTTTTAAAACGCTCGTTTTTATCTAACTACAATCACAAGTTTAACCTGTTTTTGTTAAATTAGGTACAATTACAACTCGTAATTAGATTCAATATCACGTGATACTATAACAAACATTTTTTTATACGAAACATGTGCTATATTATGTCTTACGTGCATTACAGATACTGTATTATAATTAAGTTGTATAATACAGTTACTGTATCGTAATTAAGTTGTAAAATAACATTATTTAATTTTACATGAGTCTATTATAAGATAATGTATGATTAGGTTAACACAACATAATGTATGGTTATGAGATTAGCTTAACACAATATAATGTATGCTTATAGCGAGATAATGTATGATTGTAGCTTGTGATTTCAGGAGGACTCGAATCAGAAAGTGATAAAACTCTTCCAGTTCTGTCAGAACACGATCAATGCCTTGAAGGCAGAAACCGACAGCTACGAAGCATGTTTGAATATTCTGCTGCAGGTGAGTAACAGCTGATTTGCATGCGTTATGCTTTGATTCTATCTAGAGTCGCTTTTCGATTATATTTTTGATTAAATTGAGTGAAATATAGTTCCTGTTATGATTAGATTGAATGAAAAACAGTTTATGTTATGGTTGTTTAGTGTTATAATTGGCTTAACTGTTGGTTTTTAAAAGCTAGTGATAACGATTTCAGGGAGCTCTGGTGGCTGATAAAACTGATTTTGAAGATTCCGAGACCGTCGCCTATGAATTTATATCTAATGTAAGTTATTTTAGTATTATATATGTAGTTTTAAACTTTTTCTTTAATTTGGTAGTTTTTGTGTATGATTTTATAGTAGGGGGTGTTTTAAAAAGCTATGTGATATATCATTGGTATTATATTTAGTTTATTAGTAAAATCTTGCTTTAGGCATTTACAATCTTCGAAGAAGACCTCACCGAATCCCGTGTCCAAGCCCACTGCCTGTCCCAGATGATTGGCACGGTCCAAGCTCTGCATAATGTTAAGGAAGAGAACCACGAAACCCTCCGCAATCAGTGTGCTATGTACGCGTCGAAGTTGCTGAAGAAGGCGGATCAAGCCAAAGCTCTGTGTTCGGCCTCCCATCTCTTCTGGTTCTCGCGGCCCAAAGACTGTGAGGAGCCGATAAAGAATGGCAAACGATTGTCCGAATGTCTGAAGAAGGCACTCAAAGTGACGTCACAGTGCATGGAGGATCAGGTTCAGCTGGGCTTGTATGTTCTGATACTCACAAACTACGTTTACTTCTACGAGCTTTGTTGTGATACGGTAAGGCGAGGTTTGGGCAGGGGATTGAGATTTTTGGGTATAGGGGAGGGGTAAAACAATTATCCAGTGTTTAAAATCTTATTTTTAATTAAAAAATGGAACTTTATGTAAGATGTTTATTTTTTTCCATGTTCTAATAAATAGTTTTTTAGATTGACGGTATTACGATCAGCAAGATGATTGACAAGATCCGTGACTCTTTACAACAAGTTGATCCTTCTACGAACGCTGAGTTACTCACAGAGACATTTAATGTAAGATTTTACATAAAGTTTTTAAATTTTAAACTTTTTAAAATTACTATGAGTTTTAAAAATACTGTAGATTTAACAATTTGAAGAATATTTATATCTACCTAATGCTAGTAATCATATATTCTTTTACAGAACATCCTTCAAAAGGCTTCGACCCTAAAACGCTCGGATTCCGACGATCTGGCCAAGCTTCTGGGCTCTCTGTAGCCGCAATCTCCCAACTCATCCCCTCAGGGCATTGGTACGACGCGAGTATTGGACAGATGACTAAATTATTTATTTGATACCTTGTTTTAGTAATAATCATATTGTGATATTTAAATATTTATTTTGTCAACTTAGAGTAGAGTAATAAGACTTCTTGATTGCTAACTGTCGGTTTGAGTTCGAAGCGGTTACGAAGCCGTTATCTTATCTTTTGGAGGCGTGTTACGTGCATTATCACTCACATCAACTGAAGACGTCTTCCGTCGTGTGTAATCGGGTATTCATGAGGTGATTTTGAATTGTTTCAAATTTAAAGTACATTTTTTAGTCAGTTTAAAGCATGACGGTTTTAAAATGGTTTTTAAAAACGGCATTTTTGCTCCAATCATCAACTGTTATGCTATATATAGTACCGTTTTTCTTGGTCTTGAATTATTTCAAACTGAATTTTACGAAATGCTTTTTAATATGTGACGCATAGCAATGTATAATATATGTGAAATTGTGAAATCAGAACTAGTCTCCATGGTTACTTTTATCTCTCAAAGTACAAACCGTTAATTGCTTTGTTATCCTTACATTAAAAGCCATCGGAAGCGGGTTGCTTTTCCAAACTTTTGTTACCTTCGTGAATCACCTGTCTTTTACATTTTGAGTAACATTCACGAGTTATATCATGAGCAATGTTCGAATGTTGTTGTTATGAGCAACATTTTAACCATTTTTAGATTTTTAAAATATTTTAAATTTCACAGATTATTTTAGTTTTTAACCTTTCTGATATGATACTTTATATGATACTATTGTCGCACAAAAACCTCATTTTGACCCCGGTTGTCGCGTTCTTTTTTACCGCGTTAGCGTGTGAAAAAACCAGTGAAGAAGCCCGCTTAACTTGTTGTATTGATATTATAGTGTTCTTCTTTCCCTGTCGATTTTCTGGAGCGGAACCTTGTGGAGCTCACTCTCGACCCGAACCTCGGGAAAAGCGTGGAGAAGTAAAAACGCGGGAAAAGGTATCGGAATCTATTTGAATTTGTGATTTTGTTTTATTTGATTTCCCTCAAAAATGATTCACCCTCAGGCCCTTATCTGTCAAGACCTATCCTCAACGGAACGTTGCTAAAAGTAACGGTCGTCGTGGAAAAAGTAAAGTTTTGGACAGTTAAGTGCTTCAAGAGATGGACATTTGGATCTTGTTTTAGTGTTTTGGGAAGTTTAAACGATAAGGAATTGTCAAATTGTCTTACAGATTAAAGTGAAGTAGGTAACGGTAAAAATGAATCTTTTTTTAATAGCGGGTGGGTCAAGTTTAGCAAAAATTTAAATTTTTAGAGCTATCTTTTCCAAATCTACCTGTGCAAGGTCTCCTTTCCCAAATTTTCTCAATTTTTATCCATAAAGTGCTATTACTGACGTCTTATTCTCGTCTTATTCGTACTGTAATTCCCTTCAAGGTTCAACTTCCCTAATATACCGTTTCGTAGTGACACATTTCCTCACACCTTATGTACGTACTGAAAAGAGCATCGTACACGTGAGCACTATTTTTTAATGTTTTTCCATGCATGAGAGGTCTTTGTGTTTTGTTGGCAAACTATTTCTGGCATTATTACTGAAGCTTTTAAAAGATTTCGTGGCTTTTATTATTCCCACTGTTTTTCGACAAAGTTTTGGTTCCTTTCAGAGTGGTAGTTAGGGTTGTTACAGATGAGAAGGTTTATATTGTTTTTTATAAGGTTTGGGATCTTGGACTTGGTTTACAAACTTCTCTTTTGGTTTTGGTATATTGGACCTGGTTCATATATTAATGTTGTTCAAATAATTATGTGCCCATAAACTCTGAAAATTTGCTTTGAGGCGGGGAATAGAATTATGTGAACAATCTAGTAGTTCTCTTCAAGTTTTTGTGTTTTTAAAATTATCGTCCTGGTTCAGAAGCATTTGATAGCAAGGTTTTTCTTATTGGAACCGAAAGCAATATAATATGTGTCTAATAGAATAAATTATTTACTTTTCCTCTAGACCCTCCTCTAAATTTGCTCTATTTTGCGTTATTTCTTGACTATATCCTCAATATCTTTGCATGAATTAGTATTGTACCCGGTTAAGAACTGCCCTTTGTGACAGGTGCACTTTCCGTGTATTAACACAAGTTTTTTCTTATTAACCCCAGTTCTTTCTGTATTAACACAAGTTGTTCACTTCAGAAGACCACCGGCCCAGATTCGCGGTCTTATGACGGAGGCCAAGTTGCGGCCGCCTCTGACGCCGCCACTCCAACAACCGTCGACGTCAGCGGAGATGCCGTCGGACAGAAGCAACCCAATGCTGACGGTGTTCGACGTCTTCCAGAATCCAGCCAACATCTGCACCATCCTCGCGGTTTGTGTCCTCATATTTGTGAGCGGCGTTTATCTGATACACATGATTGCAATCAGCTATGCGTGAGTTTTCATCGTTGGAAAAGGGTTAAAGTGTGCTAAAACATGGTTTTTGAGCGCTTTAGGGTAAAAAATCGATAAAAAGACTACAAAAAGTGATTTTCATACTATAATATTGGTATACTTTAATTATATCTTTAATCCTTGACCAAATAGGTAATCAAATATAATTTTTCAACAAAACGAACCAAGCAAAAGTAGATAACAAAGGCAGGAACCGGTTGATAACATTAATATCTCAATAAACTGTCATTCTTTCAGGAAACGAAGGCTCTACAAGAAGGTGATACGAAAAGCCGACGAAGTTGGGGTTTCCATAATCAAGCCGGTTGTCGGGACAGACGACAACCTCTTCTTCAATTTGGAGTCGTACTTCAAACTTCAGTACTCAAGTGTGAGTTGTTTACTGTGTATTATAATATAAAGATGTAAATTTATATTGTATAGGTAATTCTTCAAATAAGCAGCTATCTTACTGTAGCTCTAGGTTTTATGCTAACCATGATTACTGTAGCTCTATTCTTATGCTAACTATGATCTTTCAGTATGAACTTTTATTTTGTTTCAATGATGAAGCTGACCCAGCACTAAAGGTGGTTGAAGCCCTAAGGGCACGATATCGAGATGTTCAAGTTCGGTTGTTCTTTGGTGAGTTTTACTTCTTTTCAATTACATTATTTACCTTTGTAAGTGTACTTTCATTTTGCAATCACTTATATTTATATCATATTAGATTGTCCAAATAATCCCGTGCCACTAACCCCAAAAATTTCCTTTGAAAGAGGCACATAATTAGTTGAAAAACCTATTACTCTTATATTAATGTTAATGTCTGTAAGGAATCCCTGCTTTCTTGAAGTAAAGTTGTTTTGACATTATCTATTTGCAGGCGGCGAGCCGGTCGGATTGAATCCCAAGATCAACAATATGATGCCGGCGTACCGTGCCTCCAAATATCCGCTGATTATAATCAGCGACTCCAACATCTACATGCGGAACGATGCCTTGGCCGACATGGTGGAATGTCTGGAGGATAATGTGGCAATGGTCACGCAGCTACCCTACTGCATGGATCGACCGGGATTCGCGGCTCATTTGGAACAGGTAAGTAGAAAAAGGCTTGCTTGATTAGTATTAGTACTTTGTTAACATTACTTAGTAATCAATGGTAGTTCTTAGTGTATAAAGTACATGCATGAACTTTTTGACCTGGGGCAATCTAATGTCTTATTACTTTCAGACCTTCTTCGGCGGAGCACACGCTCGTATTTACATGGCCGGCAACGCGCTTCATATCGTATGTTCGACAGGAATGTCATGTCTAATGAGGAAAGCGGTCCTCGAGGACTGTGGAGGCCTACAGTACTTTGGTGCCTTCTTGGCCGAAGACTACTTCTTTGGGGTCGAGTTTGTGAGAAGGTATATTGTTATTCTGTTTGTCATTGTTACACTTTTGTCATATATAAGTATAGCATATTACTATTATTAACATGATATTATCATATAAGAACTTTCGTACTTAATTTTATAATACCATATAGATCATCTTCAAACATTTTCAGAGGTTGGCGAACAGTGGTCTCCCATCTACCAGCCCTCCAGAATGGCTCCAGAACTCGGGTATCGTCCTTCCATGAACGGATGTGCAGATGGGTCAAGTTGAGGATAGCCATGCTACCACATACGATCCTGTTAGAACCAGCACAAGAGTGTTTCATGTGCTGTCTATTGGGCTGTATGGCATTGTTCTACCTAACAAACTCAATTTACTGTATATTTTTGTACTCAACCTTACACATGAGTTACTGGATCATGTGCGATTTTATATTAATGAATATTGTTCAAGTGAGTTGTGCTTTACTGTACATATAGGTACTGTAAAAATAAGTTTAACTAGTCTGACTGGTTTAAATTTATAATTACCATAGTTTTTTTTTCTATTTGAAGGTAAAATAAGGTTAATTACGTTTCAGAACGGTGCCATGCCCTTCAACTTTCTACAGTTCCTCGTAGCGTGGTTCTACCGTGAATGTAGCACGCTACCCGTCTTCCTATCGGCCCTTGCCAACCCTGACATACGATGGCGACAAGGGACGTATCGACTTAACTGGGGAGGGCGGATACGAGCATATCCACCCCTCCGAAAGTGAAACCATATTGTATTACTAACACACGGGTATCTCTCCCAATTGACCACAGTTCAGGTACCTCATTTCCTGCAGCTACATCCCATTCCTACCGTAGTATTCTACATCCCTTTTCTACCGTAGTATTATCCCTTCGACTACGGTAGTCTTGTAATTGTTCCTACTCTGGTTCTGTTACAGTAACCCTACCGTAGTCCCTCCCTCTCTCAGCCACTTCTTTCGGTCTTCTTTCCCATTTTTGGTATCTTGCCTAACAGAGTTTTATATCGGTCCGAGGTCCGTCATATTGTTTTATATCATCGTATTATTTTATATCAACCATTAAACATTCTAAAGAAATTCTAAACGTCTGCCGGGTATTCTCATACTTTTTCATATCCGAAACTCTTGTTTATAATGAAAGTCATTAATAAACGATTTCAATCGAAATTCAAACGAATAAAGGCTTTAAAAGTATTGTTGTTACTGTTATTCACGTATATATAATAGATATATGAGTTATATATTTTTATATATTATATTTAAAACAAATGCGTAATATTACCTTTGACAAATAAAAAAAGCAAAAATCTTGCTTTTACAAATAAACAAAGCCAAATTTCTCCAAAATTTTGTTTATACAACAATATCGATACAAAAACAATATTTATTGATACCCGTTCCATAAATAACATCAAAGTTTATTGCACTTTCTGCTTGTTCTCCTTCCCATTGATGACGCACACTCCAATAAACACCAGCACACAGCCCACCACCGACCCAAGTACGTCATGTTCACCGTGAATCACGATCCCAAGGAAAGTCCAAAACATTTTAATATTATAATAAAACTGTCAACTTACTGCCGTGATAAAGTTGCTTCCAGCAAAGGCCAGGATCGACTAGATCGTAATGTTTTAGTTTAAAAAGTTAGATTGCTCAAAATATATTAACATCAAGGGTTATATTCTCTTCAAATCAATGAAAACATAATTTAGACATTGGATTAAGCTTTTTAATTGACGAATTAACTATAACGTAAAAAGACTTACATTAACCGTACTGTTGCTGGACATACTCTTCAGCTGTAACCACCACACCAAAACATTTGAAACAACAAACGTTGAAAGTAAAACAACATTGAACTAAAATGCGAATGAATAACATAAGTTAACTTACGATAAGGTTCAGGTCTTCATTGAACAGAAACTTCAATGAAGAAGCTCCAACGGAAGCCGAGATTCCTGCCAGAACAGATAACAACGACATCAAGGCAAATATCTGACCAGAATTTTTATTTTTAGAATTATTTCTTCGAAACCGACGAAGTGTCACACAATGTATCGGATTTTGAGATATCTTCTTTCATATTCATTGACGGTAATTTTTCGAGTGAAAATTATAAAATACGTTTTTAGCTAGCTAACATAATGTTTGACAATGCAAAAATAGCATTTAATTACAAAAAAATAATCTTGATGTTACCATAGTAACTTGTTTATTATTTACTGCGCGTTTACTCGCGCATTTACCGCAAAAGATGTCTTATTCGTATAGAACCATGTGTTATTATATACCTAAACTTCGAAATGATGTATAATGGAAGGAAAGTTATTGCAATTGGCCAGAGAGAACTATAGAGACTTGAAGAAGGAGTTTGAGGTATTGTTATCAGAGAATATTCGGCTCAAGAATCAGATCACTGTATGTTTTTTGAAGGAATTACTGTTTCAATGTTAATATATATGTAAAATACGTTTATAATTTGAGGCTTTTTTAGAAATTATCAGAAAACGAGCAGTCATATGTGAAGAATGTGATGAAAGATGTTGTTCATGACATTGAAGTAGAGAAGAAGATGAGAGAACACGCTTTGCAGGACTTCAAAGTAAGTTTTATAGATAAGAATAACGTAATGTAAATATTATAAGTCTACTTATATATAAACATATACTTTCACATTTATATTTTTCAGAAAAATACAGTGACCAATATACGAGAAATGTACGAAGATACGATATTAAGGTTGTTATCTGAACAAAAGGAGGATAAGGCAAAGCTAGCCAAACATACTGATGTGGTAAAGGAAAAAGACGAAGAAATAGGAAAACTAAAGGAAGCTCTATACCAATTCACACACTCTTTACAGTAAAACCGATCCCCAATCTCATGTGTATTTGTGTGTAAAATCAAGTAATAATTCTTTGTAAATTGCTTGGCGCATAAGTCACATTTTTAACCCATGGTTTCTCCTAATATGTAATTTTATAACTAAAAACTCTGCTAACTTTATGTATTTGTTTCTCTGTTAGAAAAAATAACATATTTATCCCAAGACACTTTTATTTACATAATTAAAAGCATATAAAAAATAACTAAACCTACATACTATGAACAAATCTACAGTGAATAGCAAGCGCTCTACTTGAAACATATTGAACATCACATTGACCACACTTCCGTTTGATTACTGATGCAGTGTGGGTCATAGAATGTTCTTTGTGCTCCCGCTCAGTGTCGAAATAGGCATCCGGGCAAAACTTGCAAAAATAGCGACGTTTTTCCAATACTAAACGATAAAATCAAAATTATACTCATGAACTTACTTGACTTCTTGACCACACGTAACTTTATGACCTTGTTACCAAACTAAAACCCAAACTTCTTCAACGGCTTAGCTCCAGAACCATAATTGGGTCCTAACTCCTGATTTTCGTAGAAGGAATACGCAGTATCACTCCAGATACCGTCGCGAAAATAGTTAGACATGAGAAACGGACCGGGCCCAGTTTTCACGCCCGGCCCGATTGAAATTTCGCTCAGGACCGGCTCGGCCCGAAATTTTTTTTACGTGGAAGCGGGCCGGGTCCGGCTCATTTTTCAGGCCCGGCCCGATCGAAATTTTGCTCAAGGCCGGCCCGGCGCGGCCCATTTCTCATGTCTAAATAGGTTAACATAAGTGACTCACCTTACAGAACAGATCACCCCTAACGTAAATCCAAAACTAAAGTCATTTTAGCCCTACCTTACTTACCTCCGCTTTTTTAGACTTACCTGAGTCTAGCTAGGGTCATGTAGGGGAAGGAGTAGAGGTAGAAATAGGAGTTAGAGCAAGGAAAGAGGTAGGTGTATAGGTCAAAATCAGGGCAACGGCGTAAGAAAGGTAGACCTAGCTCCCGAGCCAGACTTGACATAACTTTAGGCGGGCTCGGCCTAGTTTTTACTGGGCCGGTCAGAGATTTTGGTCCGACAGAACGCGGTCTAGGTAAGGGCAGGGGCAAAGTCGGGAGCAGTGGCAAGGGCAGGGGCAAGAGCAGGGTAAGCTAAAAAAGCGGGTTTGCCTTCTTTTGGGCTAAAAAAGGCGGGTTAGGCTTGTGTTTGACTAAAAAAGGCGGGTTAGGCTTTTTTTAGGGCTAAAAAAAAGCAGGGTAATATTTTTTCAGAAAACTATAAAAATAATTTAATAAGACAAATATATCTTTAAAAAAACAAAATAATTTTTTCCAAGAATTTTCAGTACAGTGCAGTGGTCATAATCAATCACTTTTTAAAATTTACAAAATTTTTCTATGCACACAACTCCGTGAAATATCCTGACACGAAAACAAATAATCGCTAAATTATTTGGCATTCTGTTTCTCTGCCGCTAATTTCCAAACGGACCGAACGTGATAAAGAAAAGATACTCTCCACTCTAGACATGAGAAACGGGCCGGGCCCAATTTTCAGGCCGACTCGATCGAAATTTTGCTCAAGGCCGGCCCGGCCAGTTTCTCATGTCTACTCCACTCGACCCTTAAAGCCAGAAATTCTCCCCCATACTCGTTTTAAAATGTTTCTATTTCTTTTTTTTTTACGATTTCTTTAATTTCTATTGTTTTAGACATGTCCGCTAGTCAGACTACCGCTGGGGGAGTAACGAAAGATGCGAACTTCAAAGACAAGGACAAGCCAAGTTCTGTTCGCAAAAGCAACATTGCTGCGGCCAAAGCTGTTTCTGATGCAATTCGGACAAATTTGGGACCAAGGGGAAGGAATGGACAAGATGATCCAGGCTGGAAATGGGGAAGTTACCATCACTAATGACGATGCGACCATCTTGGCTCAAATGGCTGTCATTCACCCTACTGCTAAAATGGTATGTTTAGATTAATGTTTTTGTGATTTTAGATAGTAAATCAGCTACTTTTGGAGGGATTTACGTTATGATCTATTTTTTCATGTTTAAAAACCAAAGATACTTGTAAAATGGAAAAATTTAAAGGAGTAACTGTTGAAATACCGCTTTTCAGTTGGTTGAGTTGTCCAAAGCTCAAGATATTGAAGCTGGAGATGGCACCACTACTGTTGTTGTTATGGCTGGTGACTTTTTGGACGCTGCTGAGAAGTTGTTGAATAAAGGCATTCATCCTACTATAATTTCGGACTCTTTTCAACGTGCTGCTGCAAAGGCCGAACAAATTTTGGAAGAGATGTCATATCCTTTGGACATTTCGAACGATGAAGAGCTTATCAAGTTGGCCACTACAAGTTTGAACTCAAAGGTTGTGTCTCAACATTCATGGTCGTTGGCTTCAATCGCAGTCCAAGCCATCAAAAAGATCGTCGACGTTCAGGCTGATGACAATGCCAACTTGAACATGATCAAGATTGTGAAAAAGCTAGGAGCAACTGTTGAGGAATCAGAACTGATCGAAGGTGCCTTGATTGAGCAAAATAATATAGGTCACGGAGGTCCAACCAGAGTTGAGAAGGCCAAGATTGGTCTTATCCAGTTTCAGGTTTCACTACCAAAGACCAACGTGAGTTTTTAACTTTATATTTTAAAAATTTTCTGTTTTATACACTAAATTTATTAACATATCTTTAAAAGGAGCATTTTTCATTGTATGGTTATAATTTTTGTGTTTCAGATGGAAAACCAGGTGTCGAAGGCTCGAATGAAGAGAAACAAAAGAAGTTGCATCTTGGGTATGGCCGGATGTAACGTTGTTCTCATTCAAAAGTCAATCTTGAGGTAGGGAGTGAGGGACATATTTACGATATTAATGAATTATTTTGTAAATTTTTAATTTTTTTATTTATTTTTTAGAGATGCTGTGTCAGAAACTGCGTTGCATTACTTTGCCAAGATGAAGATCATGGCAATCAAAGATATCGAAATGGAAGACATCCAATTCTACTCTACAATCCTTGGTTGTCATCCAATTGCTTCCATCGATCACTTCAACGCTGAATCTTTGCGACCTGCCGATTTGGTTGAAGAGATAGCGACTTCTGGGTCCGAGAGCGTGGTTAAAATTACTGGACTTCATTCCACTGGTAAAGCCGTGTCAATCCTGTTGAGAGGCTCAAACAAGTTGGTATTGGACCAGGCCGAACGTTCCCTTCACGATGCTTTGCGCGTATTGAGGTGTTTGGTTAAGAAACGAGCTTTGTTGCCTGGTGGAGGCGCTCCAGAGATGGAAGTTGCTGTTACTTTGAGAAAGGAGGCCAAAACCAAGGAAGGAGCTGAACAATATTGCTGGAAGGTAAGTTGATTTTGAAGTTTAAAGTATTAAGTTAAAAATTTCTTGAAAACTGACAAATTTCATTTGTGTAACAGTCTAATTTTGATTTTTCAGGCTTTTGCCGATGCCTCGGAAGTCATTCCATACACATTGGCCGAGAACGCTGGATTATCCCCCATCACTACAGTTACCAAATTACGGAAGCAGCACGCCGATGGCAAAAAGAATTATGGAGTAAATGTGAGGAAGGGCTTCGTTACCGACTTCAAGGAAGATAATGTGCACCAGCCTCTGTTGGTATTACTATACATATATAGCCTCGGTTCAGAATTCGTTTGTGACGCACTAACAGAGGAGTTTGTAAGTTACATTGGTTTATTGATATTTACTATTAGCGTTGTATCAAATAAGTATAGTGATTCTAAAATATGGTTTAATAATATGAATTTATTAGGTTGTATATAAAGTATTGATTAATACACACAGTATATTAAATACACACAGTATATTTAATATACTGTGTGTATTAACAAAATTTTCCGCCCTTTTACAGGCTTTTTAATGCCCGTAGCCAGGGGCGTCGCTAGGGGGGGGGTATCCTGTTTGTTTGAAAATTCGATATGAAAAAGCTCAATACTTCTTATACAACCTAATAATTAAAAAAATAAATTTCTGTCAAATTTTTAAGGGTTTATCCATTAATATGTTAACCTAATATAACATACACTATTTTAAGACGTGTTATTAATATGAAAATTTTTAGTACGCTAAGGAAGTCTCGTTAACATGGAAACAGATGTCCACACCGCGTACTCTGTTCAGAATGTCGCAAAGAATCATGCGCCATCCCGAAGTACCACTTTGGATTTCTTGTGAAGGGATATGGTTGTCTCTAGTGGTGGCGATAAAAAAATACGCTGCATTGTGTGGACTACAGCTGCTAAGCCATCAGTCCGTGAACCAATTTATTTCTGTTTGTGTGAAAGCGCATGAGTTGGAGATCAAATTAAGTAACCTTTCAGTGGTTAGTGGGAAGTAAGTACGGTTTGCACTTTTTATTTTAGCTACAACTTTAATATCAATTGTTTGTTTAATTAAGAAATTGGGTGCAGTTATGGCATTTTGAGTGTATTACATGCTGTTTCTTATACTCAGTGTCTTGTCCGGAGCGTTTTTCACCGGTCCGATCCGGCGATTTTCGGTTCCGGTCCGGTCCAAACTCAAAATTTTTGGTCCGGTTCGCAAAAAATTTTTTTTATTAAAAATAACAAGAAGCCTTAAAACTGCTTTCTTTTCGCTTAAAAACTCTTAAAAATGTATTTTATTTGCAGTTTTTAAAACTGTTTTGTTAAAATAGAAAAAAAAATTTTCGCGGACCGGTCCGGAGCTTTTTCTTCGGCCCGCATCCGCAGGTTTTGAATTCGGACAGCAAAAATTTTAGTTTCGACCCTTCCGCGGACCGGACGGGTCCGGCAAAACACTGCTTATACTAGCTCTATTTTACTCAAATGCAGCCGGTATGCGGCTCTCTTCGCGTTGCTTAATTTTTAACTTAAGATTGTTCATTATACAAAAATATATTTATCGTTTCCTAATCACGATGTTTACTCGTAGCTTTCTGGTCCCTTTTGTGGACCATTTTCTGTATGATCTAGAGTAGCTAAAAAACAATACAAATAATTGTTATATAATAATTGCCATCATTAGTAACAATATTTTCCTAACCACTGGGTACGGCTAGTTGAAAACAAAATGCGGACTTTGCTGTTTTTTTAACACTTCGTATCAATCGATATTTGCAAATAGTTTTTTTTGAAAAGAAAAAGGTTCGTTTCTGTGTTACTTTACGATAGTTTAGTCAAAAAGTAAATAGAAAGTGAAATAAGAAAAAATATCGTTTTATTTTATTGTGACGTTCCGTTATATTGTGACCCAATAACGAAGCGGAAAGGCATATTAGTCTGCAGTCAACTTGATGTGCTGGGCAATTTTTAATGCGATTCGAAAAAGCGATCCAAAATTCCACACATTTTTGGCACTATAGTATGCTTTGAAGTTGCCTTCTGCGAATATGTGTGGTTGATCTGAGTAAGCGGTAATCAAGATAGGCAATACCTGGTGAATACTGCGGGAGTTTTAACAGTTTTCATTTCAGCTTTTTAATGGTATACACACAACTTATTTTGTCACACTTGGCCAAGCGTTGCCATGATTTTGTCACAGCTGTATACTCTCCAAATAAACCACTTGTTGTTTTTTAAAAAACTAGTAATTGTTTCAATAAGATGGAACAGCTTATAGTATGGATACCCTTACTGGTTTTAAAATATGAACAACAATACCTACTTTCCGTGTATGGTGGGTTTGGAAGCGGAAGCTTTTACGAAGAGAATTGTTTAGGTAGGGTCACTACAGTGGAACTTCTGCATAACGCATCACTTGGGGACTTGAATTTTTAAATTCACTGTGTAGTGGTAGGCAAGGGTTTCAAAAGTTCGCATTAAAATATATACAGTGGAGCTCCTGTATAACGAACAAATTTTAAGTCCCTGATCGATTCGTTATACAAGAGTTTCAGTGTATTGTAATTTAAAAGTAATAGAGATTATTAATATGTTTATTTGCATAATATTAGTTTTTTAAGAAAAATATATCAGTCGTTCCACTGAAGAATTTCACAACTTCACGGTGCAGTCACTGGAAAATCGCACCGTTTTTTATTCCGCTGCACCGTGCAGATTCCCCCGCGATCGCTTGCAACGCCAAACGATGTTGGAAAGACTGTACAGTGCAAGTCCCCAATTTTCGCACCGGTCGGTTGTCGCGGGAGCCAGGGGACTTGCGACAGTCAAAAGAAACTTCTCGTAAGCCTTCCACTGAACACAATAGTGGCTTGGGCGTTGCGACAACCGCGACAGTTTGCCGTAAGGCTTTGCCCCTGCGACATTGCGATCCTCCCTTCATTGTTGCAGGGTGCAAGCGAATGTCGTACGACTCGCTGGTCGCGCGACGGCCTCCAATTCTCGGCGGGACAGCGTGTCGCGGTTGTCGCAACGCTCAATTCAACACTGTGTTCAATGGAAGGTTTGCGACAACTTTCTTTTGTCTGTCGCATGTCCCCTGACTCCTACGACAACCGATCGGCGCGACAATTGGAGGGCTTGGACTGTGCAGTCTTTCCAGCATCGCCTGGGTTGCAAGCAATCGCGGGGGAATCTGCACGGTGCAGTAAAGTTAAACCTCTAAAAATAGCTTTTATTTTTAAAGATTTTAAAGTACGCATTTCCCCAACACTGAAATAAGGGTGCGCCAAACGCAGATTGTGGTCGCGTCGGGACTCAAAAAGGATTTTGCGGGTGAAAAATATTTTTCTCTCGCGAATCGGTCGAATATTGTTGATGGAAATTGTGTATTCGTGTTGTTTTATTCTTTATTATTGTCTAATATTATCTAATTTCTACAAATCTGTGTTATTTCTATGTCTATAGAGCTTTACCGACGAAAATTCAGAACTTTTTCTAGGAGTTTTATCCTTATTTTTATGATGGATAATATTCTGGAATATTTTTGGGGATTCCGTCTATTGAATGGCACTAAAAGCAAGAACAGCTCAATAGGAACGATAAGAGTAAGTTTTTTAAAATTAGTTTTTGTGATATTAGGAAAGATCGGATTTAACATTATATTGAGGATGTTGTCTATGATGGCCGCCATTGTTTGGGCACGTCAGATGGTTTGCAAGTTGCAAATCAACGAGAAAAGACTTATAATAAGATTTGTTTCCTGACAAAAATCCATACTAAAACTCATAACCTTTTATATTTATATTTATTCCTGTTAAACTTTGTCTTCTTCTCGTTGATTCGCAGCTTGCAAGCTATCTGACGTGCCCAAACAATGGCGGCCATCATAGACAACATCCTCAATATAATGTTAAATCCGATCTTTCCTAATATCACAAAAACTAATTTTAAAAAACTTACTCTTATCGTTCCTATTGAGCTGTTCTTGCTTTTAGTGCCATTCAATAGACGGAATCCCCAAAAATATTCCAGAATATTATCCATCATAAAAATAAGGATAAAACTCCTAGAAAAAGTTCTGAATTTTCGTCGGTAAAGCTCTATAGACATAGAAATAACACAGATTTGTAGAAATTAGATAATATTAGACAATAATAAAGAATAAAACAACACGAATACAAAATTTCCATCAACAATATTCGACCGATTCGCGAGAGAAAAATATTTTTCACCCGCAAAATTCGCCTTTTTGAGTTCCCGACGCGACCACAATCTGCGTTTGGCGCATCCTTATTTCGGTGTTGGAGAAACGCGTACTTTAACAAGCTTAAGACTAACAAGGAAAGTACCCTACCTGCCCCGCTCAGAATCAGCTCAAAATTTTTATATGAATTCTTTGTACCACCAATAGTACCCATAAAAATTTTTAGCTCGCGCTTTTGAGTTTTAAATTTAAATTATTTGGGTTTCTCGCCAATTTGGCAAATTTGGCATTGTGTTTCAAGCACTTTTTTCGGCTTTCCAGACAAGATACGCTTACAAATTTAGAAATGTAGGTTCATTTAAAGGTTATCTACCAGTATATCAAAGAAAAACTATAAAAAGTCAAAAAATGACGAAGTTACAAGCTTGAAACACAATGCCAACTTGGCGGGAAATTCAAAATGTCATTTTTTAATCTCGATTTTCGAGATTTCCTGGAAAGCGCGATTTAGTACTTTGCTGAACATCTTATATTTATATGATCTTCCTATATAAAAATTTTGAAGTCAATCAGAGCGGGGCAGGTCGGGCACTTTCCTTGTAAGCTTTTTCTACTTTAATGTTTAATTTGGTAGATGTCAACGATTTTTTTGCCTTAACTTTTTTAAGAGTACATGGAGTTAAAAACTTTATTAATTTGTTTTTAGTTGCCGTAGGTTACACTATGAATTTTCTACTTATTTCGACGCCGAGAAAGCTTTAAAAAGTGCCTTAAACAGCATAAATTTATTTCTGGAAGCCCTGCCGAAATTCGATATGAACAAGACAAAGGACGGAATAAAAAACGAGATTAGACTGGCGGCAAAAACAAAACATAAAATCAGATACAGAGCTTGCGAAACCAAGTATGTTTTCAATGGGGAGGTTTATGATGTCCATGGAGCATTTTATTAAAAAAAGTAGGTCGCGCTTTTAAGTTTTAAAATTTAAATATTTGAAACTCTAGCCAATTTGGCATCCAGATGAGATATTTTTTTCTTCTAGCCATATAAAAAATTGACTGTTTTAAGAATTAATATTACCTTATAATTACCTGTTTTTAGGCTATGATTAAGAAAAAGACTGTAGCCGTCAAGAAGACTTGCTAAAAATGGCACAGCTAAAAGGTGGTAAAGAAAACAGTTCAGACTAAGAAAGTGGTAAAACGACAAAATCAGTAAGGGTGTGGAAGAAGAGGAGATCGAGGATGAAGTTGTATCAGCCAAGAAAATGAAGTTGTTCGAAGAGGTAATATATTATTTTATGTTTATATCGAAATTTAGGACGATTCTGATGATTTGCAAGATGACTTTGATGGAGACAGTGACGCGGAACAACTGGACGGAGGAGACTCGGATTCTGATGTTTCTGAATCAGTAATGGATTTGCAGATGGTTAAAGAACGGATTCAAGAGATTGTGGAGGTTCTCGGAGACTTTAACAACAGAAGAGTAGAAGGCAGAAGTCGAGCTGACTACCTCAAGATATTAAAGATGAACTTGTTGTCATACTACAGTGACTACAACGACTTTTTGATGGAAAAGTTTATGGAATTGTTCCCGAGTCCTACTGAGGTTAGTTTGAGGATGAAATCTGTAAAATATTATGCTTTAATTTAGTAATAACTAATATCAAAAACATTAAACTTCTCTAAAGTATGCTTAATTTTAGAAGCAGATGTATGTTTTTAAGCCATAACCTATTCAAAAATGTATCATTTAACATGAGTTATACGAAATATTAAATTTTAATCAATTTTATACAGTGAAGTCGAGCAAAGATGAAGAAGATATCAAGGCCAGATATGTGACACAAAGAAGGTTGTTGTTGGCTGCCATTGACAGTGTTGATGCAAAGTCCAAGACCGGTGGCTACATTGTGTATTCGACTTGTTCAGTGTTGGTGGAAGAGAACGAAGCTGTTGTACAATATGCTTTGGAGAAGAGAAACGTCAAACTAGTACCAATGGGACTAGACGTCGGAGTTCAAGGTTTCACAAAGTAAGATTTTTGTGTCAAACATTTTAAGTTTATACACTTTACTCATGATTTTTTGTTAGGTATAAAAATGTGTTTTTAATGTAATTTTTAGATACCGACAATACCGTTTCCATCCTTCAATGTCGGAGACAAGGATATACTATCCTCACGTTCATAACATTGATGGTTTCTTCGTTTCAAAGCTGAAGAAGTTGTCAAATGACATCAAGAAGCCAAACGAACAGAATGGCGAGGAAGAACACAAGGAACAGAAAACACAGCAACAGAAGAATGGAAAGAAAAATAAAAACAAAAAGGACGGAAGAAGGAACTGATTTTGAAGATTTTTGTTGATTTATTTGTTATTCCTTGTTACAATAAACCTTTACTTGAGGTGCTCGGTGTAGAGTCTTAATGACATCATGATGGAATTAACTCTCCACGACTAAATCAAACATGGCTGGATGTGTAGGACAAAATTCAGCATTCACAATTGCTTTGTTGACGTAAATGAAGACCAATATTCAAAGCTTTCATATATTTTAAGCAATATCACTTATGATTTCTCTATTTTATGTAACAAAATGTTTAAATTAGGTTAATAAGCGTATATTTTGTAAAAAATATATAATATTTTTAAAGCATATTCACTTCTTTCAAATATTAACCTTGTGTTAATTTAGGTAACAAAAAAAGTCTTCAGTCGAGAAATATGTCTTTAGCCATTAAAATTTATTGTTTTTCATCATTTACTCTGCACCTAAAAATAAAACGAATAATACAAAATACATACTCAAGGCCAATTAACCTGTTTCTATAACAGGCAACAAGTAACAAAGCGTTTTATGGTTAAAGTCGCAAAATTGACACTTTAGACCCAAAAATAAGTTGATTAATGTTGCCATAAGGTCCAGTCTTTAGCTATTTATTAGAAAATATAGGCCAAAAAGTCTCAAAATCAAGCGAAAAAAGCCGAAAAAAAGAAAGACAACGAAATGAAACAATTATTGGAAAACCGATCGATAACGAACCACTAAAAAGAGGTTTATACGTTTTCGGGTGCAGTGCGATCGATCTATGTGCACTTCGCTGGTAATTTATTTTTGAATTTTATTATGTATAGGGAGTTACAACTATTTTAGCATTACCCTGTTAGCTTCTATAATAATTTCATATCGTCGTATTTTCTTCTTCTGCTCATTATAAAATAAGACGACTAGGCGTTAAATCCTTAAACAAAAAGGTATTTGTCAAACAAAAGGGTTGTACAAATTGGCCAACTATTTGAAAAATATTTATTGATACTGTGAAACCTCTTTAATATGACTCGATAGTATGTAAATCTCTTTATAATGACACCTTCCTGACTGCCCTTGGTAACCCCTAACAAAACGCACAGTGTGACATCCTGGTTATAAAGACAGGTTTAGAAAGTTCCTTGGGTATCATACTAAAGAAGGTTGACTGTAAAAAGTAATATTATTGACACGCATAGTTATATTTTTCCGCGGTTTAAAGTAAATTTTTAGCTACAGTAATTTCTAAAAACATTTTTTAGTCCAACAGATGAAGGCGAATGATGTTCTTACTCCATTTGTCGAAAAGAAACGATCACAGCAGTTACCCCAATCTCAAGCAGCCGCAAACTTTCAGTCTCAACCATCTCTAAATGCTTGTCAAGCATCCAGTTCAAACAAGGAAGATGGCGCACAAGCAAAGCAGGGGTTATCTCTTGATCAGCTACGACTAGAGGAAGAGAAGAGAGTTCTACAGGAAGAACAAAGAAGTCTAAAAGAAAGAGAAGAGAACCTCAAACGAGAAGAACAAGAACAGCAGGAAAGGGAACGTAAGATCAATGAGAAGGAAACGGAGCTGTCGAGGAAACAGGTAAGAAAGAGTCAACTAAAATGTTTCTTTGTATTTTTACATTTTTCGAGTATTTAAATAAGCATTTGTTGCACAAAAAGTTTATGTTGATATTCCAGGAAGAATTTCAACGATTTGTAAAGGAAAAGGAGAAGGAACTCGAAACGGAACGAATAAAGGTCCTTGAGTACGAGCAGCAAAGGCAAGAAGAGTTGAGACAGCTTAAGGAACAGCTGAAGAAGAGTCTTGGGCAAGAACAGCTAGGACGTGAAGAACTTCATCTACAGTATGAAGAAACGATAAGAAACAAGATGAAGAGTGTGGACATCGACTGGCAGAATCGAGATCTTAGTGAATTTTTTGAGCTAATAGCGTTTGCTCAAGTGGCCACGTTAGGATGGACGGAATGGCTGTGTATTATGGACATTTTTATGTACATGAAGGCGTAAGTTGTGCAGTCCATTTTTTTGTAAACATGTTAGGGTTGGGGGCAGTGGGATACTCTCCCCCCCCCCTCCCTCCCAAACGAAAAATTTGAAAAAGTTGAACGTACTCCTTTCCTGTGGATTTTTGACCCCCGCCCCAGACCAAAAGTGGCGATCCGGCCCTGGTGGTAACTTAATAATAAGATTTGTAATTAATTAACTGGGAAAGTACCCATTCTATCCCGCTCAAAATCAACTCCAAATTTTTTATATTTTCTTGTACCGCCAATAGTATGTACAAATTTTTAGTTTGCGTTTTTGAGTTTTAAATTTGAAATATTTCGATTTTCCGCTAATTGGGTTAATTTGGCAGTGTGTGTCAAGCACTTTTTTTGACTTTAGACAAGCTATAGCTAGCTACGCTTACAATTAAAAAAATGAAGTTTCATTTTAGGCAGGTCGGGTACTTTCCTTGTGAATTTATTTTTCAGCCTTTCGTATGATCTAGATCCAGGCTGCAGAAGCGAATGCATGGAGTTTGCGCTTGGTGTGTTTACCGATTGGGTCACTTCGTTGAGCAAAGAAGAGCTACAAAGCCATTGGGCCAAATATATTAAATAATTTTTATGTAGTTTATTTATATTTTTGGCGTACAGTTAAATAAATATAGCTAACATCTTATTATATTTTATGAATTGTACTAAAATTATAATATTTTTTATAAACCATTTTTCATTGTAGAATTTTATTTCCTCGTAAATCTCTTCGGAAATCACGGATTTTCTTTCTATAAATATTTGAAGTCAATCAAAGCGAAACAGGTTGGGTATTTTCCTTATTAGTTCTTTCAAACGCAGTAATTAATATTTATTCTAAGAAATTATTTATCTTTAAATAAAAATATAATAAAAATAAAGTACTAGTTACGTTCTTACTCGTAAAAATACAGTAGCAATTAAGTTCGTACTGATAATAATGCAGCACCAGCTAAGTTCATACTCGTAAAAACACAGTACCACTTAATATTGTATTCATACCACTATTACTGCTACCAGTATCACTCCCACTCACAAGGAGCCTGCCAATCAGGGTCGAACCTAGCTTCAGCACTCAGGTTCTCGACCTGACATTGAGTGATTGCCTTCATACTCTTTAAGCACGGCTGATACGAGAAGATGCTCTGTAGATCACAAGTGGGCACGTCTCCTTTGCAGAAGCTCATACACTCTTCGGCTACACCCTTGGCCTTACAGCATTCAGTATTATTGTTGTTGTCTGCTGCACAGGCAGTGGGAAACCCTTCCCCCCTCCCGAAAAAAAATTCAAAAAGTTGAACGTCCTCCCTTGTGAATTTATTTGACCCCCAGAACAAAAGTGCCCATCCGGCCCTGGTGATAACTTAATAATAAGATTTGTAATTAATTAACAGGGAAAGTATCCATTCTATCCCGTTCAGAGTCAACTCCAAAGTTTTATATGATTTTCTTGTACCGCCAATAGTACGTACAAATTTTTAGTTTGCGTTTTTGAGTTTTAAATTTGAAATATTGGGGTTTTCCGCTAATTTTGTTAATTTGGCATTGTGTTTCAAACACTTTTTTAATTTAGACAAGCTATAGCTAGCTACGCTTAAAACTTAAAAAATGAAGTTTCATTTAAAGGTTTTTTACTAGTATACCAAAGCAAAATGATTAAAAGTTAAAAAATAACAAAATTATAAACTTGAAATACAATGGTAATTTGGCGGGAAATTCAAAACATAAATTACTTTGCTGAAGATGTCAGGTACACAACTTTTGGTCAGAATATATTAAATAATTTTTTTTAGACTTTGTTTAATTTTGTACAGTTAGATAAATGTAGTTAAATTCGTATTATATTTTATAAATTATACTGTGGTCTTCTCATGTAAACAACCCTAAAAAAGAACCGGATTTTTGTGTTTACTGCAGATAATTGTTTGTATGTTATGTTGCCCATAAAGAGGCAATCCTAATGGTTTTTTGTTGCTTATAGAGTTTAATTCAAAAGCGATACGGGGCCGTAACTGGTAGAAGAATCGGCTGGTTTTTTGATTTAAGCACTCTAAATAGTGTCTAAAACAACTACCCAATACTAAATCACATACCTCGGCTGGTGCTAACCATAAGAACGAAAAAGGAACTAAGTTTGTATGTTTTTGTGGCGCTAGGACAAATGCGGTTTTTGGACATTTGCGGATCTGCGGTTTTTAGACACTTGCGGATCTTCGGTTTTTGGACACTTGCGGATTTTGGACATTTGCGGATTTTTTAAAGTTTTTTTTAATTTTTTAGTTAATTTAGTTGTAGTATGGTACTAAATTGTACTAAAGTTTAAATTGGTGCGGTTTTAACATAACAGTACCTTTTTGGGCTTTTAGTACTATTTAGTACCAAAAATAAAAAAACAGTACCGATTAAAAATTTAGTACTATTTAACATTAAGAAATATTAAGACAGTGCCAATTTAAACTTTAGTACCATTTAGTACCATACTACAACTAAATTAAATAAAAAATAAAAAAAACCCCTTTAAAAAATCCGCAAATGTCCAAAATCCGCAAGTGTCCAAAAACCGAAGATCCGCAATTGTCTAAAAACCGAGATCCGCAAATGTCCAAAAACCGCATTTGTCCTAGCGCCGTTTTTGTCGATTTATTTGTTATTCCTTCTTACAATAAAAATACACGTATTTTAAACCCTGGTTTGGTAGTATTGAAAAGCTTACTCGTATTATGGTAGTTTTTGTAGAGAACCGGTTGTGTCGTCAATCTAACAGGTTAGGTAACGTATCTAACATCATGGTTCAGCATGCCTTTTTACTTCTTCCATATGCAAACGAATCTCATGTCTACGAGCTGCAGAGCTAAAAAAGGCCAATTTTCGACAACAATAATCACAAATTAACTTAAACCCTGTAACTTATTAATAATAAGTCTCTAACGATGTGGAAAAAGCGTATAACTCACCTGTCAACAAAACGCACTGGGCAAAACCGACATCCATATTTCCTCTCCCCAGTATGAGTTCGCCCATGAACGGTCAGAGCTGATGGCTGTGAAAACTGAGCTCCACATATTAAGCAAGTGAATGGCTTCTCCCCAGTATGAGTCCTTTCATGTAGAATCTTATCTCTCGGATACGAGAACACCTTGTCGCAAAACGTACAACCATAACGTCCTCTCTTGCCTTTGTCACAAAACGCTTCATGCTCAATAAGTTCTTCCTGTTTCCTGTACCAATTCCCACACTTTTTACAGTAAAACCGATCTCCAATCTCATGTGTTTTTGTGTGTAAAATCAAGTAATGTTTCTTTGTAAATTGCTTGGCGCATAAGTCACATTTGTAACCCATGGTTTCTCCTAAAATGTAATTTTATAACTAACAACTCTGCTAAGTTCATGTATTTGTTTCTCTGTTAGAAAAAATAACATATTTATCTCAAAGGACTTTTATTTACATAGTTAAATGCATATAAGAAATAAGTGAACCTACATACCATGCACAAATCTACAGTGAATAGCAAGCGCTCTACTTGAAACATATTGAACATCACATTGACCACACTTCCGTTTGATTACTGATGCAGTGTGGGTCATAGAATGTTCTTTGTGCTCCCGCTCAGTGTCAAAGTAGGCATCCGGGCAAAACTTGCAGAAATAGCGACGTTTTTCCAATACTAAACAATAAAATAATAAGCATACTCATGAACTTACTTGACTTCTTGACCACACGTAACTTTATGATCTTGTTACCAAACTGAAACCCAAACTTCTTTAACGGCTTGGCTCCAGAACCATAATTGGGTCCTAACTCCTGATTTTCGTAGAAGGAATACGCAGTATCGCTCCAGATAACGTCGTTATCTGCATAACCATTATCATAGCTTATCCCTGATGGTTGCAAAAACACGTTATCTCCGTTTTCCATGTAGGTTGAATAGGAAAATTGTTTTCAAGCTAGAAAAACTTGCAAAACTGTCTACTTTGGCATATAAACCAGCAAAAATAGTAAAATATTTTTCTAAAAAATAAATTTTTCTTAATTTACGCTTGCCAGTCAATTGTCTCTCAACACGAAAACGTTTTCCCAGTCAAATAAATTTACGGAGAATTTTTCAGAAAGAAAAGAGATATTCTCGAACCTTTGCCTTAAAGTCCAGAAATTCTTCTTTATACTCGTTTTGAATTGTTTCTATTTTGTTTGTTATTACACTAACTTTAATTTTTATTGTTTTAGACATGTCCGTTGGTCAGACTACCGCTCCGGCACCGGCAGTTACGAAAGATGCCAACTTCAAAGACAAGGACAAGCCCAGTTCTGTGCGTCAGAGCAACATTGTTGCGGCCAAAGCTGTTTCTGATGCAGTTCGGACAAGTTTGGGACCACGGGGAATGGACAAGATGATCCAGGCTGGAAATGGGGAAGTCACCATCACTAATGACGGTGCGACCATCTTGGCTCAAATGGCTGTCATTCACCCTACTGCTAAAATGGTATGTTTAGATTAATGTTTTTGTGATTTTAGATAGTAAATCAGCTACTTTTGGAGGGATTTACGTTATGATCTATTTTCTTCATGTTTAAAAACCAAAGATACTTGTAAAATGGAAAAATTTAAAGGAGTAACTGTTGAAATACCGCTTTTCAGTTGGTTGAGTTGTCCAAAGCTCAAGATATTGAAGCTGGAGATGGCACCACTACTGTTGTTGTTATGGCTGGTGCTTTTTTGGACGCTGCTGAGAAGTTGTTGAACAAGGGAATTCATCCTACCAGAATTTCGGACTCTTTCCAACGTGCTGCTGTCAAGGCCGAGCAAATTTTGGAAAGAATGTCGTATCCTTTGGACATTTCGAACGATGAAGAGCTCATCAAGTTGGCTACTACAAGTTTGAACTCAAAGGTTGTGTCTCAACATTCATGGTTGTTGGCTCCAATGGCAGTCCAAGCCATCAAGAAGATCGTCGACGTTCAGGCTGATGACAATGCCAACTTGAACATGATCAAGATTGTGAAGAAGCTAGGAGAAACTGTTGAAGAATCAGAACTGATCGAAGGTGCCTTGATTGAGCAAAGAAGTATGGGTCACGGAGGTCCAACCAGAGTTGAAAAGGCTAAGATTGGTCTTATTCAGTTCCAGGTTTCACCGCCAAAGACTAACGTGAGTTTTTAACATTATTTTGTGAATTTTCTTTTATGTTTTAAAGTTATCAAAATATTTGTGAAAAAGTAGCATTTTTCATTATGTGGCTTATAATTTTTGCATTTCAGATGGAGAACCAAGTGGTGATTACGGATTACGCACAAATGGACAGAGCTTTGAAGGAAGAACGTGCTTACATCTTGGATATCTGCAAGCAAATCAAGAAGGCCGGATGTAACGTTGTTCTCATTCAAAAGTCGATCTTGAGGTAGGGAGTGAACGACATATTTACAATATTAATGCATTATTTTGTAAATTTTTAACTTTTATTTACTTTTTTTTTAAATTGTTTATTTTTAGAGAGGCTGTGTCAGAAACTGCGTTGCATTACTTTGCCAAGATGAAGATCATGGTAATCAAAGATATCGAGAGAGAAGACATCCAATTCTACTCCAGAATTCTCGGTTGTCGTCCAATTGCTTCCATCGATCACTTCAACGCTGAATCTTTGGGCTCTGCTGATTTGGTTGAAGAGATCACGACTTCTGGATCCGAGAAGGTGGTCAAAGTTACTGGACTTCATTCCACTGGTAAAGCCGTGTCAATCTTGTTGAGAGGATCAAACAAGTTGGTATTGGACGAGGCCGATCGTTCTCTCCACGATGCTTTGTGCGTATTGAGATGTTTAGTTAAGAAGCGAGCTTTGTTGCCTGGTGGAGGCGCTCCAGAGATGGAAGTTGCTGTTAATTTGAGAAAGGAAGCCGAAACCAAGGAAGGAGCTGAACAATACTGCTGGAAGGTAAGTTGATTTTGAAGTTTACGGTATTAAGTTAATTTTTTTTTGAAAACACAAATTTTATTCATATAACAGTAAATAAAAAGACTAATGCTATTTTGTAGGCGTTTGCCGACGCATTGGAAGTCATTCCATACACATTGGCCGAGAACGCTGGATTATCTCCCATCACTACAGTTACCGAATTACGGAAACAACACGCCGATGGCAACAAGGACTATGGAGTAAATGTGAGGAAGGGCTTCGTTACCGACATCAAGGAGGAGAATGTGCTCCAGCCCCTGCTGGTCACACAATATGCCATCAAACAAGCCGCCGAATGCGTGAGAAGCATCCTCAAGATCGACGATATTGTAAGTTATACCCATTTTATTTTTATATTTACATTTTTAGGTATTGGCGATCCGCTAAGCATCGATGTAATTTGAATATCCGTCCAAATCTCCACGCTTTGATCTTCTTTAATTTGTAAAACCCGCTGTAATCCTGAATTTGTTAAGTTTGGAAGCTTCCAATCAATAAATATGATAAAACTATTTACTCGTGTACTGAATACTCTTTAACAAACCGGTAATACTTATATTAATATTAACTGGGGAGATCTTTGCAACTCATTCGTAGTCGTCCACATCAGCTATATTCGGCATCTCTTTGGATCTGCATAGTCGAGATGGAGGGACCATCTGTTTTGGAGGGAATTCCACTGATACGCACTTCTCTGAAAACATGACATTGTTTACAAGAAAGTGCAGATTTTGTCAAAAAGTGTATAAAATTGTCCTTTTCGTAAATTCTTGGTGTCCTTTTCGACTTTTATTCAAAAAACGACTTCTTTGAACTTCGAAATAGATACCAAAATGAAATTATCTTACCCAAAGCGTAGAATCCTTCGTTGATTGTTGGCAGTACATCCATCGACCGATTCACCGACCGTTTCTGCATCGTGCATTGACTGTCTGGCTTGGGGTCCCTTGATGAGGTCGGCGTCAAACTTTCTGTGGAATCACTGTACAAAGTGTTATGACTCCTCCTCACATCTTCTTCTGAATTATTCGAGTTCTGGTGCACTGGACCGTCTTTGTGCTTTTGGTATACTTTCATCCAACCATCAACGACATCCTGGTCTGAGGAATCGTTGTAGAACTCGATAAACTTTGTCAAGTCACTCGAAGAGCTGGAGCAACCCGTATTGAACTGGACCTTCTCCAATGCTGACTTTACAGCGATATCTCTGGTTGATGTGGATTCTGAATGCGTCGAGTTTTCTTTCTCGTCAACTAAAATTGATTTGAAGTAACGTAATGTTGGTTTAGGTATTATTGAGTTTATAAACAGTGTTTTAAAGCTTATAAAATGTTTTAGAGGTTAATATTTTATTCAAACAATCGTCAGACGAATTTTTGTTTATGAGAACACGGTGTGTTAATTCTGAGAAAGTTAGGTGCCTAGATTATCAATTAAAGCAGAATTTCTGCGCAATCAAGAAATAAACGTGATAAATTTCGAAAAAAGTTGAGTAAACAAGGATTTCATTCTTAAATCACGTTTCTCAAATATTACACTTGAACCTTGCTATCAGTTAAAGTTTTTTTGTCTTGAAAGTTGAGAAAAAAAAACAATTGCAGGATGTGGAAAAAAAAACAAAAACAACATAATTACACTTACTTTCTTTGAGTATGTAGGGTGTAGAGTGGGCTTCGCGAAGGTTGGAATTCATTGCAATCGATGCTCGCGAGATGAAACCTCCTTCCGAAGACGAAATAACAATGAAACGATCCTACTAAAAGTGAAATAACAATGAAAACGAGCAAGTCACGCCGAACACTCCCGGATTTCGATGTTTTAAACCCGGGATTAATGAAGAAGAATGGGGGAAAGTGGTGGGAAATATTTTTCGGGCAAAAAACGCGAATGCGGCCGTGAAGGAGCGGGCGGGGGAGGGGAGCCGTCGTGAGGGAGTGGTAAAAGGGCAAAAAGAAGGGGTGGGGGCCGAGAGGGGACGATAAGCGGGGCTGACCAAATCTGTCGGAAGAGTGGAAAACATTAATAAACGCGCAAACTCTATAAAACACCTGACGACGGCCCTTAAAAGCGGCCTCGAGAGGGACAGCCGGCTGCCGTCTCTTTTCCATGGATCCAATCTTTTCGCTTTTTTTTTCTGTCCTCAATTATCAAGTGACTTATCAGGTGATGTCATCGATTGCAAAATCATGACTTGTTTTTTGAGAATGTCATTTTCTTCAAATAGTTGTCATAGTTAGGTTATTTTCGTCAAAGGTTATGTTGTTTATCTGTCTTTATCTACTAAAGCGTTAAAAATATGGTGGTAATACATCATGTTGTTAGAATTTGTATAAGTGACATTTAAAGTTAGATAATACTGTAGAAAACACGAAAAATAAAATATTACAGTAATATAAAAAATCTACATGATAATGTAGATAATATATAACGTATAATATATTATACAAGGCTAAAAGAATACAATATTTTACAATAAATGTAAAATATTACTGTGGACTTCATCTAAATATCTAACAATTAAAACCACAATATCCTACAGTAATAGTATCACCAGGGCCGGGCGGGGATTTTTGGTCTGGGGGCAGGGGACCAAAAAATCCACAGGGGGACCATGTTCAACTTTTTTCGAAAATTTTTTTCTGGGGGGGGGGGTACCCCCCCCCTCGCGCCCCGGCCCTGAGTATCACAATACCAAAAGTATCACATGATTTCGAAGATGATGACAAAGCAGAACACACTGAATGACAGACCCGAGAAAAGATTGTTGGCCGCGATGTAGATGTGTCGCCACTCGTGAGTGTAGTCTACTGTAGTAGCAGCACGGTCACTGTCCGGTCGGTCGAATGTGTCCTCAAGATGTCGTTGATAAGAGTTGTTTTGTTCTGGTTCGATGCAACAGAAGAACCTGTTGATGAGTTTGGCACTGAGATACAGGAAATGAGACGGTGGTACAGTACGACGTACTCGACATAAGGCTAGGCACACCAAGGTAATGAGGATGGAGAGGAAGCTGACGAAGAACAGAAACTCGTAGAAAGTGTCTGAAAAGGTACTGTAAGTTATTATAAGTGTCAAGAGGTACTGTAAGTTGTCATAAGAGTCAAAAGTTACGGTAATTTGTTATAAAAATCAAAAGATACAGTAAGTCGCACAAAGTAGTTCTAAAGTTACAGTAATCTAATATTTAGAAAAGTCATGGCAAAACACACTAATAATGCCTTCACCATTGCAATTTACATAAATATTTATCATCATATTTACTTAAAAGCATGAATTTTAAAAAGTTTTAAATTTGATGACGTAACTTACAAATCTTAGGCTTGTTTCCGCCGAATCCGTTTTCCGGAGCAATGGAGCATAAAAACAAGAAACAGACGGTCTGAAGCGTCAACGTCACCAGCTTCACGAACGACTGGGTTCGCAGATCACCGAACAACGGCGACACCAACATCAACATGGTGGCAATGGTGACTGGGATACGTAGAGCGATCTTCAACGTACTCATCTCTTTCTTGGCGTGTACACAGAGACGAAGGAATTCGTTACGGTAACCTCCGATCTTGGCTACATCTACTATTCGGTCCTAAAAGAAATCGGTATATTGTTGTAGCATTATTCTTTATTGATTTAGAGACGTCAGCAAAAACAAATTTATTTTGAAACCATTGCTATTATATATTACAATAGTGTGCACTATAATATATAATGCAAGAAGATATTGCCTTATTATAGAGTCTTACTTATCCTAAAACTTACAGTAACCGTCCAAATAGAAGTCTCCACATTCTTGAACACCTTCGTACTTCCATCACTTTCTATCGTTGTCAGCGCTACTGGCTTCTTGATACTCGACCTCTCCTTTGTCTTCAGATCGAACTTCACCTTCCGTTCGATCTCCTGTAGCGTCAGTAGCAGACAACAGTCGTTTGTTTCCTCAGGATATTTGTAAAAGTCGATTCCACAGAACGCTGGGAATCTGAACGTGAATCTGGCATTCACCGTGCCGTCGTATCGTATCTCAATGTCTAAAATGCGAGCGATACATCCATCAGAATTGCTACATTCAGAATCCTCGTTGAAGTGTGGGGTCCAGATGTGGTGATTATCATGGAGTGCAAACTCTTCCATCTTCCATTCGGTCTGATTCCATTCTAGACGGGTGTCGTTCCAGCGCTAAAGGGTTATATTACAGTAGGTACTATTATTATATAGCTGTAAGCTAAGAAACATTTACAAATATCTACTTTTACTTCTATAAGATTGAATTATTATGTTGTTTAAATAGTTCTGTGCCCCCTCACAAACAATTTTGTGTTTTCTCTTAAAGTAAGTTTTTGGATTTGGGGGGCACATAATTATTTGAACAACTTAACAGTTTACTTATTGATGTTGTTATAGTTGTACAGAACTTACGATCAGCAAATCTCCGTGAATGTTAAACTGAGACGAGTCTTTCTTCATCTAAAACCAAAGATATCTTACTATCAAGTGTAACATACCAAGTCGACTTGATGTACCAAGAAGCTGTCCACTCCAATAACCAATGGATATTCCCATGGTGGATCCTGTATAAACTCAATATGGCTAGGTTGAGATTGTGCCAGTTTGTAATAGAGACAGTTCTCTAACGTGTCTTGTTGAGATATCGTCAGGGATTCTGATTCTGAAAAGAATAATATAATTTTTTAATTTTTAAGTTAAAAAATTTGAAATTTAAAAATTTTGTTTTATGTTAAGCCTAAACCACTTAAATCTCTCATTCCATGTATACCTGATATGTTGTGTCGCCATTCGCAACCAGCCTGACTCTCGGACGAGGTTAATATCAGGCTAGCGAGGAGTGGGAGCGCCGACACTGCCAAGACGATTGTAATCATGCTTGAATGGTTTTGTCCTATTATATTATACCTGTCCCTTCTCTTCCTTGGCCTTTCTTCCGTTGCTATGGCCACAAAGCGTGTTATTACTCAAAGTTACTATGGAATTGTTCGACAAACAATCGACAGACACACCTAATTGCACATTGTTACTTGCAAAACGTATGTTATCTAGCATTATATGGTTAATAGTTCTGATTTAACATATTATGGTTACTAGTTTAAATTGTAGTAAGTAGATGTAATGTCTATTTCGAAGAACTTAATATTATACCTAATCTAACATATAGAAGTTTGATTTTGTAGAATACTCTAATCTAGCATACATAACATTTATGTTGTAGTCAGGGCCGGGCGCTAGTTTGGGGGGGGAGGGGGGGGAAGGGGGGGGTGGACTGGTTGTAGTATAATCTACTAAAACAATTAATATATAACCAGTATATTGCTGTAAAAATACAAATTGAACAACATATCTTATATGATGTATTAAACCTAAATGTCTAGTATAATATATTTGCAAATCTGCATAAAAAAGACCAAGGAAACGATTATAAACACATACAATAAAAATGTAACGTACAACTTACAAAACGCTAAAGATAGGTACTACAATGTGCCGCAAAGTTATGTTAATTTGCAAAGATAATACATTTATAGATATTATACATCTTTTGCACACTTCAATTATCTTACATAAGTTTAGTTCTTCTTGAATTTAGGGGGGGGAGAAACGGACCGTCTAGGCTCGGCCCTACGATCGGGCCTGGCCGGCCTTAAGCTAAAATTGGGCCCGGGCCCGAAAAACAAATTTTTAAATTTTAAAAAATTTTTAATTTTAATTCCCGTTGATGTTTTTTGATTTTATTGGGTACCATGATACATAAATGACCTAAAAGAACAATGCAAAGCCAAATTTAGGTTTATTTTTTAAGTTTTAAAATTTTTTAAATTTTTTAAAACGGGCCGGACCTAGAAATTTTCTGACCGGGCCGGGCCGGCCTGAGAGAAAATTGGAAACGGGCCGGGCTTAAACTTTGGGCCCCGGGCCTGGGTCGGGCCTAAAAAGTGGGCCCGGCCCGGCCCTTTTCTCACCCTTACTTGAATTAGCCTTCTTTTGCATTTTTATTCAATAATATTGTAGTAAAGCCTTTTCAGTAAAGCTATTTATTTGTCTCCGTACTGTAACACACTCCTACGCTTACTTGATTTTATGACTACTTTAACTTTTATTTTAGCGGTATTTTTCCTCTATCCCCTAGTTAGATCTGGCTTCCGGGCCGGGCTGGAGCAAAATTCAGGCAGGCTGGATCAGGCCCAGAGTTTTCGAACCGGCCCGGTCATAAAGCCAGGTCATTCTAGTTCCATATTATCACTTCTTCTTCTACCGTTTTCTTAACATAATAGGTCTAATATACAGTTGGCTTTTTCTTTACTGTAGCTCATCTTCACGCTTAGTCTTAAAGGCCACTTCACCACGACTCTTTAGCTTGAAAATAGCAGGATTACCTGTTCATTGGTCTCGTAAATGTAGTATAATTCTGTATTTTTCTTCTCTTTATCTGCAGACTTAGTTCACTTTTACTATTATAGGCTTACAAGAGATGTCTACAACCTCAAAGATCGGAAACATGTACCATCCATTAAGAAACCGATTTATGATTGTCGACTTCTCTTGTTAGTGTAATTCTATTTTGGTTTGTTTCTTATTTTTATAAAAGTTCAAGTTTTTTCTTTGATTACCAATGTCAATATGACCATAGTTTTATTTATTAATCAATGAGCTTGCAATGTTCAACAATTTTTATTTAAAAAATGACAATTCCCTGTTCTATGACATTATGAATGCTTTTCTGGAAACTCGCTGATCGAAACATAACTTTACTGTTTGTTTGAAGTCAAGGATGCTAATGTGTGCCTGATTAAAGGCCAAATCCCTATGTGGCTTCCGTTTCTCCCACGCTTTCTCTCAGCGTTTCTCTTTACAATAAGTTGGCTTTTTAGTTTAGTAGCCGGCGGCCGAGGAGGGGGTTTAAACCGTTTTGGAATGTTTTTACAGTAATTTCATTACTTTGCCAGTTACGCGGAGATTACTTTACTTGGTCCTGCTTTCAGAACGTCCCCTAAATCAAGCTAATTTTGCAGTTTGAGAGACGATTAGGCTGCCTTAGGACATTACCACGAACTTGTAACTTCCTTATCTTTATTACAACTGCTCTTGGTGTAGTTATATAAGGACTTTTACTATAACATAGGACATTGTTTTAGCTTTAGGGTATATTTGTGGGTATATCTTTAAAGTGTGTCAATATATGGATACTGTATCTTTTATATCTTATCGTATACGGCATATAAATAGTTTTGGTATGGTATATAGATAGCTAAATATCAAACTAACTTTTAGAGCATGAAGAAAAAGAAGGAGATCAAAGTAGTGGTGGTTGGCGATGGATCTTGTGGTAAAACATCTCTGATCATTGCCCATACTTCCGGCCACTTTAGCGAGCAATATATTCCCACAGCTTTTGATGACTTTTCAGTTGAAGCGCTAGTCAACGGGCGACCGGTAAGGTGTTATGTTATTATATATTTTTAAACTACTAAACTCAATAAGTAGTACACATGTTTTTAAATTTTAAGAATTTGACTTATATAACATTTGTAAAGTTTATGTCTCCAAACTCAGTGAAGCAGCTCTAATATGTCGTCTACATATAAACCCTACATGTTAAATTATAGTAAAATCATAGTACTTCAAATATTTTAAAAATTGGTGTAAAACCGACTAAAGAATACGTTATAGGACATGATTACGGTATGTGATACAGCAGGTGAAGAAGACTTCAGTTCGATGCGACCTCTCAGTTACCCAGATGCAGATGTCTTCCTCGTATGTTACTCAGTAGAAAATACCGACTCTTTGAAGCACATACAACACAAATGGGTGCCTGAGGTGAGCTACTGTAACTTTTTCTTAACAAAGTCTTTTCTTTATCATAATTTGTACTTTTTTGTTTACTGTAGGGTACTGTATGTTGTAAAAGTATTAAACTAAATGTCTTTTGATTGTTTGTTTACTTGTATGCCTTCGTACTTCTATCATACGTCTCGTACTCAAAGCACTATACAAATAGGTACTCTTCATAGGCTTAATTGCCAAAAGGTAAGCCTACAAAGTAAAACCTAAACTCGAGCTTGTACCTCTTGTCGCATATTAAATTAATGAGTGAGAACGTGAACACTGAGTTGTTGTTTAGAATTAGAATAACCGTGAGAAAACAGAAGTTGGCTTCTGAATACAAACTCAAAAAACAACATTACGTAATCAAATTATGTTGACTCAAGTAAGCAACTTCCTCTATAGGACATGTAGTCGACTATCCAATACATGGGCAATCTATTTCAAAGTTGTGATTGTTTACTGCAACAATTACTTTGAAATTGTTTTGCACAGTGCAATTATAACAGTGTCCTTTGCATTATGGAAGGCCATAGTAACGAAACTTTACTGTATATATAAACAAAGAAGAATGCATATTCAAAAAACATACTGTTAAAATGTTAAACATATTCTTTAAAAATCACATTACAGTAACCAAATCTCTTCCAGATTCGCCATTTTTGTCCGAACACTCCGATGATTGTAATAGGTAACAAAAAGGACATACGAAACGACTCTCAACGTAATGTCGTATCAACAGAAGATGCCGAAAATGTTGTAAAGAAAGTTTCTGCAGTCGCGTTAATCGAATGTTCCGCCAAAACCAAAGAAAATGTAAAGAAAGTTTTTGAAGCCGCGGTGAAAGCAGCCTTAACCTACAGAAATCGACGATCCAACAGAGTTCTACAGTCAATCATGAAGTTACGATTCGTATTTTAAATGACTATAACTATGTACGCCTTTGTATATTTACTTTAATTTATTTACTGTTACCATGTAATAAACTTCTTGAATATTTTTACCCGTGAGTTAAATGTCAGATAGCCATAACTAAAGTAATAACCATACTTACTAACTTACTCATAAGATACTCTGAAGCCTAATCTAAACTTACTTTTTCTTGTATATCTCAAACCATAACATACAATAACACTTACTCTATGTTACAACCTATTATATCTTTTATCCCTCCTTAGAACATACCCCACCCGACGAGCTTGCTATAATGATGGCATTGTTTCAACACATAGTAGTCGCTTTCAACAATATTTATATTTTCTTTGTAATGCTAATATCAGCTAAACCGTTTCGAATCAGTCGTCTCACTTATATTATACATGATGAAGACCTTATTACTGTTTAGTGTCTTATTTGTATTTAAAACGATAGGTAAGACTTTATTCTACTATATCATCTTACTTTGTGGACACTTTATTGTCATTTTTACTTAATGGTCAAAACTATAGTGGCCGGGGCCCACTTTTAAAGCCCGGCACAGACCCGAAGCCTAACGTTTCGACCCGGACTGGTTTCATTTTTTCTCAATCCAGCCCGGCCCGGTCAAAAAAATTCTAGTCCCTAGTTTACAGACTACTTTTCAAGACTGGACCGTAAGTTAGATTCAACTTTCAGGCCCAGCCCTTTTCAAATTTAGCTAAAGGCGGGGCTGAGCCGGTCCGGGCCTACTAGGCTCGTTTCTCACTCCTAGTCAAAACTTAATTAGAAAAATAAAAAAACCACAATAAGATTAACTTCTACCCAATTTTTGACCAAATAAACTGAGTTACAGCCATTGAATACGTAAATACATTGAAAGAAGACTGTAAACACTACAATGGACCAGCTTTGTACTATAATGAAAGTTGTTTCATATCGACCAAAACCGTATATTCGACAAGATACGACAACTGGCAACGATTGCATATGTTTTGCAATCATATATCAGCTGAAAAGAAACATCTGGCCATACTGAGGAATGATCATGTTGTTCATGATCTGATGAAGACTGTAGTTGTTCATGTAAGTGTATTTACACACGGTAAGGAGACTTACTTTGCAATTGTTGGGAAAGATTTTTTTAAAACTTTATTACCTAAACAATTTAAAAATAAGTTATTTTAGGTAATAAAAATGTGATAGAGAGCTTACTGACCTTTCTCTGATTATTATTATTATATTTTAGCCAGATCTAAAGTACTTTGTGGGTACGAAAGCGGACGTTTATCAATGTAAAGCTGATGAAAGATGCTGTCCTGATAAAGAAAAGTTCTTTTACTATGACGATGCTGGTTTACAGGTACCTTATGTTTTTAAAAATTGGTTTTTTAACATCATTTTTCAATTTTTTTATTAAAACTTGACTTTATAAGCCTAAAAAGTAATGTACTAACTAAAAATACCATGAATCCTTTGTACCACCTTATTTTAGTTTTAAAATATTTAAATTTCCCGCCGATTCGTCAAATTTGGCATTGTGTTTCAACATGCTTTTAAAAATATACTTACAAACCTTTGACCAAACGACCTCCAGGGCCCAGTAAACTCTTCCCTCTGGCTTCGTTTCCAACCAGACAACCTTGAAGGATCAGTCCCAGAACAAATTGTGACATTAGAACCAGCTTGGAGAACATACCAAGGACCAGTCAATTTGCTCGGCTTCAACGATGTCAATGGTCAACAACAAGAGATACCACTACTTTGTGAATATAGAGATAAATACAAATGTCCGGAAGGCTTCGTATTCAATGACGGTGTTTGTACGGGGATTCTGGAGTGCGGTGCTACTGGAGATGAATGTGAAAGTAAATGTACTCAAATGGGGAACAGTTTTGGAGGTAAAGCCATGTTACCATCGATTCACAACGACAACTACAATTGGTTCTTGGCCAGTGAGTTTAGATTTTATCAAAATTATATTATCCATGACAAATGCATGTGTTAAAGAAGACTTAAAAAATTAATCTTGACAGTAAACTAAACCTTCAGGTCTTTGAAATGTTTATTTTTTACATTTAACAGTAAAATAATGCGTTTCAGCCCAATACCGCAAGGTAATAATGTCAGGAAAAGAAAACAACTTCAAGAATGGCAAGTTGTTCTCTCAATATTGGCCAATAATGATCGGGATGAAGCATATTCACGGCCAATGGGTCAATTTGGATCAAACACCCTCAGACTACTTTAGATGGTGGTCGCTCGAGAACAAAGGTAACATTATGCATAATGTTAGTACTATGTTATACCATATTTTACCGATTAGGAATGAATAGGACACTCTAATACCAATATTTATATAAACTCCCTTAGCGAAGTATAAGGTAAAAATCCGAAACTCTTTACAGAAGTAAAATTGTTCACGAACCCGGACAAAGGTTACAAACGAGTGTTCCTGATGGTGAGAGTAAACGGCGACGATGGTATATCTACATTTGGCTACTGGGCCAACAATTACCACGACAAAGACAAGATACCATTCGTGGGGTGCCAAGTAAAACCTAAAAAACTGTTTTAAAGCATGAATATCTAAAAAGATGGCACTATAACATAAATATCTAACACCACTATAACATGTGAACAGCTTGTGGAACATCGTAGTACATTCTTGGTTTATAAAATGTGGCTGAACTGTGGTTCTTAGCGAATAAACAAGATATACTGTTAGATAGTATAATATACGACTGTTGGTAGATAGCCATTGATCGGCATACTGTTTGATAGTTTAATATACGGTACTTCTTGCTAGGTAATTATTGGTGGACTGCACACGGATGAAGGTGCCATTTCTGCTTCATTACCATCGAGATGACCACTCTTCATACGTGTACAAGTCCCCAAAATTATTCTACGTAGATATGATATGTTAATGTAGTTATGTTTTGTAAGGTAAAATTTAGAGTTTAGAAATCAAACATCATAATAGCTGATAAAGCAGTGTAGTTGTAGCAAAATACTTTAATGTAGTACAATAAGCGTAGTACATCTGGTTCAGTAGGCCTTCTCAACCTCTCAATAGTCACATTTACCACAGTAGAAGTCATTGTAATAGCCTTAGAATACAAATAATAGAATATCACAAGTAGAACAACATATTCCACAGTAAAAAGAGGCTAGCTACCCTGAGCTTAACACTGAAAAACAATGATAGTAGCCACCCACCAACCCCTACCACAACATAATTGTACGATGTAATTGCGTATTTTATCTGAAAAGCGCGGATAATCCCCCAAACTCTGTTCAGCTCTGATCTGTTTGAGTATTCTACTGAATCTACTCACCTCCGCCTCACCCCCTCTCTCGCATGCCCTCCGGCAGCCGGGCGGTCTCTCGCCTCCTATTGTAAAGTTGAAGGGACAGAACAACATATCAAGCGGCAGTAAAACTTTTTTGAGTTGATCGAGTAAAATGAGGTTCGGTGAAGTGTTGCATGAGGCGAGGCGACAACTACCTGCCTTTACCTGTCCCCGCCCCCGACCGGCCCCCCCCGCGCCACGTCGCCCCCTCTTCCTTGAAATTGCTGGAATATGGATGTACTTCAAGTGGCGTGGAGTACGACGAGGTCAACGACAACAAGAAAAGAAGGATCCTCCGATTTGCGTAGAGGAACTCAAGGTCGGAAGGCATTATTCCCCCCCCCCTTCCTTTTGTTTATTGTACACAGTAAACCTCATATTTGAATATTGTACACGGCAAACCGAGGCTGTTTTAGACGCGAAATTAGGTTTTTGATGATTTAAATAGTCAGAGAAAATTTTTTTAAAGATTAATCGAAAAATATTTTTTTCCAGCTTCTGTTTGCCAAAAAAACAAAGTTTTAAGCAAGAATTCATATTTTTATACTTCTAATTAACTATCATTACTATAAAACTAACCAGTATTACTTTTCTATAGTCGTAGAATCATAAATGCTAAACTAATACCAATATATAATAATTTACAGAGTAAAAAAAGTCGTTTAACATTAAAAAATCAAAAGATTTCAACTCAAGGTGGAACAATACGACTCAAGCTGAACTTAATATATCATGTTGTCCGAATTTGGATGAGCCATTCAAAGCGCCCAGCTTTGATAATTTTGGCTCATCCATCATCGGACAACTTAATAGTACAGTAACCCAAAAGAAACACGTGGGAAACAGCAAGTTGCAGCACTCTAGAGAAGTAAGCTGCCTACAAACATTGATAAATCAACCTCTTTAAATCCTACAACACAGTCAAAGCGGCCATTCCGCCTACAATAAATACTACAATTCTTTCCTACAAAGTTGTAGTATACAATTATCTATCATAAAATGCTACAGTATACAATCATATAGTGTTTCCTATTATACTAAGTTACAGTATAAAACTTGGTATGTTTTTGAATATTAATGATAAGATTTTAGTCTAGAATTATCTAAATTAAAGCATTGAACATTGATCTGCGCAAGAAGCAAGCCTTAACACGCCTATATTGCACTATAATCCCACAATTACTATCTTACTATGTCTAGTAGGTCACCATGAATATTAAAAATCAAGTTACTGCAAAATCTAAGCCTAGTTGTTAGAATCAGATGAACCTAGTTTCAATGCACGCCACAACTCAGCCCTCTGAAACTGCATTATACATGAAACACGTTGCGTGTAGCCGGTGCACTTTCCACCTCTTCCCGATCCGCCCGGAGGTGGTGGTCGCCATTCGCGGCGATCGTGACGAGGAGAGTTGTTGTGAAAAGGGAGTCTGAATATAATCGTGCACCTCATTAAACAGAGGCGGGGAGGTGAAAGAGCGGAAAGGGGGGGGATATTAGACTCCCGATATTATCCTTAAATTGGCCATAATGCAAACACAGATCGAGAATTCATTCAATCGCTCATAGATGGGACCACAAAATTCAATCGCCCACAGATACGACTACAATCACACATACCGCTATCGTATTACAGTGAGAGGTTTGAATGGGAGAGGGGGGGGAGAGTTATGGGTTTGACTATAGGAGCCTGAAAGTTTAAATTCTTAAACAAAATTTGAAGTTTTAAATGTAGAAATATCAACCCATAGTGTGTCCTGCCACGAAAACCCTGATTTTCATTTTGATTTTCAAAATACGCTAATATTTAGGTAAAATTACTGTACTTTAACTCTTGACGAAAAACTTAAAATACAGTAACTTTTACAAATTAAATTTTTATAAAACGTATGTTACTCTTATATTACTAAGCCTTCTCAGTACAAACCCAACTTTTACCATAAAATCTTTTCCCTCAAACACTGTAACACCTCTTACTCCTTTACCTATAACAACTAAACCTAAAACATGCTTACGCACTCCAAGTCTGGCCAATTAACCGACCAGATATAACCCTCGCCTACTATAATATGCCAGCTATTCCACTTTACCTATTACTATATTCGGCGGACATTTAATTTCCAAAAATAAATAGGTGTTTGTGTTGCCCAGGTAACCGGCTGATATGTTACTACGCTACGTTACTATAGTAAGGGGGGTGCAGGGTCGGATCGGCGGATCAGATGGAGGTAATGCGCAAACAGTCCCTCACCCACCCGGGGGATCCTTTTCATAATGTAACATGTAAAACAAATGACCTTTGCACTAATTCAACTGGAAACTCTTCTCAATTGACCGACTTTTCCTCCGCAATTTATAACTCCAAACTACTGGATAATGGTCGAGATACCTCGATATGCATCCCTTCATCTTCGACAAGTAGGTATAGGCAGCAATAACGAGGTTATGATACGTTAATTCAAAAGTACAAAGAGAAAGAGAGTAACTACAACATATAATTTAATTTATTGCCCTCCAAAATCAAACCAACCTCGTCCTATACTTCTCCTTATCTTGGTATAACATCAAACCCTCTCCTGTTCAAATACCTTTCCAAGTTTTCAATATTAACCCACCTTCCCACCCCCAACTCCCGGTAGATCACCACCCGCTATCCTGTTTCCTGTATACGTCCAGCAAAGCACCATTGCCTCAGGCGTCACAGTATTAATGATTTAAATAAAATTTGGGGGTTTGGCGACAAAGGGCCGCCTTTTATCGCCGACGTCCTGATTCATTCCTTTTGAGGATACCAACACTTACAGACTTGTAAATACACGCTCTTTCTATTTGCGAGGCCAAAGCAAACAACTGGTTTAATGGAAGGAAAACTCTCTGATTAAGCAACATTTGGGTTAACGTCATTAATAGGGTTCAGACCTCAATATTACTTTAATGTGCCAAGGATTCTGGGCGAATGATGGCATCTAAAACAATGTGTTAGAGATATTGACGTTAATTACCTCTTTAAGAACCTTAACCAACCAAAAAACATTAATTTAGAAAAACTTACTTTTATTTCTTCAATGACAATGTTAAAAAACAAAATTTTGTCGGTCAACAACTTCAAAAACAAAATTATGTCAGCTAACAATTTCATGAATAAAAAGGAATGCGCAGTCTGCAAACAACATTCAGCAGTTTGCGCCCAAATTATTTTTTCATAAATAAATGATTGATAAGCTAACCTTGAAAAAAGTCAGATAAGATTTTAAAATGAAGGCTGTAGACTTAACATGTTACAATACTCGAGAAAGCGATGTTCTGTTTGTATTGTCTGAATCTTTGAACTCTTTATTCACAACTACAAATCAGATATTCGATCAAGTTGACAAGAGGATAAGAGAATGTAAATCTAGACTGGATGGGTACAAGAAACGGGTAGAAGTAATCAACAAAAACATTGGATTGTTGCAGGAGGTAATACGTTTTTAATTGTATATTTTATTAAACATTTAGAAAAAAATTGAGGAAGTAGAACATAATGTTGACCTTCTTTCTTTGTTTAACAAAACATTAAAATTATTTTATAACTAAGGTATAAGCTTGGTTTAGATGGAGAATCCAGTGGTGATTTGCACTTCAGAATTCCCAAAAATTGAGTCAATTGAACGTAAATTAGTTATTGATTATGATAAGAGGCCGAAGAAGCATCTGAAGCCAGTGCCAGCCTCATCTCCTGTGACTCCAGAGAAATTCCTGAAGCAAAAGAAGATGAATACATTAGGGAGTATATGTGATGTTCGACCAGGTAACAAATTTTTCTTCTGTTATTGTTTTTAGATGCGATAATATTGTTTGTACACGTAATTAAAGCCATTTGTTAACTAATATTGTTGACAGATATTTGAAACTAAAATTGTATAAGTTTACGGAGAATAAGAGAACTTTTTCAAAATTAAAATAGATTTTTTAGACCATCGAAAAGAAAACATCTTGTTCGACACAAATGTAGCCAAAATCGAGAATGTTCTGTTGAAGAAGAAGATGAAGCCATTCAATGGAGACAGAAAGGATAATGTGAAGCACGACGTTCTGTATCAATCACTACTTTCTCAAAAGCAAATGAGAGTAGTGGACGACGAATTTGAGTTTAAACAACCGGTCGAAAGCCCTGCTGACTTCGACCTTCCTGATATTTTACCTGGTACGTTACATTCAGGGGCGTCGCTACGGATTTTTTCTGGGTAAATAGCATTTAACTTAATACTAGGGTCAAGATTTTAGTTTTTAAATCATATTTTAATAGTTTTGAACTTAAAACAGTTCTCTTTCCTAATAAACGTCTTATTTTAGGTATTGAAGCCCAGAAGGTATCGATGTTTGGAAATGAATCCTTAAGTGATGATGACATGTTTGATACTTCTACACATCAGACCAGCTCTTTGTCACAAGTACCGTCAACTGCTGACTTTACAGAATCTCCGAGAATAAACGAAACAACAGAATCTTCTAATGTGACTTCTGATGTTAAACCTACAAAATCCGTAGAATCCAAACCTTCAACTTCATCCCCACCTTTGACATCTCCAGTAAGCCCACCACCCCCGCCGCCTCCTCCTCCACCTCTCAACCTCATTGTGACTTCATCTCCACCACCACCAGCTTCAACTTCAGATAGGTCAAGTTTGATGGAAGCCATCAGAGCGGTTGGAGGAGCTGGTAAGGCTAACCTGAAGAAGATTACAGTAGTCGAAGAGAAGACGGTAGCCAAGGCTGAAGTTACTCAAAGTGACGATCTCATGGGTTCTTTGGCAAAAGCTTTGGAGAAGAGAAGGAAGGGTATGTTGTTTTAGATCCTATGACAATTTTAAGTAAATAATTGTAATATTTTAAAATTATTGGGCTGAACCAAAAGTAGCGGGATACTTTTCATTTATTTTTAAACTAAAAATCAGCAAAAAAACTCGTAAAGTCTATGATTCGAACTGTAACCCGTCAGAATTGATGGTTTCGGTCTATCGTTCTGCCATTTACTCGATTCCTTTTTTGTACCAAACAACGAGCTACAGTGCTCCGTGATGTACCAGTGTGCCTGGCAAGCTGACGAGTCGAATAACTAGGATTTGACCTCGCGGCTTCAAGTATGGCTTTATGATTGATGGTTGGTGGTCTTCCAGACTTAGGTTTGTGTTCGAGGCTGACGTCGCCGGAGTTAAATTTTTGAAACCATCTCCCTACACTACTTTTGCTCACGACATCTTCACCTTCGACTTGACATATGACTTTGGTGGCTTTACGTACTGAGAAGTCTTGTTTCTAGTAATGAAGTAAGAGGCTTCGAATATAGTAGCTACTCATCTTCTAAAAACGCTACAGATGTCCACTACAAACTAATTTAATAGACTTACTTTTTATATCAGTCGATTCGCAGTGAAGAACTTCAAACATTGGTAAATTGCAAAAAAAAATTGCACAGATTTTAAAAAAAATGTGGCAACGTTATACGACAAAAAGTGTCCCGCTACTTTTGGTTCAACCTAATATAAATTGGCCTTTTTCTTCCAAATAAAAACAATATCTTTTAGGCATATCAGGAACGACCAAGAAGAAGTTTGATGCATTAGAAAAGAGGGGTAAACCAGCTGGACCAAGTCTGTATACATCAATGCGAGAAGTTATGAGTGCCAAAGTCACACACGATGAAAGTTCGGCTTCAGATGAAGAAGAAGACTGGAATTGATAAGGTCATCAGGAATCAATATTTATATTTCGCATATCAATCAACTTTTTACTTTGAATAAATTCAGATTTCTATTATTTTTACTTTCGGTAATGTGTCAAGTTTTTCTTTTGAGTCAACATTATTTCTTTAAAACAAATTTTTGTAAATTCTATTTTCTCAATTTTGAGAAGACTTTGTCGGAGTTGTAGTTAGACTTGAGAAACAGGCCGGGGGGCAACGGTTTTGGCTTTTTTGGGCCAAGCCTGAATTTAAGACTCGGTTTTTCGTTGAGTCAGGCGCGGCTCGTTTCTCATGTCTAGTTACAGTTGATTTAGATTATTAATTCATATTTTTTGTCTTTTCAAACATTTTTAGTATGTATTTCGATTATTTCAGGGTTATGTTCAGAGAACGAGAAAAGGCAAACCAGAACCTCGAAGCCGATCTTCCCAATCCTTATCCTCCGCGTGCCATCTACGGTTTAGCTTGTTGTTTTGCTGGTTTTATACTTTATTCTGTGTATTTTTGCTGGGCCTACGTTCCGGACTATCTGTTACAGTACACCGGCTTCACTTATCTTCCGGCAAAGTACTGGGCTGTGGCGTTACCTTTTGCTTTTGTGTGTTTGGTGTTCTTGTACCCATTGTTGCTGTTCTTGTGGACAGCATACCACTCGATTGGGTTGTACGAGAGAGGATCTACCGTGGACAACGACTTTAGAGACTAAAACAAGTCTTTAGAAGTTAAAAGGACGTCTTTTGCTATTGTTAACGGGTTTAAAATGAGACTTTCATCTAGATGTCAGGGCGTTACAAAGTCTGTCATACAGAACAAAATTGCAGCAAGGCTGAAGAACTTTAACAAGATCAAAGCGAAAGATGTTGATCCAGCTAAGAAATTGGAGTCAATGTTGAGTTCGGTTTATATTCAGTAAGTTATTTTTATTTAGTGATGGTTAAATGTGTAATAACCTTTATACTATTACCACTTCATTATTTTAATTTTAGGAACGGCTCTTTCAAAGCCTACAATAACACGAGAGAAAACATAGAACAGACTAAAGAAAAGCAAGCACAAGGTGCCGAAAAGGAGGATATATTTTTACCATTCAAATCAGATCTTACTCAAGTCCAAATGGTAGATTCAAAGAAGCAAACTGAAGATTCTTATATAGGGAAGCACGATAGAGGGTTCTACTACAAAAATGGGATGTTGTGTGATGAATATGTAGAAGGTTTGGCTTCGAGTATTGTGGACGAGGAGATGAATGAGTAAGGCTTTATATTGTTTTTCCTGTTTTAGGAATGAAATGTTTCTGCGCAACGTGTTTTAGCTTTCTTTAGCAAAAAGAGCATAGGATTAATTGTAGTTATCGATATTGTTTTAGGATACCCTACGTCTATCGTAATGTTGACGGAGCTGTAGAGAGAATAGACTTTCTTGATCCAAAGCAAACTCCTATGAGAAAGGTAAGTTATTTAGACGAAATCTTTTACTTATAACATTTATAAGGAACTTTGCCAAAGATCACTTTTTTGTTATGTTTTGAAGAAAAAATACGTACAAATGTGCATAAAATATAAAACATTAAAAGTGATATTATCTAAAATGCCAATACATTTTTAGAAGAAACCTAAAAACAGTCCAAAGGTAGAAGAAGATGAGGAGGGTGAAGAAGAGGATGTTAACGTCTTTTACGGAAATGTTGATCTTGATTACAAGCCTGAAATAGATGTGAATTGTGTTGGATGTGGAGCGACGTTTCATTGTCAAGATCCAGGATTGCCTGGCTTTTTACCGGTCGAATTACTTTATAGATTGGAGTCAAAGAAAAAGAGGATACCAAAATATGAAACTAATTTGCGATGTAGACGATGTTACATGCTTAAAAAGTATAATTTCTTGGTATGTTTAGTACATTTGAGTTCTGCTTTTGGTAAGGTGGATTGTATTAGGGATTTCAAATAATTCTGTGCTTCTTCTCAAAACAAATTGTTGGGGTTAGGGGCATAGAGTTGTTTGAACAACCTAGAAGTATGTATATCCACGAATTGCTACTGTATGTAACATAAATATTGAAGTTATAGTATTTTTTTACCTCGTATTACTGTAATTTTATGTTGTGATGCTTGAACTTATTTTGGTCCAAATGTCTTCGTGATAATCAAGTTCAAATATCTATATCATCCTTTCAGTTAAATGTGAATGTCAGTCAAGTAGATTATCGTGCAATAATGGGTCATCTGAAGCTTCGAGAAGATATTCTGGTTCTTCTGGTTGTTGATATGACTGATATCAGGGGGTCTATCCTGTCTCAACTGCCAGCACTGATAGGGACTGGAAAGAATGTGATGGTTATTGGTATGTAGTTACCTTAAAAAAGTTAAAAGTGTGCTTTAAAAAATTAAAAATGAGATTTAAAACTTGATTTTAAGTTTTGTGTTTACCTAAAAACAGTAAATTTAAAATAAAAGTGTTAATGTTTAGGTAACAAGGTAGACTTACTGCCTCCAGACGCTAGACCTGGGTATTTCAAAAAGTTCAAAGAGATTTTAAACTACGAAATTGAACGGGCTGGACTGAAAGATCGGTTTCGAATTACTAGGACAGAATTGATCAGTGCCAAAACTGGATTTGGTGTGGAAGATTTGATCACGGTAAGGATTTTTGAATAGTTTTTCACTTTAAAACATTTTTTTAAAACTTCTATTGTAAATTTTTATATACAATTTGAAGTTTTTTTATTTTGGAGTTTTCATAAGCTTTATTTAGTCAATATTCATGGAATGGGTGAACATAAAAGGCCACCTGAGAAGCGACATTTACCTGGTCGGAGCCACAAATGCTGGGAAGTCAACCTTGTTCAACACCTTTATTCAATCTGACCTGTGCAGAGTAAGAGCTCAAGATTTGGTCGAACGAGTCACTACATCAATATGGCCAGGAACGACGTTATCTCTTCTCAAGTTTCCTATCATGAATCCATCTACAAGGAAGTTGGAGCTGAGAAGGAGGAGGTTGCTGTCGCAAATGAATTGGAAATGGAGGGAAACTCAGCTGCAGAGACAAATGTTCAAGGAGACTGGAGAGACAAAGTACCTCAGTCTAACTGGCATCATGGGCAACACTTTTAAGGTATGGTATGGTTTAGTACTTTTTAAAATTTTGCTATTTTTTAGGGTTTTTGAAAAAATATGGTAATGATATAAATAAAAATGGCATTTTAATAAAAAGTTATGTCATTGTTAACTTTTAGGAAGAAGAAAAAAACTCTCAACCATTGTCAAACGAAGAACTGCAAGAGCGATTAGACAAAGACTTTGCGGAATCCGAAGAAGACAAGACCGAAAAGCCTAGAATCCGGCTACACGGTGAAGTGTTCAAGAACAACTTCTGGTGCTACGACACTCCAGGCACCGTAAATCCAAACCAGATTCTGGATTTGTTAACATTGGAAGAGTTGGTCAACGTGATTCCGAAGTCTTTGATCGTGCCAAGAAGTGTCGTCCTACAAGAAGAATGGTCGCTTTTGGTCGGAGGTTTGGGTAGGATTGATGTTATTCATGTTGAGGAGTCAGCTCATACCGAAAATCGACCGGTTTTTGTAAGGATTCTTTAGTTTTTTAAAACTTAATTGTTTAACTTTTAGATCTTTAGTTTTTTTACAGTACAAAAACAATATATTACTCGATTTTTTCTGGCCTTGACAGTCTGAAAATGCGAAGAAATTAATGGATTCATTTGTTTTTTGAATATTTTTGCATTTTTGCGTTTACGTATGATATTGTTGTAGATGACGGTTTTTGCAAGTAATTCAATCAAATTGGAAGCTCTTTTGACTTCAGAAGTCGACGAATTTTTGAAGGAAAATCAGGGAACGATGGGTGTACCTCTAGGCAGCGAACAAAGAATGGCAATGTTGCCTGAAGTAAGTTTTGTTTTTATTTTGTTATTTTTTTCTGTCAATTATAAAACTTTTTTAAATTGGATTAAAACTAATGGAATACCGCTTGTTTTAAAGTATTATCATTGGAACTTGAGTTGCGCAGCATTTTTTATACTCTGTGAGGAAAAAAAGCCAACTATATTTATATTTTTGGCGCTTTAAAATATAACAAAGATATTAAGTGGACCTAAATTATTATATTCTTATATTTTTAGATGAAGTCCCAAGAATTCAACGTCAAATCAGCAAATCCCAGGTTTCTCCGAGCCTCAACAGACATATTACTGTCATCTTTGGGTTGGGTATCCGTGTCTTCAATTCACAATACTACTGTCAGAGCCTTCACTCCAGATGGCAGAGGTCTTGGTACGAGACCTGCTATGTTACCGTATACTGCCAGTATGAGAGGCCGTAGAATCTCGGGAACGAGATTGTTTGCTCCGAAGATTACTCTGCCTACGGATAAATAACTTTAGTTCTGTTGTACTTGGATTGGAAGGATAATATTGTTAACCTTAACGAGTGATAATACTTTTAAACATGACGATATAGCTCATGCTAAAAGCGTATATTGTAGTTGTAATGGTGTTAATTTTCTTAAAGTTGATAATATCCAACTTCTACTTGTTGTTAATTAGGTTGTTGTTGTTATATAAACTTTGTTGACTTTCATACCTGACGTGCGTTATTTTGTTGTAACGATTTAATACTTTAGTTTAATAATGTTTTAAAATTGTGAAGTAAAATTGTTTTAGTGGATATATGAATTGGAATGAAGCAAAGTTTTATATTGTACCTTCAACTGTCGTTCTACTATTACTTTTATGGAAATGGTAGGTTTATCGTCATTTTTATGTGTAACTAATATTCAAATTGAAGCTGTTTAATCATGAAATCATGTCTAACAAGGTTTTTATAAGATTTTGATATCTTTATCTTTAAAAAGTTTAAATACACAATTTTAGGCCTATATTAACATTGCTCGCAACAGTCACTCTCTGTGGCTCATTTTACATTTCTTACAATTTCTTATCAAACGCGGATAAAAGACGAAAGTTGGATGATCTCATAGCCCATTATTTGTGCGAAGAACCAGAAGCCAAGGCTACAAAAGAAGAGTTTCTGAAGACCGCACCCTGGTGTGGAATAGAGTTGCCAGAGACTCTGCATGCTCGGATTGAAGAGCTAATATTGTACTTGATCTCTGATTATGTGGACCGATGGTACAAGAAAGAGATCAGTGCTGACAACACGTTTTTGGTGGAGATCAAGTAGGTTGGGGCAAGGCCTTTTTTGATGCAAGGGTAATATAAGTACACAATATTTGTTTCGGGCAAGAGTTATGCAGGAACATAAAGGGTTCAACCTAAATTGCTTGACAAGTCTGTTTTAGATATCAAATTCGTTACGGATCAGCGATTGCCTACAGAGCATTACTGAATTATGACATTGTGAAGACGGTAGAACAAGACTTCTTACCTATTCTAGTGTTACATGTGGCCAAAAGATTGAAAACCTTGAAGGAAGTGAACAATCACATTGGCGTTACTGATCAAAACAACTGTGAATTGTATCTTCGAGAAGTGTCTGATGCCTTGGTGATGAGGTTGTTCGATGAAAATAGAATCGGAGGCAGAGAGTTGGATTCAGAAGCGCCTAAGGACACAAAGCTGGTAAGTTAATCATTTAAATGGCCATTTAGATTGGGCTTTGTGCAGTGTTATATCTGTAATTTTAATAGTTATACAGAGTTTAATGTAATAATGAGGTTTTATACTGATTTTAATGAATAAGTGAGGTTTTAGGCTTGGCCCAGCGAGACTTGTCGCCATTTTCTTCGAGAACTTTTCCTAAACGCTGTTCTCTTACCAGTAATCGAGTTCTTGTCGGAACCCAATAACATCAACAACTTACTCATCAACATCTCTAACGACTCACCTCAGAATGAAAAGATTTCATTTCAAAATGTCAGTTTTTCAACAAATATTTGCACCAGAAGTTAACAACAGTTATTGAATTAGTTATAAATTATTTTGTCAAAAGTTTTTGTTTCTTACAGCTTTTGTCACCTATTTTTCTGCTTTTTTTGTTACCTATGTTTCTGTTTTATATGTTCTATTTTTTGTTTCAGGACAAAAAAGTTGCATTTCTCCAAAAACTGACGGAATACTCTCTGTACGATACCCCAGACTCGCTTCTGATGCTGAATCTGAGAGATCTGGCCAAGGATTGTGGTCTTGTCCAGGAGTTTTATGCCTATCTTAAGGATGCCAATGGTCCGTTACATTGGCTCGACTTTTACTTTGCGGTCGAGGAGATGTTACACGATCTACACACTGCTAGCGTGAGTATCTAAGCTGTTTTAGTGTTTGTTTAGCCAATAAGTGCATATATTTTGGCTTTATATGGAAAATTAGGAGTTTTCTTCTTTTTTTAACTTATTTTTTGACATAAATTGTAGTAAATCTAACATTTACATAATTTTATCTTTAAACTGTCTTTGTAGAAGGCAGATGAAGAGATATTGAAGTCAGCACGAGGTTTGTACAACATCTACATTGATCCCAAGTCCAGGAAGTCTGTCCAACTGTTGTCGCAAAACTCTCGAGGACATTGTTTTAAAGCTATTTCGGAGGAGAACGTCAAAGACCTTAATGTAGTTTGTGAACAGATGTACAAAGAAGTCTACCAAGAACTAAACTACAGTTTTGTGGTACCATTCTGTCAGTCCGAGACCTACTTGAGGTCACTTTGTGGTACCACAATCGATGGAATAGAGATATTAAAAGAGAAAGCTGGCTCAATTAACATCGATAACAACAAGAATGATACAGTAGAAGAAGAAGCCAAGGCTTTGGAAGCCATTGATGCTTCATTTTTGGACATTTACATTGATTTATACGAAGATACGATAGACATGAACAACTGGAAGGTATCGATCGCTGCCATAGAGCCAAGGAAACGATTCGATACCGGCAAGGTATATTATGTATACCGAATCGACATAGACAAGAACGAAAAAGAGTCAGAGTTGGAGGACATTGACATGGGGGTAGATCCCTTAACTGTCAACAACCTCAGCGACAGCGACGACGACTTTGTAGACTGTAGCAGAGAAGCGACGATGAGTCAGTTACCGAGTAAATGGTCCATCACCCGAACATACGACGAATTCTATCTTTTTGAAAAGAGGCTACGCAAGATTCACGGTTCAGAAGGTGTACTTGCAACGCTACCCGAGAGGAAGATGTTCTGTCCACGGTCGAGAATGTTCTTGGAGTCTCAACGCGACTACCTGGAGAGATTCCTCTACTCCATCGTGAAGCAGGTTACGTTAAGGAAGAGTGAAGTTGTCTATCTGTTTCTGACCAATCCCTCTGATTCTGGATTCGAATCAGCCTTGATAACAACGAAAGGATCTCTGAAAAGGGTGAAGAAGATGACGGCCAGTCTGGAGATGGACAGGAAACAGCATCTGAAGCCGTTCGTGCTGAGGCTACTGGCCAAATGTTTGAGTAATGATGAAGTCGCGAGAACAGAAGTTGCTGCTACTGTGAATTACTGCAAAACCGAGTAGGTGGGGGGGGTTAGGAGGGTTAAAGTATATATTATTATAGGTGTTTTTACTGTTTTTACAACTGAATATACTGTTTATATATTAAAATAGTAATCATAACCTTGTTTCAGCCCTTCTGAATACTGGAAAAGCGAGTTTAGTAACTATGTTGTGAATAACCAGAAGATACCAATAGAAATAAGAAATTTACAATGGGAAAGGGCATCAGACGAACAAAAGTAAGTTTACAAACTTATGTTTAACATACATAGTATTGTACTAAAGTTTACTGACTTCCTCGTGAAAACCAAACTTATAAGGCCCACATCGTGCAGAAAATTCTAAAATTTCAATAACATGACATAACAATCAGAAAATAACCCAACAATCAGGAAAGAAACTTAACAATAATATTTTAGAACAATATATTACTTTAATACTGTAGTACTTTGTGATATATTCTCAACCTCAACAATTTTCACTTACTTAATTACTGCCATTGCCAAAGTACTACCATCTACGTGTAATGTGATACTACAAAAGGTGATAAAGCGAAATGTAGAGAGGGTTTTAACACCAGAGACCGTTTATATTGTAGTAGATGAACTGTACAAGTTTTTGCAACGGAAAGATGTCGAGAGCATAATCGATGAGGTATGTTATGTTATCTAGTAAAATGAGGTGCTCATTTAAACCTAGGTTATGTTATCTTGTACAATAAGACTCTTTTTCAAGCCTATATTTATATTATTGGGCGAAGTCCTATACCTACTTTTATGTCGAAATTTATTTAGAAGAAACACGAAAACTACCTGACGGCCAAGAAAACGGTTCTAAATCTTTTGAAATTCAACCATTTCGAGTCTCTAAACACCCTCATCCTCGACATCTTCAACATCTTCCAGTCCAAAGAGGACAACAAACAGCTGATCATGGTCTGTTTGGATGTCATCATGGATAAGATCATCTCTCAATCATAATATGGTCGACACAATAGTCACATTGATACGATCAGCTCTCAGTCATATAAGGTAGTCACAATAATAAGGCCATCAGTCATAATAGACTCGACATTGTAGTCACATTGGTATCTCACAATTATCAATTTATTTATTACAAATAATACAATCAAATACGAAAGAGTAGACTTAATACAAAGCTTCTATGGCAGTTTTGAATGAAATTGGGGGAAGAAACAAGCAATGGCCAGATACGAACATACCAAAGGGATACTGTGCTAACGTATTATATTCTAAATACTGTACTGTTGTACTGTACTATTTATATACGTACTGTAGCTGATAATAACTACCTTAAATACAGTAGATTTTTTCTGTAGGTTTAAAGTACAGTATACTCTTACTGTATGTTTAAGATACAGTATACTATTACTGTAGATTTAAGGTACAGTATACTCTTACTGTATGTTTAAGATACAGTATACTATTACTGTAGATTTAAGGTACAGTATACTCTTATTGTAGGCACAATTGCTTACTCTTAAAATTCTAAGCGACGCTTTTTCTAGGTAATACTATAAAAGGGCAATTTATGTTCGTATGTGAACGGAGTCATCGGAAAGTGGGTATAATCTTTTAATAATGGGACGCAAAAGTGTTTTAATGATATGTAGTTTGTTCGAAAACTGATATGTTTACAGTTTTCAAAAGTAAAAGACCAAAATATAACACTTGTTGTACCAATCAAAATTCCTTGGGTTCTTCTACGGTACACTATATATTATACTATGGTAAGCCGTAAAGTAGTCCGAAAACTTTTGAAAGGACAAACAAGCGTGCAATAACTAAAAACAAGTACATTGTTGAAGAGTTTGTACTTAACTGGTACTATTTAAACATTTTAGTAGAAGAACCCGAGGACTTTACAAGTTTCGTGTTCTATTAATAGTATACTGTATCTTAAAATTGCTCTATATGTACCAGGTAATACTATTTTGTAAAATGTTTATGTATGGACCAACCAGGCCATCAAATGGACCCTTTGGTGCCACATTATGGCCCTTTTGGCGCCACATTATGGCCCTTCAGCACCACCTTATTGGCCAGTTTGGACGGTCTTCTGGTTGTGCGTGGCTCTTTCTTCACCTTCCTTGTTGATGAATTGCGTTACCACGTTGGCGCCGATGCCCCAGGTGTTTTCGGAGTCCAAGACCAGACTCTCTGGTGGGTTGTGTGGGCCCTGGCTGCGGGCGAAGATCTTGCAGGTACGGCCGGCCTTCAGGACCACGTTGGGTGGGATGGTGTAGGCGATGGTTTGACGGCTGTCCAACTTTCTGATCACCTTGCAGCCACTAATGTCCTCATCCTGAAGAGTCAGAATTATTTCGTTTTTTGTTAGGAATTTACGAGGGAAAGACTTGACTCAAAAAGCTTTAGAGTTAAACTTGACTCAATATTAATCTAAAAAATATTTTTCTTTGCAAAATCCCTGTGATAACAACGATTTTACTTACCTTGCTGCGATGTGTGTTCTCCAAGACCAAGAACTTTCCGTTGGGATCGCATTCGGCGATGGTGATGTTACCCTTGGCCGAGCGCTGGAAGGTGGTCTTGGTCTGAACTTCTCCACGGACGTTTCTGGTGGAGTCGGTGTCTTCTTGTTGTTGAAGTGAGTGGGTCTTGACCACTTGTTCGACCATCTGTCTGAGTCCGACACGATGTTCTTCGCCTTCCAACATCTTTCTGTAGATGGCGATCTCGGCATCCAACATTTGTTTGGTGTCCAGAAGACCTTGGAGCTCTTGAACCAAGCTCTGCACCTCATCCTTCATGCGGCGCAACTGGGCATCACGCTCGTTGAGAGCTTGTTCGTATTGTCTTTGGTCGTCGGCCAACTGAAATAGGTATATCCATATCTTTAGGAGATAATTGGGGATATTGATATTACTTTAGTTTGAAATTGTGCCTCTATCATTTAAATATTGTGTTACGGAGCATATTCTGTCCATATTTGATATTGTAAGAGTGTTATAAAAGCTAAAGCTTACTTGATATTGTAGGTTTTGGACCTCCTTCTCGAGTTGAGCGTTCTTGTTCTCTAGATCGGCCAACTTTTGTCGCAAATCTCCGATGTTGTCGCGCATTCTCTTGACCTCCTCACGTTGGTAGTTCGAGTCCATGGCGGAACGTTGAGCGTTTCCTTGGACTTCGGACACCTTGAGTTTGTACCAGCTCTCCATGTCTTGTCTTCCTTGCTTGGCGATGTAGTCGTACTCGTCCTTGATGTCACGGATGGCCAAAGCCAGCTCGTTCTTGAAGAACTCGCGTGTGTCGGCTGGAGCTTGAGCCAAAAGAGCTTGGAGTTCCTTGACCTCTTGCTCGTGAACTCTTCTCAAGAACTCCAACTCCTCCTTCAGAGTTTGGACTTGGTAGTGGAAGTCGATGCTTCCAAGAGTTTCTTCGTCCAAGTCCTGGAAATCAGTTGATATATTATCATAAAGTATACAGCGGATTGCTCAAATACACAGAGACTAAGGTAATGTTAACTATCTAGATTTAACTTACATTTCTGGCCTTCTGGAGCTCTTCCCAGTAGCGAGCGTTGTCAGAGATGAGACGCTTCTCCTCGTCGGTCAATTGCTTCCAGCGAGATCTCAGCATCTCCAACTCGGTCTGAGCATCAGCGATCATGTTGGTGAAGGTTGTGATGTGATCACGGTCGGCTTCACGGCGGCGTTGAATCTCCTCGTAGCGGTTTCTGTACTCTTCGAGGTCTTCCTTCAGTCTAGCTACCTTAACATCGACTTCGGCCTTGTTTCTGGCGGCGTTGTCAATGTTCTTGCGAGCTTCCGACAAACTATCTGTGTATCTGATCTGAAGTGTTTGATTATATTATGTTAGGCTTTTAATTTTGCGTAAAATTCATGTTATTGTATCTCATATAGTTTATTTATTTTACTGATTATTTAGCGTCAACAACACAAAGAGGTAATAGAATGAAGATAATTTTATAATTAACTATGACTGTTGGCGAAGTTTTCAAAAGAGGTAGATTCCTTTTACACATATTGTAAGATTATAGCATGGAAATGCAATGTTGATATAGCAATGTGTTCATATATTTAAGCGGGACAAAGTTAGGATCTATGATGTGTACATCGTCCTTCATGCGGACCTACCTTGATTTCGGTGGTGTCTTTTCCCCATCGGCTTCTGAGGTCTTCCAACTCGGACACCAGCTTTCTGTTCTGTTCCTCCAACTTCTTGACTCTGTCAATGTAGTTGCCCAATCTGTCGTTAAGTCCTTGCATCTCTTTCTTGTCCTTATCAGCGGCTTCCAGGAAGGATTTGGCAGCATTGGCACTCAAGGCTGGACTGATTCCACCGACGGCCGAACTGCCCATCTCTGTCACCATTTTAAGTACACGGCCTGGAAATATTCAGTTTTAGAGGGCATATTCATAAAAGTTTAGGTATCTATATCACCTAAAATTATAAGACTATCATTAAGATCTTAGGTGATATAAGTAATGGCATTAACAAGCATAGTAAACTAACAAAAAAGGCGGTAGTAAGTTAAAGAAAGAACCTGAAGTTAAAAGTCATCGGCTGGCTGCCAGGCTATTCATACAGCCAAAAGTAACTAACGCATAGTCTACATGAGTGTGAAGGCAAAGGTAAGCTTTGTAATGTCATAGTTATGCATAAATTTTCACTAGAAAGCTGAGTTACCCTAGTGTAAGTCATAATCCTCTCTAGTGTAACTAACAATACTATTACCTTCTGATCTGTACATGTTTGTATGCGATCACACAACCTCCGTGTATATACAAGAGTTAAATTGATTCACAAATATAAAGTGTACGGGTTGAATACGGCTGGTTCAATAGGCTAATATCAGAAGGAATGAGAGCAGACCGTGGTGGTGTGGAAGCGGTTTGCTCCTCGAATGGCCTTGTTTCACCACACTCGGATCGATCGCGGGTCTCCAGGGGCTGTCAAGCGGTTTAGTATGTGATATTATTATACGTTCGGATTTGCCTTTTGGTACGGAATTTTCGTCGCTCTGCGTCGCAAACTTTTCGGGCGAAGTTTGGGGGGGGAGGGACCGAATGCAAACCCGATTCTAATCGGATGCGCGAGCGCTTTAAGCTCACAAAAGAGAATTCAGGGGATTCCGAATTCCCTTGACGCCGAAATCCCCCCACACAAACGGAGAATAAACACAATATGAGAGGATCGTACGGTCGTATAAGGCAATGTTTTATGAGGCAGAGAGGAGTGCCCTTATCACACAAAAGTAATCGTCTAATGTTCCGTAAACAAGTGGGGCAGCGTGAAATGAACTTGCGGAATTCGCGGTGATAAGTCGGTGATACGAAAGTGAAATACGAAACAAAGGCCTACAATGTGTGATAGAGGGTAGAGTGATAAGAGTTGCAAAATGGAAGCAGTTTTTTGGATGTAAGAGACCAAACATGATGGTAATTGTGGTCAAACTCAATATTGATTGTTCTATTCTACTTAACTCAATGTTAGTTGTGCTAGAAAGCTCAATATTAGCTATCACATCGTGGTTAATATCAACTAATTCTAAGTTCCTTACCTCCGCCACCTCCGCTGGAATTAAAGTTTCCGCTTTGTCGGCTGGGCGTGCGCACCGCCGTTCTCGGCTGGATGGTGGACCGGTAGGAGATCTCGTACTCGTTGTTCTCCTTGGACATTGTGTTTGATCTGCAATAAAACGGTTATACGGTGTCGCCATTAAAGTGAATCAGCACGTTCACGACCGCAACGAGCGAATCAAACCCTCAGTTCCGTTCATCCGGGTTATAAACGTTAAGGTATACAGATACATAACGTTAACGGAGACAAATGTAGGTATAGGAGATAAGTGTGCTTGATGCTTTTGATTGAAATATAGGGTTTAGTTTAAATTATAAGTTGATATAGGGGTTTTAGTAGCAGAGGTATCAATAAAAGATGTAAATTATGAACGGTTTTACTTTGTAAAGTGAAGAGACTCACAAGAATATTACTTTAAACTATATTATTACTTAAAGAAACCCAAATAAAGACTTGCAAACCTATGATAACTTCTAAAACACTTGCAAAACTCCAAGTACAATAAAACCCAAATGACAACCTTCTTTTTTGGACCCGCAATAAAGCACTATAACGCAGTTTTCAGTCGAAATATTTGTGATAACATGCAATTAAAGCAACCGGAAGACTCGAAACACGAAGCGAGCGGAGTAAACAAACATGGTTCAGATCGGGTCAATAATCAAATCAAGGAATGCGCAAATTGCCTGATTTTGTTGCTACTACACCCTCTTTTCGAGTCGAATTTCGTTTTAAATTTTGAAGCATGTCACCCCTTTGTTGAGGCTGCATTGTTGAGCTAGCTTCAGCTATGTTAATGTAAAGAATTCTATCTTGGGGATAAGAGATACTGGTCCAAGTTCAAAACTAACACGTACGGTCAAGTGTTACCCTCCGCCATGTCAAATGTGACCCTACAATGCTGTTTTATCATCATCACACCGACCGAGGCTAGCTAATGCGGCCTTGGAACCGGGTTTTGTCGAGAAGACGGGGCGACACGTCGCACACCTTTTTCTACCTCAAGAAAGCAATCTAAGAAGACGGAGAAGAGAGCGATAGATAGGTGCTTCTCTCTTGTTTGTACAACACAACATTCATTCATTAGATTAGGGGGAGGCGGCCGGAACATCGACGCCCCGAGGCATTCCACAGATAAAAGGGCGAACGCCGCATTCATCTTAAAGATATCAACAACAACATCGATGACGGAATGGCAGGGATGACGGACTGCGGGGATGACGGAGGCGGTGGTCGCGGTGACATTGATGAGACCGCCATTAAGCTTTTATGCAAAGTTTGTTGGTTGAAGGGAGCAGCAGAATGACTTTAAAACATTTTGCAGAGTAGAAGTTGGGTTTAGTCATCAAAGTGCAATTGGAAAAACAGTAAAACAACATGAGTCATCGCTTAAAATAGTAAGATATGTAATTAAACAAACAAAAATGAAGTAAAATAATTTTAAAAAATGAAAAATAAGTATTAAAAGCTTTCTGCCACGAGCAAAACGGACATACTTCGACCGGTTGATAACAAAAACTTTACATGTTGTAGCCCATAGTGCTCGTTATGCTAACTTGAATATAGTATCGTAATAATAAATTGACAGCTTCAAGTATCTTCCTCAAAATTGACCGTTAAACCGACCACACCCTTATGAGTCAGTAGATGGACCGCTAGCGAAAAGTCAACTGTCCGAAATAACAAATTGCCCGTCTTTAGCAACAATAACAACAAAGCATTTTCCGTGACAGTTTTGTTAAAGAAGTGTGAGTTTGGGAGAGAAAATTGATTATAGGCATCATCAAAGGTATTATAGGTATTATAATAGAGGCATGGTAACTGTTGGAAGGAGCAAGTACAAAAAATAGCTAAAAGTTAGTTGTAAACAATCAGCTTCAACTCGTAAAAATTAAACAGCTCTACTGCTTCATGGTACATATCCAGGACAAAACTCCAACTGCCATTACCCAAAATTGACCGATTTTAGCTAAACTGACCGCCCCAAACAACAGCAGATCGACTAATAACAACAAATCGACCAGGGTTTGTTGTGGAAGCCTTCCGAAGGCCACTTCCTTCCTCCTCGCCTGCAGCTCTCGATTGTCGCGCACTCCGAGTGAATGCCACCTGTAGACTTTGTGGCGCTCCACAGACTCCGCCCGAGCTGATTCATGCATCTAATTCCCCCACACTAATCTGCCTATAGTCTAATCTTGTTTTCGAAAAAACGCCTCGACCGAACGTGTTTCGGATTGGCTGCCATCGGCTTCGGGAAGACATTAACCTTGAACAACACTAAATACAACAAACAAAGGCGTTCAGGAACGGTGGGGTACGTTTGCAAGATGCCAATTGAAGTTGGTCTTGAGCCAGGGGGTAGAGGAAGGTGGTTTCAAATTGAAATTGAGGTTAGAACTTGAGGTATTTGGTCACAAACTTGGTCTAAATCTTGAAACATCTAATTTACAGTCAAAAACAGACGCTTTCAACATGATAACTATTACTTATGCCACAATTAGACATCAGGAACCTTGGCGTTTTGCTTCAAAACCCTATCAAAACCATGAAAAATCTAATATCAACCCTAGCTTCGATACCTTTACATTACTTTTACGTAAAAACTCTCGGAACAAACCTCGCTCCAAACATGTTATAAACCAAAAATTAACGAAATGTCACGATAAAGCGGGTTTAAATGGTTTAATTAAGTTTATGGAGGGGGTTTTATGATGATTCTATCAACGGAAAAGACCGCCAAAGTGTTATCAGTGGGAGGAATGTGTCAGTTTGGGAGTAATAAAACTATTTATCCGGCTGTCTCCACCTCCAGACTGAGTCATTGGTGTAGAAAGCTGTTATATGTAATGGTATAACTGTAAAGCAATGTTCAATACAATGGTATAACATATTGGATGTAATGATATTATGTTTGAGCAATGGTATCACTTATTAAAAGTAATGGTATAACATATTGGAAGTAATGATATTACAGTGGTAACATTTACTTTGGTCCTTTAACATAACATTAGCAAACAATAAACGGTTCACGGAAATGTAATTTTCTTTTAATTTCACTTTTTGTAATTTAACAGTCATCAAAAGATGTGCTGAACGAAATGAGACCCCGACGGAAGCCACGACCGGGTTCTGAAGCTAGTGAAGAGTCTTGAGGTTATTAAAGAAGTTAAAAAGGTATCTTTTTCCTCAAAAATGCCTGATAAAAATGAAAAGTTTGCAAAAAGTCGTACAGTACAAAATACATTCAATGTCTAACATAATAGTTTATAAGTTGAGATTCTATATATTAGTCATACAGAAAGCTTGATTAATATAATACAAAAAACAGGAAAAATCTGGCTTGGTTATATAATAAGTTGAGATTCTGTCTCTACAGTGATCCCTCTTTAGGATGTCTCTCGATAGTATGACACCCTCTTTATAATGGAAGCTTCTGGACCTTCTTTTGCAATAGAACGCCTAACAAAACGAAACTGGGTAGGGTGACATCCTGTTTATAAGGACAGGTTTCGACCAGTCACTTGAGCATCATACTAGGTTCCACTGTATGTCATACAGGAAGCTTGGGTCATAAAGTTTTGAAAAAAATACAAAAAAAACAGGAAATGCTTGCTTTTAATTGACAAAACAGTAACTTTTTACAAGGCTGCAGGGTTATGATCTAAAAGCTATTAAAATAGAGAAAATTTAGATAGCAATAAGAATAGAAAAGATGAATGTAAGGTCATAATAAACTTTAGAGAGTTTTTAACGTTCTAGTGCTATCACACGTCGAGCTTCGTAAATTGACGAAAAAAGCCTAAACAGAACACGAAACTTTTACAAATCAATTTGAAAGATTAAAGAGAACTCCAGAATACCGAAAAGACAACAGAAGGCCGAGAAGCAAAGCAGACGACCCCCATCAAACACAAGAAATGTTATAATATGTAATATATACACGAGCGATTAGTTGAACAAACAAATGACTAACATGACATTATTCATCACTTGCCTTAAAACACTTTTTTAAACCCCCATCACCACCAATATGAGAATGGATGGCGCAAATTTGGGTTACAACAAAAAATTAATCGAAACCGGAATGGGCGGGCACCCCCCCCCCACTCCTTAAGGCATTTTCTTCACGATAACGGTTTGAAACATTCCAAACAACACAAGTGTGAAGAGTCTCATTTACATTGTCTTCACGCTGTACCGAGTTTCACTTACATTACTCTCTTACATTACGTCAACAACCTCGAATACCTGCAGAACCAAATTCGTTAATTAAAAAGACATTAACATGCTCCAAGTTGTTGTAATTCAACGTAAAAAAATACACAAAACTAGCCGAAAAGTTTGCGAGGCCCCGTTTTTAAAATACTTTACAATGACACACAGAATTCAATTTAGTACATCTGGAAAAGGTTAAAAATACGTTACATCTGATGGGTAACATGTACAATATCGTAATTTAGAAAATTTGCTTTTCATTATTGTAGTACATTATTATTTGTAAAAGTTGACTATTTTCGAATTCAATCAATCATAAACGTTACTCTACTCTACAATTTACAAAATAAACAAAAATCCAATAGTGACACTTCGTTGTGGCACTTCGTCGCATAAAAATAAAAATAATTTTATAAAAAGATTCCCTAAATTTTGTGGTTTTGACAGTTTTTACAAGACTGCTTACACTAGTTGTTAAGCTTTAAGCTTGTATTATTTATATTTTACATGATATGATGTTTATGATATTGTTTTAGGTATGGATCAAGCTCAATCGAAGGAATTTGACGGCCTAAAGAGGACTTTTCTTCAATCTGTAAGTAAAAAACACTGTAAAATGTCATCATTATATTTTTAATCTTCATCTGATTGTAAAAGTAATTTTAATCATTTATTTAGTTGGCCGAGTACAATAAGCTACAGAGGTTGTTGAATGACTTCAAAGAATCCAAACTGACCGACGAGGTGTTAGAAGAAGTTCCCGAGGTTGCTGCGCAAGTCATTAAAAACAGAAAATTGGAGTACAGGATCAACATAATGAAGAGAGTAAGTTATACTATGTTAAGTTATTGGTTTTTAGGCGATTGATGAAGTGAAAGCTTCTGGAAAGAAGGCAAAGGTTCAGAAGCCAGAAGAGAAGAAAGCTCCAGAAGTGAAATACGTCAAAGTGAAGGACTACCGTGATGCCGTTTTGGAGAGGCTGACTTCAGTGTTCTCAGAAGTGGTCGAGAAGTGTTATCCAGGTAACAACTTCAGCATCACGTTACGAGAGACTAACAACCTCAAGTTTGGTGATTATCAGTTCGACTCTTCTCCAATGATTGCCAAAACCCTGAAGTTGAAGCCAGATGAAGTGGCCAAGAAGATCATCGACAATTTACCTCAAGTTGATCTGATTAAGAGTGTTGAACAAGCCAAAGTATTCATCAATATATTTTTGAACAGAGAGACGGTTGGAAAGAAAGTTTCTGCAATTTTTGCGAAAGGAATTTCCTTGCCAGATCTTGAACAAAAACGAGTTGTCATTGACTTCTCTTCGCCCAACATAGCCAAACAAATGCATGTTGGCCATCTTCGGTCGACAATTATTGGGGAATCGTTCTCTAGGCTTCTAGAATACGTGGGATATGACGTAAGTTATGTTTTTATGTTTTGTTTTCATAAAGGTCTTAACTTTAAATTGTAAAAGATTTTTAGTGCAAGCATAAGGCTAGAGACAATTTCCTGTAGGTACTGATTACAGATTGATACGAATTGACATTTAAATAGGCATAAATTGTGGTAATTTATAGATGTTTTTTACAGGTACTACGATTGAACCACGTTGGAGATTGGGGAACCCAATTTGGTATGTTGATTGCTCATCTACAAGATAAATTCCCGAATTTTGCAAAAGAAACACCTCCACTAAAAGACCTACAAGCTTTTTATAAGGTAAGGACATCTTTAATATCACTAAACTGAACTTTTTAGAAAATAGAATACTGTTAATTTATAAATGAGATTTTAATAAATAGAGTTTTATCTTCGTTTTGATATTATTTTGCGTGGTTTTAGGAGTCGAAGAAACGTTTTGATGAAGACGAAATGTTCAAGAAGCGGGCATACGACTGTGTTGTTAAGCTGCAGGCTGGTGACAAGGAATTCGAAAGTGCTTGGAGGTTAATTTGTGATGTCAGTAAGAAGGGTAGGTTAAGATTATATAAAAAGCTAAAAATTTTATATTTTTGTTATCTACGTAAAACATTAAATGACAAAGTAGTTATAGGGGGCGCAGAATTAAGTGAACGACCTAATAATTTGTGTAAACAAACTTTCAGACTATACTAAAATCTACGAGCGATTGGATGTAACTCTACAAGAACGAGGAGAGTCTTTCTACCAAGACAAGATGGTCAGTTTGGTCGAGGAATTGGACAAAGAAGGAAAGCTGAAGCTAGAAGAGGGACGGAAGTTGTTCTACACGACAGAAGCCAACATTCCATTGACGGTTGTGAAGAGTGATGGAGGATTCACATACGATACTTCCGATTTGGCTACGTTGAAACATCGTTTGTTTGAGGAAAAGGCTAACTGGTTGTTGTATGTTGTCGACAGGGGACAGTCTGAACATTTTGCGGTAAATTTTTATTAATTTAAGGTTTGTTGAAGGAAAGTTAAGGATTTTTTAAAGGAAAGGTGAGGCAGTTATAGAAAAAAATGTCATTCTATGAGTTTATGTTATGAATTTTATAATAACATGTAAAATTATTGTTAACATAACCCCATATAGTTTTAACGATTAATGTTTTAGTCAGTCTACTCGGCTGCCAGAGATCTTGGATGGTACGATCCAAAGCAGACTCGTGTTGAACATGTCCAGTTTGGCGTTGTGTTAGGCGAGGATAAGTAAGTTAACACCGATAATAATCTGGCTTTATGTTGCTGGATCTATATTCTACTGTAATATTGATAATATTTTTAAAAATTTTCAAAAATGTTTTTTGCTTCAACTTTTTAAGATTTTTAAAATGTTTTTCAGGAAAAAGTTTAAAACCCGATCAGGAGATACGGTAAAACTGTCAGATTTACTTGATGAAGGAGTGAAACGAGCTGAAGCCAAGTTGGTAGAGAAGGGCAGGGACAAAGTAATGGGTCCAGAAGAGCTGGAAGCTGCCAGAGATGCGGTTGCGTATGGTTGTATACGATATGCTGATCTTTCTCATGGCAGAACTAACGATTACGTCTTCTCGTTTGATCGGGTAGGTTTTGGTTTTTAAAAATATTTTTTAACCGTGAGTTTTATATGTTAGATAGTTTTAATTGAGTATCTACTATCATTTTAGATGTTGGATGATCGTGGTAACACGGCGGTGTATTTGTTGTACGCTTATGCTCGTATAAGGTAAGTATTTTGATTTTGACATAAGTTTACTTATATATACTTTTTATCGGTCACAGTAGTTACAATTACATAATATTATTAATGTAATGATATTATATTGTGTTCTCAAAATATAATGTTATTATGTTGCAGGTCAATTGCTCGTGAAGCCAAGGTTGAACGGTCAGCTATCTCCGAGTACGTCAGCAAACTACCCAACGGTGTCTTACCATTAGAACACGAACGAGAATTCAAGCTGGCCAAGCAGCTTCTGAAGTTCTCTGACACTCTGCTTCTGGTTTTGGAATCTCTTCAACTTCACAAACTCTGCGATTACGTTTACAATTTGGCTACAGTCTTCCACGACTTCTACAAGGATTGCTATGTCATCAACAAGAACGATAAGGGAGAGATTACTGTAAACTACCATCGTCTTGTTCTCTGCGAAGTCACGGCTGACACGATGGCGGCCTGCTTCAAGACTTTGGGAATCAGACCTATCGAAAGAATGTGAATTCTGGGTGACATATCTATTATGAAACGATTGTTGTTGATAAACTTGTTACATGTTGCAATGAAAATATTTTAATGTTGTTGTGGCTGTGTTAATTGATATATCCTTTGTTGTAAAGGCATGTTATTTTGTGTTTTTTATTATTGTAAAAAGGTTACTTTAACATATTTTTAATACCTATAGATAATAAGGCCTTTTCGGTACCTAAATGATGATCAAGAACAAAGTAAATGTGGAATAATTTATTTAATAGTAACGAATAAGTTAAGAATAAATATTATTACAATTAGTAGGTTGAGGAAAGGCAGAGAGTAATATAGTAGATATGTGGCCACGCAAATACCCGGGGATAATAAAATATTTTGTACTTGACAATATTACTTGAAAGATGACATTTGAACGTGAAAATGTTACAGTAATGTAAAATTTTTCAGTGACATTAATCGTCTGTAAAACTCAAGTAATATCAACCAAATTGCTCTAGTACTTGGCAAAAGGCAGTACATGCCAGCTGAGTTTATGTACGTAGTCCAACATGATAGGCACGTCCTGTACAGTATGATGCATGGCTCCTTTCAGGTATCCGAACACGTTGTAGATACGAATCAACAGGTCGAATGCCATCTTCTGAGCCGAATGACTTTCGAGTTGGGAGAAGCACGAGGACAGAATGTCGTTGGTCACGATGGCGCCTTCTACAGTAACCGGACTGTAGATGCCTTTGGAGTAGCGACGTCCGACCTGCAAATCGTAAGTTGAGTTTGGGTATTATCATAAGGATCTTATTATAAGGTAACTTGTTTTACATTGTAAACTTGCAAAGCTGGCTATGGCTATGATAACGTGCTCTTTTTAAACTTATTAATCGGTTTTTGTAAAGGTACCTTTTCTATAGTTGTGCGAAACTACTGTAACTATTCTAAAGAATTGCTAAGATACTGTAACTTTTCTAAATTATTGCTATACCTTGACGATCTTGTCGGCTGTCACACGGCCTTCTGAATCCAATGACAACACACATTGGCCTTGCTGGGCCTTGTAGGAGAACTTGGACTTTCTGATCCATTCGTCTGTGTCATCTCCCTTTTGAATACTCTCTTCCATCTCTTCACAGTCTCCGAATGGCAGTAAATGCAATTCTGAAATATTATCATGCTTTAGATCGTCGACACCACTAAGGCTTATTACTTTGTATACGGTCTTTAACACAGTCTATTCTATGGACTTTTTGACCAATATTATAGGTTAATATAGTCTATAGTTTACTTTTACATAGTATATATATCACAGCTTCTAATGGTATCCTCGGAAAGTAAACCAACTTACGAGTCAATGACAATGTCTTTCCGGACTCCGTGTTCAGTTGAATGAACTTGACGGTGGTCTCAGGTTCACGATGGTAGAACAACTCGACCTTCTCGTACTTCATGGTGTTGTCTCCACTAGGTACCAGAACATAGTCTCCAACTTGTAGCTCACTCATTGGCTTGTCTCCGGTGACAGTACGAACCAGAGTGTCTCCACTGAAGCACGATCTCATCGGGTTGGCGAAGCCCTCAGGGCCGTTGGAATCTTGCCATTGAAGCACGTTGGGGTCACGGGGTGGAGTGTGCTGTTTGGCACTGTGAATACGGCCTCTTCTACCGTGCTTCCTCTTCTTCTTGTTGTTCTTCTTCTTTGGTGCTGGTCGGTTTCGGCACTTCTTGGTGGTGACGGTGGTCTTCAGCAGCTGTTCGCCGCTTCCTTGTTCCACAGCCGAGCCTTCTTCTTCGCCGCTGGATTCTGTGATGATTCCAGCGAATCCAGTGCCCAAGGTTTCTTGAGGGGTTCCTGAGGATTCCGGAGTGGCTTCAGAGGATTCTTGGGAGGTTTGTGAAGTTACTGGAGCGTCGTCTTCGTTGGCTGCTACAGTAGCACTTTCAGTGGAGTCTGAACCTGCTTCAGTAGCTCCATTTTCGGTAGCGATCTGGCTGCTTTCAGTAGTTCCTTCAGTGTTTCCGGAAGCTTCCGAGACTCTTTGACCCTCACCTGAACCTTCTCCACTGGATCCACTCAACTCTTCTCCACTGGCATCAGCAGCGATCTCGTCCAGTTCATCACAATATGGCAGAGATCCGCCTCCACTGGAGCCTCCGTCGCCGTGCTCACTGTCTCCAGATCCACTGTGCTCTGAGTCTCCGGACCCACTATGCTGTAGCGTGTGTTCAGCTTCCTCGCTACTGTGCTCTCCAGACTTGGTACCAACTCCAGCATTCACTTCCACGACGAATCCGCCTTCAGAAGTGGTTTCAGATGCGGGGCTAGTGGATTCTAAGCTGTCCTTTTCGGCACTCTCACTTGAATCCGGCTTCGTTTCACGGATGATTCCAGCGTAACGGGAGCCTTCTCGAGACTTTTCACCTTCACCGTCGTTGGCCTTCTCCTGACTGTCGCCTTCTTTCTTGGCATCTGAAGTCTTCTCGGCACTGTTTCCAGGTTCACTGCTCTTGGCTTCACTGTCGTCTCCTCCTTGCTTGAAGCCACCGTCTGTTCCAATTTGTTTCAAATCAGAATCTCCAGCATCGTGACCGGCTACTTGGTTTCTTTTTCCTCCAGAAGCCAAGGTGGTTTCGTCGGTAGTGTCGTCTTCATCTGAATCCTTTGGTTTGCCTTCTGTCTCACCGTCAGCTGTCTTTTCTCCGTCAGAATCGGCTTTGCCGTTTCCATTTGCACCGGCTTCTCCGGTAGCTTCACCGTCTCCAGTAGCCTTGCCTTCGGCTGTCTCTGACTTCTTTTCTTGGGCTTCTGTAGTGGTTGATTTATCAGAATCTCCATCTTTTCCACCGTCCTTCTCTTCTGAGTTCTTGTCAGCTTCAGTGCTGTCCCACTTGATGGTCTCCGAGCTGTCATCGTCACCGTCTTCTGGGCCTGGTTGGAATTCGTCGTGAGTCTGAAGTCGTCCCTTCTTCTTCAAAGCTTCTGAATCCTTTCCACCGTCAACTTTGAACTTGCTCTTTGCATCTGACTCAGATCCCTTCTTCTTTCCGGCGTTTGCACCGTCACCGTGTTTCTTTGCAGCGTCGGAATCTTTACCGTGCTTCTTGTCATCGGACTCTCCATCGTGGGTCTTTTCAGTAGCAGCCTTCTGATTCTTCTTGTTCTTGTCATTACCTGGTTTCTTGGTCTTGGTGTCCTTGTCGCCCTTGTTTAACTTGTCGTTCTTGTTGGCGTTGTCGTCGCCAGCGTCAGAATCTTCCGAATCCTTCTTCTTGCCTTCTGTTTTGGCTGGTTTCTTGTTGTCCTTCTTTCCTTTCGTGCTACCGTCCTTACCGCCGTTCTTTTGGCCGTTCTTGGCGGCGTCGTTTCCATCGACAGCACCATCTTGTCCGTTCTTGCCATCGTCTTTTCCATCGTTCTCTCCATCGTTCTTCTTATCAATTCCGGTGCTTTTGGCTCCAGTTTTGCCAGCTTTTTTGGGACTTTTCTTGGCACTGTTTTTGCCATTCTTTCCATCGGCTGGTCTGTGATCAGCTCCATCTTTATCTCCGTTTGTGGCTGCATCATTGGCTCCGTCATTGGCTCCATTACTACCATCTTGTTCTCTATCTTTTGCTTTACCAGCCTCTTTATTTGCATCTTCCTCGCCATTACCACTTTCTTTTGGCTTTTTGGCTCCACTTTTGCCGCCGTTCTTTCCGTTTCCTTTACCGTGCTTTGATGGTTTAGCTTTCTTATCGTTGTCACCATTGGAATCAGCGTCAGCTCCATCTTGGCCGTCCTTACCGTTCTTTCCGTTATCTTTTCCATTTTTGCCGTTCTTGCCATTTTTTCTCTTACCGTAGCCTCCCTCCTCTTCAGCATCGGTATCTGGCTTGTTAGCATCTTCGTCATCAGTATCAGCCTTCTGAGCATCTCCTCCATCACTGTCTACACCGTCCTTACCATCTTTGCCGTCTTTACCGTGAACAGTCTTGGAATTACCGGTCGATTGTGGTTTCTTTTTGTTGCTTTTGCCTTTCTTTTGGTTCTTGGCTCCAGGTTTTGGTGCTTCAGAATCACTGTCACTCTTACCATGGCCATCTTCACCATCTTTGCCATTGTTTCCATCGTCTCCGGCTACAGTGTTGGCGTCTGAATCGTCGCCGTTGTTGTCGTCATCCCCGTTGTCATCTTCGTCCTTTCCGTGTTTCTTATCACTCTTATCAGCGCCCTTTCCGGATGGGGATTTGTCGCCCTTTCTTTTCTTCGAAACGTTGGAAGTTTCTCCAGCATTCTCGCTTTCAGAATCCTTGTTTCTGGTTTTGTTATCCTTCTTGTTTCCGCTGAGTTCTTCTGATTTATCGGCGTCATCAGTCAAGTCGTCATCGTTCTCGTCGTCGTCGCCGTACTTGCTGTGCTTTCGGCCGTTCTTTGGCTTCTTGCCTCGGCGTTTACCGTGAGTCTCCTCATCTGGAGTGAAGTTCCATCCATCGCCTCCCAAGTCGCTGTCACTGTGGGCTGGCCCGAATCTTCCACTTCTACCGTCAGCAGCTATACCGTTGTTGTCGGTAGTCCTGCCCTCTGGCAGGTGGATGGTAGCGTGACCTCCTTCTCCACCCTTGCCGCCTTCAGCGTTGACGTGGATGTGGTTGTTGATGATTGGAGCTTGGCCTCCGTTGCCGTTCGCTGAAGCTTTGGCATCTTGGCCGTTCTCGGCCTTGGCACTGGCTGCAGCTGTGGCCAAAGGTCCGGAGGATTCGGAATCGTGGCCAACACGGTGACCTCGGGTTCTGACTCCGCTGCTGTTCTCTCCTGAGGCCTCTTCCCATGCACTCCAGGTGGTCTTGCTCCAGGTGCTCCAGCTGAAATTACAGTATGAAAAGAACGCTTTAAAGGGGCTTTTATTTTCTTTTGATATTGTTTTATGCCCATACTGATGAAGATATAATAAGTTTTAAGAACGGTATGGTTAAAGTTTTTAAATTCAAAACTCACGTAGAAGTTTGCCAGGAGCTCCAAGCAGCAGCGGCCCATTCATCGTCGCCTTCTGGAACCTTGGTATCCTGTTCTTTGGTTACAGTAATCTGTTCTCCCACTCCTTCGTTGGCAAACTTGCCACAACGTGGACGACAGATCGTGACACGGTAGCCGGCTCTGAAATATCATTATAAGCATCTGATAAGAGTTATGTGAAGATACAATATCTACACTGTTCTTACCATCTTTGTAAATATACTTATGTTACAATATATATTTACTATACTATCGTACTGAACCTTCTGGTTATTTAAACCTACTGTAACATAATTTTTGGTTATTCAAACCTACTGTAACACAAAAACTTACGGAACTCTCTCAATAGCCTTGACAATCAGAGTTGGTGGCGACTTGTTGCGCAACATGAACAGCCGCATTCTGTAGCCGACGTAGCCGTCGAATTGTTCTGGAATCTGATTGGCGTTTTTGAGCACGGTGATGCCGTCATCGTTTTTGGTGCTGTTCTTCTTGTCTCCAGCATGAGAGCCGTCTGGCAGTTCGTAGACGAAGCAATCGTTGTCATACGATGGATGTTCTTCCTTTTGCTTCAGAAGACAACATGTGTGTTCTACTCTGTAATCTTCTTATTATCCTGTGTAATGTTTATTAGCTTGTTATGTAACATTTGTAAAAGTTTGAGGGAAACAGAAATATTAAATTGGGAAGATCTTGATGTTGTTGTAGGCTTTTTATATGATTTTTGCTTACTTTTTGTTATTTAAGTAACATTTAAAGGTCAAAATGATTGTATATAAATTTAAAGTGATTTTCTTATGAATAAGTTATCGTATACAGATGTTTTTGCTTATTTTAATGCATCAACAACTCACGGTCCAGTAGTGGTGCCCTGATTAACATGCGCGACAAAGTTGTATTTCCCGCCGCACGTATGTTGTTGATGTTCGTATTCGCAGTTCTGAAAGAAAGAAAAAACATCGTAAAATTACTGCGGAGTTACGTTTCAAGGATACGAAAAGCGGAGATTTAATTACTAGTAAGACCATTAGGGATTACAATACTGCTTAATATCCAGGTCATTTTTAATATGAATCGGGGGGGGGGTTATTAAAAAGTCGAGTAATTTACTGTTTTTAAGACAAAGAGAAATGCAAATTGGGCTTGGAGGTAAAGTAAAAACAATATAAATTCATTTAGAGTACAAAAAGAGTAGGGGGACTCTTTCACAAAACCTTTCTTTTTCAATATTACGCTAATTCTAGACTATGTAACTAACACCAAATAGGCTCCGTAAGAACAAAACTAACATACCAAATTGTCGAATCCACAAATATTCAATCGCTGACAGTGCATTCGAATCGTATCGTTCCCAAAGTTCTGCACGATGAGTACTTGGTTGTTCTCGCATCGATACGAGATACTCTCGACTCCGAGGAGAAGCAGGAAACCCCAGAGGAGTCGCTTCATCCTGAAATGGCACTTTTCATGAAATTCTGGTTGTGATAAAACTCGGTTGTAAAATGTTACCTATTTAATTGAAAAATAGGTAACATTTTTGGGTAAAACGTCGCGCGAAAGTTTAAAAATACATAGAAATGAAAGAAAACGTAATAAAAAATTGTAAAAAGGTATAAAATACGATAGTCAAGCCAAGGAAATACAAATTTCAAAAAAGTACGAGACAAAACAAACTATAACACCTAGCAAAGTAGGTATTTTGCTATTTTTTACTTATATAAGCCGATCATCCTCAATATAATTCGAAACAAATGTTAAAAACACCCACTTATTAATATGTGACAATCTTAAACGTATGAAACAATTATTACTAACTCACGACGAACGAAACCGTGAAACAATTCAGGAACGGCACGTTAAATGTCGCAAGTACCCCAAACAGCGGGGGGATGGGTAGTGAGAGCCCTCGAGGGGCGGACTTGAACGGCTTGTTTGTGTTCGCCTCAAGGGCTTGTCATAAGCCCGATCGACCGGCGTTATCGACCGTTATCCAACGTGCCCATTCCCGGCTTATCGACTGTTTCCGACCGCACTCCGCGCCGCTCCCGCCCATCCGACTTTTTGACCCGGATTTGTTTTCATAGTTTTTTACTTTTTCGATCACATAATTAGACGGCATGCCCTACGGCAATTCTCGCGAGAACCGTTCCGGATCTCACGGCACGGTCGAGAAAGACTGGTTTCCAGGTTCGTATCAGCTTATCACTCAAGAAACACTTTGGATACGGAACGAGGCGCCTTCGAAGTTGAAAAAGAAGTGAAATTTCAAATTTAAAAAAAAATTTAATTTTAGGTTTTTAAAATATTTTTTTTTTGAAATTTAAAATTTTGAAAAAACTGCCGGTGTTGACATAGATATATCAGCTATAATATCAGCCAAGCCCATGTCTTTTAGTCATCAAACTAACTAACCAAACCCATTGCCACCCCTAATCCCTCAACTTTTTAATTGTCATAGAAAAAGCCCTCAGGGGGTCAAACACAAAAGAAGCAAAAAGTCCAAAAAGCGGATTCAGAAGCCAAAGCCAAATGTCACGGAAGGAGACGTTGCCTCCGGAACGAGATCCACCAGCTCCACCAAGCCTTCTGAGTCTGCCCACGGTGAGTCAGGCTCCAGATGAACTGGCGCTCACCATTGATCCGCCCCGAGCTTGGTTTACAACGTTGGGTGGAGTTTCACGGTAAGGTAAACAACACATTACTGAGGGAGTGGATTTACAGTACTTTACTGATCTTTGTTTTTCAATAGTAGGGTAGGTACTGTAGGGTGGGTAGGGTAGGTACAGTAAGATGGGTAGGGTAAGATATGGCATGGTATTGTAGAGCTGTATATGCCTCAAATAAGTTAGATTGAAGTTAAAATAGACCTTTGTTACCCTAACCTATTCCTTCAGTCATTTACTATGCAATCACGGTCCGGACCGGCTGGCGATGAAGGTGCGGTGCAGCAACAACCATGCCTTCAGGGTGAATCCCGTCTTCCTGTTCCTGGGCGAAGGGCACACTCAGGAGTTTGAAGTGAGTTGAGTGAGTGCCGTTGTGTCGCTTCGGATGTTGTTGCTTCAGTAGCCGTACGTCGCTTTAGCTGTTGTTGATTCAGTATCCGTTGTTGATTAAGTAGCCGTGTAGTAGCGAAAGTAGCCGTGCCGTTTGTTTGTTGTCGCTTCTGATCCCGTTAATTTAGCTAATCCGTTTACAAGGCGGCGAACCGCGCAAAGACAAGGTTCAGCTTTTGTTTACCGTAGCCCGGTATTCGGATGAAGACCCGGCTTCTTTGTTTGGGCAGAATGCGAAGGTACGGTCGGTGGTTCTACATATAACGACGATATGAATGCCATAACTGTCTTTTTACGCCAATAAAAACTATATAAACTACGAGAAACTAATGAATATGTCTAAAGGTATTAGAGTGTTCACATAATTCTGTCCTCTTTCTCAAAATTAATTTTGGGGGTTAGGGAGCTCAGAATTTCTTGAACAACCTATAAATAAAAAATCGAATAAACCGACAGTTTTTGTTGAACTGACCTATGCCTTTACATTTCAAAAAACCTAATTTACCTTCGAATTTTTATAAAATTTCCATAAACCTTGAGTGTATAAAGGGCCGATCACTTTGGAAGACAGCTCATTCTGAAAAGTTTTTGGATCTTGCCAACCGGTTACGCTGATATCGAAAAATGAAGAAAAAGGACGCAAAGGGAGGGTAGGTTACTGTCTTTGTATGTTTTACTGAGGGTTACATTCTGGTATTACAGTCTTTTTATGTTTTACTGAGCATCATATTCTGTAGTTATAAGTTTATTACAAACTAGGTAAGACTTTAGGGGCATTTTAGTTGTCAAGTTTTACTTTCTTCAAGGTTTTTATGTAAATATTGATTATTTGGGGCCAAAAAAGCTTAGAGTAAAGTGATTTTGCCTGTAATGTCACAGCAACTTTTTATTGTCATATAAGTAGTGACATTGCGATGTTACAGCTTCTATAATACCTGTCAAAATTTGCAGAGCGAAGAGCAAGGGCGGTTCAAAAGATGCCAAGTCCAAAGTGGAGAAGACAGCCTAGGAGGAAGTGAGTATACCTATACCTATAAGTGATTTCTGGTCAATCTGTTTATCTTTTTTTTACTTTCTCTTTGATTTTAGGTATACTCTTAGGTGTTTTTGGTATATTTTACTTTTCTCTGTTAAATCTAAAGGCTAATATAGAAAGTCTGTCTCTACGACTCGTTTCAGGCCAAGCCAAATGTAGTTCCGATGGCGGCCGATTCGCTTATTCATGTCTGGAAGTGGTTCAACAGAACCCTCGACCGTGGCGTCTCAGGTCTTCAGGCCGAGTTCGCCGAGATGAAGCGTTACTGCCCTAAGGACATGGATGTGAAGACATTCAATGCCAATTGGGAGGCCGGCCGATGTCGCTACAAAGACGTGCCGTGCCAAGAAGCAGCCAGAGTCATCTTGAAGTGGCCTGGCCTACCCTACGACTTTATCCACGCCAACTACGTGCCAGCTCCAAAATCTCAAAAGCGTTACATTTGTACGCAGGTGGGTCTACTACAATATGTTACTGTTTCGTCGCAATATTGAATTTTACCTATAAGTTATTATACTTTGTACTCTTGTAGGGTCCTCTGGAATCGACAGTGGCCGACTTCTGGCGGATGATTGTGCAAGAAGAGACAGACAGCATCATCATGTTGTGCAATTGCATCGAGAAGGGCATGGACAAGTGCGCCCAGTACTGGCCCTCCCAGTTAGGTCAGACAGTACAGTACGATGGAGACAAACTTACCGTAACCAGTGGGTCCATCAGTCCTTTAACCGTCAACGAGCAGAGTGTGGCCCGTACTCTGTTGACGCTCAAGTGGAAGATGAATGGCAAACAGAACGAACGTGAGGTCCGCCACTTCCAGTGGGTGGACTGGCCTGACCGTGGAGTGCCGAACGGCCTGAGCACGGTGTTCGACTTGCTGTCTGCTGTCAGAGGCAGCGAGAAGCCGATCGTTGTCCATTGTTCTGCCGGTATCGGTCGAACCGGGTCGATTGTGTCGATTGCCTACATCATGGAACGCTTCCAGTTAGGTCACCCGTGTGAAGACATGCCCGAGATCTTCCGCGAGCTCAGAAACTCTCGTCCGTACTCGATCCAGAAGGAAGTTGTGAGTTTTGAAACTTAAAAAGACTTCTTCCTCGCTTTTGTTACCTAAAATAGTGTTTTCAGTCGTCTTGTTACCTAAAAAGCAGCTGATTTAAAAAAAAACAATTTTTATTTTTATTATTTTAAGTATGTTCTTTATGAATAAACTATGTAGACAACGTTAATCTGAAAAGTTTAGCAATACCTGTTTGTCCACCGCGTCATCTTGTACTACTTTGCGGAGCGAAAGGGGAACTTCCCCCCGACTGATGCACGCTACGTCAAGTTCGTGGAAGAGTACAACAAGGCCGTCTGCTGATCTCCATCGATTCCCATCAATATTTCCTACTTACTTTTGCTTCTGATTGCCAATAAACAGGAAACAAAGTTTTTGTAGTTTTGATCGAATTAATGTTGTAGTATTTTAGTGAAAGTTTACTGGATAGTGGAATATACAGGGTGTCCCAAGAAATTGCGTCGCTAGAATCGTCGCTAATTCATAACTTTGCAACTATGCATCCTAGAAATGCCAAATTTAACACAGTTGTAGAACAGACTTGTACATTTTTTAATGGAAAATTTTGAGTTTTAAAAGTGCAAATTACGGTCATAGTGAATTTTTAAAAATCAGCATTTTACACCGAAATTACACATATTTTTGGTTGTAAATGAACAGTTTTCGTCGACTCTTAACATTTTTTGGTTTTTTTTCGGGAAACCGCGTTTTCTGTGTTTTTTTCTAGAATTACCGTAAACTACCGTAATCGAACCAACCAACTACAAGTGCAAAACTAAAAATTTAGCACGGATCTTCGTGGGCAACTTTTTTTTATATTTAAAATCTCCAGACAATGAGGGTTATGATACCACATACGCTCATCCCTAGGGCCGCGTATTTCGAAGAGTTTTGGCCGTTTAAAAAATTATCTTACGATCAAAATGAAAAAAACGTAATACCTTGCCAAAAAAAATATTTTCATAACCTTCTGAATGCGTTTAGCTAGCGAGTTACAATACGCACGATATTTTTATATGGTTAAAAGATAGTTTCGGAGTTCAAAAAATAATATTTTTTGAGAAATTTTTTTTAAATAACTAAAAACAAAAATGATGATTAAACATATATTTTTCAATCAAAATATTGTTGTCTAGCCAAACAATAAGCCATGGCATCTTCTCATAACGGCAAGAGGAAATAGGTGAGATTCAAACTGTCAGGCTTCTACACCTCAGGTTATCTCTTGAGGCTAAAGAGCAAGGGTATTTGGGCGGAGGGAAATAGAGAGTTCGGTGATTTGGATCAAAACCTGGTCCACCATGTACTTCTTCTGCTGCTGCTCGTACTGGGCTTTGTCCTCCGTTTTGTGCCGCTCCAGCAGCATTAACGCCGGGGTCCTGGTTGTTGTTGAGTGTTGCTGGAGCTGAAGCATCAGGAAGAATGTCCCTTGCGGTTTTAAGCGTCGAGCTGTCTACTGGATCAGCCTTCTTTTTCTTTCGACAGAAATAAATGCAAGCAGCAATTGCGACAACCACGACTACAAGAAACCCACCAACGGCACATCCAATACCAAAACTGAAACACATAAATTAGCGTCGATATTATACAACACAAATAGTAAAAACTATGAGTCTAAGAAAGATAGCGTTTAAAAAATTTCATTATCCTACTAAAATGTACCTTTTTTCTAAATTTGAAAACTTAACAAAATAAATTTTGTTTTAAACATGGTACAAATGATACCATTTCACACAATACAAAACCAAAACTTACCTCCACCATGAGAAATCTCCCGGTGAGTGACAGGTCCCGTTTCCGGTTACAAAAGTGGTTGGCGCAACCCTAAAAACAGTGACATAAACAGTTGTTACAGGCTAGGGCATCTGCCTGTGTTTTTCAACCCACCTCCACAATCAACCGCCTAACATCGAGCGTTTAAACAAATATTACATACAGACTCTAAGGGGAAAAGATAAAGTCTTTCACAAATTATAAACTCACGTTGACTCTTCTGGAGGAATGACATCGACTTCAGTGACAAGGGGTGTGGTAGTGGTACTAGTCGTAGTTGTCGTGGTTGTCGTGGGAGCTTGTCTAAAATTGCTTACCAATTTAAAAAAAATTTAATTTAAAAAATCTACCCCCAACAAAACTCAAAAGGTTTTAATAAACCAGAAGCAAAAATTGAAACAATTTCCCCCAAATCTCTCAATTACATAAACTGATAAACAACCACCTACTAGTAGAACAAGATGGCAAAGTTGTTCGCATTGGCCTCGTCATCGTTCAGAGTCGCGCCTTGTGCTTTCAACGCGGCCTAAAAGTCAAATTTTAAAACCATCAAACCAGCAGCATGATGACAGTATTGCAGCATAACAATACAACTCAAAGAAAAAATAAAATAATTAAAATACTTGTCTCAGTCTTTAAATAAATCTTTAATAAGGACTAGTTCTACTTCAAAAAATGCCTTTTTTAGATAAAATGAATATTAAAAGTAACATACGAACGACAGCAGCAGTTGATTTGGATCCGAGCAAGTTGACTCAACCAAGTTGTTGACTCCGTCGCTCGATTCGAACGTCTTGCACGAGTCATCTGGAAACCAAAGATCTCCGTTTTCGACACTTCCGATGACTTTTTCATTGAAAAGATCCACGTCTTTAGCAAAATCTTGTAGTCTTTGTTTAGGACTATAGAACATGAGCATACCGCCCTTTGTTTGAGACAACAGTACATCTCGAACTACCCAGAACTTACTTTCAAATTAAAAGTCAGCAGCAAAATTAGTTTCGTCGAAGTTTAACACCACAAACCTAAAACATTTAAATTTTTTAAAATGAAAAAAAAATTAAACTGAATCTAAATGATAAAAACTTACTTATTGCCTTTCTTTCCATAGACATAGAGATTGTTGATGTCCTTCAAAGAGAACACGTAATTCAGGATGGTGATACCGTCTTCGCGAAGCTCGAACGTGCTAAAAATGACAATAAAATATGTTACGGTACGTAAAGAGCCTCAAAAATTCCTTGCAAAAGGTTGGCATTCCGTGTCAAGAATCAGTCAATTTCGATAATTCTTTTCTGGATTGGTCGGTTTCAACTTGGTAAAGTCATTGCTAATCCAAATTGAAACCGACCGACTCACATTCAAAAAAATTTTTTTGAAAATTTTTGATTTTTGCGACAGAACACCTATGTTTTGCAAGGAAGTTTGGTGGCTCTTTAACGATAGGTACCTCAAAGACAATCGCAAAACTAATCAGAGCTTAAGAGGTAATTTAAAATGGCAATGAGACTGTGGCGAGAAGGAGGGTAGATCAAAAACATTTCTCATTTCTTACGTTTACAGCTAACAAAATAACATACTAAAACAACTTACTCTTCGGTTTTGTTGCTTGAATAATGCGGACAAACCGAGACTGTGTTTCGAACAACGCTTTTGCCGTTTTGCTTAAAGCTAAGGAACTTGGCGCAGATAACCTGGCTAGGTCTGGCCTTCAGCACGTGAGATTTCACGACTTTTCCAAGTAACTCATCGTTGAAATTCATTTTCCAACAAGCGACCGTTCAAGAAGCGAACAGGGAGCAAAAGTGACCACAAAAGTCGGTGGAAGGCAACTTCGCTTTTCGATTTCATAATATGCAAAATTTTGAAGAAATATTCGAAAAACTTAAGAAATATCACGTTTTTTTGAAATTTGAGAATTTGTGGGCTAGGGCTTTGGGCTAGGGCTTTGGGCTAGGGCTAGGGCTTTGGGCTTTGGGCTTTGGGCTTTGGGCTTTGGGCTTTGGGCTTTGGGCTTTGGGCTTTGGGCTTTGGGCTAGGGCTTTGGGCTAGGGCTTTGGGTTGGGCTATGGCTTTGAACTAGTAGACATGAGAAACGGGCTGGACCTATTTTTCAGGTTCGGCCAGGCCCGTTTTAAAAAATTTTTAAAAATTTAAAACTTACAAAATAAACTGGAATTTAGCTTTACATTGTTTTTTCAGCTCCTTTATAGATCATAGTACCCAATAAAATCGAAAAACATCAACGGGGATAGAAATAAAAAATTTTAAAAACTTTTTTAATTTTTTTTTGGGCTTGGGGCCCAATTTTCAAGCTCGGCCGCGGTTTTCCAAAAATTTACTGGGATGAGACCCCGTTAAACTTTTTTCAAAATTTCTTTCTAGAGCGGATGGGGACCCCCTGTACCCTGCCCCTTCGCGCCGGCCCAAGGCCCTGGTTGAGTTCATGGCTCTTAATTAAGGACAAAACAAACTGCTATTCTTAGGTGGATTATAATAAACTGTTAGACATTAGGACTAACTATTGAATTGCATCTGATACCCCTCAGTTTTCAAAACGAAACCTATGTACTTTTTTTAATGCCATATTAACTTTTTTAGTATATTTGAAAATGTCAAGTTTTAGCCCAATGCGTACTTTGAATGCAAATTGTGAGGTAAAGAAACATTATTTTGGCATAGGACTAAATAGTTCCTGAAAGAGCATAAAATCTAGTTTTTGAATACTTTATTACTTTGTTTTTTGCGGTGTTAACTTTTTTAGTATATTCGAAAATGTCATTTCCTCTTATAATTTTTCCGGCTTGCGCCCTGGCCCGAAAAAATGAATTTCTTAACGATAATCATTCTTCTGCGGCAAAACATCCGTGCACATGTTTTTGTAATTTTCTAGACAACTTTTTGTTGATAACATATACAAAGTTTCACTGTCTTTTTATGATTAAGTTTATTGTTTAAGTATTGATTTTTTGTCTTCAGCAACTGAAATTGAAAGAGAAGTTGAAGAGGTAACGGCATTCAAGTTCAGGAGCAATAGAAAGGAGTTGGACATGGAAAAGTGCATCTTTATGTTAAAATGGTAAGTAAATTTAATGGAGATTGTTATAATATTTTGGTATAAGCCTGTCTTTAGTCAAAAACTTCTTTAAACTTCTAACAAGACGATTTATGATTATGAATAAGATGTTTTAGTAATATTAGGTAACAAAAGGTTTCGGAGCCAGCTTTGGGTCTAGTTTAGAAAGCTCCGGTATTGGATGTTAAAGTTTTAAAGATTTAAAGATCAAGTTTTCTTGAAATTGGGATATTTATGATCAGTATGTCAACTTTAGTTTAAAACGTTTAAATTCTAAACGATGAGGTCGTAGTTGGAGTGGAGATCAAAAAAGTTGAACTCAAAAACTTTGTGAAAACGTTGTTTTAAAAAGATTTAAAGCACACTATTCTTCTAATGCGAGAACCCAACAATTCAACATCACTATGATATTAGCATGGTATTTCAACACAAAGTAATACAGGATTAGGGACGTAGTAAACAGAGGGATACCACTTATTGGCAGAGATTAACTCGACTGCGTCAATTAGAGTAATCCGCGAATATCTTTATTTAAATACTCCATTAAAAGCCCTCAAGGCATGGTCGTGCTGAAAGGGATCCGCTGGGAAATCTGGGCTTATCTTTCTGTTTGCCTCAGGGCCTAATTGTTGTTGGACACGAAAATGGGACGTGTGCCGGCTTTTGTTTCGTATAATGACTAATATATTAACCGGTTCGGTTGGGTCGGCTATTACAGTTCGGAAGGGTTGTATTATTTTAGGTCGTTCTGTGGTTTTCGTACTATTTTTGGGTAAATTTTAGTTTTTGATTCTACTTTTTAAATGTTTCACACTTTATTTTGTTGTATTTATTATATTGTCTACCTTTCTGTCATATGGCTACTAAAACTTATAAAACATGATGTTATACTTGATTATTCTACTTTTTTAAGCTAAAACGCTTTTAAAAATACTTAAATTTACATTTTTATGGTTTTTATGAGTCGATGATGATGTTAGTCCGATACTTCGGTATTCAACTTATAATGTGGCTATAAAAAGTGGCAATTTGAAAAAGATATTACACTGCATAAAGAAGTGCTTTGTGCCATTCTTATTTACAAGCACCTAAAGATGTTACTCAATGTTTAAGATGCAGTTTGGGATTTAAAGTACTATTCCATCATCTTACCTGCCTTTCGGCCAAATTGGGGTGGGGTAAAAATCGTCCTACGGGAATAGGTCACCTTTGGATAGGTCTCTTCCGGGAATCGGTCATCTTAAAAAATTGATCACCTTACTGAATAGGTCACCCCAATCTAAATTTAAAAATAAACTTGTTCATAGGCTTGTGTAAGGCTAAAATAAGTTTGTTTTGTAATTTAAATTGAGATTGACCTATCCATCAGGGTGACTAAGTGTTTTTATATTGATTTAGCTGAATCTAAGAGTTAAGAATGCATTTGAAGCCAATTACATAATGTTTATATATCTACACAAACTTCTTAAAACCTCTATCAACAAGTTTAGTCCGGTCAAGTTTTGCAAGTAGTGCACTTTTCTTTATGTTATACTTGTTTTCATAAACAAAGTGCACAGAATCCTCGTTACAGAACTATTCAAATGATCTGAATGAGAAATTAAGAAGCTTTTGGAAATATTTTAATTATTTTTATCTCTAAAATAATTAAATTTGTCTTTCTCGAATTATATTTGAAAGTTCTGCAATCAAATTGATTAAATTATTGAAACCTTTTGGATTATCTCAAAATTTGTTTCTCTACAGCTCGTTTAAAGTAAACTTGATGTTTTTAAATGTTTCCTTACAACTTTCTTGTGTTTCTGTCATTTTAGAAGGTAAAATGATTGTTTTTCTAATATTTTTTTTTGTTTTTTTTTGATTGCAGTAGACTTGGGTAGGGCTGGAATGGCCAGTAATAGGCTTAGGTGAGGCTAAACTGGGCAAGGGTAGAGTTGTGTAGAGGTAGTCTTGGGTAGGGATAAAATGGGCAGCGTTAGTCTTGTGTAGAACTAGAATCAGTTTGTTTTTAAATTTACATTGGGGTGATATATTCAGTAAGGCGATCCATTAAATTTTCTATTTTATTATATGTAAAGTACCATAAACTAGGCCCTTGAGTTAAACTATCATAGTGTTAAAGGCAAAAAAGTGGCAGAAAGTACGAAGAATAGTACCTCTTCCTCTTACCTTTATCATGTTACAAAACCACTCGCCTATCTTATACTATAACAAAGCGTTGTTCAAATATTTCTGTGCTTCCTAACCCTGAAAATTTACTTGGATTGGGGCACAGAATTATTTGAACAATCTAATAAATAATAAATCACTGTACCAAAGCATATTTTACAATTTACTGTATCAAAATATATTTGACGATTTACTATACCAAAATATATTTTATTTATCATAGTAGCTAAATTCCCTTCGCAAACCCTTTTATTTTCCCTGTAAAGAGTGTTAGGATTGAGTCGTGACCTTTCTTAACCTTTAGCGGCCCAGCCAATTGCATAATTAAGGTGATGTCTTATTTTGGGCACGGTCCAGGTTGTCGTGTTATCTCTCTTCATTAATGCATGGATAAAAAGACGTGCCAGATGACTGCTTCTGAAATAACCATTTGCCATTAAAATATAGATAATTCCATCTTGTTTTGCAGCAGATGCCTTCACGGTCGCCTTCTCGCCTTCCAACGTGAATTCGATCCTCGTTCTTCTGATTGGGGTCGGCGGCGGGTTTCTCTTTGTGGTCACGGGTATCTACGTCTACTTCTTCTATCTCAAACACATCAAAAAGTGAGTTTTTCGGTGGTTTTTGGCATTTTTCGGCTGTTTTTTGGCATTAAAATGCACTTTTTTTTTGGTTTTTAATTAGCTTTAGTTGTTTTAGGTAACATTTTCAATATTTTTTTAATTAAACTAACACTTTTTGCAAAGGGTGTTGTTCTTTTAAAGGCTTATATAATATATAATGTTATATTGTTGTTACCTAAAACAATATTTTTTCGTTTTTTGATCTATTTTAGTTATTTTAGGTAACATTTTTAATATTTGATTAATTAGGTTAACAGTTTTAGCAAAGAGTGTTGTTCTTTTAGACTACTAGATAATTTTGATTGTTTTTGTTGCCTAACACAAAATTTTGTTACTTAAAAAATATTTTTGATATTATTTTAGCCATTTTTTAAAATTAAATTTTCAGGATTCGAAAGCCCAATGAGGCGCACCAAAGCCGACCAGTCCAGCCAACAAAGCTCTCGAGCCCTCTTCCCGACCCACTACCAACTCAAGACCACATTGATATTGACATAGAGAAGGACCCGGTGAAAGAAACCGACCAAGATATATTATCCATTGACTTCCCATTGGTCCAGAAACGCAGTTTCCAGAATCCAGATGCCGAATTCTCGGATTCCAGCTCAACTCGTCGCAACACCATTGCCCAGTCCACAGCGAGTACGATGTCGCGCGGCGAGGTGATACGACGAGACACCTTGCCTCCCAACATAGCCAAACCTCAGTATACCACGCCCCAACAGTCATATCAGCTACAGGTCACCAAGCCCGCGGTAGTCAGGAGTTTCGAGTATCTGAATAAGACGCCGGAGCCAGAAGTCACTCGGTTATCCTACGATAATTTGCATATTAAGAGGCCCGGGACGGGGCGCAAGCTGCCGAGTACTGATTTTGCTGGGAGTCAACAACTTCAGGTAGGTTTATGGCAACTTTAAATGTATTTGAAGTATTTTATAGTTAACATAATATTTTTGAAGTTTAAAGTTTAAAACTTTAAATTACAAAAAAAAGTTTAGGCCTAATTATTACCTAATTAGATATATTTCTAAGTTTAAAAATGAAAAAAAAAGCTTCGAATTCAAATATATTTTTATTAAAAAATTTCAAATTCAAAAATAGTATAATTTACAACGTATCACAAGTGACAAGGCTCTAAAGTAACATGTCTCTCAAGGCGGAATGTCACAAAAGGTATTTGTGACACTTCGCAACCATATGTCAATCAAACTGACTGCTCTCGAGTTGACGGCTGACAGGCTTGACGTGATCTTTTTGTCACAATCGTTTTTTGATCATTGCGTAATATCGTGCTACAACATTTTGCAGAAATGACATACGATTTACGTTGTAGTTGATTTCATAGGTGACTCAGATGTTGATGTAGGCGATGTCATAGTAAAACACGATGAATATAGGTCGTGATAAATGAGGAATACTTCATCATGACACTAGTTTTAGTAGAGTAGATCATATTTTAAACTATGATACGCGATGAGTCATGTGTTACACTGTGAGTCATGTCGGGAAGTGACAGGTTTTATGTAGATTCACTGGGAATACCTGTTGAGTTCAATATGTTTTCGTTTCGTTTTGATCACACCGCCGTTCTTAATGAGTGAATTTCGTTCCGACTTCTGGGAACAGAGAAGGCCCTCGATCGAGAAGTTGGGGCGTTTTACTGAAATGTGCCATTTTTAATAAGTGTAATGGTTTAAAATGAGGATGAATTTGTCTAAAGTTTAAAAATAAGGCTGAAGATTTAAAATTTACAAAGGAAAGCCTAGGCTCCTTTATATTTTTATTACAAAAGCTTGCAGAATAAATCTGCACGGTGCAGTGGACAAATCACAGCCTTTTGAGGCCCTGCACCGTGCATACTTGGTTAACTATTAGCGATCAAAAATCAATTACTTGTGTAATATAAAAGTTATTGTCTGGTTGCCTAACCCACATTACTTACATTTCTGAGGCTCTTTGTCTTCTTTTTTTGGTTTCTGGTCAGGGTTCACCATGTCGTACAAACTCATTAAAGGGTCGGCCTTAGGGTCTGTTGAACTCGTCTGAATAATTAAATTTACTTTAAGAAAAACAATGTCTTTCGGTCAAAAATTACATGGAAAGCATGTTTTCTACAAAACATGACTTTAAAAATTCAAAAAGTTGAAAATCAGGGTTTTCGTGGTGGGACCAAAAAAGTTAAAGTTAAATAGGAATTTGAGAAAATAGGTAACTACAAAAAATGTACTGTAATTTAATTTTTAAAATAATTTTAAAGCTTATCAAAAAATTTTTTATCACAAATCTTACCGTAGGCAATTGAGGCGTGCTGACTTCCTTGATACTCCTGGCTGTTGTCATCGCACTCATGGCCATTAGATCTGCATAAAACTTTTGTTGCATAAGTTGCTGGAAGTAGAACAGTTGTACAATGTCAGGCTGAGGTATTTGAGGGTAGAAAGTGTTTACGGTAGGCGGTAGTTTGGGCGTGGTAGTGTGGCTGGAGCTTTTGGATACGATAGATCGCTGGACTGGAGAGGTAGTGGACTGGGCGGGAGTTGAATGGCTGGTGGAGGGAGTGGGATCACAACCGCCTACCATTTTTATCAGTTGGGCTAGGGCACCGTCCTCCATGTTGTGTTAGAGGGGCTAAAACATGATATCACTGTTACTGGAGGGGCAGTTTGATAGCAGTATGGTACGGACATTCACGTTGTATGAATGAAAAAAGTATAAAAAAGGCAATTCCAAAGACTTTTTGACCGAAAAAATAAAATTGGAAAAATTATACATACTTTTCGACCGAACTACTCCAAAATAAAGTGGAAACAAAGTGAGGGAAAGTGGGTTAACATCAAAAGAGGCAAGATCTCGTTAGATAACACGTGATTAATGCACTCGCAAAATGCATACTGACATATTTACAGCATAATGTGTCGCGATTCTTAAATCATCATAAACCTCCCCCTCCCCCCCCCCTCTCCCCCCCCTTGAGCCGACTTTATGGAGGTTTAGGGGCATTTAAGGGGGTGGATCGGAGAAAGTTTTATTGGACATGAGGGAAATATGGGTACAGAGTGGCAACGTTTGTGAAACTTTTATTTTTATAGGAAAAAAAACTTTTGAAATTTAAAAAAAAATATTTTTTAAATATGAAAATTTCAAAAATATTTTTAAAAATTTCGAAAATTATAAGAATTTAAGTATTATCATCCCAACCCCCTGCCAAAACTGAAAGTTTCCATGCCAAAACTTTAAAATTATGCAAATCGAAGGTGGTGGGAGCGGAAGTGCGCGGCGATGTAGCAAGAGATTGTATGTGTGTGGACAATGGGAGTGAGCATGACAGACATGTCATTTGTCAAACGGTGTTGATTGATCGACGCCCGGGAGAAGAAAGGAGGGCCTGAAGAGACTGATGAGCTTTTTTCGAACTCTGACAGTGTTATGTTATCTCTCCGTCGCACAGATACATCGCCGCACTTGTCGGATCATAAAAATGTCATAAATCTCGCGAGTAAATCAATCACTTTTTGTAGCCAAAAGTTTATTTCCGCCAGATGTGTGTGTGGGGCCGTTTCGACATGGATGTGGGGGATTTACATGAGGATATACATGAATTTAGAGGATGTATGTGAGTATAGAAATTACACATGAGAAGATACATGAGTAGAGAGGATATAATTGGAAGTAGGGTTATATAAATGATTACAGAGGATATAAATAACGATTTGGGCATAGATCTAATGATATTATAGTAGGTATGAATAGTCTTGAGGAGATATTGTACATGTTTTTTCTGGTCAACAACACCTTATAAATCCCCTTTTTAATAGTTTTACTATCAAAATTTTACTGAAAACTCGAATTTTTAAAAATTTTAAGCCCTACAGAACACAGTATTAGGTTGTTCAAATAATTCCGAGCTTGTAACCTCAAACATTTGCTTGGCACAAAATTATTTGAACAACCTAAAATTTAATAATAACAACAAAGCCTACTGTAACAACAAAAAGCTTACTATAATAACGGAAAAGGTTGTTATAACGAAGCCTACAACCTTCAAAAGTCATAAATCATGGTGTACTGTGACTCTGCAGACCTGTTTCGGGCTGACAAAATGATAACAGCGATTGATGAATGGCTTCTCAAGTTAATATCCGCGGAAACAACTTTTTCGAAATGTAAATATAAAAAAGTTGTAACATTATGTAACGGTCCGTCATCCTTGTTTTGTCATTATTTTGAAGTTTGTGAGGGAGATTGGTTAAGAAGATTGAAGAGTAAGAGGATTCTGAAGTCGCGAAACAGTAAGAAGGTTAGGAAAGATATAAACAGTGCCTTAATAACCAAGAAAAACAATAAAAACAATCTAAGGCAACTCAAAACAAGTTAAAACAAGCTAAAACAACAAAAACAAGCCTAAAGCATGCAAACGAAGGGACCGGATTACAACCGGCTGCAGAGATGTAGAGCCAATTAAAGCCAGAAAGATGAGGCCCACAACTCTGACAGATGTCTGACATAAACAAAACGACTGATAATGGGCGGAGGGCAGGGGAATCGGTCGACTTTTGACAGATGAGTCGTTTGAAGGGAGAAGAAGAAGACCGATGTCGATCACTTTCCCGCGGCACACCAAAAAGTTGATTGACGATGGCAATATTCATTTGTCACAAGTGCGGCAAAAACTTTTCGATGGGCGGCCGTCTCCTCGGTTTGCGTAGTCTTTTGTGAATCTGATGATGACATAATATGTTGTCGAGTGTATTGTCTGAAATGGCATGTCGAGTATATTGCCTAAAATGGCATATCATTTCTCTTGAGGCATGGTGTCTTGGAGTTGGTAGGGTATGGAGTATCGTATGATAACATAAAGTTTTGAGAAGGTTCTTAACACTTTGAATACAGTGTTTTTAAAGGCCTGATATGGCATAACAATGAAGATTCTAATTTTTTTTTAAATTTCACCGCAATCTTGGGAGGCCGTGTCACCTAAGAGTTGTTTTGTCGCTCGGAGAATCAGTGCCGTCGATGAAAAAGCTGTCAGAATATTCTTAATATACATATGTTTTGTGCCAATGATTTTAATAAAATAGACTCCAAACTTCAATTCCCTCCATGAATTACCACTGCCGACGACTGATTTGCAATAAATCGTGTCCAAATCCGTATTCCTCCGCTCCTCCTTCTCTGCCCTCTCTCCTCCACCCATTCTCTCTCCCCTTCATAACTCAACCGATTGTAGCGACGGTAAAAGGGCCATAACTTCCGGCCGAACTCGTAAATTAAGCCCCTAACATCTTCGGGGCGGTGTGCTCCTTTGACGCCTTAATCTCGAAGCCATCTTCCTCTGCAATTCATTAAGACGCGACGTTATTTATGAAGCGGGTGATGGATGAACTGCATCATCCGATTCTGAAGCTAATTTATGGCTTCGGGCGAGATTCGAGAGCTGCCACAACTTAAGGGCGAAGACAAATTAAAGACCGGGGGGATGATTAACTGCGCCCGTAATTGATTCCCCATAAATCAACCAGTCGATAATGAATTATCTTTGTGTTGTTGATAGTCAAATACATCCTCGTTACTCATCCCCCCCCCCAGGGGAGTTTGGGTTGAAATTGTAAAACGGCGAATGATTTATATTACTTTACATGGTTAAAAGTACGGAAATAACTTTAGATTATAAATCTAGGAACAGACACAACTCGCAAATGCACACAACTTGGCGGAATTACGAAAATTCGCGCAAAACGATTTTGAAATTTCAAAAAGTTTAAAAATTATAAAATTTGTGTCAAAAGGTTAAAATAAAATGATTTTTAAGTAATATATTATTGTATATCAATCACAATTTGTCTGAAATTTACACTTTTACGTAACTTAAACAAAGAAATGCAAAATCAAGGTTTTCGTGACGGGACCAAAAAAATATTTGAAAATTTTAAACGGAAAAAAACGAATTTTTACACAAAAAAGCATCATAACCTCGTAATCATTGGGAAATGTTTCAGAACCATCGCTCCTTCGAACGATCCATAAATTACGAGAAGAAAAAGGTATTATCCTCCAATAAGCGAGGCCATCTGCTGTGCCGGCTGGCGGCCTTCGACATTCCTACAGTGCCGAAACAGGTAGGTCGTAAATCAGTCAATCCAACCACTTTAAAGGTCTCCTCCCCGTTGCCACATCAGACCCATCGCATCTACGAGCCGGATCACGTCAACTCACGCTCCTGGAACGACGACTATCAGGCGGAGGAGAAGCCCGCTTATCAGCCGGGCGGTGTCAAAGTGACGGCGGTGGTCCGGGGTACCTCATCGACCCTGTTCCCGCGCAGTGTAAGTCGAGAATAGCTGAGTTCGATTGTGTGGTAATTAAGGAGATGGATGGCTGTAATGTCACTGACAAGATTGATAGCCGCTTCCAAGATTGATAACGCAATCACATAATAAACAGCTATCGCTTCACGTTTTTCTGGGCAGTTAGTGTGATGACATAAACAGTAGTGGGGGAATGTTAACAATAACATAGCTATAAAACAGTGTTAGTGATAAGTAATGAAATAAGATCTGTCGTTGATAAAAATGTTGTTAAAACACTGTTTAAAATCAATCAAAATTACTTCAGAATGAACATTCTTCATCCTCAGCCTCATCCCAAAGGCTCACCAACATCAGTCCAGTCTTGTCCTACCAACCTTCACCTTTATCAATATCAACATATTCGACCGACAACCCCGAGAAGCGACCGGACAAGCTAGCTCGAGAGTGTAAGGACTTGTGGAAAACTCGGAAGTCGATTGCTTATGACTATGAGAGGCCTAAGGCATCGTCGCTGCTTCTGATTCATAACACATCCACTGACATTGCTTCTGATGACCCATCTACAAGCTTCGAGTCAAATACCATCGCTGTTGACGCCTCCATTCAGGAGAGTTCGCGTAGCCATGTCTCGGCCGAAGTGAGACGTCAGAAGTACAAGTCGCTGCTTCTGAATCGAAGAGCTAGTTCGAGGAGGAAGAAGCGGGTCGGGTCGGTCAACCTGAACTACTACAGTAATATCTTGGATGAAGTTACAGAGCCTTCCAGTAGCTTTAAGTGAGTTTGCAGGAATATATTTGGTTGTTCAAATAATTCTGTGCTCCTTAACCAGGCAGAGGAGAAGCCCGCTTATCAGCCGGGCGGAAACTTTGCTTTGAGATGGGCACGGAATTATTTGAACAACTTAATATGTGTAACATATGGATTGTAAGGTACTTTTTGGGACATTAATGTAATTTTCATACTTTAAGATATGGTATTATAAGTATGATATTAAATACTGTAATATACCACGTTTCAGAGACAGTGACAGTTCAATGTCATTCCGAGTCAGAAGACCGTCAAACAAACATAAAGGGAACAGAGTAATCAGAGCTACATCATTGGCCATTAAAAGTATGAACAAACGACGAAATGATTACGGTAAGCACTGTCTTTTTTAAACTTTAAAAGCTACTGCGCCTTGGGCAATTAAAAATGAAAAATTAATACAATATTTTTATTACTTTCTTACTGTATTACATTGACCGTGCCGAAAGCAAAAATTACTGCCATATTATATTAAAAGATGCAATATGGGTCCTGCCACGAAAACCTCTATTTATAGTTTATTTGTTTATACGCAAAGGTTTATAGGTTTAAATTTAACTTCATTTTACAGTTTTATATTTCATTGTTATACTACAGTTTTCTCTTACAGTGACATGTTCGTACGACCGACCAGAACGCGACTACAGCGTGGACAAGACTTCTGATTCCATCTTCAAAGACTTTATCAGGGTTGATCCGGAATACGACGAATATTATCGACCACGAACCCCAACATTGCCAAGTCGACTCCGACCGATCGACTACAATTACAGTAATCGACCAGTCAGTCACTCCATCGATTACTACGCAAACTATTTAGCTTAAAGTACATTTACATTTTCAATAAATTTTTTTTTGTAATAATTTCGAAAAATCCCAAAAATTTGAATTTTAAAATTACAGTATCCTTACATTTCTTTTACCAATGGAGCGGTGGTTGTTTAATAACTTGTGTAAGTCATCTTTTCAAGTTATTTATGTTTTTGTAGTGTAATATCACATATAATGAGATACTAAAATGTTATGGAATCATCTTACAGTAATATGTTACCATGAATTCAAAAATTTATTTACAGGTTTCTTGACATTACTCGTGACATTGACATTGATGACGACGTGCTGTAAGAGGAAGCAGTCTTCCAGAGAGAACATCAAGACCAGGAAAGTGGAGAAACCAAAGGAAGCACCAATAAAGACTGAGGTATGTCAAGTTTATTGTTACTACTATAGAGTAATTACTACAGTTAGTCTGAGTACTGTAGCTGCAAATTGTAGCCATTTACAATACTGTAAAGTCAATATTTTCTATTGTAAAGTGTTACCTATTTACAGCTACTGTTTGAGTTTCCTTTCTTCAGAAGTATCTCGCTTTGTTCTGTTGAGTGTTTTGTTATATATTATAGTAGAGGTGTTGTAGTAGTAAGGCCAGACCACTAATGGCATATTGCAGCAGTAAGGTCAATCTAATGGCATAAAAATAGATATATAGACATAGTTAATATAATAGTTATCGTATTTTACAAAAAACGATCGACAAACTAATAGAATGTTGTTGTAGATGACCCAAGAAGAGACAGAACCCACCCAGGAGTAGTCGCTGCCGTACCCGATTGAATGTGGATGTAAACATGAACGTATTGTAATGTAGACACGAATAAACATGTATATAACGTTATATGGGTGTAGATGAATAAATTTAAGTGTAATAGCGTCCAGAATCTTGAAGGTGAATGAGCTTTTTGGTCACAAGCCTATAGAAGTTGCTTTGTGTGGGCCATCAGCCAATTTTTATGGTCTTCTATGTTCCTTTTGACCTGAGCAGACGTATACATGCTTGTAATATTACCCCTATAGGTATAAATCAATAGATCAAGCACTTCTGAGGTTTTCGGTCGATTCCAATGGAAATCCGAGTTTGGTCAATAAAATATTTCGCCTGAGGCCGAGAAGGTGAAAGTAGATTCGACTCAATTCGCTTTGGACCAGTCCTTGGCTTAAGTAGCGAATATAGGTGTAGAAGTCGCAAACTGCCGCTATCTGGAAGAAAACATATATTGTAGTAGTTCAACTCACGGTTCAACTCGTTGTTTTAGGCAAAAAAATGTAAAACGGCATAAATTGACATTATCTAGACAAAAAGAAGGTGTAAATGTATGTTCAATTAAAATACGAAAGCTACAATATTTTGTCTTTCGTATAAAATGAAAGACTGTTTCGCGGCCTGCAGAGCTTCGGACGCAGTTCAGAACTTGAAAATCAACAAAAATCCTCTTGATTGGTAATTTTTTGGCGAAAACAAATTCATCGACAACTAGATGTCACTTACCCGATTTCTGGCGAATATGGAGATGTATTTCCATTCAGAATTCAGATTCACCTTGAGTTTGTAAGGGCATGGCTTCCAAGTTTCGGTCAATGCGCAAGTTCTAAAACATTATTTTTGGTCTGGAAAATAACGTGTAAATGACAGTAAGTATTTATTTGACGTTTCAGAAGACTTACGTTTCGTTTTCCGTGAATCTGACCTTCTCCATCTCTAATTCGTTGGCTTGAATACTTCGGAACACCTCTTCGGCTAGCTAAAACAATATGGACATTAGGTGGGGTTACTAGAATATAACTAATCAAATGTGGAAAAAGGCTAGGTATATGTATTCTACATTGAATTTTCTAATCCCTTCCACTAATTTTTGATGTTGTCCTACCTTTTTACTACGAAACAGTAGACATGGTCGTATGTCTTCGTCGATTACTCGCTGCATGAATTCAGAATCCTTTTTCAAACTGAATTTGTCTTCTCTCCATTGGATGAACATCTCGAACAGCTGGGGATCTTGTTGCACTACGTCTACTGGTTCACTGAAGGATACCATCGATCGTGAAGCCGACAACGATCGATTCTTCCGTGAGAAGGGATTCCGAATTCGTTCTGGAGATGAAGGGCCTGGACTGAGGAATCTTTGAGCGATTGATCGTTTCCCTTTGACCACGGTTTTCAGGCCTTCGACTTCGCCTTCTAAAACGTCTACCTTTAGTTTACATTCGTTGTAGCGCTTTTCCGCCAGAATCCGTTGAGCTTTTTCTTCGTCCACTAGTTTGTAGGCTTCCTAAACGTTTTTATTTAAATTTCTAAATTTAGTTTTGGATTTTTTTGATATCCTGAGAAATATTTTTTTTTGATAATTACGAAATAAAAATGTTTCGAAAACTACCGTAAACAATTGTTCCGTGAGATTGTGCAGTTCGGAGTCAGTAGATTGCTGTAATTGTATTAGCTCTTGACATTTCTCTTCTTTCTGTGCCAGTAATGCTAATGTCTTCTCCAAATCTTTCTGTAGCCGCGCCACTTCTGAATGTATATCTGTTCTGAAATGGAATTCTAATGATTCTGAGTGTATTTAATTGAGGACAAAGGCATTTTTGGAGAGGAATAAGTAACCAAATTAGTGCCGAGGAAAAGGAAAACAATCATTTAATAGAATCTTCAACTGCTTCTATCAAATATTTTAATTTATTGTTAGATTGTTAAAATAATCATGTGCCCCCAATCTCGAAAATTTATGTTGAGAGGGTGGGGGGGACACTGAATTATTTGAACCACCTAATATAATTATGAAGTTAGGTAAGAAATCGTTCAAAATAAATCCTTACTGTTCTCCTAGTAGCTGACCCGTCTCCAGCTCCAAACTCGACGAATCCACACAGAACGAAGCCGAATCCGAGGAGGAATCGGGCATTATGTGATCGGTTTCCGGCCTCATCTCACGTCGAACATGAGTTCTGAAAGTGGTGGGTAAGGGAAGGTCGCGAAGAAAGGGACACAGCTGTTCGATTGGACCAAAAAAGAGATCGCGGATTCAAAAGGCCTTTATCAGGCTTCAACTGGGGGCAGGCTTCAGCTAGGGGCTAGGTCACGGTTACGGGCGGCTTTATCAGGCCACAAATCAAGAGAAGAGAGCCAAGTTTGGAGCGCGGCCCGAAGGACATGCCCAACACGGGGCACGGGGACCTGGCCAGTGAGACGGGAATTAAATTGAAAAAAGGGCTCAACGGCGCCCACAAAGTCGGAAAACCCGGCGAAAAGTAAGAACGGCACGACATTCATCATGACCTCGGGAGTTATGTCATAAACGCGCGAACTTGGCCAGCTCATTCGGCTATAAGTCCAGGGAGGGGGGATCGGAGCGCGCCTCCCCCTAGCAGATGCCAGATGGCGTCGGTTCTGAAGAGGTTTCGGCCGCCGACGGAAACATTTCCTCATTTTCGGGCCTAAGGACCGACTTAAGGCCGGAACATCTTCGAGTCCACATCTTCTTGTTGTTTATTCCAGCCCTTCTACGTTGATTTTGCGGCGGAGACGGGCTACAGAACCCATTTACATAAATCCTTTTATCTTTTTTTGGGGGGGGGAGGAGAGAGGTTTTGGCGGCAAATTTGATGACTTATTCGATGGCAAATAAAATAAATACAATGTTAAAGATGCAAAAGCAACATGTGTTTCTCATTATTACTGTATCATCTGTTTCATCTTCGTATTACTGTAACTTTTTAAAATATTGAAAGATAGTAGATTTCTTAACTATAATATTTCGCAGTTTCCTTACACCGTCACGAAATAGATACGAAAAAAATTAATGGGTTCATCAGAAGCAAAAGCTGAAGCCACGATAATCATGAATTTTGTCCAAATTAGGCCAATTACATTAATTAACGTCATTTATCATCATGTATAAGTTAAATGTTAACACGAGTATTTTACAACAATATGACATCACCACAATGATTGGTGTAGATTTGCAACAATAATAAATGTAGAATGACAAGAATGATTAATGTAAAAGCACAACATACTTAAGGTAATATCAGTTATTCTGATTATCCAAGAACGACCGGTAGTCTGCTACGCTTCTCCAATGTGACGATCGCAGGATGACCTGAGGTCGACGAGCTTGAAGTTGTTGGAACGCCTCCTGAGGTTGCAGATTCTTTTTGAACATCAAGTAGCACATGGCTACTGTAGCACTTCTCGTTCGACCCGCTTTACAGTGCACATATACCGAGTTACCTTGGCTGGCTACGTGGTCGATGAAGGTGACGGCTGAGTGGAGAGATTCTGTTGATGTTGTGCCTAAAATCCCGAAAATTTGCTTTGAGATGGCCACACAATTATGTGAACAGGCTAATAGTTGAAACACCAAAAAGCCAATTAAAATTTATAAATAGTACTCTACAACATACAGTATCCTATTAGGCACTCACCCACAAAGTCGAGCATAGGAACATGGTGAAATTGGATGCCATGTTCTGTCCACTCCTCCTTTCCCATCCCATTATAAGCTGCTTTTGTTTCGAATTCTTCAGTACAACATACTATTCCAGCTACCTTTTCTTGCTGAAAACAAATAAATATACGATACCTTATTAAATTTTTCAACAAACATTGAAGTTAGATTATGTAACACACATATACATATCCCAATATGTACAATCTCTCCAAAAAAACGTTTAAAAATAGAGAAATGATATGATAAAAGGCATTAAAAACAAAGTAACACGAACTAATGACTACCAAATTATATAAAATGTTGTATCAAAGGGAGCTGAATTAATTGAACATCCTCAAAATTCGATATGGCTTAGTAACCTAACAACAACCTACCTTCAACTCCTCCACCATCGATCTAAAAGGTAATGCACCCAAAATCAGACTCTCATCCACCCTATTGTACCACTTCCAGCTTTGTGGTTGGATCAAGTTCCTGGCCAAATTATAGGCAAGGGTTGGGTAGAAAGCGATATGTCCCATCATCTAAAACAAAATTAAAGGATATGTACTTAAAAATATAGGTAAATTTTATACTATAACAAATAATTTACGGCAAATAAACTCCAATAACAATGTAAAACTTCAACAAAATGACCAAGAGTTGTCCAAATGATGTAAAACCAACCCTTCAATACCTCCTAGCTCGCCTACTTAAATCCCTTCCCAAAAATAGAAAAGTACCCATAAAACCAAAAATATTAACGAATATGACCCGAACATATCACATAATAACTGTCAAACAACAAGCAATGTCATTCTTTATACTTTAGGTGAATAAATAATATGTTACAATATTAGGTTAGAGATCATTGAAGATGTCACTCGAATTCGGATGTGTTGTGGGCCTTTCTTCGGGCATGGCAAACAAATCGACCGGTTGATAAGGCTGATCAAAGAGTTGTTCGTCGCCGTTCTCGACTAATGGCAATCTGTCTTCGGATTCTTGATCTGAAAATCGCATCATTAGATTGATCTCCATCCAAGTCCCAGTAACCAAAGACTCAAAGACACAGTAAAACCTTTAATAATGTTGAGATTTGTGATATATTACAATCAACGTAAATAATAGTAAAACAAATGGTTTCAACAAATATGATATGAATATTATAGTAAACTAAATAAAAACGTACTAAAAGCTTTATTCCTGAACACATTCTCCTCTCTGCGTCGTGGTGTTGCCTTCGTATCTCGGTACTTGTCAGATCGTCGCTCCAAAGACACCAAGGCTTTGCCGCTTTGAACAATATCAGAAGTCATTTCGTCTTCCATAAACTGGTCGATCCCAATTGCATGCATCGCTCGTGTACCCAACTTCATCCACGTACTCACAGCAAGTATGACGATCAGAACTGGCAGATAAATGTTGACTCCTGACGCCAATATTGGAATGACATCAAGATGGCCCATCAGCTGAACATCGTATGTTAAAAAAGAAACGTTAAATGTAACAATCAATAAATTATAAGAAAGTTACACAGTCAAGATAATCAATACGAAACCAAGTATATCTCCAAACATACCCTAGTAAACTGTGTTTCTACTCCAAAGTCGGTACGAGCCGTGATATGAGTATCGAGGTGAATCATACCCAAGAAGTTGAGACACAGTGGCGGGGTGAGTCGAGATAACAACCTGCATTTAAATTGCTACACTATTCTTACAACTTACATTGCACTAAACACCATACTATTAGGGTCTGTCATTTGATGTGGGTCCAAGTGATAGTACTTGTAGATTTTGAGATGAAACACCGTGTAATAGGCGCACAGTCCCAAGTACAATATCAGCACTACTGCAGTGATCTGCAAAACCAAATTAAAAATAAAAAGTATGTATTACTGCTTATTGTAAATTATGTTGCTGCTTTATGTGTTTTTTGTTAATATTCACATTGTTATAGCTACTTTTACTGTTTCTTATCTTTAATTTTTCTTTTTTCAAGCTTTAAATTGTATGTGTCTGTACCTGAATATACTTGTAATGATATCCCAATGCCATTGTGTGTATGATGCTCGCTGCCAACGATAACTGAGGCTTTACAATAAAGAATGTGCATTCACTCCACATGATCAACATAGTCATGGCCAGACAGACCACTGCCAAGCCCCTAATGGCCAACTCCTTTCCTTGAGTATGCCAGTACAGTAATACTCTCTCATTTACATACTGTTTTGCAAACTTGTCTCTGTCCCATTCTGGGAGCTGTCTCCGCTCCTCAGCTACAATCACATCCTCCAGGTAGACGGCATGATCGATCAGGGCCTTCCACTGGGCCTGCGTCCGTCTGAAGTTCTGAACCGCCAAGTTGGTTCTCTTGTTTAATCTGACCTGAAATCAGAAGACCTTTAAACAAAACTGTCGCTTTGTTGATAAGCGATGACTGACAAGAAACGTTTCCCTCGCATTAAACACTTGCGATGTCTACCTATTCGCTGAACAAACATAGCAAAAAGAAGTGCAAGGTGGTACTGACTGGAGGGCCATGTGCTGGTGAGTGGGTTTAATTTTACATTTTATAATATGATATTATACTAAACAGTCAAAAATAACTGCAACTTTAATGTTTAAACTAAAATTGAAGTGCCTTTAGGAAAAACAACGGCAATGAGTGAAATCGCTGCCAAAATAAAGGAAAACTACAATTCAAAATGGCAAGTAAGTTCTTATCACTAAAATAATCATTCAAATCGTGCCTTAATTATCCCAATCTAATAATATCGGTCTAGAACTCAAATTTATCTAGAAAACCATACCAATATTCACTTCTAGGTATTCACAGTAAGCGAAGCGTCTAGTTTCCTTTACACAGGGCGAGTTGAAAGGCACACTTTGAACGAGAACCAAATATACCAATGGCAGAAGGACGTTCTCAAAACGATACAACAATTGGAAAGCGTGTATGACAATATTGCTGATCATGAGGTAAGAATAACTACTTACTGCAAATAGTCCAGAAGCTTCTACAGAAGTATTAAGTCGTTCAAATAATTCTGTGTCCCTAACCTTGAAAATTTGCTTTGAGAGGGAGCACAGAATTATTTAAAAAACCTAATATCACATAAAATTTATGTCAATTCTACTGGTTGTCAATCAAGTAATGCTACCTTAGACTGCTCGCCATACCCTGATAATCTGTGACAGAGGTGGTATGGATCCAAAGGCTTACACTCCTGGAGAAGACACCTGGAACAAGATCCTCGAAGAGCTACAAACTGATGAAAAACAGCTATTAGAACGTTATCATATTGTTATTCAAATGCACACGGCCCCAAAGTAAGCTTTCATAATCATTGCAAAGGTCTTTGCTATATAAACAACCAAAAAAAATTACAAAGTAAACCCAACACGCAAACGTAATTAACTTGTAGAGAATTCTACTCTACAGTAAACAACCCGTATCGACGAGAAAACTATGACGAAGCTGCTGAAATTAACCAAAAATACGAAAAACTGTGGAGAAATCACCACAACTTCCATTCAGTCGATAACTTTGACGCCCGTGATCAACAGGATGGCTGGGCAAAGAAGTCAAAGCAAGTATATCAACATATCAAGAACATAATCGATGAAAACTAAACCTATCTTAAATTTTATATCTAAACCTACTATAGATTGTAATGCTTCTGCATGAAAAGACATAATAAAAATAAAGAAAAACAGGCAACTTCTTATATGAGACAACATTACTGAATTCATTCCTAGTAAAACAAAAGTAAATCACAGTGTAAAACTTAAAGTTATAAAATTTGTCTTACCAAAAAAGCCTCTTCACTTGCTGAAGCCGCATCGACGTTCCTCAAATTAGGCGATGAGAACGCGACTTGACGAGAGTTGGCTACTTTCGTCACAATGTCTTCTGGGAACTGCCTGATGACTTCTTGAATCCGCTCACGAGCTTTTCCGCGTTCATTCTTCAACACGTTCAACACTTCTCGGCATTCACTAAAAGATAACTTACAATATTGTTTTTTAAACCATTTTTAATTTGGTATAAAACCAACACGTAGTTAAATTCATTACATTAACATATGTAGCTCAATAGCAAAAACCAATTTGTACAGATAATAACATCTCCTTACCTGTACAACTGTCTGGCAGTTTCTTCAGCCTCGCTTTTTTCTGACGCCAGCTTCTCCACATCAAAATACGTTCTTTGCAAACGTCGCACTAAAATATTTCAAATTATAGGGTAAAATTAGGTAACAAAACATTAAAATACAAACAACTTACCCTTAAAACCACTTTCCCAAAGTTTTCGTGGCACTTCTACCAGCCCGTAACCCAGTAAAACAACCAAAAACAAGAAACCCCATGTGTTCGACGCTGAGATTATCAACACTTTCAAGTGATCTCTAAAAAGCATTAAACGAATTTACTTTATCAAACAGTAAAATAAGATAGAGATGCAAAGATCCAGTTATATTGTAAAGCTACATAAGTAGCTTTTATCTATACATCTTTACAAATATAGGCGTAAACATTTTTATCAACCTACAGATTCATAGACACTCCTTTCGAAATGGCATAAAACAATAAAACCACAAACAAGACCAAGTAGATCGTGTAGTAGACCATGTTATTGTATAAAGCAAACTTTAACCGTCCCATTGTTGTGAAACTACCTCCTTTAGTGTAGCTTTGCATAATCGGAAGAACGAGCCTAAACGCATAAGATATATTTAGGTAACACTTACCAGGTAAGCACTTGAGAGCTCCAATAGACAATTCTCCAAACATGGAGAAGAAACTCGTCATTCAGAAATCCCTTAGGCTCTTCACAAAATAAATCTCGTGTTTCATCGTGTGTTAGATTAGCTATCCGCTTTTCGTCCACCAAACATTTGTGATAAAACGTCTAAAAATTAGATGATATAGACTATATAAACCATAATCTAACTAAAGCATTAACTAAAACATTTATCATCAAAAACTTACAATTGAAACATCAAGGGGAAGCATCAAGATAATAATAAAAGACAAGTACCATCCAATAAACGTCGATACCGAAACCAGGACATGCTGTTTCTTGAAGTTGGCATACTTATTCCAAACGTACAAAGTCAATATAGCCACTATAAGTAGCTGAAAAACAAACCACACAACTCCCATTTATTCATGCTATCTTGTCAATCTTTGAGTTTGTGAATTTCCATCCGATCAAAGATAAAAATCGTCTTTTTAATAATTTTCTTTTCAAAAAGTCTTGATGTAGCGGAATGCCAAAAAATTTAGCAGTTTTTTGTTTCCATTGTGAGACACTGGTAACACAAAGAGCGACAACAGTAACCCCCGAACTATGCGAAATTGCCAGCAAGACCGATCGGCGGCGCACACTCTGATCGCCGATATCAACCGGCAGAAACCGGGTGGAGCGGAGCCATTTGAGGAGGGCCTTGAATAATATCGCTGCTGACGTGGAGCGTCTTTGTCTCAAACGGTCTACATGATTGACATTTACTTTGTCGAATTATCTTGTCCGGAAGGCGAGATTTGTGCTTTCGTGGTCGTAGCCGGTTGTCGCGTTATTCTGAATTCGGTCAGTTTTGGGGTGCAGTTTCTTTGTTTATGTAGATGTTTAAGGTTTATTTTCTTTGTTTATAAATTATTCAAATCTTTTTTAATTTCTGTCTGTTCCAACTCGGCCACTGCAGTTTTGTTTTCCGATTATAGTATAGTTTTGAAGGTATTACAACGTTTCGTTTATATTATTTTGTTTGCGCTTTTACAAATTTCAAGAAATTTTAAATTAAACTTGTTTATGTTCGCCTTGTTTAGATTTTGTTTCATTGTTTGTTAGCTGGGACAGGTAGTTATGGACTATACTACCCATTTTCCTCAGCTGCCTGAAACCAAGCCCACCACCGCACCAGGTGGCGCCTGGGGCCGGAAGACGTTGACCATGGCGGTGGTCACTGAAACCATCAAGCTCCCAGCCTCGGACCGTGCTTCCATGAACTTCGGAGGCAAAGGCTTTGGGTTGGCCGAACAAACCAAATGTAGTCAAGTAGCCGCGGAAACCAAAACCAAGATTGAGTTGTCAGAAGCTTCAGACAAGTCCTTGACTATTCTGGTCACTGGAAAGAGATCTGATGTCGATGCTGCTCATGCTCGTCTTGTCCGCGAACTTCAGACACAATCTCAGGTTGAGGTTAATGTTGATCGTGAATTCTACGGAGCGATCATCGGTAAGATTTTTAATTTTTATTTTGTGGTTTAGGAGCACAGTTATTGCTCTTCATGAAAATCTTTCTTTTTATGAATTTAAACTGATTCAATGATATTTTAGGCAAGGAAGGTCAACGCCGCAAGGTGATGGAATCCGAGTACAACTGCCGCATCTTTCTGCCGGGCAAAGACGAGCAGAGCAATGTCATCAGAATTGTTGGCCCAATTGACCAAGTCAAAGCTTGTGCTTTGAAGTTGAAGAACATTGTTACAGAATTGGTATGTTGCCCCTAATAGTTTCACGTATTTTATGTTTAGGCCAAACAAGCTACTGAAACATTGGAAATTTCTCGTGAATTTTACCCATGGATTCGTGGGCCAGCTAACAAGACCATTGATACTATCCAGGCCGAAACTGGAGCTAAGATCAACATTCCACCACCAAAATCCAGGAACGACGCTATCGTTATCGCTGGAGAACGTGAAGGTGTTCACGCAGCTGTTGCCCGTGTAAAGGAGATCTACGAGACATGCAAGGTAATTTTAGGTATTAATTTGAAAAAATATATCTAAAATTTTATTTTACGCAAGCTAACTCTGTACTATTTTAGAAGAACAACAAGAGCGTTACTTGCCCAGTTACTCGTTCTCAGCATCGTTTGATTGTTGGAAGCCATAGGTCTGGTATCGACGAGATTCTCGAAAAGACCGGTGTTTTGGTTGAAGTTCCAGCCGAAGAAGAGAATTCTGACACGATCACTTTGAGAGGTCCTCAGAAGGCCATCGGAGATGCTTTGGCTTTGGTCTACGCTCGAGCTTCCTCTATCATTTCCCAGGAATTGGATTACCCAGAATGGCAAAGGCGATTCTTGATTGGACCTAAAGGTCAAACACTTAACCAATTGGTTCCGAACCAAGAACGATTGAACATCGATTTCGATAAGGGAGGAAAGATCTACTTAGAAGGACCTCCAGAGGCCGTCAAGAGCGCCTACAAGGCCTTAAGCGACGAAGTGAACAGGCTCACGAAGGAATTGGCTTCCGAAACCGTCAAGGTTCCTACATATCTTCACAGACATATCATTGGCAGGAGTGGAGCCTTGAGTAAGTTGCTATTTTTATCGATAAATTGTGATTTTAGTTAACAAAATCAAGGAGGATAACGAAGTACAAATAACAATCCCCGACGAACGCAATGGATCTGACGAGATCCGCGTTGAAGGAAAGAAGGAGGGAGTTAAGAACGCGGTCAAGATCCTCAAGGAACGAGCAGTTGAATTGGTGTGTTTAAGTTAATTTATAATTTAATTTTGTTACTTAATTTTTTTGTTTTTCATCAATGGATCTTAATTATTTCCATTCATCAATGGATCTTAAAGTTTTTCACAATGGATCTTAATTATTGATCATTTGTAGGAAAAGAAGATGCCAGCCGACAAGCAACCACCACAACTACCACTGGAAGATACCGCCAAGACCAGTTTGGATGTGGACCAAAAATGGCACAAGCACTTTGTCCAACGTGGCGCTGAAGTCATCAGAGAGATTCAAGAACAATTCAGTGGTGTTGTCATTTCTTTCCCCAAACAAGAAACCGGTGAAACCAAGGTGAACATCAAGGGCCCCAAGGGTGTGGTGGACAAGGCCAAGAAGAGAATCGAAGAGATCGTCGCCGATCTGGAAGCTCAGATCACCGTTAGTTTGGACATTTCTGAAGAACACCATCGTTCTTTGGTACCGCACGCCAGTGGACTTCGTCAGAAACACAACGTTCGTCTTAACTTCCCACCAAAGGGGACGTCGAACGAAGGAGCCGAGCCAGTAAACGGTATTCTTCCAGCAAACTTGGTCACCATCTCTGGCCTTCCATCGAATGTCGAAGCCGCTAAGGCTGAACTGACTGAATTGATCCCAGTTACCGAATCTGTAAGTTTACACATCCTCAGACATTTACTGTTTTTAGTTGACTGTCCCAATCGACTACCACAGCTCATTGATTGGAAAGAAGGGCGAATCTATCAAGGCTTTCATGAACACCCACAACGTCCGTGTCAACGTGCCTAACGCTGAGAAGAATTCTGACCAAGTTACTGTCACCGGACCTCCAAAGAATGTCGAAAGCGCTGTAGCTGATCTGAAGAGCAAGGTGGAAGAATTGGACAAACAAGCCGAAGACCGCCGTGCCCGTTCCTACAAGACCACCGTCGATATTCCAGCAGAATACCATCAACGACTTATTGGGCAAGGAGGGCAAGCCATCAGAGAATTCTCCAAGAAATACGATGTTCACGTAGCTTTCCCAAGAGACAACACCGAAACCATCACTATCTCCGGATACGAGGCCAAGGCAAACGAAGCCAAGGACGAGATCTTGAGACTTATTGAAGTATACAAGAACATGATCACTCACACCGTACAACTCGACCCCCGATTCCACCCTCGTCTCATTGGTCCAAAAGGAAAGAACTTGAAGAAGGTAAGACCACTAATCATCAATGTAAGATATCTTCTCATAAAAATGTTGATTTCATCTTACGATTTGACTGTTTTAGGTACAAGAAGACTATGACGTAGAAATCAACTTTGCTTCAAGGTCCGACCCCGACCCATCTCTGGTTACAGTGTCAGGCAAGAGCGAAGACAATGTGCTGGACTGTATGGACAAGCTCCGTATGCTGGAAGAAGACTTTATGCAAGATGTTGTTGAACGATTCCAATACACATACCAACGCAAGGAAGAGCCCAAGTACCAACCAAAGCCTCAAGTCATCGAAATAACAGGAGCTCCATGGCAGTTGGATAACTTGGACCAGTTCCCTTCGATGAGCCAACAACAACAAGCTGCTGTCGCTTCTAGCCAGCCAACTGGTGTTTGGGGACGTCGTCGCTAAGCTAAGTTGTTATAGTCACGTCTTTTCAACTGTGATTGTTCTTCTTTTGTAACCTAATTCATTTATCGTACTACATTATTCCACATAGTGCCTTCAATAATCATTTATAATTTATATTGTCTTAAGATATTTATCGTTAATAAACCGATAACTTGATATTCAAAGTGTGGATTTGATAGATGATATGATTTTCTCGACTTCGTCGTTGCTCCAGCCAGCATTACACGTTACTTTGATTCTTTAAACATTTATTATATTGCAAAAAACACTTACCCTTTGGGAACTGGGAAGGCTTCTGATTGATCGAGGAATCGCGACCTGGTCACAACAATACCATTTTCCATGAACTGCAAGTGGTCAACAAAAAATTGTACTTGCTTCTTACCTTATCAACGAGATTGTCCAACTTGGCATCGTCGTCGGCTTTTGACCTGATGAACTTCAAAGGAGAGTTTGGGTCACCTTGAAGAATGAATTCAGAATCCCTTGTTGCCTCTTGAATTGCATCGTGTACTCGTTGGGAAACTGTTGACAGATTCGACAACAGTTCTTGGTCTCCGTCGATAATCTTCAAAGCTTCGATTGCCGCGGCTGCCAACAATGGTGGGAGCGAGGCCGAGAAACAGTAGCCCAAGCCTGAATCATTTATTTATATTAATTAGTAGACAAGTATTACGTATGTGTTTTTCAAATTCAGAGCAATAAGTTCTTTTTTGTATTTTTTTTGAAATTTACAGTAAAACAGGTCCTTACCGGAGAGTCGTTGATGACCCATAACAAAGGCCCGGCCACAGGCGAAGCCTCCGGTCGTTGCAATTCCGTTCTCCAACGAGACCATGATCATGTCGACGTCATTGGTGGGAACGGTGTAGTAGTCGGTGACGCCTGAAATATTTATTTTTTAAAGAACGCTATTGTCTTGCAATCAACTGAATTTGGTCTCGTTCCGAACGAAAAACCTCTGGCTACGAGAAAGGTTCGATCACCACAGTGCATATAAAAGGTGACGCTCAGACTCTCATTAACGAAGTAGAACACACTATCGTTCCTTCACACTCTCAAAAGGTCATAATGATTTTATTTTTAGCTCTGTTTTTGATTTATTTTATATTTAATCGAACAGTTAATTATTCTATATCAATAATATTATACATTAATCAAACGAAACAGTTTCGTGTCTTCTTCCCTCCACAAATGTTCGCTTGTGAATGTAGTTGACTTTTACTGTTCCTGCATGTTTCCCAATCGAGAGGAAAGAGATCAGCCCCGATCCCCCCCCCTCTTTTGGCTATGATCACAAGTCAAGGCGCCTTCTGTTGTTCTCTCACGTTGCGTGACGTGCTTAAAGTGTGTTAAACAAGTTGTCTGAATGCCGTCATAGCGGATCAAAACTTTATTAAATCTGTCATGCCGGTTTGACACTTGATTCTGAAGACAGCTGAGCCTGTAACGCCACCTCAGGCGAACGTGTCAAACCGGACTTGACGTAGACTTGTGTTATTCGAAGTATAACACGAGCCTGTTTACTTTCTGTGTCGGAGTTTGAAACTATGTGACAGAATGTTGACATTTCCTCGTTTCAAGTGTCTGGAGTTCACTTTGCGTTCAAATTCAAGTTGATAGTACTACTGTAGGGCAGAACTAGATAATACCTAGATTTTGTCTTGTTATCAAAATAGTTTTTCAACTTGTGTATTACAAGTTTTTTAATTGTGTATGAGTGTTTTGTACTATATTGCACTACATTGCAGACTTATGAAACCGGATGTCATATTCTTGTGGTTGTGTCTCAGCTGGGTACATCAACCATGTGGAGCACAAGTGCCACAAACCTTTCTAATGGAAAATGTGACTGGCTTGATACCTGTTTGTAACCGAGAGAACGCACCTAACAATCAAATATACTGTAATGGTCCCATCTTGGAAGCTGTTATGGCATTTCACTTGTACCATGACTCCAAAACCTTTGTAGACAAGCCACTAAAGTACCCTCCTCAAGTCGTACTAAACAAGTACAAAGAACTCTTTCCTACTCAAGATGACGTCACCAAGAGCGAGCTTCAGAAGTTTGTTGACGACAATTTTTATGAGGCTGGTACCGAAATGAAAAGGTAGGCTAAAAGGTAGCGATACATCATAGAAAGATAGAGTATTAAAAGTAATACCAAGTTAGTAATATCGGATATGTAATTTACTTTAACCTTAACAATTATGAATTTAGCTGCCAATTAGACGACTGGAACGAGAAACCGCTAAAACTAATGTCAATATCGGATACAAACCTTAGATCGTGGGCAATTGAGTTAAACCTAATTTGGAAAAGCTTGTGTCGAGAAGTTGATCCTGTAGTGAGAAATGAAAGTGAACGATTCTCTTTACTTTATGTACCAAACCGCTTCATAGTACCAGGAGGAAGGTTCAGAGAGTTCTACTACTGGGACTCTTATTGGACAATCAAAGGCCTGCTAGCTTCAGGTGAGATATTTTTATGACTTTGTAACATTTTCGTCTTCGAAAAACAACCATATTTACAGTAACTCAAATACTGCCTACGAACTATAGCAAAAAATATCTGTCATGTCTTTAGGAATGTACGACACAGTCAAAAGCATGCTGTTGAACTTCATCTACATCGTAGAAAAGTATGGTTTCATCCCGAACGGTGGTAGAGTATATTATCTATCTCGATCCCAACCTCCTTTACTTACTGGAATGGTCTACGAATACTACGAGGCCACCCATGACATCAACTTTCTCATAGAGAACGTGGGCACATTAGAAAAGGTTAGTTTGGTTGTACCTCGTTGTCTATAAATTTTGTTGTCTATAATCTTCATTTTTACTTTTTTTAGTCCAACAGCTTCTAGAACTCACTTTTCTATAAAATGTCATAATATTAGGTATCCTAACTATAAACTTCCATTTTTTAACAAACTTATTTTTATTATACCAACCGAAACAAAACTAATTATTCTGAGATATATACTCTAACATTGTCTATGCTTTCTCTACAACGTTCCTTCAAAACGTGAATGCCAGAACTGTGGAACTACCTCAGCTGTGTCTTAAAGAAATCTTACCCTATAACATGACTTCAGCGCCATTTTTGAAATTGATTCCAGCAATGCAACCTTTCAGCCTTCTGAATACATGATAATAAGAAGGAGCAATGTCGGGACTGTAGGGCGGTATAGACATTATAGTCCAGCTCAATTCACCAAGAACTTATGACGTCATCTTCGCACTGTGAGTTCGAGCGGCATCTTGTCAAAGTTTCACAGTGGAAATATCAATACCCAGAAAGTAGAGAGCATGGTTGATTCGTTTCAATTGTTCATTGTAGACATCTGCCGTAATTATTTATCCAGGTTTCAGAAACCCATAGTACACTATTCCCGTGGTAGACCACCATACGCAACGGAAGGTTTTGTTTACCATTATGGTCAGGTTTCGGAGTAGATACAGCTTTTGAACCAATATCAATCTATTGTCTTTTGACCTTCTTTATATCGTACAGTATCCAGCTTTCATCCGAAGTAATAATTAGTTGAAAAAAACCTCGGGTTTTGGACAAGCGAAACAAAATATCACAAGTATTGACCCTTAGCGCCATGTTGGAATCACTGAGTTCGTGGAGCACCCGCCTGCCACTTTTGTTGAGCTTTCCTAGTTTGTGAAGATGATTGGCGATGGTTTGCGAGGTACGGGGAAGAATATGCGACAACTCCACTGTTGCTAAATTAGTATTTAACTCAATCAGTTGATGGCATCTGCCACTTCATGACCTCGTTTGTGTTGTTTGTCCACAAGGTCAAGGTTCACAGTATGAAACTTTGAAAACCACGTCTGCACACGTCTAACACTTATAACGTCTTCTCCAAAAACTTCTGCAAACGTACGGTGGCATCCAATAGCACTTTTACCTTGTTTAAATACATAGTCGCATGCGATATCGCACCTCCAAACTGAGCTTAGCCAACTTTTACCCAGATTTTTCTAAGTAGACAAAGACAAACAGACAAGTATTATATATCGTTCGATTTGCATTGAAACAAGCTACAAAACAAAACAAATCCTGTCAAATAATATTAATTTTCACAAAAGTTATAACTTGTAAAAGTCAGCGGAAGTTTATAGGATACCTAATAGAACCCAAAGACTATCACATTTACTTTGTGATAACACATATAACAACCTAACTTCAGGAGCTCCATTTCTGGGATACCCATCGCAAAATAGACGTCAATATCGACAACCAAACCTACAGTATGTACCAGTACAGAGCTGACAGTAATGGACCGAGGCCAGAGTCATTCAAGGAAGACGTCGAACTCACCAAGCAATTCACCAAAGATGAAAGAAAACAAAAAACATGGCAAGACCTGGCCAGTGCCGCCGAATCCGGCTGGGACTTCAGTAGCCGTTGGTTCAGAAACTCAGTAGACATGAAGACGATCGAGACCACCAACATTGTTCCAGTAGATTTGAATTCCTTTCTGTGCTGGAATATGAACATCCTCAGCTACTTTTTCGACGAGATCAACGAGAACGACAAGGCCGAAGAGTTCAGGAACAGGCTCGGCAAGTTCAGAGCTCACTTTCAAAAGGTGTTCTACCTGAAGAACGAGAGTGGATGGTTCGATTACAACATGAGAACACAGAAGCATAACATAAAGTTTTATCCGAGCATGGCTACACCCTTGTTTACTCGATGCTACCATTCACTGAATCATCGACAAGCCGAGAAGATATTCGACAAGATGGAAGAGAAAGGAGCGTTCAAATTCATTGGAGGTATTCCGACAAGGTAAGCGTACAATATTTTTATCGTACTAATGTAATTTACAGTACACTAACTAATGTTATCTTATACATAATATATGTATATCACTTAGCACAAAAATATGTGAAATCGACTATAACTATGTTTAAAAGTTTTTCAGTTTGCAAGAAGATACTAACCAACAATGGGACTTCCCAAATGGCTGGAGTCCATTGAATCATATTATAATAGAAGGTCTACGACAATCAGAAAGTCCTAGGTAAGACATTTTTTTCAATCTATCAAAGTATATATAACCCCGTAGACGAAAACCCCGGTCCAGCTTGATTTAATTGATGAAACTAGCCCAACTTGATCCACAATGATGAAATTGGTCCGGCTTGACGAAATATTTAGCCAGTCCCGACTATATGACCCTAGTTCATAAGTATACAACAAGTCATTTCAGAATGCAATACAAAGCCTTCCTACTAGCCCAAAAATGGGTTCTGAGCAACTACCGTGTATTCAAAAAGACAGGAGTTATGTGGGAAAAGTACGACGTGATTGGATCGAACCCAAATGTTGGGTCGGGAGGAGAATACGCCGTACAAGTAAGTTTTACCATATGAATAAGGCCAACCCCACACACACAAATTCCACAAACTAAATTTTACAAAATTGTTACCTAATTTATAATAAACACCCCAACTATAATTTCACACCAAACTTTACTTTTTTTCAGGCCGGCTTCGGATGGACAAATGGAGTTGTTCTAGACCTCTTAATGACATATTCCGAACAGTTTAACTTCCCCTTATTAGCAGAGGAAACCGAGGGAAAGCGATCAGTAGAATCTCACAGTCATAACCATGCATTGATACGAACACCAAAAGCTTTACATCTTAACCGAGAAGAGGAAACCAGTTCGGCCAGGAAATGGGCAATATCTACTTTATCTATTAGTATTCTATTGTTCTTCTTCTTCTAGATCTCCTAGTTAGAATGTCGCAAAACGGGTCAAATAAATTAAGTTTCAAATTTAAAAATTAAGTTTAAATAATAATTTTAAATAAAGTTTTCCTAAAAATATCAAATAATTTTTCAAACTGTTGCCATAAAACAATAACTCTCCTCATAACTTCAATTAGCAAATTATCTTGAAACAAAAACAGCATTGAATATATAATAATTAAAATAAGGTTATACAAGCTTACCTCTTCCTCTAGATCCCAGAACTCCAAATGACAGACTTTCGTCCATGAATACCCTAACTTTGTACCTCCACTTCAGCTCCATAATTCTAGGTAATGGGCAGAGATCGGCTGTTTTGGCATAAAGACCTTCGACCACGATGAACTTTCGTATTTCTTGTGAGGCTTTAGGGTTCTGAAGTTGTAAATACATATATAAAATTAGTTAAAAATATAAAACAAAAACTATATAAATTGTTAGTGTCTTAAAACGACATTTAACCTACCTTTTCATCCTTTACTTTCTGTTCTTTAAGCAATCGCTCCAAGTCGTCCATGTCATTGTGTTCAAACCATTCAATCTTACTTCTAGAAGCTTGAAGCGCCTTTTGAATTGCAAAATTACAGGCTGAAAATATTGATCATCAACACAAAATTACCAAATAATGCGTTAAAAATTACCTTATACACAACAAAGTAAAGTAATTACAGTACTTACAATGTTAAATAACCAGTTAAAGCTTATTTTGAAAATCCTCACCTTTGTCAGCATAAATGATGTCCCCTCGCTTGGAATAAGCTGGAATGGCACTGGCTACTGTAGCGAACCCAAAACTGTAAAGAACTGCTTCTTCGCATTCCATGAACTCGGCGATCTTCTTCTCGGCTTCTAGATGAATGTCCACGGTTCCGTAGAAACTTCGTGGGCCACAAGATCCAACTCCATATTGTTTTATCGCTTTCTTTGCGGCGTCCTTAAGTAATACCACTTTAACTTAACTTTGTGAAACCCACAATACACTAGTAATGAAAGGAATAACACTTTAAGACAATTTTAATAACCTCACCTCAATCCTTTTGTCGCCAACAAAGTTCAAGAAGTTGTTAGTGGCCATGTTCACATAGTCTTTTCCTTCAATCTTAACATACTTTCCAACCTTTCTAGAAATCTCTACTTCAACACAGCAGACAAATAATTCTAATTACAACTGTTAACACAGATAAACCATGCACCTAAAATAAAAATTTCAAAAAGTTACCCTTCAATTTTGTCAGACAACCTGTCTTTTGGTTCATACTGAGTATCAGATACGAGAGGCTTTGGAGTCCATTCTGAGATGATACGATCCTGTTCTTCTTCTGATAACAAATTGCCATCATCTTTCGACTTTTTCTTTCTAAAAACCGCCATGTATACGACGACTGCCACAAATACTCCTTCCAGCATTAAATGAACTGCATTTCCCTGAAACAACATCTAATTAAAAAAAACAAAAAAAATTTTTAATTTCAGCGTCACCTAGAACCGTTCCTATTTAGCTTATCAAAAACTTTTTGCCAAAAATAATGCAAACAATAACATAAACTCCTTACCGTAACAGCCTCGTACACGTAGTCGAACGCCTCCATGCTGAAAATCAAAAGTTAAATTAAAATTCAAAATCGTAAGCACAAGCCGATGAAATTCACGGATAGATAAGTACACAGTCCCAAAATCCCAAATTATTTTTTATTTTTGCGTTTTCGCTTCCGAGAAATGTCAATAGTTTTGTAAAATGAAGGCTCTGTCTCGACTTTGTCATCTTCTTCGTCTGCTGTCAACAGTAACATCTCCCTCTCGATCTTATTCTTCAGGTCATCCATCGACATCTCTGAGCTTCTAAAAATAACCTTATTATAAGTATAATTTTAAACCTTACAGTGTTAAACTTCATTTTACCCTTGAAAGTTAGAAAACCCTAAATAAACAGTTACAACAAAATAGTCATCAAAGCTACAACAACAACATTAAGCTATTGTTTTTAAACTTATGAAACTACGCTATATTATTAAACTACTCACGTTGGATCAACAGTCTTGTCAATGACTCTACAAAGCATTTTGACGTTGTCCAGATTCTTCTGTCCCTCTATCAGCTCCCCATTATTGTCTACCTCTACTGATTCCAGTTTGAAACCGTAAACAGTTGTTGGGAAACTAAAATAATATATCAAAACGTAATCCCCGTGACCTACTTGTCTGAAGCCAAACAAAAACAATCAGCGACCTCGTTATACGACTTTATCAACAACTTTAAGTGAGTTCTGGCTTGATCTGCCACTTCTGCTGCCATTGAGGCCAACAACATGTTAAACTTGAGCTGAAATTGTTTAATAACAAAAATATAAAGTATTATGTATAATGTGTAGCTTTTCAGTATTAAAACATACAATTACATAAGACGTTTCATTTTTTTTAAAATGATGTCAGCTTAGAAGTAAAGCAAGAAAATATAAAACTGAATAAACTCTTAGCAAAATAATCTCAAAATTCCTTACAAAGTGGCCCAACTCGATGTAACCAAGATCAAAGTCCACATTTCGAGCAGCCAGAAGCCTTATTCGGTCAAGCAAATATATTCTTCGACACAATAATGCACCGGTATGTATCAGAAAGTCATTATGAGGTATGTATTCACATTTACAGTCGCTCAATCCCTAAACAGCCATAACTCATTAATTATCAACCCAACTCGTTATCAATCATTTCTAATAAGACATTTTTGCGACATGCGTTAGAAAAGAATCGTATCAATTCATGTACAAAAAGACTACTGTTATTTACTATCCACACGACTCACGATTGTTGTCTATATTTGTTTTTTAACTTCAAAAACTGTTACCTTGTGCAATCTCTCCAATTGCTTGAGAAAATTGCCATTACAAAGTCGTCTTATCAACGAAAACAGCTGCTTGGCCGACCGGAAGAAGTTGTGATGGCGATAGGCCTGTCCATACTTGTAATTGATCGCTTCGTATATTTTTACAATTTTCTCATTGGCAGGAAATTCTGATGCCTTATTCTGTCGCAATGACGTCACTGTTGCAAATAACTTCATCCGATTCAGCTCCCATCTCTGTTTCTTATCAGAATCTCGCTCTCTCTCGCTACGAAAACTTTTCTTAGCTATAGTCCCAACGCTTTTGTCTACGAATTCTAAAAAAAGCTTCCATGACAACTTGAGAACTTACGTAGAAACGCTTCTCTGTTCATTTAATGTTTAAAAACTTCAGTCCTTATCGATCTCCTACGACGATACGTATTCTAAAAATAAATAAGTTAACGCTTAAATCAGTGATACGCGATGAAAATCAAGACTGATCAGATAAGGAAATAACAACTATAAGTTAAAAAATTTACAAAACTAGAGTACTGATGCTTTCTGTAATCTTTTTCACTGGGAACTACTGTAAAATTTGCTTTCATAAATTTTATGAATTTCAGAATAATACTTGACTCAATATATCATGAGTCAAGTATTACCACCAAACTTGACGCAAAAGGAAAACTTGATTCACGAAATAAAATAATTTTTTGCTGAACACGTGTGTGATATATCGATAATCTTCATTTTGATATCATTCTAGTTAATTTTATACCCCGTCGATACTGTCATGTCCAAAGTAACTTTCAAGATCACGTTGACCAGTGATCCCAAGCTGCCATTTAAAGTGTAAGTTAATCTTATTTTATTTTTCAACGTTCAGGCTGAGTGTGCCGGAGAATACCCCGTTCACGGCAGTCTTAAAATACGCGGCAGAGGAGTTCCGTGTGAATCCAGCGACAAGTGCCATTATCACGAACGATGGAGTTGGAGTGAATCCCTCGCAAACAGCCTCGAACATCTTCATGAAGCACGGCAGTGAGCTCCGATTGATACCGCGCGATAGAGTGGGTGCTTATTAAAGTTTATTTATGAATAAATTATTTGGCATATAATCCGGGAGCGTAAATTATTACTGTGCAAACGGAAACGAGCATGATATAGGCGACCAGACAGAACCACCACGCGTAAACCTCCCATCGTCTGAGTTTGAGGTTTCTGAGTAGTACCACACCTAGTAATAGGCCTCCTATGAAGCCGCCGATATGGGAAACGTATGATACCTAAAACTATGGTGTTAGCACGGTAAAAGCGTAGTTTTGACTTATAGCTAAACAATTTTTTCATTTAAAATATCATTTTTATTGATGTCTTCCTTACCCGGTTAAAAGTTTCCACGAAATACCTCTGGTACAGCGCACTTCCACAATCGATAGTAACTACAATCATGATAATGATCGCTCGTACCCAGTTGAACTCCATCTCGTCCCAATTGATTATGACATTTGAAAGATGAGCTGATAGCAAAGCATAGACACCTCCAGAAGCACCTCCAAGATACACGTTAGGATCTATAGCCATTACTAGTAACGATCCTGTCACTACGCCTAATAAGTAAACACCAGCGACTCTCCACAGTTTATGAACCAGTTCAAGAGGTATTCCAAGCAGTATTTGTACAACAACATTGCTTAATATGTGTGTGTACCTGAAAAGAGCAATATATAGCCAAAATTGAAAATGCAAAAACACATGAATTAACAAACGTAGAAGTAATATATAACAAAAGATAGAAAGTTGAACCTTACCCGATATGAATGAACATATACGTCAGAAACCTCCATATTTGTTCTTTGTGATTTGGGTCCAATATGAACGGTGATTTGATGGGCACGGGTCCAACAGGTGAAATGCCAACGTCCGACTCGAGAGCGTAATAAAGATAAATTGCCACTTGTATTAACGAGATCATGAACATAAATAAAGGCGGAGGAAAACAATTATAGTGAGAGAGGTACTGTACTGCACTGGGTTGTTGGGATTTAGCCAAGACCGAGCGAGCGGCATAGATGGTCAATCGTTTTACGTACAGACTTTTGGCTTTCGCCATCTTAAGAGTTGGTTATATTAATCGTAAAAAGTTATTGCATAAATTTGAAGATAAAACATATTTTTTAAAAATATTGTACAAGCAAGGAATGTTCTAAACTTACCATGGCTGAAAACTCGCTAAAGTCCACATAAGTGTCGAAATTTGAGTCTACATCCCGTAAAATGGATTCGGCTTCATGTTTCAAAAGCCCTAATAACGCTGCATTTTGTAAAACGGCCGATCTAACCACTTCAACAGGAATTAAACCATCATTGTCATGGTCCAGCTACAATACTCGTTAGTTTATTAATCAATTATTTTAAACATAATAAAAAGGGAAAAAGAAAAAATTAAGGAAATGAAAGTGTTATTATAAATGTACTAGTTCGGCCAAAAATAAGTACACAAATATAAGAATCAAGAGAAACTCATAAATAGTATTTTTGGCCAAACTAGTACCAATATCTCTACAACAACATACAACCTTACCCTACAAAAGATGGAATACCAATCCTGGGGATCGTAACTGAGAGGATTAACAAATTCGGACATTGGAGATCACAATATGTTTAATAATTCGATTATGAAATATTTAAATCGCTTGAATATGAATAATGCGATCAAGATATCAAATAACTTGAATATGAGTAATTCGATTATTAAATACTTAAATCACTTGAATATGAACCTTAAATACAACAAGTAACTTTTGGGCTTTCTTTTTATCGCTCAATCTGCGTTACCACGGCGATCTTTCTATGTTTGCATTTTGCGAAAAAACATGAATCAGCTACGAGAAATAAAGTAAACCTTGGAAGTGACCTTGGTATGTATTCGTCTTCAGTTCGTTTATACGTGCTTCATTATAATACTGATAAAATGCATTAGAAGGCTCGTTTCGGTCGTTTAGCCGGGGTCTCAGCTGGAAGTCCTGTTCGTTTCGAAGTTCTCCTGTTCTCGAGTCTCTTGTTTTGAGCAGCATCAATCCGCATCTTCTTCAGCAACATTGGAGTTCGATCCGGCACAAACGCTGGAGTTGAAGTCAGTGGAAGTGTGTTGGAGAAGACTTCTGTTTCATCTTCCTTCATTTCTCGTATAATTGGGGAACAGTCAGCTAATGGCAGAGACCGAACTTTGTCAAAGGAACTATTAGATTTAGGAGTTTCGAGTATAGTTGAATCCAAGTATATTGTGTTCGGCCATCGCTTCAGACCTTTGGATGTCGTCGGGGCTGATATGTCGCTCTAAAAACACATAAATATCAAAATCAAAAAACTTACTCTTGCATCTTCATCTTGAACCTCGTTCTCCTTATTTACAGATGCTCTTTGTTGACTAATGGGTTCTTCAACTAAAAATATAACTTTGTTAAGTAATAAAAATCTAAAATTATATTAAAAAACACAAAAAACTTAATTTTATACAGTAAGTTATTTTTAAGAAATAGAATAAAATTAGACTCCCATTGTAACACCTAAAAAATAAATTATCATAAAAGAAAACTTGCTTACCTATCGGTTCAGCGTGACTAGAACAAGAAGCCTTCTCCTGCACCTCGTCTTCACTGTCATCCTCAACGTTAACGTCTTCACATTCTTCTTCATTATTATCAACATGCTTATCGTCTTTTTGGGTAACAATCTGTTGGCTTGCCAAAGAAAGCTTGCGTTCGTTGTACTCAATCAGTCGTTGTTCATAAACTGGCCAATTGTCCAAAGATTGTGTCACATTTCTTTTCAAAAACGGAAAAGTCGGCACCTTGAACCTCAACCTCTTTCTGCTGTTGTTCCTCTGATTAGTTTCGAACAGTTTGGAACCGTTGAGAACCTTCAAAGTCCTGACCACACTTTCCAAAGTTCTTCCATTGACAGCTTTAGTTCTCCATGGCCTTGGTTTCCAGTAGAAGCTCTTCAGGATCGCATAACTCCGTGGTTTTCTATCCCCCATAACAAAAATAAAAAGAAAATAAATTTATTTTTTCGGAAGAAAGCAGCGCGCCATTTGTGGCGTTTCGTTCCATCTTTAGCGAAAGTGGGTTTCTGAACATTTCGAACGAATTTTTGTTTAGAAAACGTACGTTGGAATACAAAAATAAAAATTACCATTTCATGATTATATAAGGTATGTTCACGCAATAACTAACTTTAGTTATTTAAAGCTAGTTTTAAGTACGAATTGTCAATAATGATATCAGTTTCTAAACTCTTTCAAACTTTGAATGATCTCTCATATGTTGCTTTACTAATCTCTTGCTTCCGCTTTGTCTTACTAATGTGTGACATAAAAAGTATTCCGACAATCGGAGAACAAGCCGTTTTTTAAATGACCAACTCCTCACTCTGAGTGACCAAAGTGAAGCAAGAGCGGTGCAGCTCGAGGTTGTGGAGGCGAGAGCTGATTTGAACTGACGGTCTGTTTGTCATGCAGGCCTCCAGAGTGGTGTGCAAAGGTTAGTTTCTTGTTTCAAATTAATGGTTTTGACACGAAAATTAATGAGTTTTAGCCAATTGTTGCGAAAAATGTTGCAGTAGCGAGTACACAATATGTCACTAAGTGATTACAGTGTAAAATCAAGTTTTTTTGGCGCTAGGACAAATGCGGTTTTTGTTCATTTTTTGGTGTTAGAAAATGACGTTTAATATTTATTTAATAGTTTGCCTAATGCTACGAAAGACTGATCAACTTGTTTTAGAGTCTTATCGCCTTGTCGTGGTTGGAGCCGGGACAGGTGGGACAGCTTTGGCCGCTCAGTTCTCTAGTTCATTGCTAAAAGGTCAAGTAGCTGTTATTGATGCTTCTCCAGTAAGTTTTCATGTAGTTTTCTTAGAAATTCTGCAATAATGTTATTGTTTATGTATTTTGGTTTATGGTTTTGCTGATAAACTTTTATAAATATTCATAGTTATAGTCAAAAAAGTATGGTAATGTTGTAGATCCACTACTATCAACCTGGATTTACTTTAATTGGAGGAGGTCTGATTCCTCCCGCTACAGTAATAAAAGAACGACAAAGCACGTTGGCTAAGAATGTAAAATGGATAAAGCAAGATGTCGCCGAGTTTAATGCTAAAGACAACTCTTTGGTCTTGAGGTACTGTTAGCACAAAGATATTGCACATTTAATGAATCATTAAAGCTTTCTTTGTCATTTTTGTCAACCTTGATGTTGACTTTTAGTCTTAGCAGATAGTTTGTATCGTCACTCAATTCTAAAATTTTTTTTTAAAACTAATTGCTTTGAAATTTTATAAAATGGAATTACAGAGATGGGAAAGAAGTAGGATACGATTACCTTGTGGTAGCTACTGGAATCGACACAAGATACGACTTGATTGAAGGCTGTGAGAAAGCATTGAAAGATGAAAACAGTGGAGTCTGTAGCATATACCGCTTCGATCTTGCTCAGAAGACGTATCTTCAGCTTCAGAAGTTCACTGGAGGTAACGCTGTCTTCACTTTTCCGAATACTCCGATAAAATGCCCTGGAGCACCGCAGAAGATCTGCTACATGGCTGACGAAATATTTACTAATGTGAGTTAGTGTAGACGCTTGAAGAATGTAAAGTAAAGATAAGGGTTCGGTCCGCAAAAATTTTTGGTCGGCCAGTCTGGTCCGCTCCGGCAAAACACTTATCCTGGATATTGTTGCAGAATGGAGTCCGCGACAAAACAAAAATCATCTTCAACAACACATTGGGTGTCATCTTCGAGGTCAAGAAGTACGAAGACGAGCTGATGAAGGTGTTGAAGCAGAAGAATATTGAGTATCACTTCAGGAATAACCTGATCAAAGTTGATACTGATAAGAAAATAGCAACTTTTCAAGTTGTTGACGATCAAAGGAAGCCGACAGACAAAGTTCAAGAAATTCCAGTAAGTTGACATTTTTAAAGTGACTACAACAGTAAAAAATATGATCTCCAAATCTTTACAATTATTTAAGAAACCATAATTTAATTTTTAGAATTCTCTAGCTCGAAAGCTATTCATCGATATTATTTTTAAATTTTAAAATATGTTTTTAATATTTTAGTATGACCTTTTACACGTTGGACCACCTTGTACTCCAGTGAAAGCTTTGAGAGAAGCCGCTGCCTCAGGCAATCCGTTGACAGATGCAGTTGGATATGTAAAAGTGAACGAAAGGAGTTTACAGTCAACTGAATTTGGCAATGTCTTTGCTTTCGGAGATTGTGCTGGTACTACTAACAAGAAAACCGCTGCTGCTGTTGGTAAGCTATAAAGTAGAGTTTTTCAATGTTTTTGAATACCAAGTTACTTTTTTCTGATATGATTATTACATAAAGCCCGGTAGCTTACTATCATTTATGTTTTCAGCTCATCAATTAAGAACCCTGAGCCAGAACCTGGACTCAGTAATGAAGAAAGGCAAAGTAAAAGATGAGTACGATGGCTACGCGTCTTGTCCTTTGGTAATTGACTCAAAACATGTTATTTTGTCCGAATTCAATCATAAAGGACCAATCGAAACGTTGCCTATCAACCAGGCAACTCCTTCTTACACCAACTACTGGATTACTCGCTACTTTTTACCATGGCTCTACTGGTCACTCCACTTGAAAGGCCAATGGTTTGGTCCGCGCAAGATACGAAAGGCTTTGAGATTTGGCAAAGATTAGGACAATGTTATCAGTAGAAAAAGATGGCATTTCTGGCGATAACTTGGGGATGATGAGGGATATTTATAGCTAGAACAATATACGACGTTAATCTATAACAATAACATAATCATGAATTACTATAAGAGATAAAGAATACTTTTTTTCTCTCATTTTCATATTTTACTCTTATTTTTTAAAAGTTTTCCGAGCTTTTCAATACTAATATTGGCTATATATAACTATCAATTTGAATATAAAATTATTATTATTATTAGAATGTACATTAATATTTCGAGTGTGAACTCATAAAGACGAGTGATAACAGAATGGCAAGAGTTATCGTAACAATGAAAGTAAGTGAAGCTATCAGAAACCCAAATCCTTTTATGGACAAACAGAACTCGTTGTAGTCGAAAGTGTGAGGTAGGGCTGTTTCTCGCGTTTGAAGATACGACGAGAACTCTGAAATAGCATAGATATTGTAAAAGTGATCAAGAAGTCGCTAAGGGTTTAACTTTGAAAATAAGACAAATTATTTCAACTTTAGGTCCAATGATCGTTCAAAAAAGCTAAAAAGTGGATTTTCTGTTAAATTAGAGCATGTTATATACCTTTTTTGATGTTTATAACACGATTTTAAACATCAAATAAACGTCTTACCTTCTGAACTTTTGATACTGTTGTCAGGATCCAGAACGGTCAGCTGTGGACTGCTTAAAACCCATCCTTCATCTAGTCCAATGTGACGTTTGGTCTTGTTTCGAAGTTCTCCACCACACTTTGGAGGCTAAATTTAAATAATGTTACAGTATTCAAGTTACTTTTATAAATTCTTAATTTTTGTTAGGTTTTTCAAATAATTCTGTGCCCCTTTTCAAAGCACACTTGTGGTATTGGGGGGGGCTCTGAATTAATTGAACACCCTAATACTAAAAATATTCCTTACAGTAATCGAAAAAATTGGTATTCATTACTTACAGTAAGACTGTCGCACATGCCAAACTCCTTCATACAAACACTGATCGAGCACTGAATTGTCATCAACTCTTTGTCCGGAAACTTGACCACCATAGCTGAAACTTTGGCAGCCAACTTGCTGTCGTCGTACCTTGGTGTAGGTAGAATGTAATTATCAACGGAACATCCGTGGGAATCCACTACCAACGCCTTCTGACCTTGACCATCCTCAATATAACAGTCGTGTACCAACATTCCAAACATCTTGCCCATGTCTTCGGAAGAAACGGCTCCAGAAGACGATGAACAGGACCACTCATGGTCTAGTACGTCTCCAACTTGGACTGAGTTGCCAGTGTTGCCATTACGACCCTTCATCACGTACTCACATCGGGGAGTAGTCATTTCGTTGCTTAGCTCGACTGTCTGTGGCATACTGTAAGTTGCGTTTTAAAATGCATACTGTAACTTTTGGTTTAAACTTGTGTTAGAATAGCTTATATACTGTAACTGTATATTTAAAGGTGGTGTTGTTTCATAAAAGAATAATAGGAAAACAGTATAAGACCTTATTATTGTCGTATGTTAGTATACAATAGTTAACGCATGTACAATGATATAAACATACCTAACATCTAACTTTGTAGTAACCGTTTTGTCGGTTTCTTCATAAGCACATTGTACTCGGTAAGCACGGTCAATTTTGGTGACAAAGCTGGTATGAAAACTGACTACCACGACAAAAGATACATGGACTCCAGGTGGGTTCACCTAAAGTATATGTTTAAAATTTTTAGATAATCTAAAACAATATGATTAGATAACCTAAAACAATGTTTATTTATTTATTTGCTTAATGAACTAAATTCAATATGACACATTATAAACTTACAATTCTCTCCCTAATAGTGTTGCACGTATCTAACTCAACATCTAGCTCTGCCCTGTACGATACATCTCTTCTTTTTCTCGAACATTCCACTGGAGGTGGACAAACTAAAGGACAATCTGAAGATCCCCTCAGGGCACCTCTTTGAGGCTGATCGAGAGCCGGCTTTCCCTTCAGAAAGTGGTTCCATTGACTCTCCTCCAACTCAGGTAGCCCTCCTGACTTCTCACTGTAGTCATTTCTCAACGATGACCTGTTGTCACCACCATTGTCTCGTCTGTCCTCACCGTGTTGTCGGCTGTCATCACCGTGTCTTCGCTTTTCATCACCATATTGTTGATCATCTTCACCATGTTGTTGTCTCTCATCACCATGTTGTTGTTGTTGACTGTAATAGTCGCCTTCCGCTCCATAGAGTTTGACACAGTGCGGATTCTGATTCTCGCCCTTCACATAAACTCTGCCATTGAATGGCTTTTTGGTGGGAACGGAGAAGTGAACGTAATCCCTCTCACAGCGTACCACCGGCGACCCTAAACATACGACTGTGACTGTGCAAATAGTACGAATTTGAATATTTCGAGGTTTTTATTGCAAAAAACATTTGAGGTTTTGGTGTTTGTTCAAAAAGGGTCAGTTTGTCTTGAAAACAAATCAAATTGGTTCGAAATATTGGCTATTTAGTTCAAAAAGTCAGTATAATATAACCCTAGAAATCTAGTTCTTAATAGTTTTTCTATCGACTGGTCGATAATCTAAAAAAAGTTTAATGTATAAATAAAATCTTGTATTCCTTTACCAATAGCACCACACAAAAGAAAATTCAAAAAGATAACGTACCAATGACCGAGTTGTCCAAGTTGTTGAACGCCCGACACAGTAATATCTGAAACGAGCAATTATAATAACAGTCAAGGTTGTCGCCATTGTTTCTTGGGAAAACTTGAACCGTACAACTTGAACTAGTTTTTGTAGGTCAAGGTCGCCTGTAATTACCTTTAATGCCAACAAGATGGCTAGTTTAGGCTTGTCCATTAAAGCCGGCACAAAGAAAGGGATGTCCGTCTAATCGCGGCTGAATAAGGTCTAAAAGGCTGGTTAAAGTTAGCTGGTTATTTAGGTGTTTGAAATGAGTGTACGCGCTTTAATAAAGTAGTTCTAAGAGTAAAGTATGATTTATAGTCACATAAATAATGCGGATAAGTTCTCGTAGCTATGCCACATTAATTTTTATCAATATTGGCTTATATATTAGACATTTTTTAAATTTTAAAAGCAAAGTTAAGTTCCTTTTATGTTTTATAAACTTTTTAAAGCTTTACTAAAAAATGGCTTAAAACTAATAAGAAGATTCGGAGAGGACACCCTACGTAAAGCTTTTGGCCGCTAATACTTCGCTAGCCGACACTAATTTGCAGGTTTTTAAGACAGTTTTCCCGGTCATCCCTTACGCTCTTTCATCCTATGTAGGTCTCGATTTAAAAGCCATTGGTTATTTTGTGCAATTCCTTAGTTTGAGCTGGTAAACATTACTTCAAATTGATGCCAGCAGCGGTAAAAAGAAAACAAAAAATAAATTTAAAAAAAAACAAAAATTTGTTCTAAAAACTTAAAAAATTGCAAAAAATATACATGTAAACATTTAAAACATCGTATCTTTCAAAAAACACATTTTCAAAGTCAACCCAGTACTCAAATCGCTAAAATATTAAAAATCATCAGAGTTATGCAAAGCTTGTCCGCACCTCGCCAAGGTTGCGCAATCACTTGTGGATGAAGCGGAATCCAGTGAAGCGCGCCTCCAAAACAAACATTCAGAGTGGACTGGAACGGCGAACGACCGTTTATCCGACTCGATGATCTGCCGACAATGCAAATAGTGCCAGTACCGGGAGGGGTGAACGAAAAGAGAGGAGCGGGAGGGGGGGGAGTGAACGCAAAAAGTGGAGAAAGAGGGGGGAGGGCGGGGTAAACCCCCATACTGTATTATAGGACATTTAATGAGGCCGGGAAGAAAGGCGAGCAAACTTATGAGAGGCGCTCAGTTCAAGACAAGGTCAATAGCATCCTATAAAAAGGGCACTAAGTCAAATAAAATTATTTTTGTATCCACCCCCTCCTTAATTGCGTAACTCGATTGCACGCTCGTTGACCTTACTTTACTCTCATCTGTTGTATAAATGTTGACGCAGTAATTTTTGAGAAAAGGCATTCAGAAGTTTAAAGAAAAGGTCTCTTCAGAGTTGGGGTAACAGTTGCAAAGTTTTAAAAATGGCACTATTTTGAAATAAATACATTAAATAACAAAAAAATTTTATATATATTATGTAATATACAATATTATATATGCAATACTAATATATTATAACTCAATTAAAACAAAATTTATAGTTAAATAATCGTCAGAATCCATAAATATTGTACATTGTGGTCACTCAGTAGATCGCTCGTTGCCTTTACTGCGGTTACGGTTCTGTAATGATCTTGTTGACGACTTCTACAGCCAACACAAAAGAAAGTCATACTTTCCTCTGAGTCAATTCAAGGTTAATGCATACTTAATTTATCCAAACTTGATACCTATATTGATCTTACTAATAACTACATTACTGTTCATACTAGTGAAAAAATAAAAAAAATCTTTCTTCTAAGCCTATCCAACATTAATATGTCACACTTACAGCCCGATACGTCCGAACACATCGTTTTGACAAGAACGACTCAAACTCTCGGTCGATTGTCAGTTTAGTTGGATTCGTCATGAAATCATAGTACTTATGTAGCGCTATGCCAAGGTTTTGCCCCAATAACTCGTCTAAAAATTATTGTGATCACTCAGTAGATCGCCATAATATATCATGATCAATATGACATTTGAACTCACATCCAGACTTCAAGTACGGTGTAGCCTGTTCATCAGGATTGTCCTTTTGTTTGTAGGAAAAGAAGGACACCTCCATCGTGTAGCACATACAACTGTCGTCTAACAGTTCACCCATTGTTCTAAAATTGTATTTTATGACATTTTTAGCATGTAATATTACTTTGAAACCTATTCCGAACTGTAATTCAAAAGATATTATAGTAATAGCATATCTATAAAAAGATATAGTAAAAGACATTGTACTAGTAAGAAAATGATTACCTCCGATTGGTACCAGCCTTTTCAGCATCAGTATTGAACTGAGTATACTGTAAACTATAGTCTTCTGTCAATTCAGCCAAAGCATACGGTAGTAGTAACTGTTGATTACACTTCCTAGGTGATATGGTATTCATGTTACCGTACAAAAACGAGTTGGTACGTTGAGAGTGGGCGTGTAGATCCAAACACATAACTACTTCTGATCTCTAAAACATTGGCCATTAACATATCATAAATAGTTAAAAATCAGGTATTACCTATGTCTGTATATATACATGTATGTGTAAGTATTTTTATACAGTTGATATTAGGTTGTTCATATTGTTATATGCCTTCAACCTCAACCCCGAAAATTTGCTTTCAGATGAGGCGCAGAATTATCTGAACAAGCTAATATCTTTGTGAGTCATAGTAAAAATAAAAAATAATGTGGCACACTTACAGAGCTTGTATTGTAATGTAAAAGTAAAGCCTTGGTGGCCGCTATAGTAGGATGAGCCCAAACTGAAGGATGTTGCCATTGCCTGTTCAAGTCAAATCCCATCAAAGAACATCTACAAAATCAAAAATTACTTTGACTAAACAATTTCAAATTCTAAAAATTCAAAACCATACAGTAAAGTTTTAACCTGGGCCACAGTAGAGTTAACCTTTCGTCATAAAATGGCATAAAAAATCTCGAAATATAAAGAGACAATACCTGTAATTTCCAAGAAAAACCCCATCAGGATTGAGCATGGGCACTATCTTGAAGATGTACAAACTCCGTAGCTTCTTCGCTCGTTTGTCGTTACTCAAAATAAAATCCAGAAAACCATGTAGCACATGACTTGAAGGTGATTCTCCAGGGTGGACTCGAGCTGTGATGAATATTACCTTCTCCTTCCTGCTCTCGTTCATCATGTTTTCGTGTGAGGTTACTGTTACCAAATCTACGCGTCGTTTTTGCTAAAGTGTAGTATTATGTTTTTACAGTGGTAAAACTAGATAATAAAAATTTTGATTTTGAATACTATAATACTATTAGGTTGTTCAAATAATTCAGTGCCCCCTTTCAAAGCACATTTTCGGCGCCAGAAAGCATATTTATTTGAACAGCCTAAGATACCATACACCCTACAGCTTTGTCCATAATTGTATAAAGTCGTGTAGCAATGACTTACCACAGTATAACACAGCGCTTCTCTTTTGAAATAATTTAGATTCTTTTGTTCCAGCAAAGTTAAAAAGTCTTGTAACTGAGTATACGAGTACGGTATACAGTATGCAAATTCACAAGAAGTGACATTTTTGAAAACATGAACAAATGACAGTATGAACCTGTCACCGTGAACTTGGCTACGGTAGTAATATATATTCTTTGGCGCTATTCGAGCCCTAAAAATAGAAAGTCAGGTACTTGGTCAAAGCCTGATTATATATGTTATCAAACCTAAAATCCATATCTTTATAAAATTCTGATTCTATATGTTTATAAAACTTTCATAACGTACCATTCCGTGCCAACAACATCACCGTGCTCTCTGTAGACAGGCGAAGCTTGCCCAGTGTCAAATAGATTCCGCAGTTTTGAGAAGTTGACAACATTAAACATAACCCTTTGGTTTGGTTGAATATTCTTGACAGAAAAGTAAAACCAGACTCGGTATTTGGGGTTACAAGTGTCTGGTCGGATGAACAGATCGTACTCAAACATACTTAGTTCGTCTACTCTACCAAGGTTTCCTAAAATAAAATTTGGTATTGTAAAACAAGTAGTAATGCATGGCAAGCAGTTTTTTCAATATATAATAAAAAACACCAAAATACCTACTACAACATAAAGTCCCATAGCTTACCGCATTCAAAATTCGCGTCAAAGATAAGATGCCCTTGAGGCATCGTATCTTGTGTCGTTGTGACATTACCAATGATCGGTGGTGGCAGAGCCATACTGACCAGTACCCTTTATCCAGAAGCCAATGTTCGGCTTCAGAAGTCTCCGTTCCGGAAGCAAAGCCAGAGATCGGTGAAGCAGAATTCCTTCGGAATAAACACCTGTCTCAGGCTTCTGCTGACAGCCGGCTGTAGCCTGTCACCCACACCCGATTTCAACACAAACCCACATAGTATGTGAGATATTTATATCAACATGGTATACTACAATATACATGCGTCAATTTAGCAATGAAAATGTTATATTTCAACTCCATGGAGCTTGGCAAACATCTTGACGAAATCGTTATGCGACGCGTAAAGTTCAATACCAGACTCCACCGTGACAAATTCCACATGAGCAGCGTCTGAACCTGCCTGAAAACGTACTTTGTATACGTGACATTTTAAAAGATGTACTACGCTCACACTTTATACGATTTTTTATGAAAAAAAATGATTTTAGATACTTGTCGACTCAAAATATAACCAAAAGTTAAAAAAATATATATTATACGAACTCGTACCTTGACCTTAGCCTTCGACAAAACATCTTTGTCGTCATGAAAGTTGATTACTGTAGTTTCCATCCACGAATTGTCAGTATTACGATGATCATCGACGTACCCTTCGTATAACACCTTACCGCTATTAAACAGATCGTCTAGGTTCTTGTCTTCTACATTGTCCAATGCTTCTTCTGTAAATTCTCGCTTCGCCGTCGACGTAGCCGTTTCTCCTGGATCCACCATTCCTCCGGGCAGCGCCCATTCTCCTGTAGAACATTATATTAAAAATCTTCCTGTCAATTATCGTAAGCATGACAATATAATTAATAAAATAGTAGTACAAACAAATGACAATAAGTTTAGTATCAGATACTACAAGTTTAGTACAGTATACTACCTACCAGTGTCTCCCCTCTTAATACCAATAAACTGAAGCTTCCCATCCTTGAACCTTGACACAATAGGATCTCCAGCATGATTTGGGCCCCATTTGCCCAATATTCCTCTACCTCTTAGTCCAGTTCGGCCTACTGGATTCAAAGGTCTGTCATCATCGTCAAACTTGTATACACTATAAAGAAGTTAATGTTAAAAACCGAAGATTAATCATATAAACGATAATTTTAATAGTATTGATTATAAAGTAATAAATTTTTCCTTTTATTAACTTTTCAACCTAGTTTTGACAAAAATATAATATTATACTAGAGATAATATCGTAAAAACCTAAAAGTAATCTACCCCATCTTCGATCTTCTGTCGATATCACCATCGATGTCATTGAACTTCATATTCTTATTTATCGGTCCATCAGCCCAAGGTTTGCCTTCGGTCGACGGATCAGTGTACTCGACCGGTCGATAATCGTCAAACTTGACGTCCCATTTCACTTTGTCTTCCGGCACTTTGAACCGGAACACATTGTCACTTTTGAGGTATGGTTTGTCTGAAAATACTTAAAAATACCGAGGTTTCTTACCGGTAGTCAGACATTTTCTGTGAATCGACATGGTTCTACTAGCCAGAATACGAGCTTTCATCCAACGTTTTTTCAAGTTCCCTTAGGCGGAATTAATTCGCTTCATAAAGTTTTACGTAAATCTAAACTGTTTTTGTTATGAAAATGTGTTTGGTATGTTTATACTTGAAATGCTTTCAAAATTCTAGTCAACAAGATTTTGTAAGGTCAAATTCTAGTAAACAGAAGAGTTGAACGCAAAGTATCTTTGGAGATATGACCATTAAACGCAATATCAATGGTTTTATATTACCTGTAATAAATTACTTCAAAACTATTTAATACTTACATAAATATAGTCAAAAAAATAAACAATAACAACAAACTGACGTATTTTTTTTATTTACGACACATTTTCTGGATTTTTATGAACAACAACAAACGGCGAACTGCGCCCGGCTAAGAAATAAAAAATAAAAAAAATGGTGAAATTAAAATTTTTGTCAACTTATTGGCGTTATTTGCCGCATCTAACGAGAATTACGTGTTAAAAACGCTTCATATCTTATTTTACATATCTTAACATTATTTTATACGTTTTAGAATGGTGGATGCATCTACTGTGATAGGAGGAGGTATATACGACGATGTGGACGAGTATTTGTCGAGACAAGATGGCAAGATTGTACGAACGGGTACAGGGATGATGTGTAGACATCGGCCACAACAAAGATGTTCACATTGTCTTCCTGTTGATGTAAGTTTTACTATTTTAAACGTTTACTTGGTTCAATATCATCTATACCTAAATAAAGGTTTACTTTAACGTAGTGTATGTTGTCCTGATAATCTTGAATTTTTGCAGCCATACGACGAAGATTACCTCAAAGAGAAGGAAATCAAACACATGTCTTTCCATGCCTATGTCAGGAAGTTAACCGATGTTCACGGTAAAGGAACGCATCTGAAGCAGCCTTTGGAGACCATTAACTGCAAGCTGGACTTGTCGTGTACTAATCACAGACCATACCCTCACGGAGTGTGTACTAAATGTAGACCTTCGACTGTTTCACTGAATCGTCAGGTAAGGTTTATCATCTCTGATTATTATTTAGGTAAATTTTGGCAATAGTAACAAGTACAAACTTTTAAAAAGTAGGAATTATTAATCGGTACTTTTACTTAACCTTTATTGTTGTTTTTTTTTTGAGTTTTATTTGCAAAGAAAATATCAGGAATGTGTTACCTAAACAGGATATAATATTGAAAATACAACAAAAAGACCTTTATTTAGAATTACCGCCACGTGGATAACATTACAATTGAAAACGAAGACGTTGTGAACAAATTCTTGGATTTTTGGCGTGCGTCGAGTCACCAGAGAGTAGGATACCTAATTGGAAGGTACGAACCTTTTGCTGATGTACCTTTGGGTATCAAGGCTGTTGTGACAGCTATCTACGAACCTCCACAGTCTTCTGGAGACGCTTCCGTCAAGTTCGAAGATGTGGATCCTAATGACGAGGTTGTGGATAAACTATGCTCGATGTTGGGGATGTCGCGTGTAGGGTGGATCTTTACCGATTTGTGGGCATCCGATCCCCAAGCTGGTACTGTTCACTGTACCAGACACAAGGAGTCTTTTCTACTTACTGCGAAGGAATGCATAACTTCTGGAGCGTTTCAAACTAAGTACAAGAACAAAACTCCCTACTGTAGTGATGGGACGTTCGGGTCAAAGTTCGTGACGTTGGTGGCTTCTGGAGACGAAAGCAAACACATCAACTTTAGTGGGTATCAAGTTTCGAACCAATGTTCAGCTCTAGTCGATGCTGAGATCTTGTGTCCCACATCACATCCTGAGCTAGCGTGGGTCAGAGAGAAGCCTCTTCACGAGAAGCATTATATTACTGATGTTCAGTATACAGTAAGTTTTTTTGTATTTTGATTCAACGATTTAGTGAAGGACTCATCATTTGTTTTGGCTGTTTTTTATATTTAAAATTAAAACTTAAAGAATTAGTTTAAATGCTCGTTTTAGGAGAAAAACGAGTTTGGAGCTGAGGTTTTGAAGAATGGACGTCCAATGCCGGTAGAGTACTTATTAGTTGATGTGCCTGCTGGTATGCCAAAAGATCCGTGTACTTCTTTTCATGTTGTTAACTCAGCCAAGGCTTTCCCAATTGAAAACAGAGAGCTGATCGGTAAAGCTCAAGTAAGTTATGTTGTTAATGACATCGCTTTTTTTAAAACGTCGTTTTATCAAATTTGCCTTTGAGGCATTAAATTTAAGGAAAATTATAATAATATTGTTTTAGGATCCTCATACAGTGTCCACCTATGTTTTGGACTTCTCTAGCAATCAATTTTTGGAGCTAATTTCGAATTTCCACTTCCTACTGTATCTTCTGACAAACAACTTGTTGAAGTTTACCGAGGAAGAGGTGAAGGAGCTCTGCAAGTTTGTTATTGAACATAATCGGGAAGGAGCAGCAGAATGGGCGGAGAAGAACCAAAACTGGGCTACCTTCTTGGAATTAATGAAATCTCAAGGTAATTATGAGAACATCGTTATTAATCGTGTTATTTTAAAAACCCGCTTATAATTATTCCGCGATGTAAATTTATAAAAAGTATTATTTGTGGACTACCATTATAAAATCCATGATTTCAGAAGGTCAATCAGCCAACTTTGCCGCCGCCAGCCAAGCCTGGGCCTGCAAGCACTGTACCTTCGAGAACACGGAAGCCAAGGATGAGTGCGCAGTCTGCGGTCTTCCGAATGCCTGAATACATGTCTGACCCCATTATGTTGTTGTAATGCAAACGTATATTGAAAAATAAACGGATATATTTTCAAACAGGTTGAGTGGTTTTTCTCGAAGTCCACTTCGTTCCTTCCTTCTTCGTCTTTGAAATCTCTATTCGTGATCGCTGAATCGGAGGAAACCAAGTTCAAATTGCTCATCATAATCTTTTTTTCGCTTTTTGACATGTACGTAGTTTGTGTTGATGAGTTTATATGCGCGAATATTGTCATCCTGAGGGGTTTTGTTATCCTATGCTTTGAATTAACATGAAGTAGTAATTTATATAAAATTTTATTTTATCGATAACAAAGATAATGTTAAGACTAAAAAAAAATTTTATGCCCAACCATTAACATTTACCCACTTTTCGCAATTTGAAATATTCAAAAATACCTTTTATTCTTTCGCAATACTCTCTCGCGAAGAGGTGTCAGAGAAGAAAACAAATTCAAAAAGAGTATGTCTTTTTTTCTCCGACCACCTGTCTAACCCAGTCGTTTCGCAAGCATCTCTTTTTACTCCTTCCCTGTTTTCGCCTGGTTCTTCAGCTTTGCGCAGAGGCGATAACGTGACCAATGAGGCCTAGCCGAGGTGCGTTTATTGCTGGTTGAAAACTTCTACCAATTGCCCGCCGCGCTACCTGCTTCAAGCGGTATGCGTAGGCAATTTTTGGACGGCCAATGGGCCAGATATAAACCAAAAATTTAGAAATGACAATATGTCGCTGTATGTTCAAATTAATCTATAATATCACGATAGGTCAAAAAGTGTATAGAAAACTATGAGAAAAGGAAATCTTTCAGCTTTCACTCATTTATTACTATTGTATATCTCATAAACGTTTTTAACGATAAATTGCTATCACAACATATTTTGCTCTTACAGTAATGAAATACATTGCAATTTTACTTGCAATAACAAACGTAGTAAATGCGCTGACCGACTATACATTATCTTGTCAACGAGGCTACAGGATATCAGGGATCAAGCGCTTGAACAGTCCGAGACAGCGCGATCAAGCCGGCTCATTGAGTATTGAATGTCAGTCGATAATGGAGAATGATCTTGACTCAGTAAGAACATATCTTTCATAATATAACTTTAAGTAGATATCTTGCCAAACATTGACTAGCACTCCTCAATGTAACGGTCAAATGGAAGGATGTTCCGGATCACAATGGCTGGCTGGATTCCATGCTTATGCTATCGAGAACAACACTAATGCTGTTCTGTAAGTGTGGCTTATGAATTTATATTTATGTTTAAATTTGAAGATAGTAAACTAATTTTAAAAAATTATAATTGTTTCTTATGTTGTTAATATTAGATGAACATACTAACTGTCATTTCAGAGAATACGATGACGAAGTCAAATTTCAGATTAGATCCAGTATGTTGCTCTTCTCCCAAAATTAAGGTGGACTCGTTGAGTTGTGCTACAGAAAGGTTAAACACACCCGTGAAGCCATTTGAGCATACAATTTTAGGACAAGATTTGATCTACCGGTGAGTACATCGTTACAATGACGATACTATTCTACTCGTTTTAAAGTTAAAACAAAACCTTTCAGAGGTATTCAATGTTGGCATCAGTATAATGTAAACAATACATTAGTGGACTTGGTATGGAAAGTCGAGATTTGTCAAACACAATCTCTACAAGCTTTGTCATTGGACGCAAACTCGTGTAAGTTGATGTTTGCTTAATTTGTTATAATTTATGTTATTCAAAACCTAAAACAAATTTTGGATAAATTATCACAATTGTTAAAAAAAACTAAAGGTATTATTACAGTAACTGGAAGCTGTCCACCATGTGAGTGTCACTGTGGTATTGACACCTGTGGTGATGGAAAAGAGCCGATCAGGGTGACCCACAAACACATGAATACAGACAACTGTGGCTGCGACTGTCTGTGTAGATATGAGTGTATATAACTTTAACGACTTTATTACGGAGTCAGTTAATAAATTAATGAAAATTGAAAATGTTTTATGACCAGGGTCCTCCTCTTCCTTTTCCCATCGGTCTAGCTGGTCTTTGTGGCATGGAATAGAAGCCGGGCAGCGGGTTGGGCCTTCCCATAAATGGTTGTCGTGGTGGCGCGGTGCCATGTGGTTGGTTCCTGTTCATGGCCCAGTACCATTGGTGGTCCATAACATCTGCTTTCATGTTGTTCAAGTTCAAAGTCTCTAGTCCGGTTGCAATTGAATTTCCTCCTGGAGGCATTGGTGATTTCGATTCAAAATCTTGTCGATATGATCTTCTGGGGCCCTCTTGGTGTTCCCAAATTGGTCTTTGTACTGGGCCGTCCATGTAGCTTCCTCTGTACGACGCGGGAGGGGCATAAGGTGCTGAATTTGAAGGTTTTGGGGCGGCAGGAGAGATACAGACTGACGCACCATCGATGATGAAGTCTTCTTTCCTAAAAAATTAATGAGTTATTAAAACGAATTTCCATTTTTTGATTCAATCTACCTTTTATTAGTAAGGGTTACTCTAAAAATGCAAATTTAAATAAAAAAAAACTTACTTTAAAAGAACTTTGGCTACGTAGGCGCTTGACAGAGTGACAAAGCCAAAACTTCTGAATGGACTTGGAATGAAGGCATCGACAACCTTACAAGTGGGATCAATCTTCTTTGCTTCGGCCAAAAAGAATTCTCGAAGCTTTGACAGAGTTGTCTTCGATGTCAATCTACCAACAAATATCTTCACATCTTCCGGACGGACGTCAATACCCTGAATGTGAGTATATTATAACTCGAAAGTTTCTTTAGCTGATTGTAAAACGTATAATACAAGTACCAACCCTAAAAAGCAATTAGAGGAGGCCAAATATTATGCAAACATTACCTTTGAAGCCGGCAGTTTAACTTGACACTTCCTTGTTCCAATCGTGTGCTCGGTGCTCAGAACTTTACTCTGCTGTTCGATGTTGTCCATTTGAACAAACCCGAAGCCTCTCGACTCTCCTTGCTGATCTTTCTTTATCTTTAAAAAGCATTAAACTACATAAACGACCGGCCGAACATACCTCACACAACACAACCTTCCCGAACCGCTCAAAGTACTCTCTCAACTCGGACTCAGTCAACTTGTACGGTAACCCTAACACGATGAGATCCGAGCATGGAAGCTTGGGCTCTCTTGCATTACCACTCAAGGCCTTTTCGGAATCGACCGACTCGTCGGACGACTTGTTTAATGTCGCCGGTTTACTTCTTGGATAATCTTCCTCATTCAAACGCTTCAACTTGGCATTCAACTGACCCCCGTGATGCAGTCCACTCTCGCCGTCACTATCACTCGTCACAGAATCGTCCATCATTTTCTTACGTTTTGGATTCTGATCTCCTGCAAACGGTTCACACATACGATTGCCCTCACATTTGAGAAAGTACTTATTAATTATATATAATAATGATATACTCCTTCATGAGTAGTACTGCCTTGGTTAATTACGACTTTTTTCTCACTACTCATATATCATGCACTCAGCTTCATATAAAAAAAATTTTTTACTTTTTCGCTCAAAACTCTTCATAACTTTGTACAGAAACCTTCGAAATACACATATATTATAATTCCGGTTTCCATAACTCGTAAACTATCTTTTCACGTTCTTACATATCAACATAAGCTAATAACAGTATAATACACAACATTACCCCTTTCGTACCACCTCCACATAAATATCATGAAACCAAAAAAACGCTCGATATACAACAACCTCAACCATAATAAGCCTACCTGCAAGTGTCCGCTTAGCCGGTTCACTTTGATAAATCACCAAGAACAACTTGTCCGCCCATCCCCCAGCAGGTGGAAAGAACTTGCTGCCAGTCGCGTCTGTCCTAAACAAAAAATAAACTAAGGCTTAATAACTTACAAAAGAGCTCGAGTAGCGCCAGTGGCTGGATTCTTGTATTTCAACCCATGAGCTCCAGGGAAAGCTCGGGTCAGCGTTGATAAGCCTAGAGAATTATCTTCAACATTCGTGGGAAGCTCCATTGGTTCTCCACTCGCCGAGTCGCTCACCACAACGTATTCTGGCTAAAATAAGACATCTATATAAGCTAATAGTAATAAAACCGCTTTTCATGACATATTCAAAATAGAATTAACGTTAAAGCAATTGCAACACCTACCTCAACGACTTCTTCAACCACCTCCTTCTTTGCTTCCATCTTGACCCAAATGAACTAAAATGGCAAATTGTTAAATTAAAAGATATTAGTGAATATCAATTAAAATTTTAATTATAAATGTCGTCAACAAGACCAAAAAATCAAATAAAAGGCCAGTTATCAAACTGATAAAAACAAAAGGACAAGCAAAATATGTAAGTTTATTCCTAAGCAGTAATTTGTCCTGGATAAGCATCAACGCGGTTTTTGCGCATTAAGAACTTCATCTTTCTGTTCATGTCTTCTCGAACGATGGCTTGAGATGCATCTATAGACAACTGTTTCCTCTGTTGACAAGGCTTGATATAGTACTGCGTATTTCTGATAATCTTCATCAAACCTTCCTTTTCCATTAACCTGAAATTTTGAAAAATATGAATACTTAAAACAATATAGAACTTGTTTCACATTATTTATGATAAAAAAACATATATTTTGCACCTCGCCTAAAAACATTAACAAAAACCAAAGATATTACCTGTTCAGAAGAGTAAACGCTTCGTCCACGTCGTTGTTCTCAACCATAACAGTTTTAGTTGTGAATTTAGGATGTCTTCTCCACATTCCTGCCAATTTTACAGCAAACGGCTGCCTCAACGCAGCATTCCAGAATCTTACCATTCTAAAGATAAAATGAATAAGCAACAAAGATAGAAACTACGTAAAAGTAATTTTTGTTTCGTTTCAGATATAAGAAGATTAACACTGGTGCACCAAATAAATTTACGATTTTCCAGAGGAAAATTATCTCGCGTCAAGTCTTCCTTCAGCCAATCGAGTCAACTTTTCTCTTTGTAAAATACGGTTTACCAAACACCTGATTTGATTGATCTTGCAATTCGTTCGCAGATTTTATTTTAAGATCTCAGAAATCTGTTTTACAAATTTTTGTTTTGTTACCTAAATTTTATAAAACACGTTATTGCTCTGAATTTTTTTGAAGAGGCCAAATTTTTCATTTTGATATAATTTCTGTAGTACTTTCAATGTTGAAAACCAACAAGTTAGTATATATTTATTCAGTTAACGGTTCAACAAGTGTAATATTGTTTATGTTATTGCTTGGAGTAGTTTTACAACTTTGCAGCTTGTTTTAACAAAGTTGGAAGCTGGTGGAAACGTTGGGGATCTGAGTTTAAGCCGAACGTTCCAATACGCCAGATTTTTCCAACAGTGGCTCCAAGTCCACCGGCAATTTCCCATTTTTGGGACATTAAGTTGTCTTGGACACTTTTCCAATCGACTCCCTCTGGCACTTTAACTGTTGTCAAGCATGGTAATCGGTTTTCCTGAAACAAAATGTTTTTTTTTTGTTAACCGAAACGTAGAAGAATATACATGTTATGCTCATATATGTTCACTGTAAAAGATGATATTGAATTCATTTACTTCTTTTTGGACGAAGCATTCAAAGCCGTTATCATTGAGTAATTGGTACAATATCTTGGCATTAGCTTGATGGCGTTCTACCGACTGGTCGATTCTTTCAACAGCTACAGCTGCCAAGGCTTCTCTGAGGGCATATACGAGAGATACCATTCCTGTGTGATGGTATCTTCTGGCCTCACCGAAGCAGCCCCAATAGTTACCGAGTTCAAGAGCGTCGAAGTAAAATGAGGCCACAGGCGTTTTGCGGTTTCTCAACTTTTGTCTAAATATTTTACATTGAGATTCATAATGAGGAAAGAGATTTACATAATGAGTTAATCCTACAAGCGACTTGCAACCTATCATAAAAACCTGTATGTATTCTATTACAGCTATATGACTATAGTATATCCTTACACAGCCAGGTCAGAAAAAGAAATAGGAGCAAGTCCTGGTGGAGCATTCAGAGCTTTTTGTGTAGCCGAATACACACAGTCCACTTCAAGTTCATCGGCTTTGAATGGCGCTCCAGCCAACGAAGCTACAGTATCCACGACTAATAAAGCCCCATTTTGATGACAAATAGGGCCGAAGCCTTCTAGAGGATGCAAAACACCGGTACTACTTTCTCCTTGACATACGAATACAGCGTGAGGTTTGAAGGTTTCTACTTCCTGAAAGGATTTTTTGGTCAAAAAATAAATAGAAAGATTAAAATAAAATAAATAGAAAGATTAAAATATAATATTTAATTTTATATTCAAGTTTTATGTTTTTACTGTATTTTCCGAATTTGCAATTATTTTCAATTACTATGACGTTACATTATAGACTATCTGATCACTTGTGTAAATACCTTTTCAAATTGATCCAAAGTAGCCACTTCACCGTCAGGCACGCTGAGAACGTGCACGTTCAAGTTCAACCGCTTCCCCAGACTAGCCGCTCTCTCTCCCCATAGTCCATTTCTGATGACCAAAAGCCTTTCACCTGCTTCGAGACAGTTTAACAAAGCACACTCCATTCCCGCATGTCCTGTTCCGCTGACGACGAAAGTCAATGGATTCCTGGTCTGGAATACGTACTTGACACCCTCCCTGACGTCGTCCATGACCTTCAGGAACTCGGTATGCAAATGACCCAACATTGGCTGAGTCTGGGCTTCTCCCACCTCTTTTCTGACGTTACTTGGCCCTGGACCATACAGCTTCTTGACTGGTATGTTAACAGGTTGAAGAAGCTGGTCTGGTGGAACGATCGGGTTGTTTTTGAAAGCCATCTACAAAAGAACAGTTTAAAAACCACAAGGTAACACGTTCGCAAACATCTTGATCATGGAAAACAATATACCTTTAAACTGAAGAAAGAAATACGTTTCTCCAGTGAGTTAATAAACACGATCTTATCTGGTCAATAGATAATACGTGTTTATTTCAATACCATTCCCCTCGGTTATTCAATGCAAGAACACAAACTATATCTACATCAAACTCACGTTGGCTGCAGCTGAACTCCATCGTTTTGTAGCCACGAAAAGACGGCTCCTGGCAAACATTGTCTTGCCCTTCTTTCTTCGAAATTAACCTTTAAAAGCTTCGTCGACCCAAAGTCACACCCCAATCAGGAGGGACCAACAAAAAGTTCAACCGAAAGCTGGTCGGACCTCCTGCTTCGCTTTCCTTTCCCTGCAGACCAACTGATAAAACTGACCATCCATTAAACCTTCGGTCGTTTATCCGAATTCGAATTGGCAGGAAAATAACATGTTTGATTGCTTAGAGGTATAATTATACAAAACTATACGTCTGATAACTGCTGAAAATGAAGTAGTGAACTAACATTATTTAATTTTAAAAATTCAGGAACGTATAATTACAAAAAATAAACAAAAATTCTTAAAGTAAAATTGCAAGCCTTAACAATTTTACTTTTACGTTTATCAAGGCTTATAAAAAGTTACTATACGAAAAAATCAAGTAATAATATAATTTATGCTCCGCAGACTGCATAAAACAGGGGCGCAAGCTGCAGTTTTCTTATTTCTTTATTTTTATGGAAAATTCCTTTTTTTTTGAGTTACTAAATATTGGCGTAACACTCATTATAGTCTTTTGAGTAAGTACATTTCATAGATGTAATAATTTAATTAATCTTTTGTAAATTTAATTTTTTCTTTTTGTGAAATTTGCAAAGAACTTTATCATTGGGTGGTTTATATTGACTTATAGTTTACATTGTGGTAATAAATTATTTCGTGGAAATTCTCGAGCGTTTTTAAGTTTAAAATTACTAAAATAGTCGTTTTAGATGAGCTCCGACAACCAGGTTGTCATTAAAACGAGTTTGAAACTGAAGAAAGGTAACATCTTCAAGAAGAAGAAGAAAGTTGATCTCCGTGAAATCGATTTGACGATCAAGAAGGAAGATGAGGGACGAAAGAAAACAGCGGCCGAGTTAGCATTTGAGAAGCGTCAGAAGGAAACGGCATTCGAAAGATTATCCAAAAAGGCGGCCATCAGTCACAGGGAGAAGGTGGAGCAGTTCAACAAGCAGATGGAGGAACTGACCGAGTTCAACGACATCCCCAAAGTCTCTTGGACCAAGTAATTGCCCGGTAATGTAAATAAATTGCCTTTAACTTCCAAACGTTTAATTTATCAAACAAAAACAATATCGTATTTTATTCATCACTCTTGACCTCGGTCTTCTCGGAGCTGACCAGCACGGTGACTTCTTCTTCGATCGTGTCAGAAGGCGGCTTATCGGTGTCAATACCGCGTCGCAGCCGGACTCGTTCGGACTTCTCTTTCTCGTAGGCTTCTTTATGGGCTTTTCTTCTGGCCTCGAACTCTTTGGTGATGATACGACGTTTTTCAACAAGTTCTTTGGACAACTTCTGTTGCTCCCGACGATCTTCCTCCTCGAACTTCTGGGATGTGATCTTGAGGTTTCTCTTGATCTCCTTCTGTTTCTGTTCGGTTAGGTGAACTGGAGGTCTTGGCCGCCATCTGAATCTCATTATGGTCTCGATACTCTTCTTGTACAGTTCTCTTCCTTGGAATGAGTGGATTCGGTAGCTGGCGTCATGGCGAGAGTGGAAGGACCCGGTAACAAAATAACGACCAGTGGGGTCCCAAGCACACTAAAACCGTTCCTTATTACTTACACTTAATTTTAACTTTAAAAACTTCAACCTAGTAAGATTAACTTACATAGTTAAGGTTAGGATGTTCGACTGTCTTGGTTTTCGTGGTTTCGGATCCATTCACGTCAATAAAGAACACATTACCGGCCGTGGAACCGTTACCGTAAACAGTAAGGTAACCGCCTTGTGGAGCCCAGGAAACAGTGTTTAGTTGAATACCAGATTCCATACGCGCCAAAACTTGTGGAGTCGGTTTATCCTTTTCGATTTTGTACAAACATGGAATCGTTTTGTTCGAAGATCCTTGGAGGACACAGAATCTGTCACCTAAAACCAGAATAACACAATCAACAGAGACACTTACCTTTAGGTTCCCATCCGAAGCTCACAAAAGGCTCAGCCAATTGCATCGTCTGAACGGCGATCAATTTGGAAGTGAAGTCAAAGATCTCAAGATGAGAAGCAACTCCTGTCAACTTCATGGCACCATCTTTGTTTTTCCTCATGGAGTTGTACCTTTCAGTGTGGGCGGCCAAATAGTTACCAGCCTTCTGCCAGAATAAGTTAGCGCACGAGACAGAGAAAATTCGCTGAGCTCTGATCTTTTCTCTTGATGGGAACTCAACAACACCGATTTCGGCTGGGGCATTCGCTGCTGGCTGAAAAAAATTAACATAAGAACTGACATTACTAAAAATTGTTTAAAAAGAAGAAATACTATATATTAACATACCCTTTCTTCACAGTAGTAGGCAAACATGTTCTTTGATGGGTTCCATTCGAATGTTACCAGACCGTCCAACTCGACAGTCTTGTTTTGATTCAAAGTGAAGGTTTCGGTATCATAAATGAATATCGTGTTTCCTTTCGGCCGACAGAAACCAAAGTATTTTTCATCGTGAGACCACTTAATGAACGGCCAAGAATTGACAGCTCCTTGTCCCTGATTTGATGGAGAGAAGGTCTTCTTCAGCTCACCGGTAAAGACGTCAAAAATTCTCAATGAGTTAGTCATGTCAGTGGCGCCACGACGGTCGTTGCATGAGTATGTAACCAAGTACCTAAAATACAAATATGTAATTAAACTTCTCATGGCAGACTGTTAATCAACTTTATATAAAAACTTTTTGACCTAAATATCAAAAAGATAAAACAAAACTTACGATTCACAAGGAGAGAACTCGATGTACTCAACGTTTTCATGAGAGAACCTTTGAACTTTGGTAAACTTTTCACCAGCCCACAAAGCTATGCCCATTTTATGGAAAGAGGCTAGGTATGTTCCATAAGGAGACCACTTGAATATACTTTCTGACCAGTTCTAAAATAATCATTGATTAGCAAATATAACACTATAACTATGCATACCCAATATCTAAATTAAAAAATAACTCTTAACATACCTCACGAGCTCCTTCGTCGCACACACTGACTTCAGTACCGTTGTGGTTCCAGTAGTTAGCCAAAGCAATCGTGCCATCTTTTGGATTCTGCACTTGGATCGCGAAAAGGTCTTGGCATTTGCTGTTCTGAGCCCACCACCAAAGATCTCCCTAAAATAACAACGTTAACAAATTACCTTAAAGGAAAGTTACCTTAATTTCCTCGAAAAGCATAAAAACACTAAAAATTTAACAAAGCTAAAACAACATAAACTTACAACATCGGTAAATGTTCGACGATCAGGAACCTTCCAGTTATCATCAGGCTGCTCAAGATTCCTCAAACTGCTGAAAGAGTAGGCACTGAATGTGTGGTTCTTGTCCAAGTTGAAGTTATCAATCAAGATTCGCGCGGCTTCAGCAGCTTCTTTGTTTTGATACTCAATAAAACAATATCCCTAAAGAAAGTTATAAAAAAAATATTATAATCTCACCTTTGTTTGATTTTTTTCATCCAAAGGATATTCATCTACATAAGAAGCCTTCTGAAGACCAAATACTTTCGACAACACATTCTTCAGTTTAGGTAATCTCGCAGCGTCAATCACTGGAATTCCCCACACCATAACACATCTTTCTTCGTAGATACCAGTCGAAGGTTCTTTCTCCAACAAGTCGGCCAGAAGTTCTAAAAATGAAAATCGAAAAAATTATGCAACAATTACCTTCATCTGTGATGTCGTCCACGAAGTCTTCTGGGTCAGAATAGTCGTCCACTTCAAGCAGACTATTCAGCTCTGCTACAGCCATTAAAATGCTACTTTTCGCACTGTTTACACTTTATTTGGACACGTACAATGTTTTCAATTCAAACCATAAAATTTTATTTTATTATTTCTCTTCCATACAGTACTTGTCTGAGTCCCGCCACGAAAACAAAGTTCTGTCGCGGAATGCCAGACGTTTATGTTTGTTGAGTAACATAATTTACAAATCGTATTTAATAGCTCATATAAATAAATCATGTATTTGCATTATATGAATAATTTAATTTATGTGTGTTAAAGCAATCGATATTATCATAACTTTGTTATTACGCTTATTTAACAAAGTTCACATGGATAACATAAGCATATGGTTTTGTTGCATGCTTGTGCAAATTACACTGCGAAGAAGTGTATTAATAATGAGTTTTGAAGCAGATTAATTAACTTCGAGGAGGTTTCGTAGGCCGAACTCAAATAAACAAGGTGTATATACTTGGTAGAGAAGATAAGTACTCGTCCCAATATTGTTGTCCAAATATTATGAGTGTTATTGTTTTGCTGTATCAGCCGAGTGTTTTGTGAGAGATTCGAGGTAGGCGACGATCAGTTTGTTTTGCCTCCCATCGCCTTTTTTTGTGATTCGGTAATTGACTGACAGTAAAGTAGAATCGGAATATGTCATTTTTGATCAGATCAAAAGCCATTCAGATGACTGCAAACACGGTGGAAATGAGTGGAAAACGATACAGGCAACCGGCTAGCTTTTATTACAGTCAGTCTGAGGCAAACACTTTGAGTTTTTTTGACGTTGAGGGACCTGGAATGGCTTTTGTTTGCTGGTTAAAGGACCTAAAAGGTGAATATTTGAACTGTTAAGGACGTAGAAACATTAGATCTAAGAGTCTGGGTTGTTATAGATGGACTTTTGGATCTTGAGGTATTTTAAATTTAGTTTTTCTTTGTCAAAACACCTAAAAATTTGTGTTTTTGTCTGTTTCCATGGTCAAGAAGTTTTCAGAAGTCTTTCCAAAAGATTTTTGATATCTCATAAACCTTATTTTTACATTTCAACCGAATTTCTTAAACGTTTTTTTCTGTCTTTTAAGACACCAAACCTCTTTTCACTGTTATTTGACCTAACACAACATCCCTTAGGGCCTTAAACATGGGTTTTACCTTTTCAAGAACTCGAAACTCGGGAATACCTTTATTGGGGCTTTGTGGCGTGCCTGGACGAATTAGTGACAGCCCATGTTTTGCTAATTTAAAGGGCGGTGCCGATAATCAAAACTTAATTGATGGGGCCTTTCCTGTTTGACTTCCCTTCGGATTGGGAGCTGGCGACTGACTGTTTGACAAAACATCTTATCCCCACTTATCCACCCGGTGGCCCCTGTTATTACAAACCATCCCGTTCTAATTTTCACGTCTTCATTACGTCTTTTCGGCCACCCCTTGTCCCAATAGGAGGCTAATGACTTTTTGACACACGAGCATCTAGCCAACCATTAGATTCGTGCTCACTGCGGGCATTACACGCCTGTAAGTACGTTGCCTGCTTGTCTTGTTTATTTTGCCCGTGATTACGTCGAATGGACACTGTAATAAACATGGCGGACTCCGCCCTCTTTCCTTATTAACTCGAGAATTCAGGACAACTTGATGCGGGAGACAACGTAGGTATCTTGTTCAACATCCGCTTGCTTCTTCTGCATCTGACAGCTCATTTAAGCGAAACACTCACCCCGTTGCAACTGTCTCGAGCACGATGGCCAAGGTAAGGTTTGGAGAGAAGTCAGAATCGGCCTTTGGCCTCAACTTTCTTGGAGAGGCTCTTCCGGCCTCGGCTTCAGAACGTAACTTAATCTCAGGTTCTGTTTAATCGACCGAACCGGGGGGATGGGCTCCACTTTCAGTTTTTGATTGCATTTTGTCTTTTTGGTACTGTTTGTATAATCGATGTTTGTGTGGGGGTGGTTCTTGAGTTTGGTGGGCCGTTTTGACCTTTTGGTCTTTTGTTAACTGACCGTATCTTTGACACTTTTAGGTAGTAAAAGTAGTTTTTGTTGTGCAGCTGGAAAGATTCTTATAGGGACTGACCGGTGCAATAACTGGGCAGAACATTATTCGATTAATGATAGGTTTATGAAAGATTTAGGTATTTCCTAATAAAAAGTTAGGTTTTTTATAATTTTAATTATTTTCCTAGCTTTATTGTTTAATGTCTGGAGATCTAGGAAGCTTTTTGTAATGGTTTTGTTAAAAACTATGTCATTTTTTTCCCAATTTTTCAATGTAATCCATTAGTTATTTGTATGGATTTGGCAAGAATCTCGTGAAAACAAGTGTAAGCTGTTAATTTATTTACTGTAAAGTTATCTCTTCAAGTTTAATCGGATTAAAACTTTCTCAACGAAAAGCGCGGGAAAACGTATTTTTGAATTTTGTTGTTTTAGATCTGTTCTGCTGACTAGACTGTCACTTCCAAAGAACTAGAGGAAGTTACTTTTTGGGCCTCTCCTTTGTTCTTCGAAGATTGTTTGTCAATATTGTTGTTTATGTTGTAGTATGTCAAGTAGTAACAAATGGCTGATAGGCATGTTGCTGTCAACACTTCGAAGAGGAAAGAGATATTGAAAAGAGCAATACCTAAAAGTGTCTTGGACAGTGATGTTGTAATAGCAAGTGTCTGCCTCGTCGTTAGTCATTTGATTTGATCTTATCGTTCGTGTCGGTACATCAGGAAGACAATAACATAAACAAGAAGGGCATGATAAGCCTGTCCAGTTGTGCGACTAACAATTATTGTTAGATTGCATTAGCACAAAGCACCGGCCCTTTATTGTTGATTTTGACTTTTGGGGTCGGCGGGGCGGAAAAGTTCATAGGGGGGCTTTTAATGGCTGTCATTCCTTCACATGGTTTCGGCCAATTGACAAAGCATTTAATCGCTTTTTCAATAATCTCTTCTTCAACAAGTTTCGGGCTTTCCGACTTTGTCGTATTACCAGAACTCCGATTTGGGCTATGCACTTTAGGTGTGGTGTCGCTGACATTTCGGGCTTGTTTACCGGATTATTTTGTTGATTTAGGGGGGATTCCGGAGTATTTAAGCGGTAGTGTCTGGTGGTTCTGTAAAAGGTTACAAAAGTAACATTTTATGGTAATGAAGTAACAATAATATTGTCAAAAGCTTAGTCGTTTTCTGTGTTTGGTTGATTATGTATTGTCTATCAATTTGGTCAAAAGTTTTTAAAATTTTCTTGTTATCATTAACATTAACCAAAGCTAGGGTGTGTACATACTTTTTGACCTGTTACGTGTCTTATAAACATTACCTATCATCTAGTCATTTTAATTTTAAAATTCAAAACTCAGTTTTAATGATTTTCATTGATCCTGTAAAGAAAGTTATTGCAGATGTCATGGTTACGCAAAAACATCTTGCTCGTGGCCACGATAGCATCGGTCCTTCTGGGCGCCGTACTTGGTTTCATAGTCAGGACACAGCAGCCATCGCCCTTCACGATCATGGTGATCAGCTTCCCGGGAGAGGTGCTGATGCACATGTTGAAGATGATGATTCTTCCTCTGATTATCAGTTCTCTTATTTCAGGTAAGGTGTAGTAAAGTAAGCCCAACAACATATGTAGTAGATAGTTGTAGTCGAACTTGTTTGAAATGTAATTCAGGACGATTAATGGCTTTATTATTGTTTTATTGGCTGTAAAAATGATTACTTTTCAAGGAATTCATGTTTGTTACTTATCTTATTACTGTAAAGTACAATTTACTAATTATAATGTAACCTATGATACAATTATAATGTGATCTATACTTACAAAAACTGGTTTATACTGGTACCATGTTAGTACTAAAAGCTTGTGCATTTGTAAATAGTACCACCTTTTAGGCCTTTCACAGTTAGACGCAAAGCAATCTGGCCGAATGGGTTCTCTGGCCGTATTCTACTACTTTGCCACGACTCTATTGGCAGTAATTGTAAGTGATAGAGTTAAGTGTACCATACTGTTTAGACCGGCATCATCTTGGTGCTATCCATTCATCCAGGTGACCCGACCATCAAAAAAGACCTTGGTACTGGCGTGGAAGGAAAGAAGGTCAGTACGGTGGACACATTCTTGGACTTGATTAGGTATGTTACTTCTTATTTCATTGTAGTTTGTTTTATAATTTATTATACAGCAGTATCGTTGAATATTGTCTTAAAGTGCGTTTTTTATTGCCATGAGCAAAAAGATTGTTCTTGCTTTTGTATATTGTATAGCAATGTAAAAAATATAGTTACTTACTTTATATAACTTACTGTTACCTACTTTCAGAAACATGTTCCCAGAGAACTTGGTCCAAGCCACCTTCCAACAAGTCCAGACTAAATATGTAAAGGTTAGACCAAAGATTCTGAAGAAGAATGATACCGCTACATTAGAGCTACTGGCTTCTGGTGCTATGGATTATCTAGTACCTTCAGTAGAATACACATCTGGAATGAACGTTCTTGGTATGTTAAACATAAGCTAGCTTGGCTTTTTTGTAATACATTAGCACTGTGCAGAAAGAACTGGGGGTTGATATACATAATGTTGTTGAAGGCGATGGGTTGCTTCTTCAAAAAATTTTTTTGAAATTTTAAGTCGTATTTTAAGTAAAATCATATCGTTTTAGGTATAATTATATTCTGTATTGGATTTGGTATTGTGGTTAGTCAGTTGGGCGATGAAGCTCGAGTGATGGTTGACTTCTTCTCGGTTATGGACAAAGTCATCATGCAGTTGGTCGGCTATGTCATGATGTAAGTTTTTACATTTTTATTTATAATACTGTGAACAAAGTCGTATTTAAGCGAGGAAAGTTGTTATTTTACAAAAAAGTTTATATTATAGTCTAAAACAGATTGTTGAGCAAACTTTTTAATTTAGATACTCACCTTTCGGAATCATGTGTCTAATAATGGGTAAGATTCTGGAGATTCACGACCTGGGTGAGACCGCTCGCATGTTGGCCATGTACATGGTGACCGTCCTGATGGGTCTCACCGTGCATTCTTTGATTACACTGCCATTAATCTACTTTGTATGTACAAAACAGAATCCGTATATCTTCATGAAGGGCCTGCTACAAGCCTGGATCACCGCTTTGGGAACAGCCTCCAGTTCGGCCACATTACCCTTGACTTTCAGATGTCTGGAAGAGAATCTTGGAGTGGATAGGAGGGTGACGCGCTTTGTTCTACCGGTCGGCGCTACTATCAACATGGTGAGATTTTGAATTTAGTGTAAATAGCTAAATCGTCATAATATTTAGTTTTTAAGTTGATAAGTACAACATTATTAAGCCTTCAAAATGTTGTTTTAAAGCCTAGATTTGTGATTCTACCTATAAAATGACAATTTTAGGACGGAACGGCGCTGTACGAAGCTGTAGCCGCCATTTTCATTGCACAGATGAATGGAGTATACCTAAGTATGGGACAAGTCGTGACTGTCAGGTAAGACAAAAAGGGAAAGTGTTTAAAAAATGACACAATCTATATGTTAAGAGTAGTCAATAAACGTATGACCACTTACTTTTGTTAATACCCATCGTACTTCAGTGTAACGGCTACACTGGCTTCAATCGGTGCAGCTTCAGTACCATCAGCTGGTCTTGTAACGATGTTATTGGTACTAACAGCTGTTGGTCTACCCGTCAAAGATGTATCTCTTATTGTAGCCGTCGATTGGTTACTGTAAGTTTGTTTTCTAATGTTATTCTGTAATGTTACACGCTATTACTTATAGTTTTATAGCATTTTTGTTTGGATAGTGACAAATACTTTTGTACAAGGGATGACTTATGCCTTGTTTTTTGTTTGCATATTCATTTAGATAGCATAACATACAGGGGTGTTATGTTGACTTATGTTTTGTAATGAAATCCGGCTTTTGGTCAAGAAAATGCTTCAAAGTTAGTATAACTTCAGTAACAAAATTTAAGTTATTACAATTCAACGACGTTTTCTATTTTAGTGACCGTATTCGTACCTCAATCAACGTTATTGGAGACGCTTTTGGAGCCGGCATTGTTCACCACTTTGTCAAAGACGAGCTGGCACTAGCTGATGAACAACATCGCCGACATTCGCATATCGAACGTGGAGGATCCCCGACTAGGAGTGAGTTATAACTTTAGGTATAATCATCATCATATAAAAGTACAGAATAGGCCAAAAATGAAGATTTTAATTGATTATTTCGGTAGCTATTTGCAACATATTAGAGTAGTTTATTTTGATACGCAAATTAAGTTTTCTAAAAACTTTTTGACCAGATCCAACTTTTTTGAACAAGATAAGACTTACTTTGTTTCCAGCTGCCCTTCTGAATGATGACAAACATAACTCGAACTGGCGCCACTCCAAGGACCGTGGCTACGATCCGGTACCGCAAGACGACCACTAGATAGGTAGATATCATCGTATTGCAGTCACAACGGCATAACGTCTCGTTTCTTTTGGCAGTGTACTTACTGCACTGTGAATGGCATCACTTGTCATGGTATTTTCTCTCCCCCGTGTTTTTCTTTGCTTTTACGGTGTTGTAACTCTAATCAATTGTGTAGTTTGTATATTGTTTTTCTGTTCTATGAACTCATTCACAAATACCTGTAACCGCTCTCTTCTGCAACTTTGGATTCGATTTTTTTGTAGACAATAAACATTTGAAACGTTTTATTGCTGTTTAATGCTATTGTGTTAAGCGTAACATATTACGAAGCCAAGGCCTGCACAAGCCTCAATTCCATAGAATATCACTATATTATCATGCCAAATGATGTTAGACAACAAACTAAACTCAAAGAATAAAAATATAATAATATTTATTTAATTAATTTACATTTCGTTTGTATATTATACGATGGCAGGCGTTTTTACCGGGTTATAATTTAACATTGAGATCTTTTGAGGTTTATCGTTGGACCAGATCAAATCAAGATGAGCGAGAATGGAGAGAACGACCAGGAATGCTGTCGACTGAAATTGAAAGCAATATAAACTTTAAAAGCAATATCCCATTAGGCTGTTTACTCTAACATATACCTAATTTTTTAGTTTTTGTTTAACATAATTCAGGATTTTTATTTAGTATTCAAATTTTAAAGTTGGCCGGTTTTTTATTAGTTTTTTCAAATAATTCTGAGCCTTAGACAACATTATAATATTTAGTATTGCAAGTTATACATATTGTGAGCTTTTTCAAAACAACATTTCGCAAACTAAAAATGTTTTTTGTTCAAAATCTAGTTAGTTAAATTTAGAATTTAAACTTGCAAAAGTAGTTCAAGAAAAACCGTGTTATATTATGAAATAGTCTTGTAAGGAAGCAGCGATATCACCATCCTACTCCGTTATTCAGTGTAATTACTCCGTAAAGTATGAAAGTTGCTGTAAACAAGTCGACGAATGAGTCAAGTTCACCAAAGGAAACTTTTAAAAAAATAAAATAACCAGAGAACGTTTTAGTTAAAGCTACCAGGAACAGCTACTGCAAACCACAATTTGACAATACAAAATAAGTCTAGCCTTTTAGGTAAATAACAGTCGCCTCCGCTTGTAATTACCGACGTTTTTATGGTTATTATTAAGCCAGAACAAAACTGGCTGAACTAATCATACTGCTGTTAACGCTTGTTGTTGAGAATATTGTTCTGATTTTAGGTTTGTTGTCGTAATTCTTAAAGAACAGTTGCTATTAAAGTCATTACAGTATTTTCCCTGCTAACAAGTGATTTCTGAGCCAATACAAAGCTAGCTTATTCAGCTAACATTACAGTAACCAACGCTTGTTTTCAAGAGTTTTAGGTGTGCCCTCGCAAGTTTCAGGAATGTTTCACAATTTCCAATCCAAAAAACAGCTTTAAACCAAAATACAGTAACGCGTTTAGCTAAGAGAGTAACTTCCGAGCTATTAGTTTAAACTTACAACAAACAGTGAACCAAATACCACAATTGTCCATGTTTGTGGCGCTGCACAACATTCGGTCATTGACGTGCCACAACAGTAATACCAGTGGAACGGAGAGCCCTGAGGGCATTGGAAATGGCTGCAAAACCCAAGTGTAAAGTACCGTTCGTTTAATAATGTTGTTTAAACAAACCGCTTCCAGTCTTTATTTACAAAAGGTACAAAGCCTATTAAAAATATTAAGAAAGGCTGTTAAATTAAGTAAGAAATCTATTAATTTACCTTCCAGAAGTAAAGTTTCGGCACCATTGTCCGAAATTCTTGTCCGTCCATTTCACGGGTTTTGGCACATTGGGCGATGGCACCGGATCCTCCCAGACAGCCAAAGGTTTGGGTTCATCGAAAAGGGCCTGGGCAGTCTGGTACACCATGAGGACGGCGCCCAGCCATATCACCCGCCCTAACCGCAGTCGATGTCTGCCCAACATAACTGAAACAGACGACTAGCGTTAATACGGGTATTTAAACTATTGACGTAGTCTTTTCTCCCGGTTCAAGGCCATAATGACGAAAACCGCCAAACCGACCGAAATGCGACTCTTGAGGGCGGAAACCCACGCTCACGACTACCTATACCTAAACCTTGCTAGTCGGTTAGACGATGAGGTATTCGGCGAGCACATCAATTGATGGATGTGTAACATTCGTCACAATAGATCAAAATGTTATCATGAATTTGGAAAAAATTCGGAACTGATGTTGTTTTTAAAAACGATCAAATTTTGGGAAAAATTCGAAAACAACCCTAACTTCAAATGATATTTGATTTTTGAATTATCTTGCCTTCCAAAATATAAACATGTTTCTAATGATAACCTATATTACATAAAATAATCATTCACTTTTGCAAATCGTCCGTATTTTTAAAAACCTTCTCTATTTTTGCAAAGCACCCCCATTTTTGTACAAAACACGAATACCAGTCTCCAAGAAGGGGGAAAATCCGGATGAAATGTCGAGAAAGGAAAGAAAAACCTCCAGAATCATCAAACGTAAGCCGATTCAGCGACGAAACTCCGGCTTCAGCCGAATCGGGGCAATTCCCCACAGCGCCGCAAAAAAGGATCAGCGGCAGAGCGAAATCCGAGCAAAAAAACGCCTCCACCCCTGAAAAAACATAACAACGAATTACTGAATTTAGAGTATTTAGTCGAGAATTAAGGGGCGGGGTGACTAAACCAGAAAATACGAGTTCAGATCCCACCTGAAACTCGCTTTGATGCCCTGAGGCGACGAACAAACTTGACATATTTAGAAAAGTCAATTGCTACAAAAGAGTCTGCAAGATTCTGATCGCCACTGTGCAATTTGTATTAAGAATAACTTCGATCAGACGATAAAATATCAAAACTAATGGTCATTCCACGTTGTTTTCAGATACTATCTCCCAAATGTTAATAATTTATTTTCTGTTCGCCTAACTAAATGATTAAAAACGAGTATTATATTTAAATTATAATCAACGGAACCAAAATTTTTAACTCAAAATAACTTAACTATTATAAATTAAAATAATACAATAACTTATTACAATAACACATTTATTAAAACTGTACATTATGTAAAAAAATATACGTTAATTATTATCATACTCCTCCAATAACCCGTCCAAGTGCGTATTCTGCACTTTCGTATTCGTCCTTCGTTTGGCTTGCTTCCGTTTTGGAATGTTAGTCTGTCGAGTGGGTGCCAAATCCTTGATGGTGCTGATGCCGTGCTTCTGAAGGTACTCTTCCACCTTCTTTTCGTCCAAATGATCTACATTACACGTCCTCCACAACTTGACAAACTCTTCGTCAATCTTGATGTCGACTTCTGGATCATTGTAAAAGTAAGCGTGGTCCTTTCGTTTGTTTACCTGAAAATATTTAGTTATTAAAAAATATTTAAATAAAATTTTTCAAAATTAATGATCTACCACAATTTTAACTAAAATCATTGACGTAGCAAAATTATTACTTAAAATACGAAAAAAACCAAAAGGATTTACAAATCATAATGTTCAAAGTTACACTTAGTTAATTACAACGTTGTTCTACTAGTTCTGTGTAATTAATTGTATGCAAAACTATAACCTAACACTAATAATTACTTTTCAAAGTTTTAATTTCCTGTTTTGAGTTGACATGGAGATAAACAATACGAAAAAACAAACTTAAACATTCCTACAAAACTAGTAAAGTTTAAACAGTTAGCAAAAAACCCTACTTTAAACCCTTTTAACAAGCTTTTTATCTTTTTGATGTTATCAAGAAGTTAAAATTTAATTTTACATTAATATTAAGCCCAGAATCCTTACCTGAGTAGGAATATCGATGACATTTGGAGCCAGACCTTCTACAACCTTCGCAGCATTCGGCAGACAGTCGTTGAGCACGGTGAGCAGCAAAGCACCCTTTGAATCCTGGTGATACTTCTTTAACGTCTGCATCAATGACTTGCTGTTCTTGACCTTCAGCGGCGGTTTGAAAACGTACTTCACGAGCTCGCCCTCCATCTGAACTTGAAGCCGAGTATTGTCAGGAAGAGCTCCTTCCAACCAGGCGATGTTCTTCTTGGTCAAATCGAACATTCCCATCTCCTCCAGGACCTCAGTCAATGACAATCCCCATTGAGAGCCATTCAGATGTCGCTTCTTCATGTAGTCCACGATCCTTGCCATTACAGAGAAGTTGACCGAGTTTGCTTGCTTATCTTCCTTCCGACCTTCTGTCCTTTTCCTTTTGATGCCTCGATTTTCGACCGGTACGTAAGTGGAATGTGAACTGGACCCAGATGCCTTTGGAGCCGTCTCTGCAGCACGGATGGCACTTTGGCGAAACTTTTCTCGTTGTTTTAGTAGCTCGTTCATAGTTCTGAAAGTTGAATAGTTAAAAGCGTGAAAATGTAAGAAAAATTGGCAAAATTAAACCAACACGAACGTCAAAACTTATTAAAAACACATAAATAAAACTGAACTTTATACACCTTTCTTCATAAACCATAAATAGCAAACACAACCCAAGCATATGAAAAACCAAGATTTATCATACTTAAATTACTATAACTTTACGCATCAGCATTATTACAGAAAAACTCTATATTAAAAACATAAAACTCTTTCTTTCAAGCATAAGCGCTAACTACAACAACATTAAAAAGTAAATCAAAACTTGAAAGCAATTCTTTTTATAAAAAAAACTTATCTAAAACCAACCCAAACATTCAAAAAACAATAAACCAAAAGCTCTCAGCAATATCAAACTAAACAAAACGCTAAAAAACAATTGATTAATAAAAACCCTAACAAACATAGCTAAAACAACGCCAAAAATAAAAAAATCTTTTAAAAAAATTTACTACAAAATTAGTATTATTAAAATAGATAAAACGTTGAAACAACAATTGGTTCACAAAAATGCCGACAAATATACTCTCAATCTGTTTATTTTAACCTAATCAAACACGTTATCTAGTTTTGCTTGTAGCGTTGGTTCCAGACGGGCACGTATTGTCCAACCTAAACAAAGAATGAGCAACTTTAATGCTAACACCAACTTACAGTCTTCCATTCACAGAAGTATAAGGCCAACAAGAAGCCTGAACCGCCGAAAGCAGCGTACGTAGGGTAGCTGAAAAAAAGAATCATAACTGAGCTCATAATCAAAAAAATATAAATTAATATTAATTTACATATACTTCATAACCTTATACAAACTTTGAACTTACTATTGAGAGTTGGTAAGGGCGCGCTTGACCAATCCGAATGGTTTGATATAATGAACCATGTTCGCCTCTGAAAAAGGTCAATATTATTACCCAAAACCTTTAAAAACACGCAAAATACCTTCATAACTAAAAAACGCAAAATACCTTCAAAACGCGCCACTAATTACAACGATTTTTAACATTTTACAAACATATTCAAAACCAATATCAGTAAAGAAATCACAAAACATGCTGAAAGAACGAAAAAATGTTGGAGATTCCTCGAAAAGCCGAAAAAATGAAAAAACGCAAGGGCGCAGTCGTAACGTAAGTCGTTTTGCAGGCTGCGGTCACGCCGTTCTAAAAGTTCAAATTCCAAGAGATTATTTTTTAAAAACTAAAAGGACGAATGATAAGAAACGAAAAGCGTGTGGAAAGGGATTAAGATAATTGAAGAATGGAGTAATTGATTACAGTATTGGTGGAAGTCCTACTTTAACATTCAGTATATTAACAGACAATATAAAAAGCCAATTTGAACTTATTCTGTTGAGTGCTTATTCACATTTACTGCTCAATGTTCTCTAATTGTAGCTAGTGTAAAAGTCTATGTGTTTTTGACCTATTACCGACTTTCTGTATTAATTAACCTGAGGGCAAAGGAATAACAAGCCATTTCTACCTACTACAATATATACCGTTCGAACGTGTACAATTAAGGTAAGGAAAACTGATTAACTTTGTATTTTCGTGTTACTATGGTAAGCGAGTGCCAGAACACTTGGTGCTCCCTGTACTAATATATTATACTTGGGGGACGGCGGTGTCAAGCAAAGTACATCTGCACTCTCGCGCAAAACTCGCCTGCTTACTACAAAGACAGCACTTTTTATATTTGGGGTGGTTAGAAAAGGGGAGCTAGAGGGCAATTGTGATTTCAGTTTTGAAGATATTGGTATAGAGATGAATGTAAATGTAGGTATTGACATTAACATGTGATATTTTGGTCTAAAAATTTGTAGAAATGATTTTGAAAGAATCATGTGATTAATTGTTGGTTTTTCAGAAATCTTTTGATCATTTGAATCTTATAGTTTGTAGGATATTATGCAGTTTACATTTCATAACAAAAAGTTGTACATATTGTAGTAGCAAAAGCAAAGCTTTCTCAATCTTAAAGACAATGCAAGTCTGAATGACACAACTTTTTACATTTTAATGACAACGAAGTAAAGGTTGGATAATATTATGTTGTAAATAATTGGGGTAAATAGTAATTGTAGCGTTGTAATGACGCATTCGTCCAATTAAGGACGGTTGATGTTATTGTTCTACGCATATTTTATTCAATACACAATTCGGAGAAGGCGATACCAGCTGGTCTAGGGGCTACAATACGAGTAATTGAGAGTATAATCTTGTAATCTCTTCTGTTAATGTTTTCAAAAGATGTAATCTCCACAAATTAAACTCGAGGTTACAAAATACGATTATAGCGCGGTCGTATGTCGCTTTAAAACAGTCGTATGTCCGTTTAAAACCCCGTCGTATGTTGGTGTTGGCACGTGTTGTAGGGTTTTACGTGTTATGTTGTTGTACGTGTCGCGCGGTTAACTTCTTGCGGTACTTAGGCTTCTGATGTAAAGGATAAGAAGCCGGATTATGTTAATCTTGATTAATCTTTCTGAGGACGATAGCCAGACGTGACCACGGGTATATAAGGTTTGGACTAAAGGGGTCTTATCATTTGCAAAGTTACTACAGGTTTTTGGTGGTTTTATGTTTTTTACAGTTTATTGGTAGTTACAGTACTGGTAAAGCTTTTTTACTGTGGGATCTTTGTATAACGAAAAATTCGTTATAAAAGAGCTATGGTGTATATGTTATTCCTAAAAGCTTTCTATAAGCTTTTGATAAAACACTTTTTTACTTTTGAATTGGGAACGGTCAGAATGTCTATAGAATAATTGGCATATGGTAATCATTTTTCGTTTGTATTCACTTGTTTATTGAACTCAAACTTAACCAAATTTACAACTTTTTGTATTCTGAATAAGTACTCTTATCCCAAACCAAACAAAACCCAAGAATCCTCGATACCACTAAGACGAGGAACTGTACCCAACCCCACTTTAGATAAAAGAGCAATTTTCGATGTTATCTCGCCCGAGATTACTACAACCTTGGGCAATTAAACGGTACTGTAACCAATACAGTATGCGAACGTGAGAAAAGTGCCGAAATGTGGTTAGCGCGATGAATTGGGAGGGCGAAGTGGGGGTGGCATGGGCCTTTGCCGCAGCTCCCAACTCGAACACCCTGGCTCTCTCTTTTTACTTTTTGCCATCTGCGCGTCCATTCCCCCCATCTCGGCTGATTGAAAGTGTCCACTAGTCTACCGAATGTCCAGCTTCATCTGCAGCCCAACGTTCCACGGTGAAGTTGGTAGTGGACATAAAGGCTGGGTTTGGGGGCAACGTACCCTCGTGGGTCTCTCTCTTTCACGTTCACGTGGCTTTCCTGCAATCTCGAACCGACTTTCGGTCCGTTTCTTTTTCGCTTCTTGGAACCCCTTAATGGTTTTGTCTATCAGGCCCCAAGGTCACCTATGGTTTGTCGTTGGTGTATTCGAGTACAGTGTTTGTGGCGAGTACGTTCCCGCGAATCGTAGGTACACGCCCCCGGACTGCATATTATAGTATTGTGAGGGGCATGTTATAGCATTGTGTCGAGATTGCGGGTCGAACGGAACGACCTTGGGCTTATCAGTCGAGAGATACGATGACCAAGGAGCCTATTGCGTGGAAGCTGTCGTCACGTCTCTTCTATATTTACCGGGTTTAACAAATGTTTTGTTTGTTCACGTTTAGCACTTTGACGGAAGCTCATCGTGTTTTTGGCATGCGATGTTTGATTGTTTTAATATTTGTTGTCCCTCTGAGCGTATAATTTGGTATTATTAGGGGTTTGTCGCTTTCATTTTTAGGGTGGGGGTTGTTATTGGGGTACTAGTTGGGGCGAAACGTTAAGGGGAAGGAGAGATAGTTAACAGGGGGACAAAGTTCATAAAAAGAAGGCTTTTATAACATATCTGGAGATAAAAATCTATTTTTTCATTTATAATTTTAGCTCTCTTTTAGATCTATCAGTCTGAAAGTTTAACGAATTCTTTAGATTACTTTTATTATTACTATTACCTGATTGCCTAATTATATATCTTTCCCAAGCTTGTGACTGCCAAGTTAAAATGTATTTATTGTAGTGATAAGCATTATTACAGTGTCTTTAAGAAGTTGCGTTCAATTGGCGTTGATTTATATTAATCACGCTTTTAAATAGAAACCAACTTGGCTGAGGTCTGTCAAATTCATTTGGAGTTCAAAAAAACATTATCTTTTTATCTTTTTAGTTTTTCAAACAGCTTGTTACTAGGGCGTTCTTGTGGTTTTTATTTATTGCACAGTGATATAATTTATCTTTAAAACTTGTTACAATCCTAAAGCTTCAGCTCTGTTCAAGTTCAAAAGTCGTTTTCTTTCTTTAAAATTTTTTTTTGTTCTTAAATTCCTTAACTTTTAAACTAAAAACTGTCAATTTGAAGCCTTGCCAAACCTTGATGTTTCGGTCTTGCAGGTAGTGTTAATTAAGTGTGTAATGCTTTGTCTGGCTCCATTTCCGGTAAGAATACAAGAGCAAATGGCCAGTGTGTTCATGGAATAAGGCCAAGAATTAAAGGGAACACGTTCCGCCCCTTTTCGGCTCCCAAGCCCCGGAGGGCCTGGGCCTCTCGTGTTCTTTTTTTCTGCCCGGGGGGCCGAGAGCCGGACGTCGGTGATAAGAAAAAGAAAAAGGAAAAGTTTTTTTTTGTTTTTACCCGTTATCAGATGGGGGGATTGAGATGGATGACCTGAATTCCATTAATTGTTCGGGTTATGTATGTAGCGAGTTTCACACGTAACGTGAACTGCTATTCTTTACCGCGTCTTATCCGTTCCTACACCTTTAACATCTTACTTGCGTGTGCCCCTTGTTCTGCTGCTAATCTGCGACGTCATTGGGTGCGTCGCCAAGCGTCATCCTCCAGATGAAAGCTATCTTCACGTAGCATTTGTCTCTCTTTGCAGGTATAGGTTATAACTCTCGGCTGCAGGTGCAAATTTTTAATTTGATTAGCGTGGTCTCACACTTTTTCTGGTGTTACATTGTAGCCTATGCGACATTACTAATCCTTAATTAAAGGTGAGGGGGAGTATAAATGGATTTTAATGATATTATGCATTTAAATTGACGGTAAGCTTAACACTTTTTAAATGCTTAAAGTTGATGTCTTAACGCATATTCTCTTTACTGAGTAAACTTTGATGATAACAAAATTATCGTGATGACGTTATGACTCGTTAAACCAAATTCAATCAATTCTGACAAGATTTGACGCATTGATTCCAGGTTCATCGATGGAGCAGAGCAAGAGATTGTGGGACGACGGTGGCGAAACCACGGAGCGCTACAGTCCGTCGCCCAACTCCGTGGATTCCGGCTTCGAATCCGGCCCTTCTTCTCCTGACTCCAGTTCCTGCAGCTCCGAGACCTCATCGACGCAAGCCAAAACCGAGCATAAGGTGGAGCGATACGACAACAAGATAGTGGACCATCTCTCGACGATAAAGGAAGAACAATTCTCAGTGAAATCAGAGATAAAACAAGTGAAAGCGGAGTCGCCCACGATACCTGTCGCCTCTCCAGAACTTCCGGAAAAGGCGAAACAGCCCTCGACTTCCCGCGACTACTACGACGCTGACTACCACTGCCTCTGGCAAGGGTGTAACTACTTCTACGCCGACGTCAACGATTTGTACGATCATGCACTACAAACACATATCTCCGTTCTGCCAGCATTGCCGTTCACGAATGGCCGGAAACGTCGGAATTCAGATGCCTGCGAGCGACACTACCAATGCAAATGGCATGACTGTGAAATGACCTTAAAGAGGGGAGCTGCTGACAAGAAGGTAAGGCAACATAATGATTTTAAGGCTGAAATCAACTTTAAGTATGGCATCGAAGATTAAATCTTATGTTATCATGCTTGGAGCATTTCAGTTTTATTTTTATGTTATGTATACTCAATCTTTGCCCTTTTTACAAGCATAAATTATTGTTAATCCGGTTCGAAGTACAATCTTGACGACATTTGTGTCACGAAATTGCTTCGTACTACTGAAAATTTACATTACATGTCTTACTATTCTTTCTGGTACTTACCTAGTACTATTATTTAAAAACATGTAGTACTTTATATAACTCAAGGTCTATGTCACTGTTTTGTCACAAACGACATTATTTGCTACAAAGCATAATATTATATGTCATGTCTTGTACCATTAAACGTATGCCTGTCTGATTCCTTATTCTCACGTTTATCGTTACAGTTCGAATGGCTGAGTTCGCACTTTCGTGCTCGTCACGCCCCCAAGGCACAGCCCTTCAAATGCTTACTCGAGGATTGTAAACTCCGCTTCAACACTCCGAAGGCGCTTCACGGTCACCTTCGCAACTCACATGACGACAAGAAGAAGCCTTGTAAGTTACAATAACATTGTAAATCTGACGTAAAGGGAAGCATTTGTTTGAAAAAGTTGTAAATTGTAGTTGACATTAATAAGGAAAAGAAGCTCCGAAAGACGTATTCAGAGCATGTATCATCTTATACTAGAATTCTGAAAGCTAGAATATGTAGTCTATCAAAGACAATATATATTACAGTTAAAACAGTCAATTAACTTTCCATTAACATACAATTAGCAATTATCAGAAACTTTGCTAATCACGTAGCTAATATATGGTAATTAGCCAAAAGATCGCCTTAAAATGATTTTTAATTATGTGAAAAGTGTCTTTCCGATAATCCCAAATTGTCAGATACTCATTCCTTATTGCGGCTTAACGGCTTCGTTATTTAAATGGTTTTCCGGGCTTTATAACACGGATAATCTCATTAATATTACAGGTAAAAAGTGCCCCAGTCCGAATGCTCCCAAAGCCTCTTGCTTCACTTACAAACCCCGGACTACATCACATGACTGTAGGTTTTTAACTTTAATCCAAAAAGGCTTTCCAGCTATATAGTTTCGAATTTCAACAAAAGACTCATAGCTTGTTACATTAGCTACATAGGTTGTTATATAGATATAAAACCTCGTATAAAATGCATTTTTAAACAACAATATTTATATAGTACCGTTCAGAGGAGAAAGATTCGAAATTAACACGTGACAAAATGTAGATTCATAAAAATACTACATATAAAACAAACTCTTCATCCATTTTAGATTGCCAACTAGACTTCATGGACAATATGACATACGACAAGATATCCGAGCGCCTCGACCTCATGCTATCCCTCCCCAAGGTCACAGTGTCCACTACAAGTACAGGTATCATGCCACCAACGAAGAAGCTCAATGTGCTCCAGGAGCTTTTCCCTCACAAATTCTAATTATGCAAATTTTCAATGGGTTCATAACGGGTTCGAATGGTCTCATCATGTAACTAAACTGGTTGTAAATTATCTCTCCCACATTCTGGTATGCCCAAATGGTTGTTTTGCTCATAAAACACGAAAATCATGTCAATCTCCGAACACGATATCTCTTCCTCTACTTCAATATCCATGTACAATATATCAAACTGAACCAATGTGTATTTACGAAATAAATATAATACTACTTTCATAAATATAATACGAATGCCATAAATAATACACTAGAACTTGTAATCACCAATGATTCAAGGCTTTATATCAACAGAAATACCGTAAAGTTACAAAAGACCGACGTCATGACACTCGCAGCAACATACAACGATCATTTCGAGAAGGGTGGCATCTGAGGTGCTCCGGGAGCGGCCGAGCCAGATGGAGGTGGGTTCGCGTTGCAACCGAGTAGCTGAGTGCTTGAACCTTGGCCTTGAGGTCGAGCTTCAAGCATTTTGTACTCCAATATCATCTCTCTCGGGATCTAAACATGGAAAATGCAAATGAACATGATGTACTTACTTTTCGCCATTGGACAGGGTCGAACACATTGTATTGACCTTTCTCGTATTCGGTGGTTTGCTCTTTTACTCCCAAGTAAGCCGTCCTTGTCAACCACACTTTCTCTTCCTTGTGAAACCGCCAATCTCTATTGTACCTGCAAGCAGTCAATTAGAAACCATAAAATACAATAGCTTAACAAAGGAAACAATTTATGAATGTTAATAGCTGGTTACTTTTTAAAATAAAAAGCCAAAAACAAAGAAAAAAGTTATACGTTTTCATCAAAATTAATAGCTCAAACAACATCAGCGCCTACAACACTGTAAAATCTTAAGTAAATAAACTCACAATTCGCAAGCAGCTGCCAGCTGATACACCTGACCAGGACAATTGTAGAACATATAAAACAACACGTCTTCCGTTAACTTATTCATCTTGATTTGAGGCAGCTTATCCCGTATCATTCCATTCGTCAGATACTCCTCCGGTACTTTCACGTCCAAGTCTTGAATCCTACATGGAGCGTCCGCCCAAGGGCCTCCAAACGTTAAGTACAAGTTTCGTCTAAAACACAATTTATTAAAAACAGTAATTTAAATCCAATAAACGATTAAAATAACAAAATATACGTCAAAGAATCCGGTTATCTTCAGGTTTTGCTTTAAAAGCTCTAATTTTCCCATCAACAGCAACAAAACTCATTAAAAATTTAGATAAACCTAGCAAAAGCGCATGTTATAGTAAATACTTACTCCGATGAGTTCAAGTTGAGCCCCAAATTGTTGAGATCATAGCCCAGTGCCATAGAGGTAATCGCAGGGTCCCTATCAATCGCTCTCAAAAACGACAACATTCCAGCTATTCCGTATTGATCCGTTAGCATGCCAGACGGAATGTTGGACACAAAACCTGAACAATCATAACATTAATTTTTAAAAAACAGCAGAACTTGTACTAAATTCATCAAATTCTGACCATCAACCGAGAAAACATAAGGTTAATCAAGAAATTCACAAAAGTTTGTATAAACTACTCTAAACCATCCAAAACAAGATTCTAACCATTCTTGACCAAACTAACTACAAAACAAACAAAAAATTGAAGAAACCCTTCAAACCACTAAAACAATATCGGCCTTACCATTGGGATCGGTCTGAATACCTTGAAGCGTCCGTCCGTTCTCCGTCGTTCCGTTCAACAGGTTCTCCGCGTCCATATTCACATTCTAAACTCAAAAAATGAAAAAAGCTAGTTATTAACTCACTTGAGAGGTAGAGCTATTCATATTCACAGCACAATTCGTTAAAGGCTGCCCTCGACCGTTGCTTCCGTTCTGAGCTGAAGCCCCGGGTAACGCAGGAAAGTCTTCGGATTGGAAAACAGGTTGCTGGCCATAATTCGTCGTTTCCACCGTTCGCATCAAACTCGCTGAAACAGATATTGGTTTAAAGAAGCAGATGACATCCAACTCTTCAAAAAAATATTTTTTAAGAAAAATTCATCATAAACCATGAAATAAAATACAATATATCACTCACCGTAAGGAATTCGAATATCCCGGGCATTAAACAAGTTCGGATTCATTAAAGTTGTGTCTTTGTTTGTCTGTGGTTCTTTTCGCCAATATAACAACCGTGTGTGCATCGGCACAAGGAAGTAAAAAAGAAATGTAGCCAAATAAGAACTAATAAGCGCTTATATTTACAGATAATGACCAAAAACAACAAGTTTTGGTAGGTTTACTTATCTTTATGGATAAGCACTTAAAAGGGATGCTTCGCACAATGAAAATAGTGAACTCAAGACGGCGAGCAGACGCGCCCTTGCTTCTGCGACCTGCGAAGAGATGTTTGTTACTTTACTGGAAAAAAATAAAGTCTCAACGCGAATCTATTTTAATGCCAAAAATAGTTTGGCATACCGTTTTTACAAACTTTTTAAAACATATTTTACAAAATTATGGTAAAGTTATTGTATAAATGCATTCATAATTAATAATTTTTATTTATGTCTCTGTAGCTTTATATAAATCATTGAACTTATTATCAATACAAAATGAACCTGCATCTAGGCTGGAAGAAATTAATTTTAATAGCAATTACATTATTCCTGACACTGTTACTAATAAAGACAAAAACTAATTGTACGGCAAGGATAGCTCAAGTTCAGAACAAGTGGATGATATGTTTGCACCATTCGGAGTCTCTGTCGGCCCAATTGGAAGGTAAAAATCAATACGATGTTAATTTACATTTTTAGTATTGAACAAACACAAAGAGACGGTCGAAGATGTATTGAAGACGGTCAGAAAAGACAGTGAGAACACGATAAACGGTATGTTATGTTAAGTATGATTATCAGAGTTTAGAATGTAAAAAACGGGTAGCAACGGTCGAGATGTACAACAAGAAATGTAATGACGGGACTGAGATTAAACTGTTAAAGGTATGTTACACAAAAGATTTAGCCTTCAATAAAGTAGAAGCAAGTAACGATGACGTTTTAGGAAGAAAACGAACGATTGAAAGCTGTGATTGAGCAATTGAAGCTGAAAGAAGACAAAGTAAGTAGAGTATTGTAATGTAAAGTTTGACACAACTAAAATAAGTTTGAGAATAAGTATTCAAAGATAAATTTTAGAATGTTGTAAATATTACCGCTATTGAAGCTCCTAATATTGATAAAGATGATCAAAAGGATGACAAAAAAGATCAAAAAGTAAGTCAGACACTTGGAAACATGTTGTACTTTGTCTCTGGAGCGATATAATTAGTAGAACTGGGGAACATAATGTTGTTCATGCTATGGGACATAGAGTTTAGAAAGTTGTGTTGCTCTGAAGGTAGCATATTCGAAAAAGCCAGAGTCTTTTGAGGTTCGCACTGCCAGAAGGGATTGGTTGGAGGGTCGAATTCTGGAGGAATTTGTGGTGTGAAAGTTGTCCGGGGAATGTTTTGGTTAAAGCTGAACGGGAACGCCATTTGAGGCTGGGTTGAATCACACGATTGCCACTGAAAGATAGTTTAGCACTTCTTTGGTTTAACATACTTGACGTTGTACTAGGTAGTTTAGAGATGATTCTGCAAGTTGTGCTTCAACTGCCACGTGCTTTTTCATACGCTTTCTGGAAAAACTTATTTTTATCATGTAATTTAATATAACACGTTCTAAGATGGTCAACGTAACATGTTATAATTAAAAAAAATAGTGGTAGAACTTTATTATTACTATACACTATAAATGTAGGATCAAAAAGTGTGGTAAAATACGAGAACTTAACAGATTGTCAACTAAATGTGTACATATTTTAATTCAAGGCTTACCTTCGTTTGTAGTTGCCGTTTTCGAACATTTCATTGAAGTTGGGTGCCAGTGTCCAGTAGTTACCTTTTCTGTCGTTCACTGGTCCCACCCCATCTCTGGCCTTCTTTATGAAACAGTCGTTGAGAGACAGGTTGTGCCGTATACTGTTCTGCCATCCTCGTTTCCTTTTTGAGTCAGAGTGACGGTAAAAGAGGAAACGCTTCTCAATGTACTGAAAAGTTAGAAAACTCAGATTAAAATTACAAAAGTTACTACCAAATGTACTAAACCAAAGCTTGAAATTCAGTGTTGTGACAATGTTATTGATAACAAAATTTCGCGGAATGTTTTTCTTACATTGTAAATTTGACTCAGCGTCATTTGTCGATTCGGTGCTGAACTGATTGCCATAACAATCAGAGCCACGTACGAGTAGGGAGGCTTATCTTGGCCCAGCTCCTCGCTGAAACCGAAATTAAACAAAATCGAGAAAAGGAAAATATTTTGATTCGATATAATAACATACTCGAGTTGTTGTGTTACGTGAGCGGGCGGATCCGTAGAGCAAGAAGTCATGTTTGAATGAAGTGTTTTACAAAACATTAGGCCAGCCAGATCATAGGGCGGGTCATCCTCATCATTTCAGTGAGAACGGAGCGCTCTCTTTTTGGCCAATCGTTTCGGCCTCGGTTACGGTAGACGGTGGGCAAGTTTTGTACAAAGTTAGATAGATGAGTGTAATATCAGATCTTTAGCTTTTTGGTTTTAGTCAGGGTTACTCAGGATGTGATTTAGAATTTTTAAGATGTTTGAGATAAATTGTGAAGTTTTAAGACGTCGAGACTTGCAGTTTAGGACTCTTAATAAATAGTGTTTAGGTTAGCTCGTGTTTCAATAGTAGGCTTGAGGTATTGTAAAGTAATTTTAACTACATAGTTTATACTGTTTTTTTACTGTTTGACCAGTCTTATTATTAGGTTTTCAATTAATACTGTGTCTCGTTTCAAAGCAACTTTTTGGGGTTAGAAAGCACAGAATTATTTGAAAACCTAACCTTTTACATCACAACATAAATAATGATGTTTTGAAAATTATTTTTGGTGATTTTTGTAACTACTGAAACGTAAAGTAATAGTTATTGGCAGCGACCCATTTCTCAAACTATTTATTTTTACTGCCATTTTTATAGGCTGTTTATAAAAAAACGAAGTTTTATATTTATCGTATTTTAGCGATTTTTACGTTTTGTTAAAGGATTTGTGGAATTTTTACTTCTTATCCTATGATTTTTCTTTTTATTTCTATTGACATGCAGTTGAACTCCTGTATAAAGAATAGTCCAGGGAAGTTTACAACGCACTTTGTAATCATAGCCAGGGATTTAAAAGTTGTTCTTTATAAAAGGTTTTCGTTAGATTAAGTTGTTCATATAATTCTGTGCTCATTAAACCCAAAAATTTGCTTGGAGAGGGACACACCATTATTTGAACAACCTAACACAAAAGTTTGTTATACTCTTCTGAAAATAAAAACTGATCTTTTGAATTTTAGCTACGATTTTCGAAATTTTTAATTAAGAAACTGGCAGTAAATTAGGAGTTAATTAGTAGTCTGATTTGGATCCGAATGTCTTTCTCCAAGACTGACTATTCTAATTTCGTGAGAATATTATAATTAACCTGGAACTGAGTCAGCGCGCTTTAAACAGTCAATCGGCCCTATTGTATTCGCTATCTGGCCATCTTCCACATGCTAATTGTAATGGCGGCACTCTTCAAAGCCACGTTGTAATTCTGTTTTAAGGTTGAAGCCGATAGCTACGCCAAAGGACCGGATGTTCACTTTGCTCGACAGCGGCCGATGAATGAGATATTGGAGTTCAAAAGAGGTCAGGTCCAACAACAAATACCGGTCGATAACTGGATGGAACACAAGGAGCTGGTCAAGAAGTTGGGTGATAGGGAGAAGGAGAAGGCGGAAGGAAATGGTAAGGCTTAATTTACTGTAGTTGAGGTTATATTAGACCTGCGAAGAGGCCGGGCTGTGTCAAATATTTTTGGCCCAACCTTTGTGACTAATGTTCCGGCCGGTCTTTTTCTAGGGGTGAGAAAAGGGCCGGGCCCACTTTTTAGGTCCGGCCCGTTTTCTTTTTTTTCTCAGGCCGGCCCGGCCCGGTCAGAACATTTCTAGGCCCGGCCCGTTTTAAAAAATTTTAAAACTTGAAAAATAAACGGAAATTTGGCTTTGCATTGTTATTTTAGATCATTTATGTAGTATCATGGTACCCAATAAAATAAAAAAACATCAACGGGGATTGAAATTAAAAAGAATTTAAAAAATTTAAAAATTTTTTTGGGCCCGGGCCCAATTTTCAATTTTAGCTCAAGGCCGGCCCGGCCCGATCGTAGGGCCGGGCCTAGACGGTCGGTTTCTCCCTCCTATCCTTTTCCAATTCGGTGTGGCCCTTAGTGGGCCTTTTTTTAGGTCTAGGTGGCATAAACATTAAAAAAAATTATATTAAAAAACTGCAAGAACTTCTGATTATTAAAAAGAGGCTTTTTGTCATAAGAGTTTTAAAATTACTGTACCTAGTGCAATGGAATATTAGGTTTTTTGCTAAATGTTTAACGTTTTTTGACCCCATTTCTGGATAGTCATAAAAAAGAACCTATAATAATATAAAAAAGGGACGATCTATCCATAATGACCCAACAAGCCTTTAATCGGGTTTTCAAACGTTTCACACCTGCTCATTACGTCATCAAAATATTGGCAACAGTTGTGGCGCCAATGTTTTATAAATCTATTTATAATTTTATAATTCAAGATTATTATCCAATAATATCATAGTTCAAGAACATTATAATTCATTTTAAAAATTTTATAATTTCTGTCTAAAAATGTAGGTTTTATTGCTTAGAGGTGAGAAACAGGCCCGGCCCACTTTTGGGGCCTGGCCTGTTTTTATTTTTTCTCAGACCGGCCCGGTTCGGTTAAAAAAAAGTTGGGGCCGGCCCGGCCCAGCCCGACTCTCACTCCTACTAATTCTTTCTTCAAAAAATTTTAAAATTGGCCAAAAAAAAAGGGTTTGTGGCCAGTTTTTAGTATTTGATAAACATCTCCGGTCACTCATCCTTGCCCCGACTTGAATTCCCTCGGGGCGTGGGGGATTTAATTAAACGTTTGTTTGGTCACTTCAATTGTTTTTTAATTTCAGTCCAAGACTTTCGGGATTTGGCTAAGCCCGACGGGCAGGAGGAGGACTACAAAGAGATGGTAAGGCATTTTTTACGACAAACAATCTTACCCTTTGCTTTTAGCACTAGCCCCGCCTCACTTCGAAACGCCCCAGGGGGTATTCGTTTTTATGTAGATGAATGTGCTTCCAACGTTTACATCCAGTTCAATCAGTTTCTTTCTTTTACGGGTCTAATTTCGGACTTACTCTAGTCTTTCGGTTACATTTTTAAAATTTAAAAATTTTTTTTGAAACTTTTTTTTTGAATTTTTGAACGAAGTTTTGTCATGAAATGTCAGCTTTATTCATATTTTTTTGAACTTTTAAGTTTTTCTAGATAATACTGAAGTAGTGGTCATCCTTGTGGCATTATCAAATCAAAAGGCATTAGCCATAGGCTGGGTATTATTCTAGAGTAAATTTAAGCTGTTATAGTAATCATTCTTTTAAAAATGTCATCAGTTATCAACGCAAAATCATGGTTCTATACGTTCCTATAAGTGGTCTTACAAGTGCTTTATTCTTGAGTCTGTGCTTCTTACTGTAACTACTAAAATATTTTTTGTTGTAAGATCTTATACCTACTAAACTATTTTTTGTTAAATGATACTGTAACTTCTACTATATTTTTTTATGGAGAGCTATTCTTATTTTTTGGTCAAAAAGTTTGTAGAATGTGATCTTTTTTGATTATTTTTTAACTTACTTTGTGACTAAACTTATCGTATTTCAACTTTTTTAATACAAAATGCTTATTATAATGTTGTAATTAATATATACAACACTTCGGTAACTTTGTCTGCATCAATACCTACATTAATATTGTAATACAAATGCTTTAACTTCACAATATAATATATTGTAATATTAAGTGAACGAAATACAAAAGCTTTAACTCCAGAACTGGTCTTGACTGTCATAATAATAAACAATAAATGTGATTGTGTCCTAATGGTCCAATAATTAGCGGAAGGGTGGGAACTAATCGGGATTAATTAGACAGATTTGCATAAAGAATGGCGCGACCTTTCGAACAACGGCCTCTACTGCCAACATACTTTTGTAAAAACTTTCTCAGGCTTTGTAAATAAAAGAAAAGTTTGTGCGAGGCCAGTTTGGGGGTTTGTTACCGATTCGTCTTCCTTTTATGACCAGCTGGGTTACTGTAGTTTTTGAAGGTTTTGTAACAGAAAAATCATTTTGAAATGAAAATAGAGGTTTGTTTAGGGACTCTGATACAATATATGGCTACTTTGATGAAAGATACGACTACAATGATACCTTTTTTTGATTTTTTGAATAATTTTTAAAAACTTTTTGTTTTCAAAATGAGTTTTTCATCCTTTCAATTAAGTTTTCTGCTCTCCATGTTGTGGTGGATATAGCCTTGCATAAGTTGGCCGCGCTGCCTCTTAGCGACTTTATTCAGCACCGGTATTCAATGGAAATCCGATCTCTGAAAGGTAATTGTTTCAGCTAATGGCCTGCGGCTGTTTAGTGAAAACTTTTCCAATTTCTAACAAAGGCCGAGAGCACAAAGCGTCGCGCATTCATTTATTTGGCCGAGATCAGAAGCCAGATGGCGAGTGAATGGAATCAGAAGAGCCATTAGGTTTGATTAGTCCCGCCTTTAATATGTGTTTCTCAATTCTTGCTCCCCACCTCACATTAAGGTTCTTCCCTGACCTTCACCTCACATTGTTTTATCCTCCTTGACCCTATCCCTCCCCACCTTACATTAATTCGCCGTTCCAACCCATACCCTGCCCCTTACATAATTTTTGTTGTTATTCCCAAACCCTTACCCACCCCTCACACTAATTCATACACCCCTACCCTCGCCCTTCCCCCCGCCACCCTGGTGTTGGGCATCTCCAGCCGGGCGGGGCATCAATCTGCGAGCTTAAGTCGTCTCCCAAGTGTCATTCTTTCACTCGTTTTTGTACCTAATTGCGGGAGGAGGGAGGGGGGGGGCGGGTACCTTGTTTGCCGTTTAGGGAGTGTTTCTAAGTGGGGTCGCACCCCCGCCCGCTGGCGTTTCGACCTTTAGGGCCTTGTTTCGGTATAAAGGTTTGGTCGATTTTTGAAATTTGAATTTGTTTTAAAATTTCGAGTTTTTGAAGGTTTTGGCAATAAATTTTAATTTTTTTTTGAATTTTTGAATATTTTAAATTTAAATTTTTAAAATTAAAAATATTTTTTTTAATTGCTAGAATATTAGGATTCATATAATTCTGCGTTTTCTTCCAAAGCAAACCTGCGCGGTTAGAGGGCACAGAATTATTTGAACTATCTAATATTTTTGAAGACGACTTTTGACTCTGCCTTACCTTGTAAAGTCAAAAAACCTCTAAAGTCGAATGTTTGACTATCAAAAAAGCCTATTAGTTTCAATTAGACACAATTAATGACTCTGATTGTGACATTTGTGAACGCGTCGCCCTGATTTATGGAAGCCAAAAACAACTTCTTTCAGTGTAATACGAGATGAAGGCCGGCACGCTGATCTGCTTGGCCATCATTCAGGCCGTGCTGTGGGCCTCGGTGGACGTGAATGTGGAGGATCTGCGACCAGGACAGTGAGTGTCATAAATCTCTCTAATCACCCAAGTTTGTCGCTTCAATTGCATAAATCTTGGCTTTAATTGTGCCGCCGCGACCTTTACTCACCGCACTCACTCGATAAGGATCGAGAGCTTGCGAGGTGGTAAACGGCCTTTATCGCTGGTACATTAGTGACAAAGCATGAGTAAAAGCCACCAAGAACAAGGTTAAATTATGAAATTAGCGAAAAGCTTTCGAAAATTGAATACTGTAAAAGCGCGCCATTCTTTTCGATTCACAATAACTTTTAAAAAAATGTTTTTCTTTTTAGACGAAATTTGGTAAAGCAATACCTTTACAACATACTACGATATTTTTTTGGTCAAAAAGTTTATAGAATTGTTTTACAGCAGCTTTCTCTAGTAAAATTTGGACACTTTTGCCTTTCTTTCGCCTTTTTATGGCTTTTTCTACATATTTTTTGACCGAAATCAAAAATAATAACATATCGTTTTTGGTCAAAAAGTTTTTAGAAACTTTTAAAGCAGCTCTTTCTACTCAAATTTGGACATTTTTGTCTTTTTTTGGCTTTTTCTACATATTTTTTGACAGAAACCAAAAAATAATAAAATATTGTTTTTGGTCAAAAATTTTATAGAATTGCTTTGAAGCTGCTTTTTTTAACCAAATTTGGACATCTTTGCCTTTCTATTGTTTTTTCTACGTATTTTTTGACCGAAATCAATAAATAAAAAATAAATCTTTTGGTCAAAAATTTTATAGAATTGTTTTAGGCAGTTTTTTGGAGTCAAGTTTGCAAACTTTTGCCGTTCTTTAGCTTTTCTGTGGCTTTTTCTACGTATTTTTTATTCTAAAAATAATATTATATTGTTTTTGGTCAGAAGGTTTATAGAATTGCTTTGAAGCAGTTTTTTTAGCCAAATTTGACCACTTTTTGCGGTTTTTTTGCCTTTCTGTTCTTTTTTCTACGAATTTCTTGACGGAATTCATAAAATTACTGCCAAATTTTAAACAAAACTTTAAAAAATCTAAATTCCACAACGTTTTTGCATTAAAATTAGAGTAAAATATTGGGAAACGCCTTGTTTCGAGTCCCCTGGAATGAATTTATTTGTAATCCTGAGGGCTTTGTTTGTTCTTGCGCGGTCATTAAATGGTCATTTCAGGAATAATGTGTGCCCCTTCGAACACATCGAGGAAGTGACAGTAAAGGAGCCCTGTGTCAAGAGCTACACCAAATACATAAAAACCCGGAGGGCAGGTTGTAATGGGCTCAATTCGGCTTGTCAAGTCAGGGAACCCAAGTGAGTTATGTTGTAGTAGGGTAAACAGGGAACGTTTAGAAACATATTATGCTTCAAAGATACCGTAACTGTTTGAAAAGTACTATACCTACATGAAAAGTACCATTACTTCTTAAAAAGTACCATAACATATTGAAAAGTGACAAAAGTGATGCCACAACATATTGATATAGCTTTTAAATTCAAAAAATACTTAAGAAACACTAAAGAACTGCAATTTCAGAACCGTTTACTACAGAACCTACCGTAATGTAACTCGAAAGCGACGTCAGACGGAAGTCAAATGTTGCCCAGGATGGTCACAGATCCCAGGACAGTTAGGGTGTACCAAACGTAAGATAACATTTATATTGTAATAGTTTGTTCAAAAAATTCTGGGCTATCTTCAAAGCAAGTTTTCGTGGTTTGGTGGCTCAGGACTATTTGAACAACTTAATATTACTGATTAATTTTTTAATTTTTGAACTTTAAATTATTAGTTTGTTCAAAAAATCATGAGCTATTTTCAAAGCAAGTTTTCGTGGTTTTGTGGCTCAAAGTTATTCGTACAACTTATTATGATAGGTATAGGAAGGGGAGTCAATGATGTTTTAAAGTTAAAAATTGGTATAGTATTACTGTAATTTAATAATTAAAAATTTTAGTTTTAATTTTTAAAATTGAAATTTTAAATTTTATTGGAAAGCTTTTCTTTCTCACCTCGTATTTTACATTTTCAGCCAACTGTACGGCTGATATCTGCCACAATGGGGGTACCTGTCTAGAACAGGTACGGAGCGACGATCAAATGTGTTTGTGCCCTGAGGGCTTTCAAGGATCTATTTGTCAATATGGTATGGTAGTTTAGAATGTTATGGTAGTTTACTCTGTTCAACTGATGGTTCTATATGACATATATATACATATAAATACGATATATGTAGATATATGTTCATGGGCATTACTGTGCTATTTTGTCGCAATTTTTTTTATTTTAAAGCTTATCAATTGACTGGACTAATTTGAAATTGAAAATTTTTAAATTTAGTAAAAAAGAATTTCCAGATGTAAATGAATGTCTGATAAACAATGGCAACTGTCACCATGAGTGTGTGAATACGATAGGAACGTTTTACTGCCGCTGTCACACTGGATTCACGTTGGACGAGGATGGGCGACAGTGTGTGGGTATGTGTAACCATAGCTGTAGCTATAGTAAGGTGCCTATATCTATGGCTATAGTAGTAAGATGTGTTACATCATAGCCTTTGAAAGTTATTTACAATGTAAATTCTTACATCAAAGCTATATTATAACTTATGTTATCCTTCCAGACGTGAACGAATGTCAAGTAGAGAACGGTGGCTGTGTGGGAACGTGCGTGAACACGGACGGCGGATATCACTGCGACTGTCCGTCTGGAAAACAACTCGCGCCTGATGGCCGGAGCTGTGTCGGTATGTTGTCGCGGTTTAATTACAAGTCTTTAGACGCAAACACCTGCGCGACACAGAATGGCGGATGTTCTCAAATATGCGAGGAAAACAATGGCATCTTCCACCGATGTCGCTGCCACTCGGGCTACGAGTTGGGCCCGGACAAAAGGTCATGTCATCGTAAGTCATGTTTAGGTTGAGGATATAACTCATTTGCATAAATATTGATTTTACGGTAAAAAATTACGATTTTAAATGATCGTTTATTAAAATAATGCCAAACATGTCGCTTGCATTCCTAAATCATCAATCTGATAAAATCTTTCATCATAACATTCAATTTGCACCGTGCAATACTTTACTTTTACTTTTGCACGGTGCAGTCATCCTTTGATCTTTCATCAATAAAGTTTGCACAGTGCAAAGACCTTTCTTCTGTTTTCACGGTGCAAATTTGTTTTCCATTTTTGCACGGTGCAATCACTTTTTTATTCTTGCACGGTGCATTCATCCTTTGATCTTTCATCAACAAAGTTTGCACAGTGCAATACTTTATTTTCTGTTTTGCACGGTGCAACCAAAGTCTTGTCGCTACCCCAAAAAGAATGGCGACTTTGATCTTTAATCACGCACGTTGCAGACAAAGAACTTGTCGCAATGTCGCCAAACCATTCCATTACACTCTTTGAAAGTGCAGAGGGCAATTTTTGTCGCAATTCTTCATGAATTTTGTGGCAAACAAAACTTTGCGGAGAATTTGTCGCTGAAATCGCAAAAGCATTCAGCCTTTCTTTGTTGTCGCGAGAACGTTTCGCGACATCTTGTTGCAAGAATTGGCACTCTGAATTTGATTCAAGATTTGCGACAAGACCGACGACACATTCTTTTTTGCAGCTTTTGTGTCGCAGAATTTGAATGTCGCAGAGCGTGAATGTCGCGGCTTTCCACAAGTTTTGTCGCTCTTGTTTGAAAGAATCGCGGTCGCATATGAGAGAGTTTTTGCGACAAACAGTTTTGCTTGCATCATGCGACATTCTGTTATGCCTCTGATGAAAGTTGAATGCGACAACCTGTGATTGCGATAACAGTGTTGAATGTTGCCGCAGATGAAGTGAATTTTGCGACAAAGTGCACAGTTTGTGGATTGCACTGTGCAGTTTTTCGTGATTTTTTAAGGAATGCACTGTGCATTTGGTTTGTCGCTTGACGTCGCGACTAATTAGGGAGAAAAACTGCACGGTGCAATGGGTTTACAAAAGCGAGATTTTTTAAGAATGCACTGTGCAGTTTTTTTGTGGTTCTTTAAGAGTTGCACTGTGCAGTCTCTTCATTTTTTGGTGATTGCACGGTGCAGTCTTCTTTACATTTTAGAGATTGCACTGTGCAGTTTTCTTACAGTTTGCTGGTTTGCACTGTGCAGTCTTGTTTAGCTTCTTAGGGCCTGCACCGTGCATTCTTAATAAGATTTATACGTCTGCACGGTGCATATAAAAAATACATTTTTTATTGCACTGTGCAGATTCTTCAGCCTTTTTGTATTGTAAAGATCTTCTGTAATGTCGCTAAAAGTCAGTATTATCTCATGATATTTAGCTTCTTGTTTGATGTAGAAGCATATATATAGCTCTGTTTGGCATTTACTAAATGTAAAACAATATTTTGTCGCTTTCAGCTCGTGACCCATGCTTGAAGAACAATGGAGGTTGTGAGCAACAATGTGTCAACCACAATGGATTTGCTGTATGTCAATGTTTTCATGGCTACCGGCTGTCGCATGATCAGAAGAGTTGTCACGGTAAGTTAACTCTACTATAATATGAGGATGTTATGTTAGATTAATTTATATAGGTATAGTATTTTATAGGTATAAGAGGTATTATTAGGTTGTTTAAATGTTTGAGCTATTCTTATATTAAATTTTCGTTGTTAAATGGCTCAGAATTATTTGAACAAGCTAATAGGTATAGTAAAGGGGGTTAAAATAGGTATCGGAAGTAGTTGATAGTCAAAACCTAGCCTATAGAGTGGTCTTTAAAATCTAAAATAGGCATAATATTACTGTAAGTTACAGTATTCGACGCGTGTCTTCACGGCGACGGCCAGCGATGTGAACAAGAGTGTGTGAATCACAACGGTGGCTACAGATGCTCATGTAGACGAGGCTACGTGCTCAACCAGGATGGACTATCGTGTTCGTCGGGTAAGGACTTGTGTTCGGAAAACAATGGCGGATGTGCGGATTTGTGTAACGTGCTTCACGGTGAGGTACGATGTTCTTGTCACGAAGGCTACGAAGTGGCTCCAGATGGCAAGACTTGTCAAGGTATGTGGGCTTGTAGGTATATTGATGTTGTTTGGTATGTTGTCTTTAGTTACTGTTGTTTTGTTTACTGTTGTGTTGTCTTGTGTTGAACTGTATTATATAGTGTTTTGTTGTATAGTATATTTTTTATAGTTCTGTTTTACGTAGTATTGTGTTACTTAGTACTGTACTACATAGTACAGTATCATATAGTACTGTGAATGTTGTAATAGTCAACCATCATGTCTTTAGTTGTGTGGTTTGTTAGTTTGCAGTCATCTTTAGTTAATCAGCACGACATTGCACTTGCTAGCACAGCTTACATTTTGAATTAGCTTCAGCACGCAAAGCCTTGGCTTCTGTAGCTCCTACGATAACATACGAGATCAACGAGATACCACTGCCAGCCTTGGAGGGGTTGGAGAGTTGTATCAACGACACTGGGGGGTGTCATCAGTTGTGTTTGGATTTTAGTCAGGGTACTACGTACTGTAGATGCAGGTCTGGCTACACACTGGATTCTGAAGATCAGCTAACGTGTTTGGGTAGGGTGGTGGTGCTTTAAGGCTGTGCTTTAGGGCTTTAATGTTGGGTTTTGATATGATTAGATAACATATATGGTTTAGTATTTTACTGTTGCTTTCTACGTATGACTATGAGCACAATTATGTCTACATAATATATCTATAATCTTATGTAGTTACTATAGTATATTAACATATCAGTCGTTCCACTAAAGAATTTGACAACTGCACAGTGCAGTTCCTGAAAAAATCGCGCTCTTTTTTATTCCACTGCACCGTGCAGATTCCTCCGCGATCGCTTGCAACCCCAAACGATGAGAAAAAGAATGCACAGTGCAAGCCCTCAATTGTCGCACTGGTCGGTTGTCGCAGGAGTCAGGGGACTTGCGACAGTCAAAAAAATCTTGTCGCAAACCTTCCATTGAACACAGTGGTGGCTTGAGCGTTGCGACAATCGCGACACGCTGTCGCATCGCCCTTTAAACCGCGACGCGACAACTTGTCGCAAGGTTTTGCACCCTGCGACATTGCGATCTTTCTTTCGATGTCGCAGGGTGCAAGCGAGTGTCGCACGACTCGCTGAATGTCGCGCGACGTCCCCCGATTCTGGGCGCGACAGCGATTCCTCCCAATTGGGGTTTGCGATTTTGTCAAATTCTTTAGTGGAAAGACTGATATGTCCTTAAAGCAATCAAGTCTGTTGTAGTCTTTATCATAGTCTTTGTAAAATGATGTTAAAATGAATGTTACAGATGTAAATGAATGTGAACACAACAATGGAGGCTGTGATCAGGTCTGTATCAACACTCCCGGATCGTATCTGTGCAGTTGTGAGCAAGGATACGTGTTGATATACGATCAGAAGACTTGTGAGGGTAAGTTATGTCATAAATAAAATCTACTTATGTCTATGGGAGTAATTTTTACAAATTATAGTCATATAAGTTAGAATTGTTATCTAAAATGATATTATTCACAAGGAAGTACTTAACCTGCCCCACTCAAAATTAGCTCAAAAATTTTTAGTAGAATTATTTGTACTACTAATAGTATTTACCAAAAATTTAATTTGCGCTTTTGAGTTTTAATTTTTTAAATATTTGGGCTTCCCGTCAAATTGGCAATTTTGGCATAGTGTTGCAAACAGTCTTTTTGTCTTCTAAATAAGCTAGGCTTACAAATTTTAAATTGTAGGTCTATTGAAAAGTTTTATAGTAGTATATAAAAAAATGGTTGAAAGACGAAAAATGACAGTTATAAGTTGGAAACACAATGTAAATTTGGCGGAAGATTCAAAACTTAATTTTTTGAATTTTTTCGAGATTTCTTGGAATTTTGTACTTTGTTGTATATCTTATATTTACATGATCTTTCAATATAAAAAGTTTTAAGTTTATCAGTGCGGGGCAGGTCGGTCACTTTACTTGCGAATTACCATATTTATGATGTTCGATATAAAGCTATATTTTTTATGTTTATATTATTGTAGAAAAGTTGATTAAAGTAATGTTATTGTAGATGTAAATGAATGTGTTAACGACAATGGTGGCTGTTCTCAGAACTGTCACAACACTCAAGGCTCTTATCAGTGTGAATGTGAGACTGGATATGTTCTGGGAGAGGACAGGCATAGATGTCATGGTATGTTTTACCAATTTAGTTGTGCCCCTTGAAATGTAGGACAATCCAAATTTATTATGGCGGTGGTCAGCCGCGAATGCCCAAGCCGCTGAGATGCCAATCCTTTATTGGGTCTCAAACTTGGGTTAATAAACGTAAAATGAAATATAATAATAACGAAGGTACACGAAATAGTAACATAAACAATATTAAAAACCAAAAATCCTTAAAGGAAGCCACAATTTAAGTGGCCTTCTTTTACAAAACAGAATTAAAAGTGAAGGCCAGGAATCGGAAACCGTCTGGCCGTCCGATTCCCTTTGTTGTAATAAGGCGTCCTTTTTGCCTTGTTGTCGTTCTGGTAGGTCGAAGTCGGATTCGAGGATTGTCTTGAACTGGCGTTGTACTCGCAATATGGTCTCGTTCTAATCGTTCTCGTTGTCCGATCAACTCCTCTAGGGTTACTTGTATGTCTTCTAATTTATCGTTCATGATTCTTCTCTTCTCATTGACTTCATTTTCCTCAATAAACGTTTCGTAGTCCTTCTCTGCCGTCTCAACACCATTTCGCAACGCCTTCCACTCTGTAGCCATGTTTGATAATTGGTTACATTTCTGGTTGATTAGATTTTGGGTTCGTTTTACTGTAGCGATTCTGGCTATTGTCGACTACAAATCCTTTGGTTTTTCTTCGTCCGGTTTAATACTGTCACATGCCGCTAACCCTGTGTCGATTACATTGATTATGATAGCCTTAATTTGCGCAATCCGTGCTTCCGGATTTCTGGACGTTCCTTTTGCCATCTTTTACTGTTGTCGTGGTCGCCACAAAATGGGTGGATTAGTACTAGTAACGTTGTACTGTTGAAGCTGGATTGAAGTGAGCGAGATTCCAGCCGTAGCAGCAGCGGTGAACTTTCTCAACAAGTCTCGTCGTCGGTGATTCCGTTTTTGCTTATGGTTTTTGGAGCTTTGGTCGTAATCAAAAAATGGTAGAGCGTGGTTGGGGTAGTCTACCGTTACTCTCGTACCGCCTCGCGCGTTCTCGCGTTTGAAATCTCGAGTGGTTTCTTTCGAATCCGCCTTTGAGTTCTCACGCTGGTTGCGCTGAGTGGTGCGTCGAGCTTGTTTCGAGTCCAAACGTGGTGGAGCGTGACACGAGGGTGCACGACGGTAGTCGTCCCAGATCTCGGTGAGTTTACAGCTTTGTTCAGCATTACTAACAACATTAAAACACAAACACACAAGATGGAACCAACAACAAATACTATAATCTATAAGTCTGTTGACCAACACTGAGGGTTTGAAATCCTCAAGCTCAAATTTTCTTGTTCGTTGATTAATGTACAAGAGTCTTCTATTTGACAGTTTAAACTCATTTTGTGGCCGTTGTCAGAAGGGTAGGATAAAATGGCTTTGAATTTCGTGGGTCTTAAGAAGAGTTCCAATGGAGGCTTTACGCTCACAGTTTTGGTTTCTAGTATGCCATGAATGTAGAAATGTTGGTTCTGCAGCTTGTAACGGAGTGGCTTATTGTCAAATTCTCTAGTAATTCTAATGACTCCTCCATGACAAGTCATGAAGTGACTAGATCTGAAATTGTCGTCGTCCTCCTTGTTCAGTTCAACATCAACCCTTCCCTGTTCTGGCTGATTTTGTTCAATAGATTCTGCTGATAGTTTTGGAAGATGGTTTTGAAGTCTCTGACGTCTGGTAACACCTTCGGGTTTCGTTTTGTATCTTCTGATTTCAATGAGCTCTTGTCCCCAGCAATCTTCGTTCAATCTTGTTTCATTTCCCACCACGATATTAAATGATTTCTTTTCAACTTGTCTACTTCTGCAGAAACAAGGGCTACCAGAATCCGACTTGCAATTGACAACACCATCACATAATTTTTTAGGTATGGAACAGAATCCTTCATAGCAAAATGAATTTTTGCATGTTTTTGTTACTTCTTTCGAGAACTTCTCATTGAGCTTGAATCTTCTTCCTGTTGTCTGCCTCATTCCTGAATTGTCAACATCAACATCAACATTGAACCCGTGGTTGTTTAAAAGATAAGTTGATAGATCTTCTTTGGTTTTGCCAGACTTTAACTCACAAACCATTTCTTTCTTCACCATTTTTGCTTCTTCAACTTGAGAGTCACCCTCCAAGATCTCTAAGCCATTGTCATTGAGAATCCATATGATTTCTGGATTCAGTGTAGCGCGAACATTCTTTTCCTTCAAGTGTGTGAGTATTGTTGTTCAAACTACAGATTCTGTTTGGTAGTCTTGATTGGTTAATCACTCTACTAGAATGAGTCAATCTAGAACAGTGAAAATTGCCATGTCTGATGTTGACAAGAGATGACTTTGTGCAGTCAGTTTCGTATTCAGCACATGGTTCACACAACCCTGGATTCTTTCCACAGTTCAAATTGAAAGAGCAAAGATGACGCAGATCGATACCAATGATATTGCGAGTGCAAGAAGAACAGCGAATATTGTGATCATTAACAAAGTTAGAATCGTAACAGTTACGCAGGCCTGTAGAAGATGGTAGGGGTCGAACACCATGATAACAAAGACACAACCAGAACACTATCAAGTGTTTAGTATATTTGTTCATCATTTGTGGATAGCCTATTTACCACTCTCTTTTTTGCTTTAATTTGTATTTTTTGTTGTCCTATCTTTGTGTGTGGGTTAATAAACGTAAAATGAAATATAATAATAACGAAGGTACACGAAATAGTAACATAAACAATATTAAAAACCAAAAATCCTTAAAGGAAGCCACAATTTAAGTGGCCTTCTTTTACAAAACAGAATTAAAAGTGAAGGCCAGGAATCGGAAACCGTCTGGCCGTCCGATTCCCTTTGTTGTAATAAGGCGTCCTTTTTGCCTTTTTGTGGACAAGTTGTTCAAATAATTACGTACTTTTTTTAAAGCAAATTTTTGGTGTTAGGGGGCACAGGATTAATTGGACAGCTTAATACGTTATTTTTTATGTTTATGTAGGCATTATTATATATAGGTACATATTTATATAGGTATATAACTTTAGATATAATACTTTAGATGGTATTTCACATATATTTGCTTACTTTACTGTAATGATGTTATTTTAGATGTAAATGAATGTTTACTGAACAATGGAGGATGTAATCAGATATGTATCAACAATCTTGGTGGTGCTCCAGACTGTAGCTGCTTCCCTGGATACGATATGGCTGAGGATGGTAAAACATGTGTTGGTAGGTAATCTTACTTGTTTCCTGAGTACATATAACTGACTTTTGATGACTATTTTAATGTAAAATTGGGCATATACAAGGCTTATACAATATTTTTTAGCTCGAGCTGACAATGTTCCGATGCCTTTGAAGTCAAATTCAAGTAGGTTTTTAACTGATATGAATGGCATAGTAAACAGAATTATGTATGGCGTAGTAAAAAATTTTAAACATTCTACTTTTGTTCAAAGAATGTCAGTATATTGCCATTTGACATTTTAAACGTTACCTACAACAACATTTTATCTAGTTTTTGGTATCCGTAGACTTGTAATGTAGTTGCAGTGGTTACATTGTAAGCTTACAGCGTTGAATTTATATCGCTTTGTGCATTGTTGTGTGTTATAGGAAGATACGACGCAAGGTACGAAGGAATACGACGTGTTCAGCGAGTGCTACGGACAGAGTTACTGGACAATAACATACTCAGCGACAACGAGCGATATTACCGAGGTTTTTTACTTTTTGGTTGTATATGTGTTTACATAACGTATCTTGTGTATGGGTTATATAATGTATGGTATTTTAGTTTGTGAACGAGGTACATTTGGAGAGGACTGTCAACATACGTGCGATGACTGTAAAAATGGAGGTAAGTTGGAATTGAAGAGCTAAATGTATATCTTTTACTTTATATATGTAGCAAAAATGTATATTTACTTTATACTAATAATAACTTAGTCGTATCTCAAGGCTATAATATGATATACTAGTTTAAACAGTAAATAATGATCTTTCAGCCAAGTGTAATATCCTGAAAGATGGCTGTAGGTGTCTGGCAGGCTTTATCGGCACATTGTGTGAGTTAACATGTCCAGAGGGAACATACGGTTATGACTGTGCGTTGAAATGTAACTGTAATGGTGGTAAATGTAACCCAATTGATGGTGAATGTAATTGTCCGCTGAAGGGATTCTGCGACGACGATTGTGCTCCAGGTAATACAATGTTATGTTATGTTTGGATGGTTGAGAAGTATTTAATTCAGAATGGCATTACTTAACGTATTTAAGAAGGTTTTCTATTGTGGTAGCTATAGATCGCTGAATAATGTTATTTTAGGTAACAAACTCAATTTATGACATTTTTTAGGATACTATGGTCAAAAAGTAATTAGAATAGTATTGTTTGACTTGTGTAGAATTGTTTTCAATAAAACAATTATAGAAATATTAATTTAGGTAACAAATTCTATTTATATGACGTTTTTTCTAGGATACTACGGTCAAAAGTGTGATATGGAATGTAAAAGTGTGTGTGATGGTAAATGCGATCGTATCTTGGGCGAATGCACATGTACAAGTGGCTTCTATGGGCCTTCTTGTGAATTGCCATGCCCATTCTTAACATACGGACCCAACTGTAGGAAGAAGTGTGATTGCAATGTTGATGGTACTGAAATGTGCAATGTTAAGGTAGGTATATCTCCTATATATATCACTGTTGCTTTACTTATATTAGGTTGTTTAAATAATTCTGGACCCCTTCTTAAAGCAAATGCTTGAGGTTCGGGGGGCCCAGAATTATTTGAACAACTTTATCTTATGTTTTGGAACTGTTGATCCATATTTACTATTACATACATATATATATTTACTTCAGACAGGAGAATGTAGATGTAAAGCAGGTTACTATGGTCCTCAATGTGAACGTTCTTGTCCGGCCGGCTTCCACGGACTGGACTGTGCCTTCTCTTGTAGCTGTAGACATGGTCAGGCATGTGACCCTATCACTGGGGATTGTCATAGGAAATGTCCGCCTGGTTATACTGGCAGCAAGTGTGATAAGGGTAAGTTGTAGTATATTATGAAATGTTTAAGCATGGTAATGTTGTTACTTTGGTAAATACTATAGTGTTAAGTAGTTCATTTTGTACGTAATTTACTACAGTAAAACGACTTTTTAAGAATGTGAAAGGGGGACATACGGTCCAGAATGTTCATTGAAATGTGACTGTCCATCAGATGGAGGAAGGTTATGTCATCATGTCACAGGACAATGTTCATGTCCTCTTGGTACTACTGGTGCTCAATGTGATCAACGTATGTTTTAGACATGTAAACGGACCGGGCGTGGTTGTGTGGGCCACATATTACGTTTTCTTTTTAAATTATGTTGTTGTAAATTGACTTTACACAGTAATTTATAAGGTTAACATGTAAAATACAATAATAATAGTATTTTTTATGGTTTTACTTTTTACTATGAAGTAGAAGTTTAGTTTTCTGCAGTAATTGAATAGGGCAATATGACTTTTAGCATGTCCTCCATTGTGGTACGGCCCTAACTGTAAATGGCAATGTAATTGTACTAATGGAGCACGTTGTAATCCTCAAGATGGTACTTGTTTGTGTCCAGATGGTTACTATGGTGCCACTTGTTCTGAAAGTAAGACATACTTTAATTTGTTCTTTAACACTATTTAATGGTTTACCTTTTTACTTATATATCTATGGTTAATATATACTTCAACAGTACTTTATAATACCGTATAATTATTTCAGAGTGTCCACCAGGTCGATTTGGCACGCAATGTATGCAAATCTGTGAGTGCCAAAACAATGGAGAGTGCGATGCATCGACCGGTCGATGTTTATGCCCCGAGGGCTTCTTTGGCACGGATTGTAGTCAAATGTGCCCGAAAGGTTACTACGGTAACAACTGTGATAGAACGTGTAATTGTGGCGATGGAGAGTGTGATCCGCTGGACGGGGAATGCTTGTGCCCTCCGGGCTTCAGAGGGTTGGGATGTGGGGAAAGTAAGAAGTTTGAGGGTTTTGTTGTGTTATTGTCTTATAGTAATACATGGTAATATAACATGAAAGTGTAAATGATATTAAATTGTTGAAATAATTCTGTGCTGTAACTCCGACAATTTGAGGGGGCACAGAATTACTCGAACAACCAGATATAAAAATATTTTGTTGTAGAATGCCCTGAAGGAACGTTCGGAGTAGCTTGTAAAGGAAAGTGTGACTGCAAGAACAATGCCACATGTGATGCTACCAGTGGGCTATGTGAATGTAAAGACGGCTGGAGAGGAGTCAAGTGTGATCGACCATGTCCAGATGGATTCTATGGTCACAAATGTCAGAAGACTTGTCTTTGCGGGGTTGAAGGTAACACATTTAGACTTATTCTTGTTTTAGGTATTGATTACTATTACGTAAGCTGGTATCTAACGTGGTAGTTTGTGAACCTCTATATCTAAAAGATTAATGTAGCAGTTCTAATATAAGTTTCTTATGTTAATTTAGGTAATAGCTGTAAATTTAGGTAACCCCTTGTTTGCTGGCAAATGTGATCCAGTAACCGGTCAATGTGAATGTAATTCTGGATGGACGGGTCCGGATTGTACAGAACCATGTCCTCCTAACACCTGGGGCTCAGGATGTAACAGAAAGTGTAATTGCGAAAATAATGGCACTTGTGACCCACTGACGGGCTTCTGCGACTGTCCAGCTGGATTCATGGGCAAACGATGCTCTAATGGTAGGGGTTTTGACATGGATAATATAATTTATTAAAAATTTAAATTTTTTATTGTGTTGTTGTGACATGCAACAGACGAGTGAAATATATAAAGTGTTATACTAAATAAGTTGTGTAAATACTGAGATATGGGGTGTCCCAAAACTTTTGCGTAGCACTATGTTACAGTATGTCCTGAGGGAATGTTTGGACCAAACTGTGTACAACATTGTCTGTGTATGCACGAGTCTGAGTGTGATCCAATCAATGGACAATGTCAATGTAAGGCTGGTTGGACTGGACCTGCTTGTGAATTTTGTAAGTTGTTCTTACTAGTATTAGCTTTATTAGTACTACTAAATCACAAAAATATTTGATTTATTTCGAGTACTATCACTATTACTTGGCTAGAATAATGTCAACAATAACAAAATAAATTACAGTATGCCCATTTGGAAAGTACGGTCCGAACTGTGAGAATGAATGTGACTGTCTGAACGGTGCAAGTTGCGACAGAATCACTGGTAATTGTGTTTGTTTGGTCGGGTACAAAGGAAAGCGGTAAGTGTATTATTGTAGGTCTTTTGCAGATTTTTTATCACAATAAATTTTGAATTTAATGGCTTGTTTTAGCTTACATTGTAATATGTTACTAATGATGTTATATTAACTTTGAATATAAATGTTTTTAGCTGTGAAGAACATTGCCCTGAAGGCTTTTACGGTGAAGAATGTAAGGACAAGTGTGAATGTGAGAACGGAGCTTCTTGCGATCCTATTACCGGTCACTGTAAGTGTACAGATGGGTGGAGAGGCAAGAAATGTCATCGGTGTAAGTTTAGCCATCTTTATTATCTTTATATTGCTTTAGATTTAAATTTAAAGTTATTTTTCAATTATTTTTGTAGTTATCTTTGTGGTATCCGATAATGTTGTTTTTAAATGTAAAGTAATATAAATTTTACGCTTTTTTTAAATTTAAAATATGTTTCTAATTCGATCAATTCTAGCCTGCCCCAAGGGTTTCTATGGCAAAAGCTGTGCCCAATCGTGTCATTGCCACAACGGAAAGCCTTGTCATCACATCACAGGCCAATGTCAATGTCCTCCTGGCTATTCTGGCATCGGATGTACAGACCTATGTCCTCGAGGCTTGTTTGGCCTGGACTGTGTGTCCAAATGTAAATGTGGCGATAACGAGGAGTGTGATCCCTTAAGTGGCGAGTGCTTCTGTCGCTCCGGGTCTCGAGGCGAAAACTGTCGCGAAGGCTGTGTTCAGGGTCAGTTCGGACAGAACTGTGCTCACAAGTGTCAGTGTGAGAACGGTGGGATCTGTGACACCGTGACTGGATCGTGTGACTGTCCCCCCGGCTTCATTGGCTCCAGATGTGAGCTGACTTGTGAAGCCGGTCGCTTCGGCAAAGACTGTGCCAAGATATGTGACTGCCAGAACGGTGGAGTCTGTGATCGGAGTTCTGGAGCGTGCCGATGTGCTTCTGGATTCACAGGACCTCATTGTACTCAAATATGTCCTCAAGGACGATACGGTGTGAACTGTAAAGAGAAGTGTCAGTGTGCAAACCACGCTACGTGCGATCCGACTTCTGGAGAGTGTAGATGTTCGTTAGGCTTCACTGGACCTGCTTGTCAACAGTCTTGTCCTAGTGGGAAATACGGAGTGAATTGTACATTAGACTGTGAATGTCAAGGTGACGCGACGTGTGATCCAGTTCAAGGATGTTGTAATTGCCCTCAGGGGAGGTATGGGACCAGATGTCAGTTCAGTAAGTTTTAAAAAGCTTAAATTTGCATATTTTACAGGATTTTAATCGTATTTTGGTTAAACTTAATATATATATATATATTATGATACGGTATTACATACATTTGTAACTAAAAATAAATTTCAGCATGCCCTCAAGGCTTTTACGGCTGGTACTGTAGTAAAGTGTGCGATTGTAAAAACGGAGCTACCTGCGATCCAAATGATGGTCAATGTCTATGTCAACCTGGATTCAGTGGTGATAAGGTTTGTTTACTCTACTTTTGCTGTAAATTATTTTTAAATTTTTAAAATTTTAAATTTCGAAGTTAAGATGGCTTACTTTAGTGTGAAAAGCGGTGTGAAGTCAACCGCTACGGCCCCAGATGTTCGTTGGAATGTGACTGTGGAGAACATGGCTGTGATCCGGTTACTGGCGTTTGTGATTGTCCTCCTGGCAAACATGGGCCCAAGTGTGAACAGTGTAAGTTACAACAATGTGAAGATTAACACAGTCCACCTTATGATACTGTGGTAAAGGAGAACTTATATTAACACAGTCTACTCCATAAGCTGATTTTTTAAATTTTAAAAATATTATTGTAGCTGAAAGGACAGTATAGTTATATGACGTTCTATTCCTTAGTTTTTCAGCGTGCCGGCACGGTAGATTTGGGAAGAACTGTGAACAGAAGTGTGAATGTTACAATGGCGCCAGATGTAACAAAGAGACTGGAGCTTGTAAATGTTCTCCAGGGTACTTAGGACCAACTTGTCAGCTCGAACATACCGGTAAGTGGCTTGCTGATATTATACATGGGTATTCAGTTTTTCGCCAAGAGTGGTACTTCAAGTAAAGGTATACCTTATCAAAAGGTATCAATGTAGAACTACAATCATATCACCAAGCATATATTAATAGGTTGTTCAAAAAATTCTGTGCTCCCTTCTCAAAGCAAGTTTTTTGGGGTTAGGGGCACAGAATTATTTGAACAACATACATAATATAATATCTTTCATTGTTTATAATATGTTGTACATGCTACTTCATTTACAGACCCAGAAAGTGTGGCCAAACGTGGAGACCTGCCCGACTACGACTTCTAATATGTTACAGTATGCCTTGCTTGCCCGAACCGTGTGATTTCTTTGTTCTCACTTACATCTAATTATTAGAATTGTTATTAAATGCCATAATAAATAGTTTTTATATTGTTGCAGGTTCGTACGGTAACTAAATTTACCTAAAATATCTACTTTTGTACCTTCATAGTTGTACCTTTATACGTTGGCTAACCATACTTAACATATCTACTTTATTGTTATCAGGTTGTTCAAATAATTCTATGCGCCTTTCAAAGAAAGTTTTCATGGTTCAAAGGCAGAGAATTATTTGAACAACCAATAAATCTTACTATATTAACGTATACCAATGATAGGTTGATAACTTAACGAATTTACTGTAATTTTAAATATAGTAAAAGAGTGTAAAGTAAGTGATAGTAAGGAGTAAATTACCAACCTGTTAGTCCGGCTTTTAGCTTTTCTTAACAAATTATCACAATTTATTACTCTTGATGATCATTTAACTACTACAATATATCACAAGCTAGGGTATTGTACTAGATTAGTATAACGACTAGCGACTGAGATTACTTAAACATAAGTTATTAAAAAGTTACAGTAGAAGGTACTGTAAAGTGGCTACGGAGAGTGGGAACGCTTTCTTTTTGGCGATGGAGCTTCTACCTCTTCTGATGGCTCCACACTCGCTGTGTGACTTCTGGCTAGCTCTTCTGGGCATGGTGTTGAACTAAAATACGTTTTTTACTTACAGTACATACTAACACAAGGCATGTCCCTTCTTAATCACAAAGTAATAACTATTTGTACCAACTACACCAATAGCCTAGTCAAAAAAATGTTAACCTACCATCCAGATCTATTAGAAAAGCCACTCTGAGGAGTAGTAGATCGATCGCCTCTGGCTCTTCTGTCTTCCGGCTTCATGAATCTGAATCCAGGGAAGCCAGCGTTCCTCACCGCACTTCTGGCCAACGTGAACAGTCGATCCCTGATGGTTAACATGGCTGGTCGTTGTAGACAGATCTGGGCAGCAGCTTCGTTAATCAGAACTTCGTGGAATGTCAACGCTTTCTCTGGGTTTCGTTTCGAGCTACCGTAAATGGCAGAGTACTTTCTGAAGTCGGCTTCACGATTCGGGTCGGATTCTGGAGTTTGCATCACTTCCATCAGGCGACGATGTCTTAAAAGTCATGGTTATATTAGTAAAAATGGAGGTATAATATCAAGTTTAAGATCGTTATTAACATTTTAAACGCTTCTAAACGCCCTTTTTATATTAACATAGTGACAAAGAAGTGTAATAACTATCTGTACCAATATAAACCTTACTTTTGGACCTGTCGCTTGCTCTGTTTCGGCCCGACATTAGGTTCAAACCTCAAAACTTGATCAACATGAGCCCTTAGTTTAGTGACATCTTCCAAAGTAAGGATCGGAGTATCTCGCCATACCGTACTCTCCGCTGAAACTCGACTAGTACTAGGTTGAGGCTCGTGTTTTACCATAGGTGCTGGTCGATTGATGCTAATCTGACTAGACAGCGATGGTTGAGGTGGTAATGAATGTTGAGATGGCACCGACGTCTGAGATGTTAAGGATGATTGTGAAGCCAGAGAAGTCTGTGAAGCCAAAGAAGGCTGAGAAGTCACTCTGGATAGTGCAGGCAACGGTGGTAACTGTGATGTGGACGGTGTGAGGGGTGGGAGTACGGTAGCCATTTTAGAAGCCGCTGACTGTTTGAGGGCGGCAGAGATCAAAGGAGAAAAGTTGAAAGTCGAGAGATCAGGAGTGAAGGCTGAAGGATTCAGGTACTGGAAGGCCGTGTAGAAGGTCTCGGCCGACGGGATGGCGGCCAGGGCAGGGGGAATTGGGGGTAGACCAATGTGAGGAATCTGCTCGTTTAGGAAGCGGAGACGGTCGGTCGAGAATTCCTGTAAGGTATAACATTAACTTTGACATTTACCAAATAAGTTTAAACTTGATACATCCCAATTTAAAATGCCACAAAACCCCTTTCATGCTTATAACAACCCCGCTACTGTAACAATTACAGTATAATCTTACCGCCAATGTCCGCTGTAGTCTCCTGACGTGAAGCGGCTTCTCTGCCATTCCCACCAAGCTCATGATCTCGAGAAACTCCCTCTCATCGCTTGTCATGATCTGGTCAATGTCATCTCCACCCAGAGATATAAAAATGTCATAGTATTGTACCAGCTTTGCTTTGAACAAGATTGCTTGTAATTGCCATTCTGATAGGTTTGTCGGAGATCTCATTCCAGTCAGGCTACAAGTTCAAGTTTCAAAATGTATTTTAAAATATTTTTCAATTTTTAATATAAGTTATATGTGGTTCAAAATGGCATATCAACCCGACTGTAATACAAAAAGAGTCATATAAGGATGTCAGTTCCATACATACTGATACCTTTTGCTATATGCTATTATATGAAGTAAAAGCTGAAAGATTCATTAAAGCGAAGGATTGTAACATAACGTAACTCACCGTTGAATCGGATTCTGGCCCAGTGTGAACGCCGAGGACGATGGTGTATTGGAAGGATCGTCATCTCCTCCTTCTGTAGATTTAGAAGTCCCCGGCTTGTCCATGAGATCACTAAAACAATATTTTAATCGTAAAGTATTCAAAAAATCTATGTTAATAAGTTATATTACACTTAGAATGGCATTACTTCATTTTTAATTTTGAGAAACTTCAAAAATTCAAAAAAATTTTTTTAATTTTAACTGGAAAAAGTTATTTTGAATGCCAGGCCTTAACATGCAAATACTATTAATTACCAAAGTTAAATCCCCTTAAAATCGTCTAAAATAAGCCTAAAAATGTAAAAAATGAAGCGAAAAGGACGATAAACTTAGAAGTTTTTGTAGAAGCGATGGAAGAGAAGGAAGTGGTCCCTTTCAATCAAACCAACACAAAAAACATCGAAAAAAGTGCCAGAGGGGAAGGAAACAGTCGACAGGTTGTTGGAAAGACTGATAAGTAAGGTAATAGTCAGTGTTAAAACAACTTTACAAAACTGAGGCTATGAGAGTAAGAAAAAGTGCTCAAAATAGCACGAAAAGTACTCAAATTAGTATGAGAAGTACTGTAATGTCTAAAAAAAGAATGCCATTAATTTAAAAAATATAAAATTTTATGTTACAGTAAGATAACATTTTAAAAAGTCAAACTAATTAGGTCTAAAAGGATAGTAGTAGGTAAAAAAACTAATGTAAAAGTCGTAAAAAGTAGCCTAAAATTAAGAAAAAGAAGCCTAGAATTGAAGAAAGTACCATATAAAGTACAAAAGGTGCATATAAAAAGTTAAAGTAGTAACATAATTATGGAAAATGTCATTATCATGACACCATCAACCATTACAATGTCATTAGTCATCATTAACCACCCCTAAAATGACAAATCTCTCGAAACACTTTTTAAGCCCCTAAAACAACATTCCCTACCTTGACCATGGCTGTGTGTAAGGTCATCGTGGCAGTGAGAGTGGACTTGCATTTTTTGTGTTACAGTAACCCACCGGCTTCCAGGCCATGCATAAAAACCCGAAAACGGGGCGGAGTGTTTTTGCGGCGGCGTTTTTTTCATGCTGGCTTTTTTGCGAGCACGATGGACGGAACGGCGACCGGCCCTCATTGTACCTATCCCCAGCAGGCACTCCAGAAGCGTATAAAAAATCAGCGCGCGTCGAGACGCGAAAAAAACAGCTCCGGGGGGCTGGCAGTGCTGGCTGGGGGAGCGAGGGCGGGTCCACTCTCGAGCTCGCTTTTTTGTTTCATGTTTATAAAAAATGACCAACACATAAAAAGTGTTCCCTTTCCTGTTCCGTTCCCGGGCGAACGCTTCGTATACACATATTGGGCGAGAATTTGGTAAATGCAATTGAAATTTCGAAATATTTTTTGAAACTGAAGATTTAAAAATATTTTTTAAAATAAAAATTTTAAAATAATTTTGAATTTTTTATTAAAAAACGTATCTCAACTTACAGTTTATTCACAAAATAAACAGAAAAGCAGATTAAAAGTTTAAAGATTATGTCCCTAAACTCCTTTTTATTAACTATAGCTTCAGAATGCTACCTTTATTTCTCTTAACCGGTCTAAAAGTACGTAGAAAAGCCATTTTAAATACAATTCAAACCTTCTCCTATTTCTTTCAAGCTCTACATGCTTTTATAACACTTAATTTACATTTATTATTATCGGGTTTTGTTATAATTTATGTATAATAATATAAACCACAGTAAAAATATAATTTATTGAACCTACAACACATACATTGCTTATTGTTTCATCTTTGCCACAAACTCCTTCATCTTCTTGAAAGCAGAGTTGTTCTTCACCTCTTCTGGAGGCTCTTTCTTGTCTAAAACATTCAAATTAACTTTTTTCTAACAATTATGTTATTCAACATGTCATTCGTTCATCAATTTATTATACTTTGCCATTTAAAGCAATCATCACGTTATACTATATGAAATAAACATTTTAACATACCTGACAGATAGTAAAACAGATCCCATTCCATGATATCTCCATTGATAAGAACATCGTACTCCTTTAGTTCGGCTTCTGACAACTTTCCCAATTCCTTATCAGCAAATCCTCCCACCAAAATGTCATTCTCCAGTATACCACGCTTTTTACTTTGGTAATACAACTTGGCTCGGTACGTTTCCAACGACGACTTTGTTGCGGCTTCAGATGACCGTAACCTTACTGTAGATGAAAGATACCTTATTGTAGGAGTGCGTAGAACAAATGTTACTCTATGCATCTTAAAGAAGATAAACCTTTATACAATATTTTATATTACATCGTAAATACAAGGTAAGTAGTCAAAGTTAAAAGATATTATAGTATAAAATATTTAAAGTAAGTATACCCTTAAGATAATCTACCAAACACCATTCCAATCAATAATAATAAGTAACGTTTATGTAATACTCTAAGTAGATATTTATTGCAACGAAGATATATATAATCTGGGAACCCGTTAGTTCTGCGTAAAACTTCTGGCACTGGTTGGATAGCTGATATACTGAGATGATAATGTGTCAACGGCAAACGAAAGGCAGGTACATACAAAATGCTGAGCTGATCAAAATGAATAATATTATAATAAGGATGATGCCACAGATCAACATGCCAACTTTCATCTGAAAATGAATTTAGATAACAATAAGGCCAACATTATTTGTATAATGGCATTCCTGTACAATAAATAAGCAAGCAAGTTACAATTACTATGGCAAACATTAAAAGATGACTAAAAACATTAATATTGACATAAATTTGTAAACATACCATCATATTCCTTCTCTGGGCTTGTTGTGCTTGATTCACGTTAGTTAACGCCTTCTGTGCGTAATCTGTGGCATACTGAACATTTGTGTCGATTCTGTCAAGTACTTCTCCCTGAAATAATTTTTTACAATATGTAAGTACCTTTTCGTTACTTTAATATTAACATATACTATCACAATCAAAATGCCAAAAACCAACATAAAATACACAATCTACTACGTTAACGCACCTGACTCTCCACTAACATAGCCATATCCTGGAAGATTTCATGTAGCTCCCGAATCGACGCTTCCAACTTTATAATGTCATCGTGTCTCGACTTCACATCTTCGTACAAACTCTTCTTGTCCCTATCCCCCATTAATACACTTACTGTGTTAAACAATTCACCTTTCTCTATAGCCTCATCTACTTGATCTTCATCTAGTTGGACTCCGGCTGAAAGTAATCGTTTTTGTAAAAGTATAACTATGTACTATAATGAAATTTAAAATTGTACTACAATCTTGCTATAATGCGGCCAAATATAATTTTCAATAACCTTTAAGAAAAAACCTACAAATCTTTAAGTACTTGGATATCGTCTTCTCGGATTGTTCTTTGTAATGAAGTTGTTCATTATTGAACTCTTTGAGCAGATTCTGAAACTTTCGAGTCAACGTTCTGCTGTGATCTCTTTTGATTCGAGATGACGCATCGTTCTGATCTCCAATCCGCTTCACTTCGTCTCCTAATCCAGTCAGAAACGCTGATATAGTCTTAGATAATGCCTTAAAGTTGTTCACAATATCGTTCATTTCTGTTTTGTACTCTAAATAATAGTAATTTATACTTTTGACAAAAATGTATGACAAATAACTGGCAGGTTAACGTGTATTGGCCAAACTATCCTAAAACACAACATTATAACAAATGAACTTACTTGTATCCATCCCAGGCGATATCAGAATCTCTCTGTGAACCACTGACAGCTTTTTCAACAACGAATCCATCTCGTCTAGCTTTGCAAGCACATTGTCAACGTTAGCGTGAAACTAGAACACATAATTTTAACATACTGCATATATTACAGTAAAATAATGATGCTACAGTACATATATATTTATTAAAAAAGCGACTACAGTATGCCTAGAACATACTATAGTAATTAAAATAAAACCCTAACCTACATTTTCCATGTCATCCCAGGCATCCTGATCAAGCAAGTTATCCGACACCACCGGAAATCCATCTTCAAGTCTAACAGATGTTCCGTTGAAGATCACACTCGGACTCGAACCCCGGGTTTGGCCACGCAACTTCTAAAATCAAATAACATACTACATATAACATAACGTAATATCAGTAAAAAGCCAAATTAATAAACAAACCTGAAGTTCGGCCAAGCGGTCCTTCATCGTCCCTTGCCCATCAGTTTCTTTCCGCTGATCGGCCACAAATATTTTTATTTTTCGTTTGTGGCAGCCCGCTTTTTTAGTATTGATTGGCGCGAAGTGTCAAAAATAGGAGAATATCTCGAAAAAATTCGAAGGAAATTTTCTCTTCGTCGAATTTCTGGATTGTCCTTATAATTTGAAGGTTTATATTTTTAGAGTATTGTTTAGTACTTTTTAAATTATCTAGAACGTTCAAAAAACCAAATTATGTTGTTAATATTATGTGGGTATTAATATTGGTATTTTCAGAAACATGGCTAGTGCTGGTGAGTCGATTTTGGCCTTGAAAGGAGAAAGAACCTCTGGTAACTCCATCAGAAGCCAAAATGGTGAGTGATATTGTTTATTTACTGTATATTTCTTAAATTTAGTTATGGCAGCTGGAGCTATTGCTAATGTTGTCAAAACTTCATTGGGACCAGTCGGCTTGGACAAAATGTTGGTCGACGATGTTGGAGACGTCACGGTAACCAACGATGGAGCTACTATCCTTAAGATGTTGGAAGTTGAGCACCCAGCTGGCAAAATTCTGGTCGAATTAGCTCAATTGCAAGATGAAGAAGTCGGAGATGGCACAACTTCTGTTGTTATTGTCGCTGCTGAATTGTTGAAGGCTGCCGACGAACTTGTCAAGCAGAAATTGCATCCAACTACTGTTATCAATGGTTACAGACTGGCTTGTAAAGAAGCTGTCAGATATATGACTGAGAATCTGTCATTTACCGTGGAAGAGCTGGACAAAGCTAACTTGATCAAGGCCGCCAAGACTTCGATGTCTTCCAAATTGATTGGATCGTAAGTGAAGTTTATAAATTTAGTTTTTATTTTGAATACTTTTAGAGTTATGTTATTTTAAGGTAATTATGTCTGTTTTAGTGACGCTGACTTCTTTGCCAATCTTTGTGTTGAAGCCGCTCAATTGGTCAAGGTTGTGGAGCCTTCAGGAAAGAACATCTACCCAATTACAGCTGTCAACGTGTTGAAAGCTCATGGTAAATCATCCCGCGAAACACAATTGGTAAAGGGATACGCTCTAAACTGCATCAGAGCTAGCGATGGTATGTTACATTATTTTGATCGATTTATCAAGTTTAGAGAAGTTAGAAACATCTTCTAAAATTATTTTTCAGCTATGCCAAGACGAATTGAGAACCCAAAGATTGCTTGCTTGGACTTTTCTCTTCAGAAAGCTAAGATGCATTTGGGTATTTCTGTTGTTGTTGAAGATCCTGAGAAGTTGGAAGCCATCCGACGAGAGTAAGTATATCTACGTTTAGTTCGTTATCTATAAGATTTATTTTTAAAAGCTTTTGTTTATTACAGTGACATTATGTTGTTTTAGGGAGATGGACATCACCAAGAGGAGGATTGAAAAGATTCTGAAGTCTGGAGCCAACGTTGTTTTGACCACTGGTGGAATCGATGACTTGTGCCTTAAACAATTTGTTGAAGCCGGAGCGATGGCTGTCAGACGATGCAGAAAGATCGACTTGAAGAGAATAGCCAAAGCTTGTGGAGGTGGGTAAACTGATTGAATTTTAAAATGAAAAAATTTTATTTTTGTTTTTTTAATATTGAACATAATTTTGAAAGTAACTTTTTATCTTTTTAGCTACATTGACTGCTTCTTTGGCTACCCTAGAAGGAGATGAACAATTCGATTCTGCTTGGTTGGGATCGGCCGATGAGATTGTCCAAAAAAGAATCTCTGACAACGAACTCATTCTTATCAAAAACACCAAGGCCAGAACCTCAGCTTCTGTTATCTTGAGAGGAGCCAACGATGTTATGCTAGATGAGATGGAACGATCTCTTCACGATGCTCTGTGTGTGGTTAAGCGGGTTCTGGAGAGCAAGAAGCTCGTAGTTGGAGGTGGAGCTGTCGAAGCTGCTTTGAATGTATATCTTGAAAACTTTGCTACCACATTGGTGAGTTTTTTGGTGTTTTATAGCATTCTTAGTCATATGAACAAACATTATTTTATGTTTTTGAATTGCAGATTTGCCATTTTTTTACTAACTTACAATTCTTGTAGGCTAGCCGAGAACAATTGGCGGTTGGAGAGTTTGCCAACTCTTTATTGGTCATTCCAAAAACTTTGGCTTCGAACGCTGCCAAAGACGCGACACAATTGGTTGCCAAGTTGCGAGCATTCCACAACAAATCGCAACAAGACAAGAGTATGGTACATCTGAAGTGGGCTGGTCTGGACCTAGAGAACGGCGAGATCTTGGACAACAAGGAAGCCGGCGTCTTCGAACCTCTAATCAGCAAAGTCAAGAGTTTGAAGTTTGCCACAGAAGCTGCGATCACCATCCTTCGTATCGACGACCTTATCAAACTCGAGAAGGAAGAGCCCCGAGGTCAAGACGAATGCGACGCCTAAGTTGTTGACAGCCGCCTAAACATTGTTGCTAAATTGATATCCGCCCGTTCTCAACTGTTCTCAATCTCTGTAATGTTCTTGTTGTGCTTTTGATAAATAAGTTTGAATAAATGATGCTTTATTGCCTCAGGCATGGATAGTGATGATTTATGGATAAAGGTTATAAAAAACATAAATATCAGTTTATATTTATGGCCATCTGCTATGAAACTTTTAAAAAGTTCCAGAATAAAACGAGATATGGGGTTGGTAACCTTTTTAAATATCTAACATAGGTAAAAAATATTTATTTGGATATGCCATGATAAGGTAAACCTATGAGATGACACAGTTGTTGTTATCGCCGTTCTTCGGAGTCTGTAGATGCTTCAGAATTACTTCTTGAGACTCGAGCTTCTTGGCAAGTCGAGTATATTCTTCTTCTCTGGTCTTCAACTTCTTCTTCAGGTCTTCCAATAGTTCTTTTCTTTGGGAAATCTGCTTCAGAAGTATGTCTTTCAATCTGAACGCTGATTTGGTGTTGTTGTTGATCTTTTCTATATCATCTTTCAGCATGGCATTGACACCTTCAAGTTCTTTCACTCGTCCATCCCCAGTTCGCGAGCTTTGTTCCAAGATACTTGTTATGGAAACCGTGTCATCAATCTGGAAGCAGAATTATGAAGTTGTAAACGCTAATTTTACTGATTTTGAAATATTCTTAGATAACATACGTTGTCAATGTTGTTAGTGGTGTCGATGCTCATGAGAGTGGTGCTCAGTTCGAGTGGGATAACTTGGAGTTCTTTTTGGATGCGATTAGACTTCCATACCTGCTTCAACTCGGCTTCAGAATCGATTTTGATTGCCTGAACAACAAGACGATGATGGGGGTTGAATCTGTTTCCGACCAATTCGATCTTCATCTAAAACAAGATATGTCTGCATGTATATTAGTTCTGTATATAGGTACATAAATTGCAAATTTATCTACCGGGTCATACTTCAATTCGATTTCAAAACAGACAGAAGTATTTTAGGATAACTTACAGTCTGCTGAGGACGAGCTTTGGTCAAGACTCCAGAATTGGGGTTGACGATGTAGCGAGTCGGAGCATTGGTACGCATTCGGAAGGCGATCAAATCAGAATCCGCAAGATCCGGGCTTCTGGAGACAACCAATTCTTGCTTCGCGTCACATGGTTGTTCAACATCAAAGCACACGTACGTCTACAGAAGGTTTAGGTAATTCTTACATCTTCGTTAAGTGATTTTTACTTAAAATAGGAAAAACAAAGATACCTGATCTGCAGTAACCAAGGAGAGGGTAGAAGTGACTCCAGTGTCAACGTCACGATCATCTGAGAAGGTTCGGCTACTAGTTCTGCTCATAACTCTGGAAGATCGACCGACTTCTTTTGCAGTTTAATAACGGTATGTTTTTCAAAGTTTATTTATGACATTTTTTGTTCAAAATAGTTGAATTTTCAAGTGCATTTTAAATATTTGTGTCATCAAGAACAGTATTTTTGAAAGGTGTTAACTTTCTTTTGACCATTTATTTGACCTGTATTAAAGCTAATATTACTTTTTTGTTTTTTTTTCATAAAGTTTAGTCTATTCTATATGCTATTATATTCAAAAATGCTTGTTATCGTCCATCTTCCACGCTCAAAAATGTAAAATGATCTACGATTACTACCCAAAACAATATATTTCGTTTTTAATAACTATATTATCCATGTTGTGTCCTACTTTTGCGCAGTTCACGCCTTTTACCTCCACAAACCCCTCCCACACCCAATAACCAAATTTGCCGCAAAGCTCTGCGGCGGTGTAATTTCGCAAATGCGACACGCGTTGACGGGTTTAGCGGCTGATTGGCGGCGCGTTACTAAGCAACCGAGGAAACTGTTGCGCGACAAACAATCTGAGGCTTTATTCGGAATGTAAATTCATGCAAATAGAGGGAATGTCTTCAACTTTGGGGAGGGAGGGACTGTTTGTTCTTCTCCCTTTGCCCCAGCTCTTTTTCGCGATCTGTACAGGTCCTGAGGCGTCACAACGACGATGTTATCATGATAACCCGTTGCGGCCGGCTGGACGGTTCTTCCGTTTCCTGTAATCAGTTTAATTCATATTCTGGGAGGTTTTTGAATTTCGGGAATTGTTTCCATTTTAAATTCAATTCTGAAGAGAAAAGATGTTTTAGGTATTAGTCATCGTATGTTATAGCTATACTGGCGACTTTTATGGCTTTTATTGTACATCTTCTTTTGATTAAGTTATCTGGTCTTGTAAAGTATAATACGAAATGCTTTATGCTCTTTCGGGCTTGACCTATATTAGTATAGAAGTTGTCTGAAAAGACTTCAGAGGGATTTCACGGTTATTAATACAATTGCACTAGGTCTCGCCAATAAACTTTTGGATCATATTGCTAGGCTTTAAAATGTCATTTTATCATTCATTTTTTTATAAAATACTTTTGATTATGATTGTTATGATGCCCTTTGTCATACCACTGCGTTCACAAATTAATGACATTAAACTCCCAAAAACAAGTCTTAAAAATAGTTTTTGGACACTTTGAACCTAACCCACCTTGAGCATCGACTCCAGACTGGCTCGGCTTGATCCACACTCAAGGACATTGGCTTGTTGTTTTTGTTTTGGCCGAGTACAAGGTAATAGCTGGAGCAGGTAACTGATGAGCCGAGGCCTGTTCTCGGCCCTAATCCGTCTTCGTTCCATCGATCTGTCATCTAGAACACGAGCACGTTGTTGGGCGTACTCCTCCAGCCACGATGCTCTTCTGTAGAAGGCTACATCCGATGGCACGCTGCTCTCTGAGAACAGCGATGACCACATACTCGATCGCATGGAACCCTAAAGCAAGATTAATGATTGATCTGATTGATCATTGTGTCGCACATGTGTTACATGCTTTTGGGAGTTATGGTTTAATTGAGCTAGGTATCAATTTGGACTGGTTTCGAAGAATAATCCAGTTAAAAGCTGAGTTAAAGAGTTCAAGACAAATGACTTGACAATTGTTTTGTCACGCTCCCTCTCGTTTGCATAAAACACCCTTATCAGTCATGGATAACATCACGTTTCTATCAAAGAGATCGCCTTACCTGACTAGTGGTGCTCTTGCACATGTCTGGTGCTTCTGCGCGGAGCTTCATAACAAAACCAGGAGGAAATATGGTGGCAGACAAACGGTTGTTATGCCCTGAGGGTAATGAACCTGAGGGAAGAATGCCTGTCTCGATGACAGTTGTCACACTCATCATCTGCTCGTATTATGTCCAAATCCTTTACCTTGATATATGCAAGGTCATTCCGTTTACGTGGCCTATGTTTTCGCTTTGATATAGCTGTCGTCTACCTTAATATATGTTTCATCTTGGGATGTCCATCGTGTTGTCTTTTTATGTTATTGTACTGTTTACCATGCTATACACTATTATCTACCACAGTAAATTCTTCATGTTTTCCTCGCTCTCTTGCGACGTCTAGAGACTTTCGGGACGGGTATTTGCATAAGATGAGTCATTCTTTCCCTGACCCTGCGGCGGTCTTTGTTTGTCTTGGGACCCGCGAGGTTAGCAACGGTCAGCCTCGAGCCTCCGCTCTCGAGAAAAGGTAATTTGAATATTTCCCTTGCTATTCGACTTTGTTGCGAGCTACTGCCCAGCTTTCTTTCTAATAACATCTAATACCTTTTGTAATAATACCATCTGCTACGTGGTTTATTACCTGGATATTTTGATATTATTCTTTCAATACTAGGTATCGATCGCAATTAAAAGAAAATACAAATACAATATTGTGCTACTTATTATATTATGTTACATTCTAAATATTGATGGTAATAAAATAGTGATAACATTTACATTTTCTACAGTTTTCTTTGTTACAGTACCCTTAATGCTGCCCTACCGTTCAGAATGTGGATAACATAACCATCGTATCATGTCGTGTAACCCATGTTGCGGATGGCGTCTCAAAGATGCCTCCGCTACAATTGGCATTTGGTCATGTGTAAGTTTATATATTATACTATGGTATTTACCAATGATTTTGGCGTATGTTATCTATTATGTTGAGTTATGATTTTATTTTTAATGATATATAATCTTGATTTATGTTGATATACTAGGCCTGGGAGTGCGGTCTGCGAGTTTTTGAAGCTTTTACTATCACTTATATCACAGTATTTTGTTAGAATAAACTTAAATTACTGTACATTTTGTAACTTTACAGTACTTTTTTTTAAGATACAGTACTTTTGTTAATGTAACTATGCTTAGCTGTATTCTCTGGCTGTACTGGGTATGTTCGCCTGGCAGTGGGGGGTTCTCAGTCAATGCCAACATGTCACAATGGCACAGTCCAACCTACAATGCGAGTATTACTGTCCGTGTGTCGGTGCTAGTACAGCGCGAACGTCAGCCATAATCGAAGGTAATTGATGGTATAACAATGCTTTATTATAATTTACTTTACAGTAGACTGTACTTACTGTAGTCCGCACTCCGTATCTCCCGGGCCTGGTCGTCGTATTTTAGCCGTTTTTGAGCTTTTACTATTATGTTTTGGCAGTAAAAGTAATGCTATATCATGCCTATGTATGCCTTTTTTAAGAGATATGACATTAGTTTATGCTAATTAAGTTGATTAACTATGCGTGGGGTTGTAGATATACGACGTTCTGATGTTGTCCTTAATGGGATGGCAAATGGCGGCGATAAAATACGAAAAAGACCGCGCGGCCAATACCCTGTTACCTAATTATAACACGTATGGGCGGTACGACATCCCCTCCTATTACGAGAGTTACTGGCAGTCGCCGGAGGAACGGTATTACACAGGTAATTGACTTGATACGGAGTGCGGTACTGTAGTTTATTGTTGTTAATTGTTGTTAAATTCTTACAGTATTTACGATAGTTATTTGTATATGTTTATAAGTTAGAATATTAGATGATATAGTGTATATCTTGTGTTCTAAAATACTTACGTAATGTTTTAGCGCTGTTCGTGGTCCAGATTCTCTGCCTAATCACTTCGTTGTTTCACCTGTTCGCATCGCTGGGATTACTGTACGGAATTCATACGGTAAGTCTATCATATAACACCGTAAAAAATAAGCATATGTTAAAATATTTTTTATATTTTTTAGTGGTCGCGTTACCTTATCCTGCCATGGATCATAACCACATTGTGTACCATACTGACTTCTTTGGCTTACTGTATCACCTGGTGGGCAGGTGATGTAAGAGATTACTGGTTGGTACTCACGATTCTTGTTTTCTTCACAATTATTGTTAATGTAAGTGTCGACCGATTGAAACAGTTTTTTTTTATTCGTCCTGATAGTATAGTATGGTAACCGAAACCCATAGTATAGTAAGACCAAAAACCAATACCAATTAATATAACTTTTAATGTTTTATATTCAAATTTTAACCTTTCAGACGTACTGCTTTGTCACTGTATGGATATTCTACAAAAGAATGAACGAAGAACTAAAGTACTACGAGGGAAAGAAGGCCAATAAGTATAACAAGTTTCCTCCACCTAACCAAGGCTTCGTATACGATCCAGATGACGACTTCAGATACCCTCATCCAGATGCCAGAATGACAGAAGAGGAGTTCAACTGGAGGAACGACAACATGCCTATGCCTGAGGAACGGTTCGACAACATTCCAGGAGATCCCATGCATCCAGGGTACATCGACGACAATCGTCCCAAGAGTGTTCCGGTGAGTCATGTGGTATCTTTAGTATGAGATTGTGTTGGATATATCTTTAGTGTCAAGCTTATAAACTAACATTAGTTATCATTATTTTGAAGTTATACCCATGTATAATGTATTGCTTTAGCCCTTCCATCCCACCCCTTACCAGTACGATGACTTTGCTGATGTCCCACGACAAGTTAGTCGCCATTCTCATCGCAAACACTCTTGTCACTGTCATCGACACAGAAAGCCCAAACGACGACACCGAAGCCGACATCACAAGGACGACGTCTGCTCATCGTCGTGCTCCACCGAATACACTGGTACCGAAGAGACGGTGAGTACGCATCCAGCTGGTCGACGACATCACTCACATCACGACCATCGTAGGAGAAGTCACTCCAGATGTCTTCACAGAGCACCGTCGCCCAAGTCTCAGAAGACTGCCGTCGTCCAGGTGGATCCAGAAGAATTGAGTCGTGGAGACTCGAATGTGGGCACGCTGATGAGTAACGGTGGCTTCACAATACCTCAGCACATTGTCATACCACCAGAGACCAATGCCGACCCCACCCAGCCTCGGAAATACCAGATCAACTCGGAGATCACCATCTCCTACGATCCGAAGCAAGACGCGCCCCAGGAGGGGCTACAGTATCCACGGAGTCCTAATGTAAGTACCTATGCATTGTTTTCTATTTTATATCAAAGAATATGGTACCGGGTAAGACCTATGCTTAACTCATAGTAAGATATACCTAATATCATACTAATAACCGTAAAATGAAGCAAGATTCTTCAATAACGTGCCATTTTCAGCCAATTTCCTTCACATCGAACGTCTGAATCTCTTCCTATATCACTTACTGCCGCAGGGATTTGTTGTAATTTCCGGTTTATTTATTTTGGAAATGTAAATAAATTTGTGTAAGTACGTTTTGGCACAATAAACATGACATAAACAATTGTTGGCCCGCTCCCAGGGCGATGAGTGACGATCGTTATGAAGGCCCAATTAATCATCTTTCGTAAGCGATGGCCCCAGACGAGGGCGTTCGCGACCCCTCACTCGTTCTTGGGATGGCACCTGCGGAAAAAGGAAATCACTGCAAATCAAGTTTGGGCAGAGAGGGCGGCCGCCACGGCCTAGAGGCATCCCCCCAAACCGAACGGAATGGCCAAAAAAGACGCCTTAATTTGCACGCAGCTCCCGAACTCAAAGTTAAAGTTGTGGTGGGAAAATGAGCGGCGCTTCTTCGTCGACTGCGGCCTTCTTAAGGCCCTGGGGTCGTTTTCCTCCAAAAACTGTTGACCCATTCGTTTGACGAAGATTAGGCTGAATGTTCCCTAATGGGCCGGCTTCCGGGATTTCTGGCCTCCAGTCATATTCATGTTTTTGTTTACCTGATCTATAGTATCATTCCTATTATGATTTCTACGTGGCCGCTCTGACTAATCTATCCTACGCGGTGGGATGAATAAGAATCCTTTTAGACATTCCGCCAGACATTATACTTGGCTTTTAGATGGTTATCATAGAGAGTATCAATTTAAAAAACAGCTGGATGGTTTTATCAAACGGTCCGCTTTGTATGATTGATGCCCAAATTAATAATTTCAAATGACAATCTCGAGGAAACCCATCTGGGAGCGTTACACATGCGAAGTGAGAGTTGCCCAGTTTCATTAGGTTGCGTGTCCCAAAAAAGAACGGCCTCAGGGCCCTAATGGCGGTGGCATTGACAGCGGCCAACTTAAAGGACCAGCTGTGTGTGTGGATGGCCTCTTCTATCAAAAAAGCTGCTGATCATATAAACTTCTTCCACTTCGGGCCAGACAAACCTGAAGCTTACCGGATCTCCTTTTTCCTTTACTTCCGAGGCTTTCGCTTCTGAATCCCGGAAAATGGAGCCGGAACCGTAGAGCTCGGTCGAACCGCTTGCATATTGTTGTTGTTTTTGTTGTACCTGTTGCTGGTACTCGGGTTGCTACGTCACATGACGAATTGAAGAATGACGTTTCGGATTAAAACTTTCGATCACTAATATTTGGTTCCTTGGCCTTTGTTTTCAACGTGTTTTCTTCGCGATTGTTTATGAGAAGCTTTTATGTATCTAGTTTTACTATAATGATGATAAACCTTATAATACCTCGTTGATACTTCCTAATTTGCTATTTACATTTTGACAACCTCTATATCATTATGCGACAAGGTCGATTACCGTTATAAAATCACATTATAATGCCTTTTATCACCTAGATTCGGCAGCCAGCCCCGTTCACAACCCGCTACACATCTGATGCCCATCCATTTGGCCCGCTTCAGCTCCAGGGGCTGATTACAACTACAGCCTCGCTTCCGTTCACCGTCCATGTAACAAGATGAGTGGGCCCAATTCCGTCGACGCTCCCAATTCCAAAACCGGTTCTTCCAAGCCCTGCGGCAAATTCACTTATCCTCTTATTGTGTTACTAATATTACTGTTACTGACGACGTTCGCCTTATTAGGGTACCTAATATGGGATAAGGCGGCGCAAGCGTCGGTTTGTATGACACCCGGCTGCATACACACGGGTAAGCCTAAGCAATCTCTGAATTAATGAAATTGAATCTCTAAAACCTATAAGACAAAAGAGAAACCTTACCTTTTATCAAAAACTTGACAAAAATGTAAAAACAGAACACTAACATAATATTGTTTTAGCATCGATTATCTTAAACTCGATGAACGCGACGGCAGATCCATGCAACGACTTCTACGAATATGCGTGTGGAAACTGGATAAAACAACATCCCATTCCCGACGATGCCCCCTCGGTTTCAAATTTTGAAAACCTAGGGCAAGATCTGGAATTGGCCCTCAAAGGTGAATATTCATAAGTAATTTTTAAAAACTCCCATTCTATTTTAAATATTATATTTTTATTTCAAAATTTATTTCCGCCAGTAAAATTCCATTTTTTGTCCGACAATTTTTTGTTTCAAAATTTTAGGTAAGACTCGAGCGAAATGTCAATAATTGTGACATTTTGTTTACTTTTAATTGGTTTTTGTTTCCTCGGCGGAAGTGAAGAGTTTTGCCTGTTTTTAACACGTTTTAGTGCTCTCAATTAGTACTGATTTATTTAAAAAACAATTACGATTATTTTCAGAGCTGCTGGAGGAGGAATACGATCCGAAGATTGATGGGGATGCTGTGAAGAAGGCGAAAAAGTTCTACAAAATGTGTCTCAACGAATGTAAGCGGATATAAATCATGTTAAAGACGTGATAATAGCCCTTATAATAGGGGAATTTAATGTTAAATGCATGTTAATACGACAAACTGTTGAAATTAAGCATGAATATTGTCCTACAAATTATAAAAGGGGTTAGTTTTAAGCAATTTAAAATATTTTAGCCGAGATCACGAGTACATGGCGAGCGATGTTCGATGAAGTTCGCCGAGAGTTCGGCGGATGGCCTTCATTAGAGCCTGTTGGAGCACCACATTCTATCAGTATTGAGCGACTGTATGGTATCATGGTAGCCAAGTTCAGAGCAGACTCTTTGTTCAAAGCTACAGTCCAGCCAGACGACAAGAATTCGGAAAAACACGTTTTGTTGGTAAGTTAGGACAAGTAAAATCATAACTTTAGAAAAAAATTATACTTTTACGTGAAATACTTCAAAGATAATATTTTACTTTAGCTATACGATATTGTTAAAGTGATTTATGAAAAAAGGACATTATTTTGTGTTTTAGATTGACCAACCGGCTTTGAATCTGTTTGCTCGTGACTTCTACATGTTGTTGGAGACAGAAGACGAACGGTTGGCCTACAGAACCTTAGTAAGAGATGTTTTGGTACTTTTGAACGCCGATGCCAGCATTGCTGAACGAGATTCTATCGAGATTCTGAAGTTTGAAACCGAATTGGCCAACGTAAGGGTTTTGTTAATATTATTTTAAAACTGGTACAATACACAATTTTTATGATTTTAAATTTTTTTAAACGTTTTACTAGTTTAAGTGAGTTAATATTGTGGGATAAATCACAAGAATCTAATCGAAATGATATAGATAACAGTAGCAGAAGATCAACGGCACGATATCTCGGAGTTGTACACGAAATGGACGATCGGAGAGATGAGAACTCAATTCAGAAACTTTGATTGGCTTTTGTTTTTCAACACCATCTTCGAGAACATCAAGGACAAGAACGACACGGTCATCAGGTTTGCTGAAGACACAGAAGTCGTCATCTATGGAGTCGACTTTGTTCATCGCTTCGACAAGTTACTGCCACAGTTTGAGACAAGGTAAGAGTGTTAAATTTTGGCTTTTGCTAACTATATCAATCGAATTGGTTGTTATTAATTTGGATATTTTGATCAATGAATATTATTTTCTTATAATATGATATTGTTTTAGGGTAATTGTAAACTACTTGTCATGGTGCTGGTTCTTTAAAGCCATGCTACGCGATCTGCCAGATCCTTTTGCTTTGACAATGTTTAAATTCTATAGAACGTTGAACTGTAAGTGGCTTTACATAATTTTTTTTCTGAATATTACAAAGAATTAACAAATTTAGGTAACAAAAAACTATTTTTAATCAAAAATTCATTGAATCATAACACTTTGTTAACTTTATTCTACATTTTCAGTGATGAGTGTCCAAAAGCTGCGATGGCATGGCTGTGTCACTCGAATCAACAGTATCATGCCCATGGCCACGTCCAGTATCTATATTCGAAATCATTTCGATCACGAGGCCAAGACTCAAGTAGAAGAGATGATCTCCTTGATCATGGAAGCCTTCGTAGAGCTACTGGAAGAGGAAGATTGGCTGACGAAGGAGACCAAAGCCTTTGCCAAAGAGAAGGTCCACACCATGAATCAGAAGATTGGGTACCCAGACTATCTGAACGACTCCAAGGCTGTGGATGCAGAGTACAATAGATATGTCCTCAAGAATGGAGACTACTACAGAACCAAGTTTCAGTTTTATGAAATGTACCAGAAGGACATTCTGGAGAGGATACGGATGCCAGTGGACCGGGAGCGGTGGGTGGCTGGGGCTGCTTTGGTCAACGCCTTCTACAGTCCTAATACCAACGAGATCAGTAGGTTTTACTGATTTTAAAGGACTTTTAATTTTTTTAAAATGACTTTTTGGTTATGTTTTGTAGTGTAGTTTTAGAAATTAGGGTTGTTATTACGTATATTAGATAATGAATTTGATTTCCAGTTTTTCCTGCCGGAATCTTGCAACCAGTCTTCTACAACAAACACTTTCCGCGATCAATGAATTATGGTGGAATTGGAGTTGTTATTGGACATGAAATAACTCATGGTAGGTTGGAGAGTTTAAAAAGTTTAAATTTGTTAGCTTTTGTAAGTTTTAAAGTTGATTTCGGCATTTTTTTGGTATTTTTTGCATTTTTTATTCGCATTATTAGATTGTTCAAATAATTCTGTACCCCTAGCCGCGAACATTTGTTTTGAAAAGAGGCACTAAATTATTTTAAAAAATTGATATATTAAATATTGTTATATTTGGATGTAAGATCAACTTTTAATTTATTTAATTTAGGTTTTGATGACCGAGGACGACTGTACGACAACTTGGGTAACATACGACAATGGTGGGACAACGCTACGATTGTCAAGTTTGAGGAAAAGGCACAGTGCATTGAAAATCAGGTAAAACTGTCACTAATAAATTGAAACTGAAGTGAAAATTTAATTTTTGTTTTAAATTTTTATTTTCTACTGTACTTTTGAAGGTAAATTATTGTTTTTTATTTTTGTGGTCACACACATAGCTAAAGTAATGTTTTCAGTACTCGAACTACGTCCTGGAGCAGATTTCGATGCGAATAAACGGCCGAAGTACGAAAGGAGAGAACATAGCCGACAATGGTGGACTAAAGCAGGCCTACCGAGCTTACAAAAAGTACGAACAGTACCATCCAGTACCACAAGCACTACCTGGAGTTAACCTAACACAAGATCAGCTCTTCTTCCTTAACTATGCTCAGGTCGGTTTTTATTCAGGATTAGATGACTTTAGGTAACATCTTGGGGTTATGCTTGCTTTAGACTTGTATGGGGTGATAACCCTTACATTTATGGTTAAAAATCTTGCTGCTTTTAAATATAATGACGTTATTAACTTAAAATATATTGTTGTAGATCTGGTGCGGCATCATGAACGACAAGGAAGCGATTCGCAAGCTCCGAACATCAGAACACTCCCCCGGCCCAATAAGGTAATTTGTCGTTACTCTAGAGTATTTCAGGCTAATTCAACTTAAGAACTCTTACGTTTCTTAAGAAGCCTTGAGGAGTATATTTAACTCTTTTAAAGAATACCCACAGTAATTGGCTTCGTTTACAGAGTAAAGGGGCCCTTGTCGAATTCTCACGACTTCGCGGCCGCTTACAATTGTCCGGTGGGATCGGCGATGAATCCGCTGAAGAAGTGTCGCGTCTGGTGATGGATAACGTTATTACCTAACTATTGGTCTCTTCTGGGGTCTCTCTGATCATTCGTAGTCTGTAGAGGTCTAGACGTAGGGTTAGAAGATCTACAGATTTTTTCGTATTTTATGGTTTTAAATTTGAATTTTTATAAATTTTAATAATTTTAAATTTTCATAATTTTTAATGTTTTTTATACTTTTTGGTAGGTGTTTTATTACCTTTTTGTGTCATATTTTGTAGTTTCTGTGAAATATAGTACTTTTAACAATTCTAAGTAGTACTTAACGTCTTTGATCGTACGGTAATATCTGAAAAATGTGTAAAAACTACAGTATCTATTGTATTGTGCACTTTCTTAAGACTTTTTATAGTGCTCAGTATAGTGCTCAGTGTAATGTAGCTTCAGTACGAGAAAGAGTACTGAATCGGTATTATAGTAGTAGGAAATCAAATTAAAGATTCGTATTTTCATACACATTTTTATCACTTTTTCAAGGATTTTACTGTTGTTTTTGTAGCCAGTAATATTGTTTTGTTTATCAATTTACTATGTTAAGATGTTTGTGTTACGTAGTAACTTTTTACTGTATGATTGAGTAATAAACTTGTTCACATTTTACATAACTCTTGATTGTTTTAGTGAATAACGGTTTTTTGGCATTATAACTATGACATTTGGCTCTGTCATTAGTCTTATATTGATGTAGATCAAAGTTGGTTTGTCTTTAAATTTTACTGTAAGTTTTATGGTCGTTTTTATGTTTAATACTTTCTTACCATTGTTTGTAATTTTCAGATGTTACTATGAATTCTTAGTATGTTGTGTGAGCAGTAAAAGGCCTAAATTTTTGTTTTTTGATGGTTTGTGCCTTTAGGCAGTTGAGTGTGTTGTTTTCTGATTTACTGTAGTGTTTTAACAAGTACGTACGTGACTGTTTTCAAGAATTGGCTATTTGTGTATCTTAAATTGCTGTTTATACTATCACAACTCTGTAATCTTCAAAATGTGTCATTTTTGGTATCTTAGAGTGTGTCATTTAACCAAATGTGTCATTTCTGATATTCTTGGGCATGTAATCTTAAAAACGTGTCATTTGTGCCATATGTAATCTTAATTCTAACATATATAATTTTTCTTGTGGCATATATAATGTTAAAGTCATCCTTATAATTAACCTCATCTAAAACTGGATACTACAGTCATCGTACTACACTATAGCATCAGAGTGGGCACTACAAATTGCTGCAAACAACAATATTATTATATAATTGTGGAACCTGAAACCTCGGAAATTCGGCCGCCTCGAAGCTGGCTTCAGATTTAAGGGAGTGGGAAAACGAGGATTTGAGGGCGTTGCTAATTCCTTGTTTTTGAGCTGTTAAAAGGATTCTTGGACACTTGTCTCGGCCCCACTCCACGGAACCGGTCCATCGAACACAATGTGCTCCAGAATCCTCACCCTCCTCCTTCTGTTGGTATCGTTGTTGGTCATCAGTGCAGAGGTCAGTTGGTTACGGTATTTGAGTGTGGGCCAGGGTTACCGTAGGGAATGATGAGTTTGTTAAACTAAATTAGGGTTAGCTAGGGCTTAACGTGCAATAAGGAGCTTTTTTTAAAGATAAAATATGATACTAAGATCAATGTCATATTAAAAGTAATATTTTTAAGGGTTTTGTCATATTTTATCAATAAAACGACAATTTTATATCAAAAATGAACATTTTTATGTAGATAACGTCATTCGAATAGTCGTATCTAGCAAAGGTCAGATACGAAATACGAGACGATGTTTATGGGTATGCTATATAACTTAAGCCTCTCTCTGTACTTGTGCAGTACATTGTAATTCAAGTATGACAAAGTTAATTATCTTTTGAGCCACGTCATTAATTGAGGCTTAAAATTAATTTTCTTTGCTATATTATCATAGGTATCCTTGTTGTTGTGACTTTTTCAAACCTTGACGTCTTTTTGAAATACCGTATCTTTTACCTCAAAAAGATACTGTATTTTTGTCAAAAATCCCGGATTTTGGAGATTTACTGTACTAAATCACAGTTCTAAACCAACTTTTTATAGCTTACTGTTTTTTTCAAAATTTAAAAACCTTTAAATTACCGTACCCATTCCAGAAACAACGACTAACACCCCTATACGGTATGTTGAGACCGGGCTCCCTTCGCCTCAACAGTCGCCAGCTGAGGTCGGAAAGTGTACCATTGGCAGAGTTGGCCGACCAACAGTATCCCGCCCCACCCCCTCACATGGTCCAGATCAAGCGGGAGAAACCGATGCTGATGGGCTACGGCTGGGAACAGTGCGAGTTCAGTCCGATGAGCTGTCTGTTGCGACGACGACGCAGTGCCAACAACGCCTAAGAGCACCAACTTGTTTAGTGCCCGAGGGTAGCATTTTTGGTACTGTTTCCCGGCTGATGACATCAAATGGTATCAGTTCTACTATTAATGGAACTAACTTTACTCTCAATGGTACCACCAATACAACACCCAGTAGTACCCAACCTGGTAGTGCCAGAGGTATCTGTTAAGCACGTCCGAGGATACCATCTACTGTAATATTGTTACCTTCCTTATGTCACCTTAGTACCAACTACTGTTCTAGTACTGATACCACCTTCAGTAACCCCTAAGGGTGTTACCCCAAACCCCTAAGGCCGTTTGAAGAACTTAATGCCTGAGGGCTAGAAACTGTCTCTGTCTCCCTCTCTCTTTCCCACGCTCTCTCTCTCTAGTTGACTCACTGATCGGATCTCCCATTACTTTGGTTTCAGATGTGTATGTATATTATTAATAAAACATAAAACAACTCGAAGGCACTTTACAATGGCAGTAATCGATAGTGGCAGGCCGTCCAAAGGGTCTCGGAATTATTGCACGGTGCAATGCTTAAAAACAGAAGGTCACTCGCAAAAAACAAGATTTCCGAGAATGTTTGGACCGGCCTAGTATAACAATGTGTTTTCACTCAAATGTAACCGGTTTGTCATCGACGGGTTTGGAAGGCCGTCGACGAAATTCCTGGCTAGGAATGGCCAGAGGGGATTCTGGATTGGGCTGTTTTTTGCGCGACGAACGACGCTTTCGAGATGATCTGGATGACATTGATAAAGATTTTAAAATACGTCAATATAATTTTATTTTAATGTAAAATACGTCATTCGTAACCTGCTTTGAAATAAAAAAATTTTAAAAATTGTTTACTTGTCATATTAAACCTTATCATTATGATACCGAATATCCAAAAACTCACCGTTTGGACCCGTCTCTCTTGCTCATTACCCGATTGTACGGTACTTGATAGCACGAACATGAACATACTGATATCGTATCAGCATCGGCTGTCTTTGGCAACGCTAGCCTTCGCCGCCGCGTTGGACTTGAATTCAGACTGTCATCGGAAGAGTTGGACAGACTATTCGAATACTTTCGACGACCGTCCAGGCTTCGTATACTCACCTAAACACAATTATCAGTAAATGATATTATCCATCGTGAAACAATGTTAGGCGTTAAACAAGCTTTAAGGTTTTAAACTTGTGGTAGAAAGACTACTGTAATATTTTACCATGAGACAAGTAAGAAAAAGAAATCCTGACATTTTAAGACCGTTCTACGCAATTATCGATTAATGATACGTAAAATACAGAACCCTTTTAGTATGAAAATCCAACTTATTTCACTTACAAATCCTCGTTCAGCCAACTTCTGTTCTCTCTGATCTCGCTTTTCATCTTCAGTATTCAAGGTCAAGAATCTGAGTACAAGAAGATTCATGGCGGCAGAAATTACCGTAAGACCAGATACGATAAATACCACGGAAAAGAGGACGTACTCTGGCTGATTCTGAAGAGCACCGTGCTTTTGAAGCGCTACGTAATCTCCAAAACCTAAAAAAATAAATTATTCTTCAATTTTCGTTAATTCTACGGACTTTTTGACCTAATTTGTAGCCTTTATACGATGTCTTTAAGTCCAAAAACCAAACTTTACTCACCAACAGTAACCAGACTAGTAAAGCAGTAGTAGATACTGTCAAAGTAGGTCCAGTTCTCGTATCTGTGAAAGACAAAAGCCCCGGAGAAGATGATCATCAATGATAAGGTGGTGCAGATGAGTATCAAGTCGATGTGAGTGACCTTCTGTTCTCTGCCAAAACATTTCTTCATCTCCTTCAGAACAGACGCCACGAAAGTATTCAGACGCTCACCGATGGCCTGGAACATGACCAAGCCTAAGGGGATACCCGCTAATGCATACAACATACAAAAGGTTTTACCTCCGACGGTCATCGGCGTAGAATGCCCGTAGCCTAAAGGAAGACAACATTGAAGAAAAGTATTTATATTGTGATTCATAAAAACTTAATTTAAAATTTGTATAACTTCGGCCAAAAATAGTAAAATCCCTCTAAATATAGTGGTAATAGGACTAAAATACCTTACCGATAGTAGTAATCACAGTCATAGCAAAGTAAAAGGCACCGCTGAACTTCCATTGATGTCCAGCTTTGTGAGGTATGGACTTTATGATAATCGACTCCAAAATGTCATAGTCGGCCTTACTGATATTATACTTGTGGATCAGACGCTCCCGTGTTCGTTCTACTTGACTTCTCTGTAAATAAATTAGTTTTTGATGTAACCATAATGACATTTTTTGACACAAATTGTGCCTTTTATTTGTAAATACAATCAGAAATTAACTTTACGACACCTATAACAACATAAATTATAACATTCGTCTCGGAAACGAGTTAACCCCAAAGTAATATAGATTTTACGAGCTGCCAAACCCAATTACCATCAATCTGTCAACATTCCTTCAAAACTCTTACCAGCTTCAGCTCGTGCTCACTCTCCAACGCATCGAACACGGCTGCGCCCACCAGAAGATAGGTCAGAGTGCAAACGATCAACGACAATGTGCGGACATTTTGGCGTTTCATCCCATCTGGGAATCATGCACCTTCAACGTTCCGGCCTGAAAGGCAATTCAAATCGAATTAGGGCCGTTTAAAGCGAAAGTTTAGATACGAAATGGGCCAAAGTCTGCCGGATTCGAATTACTTTGGCGATTATTACAAGTAATGGTAAAGGATAAGGTTCCGGCTTTAAGTTATAGGAAGACCAAGTTATAAAGCTTTGTATATTAGGTGAAATGACAGTGTTAAAAGGCTAGATAGTTATCAAAAATATAAAATTATTAAATTTTAGGTAATTTAACGCCGATTTTTTGAAATTAAACTTCAATTTCAGTTTTTAAAAGTTTAAGACCGACATGAAAAAATCTCTTTCAACCTTAGAAATTATATATTAAACACTAAACTTCTAAAACTAAAAGTTTTGCACCAATATTGTCAAGTATAACATCAAATTCAACCAAAAGCCCCCAAAGTCCTTTCAAAACTTATCAAACCACAAGACATCTTGAAAGAATTACACTGTAAATTAAGGAGACACTTGTAGCGCCCCAAACCCCTCTCCCCATCAACAACAACACTTCAGGGTTACCGTGAAATGGCATCGTTCCGCCGTTCTGTGCGGTCTCGAAGATGAGATAATGAGTTGGCATAATTAAAGAGCCGGAATTCTGGAGCCGGGGGAGAGTGCATTAAAAGGCTTTGGGGCCAAATGTCTTGATTGTCCACTTCGAAAGGCCAAGACCTCTCTCTCCAGGCTCGCCCCGATCGAGAAAGCGGCCGAAGACAGACAGCCGTCTTCCTTCTTGCATTGTCTGACATTACACTTGTTCCCATCACTTCCTTCGTTCCCATTACATGTCACTGAACCCATCTACATCTATATTTATGTCTCATATTACTTTTATTGGCCCATGCTGTGGTTTTTAGGTAATTTTGAGAAAGAAATCAAGAAAAGAAGGTAGAAAAGATTAAAAAACACAGAGTCAAGTTTGCCGAATGGCGGGAAATCCAAATGTGGATATTATGAAACCTCAAATGTCGGGTTAAAATTCTTAAGGTTATAGAAAGTGGAGTATATACATTACACTTCGAGCCGATTTTTAGCGTTGAAATCGAACATCTACTTTAATATAAAAATTTCAATCAAACTTCATTTTTAAAAATTTAATTCAATAAATGAGAGGACTATATTTGTTACCTAAATCTAAATCTGTTGTCGTACGTTTAGTCAAAAAGTTTAAAAAAAGTTTTATTTTTACATTTTTGGCGCATTTTTTGCAAAAAATTAGAAAAAACTTTGTTTACATTGCGAGACTACCGTAACCAAGAAAGGATAAACAAATTGAACCCTATAATTAAATGTCATCAGACGTGTTTGCAAACATCTCTTTGTTGTAGTATCTTGGGTGAGATGTGCCAAGTGTAATTCGAGCAGTGATTTGACGTATATCGTTGTATCCAATTACTTTTATATCTATTTTTATCTGACATGCTTTGCAGATGCTCATTAGGTTCTTACAATTTTTACGATTACTGTGCAGTAAAGTGCATTATGTAGATGTTTTTGATGGTATTACTACTGTAAATGCAATAATAGTATGTTCAACTGATAAAAATTCTAATGACATAAAGAAAGATGTAAAACAAGCTACAAAACTGACCAGTAAAAGGTAAAAACATGGTATATTATACTATACTTAGCACGTATAATATCTTGATTACAATAACAAGACAGAGTGTAATCCGTACACAACATGCCACAACATTACGAGCAACTTGAGCATTACAATGTTAATCTAGACGGATATTGGCAAATCCGTCGAAGCAGCCATGGCAACGACCTGGAGGGCATTTGTTTTCAAATGGGCCGGAGGGCATTAATTCGAATTATAAAAATGAAGCCCTGGCTTCTATGGCTACAATGTCTGTCGCTACCTCGCCTTTTGGAGTCCCTAGTCTGCTACAGTTGTACCGCGACCATGTCCTCAGCTGTAGACGAAAGTGCTCAGATAGCGATGAGAATATTCCTGGAGTCAACGTACTATCTACCAGCTGTTCATAGGTATTGTGCTATGGAGAATGATATAGAGTTCAAGAGTGTGCCAACCTCACAATGTAACGCCAACGATAAGTGTGTGAAGATATCTGCAGATGGGAACGGTAAGTCTGTTGAACAATGTAAAAGAAAGCTTTGGGTAAACGACAACCATAAAACGATCACATGATGTATGTAACACAACAAAGTCACGTGATGTTCACAAACAAACCACTTTCAGGTCTCCAGTTCGTGATACGAGGCTGTGAATCCCAGATCTACAAGCCCAACATTGGAGTGCACGATGTGGGTTGTCGCTCAGGCACATCCCCATCGTTATGTTACTGTGAAGAAAACCTGTGTAATGACAGCTACATGTCACGGGCCTCGTATCTGCTCCTCACCATCTGCTACGTGATCTACAGACTCCAGTAGGCCACGGTGATTGGCGGACCGCGCCCTTTGTGTCATTTGATTTGTCGCGCTTTACGGCTCGTAAAACGGCTTCGAAACGATTCGCCCGACCCAACACAAACACTGCCCCTTTCATATGTTGGTATACACCTCGGTTTTATGGGTTTGCCAATTTACAGCCCCCATTTCATTTGAGTTCCGACCGCCATAGCCAGTCGCGCAACATTGTGCTGAGAAGAAATTAACTCTGATTTATTGGGTTCATGACTTAGGATGTGCTAGCCATGTTGAGGATGGTCCTGCTCTGGGTGTTTTGTTTCCTTTTGCATTTGGCTAGCGGCTCGGTCAGCTGGCTGTAGGTTGTTTTTTGTTTTCGAATAAAAGATTTACATTACTCTGTGGAAAGGTTGATTATGTGGTCAAAAAGTTTGTAGAAAAACAGAAAAATAGCGTCGAATTTAAATATAAAGTCGACTTTAACATTTTCCGTCATTTCTTACTGTAATCTCCCACTTTTGTCATCATTTTCTAATTTTAACTCCACCTTACCCCTATAACAATATCTTTTGTATCATCTTCAAAGTTCTTTTACAGTGTAGTAGGAATGGCGAGTCAATCCCCGCACATTCACCGTGAGCACGCTGTGAAGCCGGCTCAGATTTGCAAAGAGCTTCCGGGTCTGACACGACGACAAATTAAATTCTGTCGCCGGAATCTGGACACGATGGAGTCGATTCGCGACGGTGCTCGTGAGGCCTACGAAGAATGTCAGCATCAGTTCCAGAAGAGACGATGGAACTGCACGATGATGACAGAAGACGGCCGACTCTTCGCCGATGCCATTACTAAAGATGGCACTCGAGAGGCGGCCTTCGTTCATGCTATTAGTGCTGCTGGTGTAGCTTATCGTATTACCAAGGACTGTAAACGAGGAAGAATCTCAAAGTGTGGTTGTGACATCGGACTGACTACACGGTAGGCTACGGTCTCTTTTATTTACATAGAATTTTAAAACATCACCAAAGAAATAAGATGATAAAAGTAAGAGAAATCTTTGAAAAATGTTATTTTAGAACGATGGTACCCACCAGAAAGTATTCTTATCGTGGCTGTTCCGACAATGTAAACTATGGCATCGCAGTATCAGCTGAGTTCGTAGATGCAGCGGAGAAACAGAAGAATCAATCTATGGAGACACGACTTATGAACCAGCACAATAACAGAGCTGGGCGAGAGGTAAAACATTACATTTTAAGTATTGATATTAAAACCCGTATTTTACTATACCACTCTTTTATCTAAAAAACCTGAATATAATTTTCCATTACCTATTCAGTCCATTTGAATCAAAAATACTCTGCTAAAAATTCATAAAATTTATTTCTAAATTTATTTTCCATCCTTCAGGTCCTAGCTACAAGCATCAAAACTCGTTGTAAATGTCACGGTGTAAGTGGAGCCTGTGAAGTCAAAACCTGTTGGGAAGAACTGCCAGAATTCCGAGAGATCGCTACGCTTCTAAAGGACAAATTCGACGGTGCTACTGAGGTTGAGATCTCCAGAAACGAGAACACTGGGATTCCGACGATGGAGAGGAAGAATCCACTCTTCAAGAGACATACCAACTCGGATCTGGTGTATCTGAACCCATCTCACGACTACTGTGAGCCTGACGAAGGCAAAGGAGTCCTGGGGACACACGGCAGACCATGCAACATCTCTAACATGGCTCTGGATAGCTGTGATCTGGTATGTTACCTACTATAATATCAGATACGTAGTTTCCTTGATTAAATTACTATTATTTTGACAAAATAGCGCAACATAACACTGAAAACCTAGTTTCTAATCTTATGATACAGAATATTTCTGAATACTATATTTTTCAGCTTTGTTGCCACCGCGGCTACAATTTAGAGATAAAGACGGTGACCGAGCGATGCAAGTGTAAATTCCATTATTGTTGCCGAGTGGAATGTCAGACATGTGAACGAGTGGTAGAGACGTACACGTGCAAGTAACTGTTGACACACATTGTTTATTTTCCACAATATCTGTAGAAACACGACACTAATAATTGTTATCACACATACCTTAATAAATAATATTACCTAAAATTCTAGTAGTCTCAATTTATAACATAAACAAACAAACAAGACTGTATTTTTATAGCTTTCACTATATAAAGACAATAGTATTATATACGACCTTACTTTAACACTTACAATAAGATACCACAACAACTACGTCAATATTCATCTATTTATTAACAATACATCACAATATTAACATAACCCCGCAATATATACATCACACTTCGCTGGTTAATTAGAATTTAACGTTAACCTCGTCAATTCCATGGATTGTCGCTGATCGGAAACATACGATTTGGGGCTTCGTCGAAAAGGTACCAAACACAATATGCAAACACGGCTATAACCCAACAGAACATGTACAACACCCAGAACATACAATGTTCTCCTGAAATAGGATTCTTATCAGCTTTTCGAGTTTTATCGCTTTTCGTATAAATTACGGAAATTTGTTGGCAAAACAAAATTTCGAAATTTTTTTAAGTAATCGATTGTGGCGTTTCGTCACAATAAACAGATTTTTGTTTTTTGCCATTTCTGGGTTTGAAATCAGGTCAATAAGCTGTTTAGCACTTTGTAAAGTAGGAAAAAAACAATGGAATTAAGTATCTTTATCATCTATATTCTTTTTCCACTTTTAAAGTTTAAAATTTGACGACAAAAACTGATTTTGATCTGCAAGCTTATCAAATCAAAAACATTTATATAAAGTTTAATAGCCGCAAGGTTCCTCTTCCTTCAGTTACTGAAAATGCTATAAAACTACAACGAAATCTGTCAGAAAGTACGACTAAAACTGTCAGAAACACGTAAAACAAGCTGATCCCAAGTCTATAAAAAGCTGTGGAAGTTCCGCAAATTTCCCCTCAGGGCCATAAATTTGGGCAGTGAAACGTCAGAATAATATTTTTGGAACCACAACTATGAATCAGCCGCCGCTCATAATCCTCTTTGATAACAATACGTCGTATATAACAATACTTGGTATATTGAGGTAGGGATTGCAACATTTCAAAAAGTCTATCGATAACACGTCATCGGGGTTTAATTTGAATGATAAACAAGAAAGGTGGTTGTGCTGTGTTTTTAGTTTAGTCATCAGCTGCCGCTTTATTTTGGTCTTTGGAGGCTACTACAACATAAAGACTCGTTGACTTGATACCATATTTTTTTGTTTAATTTGAACCTGGATTACCTGTTTTTGACAAAGTATCACATTTTCGAACCCACGACTTGGCAGACAGCCGAATGCAACAAGTCACCACACGCGATGTCATGTCGTATACCGCCTCTTATCCGTTATATTCGCATAATATTGGAAACAGAATCCCATCGGATATGTTTAACAAATCGGGATTGGCGGAACACTTTGGGGGCCGGTCCCCAGAGGCCCATGCCCGCCTCAAAAGTTCCATTCCCGCATTCTCGAACGTCTCAAAACAAAAAGGGCATGTACTGATTTGGGCTGATCCCCCATCTGCTCGCATTAACTTTGATTTAACGAGCCGATCGCCTCAGGGTCGAGGCTTTGGGCCGAGGTTCGAGAAATGAATTTGTGGCTTCTGGCAATCAGCTTGTTACTCACCTTTTATTCAGTAAGTTTTATGTTTTACTACGGTAAAAGTAGAGGTTTTGCTAATAAAAGTGAAAAAGTAACCAAAATATGTTTCTAGGTGTTTAGTGTCACTTTATCCTTTATAAATCATTTTCTAGTGCCAAATATAACTTTTACAAAATCTTCAAATGAGCTCACAAGTTTTTTTTACTGTTATGAAACTTAAAGTATTGAGATTTAACACCTAAAACAACATAAAACGATCAAAAACTCACTTTATTTGGACGGAGAACAAGCCGATCCAGACAGAAACAAAAGAATGGAATCAAAACATTCGCTCATTAGCATAGAATGTTCGGAAAACAAAATATTTTGTCAAAAAAATGATAAAAAATGAGATTGAGGCCAAAAAATCAAGGAGAAGATTATTGTGAAAACTCTGTAACTTAATTTTAGCTTCTGATAACATCCATTTAAATATGTTTTTTAACCTGGACATTGTCAGAAATTTTACGAACTTTTTGACCGACTTAATTAAAACTTTCAGACACATGGCTTTCACGGACATCATCGTATCAGGAAGACACATTCTCATAGTTTGAAAGACATGGAAGAAGAGCAAGAAGATGAACTGGAAGAGGATGAAGAAGAAGATGACGAAGGGTATGTGATCGACGGCATCGCCACTTCTACTCACTTCAGCAAGGACAGGATCTTTGAGCAAGGGTAAGGTAACACGAACTTTTTGAGGTTTGGTAAAAAAGGGTAGTTAATATAGTTTTTTTAATTAGTAATCAACAAAAGAGATGTCAAAAATTTTATTTTTGTAATGTTTATTGTTGTTAATGTTATGATTATATTAATTTAGGGAAACTCGAGATTTTCTCCAATTTCTCCGTCGAATCAAATACGACCACAGTCAGCTGCCTCCAGGGCAAAGTCAAAATGGTAAGTAATATTGATAAGCAAAAAGTAAAATATTTTTAAATGGTTAAATTATTGTACTGTGAACGTATTTCATCTTTTAATTGTCAAAAATTACCTTAATTTCACTTTCAGACGCGGTAAAAGTGTTCGTGTCGGTAGTCGTGAGCAACATCAGGGCGGTGTCAGAAGTAACAATGGTAAGGAAAACAATTGGATTTAAAATATTTAAAACAATCGCCCTCAGGGGATGGGTTTCTTTTTCGGCATGCCTTTTCACATTTATTATATATTAAATGCACTTTTATTTATTAAAAAAGTGGCATATGATAACATATACAGGAATATGTCGCAATTACTGGGTAACTGCACATACTAACGGTATATTTGATAAAGTTTAGGCGGTTATAAATAGAAAATACGACATTAAATAAGCAAATATTTAAAAAGTGATGGTAATACATACTATGCTTTCAGGACTACAATCTGGAGATGTTTTACCGTGAGATCTGGACAGATCCTCGTTTAAACTACGATTTGGCCAAGTTCAGAAACAAGTCAGAGATCGCGCTACACGAAAGTTACGCCAACTTCTTGTGGCATCCAGACACCTTCATACCTAATGCCATAGCTTCCAAGAATCCACGGAAACAGTCGATCTCTCACCGATCATTGCTAAGGTTACAAGCTGATGGTCAGGTTCTCTACAGTAGAAGGATCTCTGTTCTTGCTGAATGTTCTATGGATTTGAGTTTGGTATGTTGGTGGTTTAGATAACTTGAAAAAAACACACAAAAATTACATAAAACTTCCATGCTAATTTAAAATTTTATGGCATAGCATAAGTTAATATAAAACACTATGAAGATTTACTTCAACTTTAAATTACATTATTTTGTGATTTTCAGTTTCCATTTGACCAACAAGTATGCAAATTGGGTATAGAAAGCTACGGTTACACGGCAGATCAGGTAGTATATCTATGGTCTCATGGTCAGAGGAAGGCTCTCGAACTCCATCAGATACGACTACCAGACTTTAAAATAAAGGAAGCCTTTGTAACTCAAATGGTCGAGAACTATGCTACTGGTAGGTTGATTATACATATATATTAAATAGGGTATACTTATGTTTATGGTATGACTATATTATAAACCGATAAAGTGCTTTACTTTAAAATGTTTGCAGGAAACTACAGTAGACTGTACATTTGCTTCGTATTCAACCGGTCGGCCGGCTTCTGCTTCCTCCAGTTGATCATACCATCTACAGCCGTTGTCATTACTTCTTGGGTGTCTTTGTGGATGGAAAACGAGAGTTCTTTCCAAGATATGATATCCATCATACTTACAATCACTTTCCTCTTGTTCTCTTACAATGAAGTCATGCCGCGGGTCAGCTATCTTAAGGTAAGCAGTATGTTATTGTAATAACGGAAAATTATGTTTTTGTGTTATCATGATGCAGCTTACGGTAAAACTTAAAGTTTACATCACTGAATATATTCTCAACCTCATAAAACCTTCAGGCCCTCGACATCTGGCTAGCCGTCTGTTTTATGATCGTATTCTTGTCGCTAATAAAGCTGGCCATCATCAAGTATATGAGGCAGCGGTTGAGGATCACACAGTAAGTATTTGAAAGGAAAACAAGCACAGACATAAAACAGTATGTATAAAAAATAATTTAAAGTTATTATTACCTAAATATTATCATACGAAACGTTACAGAGACACATCAATTGTGGCTGGAATGGTACCACTACTACAAATGAGCCAGATGAGCAATAGTTGTCATAGTCATGTAAATACAGCTCTAAACAACAACGACAACACAAACAACAACTGTTTATTGACATCACCTCCGGCATCTCCACTACATGTCAATTGTCCGTAAGTATCACAATGTTATAATGTACAAAATTACTTCTAACCACAGTATTGTAGCTCTGTTAAAGCTGAACTAACGTATTTAAACTTACTTTAGATATTCACCCCCACAACCAGTAGCAATTGCTGTGAATCGACCGGTCGACAGCGAGAAGCGACAGTTCAATGGTGATATCTACATGGATATCGATGGAAGCCCTGAAATCCGTGCTCCACGATCTCGCCGTGGTAGAACAAGAAAACTGGTTGATTTCTGTGTCAGTCTTGGCCACATCAACTTCTCGGCCCAGTCAATGCGACGCTTCCACTGGATCACCCAGATGATGTTCTTCTTCGGATTCGTCCTCTTTTGTCTCTTCTTCTTCCTCGTGTATCCTTCGTTGTCTTCGTGGACCCCCATCCAGGATCCTTGTTGTATTCGGGAGAATGCAGAATGGTTTGCAAACCTTTGATCAGCTGTCCATAACTAGCGCTTACATAAACATATTGTTATAAGTCCGATTAGCCCTTATTACGGTTGTATATTTGTGAATATTAATAAAAACGCGAATAATAAAAATATTTAAGGTATTAAAGATAGAAAAGAAAATTTTAGGTTATATTTTAACAGTATGATTCAAAACAGTAAAATTTGTAATTTAAATCTTGTGTACTGAAACGAAAACAAGTAATTGGCATTCCGTTGCAAGATAAATATTTTTTGTTTTATTTTTGGATTTATTGTAAAAATTGATTAAGTAAACAACAACTACATGTACGTATGACACCATAAATTATTTTTAGTCATATTTTTCTATATCATAGTTGTATAGTTTATATTATAGAGCGAGACTTTCTTTATTAACTCACGTCGTTTCGATTTATGATCTTTTTTGCTTTTAGATGTTTCGTTTTGCATCTTCTTCTAGGACAGCACTTTTGTTATCAAGACGGTCGTTTGCCGTGTTCAACCAAACTGTCACGCCCCTCAACACATTATCCTTCAAAGGCAATGTCTCTCAAGTAAATGCAAGGACCTATTCGATTTCAACAGCTGGAACATTTGGACCAGTCGATCCTCCAAAGAACTTAACTATTAAGGAGGTGAGTTATTGTTTCTTTATTGGCGATTTAGGCATTAGTCTTATTTGTCAAAACTTTTTGGACGATGTGCATCATGCATATTATCTTATTTTGACAGCTGCATCGTACATTTACTTTAATAGGCTTTGTTTTATTGAAGTAGATTTGTGTTCTTTATAAATTAAGTTTGCGGGTCTACGAATGTTTACTTATTTTTGCTCTTTAATTTCAATTTACTGTGTTGTTTTAGTTGGTTTGGCATTTTGTCTAAACTAATGTAATAAGTCTAATTTTTGTGTTTTACAGGTTGAGCAGAAGGTAATCAAAGCTATCAAAGCTTGGGACAGATTCCCGCAAGATCGTGCTGATAAGTTGACGTTGGAAGCCCGATTTGTTGAGGATTTGGGTTTTGATTCTCTTGATCTGGTCGAGATCACCATGGCGTTAGAAGATGAGTTTGGCTTCGAGATCCCGGAGAGCGATGTGGATAAGCTGAAGACTCCCCGCGACATCCAGAAGTACATTTGCGAACACGAAGACGTGCTCGAATGATCGCTTAGGCCTTTTTTGTTATATAGACGAATAAATAAAATGAAATTAAAGAGCCGACCCGAATTAAACAATGCCTTGAGGAGCCGTCCAAATTTGTTAAACTTGGAAGTGACTCGACCTTGTTGCTTAGCAATCCCCAACTGTGCGGGAGCTTAGTTAAGCCCTCCGTCAAAACCCGAGAGTCGAGAGCGGCGGCGACGACGCAAGCGCATAGGAATAGGGGGGGGAGATGATGGTGCGAGGACTGTTTGTCCAGTGATGCGATTCTACCTCCCTATTCTTTTCTCGAGGTCATTCTTTCCCTTTTCGAATTCGCGAGGCCAGGTTCAGCGGGGGGAAGTCGCCTTCTGGGGCTGGCAGGCTTATCAATTCGAGCCATCAATTAACTCTGCTTTAGGAGGTATTAATAAGACGGAGGGCGGGGCTCTTTCTTGATTTGGCGTGAAAGGGAAGAGGTATTGTGGAAAATAACCAAATGCGGGAAATTATTTTTATTTTCGAAAATAACTTCAAAAAAAGCTTTTAGGAAGGTATATTCGCTTACAGCATTATGGAAGGTAATTTCTTTCCAACCTAACTCAATATGATGAATTTTACTTTTACCTCTTTATCCAGTTCAAAAAGTAAATAGATCATGCTAGCTTACCTTGCCACAGAAATTACTTGTAGAAGTCTTCATCCCTTTTTATCTACACCATTACTTAAAAAACCCCCCTGTATCTCATTACTGTATCATAAGTTACCTATCTTATCCTACGTGACCTCTATTGATAGCCCCACTTCTCTATTTAATTATATTTTGCTGTGAGCCATTGTCTGAGGTATTTGCCGCCTTTTGTCGCGCCGTCTTCGACTTGTTTTTCTAGTCAGGATAAGCGATAACCGCGTTACTGAGCGAACGCTATTTATGTTGTTGTTGAAGGAATGAGAGTACGAGACGAGTGATGTGTTCCTCGGCCACCAAGGTATGGCTCTCGACAACGCTGATCGTGTGGTTGATATTGTCCGTGATCAGGGAGGTGTTCGACCTCATTGGGAGGTTGTGGATCCCGGTGACCTTCAATTTGTTCCAGGTAATTACATTACTTTGTTGTCGAACCACAGTAATTTGTCGTATTACTTTGGAAACATTCCCAAACTGGTTATGACGGGTTTGTAATGCATGTAGCTGCCCTTAAGTAATACAAAAGCTAGGTTTTAAGCTTTTTAGGGAACATATTAACCGTAGTCAACATTATAATTGAGCTAAAGCAAATATAGATCAACATTATGACTCAAATTGTATTATAGTAGATGGTAAAATTATAAATTCCAGATCCTGGCCTGTATATCCGGTCTGTTCTCAATATCATCGCGTCGTATCACACTTCTGCTGTTACTCACCATCTCCTGTATCGCATCTGCCGGCTACAATGTATTCCTGATCTTATGGTATAATGACGTCATCAAAGGGTACCCTCGTCTGTTGTCAGCCGGTCTGCCATTTGGACAGAGTTTCTTCGTCAAACACACTCCAGGCTGCGAGACATTCTTCAATTTGACCACCTCACAGTGGAATCAGAAGGCCTGTGGAGTACCGTACTATAATGCCGAGAGCTTCCAAGCCGTCGTCCACATTCTATTGGCCATTATGACTTTTGTGTTCTCGATTGTGTTGATGATTGAGAGGAAAATCAGTCAAGGTCAGGGGGACAAACAACAGAATCTGAAGCTAGATTCAAAGGAAATCGGCTACAGCTACATGAACTCACAGTACGACAGTCCGAAGCAAGCAACGGACAAAAAGGTAAGGTAAAATATTGTTATAAGCTTTTAAAAATTTGTTTTTATTAATTTTTTTTAATATCAACTTCCAGGAATCCCTCGAGAAAGAAAAGCGCGACAGTATCAACTTCGAGAAGCAAGTCTCCAAGTTCCACGATGAGTATGCCAAAGTAGATATGAGTCGCAAATCCAAGACCAAGTCCGAATACCTGTCTCCAGAGAATTTGAGTGGTGAACACATCTCCATACCCACGAACACGGCCGTCGCGGAACGGTTGGCTAACCATTCAGGTGAGCGGGAGATCAAAAAGATGCCGAAGCCGCTGTCGAACGGAAACCTGACCGCTCTCATTAGTTTCGATCCCAAAAGTAAGGACATCCTCAAGGTCAGCGAGCACCACAACGATTCTGAGGATGAGGAAGAGTACGAGCCACAGCGGAGTACGAGGAGGAGGAATGACAGTGAAGTAGGTGTAACTAGTTGGTTTATTAAGTGCGTTTAGCACTATAATACGTGATTGTCATTAATATTTAATTGTTTCAGACCTCAACTCCATCAGTCCAAGCCCCAATGCCATCCCTGATTAGGCCTGACCGAGATTCAGGTCATCCATCCTCTTCAGCCAGCGATTGGACTACAGAATTCTCTGTATCGTCGCCGCCTCCGTTAATGAAGTTTTCGCTGGATGAGCAGACGAATCTTGTATCCGATTATTCAAAGGTTTGTTGTTCATAACAATAGCTGTTTTCATAACAGTCTAGGCTTACTTCTGTTTACATTTCTCTATAAGCTGATATTGTTGTAGATATACTTTAAAGAACTAAAGCATAGTACTGAGAAGACTAAAATTTTTGAAAGATGAGGTACTGTAATATCAAGCTGGCTATTTTCAACACAATTAAAAAATGTTTCCACTTACAGGACCCCGCCAACTACTCCTACTACTCTCCTCAGCTCAACCTCAAGTACAACAAGAAATTCGATGACATTCCACGAGACCACCATTACCGTAGAACTAACATAGAAAAAAAGACTACTGTAATTCCAGAGTCTCCTAAAATCCTACCATTAAAGTTGAACGTGATACGATCTTCAAAATACGACGATGAAGCCGACAGTAGCATTGAATACCCAGAAGTCACCTCCTTTCCTGTTCGACCGAGAAGACAACTGGTCGATGCTTGTTTTGCTACACAACTACCGCTACACAAAGCTCCTGTCAATGCACGGTCATTTTCTGATGAACTACCTCCGCCGTTGACACTGGATTCCAAGAAGTTTAGGGCTCCAGATGTCGATGGTCTTCTGGTGTAGTCAAGGTTAAAAAAAAGGGGAATCAGATGTCATTTTTAGTCTAAAAAAGTAAAGTGCCCGGCCTGTCCCGCTCTGATTGACTTCAAACTTTAAATTTCTAAGCGTAGCTTGTTTGGAGGACCAAAAACAACGCTTGAAACGCAATGCCAAATTCGCAAAATTAGCGGGAAAACCAAATATTTAAAATTTAAAAGCGCGGGAGAAAATCTTTTGTTTGTACTATTGATGTACAAAAATTCATATAATTTCCTTGTGTTATAAATTTGTGGTTGTGATCCTTGGTCAGCCTTGAAACTCGCTTTTGTTGATGCCAATATTCATCTGAGTCTGCGCCTTTGATTGTTTTATATCTTGCATTTTCACTTCTTTTTCTAATGTAAATTATATTTTTTAGCTTCTTAACTCAAAATTTGCTTTTAAAATGTATATATCTAAAATTCTAGTGTCTGAACTATCTTCTACAAGATATACGACTCTTTTCTGTACTGTATTATAACGGGTAACTCGCGGAGGATGTCATAATATTCCATATACATTTATATACAAACAAAACAACTAATAAAGTGAGGAATTCAGCTAGAAATCAAAGTTTTTGTCGACCTCCGACCAGACTTTGAAGGACGGAGAATGTCGCTTGTTCATCGTCTTGATACTCGTGTTTACTGAGCGTTTGGGGTTTGAGCGATATCCCATGTCAACGTAAATATTGGTCGGACACGAGCCGTCGCTACGATTCTGAAAACATTTTTTAATTTGAAAGACCAGAAGAAGTAGAAGCCTTCTGAAGTTGTTTTGAAGTTTTACAAGTTATGTTAGAGTTTGAAAAAGGTATATTGAAAATAGAAAGTTAAAAAAGTAAGAATTAAAGTAGCCCGGTTAAGAAAAGTAATCAAATTTACAAAAGACATACCTTTTTGTAGTTAACATTGATATTGGTCCTGAAAAGTCGACCATTTACCGGTTTGAGCGGTCGGTAATTGGGTCCCATGTAGACAGGAGAGCTCTGTTTTTGTTCGTTTTGTAACAAATCATCCCATATCGCTAACTGAAGGACAATATGATCAATAATTTAGCCATTTTTGGTCAAAAAGTTAAAAAGAAAATACAATTTACACTAACGTATAGTAACAATGCTGCGACAGAATAACCCTCTACAATCATTTTGATCGAATAGTTACTGTTAGCTCAAAATTTCGCTGAAATACATACATCTTCCTGAGTAATGTAGATAGGATGGTTCATCACAATCCAGGTGACAGTCTCATGACAACCTGGTTGTGTTAAAGACCCTTCGTATGTTATGTAAGTGTTGCTTGAAGGTAGCAATCCAAATGGTCGAAACTTTTGGATCGGGGTTCTTTGATCTTAAAAAGTGGCATTATTCATAACTTTTACTATAGGGTGTTAAAGATTAGTAGTTTGTTCCTGGTATATTAACATAGATTCAAATTTTAGTATTTTACTATTTTTTAACTTAAAATTACTTTTTATTACGTTTCCATTAACGTTTGAAGTTTATATATAGGTTACCTTTATATACTATGCTTTGTGATGCTACTGTGAGTCTGCGAAGCTCGGCATTTGGATATTCTCCTACCTAAAAGTGCATTCATTTAAAAAGATTAGTACAAGTCCTTTTTTGCCATTTATTATTTAAGGTTTACCTAATTTTTCACATTTAATCTCACTTACATCCACAATGACCGATATGCCCACAAGCCCTTTAGGTTGCGTCATGGCTTCAGTAAAGTTGTGATAAAGGTCGGAATTGTACCCCATTAATTGTAGTTCAGCCGGGAATCTGACTCTATCTACAGTATGTTCAGAACCTCGTTCGTTGTCCTTAGATCGGCCGAAGTGGAAGCCAACATGATGTAAAGTATACGAATATGGAGTCAAAGGCCCTCCAGAAATATTCATCTTCATATCAGTTGAGTTGAACTGTAGTAGTGGTAATTGACCAGTGTTTTCTAGCTCAGAATCTACCTGGAATGACGACTTTTTACTCTTGAGCAATAAATCTTTGGAATTTATAGTTTATCTAAAGGGATATATTACACTTGATGATCTATAAGGTTTTAGTAAAAAAATTTTTTTAAATCAATTTTTCTGCAATTTACCTGAACTTCACTATACTTCAAAGGTGTCAGCGATGGATCGAACAACATCTTAGACGGGTCGATGTTCACCGGACTCTGTAGCTGTCCCACCGTGCACATGCGCCAGTGCTTGTTCATCAATCCCCAGAAGTCGGGGCCTACAATACAAGGACTAAAACAGGCGGCCATCAGCCAGGAAATCATGGTCTATCTAAAAGTGGCACTCTCTCTCTTGCGACCAGGTAATACCCGATTAATTAGCTAACATTTATCTGAGGTCGTTAGGGCAACCGGACTCGTCCTCAGGGCATCATTCCGAAGCGGCAAGACGATTTCGACTCTCGAAAATTGAATAAAGTTGCGCAACAAGGTTAGGCCCAGTACATGGCCGAGCATTTTGGAGGGGAATTGAGGATCGAAACGGGAATTCTGAGTTTGTTGTTGATAAACAAAGGTTTATGTGGAGAAATTTTGAAAAATTTAGGTAAAAAGGATTGTTTTAAATGTAAGAAACTTTATTTTTTAAAGTTTACGGTACAAAAACAATATTGTAAAGGTAAGCTTGAAAGCATTATTATAGTAAGATAATTTTTACTTTGTTCAAGAGTTATGATAACAATAAAAGCTCAAAAAAACTAATTACATGAACAAAAAAAAACCAAAAAATTTTCAAAAACACTAAACGTTATAAGCCTAAAACCTCAGAATCCAAACGCTTAAAACTTTTTTGAATCAGAATAATGATTGAAAAACCTCTGAACGCCCGTATGATAACCCCAAACACCCCAGCAATACCACAAACAAGGAATACGGCGGAAAACAAGTGTCCCTCATCGCCTAACTAACTACTTTAATTGCGCAGATCCTGGGAGTTTCCCACGGTCACACCGGAAGGCCAGATTCCAGAAACCCCCACTTGTCGGGGAATTTCATTTCTTAAAGTAGTAAAGCCGCCGTCGTCGCTGCCCTGTTGATTAGCATAATAGTCTAATTGCGCGGTGCCTGTTTTGGACACATTCATGAAGTTTTGGCAGCGTTCACGTGTTATTAGTATTGTTATTGAGGCAGTAGTGTGTTGTGTAGTTGGATGGTATGTTGGATGATATCGAGTAATATTCGAAGTGATACTATTTGAGTACGAAAGGGGGATATAATATGGACGTGGAGAATAATATGAATTATATACTTTAAGGGAAGTGGAAGTATGTTTTGATAACTGAAATACAAGTTTGATGGACTAAAAGCTTTTCTAGATATAACCTCTACAATAAGTTGCTTATATACAGCGTAATTTTGATCAAGGTATATATTAAAATGGTGAGTAAAGTGACTAAAATCAATCTTAAAAATAAGTTCTACCTATTTTTTGACAAAACTATCATTATCACCATGCCCAAAATAGCTTTAAAACAGGTTTATGTGTCTCGTAGTGTCATTATCTTCATAGTGAACTCCCATAGCCAGATGTTTTTTGCTGTTTTCGACACGCAAGGAACAGGAATAGTACCTGACATTGTGTGAATAGGTCATTAAGACATGTTTTCTCTGTATTATGCTCACAAATACTGCTTTAGCAGTTCAAGAAAAGTAATTTTTTACTTCAAAAACTAATATTAATCTATTCAAAGCAGCGCGTTTTCCTTTAATCTGCACTAAGTCTATGCAAATAGGCCTTGAATTTGCATTAGCTGACATTATAGTAGGGGTCAAATGAGAGAGTGCCATTGGGCAGGGATAACATTTATAGGGGCAAATGAATGCATATTATCCTAATATAAAATACAAGGTCATTTCAAAGTTGCTATATATAAAGTATAAGGTCTTTTACTGTTTCTTTCCCATTGTTCTTCTATATAATGGGAAAGGAACAGTAAAAAAAGCAAAAGAATCACAATATTCTTGCCAAAAAAGAGCCACTCACCTCCGAACAGGTCGTTGTCGAAGGTCCACGGGTACTCGGCCCGCACCATGGCTACAGTAACCACCATCCAGCTGATTATGTACATTTTGTTTTGAGCTGAATGGAGTTTAATAGAATTAGAAGCGACTCACCATCCGACATTCTAATCTCATCTATCACAAGTCGCAAGACGGCCGGCCTTAAGCCCGGTCTTATGGGTTTGAGTTACCGACTTCAGAAGCCATTTCCTGCGCCTGAAGAGGCCACCGAAATTGAAACTGGAGTTGACATATTAGAAGGCAGAGAACTTTATTTTGATAGTGGGCATGTTATTAAAGGGGCCGCGAATTAATATTACCAAAACAGCCACTCGACTGAATCATGCTGTGAACATTGTTCGAACAAATTGGGTTTAATGAACTGGCAAAGACAACATCGAATGCGCCTGGTTTTACGGATATATAGTACTTTTGCAAAGCTTTTGTTAGTTATGGGAGTAAAAATTTTACTGTTTGTAAAAAAATTAGTAATCCTTACTGCTAATGCAAATTTAAAAAAAAATTGTAAATTCAGAAGCACCTTACTTTTTCATAAGTTGCCACAGATCATTTTAAAATTGCAAAAAATGAAAAATAAGTTACAAAAACATTAATTTTCGAAATGAAATGTTTAAAAAATATATTTTCTAATGAAAAATGGCCTTAAAATACAAAAAATGAAAAAAATTACGATTTCAACCCAACAAAAATCATAAACATCTAAAAGAAATCTAACAGAAATCCCAAATGTCATACTGACACAACTAATACAGCATCAAAAAGCCCCCACTCACAACATGGACTACATCTTACGGCCGAAGATGGCCCAGGAATCTGAAGGCGGAATAATGAAAAAACAGAGAAACGCCACTCTCGAGCCACTCATTCACGCCTGTTTCCACCCTTTTTGATGTAAAAGGACATCAAGTTCGTTTATGGCCTCAGGTCAAATGTTTTTTCGAGCAATTAGCTCGGGCCACAGGCCGAGCACGGATGACGGACAGGTCGTTCAACTATTAATGCCCAGGAATCAAGCAAAGCCTCGGGCGTTTCGCCTTCTGAATGCCCGATTTTATGGCCACCGGAAATTGCAATTAGAAGCCGTCATGGCGCCTTTTGGACATAAAATTATAATAATTGGTTTTACGACGTAACCTTGGTATATACTACACAAAAAACAAATTTTGAAATGGAATTCAAATACATTAGCCGATACTGTGCCACTTACAATCCTAAAACTCAATTATAATATCAATGTTTGTAAAACAATATAAGGATGAACGGATGTGTTTATTTACACAAATTATGAAACAGTAAAGCTTATATCTTGTGTTGACTAGGTTTCTCTGATGATTTGTTGTTTGTAGCCTGGCTTTGCAGCTTGGGTAAACTTTTCACCGTACAAAGCCAATCTTTGAGTCATCTGAAACAATTAACTACTATTATCATTTTTAAAACACTATAAATTACAAGCGAAAACATGTTTTTTTCATTTTCATTATTTTCGCGGTAAAAAATTTAGTTCTTATCATTTTTGTCATATAATTTTGGCCCACGGAGTTATACGCTGAACTGCGCCCGAAACTCTATTCTTTGTTTGGTAAAATTTCAGTAAAATAGTGCCTGTTTTACTGTAAACATGCGCTAATCCTAAAAGGAATTGAGTAAAATTAACTAACCTTGAATCCCCACGAGTCTTTGGTTTGTCTGTTCAAGTTCAGGTCAAGTTCACCAATGATAACACCTTCTTTTACTCTCGAAATGCTCGGAGTTCGAGAGCCATCAGGTCCAGTGATGTATGAACTTCCGTAAAAGTGCCCAAAGTCACGGTGAGCTACAAAAATGGCATTATTTGACTTGAAAGTAAACGAGAAAATTTAGGTTTTATGTTATAGTAGATGTAGTTTGCTTTATGTATTTTTCGTTTTTTTGGATGTTTTTCTTGATAATGCTTTAGGTGCAGATGTCTGAAATACTGAAATTACCGGGTTTTCCGTTGCCACTTGTGAACTCGTTCGGGAATACTTCAGTCCCGACTCTGTTTATGGCCACGGTGAAGACGTGGTTCGCGATGGCCGCATTCCTGGCTTCAATTGGCCACAACGCTTCGCTGAGGCCGTCGACCGTCGCGGATGGATTGAAGATTATTTCAGCTCCATTTAACGCAAACATCAGCCAATTCTGGGGATGGTGGCGGCCGTAGCAAATGTTGATACCAATGCGGCCGAAAGCCGTCTCAAAAACGGGATGGCCGATTTCGCTTTCCATGTAGTAGGTGGACTGAAAGGTGTCTTATAGTAATAGTCATAAATTGTCTAAAGAATGTGGCATTATTCGATAAAAATGAGCAGCAGTGGGTTTACTGGTATCTTTGTATATTTTAAAGTGAAAATGAGATCTAAAACAATATAAGACTAGGTACCTCATTAAAATCTCCAACTCTTGGAATGTGGTTCTTTCTGGTCTTTCCAATTACATTACCAGTATGTGAAATGACAACGGCCGTGTTCCAGATCACCTCATCATTGTCATCCCGTTCCAGGATCGGAGATACGATGACAATTCCGTGTTTTACAGCAAGCTAAAACATTACGTGATTTGTGAATATATTATACATATATGTCAATGAAAAGGCTTTTTACTAACGTATAGAAAATATCTTACTTTTTTCAAAAACTGTGTTGTCACGCCATCAACGGTCTCAGCAAACTCTGTCCAAGGCAGTCTTTCTCTGGTGCAAAACGCGAAAGGCATAGCTAAAATATAAAGAGTCTTTACATAGGAAACCAAATCTCAATGATAATAAAATTTGAATTTTGACTTTTTTTAAATTGTATATGGCACAGTAGAATACATGTTATACTATAACACTTACTCCAGGCTTCTTGAAGACAGATAATGTTGGCTCCAGCTAACGCGGCGGCTTCAATCATCGTGCCAACTCTTTGATGAATGGCATCACGTTGAGAGGCTACAGGAGCATCAGTAGCTTCGACGATCTGGTTTTGAATACCGGCTACACGGACAATTCTAGGTCTTCTTAGTTGCTCAGGAGTGGCTTCAAACTTGTAGCCGGACAGTTCAAAGCCTTCTTTTTCTGCCAGCTGGTTGGCTTCATCGGGGAACTTCAGCTTTCTGAATTATAGTAGAGAAAGTTTATTTTGTCATAGTAGTTTATATAAGCAAGGTTATGTTTCAACACAATTTTAAAATGTTTTTATGAAATAAAAAGTTGGCCAAAAGTGAAAAAGATAGCATTTTTTGCTAAAAATACGGTAACCTACTGTAGGATTTTGCCGTACAAGTACTTCAGGACCTGATCATGATCCTGCATCGAAGCCTTAGCCAACAAAACATCGAGACCTTCGCTAACTCCACTCATTTCGCTCTGATTGACCCACGAGTTCAATATAAAGTGAGAGGGCCATTTGATAAAACAACTGTTTCCTTCCGCGTCTCACACCGATTGTGTGTCTTTTGATCTCTTAGCTATCATGCCTGATGGTGAGGTCATTGCGCGTGTACTGTCAGATATTGTGGTCAAATATTCATTTGTTTTTGAGGTGACATATATTAAATTAAAATTTTGATTTTTTTGCTAAAAAGAGTCAAGCCACAAAAAAGGTATAAATTTGACACTAATAACAGTAAACCTTCACTTAAACTCGACATATTTTTAAAGCAAATTGTCATTATGTTTAATTCAAACTGTTTTAATTAATCTCATACTGTCAAAGAACACTTGAAAACAACAAATAAGGCTTCCCAGTGTAGGTAACCATAGAAATGTTACTTACACAACGGCACAACTTATTAATAACAGCCTTTCCTTACTCTAATCATGGTCAGATTGGTGGTGGGTAAAGAGATTGAAGACTTTGAAACCGAATGTTTCTTCGAAGATGAGTTCCTGAACATCAAGCTTTCTGATTACAAGGGGAAGTACGTTCTGTTGTTCTTCTATCCACATGATTAGTAAGTTTACATTCAATGTTAAGCATTACAAAAACTCATTATTAATATAAAAATTAAAATTTATATTGCAAGACTACTGTATTATTTTAGACATTAAAAGATCTTGTTGTTGTATGAAAATACAAAAATAATTTCTTATTAGTACAGTACGACTAAAATAGTATTGTTTATCAGTCTGTACTATTACTAAAACAATATTCCCATTACTTTTTAATACAGCCGTTACGAGTATCATTAAGTTGTTAATCTACTTTAAATACTTATAAAATCAATTATTCATCATTATTCCAAGTACCTAGACATCAATATCGAATTACCTATAATAATATTGTTTGATGTAACGGTTTCCATAATTTTACCCACGCTCATCTAATAATATTAGGTTGTTCAAGTATTTCTGCGCCCCTCTGAAAGAAAATTTTTGGGGTTAGGAGGCACAGAAGTATTTGAACATTTTTATTGTTAGGGGCACAAAATTACTTGAATAACGTAATAGGTACTAAGAATAAGTGCTTAGTCAAAAGCCAGCTGAACAAGAGCTCCAAGAACTGTCGATCAAGAAGTCGACCTTCGATGATCTGAATACTCAGGTTCTGGCACTGTCTACAGATTCCAAATACACACACTTGTCATGGATTCAACAAGGAGAACTGGGACCGGTCAAATTCCCGATGGTAACTGATCATGCTCATACTATTGGCAGACAGTATGGTATTCTGAACAGTGAAGAAGGGAAAGATTACAGGTATACTTACTACTTTTTATTGTTGTAGAAAGCACTATTATTGATTGGACAGTTCAAATAATTCTATGCCCCCTATCAAAACAAATTTTTGAAGTTGGGGCACAGAATTATTTGAACCACCTAATAGTACCTTATAATATATTGTTTGTTTACTTTTCGACCAAGTTTTTGTGTAAATGTTATTGTAGATTCATCAAAAACAATAACTTTTGGGTTCCGAGGATTCAGAAGGCTTTGTTTCTTTCAGTTTTCAAGCTCGAAAGGCTTTGTTACTTTTATTTTTGTTTTTTTCATTAACATTCACAAAGTGCATCCGACATCATTACATGACGCTTTTACAGAACAGTAATCATCGTCGACCAGAACATGATTGTCAGATATTTTTCTGTCTACAGTGATGAGTCTACAGTGTCCATCGATGAAATCATCAGAGTTTTGACTCAAATTCAGAATCAAAAATGATTTAGCTATTTGAAAGGTGTTTCACAATATATAGTTTATTACAACATAAAGTATACTGTATTGTATATTACGCAAAGTACCTACATATACAACTTAACCGTACAGTAATATTTTAATATTATATAAAGCATTTACCTTGTTGTTTTTTAGTGCATTAAGATTTATAAATAAACCTTTATATCTTTTCCAATTAGGCTATATAACTACAAAATAACTATTATATCCATTTAGATCCTCAATGTCTATAGTTAGACACCCTAAATCTATATATATCCCCAGCAGATATATTTATACTCGATTTCTTTATCAGATAAACATTTCACAGTAGTAAAATACGTTGAATAACCATTAAAGAGGGGCGTGGCCACCTACTGGTCAGAAGACCTCAGAGTTCAGAAGCGTGGGGGAGAAGCAGAAACGTAAAAGTTTATCGTCATTCCCACTTTAGCCACGGCTACATAACGTCGAACTCGGCGTCACAGCACTTCAGTTATGCAAGGGAATGCATCTGCAGATATATAAGATACTATCACGAGCATCTTAACTACTTTAAATATGACTTGCTATTTGATTACTAGTTTTATGGTATTTGTACTGGTTGTTGATGAACAGTACTTTATCGCTATTTTCCCTATCTTTTTCATTAAAATCATCGTTTCTAGAAACTTTTTGACCAAAATTATCGTTTCTAACCAACTTTTAAACTTTGTCTTCTAAACTTGTTCTCTAATCACTTGCCGCGTCTTGTAACAATTAAATTGTCCAAGAAGTAGTATACCATAATCCCCTAACAACGTCATGTGCAATGGACAATAGAGTTAACATTTAATTGAATACGGCATTACATTACCACCACCTACACTCAGTGAAATGTTTTCGGTTGAGTAACGCCGCATTTACATACAAACGAAGCCTTAAAGTTACTGCATAAAATGAATAAGCTACTTTACTTACACTTGTTCATTCGTATCTATTTATTGTTTTTATACGTGTCATCGAGTTACTGTAGTAAATATACGTGTATAAAGTGTTACGATGTCATTGCGAATGTAGTTACTTTACATAAAGTGTTGTCTTAGAATTTTGATAGCCTTTTCGGAAGTAAAACATTAGCATAAAGTGTTATCGCGATATAGTAATCATGATGACAGTCACATTAACGTAACGTGTCATCGTGTTATTCTCTTTACGTCGATAGTGTATATTTACATTGTAAAATTTAAAAAAACCTTTTCAGGGATGAAACTCACGACAGTGCCATTCTGCTTACTAATCATGTCCATTTTGTCTGTCCTTGTAAATGTAAGTTCAAATTAAAAAAATGAGGTTTTTCATGGTAACATTATTGCCAAAGGAACTCTGTAGGGAAGTACATACGTTCTACTAACACAAAAACCAATAGTTGCGCCCAAATATTAAATTATATAGTCTTCTTAGTACACCTACTACAACATAACTAAATGTTTCTGTCTGGCTTCCTGGGTTGGGATTTCAAAAGCTAGGACAATGTAATCTCATTACTGTAAACAGAAAAATATCTGCAATCATATTCTAGTCGACGGTGATTACTGTACTGGGGGGGGGGAGTTCTGGAAACCAAGCCAAGATAAAGAAGGAATATGATATATATTACATAAAACATGGGTATGTGGGGCAGGAAATATGCAGTATGATCAGTGACTTCAACAAAGTCACGTTGACCAGTCGTATTTCCGACGTTTCCCAACAGTTTGATGTTTAAGTGTACTAAGAGTAGCCAATTTAGTATCCTTTCAGCCGTAAAATAAGCCTGTCTGAAGTGGCTTGACTCATTTTCGGTAAAAAATAATTTGGGTTGAGCCAAATTTAATAGAATTTGCGACTCTTCCGAGTTTACTGACCTATCTATCTAATTCCCCGTCGTATAGTTTCTGTTTTCGTATCTTATTTTAGGAAGCGGAAACTTTTGTCTCGGCTAAATACATTAACATAAATACGTTTTAAACCCAAAACATTTAAATATAGGCTTTACGTATGTTGACAAACATTGTTATAGAGTTGGTCATGCCTTACAAACTACATTATATTCATGTAGACCTAATAGATTACTGTAAACACATAAATTAGTGACAGTAGATAAGTTTACATCATTTAAAAACGTATATCATGAAGCTTTAATAGTCATATGTAATAGTTTTCACCACTTTATGATATGAATACTTACATAACCCGATCCATAATTTTTATACCATTTCAGTGCCGACCCTACGAACCTCAACTCTTTTACCTAATAGACGTATCAGACGACGTGTTGCCTTTGTCGTATGTTCCAGAAAGTAGCATCTCCAAACGCGCAGTGAAACGAGAAAAGATAGTAATGGACTCGCTGGGAGGTGACTATCTGGTGCGAAAGCGCAGCGATCTATATTACTGAATAGTGTCTTATGTATGAATAAAGCTGTCACTTAAACACAGTAATTAGTATATAACAGAAGTATTGTAAGAAAATACTAATCAACTTAAGAGTAATCAAAAACAACCTTAACTATCAGTTTAAAAATTTAATAACCGAGAATTCCGAGATCAAAAGGTGAACAAGATACAGGGATAACAACAATATAATTAAACTTTTCTGCGAGATCTTTTGGTGTTTGATGAGTCCTGACTTTCGTCGCCTTCACTCTTGATGGAGCCATTGAACTGGTCGTTGTAGATGAAGTCGTCGTATCGTGGTCTGACGCGTTTTCTCATGGAGCGAGTTGTACTCTGAAAGCATATGATTAACTGTCCAGCTGTGACATATCCCATTTTATCCTTATTTTATGTGCCTGACCGATAGATGTGTAAAAAAACAAATTTTCAAGTCGTCTAGCAAAAAGTCACTTTTATACCGATAAAACATCAAAGGATGAACTTACAGTAGGCTGTTGAATGTCGTCAAATCCGTTTTCCTTGTCGTTTTCTTCTGTTTTGATCGCTTTCTCCATCATTTTTCTGGCTGTTGATCTTGAAGAAGACGCCGCCTTTCTGATACAATTATTGCACGTCCATTCCTGCTTCTCGACTCCATCAAGACACTCCAGATGAGCTTTATTATTGCAGCATAAACACTTGGTCAACATGATTGCTGGACCTTTGCCTGAACATACAATACACTTTCCTTGAAGATAGCTACGATAAGTCCATCTGATCATGTTTTCGAATACTGATAAGTGAACAAAGAACTGGCTTTCCGACGTGATCTTCAACAGCGACTTCATGAACTCGACCAAGGTGATAGTGGGTTTAAATTCTGTAAGGCATAAACAATCATTAATTATCATTTAACAGTTATTTTCGATTAAAAAATATTAAAAACACGCTGGTTTCAAAAAATAAATACTTTGATAAAACAAATTACCGTTGTCGTAGTTGTCGATGAAAGGAACCATCATACATTCCAGTTGAATGCTGTTTAGGATCTGGAAGAGCCCTACAGCCAATCGTTGAACTCGTGACAGACTTGCTACGTTTTCTTTTTCAACCACAACTTCGTCGTTGTATTCAATAGTAAAGTCATTTTCGCCATACAATCCAACTGTGTCACAATTGGTCGACAACTTCTCCTTCCATTCAGCAAATTTGGTCACCAATGGCTCAACAATAAACGCCTTTTCGAATAGCTGCAATATCACATATTTTAGATAGCTATTTGATGCAAAATGTTATATTGAAAGTTGAAAATACATTCAACAACAATACCTTATTATACCTAAATTCACTTACCTTGATTCCAAATTGCAAAAGTTCAGATCTGACAGCATTGTCAGCAGCGAATAGATCCATCTTGTACTCTTCAATTCCTGGAGTAGGGAACTGAAAGAGTGTAGCCTCTGTGTAGCCAAAAGCTTCGCTTGTTCGGCCGATTCTCTCGACACACAACTTCAGAGCTGCCAACAACTTTCCTTCTCTCTTTCCACATGGTAGAAGCATTGTCATCAACTACAACAACAAAAAGTATAATCTTTCTTGCGATTACATATAAATATATTAAAAATAATCTTTTATGCTATATAATTCTATTACAAATCATATTGCTTTTAAGAATTGTCATAATATGACATTCCACCTTCAAATATAAGATACAATCTTTGCCGTTACTCAAATAAAACACATTTCTTACTTTGCCAATGTCTTTGTACGAAGTAATGATCCTCCACTTGTTTTCATTTTCAATCAAGACAATCGAGAGGTCATAGATGTAATAGTATTTGCGAAGATGCCGATCAGTACCAAGTAGTATGCCACCCATCTTTTCTGAAATCATATAAACGTCGTTTTCAACTAACCACTGTCCAATAAATCAAAAAAAGTCAAATTATTACGTATCAATAACAAAAAATACCGAAAACTTACTGAACATGTTCTGCGCGATCTGACTCATCTCCTTGATCTTGATGGCAACCGCCTTCTTGTGAATGTCAAACAACAACTCACGATCTTCTTGAACAAAATATTCAAATCTGAACTTCATCTGCGCAATTTTAAGGCACTTGAAAACGCTTGGCTTGTCACGATATTCTTGTAGGTAACCCTCGATCTTCTTTGAATGTCCATTTCTCTTGAATTTGAAATCACGGAAAACGCTCATCAACTTCTCCGTATCTTCGTACTCTCCTTTGTACTGTGCCTCGATGATGGACAGTTTTCGAGTTTGATCCAGTAGGTGGTCAAAGTCAGCATACATAGTTTCGTGCACGGTACGGAATCTCCCATAAGTAAGTAGGTTTTGAACAAATGAGTGCAAGAGTTCAAGACGTTCGGACGATGACAAGGCTGATATGTGTGCCTAAAGATCAAAATTCGGTAATTAGTAAAAAATTGTCAAAATTAGCCTATAATAATACAAAAAATTAAGTCTATGCTTTACCTCTGACAGCTTCTGAATGACTTGAGGATTTTTGAGTGAATACTGTAACAACTCGTCGTCAGCACAACTAATCAGTCCTCTTTTTTCTTTCCTCACATTCATGGCCACATTCCGCGGGCAGAATCCAGAAGTTTGCAAAGTGAGATTCAGAATCTCGGTGATGTTCTTCTGATCAACTGGAATCGACTGCAAGGAATGACCGTACTTCAATCTGATCTCCTCCAATAATTTACATCTTTTCTTGATTTCAAGACCGTTTTTTCCAGCCAGTTCATTAAGATATTCATCAGGAATGTCAGACGGATCATTGACATCTGCTTCATCAAAGTCTTCCGTAGCTACACATTCATTGCGTGCACTGATAAAGATGTAGATGAAACGTTCAAACTCCTGAGAATATACAGTGTAGACCGCTTTCAACAATGTTCTGAAGGAGAAGGTCCCTTCTAATTCTAATTCAGAGCTGAATGCTTTTAAGAATGTGTAGATTGTAAGAAGTTGGCCAAAGTCATCTTTTGTCACAAAATTGGGCAAGGAAACTAGAGTGAATTCCGGTAGATTCTGTAAAAAAGTATTTAAATAAAACAATTGAAAAGTATTTCAAAAATAATATTATACATTCACTTAAAATTTAACTTTAAAAACTATCAAATCAGTGTAAGTAAACTTACCTGAACAACCTCCATCTCGCTTTCATCAACAGATTCGTTGCCTTTGTGAATTCGCTCTTGTAACATCTTGTTTCGCATTATCTTAGCGTTCTGAAAAATTGCGAATTAAACAATCCTGCAACAAATCCATATATATGTAAGACTATAAAACCTCTACACAAAAAATTAAACTTCTACAGTACTCTCTCTATATAAGCAATCCGAAGGGACCGACATTTCGTGTTTACTATAAAGGGTGTTGTCTTTACACTTTTTAGTGCAAATTGACTTGGCGGGAACAAATTTCTTGTTTACTATAAGGAGAATTGCTTATAAAGATAATTCAATATATAGAGAGACTACTGTATAAAAATTTACGGCACTTTTACTAAATATTTAACATCACTTACTCTCTCTTTGAATGCATACGCACTAGATGTTGTTTTTACTTCATTTTGAGTATCATTCGCATATTCTTCTGGAGTGCAAAACACATCAGGACCTGTGAAAAAGTCGGTGAAAGATGCTTCATCAATCTTCAAACTCAATGCCAACTTTAGCTGAAAGAAAAGTAATTAGATAAAATATTATCATGAAAAATATTAAATTAAACTAAAAAAACGTCAAAGTCCTACCGAAACATTATAGTTGTCTCCTTCTTTGATCAGACTTTGTGTAAAATATTTTACTAACGCTTCTTGTGTCCCATAACTGTCAAGCCTTTCGAGGTTTTCCTGGCTACATTCGTAGACAACATTTGCACCTTCGATTTCATCATAACATTCAACTTTGTATGTGTAGTCATCTGGATGCCTCAATGGAAGATGCCTAAACAAAAAATAAGTAAAAACCAAAAACTCACACTTTCTTGTAGGTAACATCCACAATTTTAGCCATTGTGAACCGATCAACATTGTACGTCTTGACCCACTCTCCTTTAAAGAAACGTTTCGACATCCATTTCATGATATTCTTCACAACTTTATCGATTGAGTCGTCTTGGAAATAATTCTTGACAAAAAAATACAAAGGTCTTTGGCCATAGAGAGGGAATCCAGAATGAGCATTCTAAAATAACATTATCTAGGCTTCAAACGGACTTGAACCATTACCTAAACATCTAAAATTTAAAAAATTACTAACCTTTTCCGACTTCATAGCTTCTTCAAATGTTAATCCAGACTTCAAAGTAACCGCACAAGTCCAAAGCGACGAGTTCAGCATAAGCATGCGATCAAAAAGTTTTCTAAATTCAAAGAATTACCTAAAACAAAGATGAACTTACTCATAACTCTGGAAAACTTCTTTCGTCTCTTCACAATAGTAAACTTTGCTGTTCTTTTTAGGAGCTGGTATTAAAGCTCGCCTAAAAGGCTCTGTACCTTTGAATAAAGGCATAACCAAGTTCTGAATACCTAAAACAACATAAAATTTAACCACTTTAAGCTCAACTTTGCACGGTGACAAAAAGTAAAATCGAGAGAGGCTAAAAGACCTTCCAGTAGGGCAACTGAGTTTCTTCTCGTTGAGGGTAAGTATAAATACGAAACAATTTCTTCTTCTCCATGAAGCCCTCCAAAAAAGAAAAAACTTGACGCATTTTTATACTTGAGCCAAATGTTTCTTTATTTTTCGATAAGTTGAAAACAATTTTTAGTCAAATTCGCTCCGGAAATGGCGAATCTAGGCCACTAAGAGCCATATTATATAATAAATATTTATTATGAGTATCCCTTTTGACACACTCTTCTGCTGTTGCTCATCATGTAAACCTAGGTATAGGCGTCTGGTAGACGCAATTTACCCTAGGTCTTTAACCGATGGCTTAGTTAGTTCTAATATGCAAAAACTCACTTATTTTGCAATTTCACATCCAGAAAAGTTGAATAGAATAGCCATGTATTTAGTGGAACGTTTGTCGCGAGATTTGTCGAGACAACGGATAACACAAGTCACGGTAAGATAACACTTATGAAAAGTTTTTAAGTAAGGAAAGCTTACACAAAAGTATCGTCTAAATTTAGGTAGCTGTGGATGCCATGGATCAGTTGTTAAAGAGTTGTCACAGCTCTCCATCTTTGAATCAGTTTATCGAGAGTTACTTGAAGATGGTGCAGAAACTACTGGAGACCAACGATCCGGATATGGAGGTAAGTTTGTGATATTTAAAATGTATTTTTTGTTTAGAAATTGGCAACGAATTTGTTTGTTCGATTTTCTACGATTGAAGAGAATTCTCCATCTTATCACAGAGAGTACGACTTTTTTATATCTAAATTCTCAGCGATGTGCCATGCCAGTAGAGGAGATCAGTTGAAGCAACAAAGATATAACGGTTTGAGAGGTCTAAGAGGTAGGTGGTTGTGTTTTAGCTGTTTAGCTACCAGTTTTAAGCAATATTGTTATCAATATTTGCTGTTTCATGATTGGAAAATCATTAACAACTATATTTTAACTAATAAATGACTGAAAGTTTAGGTGTGATTTGGAAGTCAGTAGCTGATGAGTTGCAGACCAGTATATGGGAAAAGCAACATCTTACCAAGGTGATCCCGTCAATCTTGTTCAACATGCAAGAAGGTGAAGATAATATTGAGGATTGCCCCGAACAAGTGGAATATCCATATCCAGACGAAGAAGCTGTTAACGAAGAACCTCATCTTCTGGCACTACAGTGTCTTCGTGAGTTGTTTGGAAAGTGCAACTTCAGTATGATGAAGTAAGTAATTTAGGCTTTTAGCCGATAATATATGCATTTTCATATGGTGTATGTTGTGTTATGTATATTTACTATGTGGCACAAATATGTAAAAGTTTTTGTTATGAACTTATAAGGTTGTAAAATATTTCTAGGACAGTGTTAGATCCTATATTAAAACATTGTGACCTGCATCGGAAATGGGAGCCACCAGCTTTGTTTGCCACTCACGTCTTTAAGGCCATATTGTACAGTATCCAAAGCTCAAATTCTTTTGCTGTGCTACAGGTAAGTGATATTATTCGATGATTATTATCAATAAAAGTTGTGAAATACAAAATTTATTATGAAATATTGGATTCTCATGTAGTATTATATTAAATTTGTAAAAATAAATGGCTGGAGGATAATATATAAAACATTTTAGGAATTGATATATCATTTGGAAAACACGCCGAATGCCGAAGTCTATGTACGAATTGGCATAACGACAGTCTTGTCTAATATCGTGACTATAGCTGTGGCCACAATAGGACCATTATTGTTGTCAATCTTCAATTCCTTACTAAAACAACTCCGTGCTTCTGTAGAATATGAAAACTCTGTAGAACGCTCGAATCTGTCGGCCGAAAGTCAATTCCAAGACGCTTTGATCAACACTATGGGCGTGTTTGCCAGTACACTGCCAGACTATCAGAAGGTAGAGATTATGATGTTTACTGTGGGCAACATACCTACCATTCAACATGAAGATCGACCACTAAAGGCTTGTGACGCGTTCGTACAGAAAGTTTTGATGAAAACTTTGTTGAAGGTGAGATATTGAACCTTGCTTCATATTTTTATTGTGTCCTCCTAAGTGTAATAGCGTATTTTACCTGTTTAGATTGCTACAAAATACCGAACTTTCTACTTGTCTACCGTATTCAGTGATTCTTTCCTACAAACTTTGTTACAACTCTCTGTTACTCAGAATCCAGAAGTCAGAGTTATTTCTCAAAAGATATTACACACATTGTTTGATAGGTTTGTTTTTTACAAATTTATTTTTAAAAGTATTGGTTTTAGGGACAGTTTTCTTTAAATTTACAGTTTTAAAGAATTACATTATAATATGTTATGTCTACTTTCAGACACAGTAATCTACCAAAGTTGGAGCACCTACAGTACGTGGAGGATGTCTCTGACTTACAGTTGTCAATCGAAAAATGTGTGCGACAAGATCAGCTATTTATGGGCAAGAATATACACGTTATCCTGTCAACATTGTTCAAGTAAGACATAAATTTTAAAAATCATAAGATCACTAGTTGAATTTTAAAATTGTATAAACATATTCTTTAATTATAAATATAATGTGATTAATTTCAGTTTTGCGAGGATGTCAGAAACCGGTGAACATCTACAAAGACACCTTGACACTTTATTATGCACGATGTGTTTGATATGTGTGGAAATTGGGCATGATATGGAAGTGATTGAGCTGTTCCGATTGTGTTTTGGTCTGCAACACCTCGCTTTGGATCCAGAAGAATCGTTTTCCATCAAGAAAAGGGCAGGACTGCACAATGTTGTAGCTAAATATATGAATTTAAGTTCTCAGCTACTGGCGATTCCCATGCTATGTCAACATGTTCATGGAGTTATTCAGCAAAGAGCTCAAAAAGGTCATAACTTGCTGAATATCTTGAATGATAAGCTTGTCAGTGATCCATTGGACGTGGCCAACTCTACTCCAAAGGCTCCTATAGCTCAGATGGATTCAGAAGACGACTACACTGCTCGGCCGCTGGGTTTAGAGAATGATTCAAGCCTATTGTTCCATGTTAATGATGTCGCTGAAGCTTTGAAAGTGAGGATAATTGTTGCTATATGGTTCAAAAGTATTTTAAATGTTATTACTAACGTTTATCTGCCTCATATTTAATATGATGTATTGTGTTAATCATGCTTTTTTATTGTCTATGCTTGTTACATAACTATGACACATTTTAGTCGTCGAACAAAAACGTGGACATGCTGTTCAATCCGTTCGAAGTGAACAAGAAAGATGGAGAATCACACAGAGGACACAAGAAGCGGTCGACGGAAGAACACAAGGATTCAGAAAGGGTATTGGAAAGAACGATGACAATCGAGAATGAGGAAGATGACAGAAGTTTGTCGCTGGACAGTTTTGATTGGACACCTCCAGACACCGATGATGACAAACCTGATAACTTGAGTTGGTGCCAGAGTGAGTGATTTGTATCGTTATACATAGTATAATACTAATGGTTTGTAAATCGATTGTTTTATATTATAATTGATAATTTTCGTCATTTCAGAATTGTATGATGAACAAGAAGATGTAACACTAGATCAGCTGCGGAACATTGTCAACTGTGAGCCGGATTGCTCCGAAGAGACCAAGAAGGACCAAGAAAAGAGCCGCGACATATTATCCATGTTCAGGAACAAAAATGCTCAGGAGTTGAGTGATGTGTTGTACAAGGCGAAGGAAAGCGACGACAACACTAACTCTCTGATCAAGGATTTAATGAAGGAACACGTCGAATGGCTGAACTCCCACGAATCTGCCAGAGCCAACCTGATTCAGAGCATCGACGACATCGAGTTCCCCAAGAGTTTCGTTAACTAATTTGCTTTACTAATGTGATAAGATTTCTAATCAGTTATTAACCTACATTCCACGCCATAATTTCACAACAATAAATTTTTGCACTTTCCGTGTTGGCATTTTACGAGACGTATCATCATTAAAATACTGTAAACGCTGATGTCACATTAGATATCTGTAAATTAAAAAAGATATATAAGGTTGTCAGCATATTTTTAGATGTTAAAGTACGGTCCACCTGTTTACAGGTACACTTCACGGCGGTTCGTCAGAAAAGGAAAGTTTACAGCACCAGCAGAATGGCTAAAAGATGCGACGACTTTCAAGGACACTCACACTGTTCTCACCGATCCACATTCACCTTTGCCGTATCCCACAGAAGTAAGTATTGAAAAGTTTATGTGCCCTTTTATTAAAACAACATGTTCCTTTTAGGCGATATGATAAGTTATGTAATGCGATACTAATAATTTACAGCAACTACGAAGCTACCTTCACAAAACCGAAGCAGCGGAAAAACTAAAAAAGAAACAAGCTACCATCCGCCCAAAACGACAAGCCCTAGAGTTCTCTCACATACCTATTGAAGAACAATGTGTGGCGTTGTTCCCTGGTCAAGGAGCTCAGTTTGTAGGTATGGGTAAATCGCTGCTGGAGATCAAGGAATGTAAAGCCGTCTTTGACCAAGCCAATGAGATTTTGGGTTACGATATTGCCAAGGTATGTGTAGATGGACCGAAAACAAAGTTGGATCAGACGATATACTGCCAGCCGGCTATATTCGTGTCTTCTATGGCGGCGTTACAAAAACTGAACCTGGATGCCCCAGAATTAAGCGAACGATTCACGGAATGTGCCGGATTCAGTGTTGGGGAGTTCACCGCTTTGGTTCTGGCCGGTGTTCTCAAGTTTGAGGATGGTAAGAACTTATAGTATATAAAAGCTATTTTACAGTTTAATCTAATTTGAACATAAGTAATTAATTATATTTTGCCGCAACGAAGTTTCCCTTTTGAATTTTTTAGCCATGAAAATTATCGATGTGAGAGCCAGAGCCATGCACGAATGTAACCAACGACTAGCCTCGGGGATGATTACTGTAAAAGTAAACGCTGCGTCACAATTGGACAAAGCGATTAGCGAAGCAAAACAACTGTCATTGTAAGTATTACTTTGTAACTTTTCCTTCAGATTCATATATATATAACTTTAAAACTGAAGGAATAGACACTTTTAACTAAAGCCATCATTTAAAGAACGTAGTTGTGCCAAAACTAAATAACATTTTTAGAGAAAACGGAGAAATGCCAATATGCGAAGTGTCTAACTTCCTTTACTGTGGAGTAAAGGTAGTGGGAGCGTCAAATGAATGTATCACCTACCTAAAACAAAATTCAGAACGCCTTAAGTACAAGGTAAACCAGCTACGTGAGCATAATAATATTTAACTAATATATATAGAAATAGCTAAATTATTATGGCTGTATCAATGTTTGCGTATTGCTATTATTATAAATAATATTACTTTGCTTTTCAGGTAATAAAAGATCTAGAAGTCTCAGGAGCTTTTCACACTGTGCTAATGGCACCAGCTGAACAAGAACTTCGAAATGTTCTCAAGCAAGTGGAAATAGGTCAAGCCAGAATGAACGTCTACTCCAACTACACAGGGAAACTATACCCACATAAACCATCAAAGATAAGGGAACACATCATCAAACAGGTCAGCTCGACTGTGAGATGGGAGCAGATAATGCAACTTTTGTATCGAAAACACCAGGTAATTGCAGCATAGTACTTACTGTTGGCCTTAATATGTAACATGGCAGTAGTATTATTGTAATATGTTAAACTAGATCAGCTTCTTTTTTTGCCATTATAACTTTCATATAATAATAATAACATTTTAGGACTACAAGTTCCCCGAATTCTTTGAAATCGGACCTGGAAAGCAGCTTGGTGCTATCTTGTACAACGTAAGCAAGAAGGCTTACAAACATTACAATCATGTTAGTTGTTGATCGTTATTGTTAGGTATTGTTAAACTTGTTTTTTCATTTTATGTTTCCTAAAAACCGACAAAACAACAAACAAACGGCTAAAAGTTGAAAGAAAATCCTAGTAATCTGGTCGATCAACGTCGCTTCTTCTTGGGCTTCTCGTTGGGGTCGATTAGCCCATTAGCGACCTTCCAGTCGTATATAATCTTTTCTTGGTCTTCTTCTGTGGTCGGAGCATACTTGGAGTATTCCATAGTAAACTCGCCCTTCCCTTGTGTAATCGACCGTAACGCTGTCATGTAGCCGAACATGTCACTTAAAGGTGCTTCAGCTGAAATCGTAGCGAAGCCATCGGTGGAATCAGTGGTGGAAATGATGGCCTTCCGTTGACTGAGGGAGTTAGTGACAGCTCCTTGGTATTCCATAGGTGTAGTGACATCGATCTTCATGATAGGTTCCAGCAACAACCAACTGCCTTCCTCGTAGGCTTCTCTCATCATGTTCATCATGGTGTTGATCATGGCGATTTCTGTCGAATCCACAGCGTGTGTTGCTCCTTCCTGCACTCTGACGTGGATTCCTGCCACTTGAGCCTTGATAAGAGGACCTTCTTGTACAATTTGATCCAAACCCTTCTTAAGAGCTGGCAGTAGATTCTTGGGAATACCGTTACCGTAGGTCTCGTCTGAGAACTCAACTTGAGTGTACTTTTCTGGTGGGAGCTGTTCGATGACACCGTGAATCTCACCAAACTGACCTTGGCCTCCAGTTTGTTTCTTGTGACGGAAGTGGAACTCGTACGGTTTTGCTAAACATTCACGGTAAGCAACGGTCGGTTTTCCCAATTCGACGGGGCAGTTGTACTCGTTCTTCATACGTTGAGCGTAGATTTCCTGCAAAAATACAAGTTTATAGTTATAACAAGGTTGACAATACTGTAGAATCGCCTACTGTTGAAAAGTGTAAACTATGACAAGAAATTATTTTAAAATCTTACTAAGTGCAACTCTCCCATTCCTCGTACTACAGTTTCCTTATGTTCGGCGTTGTACTCTCTTCTGAAAGTCGGGTCTTCTTTTGTAAAACGAGTCAAAGCTTTGACGAAGTTGTCACCGTCCTTTCTGTTCAGAGGCTTTATCGACATCGATATCACAGGTTCAGGAACATGCATCGATTCCTAAAAATTTTTATATAATAAGCTTTACTAAATTTTTCATAAATTTTAAACACTATTTTAAGGAAAATAGTGTACTAGACTAGTACTACAACATTAAGATATACGTGGTCAAACTTACACAATGAACGTTAAGCTTTTCATCGCCACAGAATGTTTCTCCGGAGTGACAATCCAACCCGAATGTAGCACAGATATCGCCAGCATAAGCAGTTTCAATGTCCTCCATAGAACTTGCGTGCATTCTGACCAGCCTCTGAACTCGAACTTTTCTTCTATCACGAGTAGCATGGATAATATCCCCACGGGAAAGTTTTCCCTGGTAGACACGGAAGTACGTCAATTGGCCATATTGACCAGCCTATAAGAACAAAAAAAAACTCTATTAAAAGGCAACATTCCATAGATAACACTACCAATCCTTAAGCAAAAACTCACCTCTAATTTAAAAGCAAGACCCACAAAAGGTTTAGCAGCATTGGTAGACCGTAACGAATCGAAAACGATCGGTTCTACTGAATCATCTTCTCTGAAGTGAGTATAACGTCACCATAAATATAAAAGTACTAAAGTTGTATCAAAATATTCCTCGTAAACCACTTACTTTGCAACATTTCCTTTATTTACAACTTCAGACGGATCAGGTAGGTACCTAACAACATTGTCGATCATGGTCTGAACACCCTTATTCTTCAAGGCAGTACCCATCATAATAGGCACGAAAGACCTGGCTATCGTAGACCTTCGTATAGCAGCATGAAGATCATCAACAGTTGGATTGATTTCGTTCAAAAACTGATCACCAATGACCTCGTCAGCATTGGCCAAGTATTCTAAACAATAAACTAAACTTTCATCACACCATACCTATCATTTCTTGTCGCAAATCATGTGCTTCTGTCCTCAGTTCTTTCGGAATCTCATCTCTTCTCACAACCAAACCATCTTGTCCTTCATAATAGATGGCATTCTCTTCAACCAGGTCAACAACGCCCTTAAAGTTGCTTTCCATGCCAATTGGCATCTGAATAAACGCTGCATTATGGTTCAGTTTACTACGAAGACCTTCTCGTGCTCTTCGCGGATCTGCTCCAGTACGATCTAACTTGTTGACAAACGTTAAGAAAGGTACTTGATACCGATTAAGTTGTCTGTTTACTGTAAAAGTTTGTGATTGAACTCCTCCCACGCCACATAAAACAAGAACAGCACCGTCCAAGACTCTCAAAGCTCGTTCAACTTCAACTGTGAAGTCAACGTGACCTGAAGAAACGAAAGTTATATCACAGCTTTCATTCTCTAACAAAAAACATTAATATTAATACCTAAAAATCAAGATAAAATTTAAAAAAATATTGTTACCGGGTGTGTCAATAATGTTGATATTAGTTCCGTGCCAATCCACATATGTAGCAGCTGACTGAATGGTAATTCCTCTTTGTTTCTCCAACTCCATGAAGTCCATTGTAGCTCCGACATCGTCCTTTCCCCTGACTTCATGCATGGAATTGATTCTGCCGGCGTAAAAAAGAATTCTCTCAGTAACCGTCGTCTTTCCAGAATCTATGTGAGCTGATATACCTATATTCCTGATCTTGTTGTTAGGCCTAATTAAAGTATCTTCAACTGCCTCCGCAGCAGCCGAACTTGGTCTTACCGATGTAAAAACATTCTAAACACATAAATCAAGACTGTAAAAATAACATACCTTATATAAGCCTGTAAGTCGACCTAACGACTGCCAGCGAAGCATCTTTCCACAAATTGAAGGTCTAATAATTTTTTATTCTTTAAAAAATTGAGAACGGAATGTCAAAATCAATACTTATTGAATTGAGAAACTCGCGATTTTAAATCGGCAATTTCTAAAAACATGATCAAAATAAGTTTTTTGGGAGTAAATTTGTGATTTTAATTAGTTTGAACTTCGAATTTGTCAATTTTTATAAGTATTGTTTTTGGTGATCGGTTGATGGAATTGTTGAAAAATATATTTTTCACTTTTGTAGATGGACGGAGAAGACGTGGATGAGGGTCAGGTCAAATCATACCTCCATTCCCGTTATGGAGAAGGTGTGGTAGTGGTTGCCACTAATGATGGGGAGATATCAAATGAATTGTACGAATTTGGTCGATTTAGCGACGATATTCGAACAGTGACCTTAGGGAAGTCCGTCTACATTCAGTACCGACCGAAAAGTGGTAGGCATCGGAATGCTCCGACATTCCCAGTTGGCACACGTTTGAAGTACGAGAGAATCGGCAGGAAGATCGTCAAATATGAAGTAACAGGAACATACAACTTTGTAAGCTGGTGGTTCAAGTTTTTGGAGGTCCACTGTATATTATTTTACACGTTTTTTAGGTAATTATTATTGTCTTTTCAGACATTTGCTCGGGGCGTAAGAGGTATAGAAGGAAATGTAGAGCTATGTTTCGTGGATCTTCTGGAGCTTGTCTTACCGTTGAATGGTAAAGCATACATGGTCCCTCCTGGTGTCAGCTTCCATCTTACAGTTGGGTTCAGATTATGGCCGACGCAAGTAAAATTCAGCAAAATTGAGTTTTATGTCGACACAGTGCATCGCGTATCATTCGAATCGATTTCGTTTGACGAAATCGTAAGTTTTTTATGGTTATATTTGTCAAAAAACGACAAAACTCATTCGTGAGCTCACGTTCTGTATTTTTTGTATCTCAAAATATAATCTTGTTACTTTCAGCCGTGGCCAATTCATGGAATCATAACATATCAACCGCTTCCCGACTATAATAAGAAGTATGAACCCTTGGCGTCGCTTGTAAGTTGACAAAATTCTGTTTTTTAGTGTATTAGGCCTATTTTACGTCCATAATTTTATAATTATCATTTCAGCCATTCACTTACTTGGTGTATATCGGACAATACTATTTTATTGGTCATCGTTTCAAAGAAGTCTTGCTGGTAAGACTGGGCCCCCACATGGTCGACGTGGAGCTGCAATTGGGACAATTCTATGTTAGCCAAGTCGTTCAAAGTCGCCTGGATGCCAAGAACTACACTTTCAAACACATACGGCCATACTGCGTGCAGGACCAGAAACTGATGCCCATCGTCCTACAGACAGTACACGACGATGTCTGCAGGATCATCGACCAATCATTACCCAAACCAGACTACCTGCACAATCATTGACCAAACGTCGCCCAAACCTAGTTATTTGGCTAAACTCGGTTCATGATATAAAATATTATGTTGTTGTTTTCTTTTTAATTTCTAAATTTTTCAATTTTGTAATTTTATCAACAATAAAATAATAACAATAGAAACGGCCGTCAATGCATGTTATGTTTCCATTTTCACATCAACCTGGTCGCTTCCTAGGTTGGTGAACATGTCGGTGAGAGCGTCTTGCTTCTTGCCTAAAATAACAAGGTTAGTTTGTAACAAGCTATTTATGCTTTATCAGCTTATATAAGATCACAAACGTACCTAATCTCTTCAGTTTCTTCTTGTTCTTCTTTACCGCGTTCTTAATGGCACTGTCAAGCCTGACATTCCCTTCATACTTCAACGACTTTGGCATGATGTTAATATTGGCTTCAAATCCCTCAATTTTGTCCTTGCTTTTCCTTTGTTCAGCAGTAACTACAACCTTAAGTTCTTCTGTATCTTCTACCATCGGTGTTTCATTCATTTGTTCCGTTTCTGAAATATACTTATTACACTGTACAACGTGACTCTTAAAGCATGTTTTTAAATATTGAAAGCACAATGAGATTATTCAAATCACGTTATTCGTATTAACATACCATCTAACAAAACTTTCACATCTTCTTCCAACGCGTCCAAATCAAACTCTTTAGACAACGTAGTCAACAGTTCTGTAGTTACAGTAGGCTTTACTTCTACTTCATTCGGAGGTTCTGTGAAATACTTTAGTTTCCCTGTATTCCATTCGTTTAATACCTAAAATAATTCTTAATTCATCTTTCACAAATAAAGTAAATCGAATCGCCAAGGTATGACAAGAATAAACAAGCTCAAACCAACATATAAAGAAGAGTTATATAATTCAGAGTTCGCATTAATCACTTGTAATACCTACATGTTTAGCAGCAGCATGAACGTCAGGACGACCTCCTTTCTTCAGGCGGCCTAGTTTTCTGGCTACCAGAGCCAAAAACATTTCGTGATCGGTGAAAGGTGTAATTTGAAAATGTTCACAAAGCTAAAACATTTAAAAATATACCATTCATTTAATAATAAGGCTAACTACAGAATAACAATTACAAATCAACCAAGATAAAATAGTATTATATATATGAAACTCACTACTTGAACAGAACATCTTCTCATCACGCCTTGAACAGGACTTATAGGATCCTTCAACGAGTCTACTCTCAAAGCATTTTTCAAAGCGACTTCTGTAGCATCAAACTGATTCCTTGAAGCCAGAACGACGCCAGGAGAATCAATCAATCTGATGTTTTTGTCAAGCTCAATCTCTTGAAGTTGCTTTGTCACTCCAGGAACAGCACCGGTCTGACAAGTTCGCTGTCTTTTCAAACTGTTTATGATGCTACTTTTGCCGACATTCGGATAACCTAAAATCATCAAATATGTAATATTGAATAAACCCTAAACATTAGAAAAAAATATTTCAAACCTTCTAAAAGGAAAGTTACTCGTTTATTAATTTAAACAACCGCGGTTATATAATTCAAAACTCACCCACTATTCCAACTCTGATGGTAGTCTTAATATCTTTGTTACGGCAATAATTCTTCAGTAATTTCATCAACAAGTCAGCTCCAATACACTTTGAAGAATCAGTATGTAAATTTGAAGTTACTAATCGACCCTAAAATCATATATTATTAACCATATGTCTAAAACATCAACCCATTAAACTGTTGTTATTATTCTATTGCTTATTACTTATATTGACGCCGAATAAATAAAATTAAACTGTTGTTTAAGTTTTACCTACAGTTTTAAATCATAATATCTTACCAGCTTGTTTTGTTGTTCCTGTGTAGAAGCTTTAAATGCAATCGTAGGTAGCTGTTTCCGCAACACCGACAACCACTTTTTAACATTGTCTTTAGGCACCAAGTCAATCTTATTCAACAATAACACAAGCCTCTTTCCACTGTTTAGCGCTTGATCTTCTATTTGCTTGCTTCTGCTTCCAAAAGGATCTCTGGCATCCAATACTTCAATAATAATATCTGCTGCGGATATGGTCTTTTTAACTTCAGCTGCGTAAGTTCGTGTTGACCGATCACCACCATCCAACAACAAGTCATTTGATACCTCCTTCATACTGCAGGGAATGTAATCTAGACTCTAAAACCGAAGTTATAAGATTCTTGATAAACTAAAACAAGGTTTAACAAATCAATTTTAGTTATACAAATATAATCTTACCTGTAAGCCCTTCGCAACGACAGCCATGTTGACAGAACCATTCATCTTCCTTTTATCACCAAACTCGCCAGCATTCAAAGATCCAATCTGTTGATCAATTTCCATTAGGAACTCTGCATTGTTCATCCCATGTTCATTTTTCTTCTTCTCCACTCGGTCTTTCAAGATCTTCTCAACCTTTGTCTTGAATGATTTTTGTTTCCTTTCTAAACATCAAAACTAATAATATTATAAAACAACGTACTCTTTGAATGCATACCCATCTTGAATTCGTTGAATACACTTGAACTAAGGATTTCCAAGTATATTTCTTAAATTCTTCCCCTATTTTCCGAATTTATTTATCGATCAATAAAAAAACGGGTTGCAACTTTGTGTGACACTTCGTAACAATAAAGAATTGGCGCCGGAATTTGACAAAATTTTGCAAAATAAAATTTATGTCGAGAACTCTCGACGAAATTTTAGTATTGTATTAAAATGTTCATCAAAGAGGTAAGTTGAACAGCTAAAACATATAAATAATGTTATTCAGATAAATATCACAGGGTTCCGCTCTTACAAAGAACTTACTACCATAAAAGACTTTTCTCCCAAGCACAATGTTGTAGTTGGACGTAATGGCAGTGGAAAGAGTAACTTCTTCTTTGCTATTCAGTTTGTTTTGAGTAACGAGTTTAACAATTTGAATCAGGAACAAAGAAACAATCTTCTCCATGAGGGAACTGGTCAAAGAGCTCCGTATGCTCGGGTTGAGATTGTGTTTGACAATACTCTGCGCCGGCTGCCATCTGTATGTTTTTCTTTTACGTAATTTATGTTTTTAGGAAAATAATGAAGTCAGAATTGCCAGACAAGTTAGCACAAAGAAGGATCAGTATTTTATTGACAACAAAACTGCAAATCGGACTGATGTAAGTTGTATATTTATATTTTACTAGATACTTAAATAGATATTTCTTATGAATTTATTTATATTTCAGATAATGAACTTGTTGGAATCCGCTGGTATTTCTCGTTCTAATCCTTATTTTATTGTTAAACAAGGTAAAGTTATGGAGTTGGCTACTCAGACAGACGCTCAACGGTTGAAGTTGATTCGTGAAGTTGCGGGTACCCGAGTATTCGATGAAAGAAAAGAACAAAGTGTAAAACTACTAAAAGATACACAAGAAAAACTCGAAAAATGTCAAAGCTTGTTAGGATTGATGGAAGATCGTTTGAAGAAGTTGGAAGAAGAGAAAGAGGATTTAAAGGAGTACCAAAAATATGACAAAATGAAAAGGTAACTATTCATTGTTGTTTTATTTTCAGTTGTAATATTTGATTGCTGCCTTTTACATCTTGTGAAAATTTATTGTAAATTTTATTTCCAGAGCGATTGAGTATACTATTAATGATCTGGAAAGTAATGAATGTCGTTTGAAATCTGACAAACTGGCTGCAAAAAGAGAAGATATGAATTCTAAACAAAATAGTATTGAAACTGAGATGATGGCTGTTCAACAATCCATTCTCAACACTCAGTCTTTGATAAAGCGTTTGGAAAGTCAATTTAAAGGTGTCAAGGACCAGAGAGATGCTTTAATGTCGGAACAACAAGATTTACTCACTAAAAAGGCCAGATTGGAGTTGACGATCAAGGATTTACAGGAAGAGATTGACAGAGAACGGAACGGTCGAAACACTTCTGAACAAGATTTAAAGAAGTTGAAATCGGAGATTCAAAAGAAGCAAGACGAATTAGAATTGTTGGAGCCAGAATACAAGACATTGGTTGAGGAAGAAACGAGATTGATGACTGACATTAAGATCAACGAACAAAAAGTGTCAGAACTGAACGCTAAATTGGGTCAGAAGGACGTGTTTCAAAGTGCGGCCGAAAGAGACAAGTTTCTGAAGACTGACATCAACAAAAATGAAACACAAATTAACTTGATCAATGAGCAAGTGAAGAATATCATGGAAGCGTTGGAAGAAGACGAAGTTGAGGTTAATGCTTTGAATGAAATGGCATTGGTAAGTTATTATACAATAGTTTTTTATTTTTAACATGTGATTTAAAGATATTTATGATTACAATATAAATATGATAGGATAAGGACACGGTCTATTTAGGTTAAATATAAATTAATTTTAGGCTTGCGAACGAGAACTTCGAGAAAAGTTATCAGAGATCGAAAGAGTTAGTCAACAGTTGGCAGAGAAAAGGCGAGCTGTTGATAGATTAAGTGGCCGGCTGAAAGATGCCCAATTCCATGAGAATGCAGCCATTGATGAACTTACTCAAGCTCAGAAGGATATTGAGAACAGCGAAGATGTGCTGATGTCATTAGCCCCTAAGAACATGCAAAATGGAATCAGGAGTATCAATTTGGTCCTTAAATGGATGTCTGAAAACAATCACGATGGGCGTTTCACAGAGGTCTTGGATGGGTATTACGGTATGTTAATTTTTTAACAGGCGTAAAGTTTTTGTAGTTTTTATTCATATTTTTAGGTAACTTTAGGCGTTTTACATTAACTTAATATAAACACGTTTCAGGGAAAGTGCTGGATCACGTAGAGACAGACCCTGTATATTTTTTGGCTGCCGATGTGACTGCTCAAAACAGGTTGTTCCATCATATTGTGAAGAACGACCGAGTAGCCATGAAGATCTTGGACCAGCTGAACAGTCGCGAGCTTCCAGGAACTTTTGAGTTTATGCCTCTGAATAGATTGATCAAAAAACAAAACCGAGAAGCTCAGACTGGAGAAGCTACCTCCCTACTCAATGTTTTGAGATATCCCGAAGAATACGATCCGGTTTATCGTCAGATCTTCGCCTCGATTGCTGTAGTTCGAGATCTACAGGCAGGAGCTCGAATCTCAAGAAGTTTTCAGATGAACTGTGTCACTATTAATGGTATGTTAGTATTTATTGTTGTATTATTTGATTTTAGGTGAACAAGTCGACAGAAGAGGACCGATGACTGGGGGTTATCTGGATAGAAAACGGTCAAAAATGGAAGCGGCTTCTGGATTGCGGGAGAATCGAAAAGTATTCGAAGTAGCAGAGGTATGGTTACATTGCGACAGTATTCATTTTATTTGGTCGATTACTTTCACATAAATTTGCCTTTTTTAGGAAAAAGTGAAAACAAAGCATCAAGAAGCACGACTGGTGTTGGAAGAGTACGAAAAACTGAATGTGGAGTACAACACTTTGGACGAACAATTGAAACAACTGAAAAGCGAACATCAAACTGTCAATGAAAAGAAGTACAACATCTCTGAGCAGATCAACAAAAAATCGATGGGCAGAGAACCTAAGACAGCTCAGATTGTGCAGTTGAAGGAACGTGTCAGAAGAATGGAGGCTAGGAAAGAAATGTTAGCTAAACAACTGGGAACGGCATTGGAAAGTCAGCTCACAAGTGAAGAACGTAGCGAAATGAATGCTCTTCAGGTAATCATGTTTGTTTTTAAAATTTTTGTGTAGTCGTTTAGTTGTAAATATGCTCCTTTAACACATTTCATATCATTTTAAATTGTTACCTAAAATTTTACAGGAAGACATTAAAAAGATGAGAAAAGAATTGTCAGGCATTGCCAAGAAACGTTCAGAAAAGGAAAATCGAAAGCATCAGCTAGAGAATCAGCTCCGAACGAATCTGATCAGAAGACGTGACGATATTGAGAGCAAGATCCAAGACATTAGTATCGAGGAAAAGAGGTATCGTTTGAATGCTGAGAATGCCCAAGTTAAACAGTTGAACGAGCGTTTGAATGAAATCATGAAGAGGATCAACGGTATGTTATTGTTGAGGGATGCTGCTTCATAGTTGAATTTATATTTTAATACTTGTTCTATGTATTACCTATTTTAGAACTGAACGAAACATTTTCTGATTACAATAAAGATAAAGATGGATACGAGAAGGAATTGGAGGAGAACCTGGAGAAAAAGAATAAATTTGACAGTCAAATTGAGGCCATCGCAAAACAAACGGACACTTACTGTACAAAGATTGCTGATTATCAAGCTAAAAGAGAAGAGTTTATGAAGAAGGTAGGGTTTAACATTTTGAATAAAAAATGTGTCCTTTATTTAAGATGATTTACGTATTTACATAGTGTATATTTACTTCAACTTTCATATTTTTAGATGAATGAGATTGGTATTGTTTCTGCTGATGCATTAGGAAAGTATAGAAATTGTTCGTTGAAAGAGCTTGACAAGAAACTTACTCAATGTATGACAGAACTGAAAAAGTACCAGAATGTAAACAAAAAAGCGTTGGATCAATTTGTTCGTGCTAGCAACCAGAAGGATAGCTTGACCAAGAGTTTGGAGGAATTGGCTAAAAATGAAGAGGTAAGCAGAAGTTTAACTAAATGTGACTGGAATATTAATTGTTATGTTATATCTGGAGTTTCAGTCGATTAACAACTTGATTACAACACTGAACAGCCGGAAACAGGAAACTCTAACGCTCACGTTCAGACAGATCTCAAGGAACTTTAAAGAAGTATTCCACCAGCTGATTCCAGATGGAAGCGCCCAACTGATTATTCAGAAAAATGACGTAAGAACAACTGTTTACTGTAGCAAAATTTATTGTATAAGTTCAGAATTTTTATTGGTTTTTTAGGCAGCAGAATCACAGAGTTCCCAATCTCAAGAAGAAAACGAGGAAGACTTTGTTGGTGTCAGTATGAGGGTGTGCTTCACCGGAGCTGAAGAGACAAAGGAAATGAACCATCTGTCTGGAGGACAGAAGAGTTTGGTAGCGTTGGCCCTGATCTTCTCGATTCAGAAGTGCGACCCGGCTCCGTTCTACTTGTTCGATGAAGTCGATGCTGCTCTGGACAGACAACATCGACAGTCCGTGGCTACCATGATACACGAACTGTCAGAGAATGCTCAGTTCATCACAACTACCTTCAGACCTGAACTTCTGGAGCACGCCGAAAACTTTTACGGAGTCAGATTCCGAAACAAGGTATCGTACATTGACCCGACCACAAAAGAAGAAGCATATGACTTTGTAACCGATGAAAATACCTACAATTGATTGTAATTTATACACGTTGCCACTACTAACTTTGTAATTTTAATCATGTTTCTATCGTTTGATCTCACCGTTAAGATAATCAATGTTATTTATATAGAATAAAATATTTACGGTTTACTTTGGGATTCATTCAAAGTGTAAGTATAACGAATCATGAGATATTTCGATAACAAATTGGGTTATATCTTGATTACGTATAGTTTAAATGATTTTCAGTTGAGTATGATTACCAGGAAGATCTTGAGAAATGTCGGATTTCGATCTTTACGGCGTTATTCCTCAGCACAAGAAGCGGAAAATAAGGACAACAGATCGTTATTGTTAAAGAAGTTTATCAAAGATAAAATTAAGGTTTCTGGGCCAATTACCGTACACGAATATATGAAGTTGGCTAGCGGTTCAGCTGCTGGATTTTACACCAAAAAGGTATGTTTTAAAAATAACTTTCTTTAAATATGTCTTACTACATCACAGAGGCTTCATATCGTTGTATTTTACAGGCAGATATTTTTGGTGCTTCGGGTGACTTCATAACCGCTCCGGAAATTAGCCAAATGTTTGGCGAATTGATTGGAATCTGGATCTACAACGAGTTGTGGAACAGTGGGGAGCGAGGCGACTGGCAACTAGTTGAACTTGGTCCTGGGACTGGAGCTTTGATGAGTGACGTGCTACGGACGTTAAATGTTCTTAAGGTCGGCAAAGTTGATATTGTTCACGTATGTATTCAAATTGGGTCGTATTTTCTCATTTTAATGAAGCAATATCCATCTGTGTTTTAACATTTGCATTGAATATTGCCTTTCAGACTGAAAGGCTGACGATACGCTTGGTCGAGGTCTCTGACCACCTAATAGACCAACAAGAACTACGACTTTGTGGCCGAGTATCGAAACCAATTCCAGATTCTGAAATTGTTCGTAAAAATAAGACTAAAGAAGGGATCCCCATCTACTGGCACCGTGAACTTAACGATGTGCCAAAACAGCAGTTTTCTGTTTTTGTAGGTAACGAGTTTCTGGATGTTCTCCCAGTTCATTTGTTTGAGAAGCTGAACAACGATTGGAGAGAAGTACAAGTCACGTTGAACGACGAAGAAGACTTGTGTTTGATGTTGTCAAGGTCAGAGAACATTCACTCCAAAGGTTTGATACCCGAATGGATAAGAGATGACCCTACCAGAGATAAGTGGGAGTTAAATCCTGACGCCGGGCGTAATGTCACGGAAATCGCTCAAAGGTACGGTTTTTCAACAATATTCTAATCTTTGATTAGCGTATCTTCTTTAATTATGATGCGAGGTGGAATTAAAAACAGCAAACAATTTAGACTCTTGTTAATAAACGTCTTTAGGATAACAGAATTTGGAGGCTTCGGCCTATTCATTGACTATGGTCATGATGGAGGTCGACGCACTCGTTCTCTACGTGCTTACCACAAACACAAGATAGTCGACGTTCTGTCTAGTCCAGGACTGATGGACCTGACAGCTGACGTTGACTTCGGATACCTACGAAAGATATTGGAAGGAATTTGCTTAACATATGGGCCTACTACACAACGGTAAGACTGGTTAAAATTAGTTTGGTTCAAACACTAGTATGTTAATAAGGTTTTTACTACATAAAAGCAATGATGACATTCGATAAATTCTGGGTGGTAAAGACTTCTTTTAGAGAGTTCTTGGTGCAAATGGGTATCAGGCTGCGAACAGAAAGGCTCCTACAAAGCTGTAAAGATGAAAAAATTCAACATCAACTGAAAGCCGGCTACAAGGCTTTAGTAGACGATTCAGAAGACGGAATGGGAGTCAAGTTCCACATGTTTTCAATGTTCCCTAACACACTAAAACCGATATTAGACATGAGAGGTGGATTCCCTGCAGGGTTTTTTCCAAATCTAGAAGAAGTTACCGAAGATCTAGACGAATTAGACAAGAAGTTGTGAAGACAACCCGTTCATTGTTATATAGGTTACTATTTGTTACAATTAGTCATAAACGTTATATATTTTATTTTTTATATCTAAAACTATACATAAAACTAACGAGCCAAATATAAAATAATATTATTTTTACTTTTTACCCTTGTGGGTCGGTCGGTATGACTAAGGGAAAGAAGAAGGTAAGGATTACTGTAGCATCGATTACGAGTTGCTTTAGAAACGAAATGTTGCTCGAAAGAGGATTCTGGATGCCCTCAGTGCCTTTACGCTACCTAGAAAACTTCCTGCGAAGTCATTGAAGCAATTGGAATATAAGAGAAGGGCTCGGTTACAACATTACTTGGATAAGAAGATCAACGGCAAGAATGCGGAACGACCAGAACAGACGATCGGACTTTACCGACTACGAGACCTCAATTTTACAAAGCTTACTGGCAAAAACTTCCAGCAAAATATACCGTTCTACGATGACATGCGACATTATTCAAGGGTCGGGCGGAATGTGAGTTTACAAATTGAGTTGGAACAGTCTCTTTGTTTTACCTTGTTCTAGGTGAATACTATTGTCATAATATTTTTCTATTATTCTTTGTTTATGAAGAGACTATGGTAATTTGAACCGTATTCCAGAAAGTTACAAGCCTGACTTCAACGGCCGGCGAACAAATCATCTGCTACTGTATTGTGATGATGACACTGTTCTTGTTCTGTGTCAAGTTTGTCATGCTGAACAAGAACATGTTTGGGTCGTTACAGTACAAGAACGGTGCCATCTTCCACTTCCTTGTCATACAAACTTTTATTAAAATGCATTGGCTACCGTCTCCAGAATATGACGCTTTCAAGTTTGACGTCGATGACATTGTTGATGATTTCGAGCACAAAATTCGACATTACAAGGCTTCATGGATATTCACCATCTCATTATTGCCTCTACATATAGTTATACCTTTATGCTTGGCTTTCAAATGGCCTAGACAGAGATTACTTGGCAAAAGTTCTATCATGAAGACAATATTGTCAGTGTTGGTTATCACATGGATAACAGGCTTCATTGCCGTTGCAATACCTGGATTGACACACGATGTACGACACTTCAATGGAGTAGGTTCGAGGATGGTTGGTGAACTGTTCAGATTCGAATTTTGTTTGATGAATATGACCGAAAGCATAGTCGACTTCCTTGATGTTAGTTTGTCTGTTGATTTTATGCTTTCTTTATCATTCATTCCGGCTTTTACAACTGTACAGTGCAATCCTATCAAATCAGCTCTTTTTACCCCGCTGCATCGTGCAGATTCCCCGCCCGAGACGCCCTGGAATTTTAGAAAGACTGCATTGTGCAATTCCCTGAAACACCCCATAGCATAGAAAGTTGTATTTCAGGATTCTTTGAAATGCGTCTCATTGAGGAATATTACAAGTGAAATCTGTAACGAACCATTTCCATCAACAGATTTGTTCGATTGCCAATCAGAAGAAGTAAGTCGTTATGGCTCTTATAATAAAATCACTTAGACTATCTCAAGCTTGCTGCTTCAAGAAGAGTGGGTTCAGATGGGTCTCTTTGTATTCACAATCACAGCCTTATACGTATCCCTTATTGTCAAGATCATAATCCAAAGGAAAAAGTATAGAAAAATACTGAGGAACATCTATCATCGCATAAATTACAGCCCAAAGTAAGGAACATTTCTGTTGAGTACTTCATTTTAAAGTTCCTTCTCATAAGTATAGTACATTAATTTTGATGCCAAACAGCAATATTACCTACTTTTAGGTCCGTAACACTTGAACATCTCAAAGATTTTACATTTGAGGGAAATCTAGAAACAGACGACACAAAGTTCTCCCTACAATACTTACCCTACACGTCCTGTCTGTGTCAGAATCGTGAATGTCCGTACAACAACCTGGGACCAATGATCTTCAAGCCAAATAAACATACGAGGAAAGTGGATGTTCCCAAGTCTCACTTGGCTACACCTGTGTCTGCATCCATGTTATAAAGAGATATTTCGACAAAATAAATTTTTTTTTTATTTTTTTGTTTCAAATTTTGAGAAATCGTAATTTTTATTTTGTAATTCTCGCTTTGAACAGGAATGCTTTCTAACATTGGCGTTATGTTTTATCTAAAAAATAAATATTTCTATTTTATTTGGTTTTGTAAAATTCATCATGAAGATAAGGCACATTTTGGCTGATCAAGAAAGGTTATTCATTGAAGAAAGTTTATCAAAGGGCGTGGTAAGTCAGTTTTCTGTTTAGTATTGGTGTTTAGAGACTTGATGGACGAAAAATAAACGAACAAAGGAAGCTGAACATCGAACCTGTTGCTGATGGAAAATGTATAAGCGCTTCTTTAGGAAACACAAGGTAAAAACTGGAGTTTTATTATGTGAATTGGCTTATTTTATATCTAACAAGCAATAATAACGTTCTTTTTGTAATATCATTAGTTGTTGAGTAATTCTATTTTGAAATTGAATGTTTAGAATTGATGTTGTGATCAAAATCAAACCAGTAGCTGCCAGGACAGTTGGCCGACCAACCTCTGGTTTCTTGTTTTTTGATGTTAGAAAGACTGTCACGTCTCGGTATGGCCAACCAATTAAAACTCGAGATCCGCCTAAAGAATTGGACAGAGTTCAGCCAATTCTAAATCGTCTTTATCGTGACGCCAAAGCCATTGAGCTGGACGCATTGTGCATCGAAGTGTTCCATTGTGTGTATGAAGTCAGAGTACAAGTGAATGTGGTACAAGAAGATGGAAACTTGATAGATTGTGCTACAGCAGCCGTAGCAGCTGCGTTAGGGATCGTGAAGCGAAGAGCAGTGGAATATGATCCGAATTCCGGACTTATCAGATTCGTAAGTAAATATAAAGTTTATTTGTGAATTGGATTATAAATTTCAAACCAACTGTAATATTAATATCACGTTAAAGATTGTAAGTAATAATCAATATTTAGCTGAGCAAGCAAGAGAGTGTCGCTTCAAACATTCCTATCAACTTCTTAGCTTTAACTACAACTTTTACTTTTTTTAAAACGGAGTAAGTGTTCATAATTATGTTCTATTATTGATTAGTATTCTTAGTTTTAAATTTATTAGCTTCTTTTATCAATATTTAAATGTGTAAAACAACAACTTTAGTTCTGAACCTATCGTCGATGCTACTCTAAAGGAATACAAAGTGGCAGGCTTCCAGATTACCGTGGGTGTTAACCATCGAGATGAAGTGATAGCTTTGTTCTCGACTGGTGGATCCTTATCGCTGGAGCTGATGGACCAACTTCTGGATAAGGCACATTCACAATGTATGGAAAATGTAAAGGTTGTTAAGCAATCAATCGACAAGTTTGTTAAACTGGACATATCTTAACTGATAAGTTGTTGTTGTTATTGTTGCTGTTAAACGTTTTACTATAACTATTTCGGTTATTCTTGTATCATGTTATTGTCAACATTACCTAGAGAAACTAACATATTTTGCTGATATAAAACTCCTACTTCTAACCGGTATAAAATTTTATTTCCTCTCCGATTCTGTTTCTAGCTACAAAATATTTTTAGTGAAAATTTATTGAGATCAGAGTTCCATAAAGGCTACTCGGAAAGGTTAAGGTCCTAATAAGAGAATTCCAACTAATCGTCCATACTGTCTCTTCTGACTACTGGTACTGGGAAGCCGTGCTTCATATCCTTCTCGGGCCAGGTGTAGGTCTTGTTGATGAGTTCGTCATATTCAACATTGTAGATCTGGGATCTGATGAACATTTCTTTGTCCAAAGGTTCTGGATACAGACAGGCAGTTCCGTCCTAAAATGGAAAAGTTTAGTTGGTAAACTTGGTAGATGTACCAACTTAGCACTACGTTGTATATGAGGTAATATAACGCTAAAATTTCTCTATTTTATCAAGAAGGCAGATTCTGTAAACAGGATTTTTGTGTAAAACCTTGCCTTGTAGCACTCTTCGGCGATCAAAGTAGCAATCTGAATTGACAATTCTCTGATCTCCTTCAGCCTTGGGTAAATTCTGCCTTCTCTCAGATTCTTCTCGGTCACGTTCTGGGCCACTGTTCTGGCGGCCAACAAGAAGTGACGGTTGTCGACATGGTTGATCTGGAACAAGATCACACCCAGAGCGACACCGGGGAAGATGTAGGCGTTGTTACCCTGGCCAGGTTTGAATAATCGACCATTCAGTTCAACATTGGGGAAGGGAGAGCCCGAGGCAAACAGAACTGCGCCCTAAAACAATATTTTCACTGTTTAAAAACAAAATTTGAACTAAAGTATTACTTAAGACTACTTACGTTGGTCCAAGTGTAAGCTTCGTCAGCCGTACATTCAGCCTTGCTGGTGGGATTTGAAAGGGCGAAAATGATTGGCCGAGGGTTATTCTTGGCCATCGTTTTGACGATCTCTTCACTGAAGGCGCCTCTAACCGTAGATGCACCAATCAGAGCGTGAGGTTTGACCTCGTGAACTACCTGGAGCAGGTCTTTGGTCTCAGCCATGTCCTTGGCGAACACTTCATGTCTGGGATTCATGTTCTTCCTATTCTTTGTGATAAGACCATCAATGTCGATCAGGTAGATGTTCTCACAAGCTTCCTTGAAGCTCAGACCTTCACTCTCCATCTGACGTACACACATTTCGGCGACACCAGTGGCGGCTCCACCTGCTCCCAAGAAAACGTACTTGGTGTCCTTCATCTGTCTCTTTGTCACTCTCGTCGCGGCCAATAGCCCAGCGACAACAACAGAAGCCGTGCCTTGAATGTCATCATTGAACATACAGTACTGGTCTTGATATCTGTCTAACAAGCGATATGCATTGGCATTTCCAAAGTCTTCGAACTGGATCAGCGTGTTGGCTCCAAATCTAAAACAATATGCTGATGACAAACAAGTAATTGTTTTGTTAAAACAATATAAAAAATTATTTTTCTAAAACAAGCAGACATTCTTGAGTAAAATGGCTTACTTTTTGGTACACGCCTTCATGAAGTTGTCCACGAACCTGTCGTATTGTTCTCCGCGGACTCTGTTTCTTCTCAAGCCAATGTAGAAGGGGTCGTTGAGCAATTCCTACAATACAACATGTTTAAAATATCAAAAAAAGATATAAAAAATGAAGAGTTCTTACATTGTTATCCGTACCAACATCAAGCAGAATTGGCAAGCACCATCTAGGTTGGATTCCAGCCAACGCTACGTACAATGCCAACTTTCCTACTGGGATACCAATACCGTAGGCTCCTAGATCTCCAAGACCGAGAATACGTTCTCCATCCGTGACTACAATGGCCTAAAAACAGTATTCAAAAGAACATTCAAAAAAGTAATAAAAACATAATTCTTACAATAAATATTTGAAAAATGTTGAAAGTTAAAAGTTAAACTTACCCTGACATCCTCGTGAGGCCAATTTGACAAGATTTGGAAGATCTTCGAGATAGAGTAATCATTGATAGTAACATACAAACCCCTAAAAATGCAAATTCACAAAGCAAGACACATTACTTACTTTGGATTACGGTAGATAAAGCCAAAACGCTGACAAGCTTGTCCTACAGTAGGAGTGTAAACAATCGGCATCAGTTCTTTGATGTTCTCCACCAAAACTCTGTAAAACAGTTTTTCGTTTCTGTCCTAAAAACTTTAAATAGAATCTGAAGTAATCAAAAAGTTGTTTGTAAAGAATTTATGATTATTTATTGTTTTAAATGTACCAAAAAATTACCTGTAGACCATCCAGTTGGATATAACGTGCCAAATCATCTGGCTGTTGCCTCAGTTTCGTGATAATACGGTAGGCTTGCTGTTCTTCAGTCATGAAAGCCGGAGGCAACAAACCATGAATACCAAGATACTGTCTTTCGTACAAACTGAATGCCATTCCCTATAAGAAATAAGTTGTATGTTTAAAAGTCATAATTACTATTCTTTACCTTATTCAACCCGGAATTTTTGAGCAAATCGACTCCTTTTAGTTTAGGAGTTACTCTTTCTGGACGGTACAACTTGTACAAGTCCATTTGCTTAGGATCAGACAGATCCCATTCCTTCTTGTTCTTCTTCTGGAGAATGCCAGCAGTGGTCGACAAGGAACGGTACTCTTGTAGACCACATAGCGACAAAATTCTCAATGATGACGGGTGCATCCTGAACATAATAAGTCGTAAAAGTTCGAAACTGTATAAAAAACCTAATTTCACGTTATAAAATAATATAAAGAAAATATAAAATTAAGAATAAATTACTTGAAATCTCGAACACCACCAAACGCTAATTTGACAAAATGTATGAAAACTAATGATCGAGGAATACGTGCATATTCAGAATTGGACTATTTACATTGCGAGTTGAGTTTGAAATGGGAATTTCATGTGAAAAAAAGAGAAAAACTAAAAAGTTTCTATTACGTCTGAATATAACATTAACTTCCTTAAACTAACACAATCTAACGTTAATTTGTCTGACATACATTAATCTAATTAAACTTCGCTCAACAATCCACCTGAATTGCAGAAAAACTCTACTAAACAGAGTAAACAAAACAAATTCAAACATCTTATGCTATTAAAAAAGCCGAGGCCGTCCCGTCCGGCCATAACAACATGCCTCCTCTCTTTTTTATGTCCACGCCAGATGTGATAAAATAAAAAACAAAACAACTATTTAATCACAAAATCAATTCAACCTGATAAGTAACAAACAACAGCGCAAAAGCCAAGGAAAAGAATATTAGAGTGGTTTTTCTCTTTTTGTTGGCCGTCAGAACAAATGCTTCTCACGAGGAGAACGCTGGTTCACGTTCCGCAAAATGGCAAAGGAGACAATTCCATACAGAAATTAAGCTTCTACGCATAACAAAAAGCTTTTCGTTATTATCAGTGATACAATCAATTATTTATAAAAAACGGACCTTCAAATTTTCCCAAGTTTAGTAAATACTTTTGCAACATGCATTAAAGATGACTATTATATACTGTCATGTTTTTATGTTTACATCTACCATCAGCTTTAATAAACAACTTGTGTAAACCTTGTGATTTTTAATCTCAACAATTTTTTGTTTTGTACATGTTCCGTCATATAAAATTAACTCGCCGTTTGTAAAGAGAAGGGCGCAGTTGCAATTCCCGTAAGAGACGCGCGCGGCATCGTTCGTCGCGGGATATTTTCACTTCTCTGTTTGTGCCAGATTACCTTGACAGGCCGGTAAGCAAACGTGCTTTTTACCTACTTTTTTGTTTGTGCATGGTATTTTTTTAATGTTTAGGTTTATTGTATGGAGAAACTTGGGTGTTCTGGCCGCAATCTTATTTTTACATTATTTACGGTATAGATAAGGTTTTGCTTTATTAGATAGGTTTACTATCGTTAAAAAATTTTTTCTAGCGAGATAGTTAAGCATAAGCATATTTTACTTTCATGGTTATATATTATGCACAAATCAAGTCTGGGTCACGATTTCCAGCCTTTTTCCGAACATGTATCCGTATTTGGTCTCTCGCCGGAGGCAATAAATAGTTTCGTCTTGAATAACTGCGTTCAAGGTTGTTTTGGGGGAAGATGGTGTTTTATTGTAAATGGGTCAGAATTGCTGCTTGATGTGTCAAGATATGTTTCGATAGTCGGGCCCTTCTCAAATTTGCGTCTGCTCTCGCGATATTGCTGATTAATCATATTTGGTTGAATCTTGTTGCAATAGACTCGTTTTCTTTTAAATTTACATTATAGTTTAGTATTTTTACTTTTTTGTTTCAGAAGATGGGTTTCTTCTTCACCAAAGTCGTTCGGAACATTATCTTTTTGTTGTTGCTCCTCAATGGAACTCAGATGTTCTTGAAATGGAAGAGCTACAACATTCAGGCCAAAGACTTCAAAACTTTCAGTGTTAAATCTGCAGGTAAGAGATTATATCGTTGTACTTTATTTGTTTAGATTCCAACTCCATCAACGCTGTATCCAAGTTTACCTCCGAACTTCGAAGAAAATACTCTCAAGATATTGATGCATCTCTCAAATGGGTACCTTTCTCGGCTGGCGGTCTACACTTGAAGGCTCAGTTTTTGTACGGTGATTTGACTGAATATATCGCTGTCTTCACTGCTATCGGAGATTCAACTGGACGATCTGGTATGGTCTTTGTGTTTAATCTGGGGGTTTCCTATGTTTTTTTAATCTTTTTGAGATTTTTTTGTTTGTTAAGGTCTTGTATATGATTTTGAGGTTTATTTTTTTTTTACTTTCAGGTATTCACTGGTCAAACCACTCCTGTACAGTTCTGACCGGTGAAGTTACTCGTGTCCTAGACGCCTTCAGCTCTCCAGTAAAAGAAACCTTCAAACAAGGCCAGAACTTCCGTCATGGACAGTTCGAATCGTTTGTCTATATTCTGAAGGATCAAGCTACAGTAGCCTGTTACGGTAGAGGATTCATCCCAGCTTCATCAGTATGGTCGCTTTCGGGAGCCCTGTCGACCGGAGACCCATTGGCTGCAGTAAAACAATCGTACGTATACGGACGACTGACCTTTGACACTTTGACTAGACACGGTTACCACTACTTTGACTATGTAGCAAAGAAAGCGAAGGGCGAACTTTGATTTTCATATTTATTTCATTGTATTATCATAATTTATATCTTATTTTCATAGTATTAATAAATAGGATAATTCTCATTACTTGTGCTTTGGATTAATCTTATTGTAGAGGTCATGTTTGTTTAATATTAGCTTGATCTTTCTGGTTATTTTTAGTTTTGTCCTTAAATCAGACGGTTTTAGGCTGTTTTTTTTTCAATTTTGGAAATATCCCGAAACCGAGAGACTTGTTTAAATTAGTTTGGATATGGAATGAAACGTTGGATATTGAATATTCTCTCTTTGTGTTTCTAGTAGAGCTGGCTTTCAATTACAACTGCTTAAATGGAGGTGGTGGTAATGGGTGAGTGGATAAGTTACATTAAGATGAATGATAAGAGTGTGGTAACTGAAAAACATTCTGCATAAAAGCTTGTCTACTTTTGCAGGCTTTCAGCAATTGGCATTGAGTTAGCCATTTAATATTGAAAAATAGATCACATAGTATAATAAAATACATATATTATAGTAAACCGTATCATAATCCGTTGTTGTTGTCGTCTGTTGTTGTGTTCTGTGAAATCCTAATTTTGTTTCCGCCAAACGTTTTCGGACAAGATCCTATTAAACTTGACAATGATATTATTCATGAGTCGTTTGATGGTATGACTGCGTTCATTTTATTCCAAATATGTGCTTACTAATGCTCAAATTGTTTTCGTTAGGAGGATGGGGTTACTAAGGGCAATGTTGTCATCTCTCTGGTTATAAATGGCTAGTCGAGGCTTTTGAGGAAATTAGTGGTTTTAAGGGTCAGCCGGCTTTTGAATGTGAAAAACTTTCGTCTTTGTTGTTGAAGTTGTCTTTTCGTAGTAAGATGTCTTTTACAAAGTAAGGGAGCGTTTTAATGTAAAAAACCATCTCTTCCAACATCTCACTCCAATACTCTTCCTCTACCACGTTGATAGCAGTTAATTAGAGTATGTATACTTATCAGCACGACTTGGTGTCGTCGTTGTGTTTGTCTTTCTCACGACGGCCGTTTCATTCTGAATACGTCGGAAACGATTGGGTGTGGTAAAGGACAAATAAAGACAGTTTTAATGGCCTTTAGGAGGTGAAACGAGAAGAACAAAATCGTCTTGGTGATCAATCTTTGTTTTGCCGAATTTCAAAAGCTTCGAATTCGGAATCATTTGTTAAATTGTATGATTTGGTATTGGAAGAGTTATGTTTTACAACGTTAACATGTGTTTACGCGCCGTTCGCTTTCGCAATTTATTTATTTTTATCATAAGGTTAATGTTAATTATCGTCATTTCTCAAGGTTCGAGTCTAGTCTATAGGAGCTAATCCAACTTTAAGGAATCTGGGTATGAATAGTGCAGGACTGATACAGTATCGTTGTATAGCACGCCTTAAATACGTCATCGTAAAATAAAAGTCCAAAAATAGTTTAATTTTACACTTTTAAACAGCTAAAGCAACAAATTAACCTTTGCAATTACTGTTCCTACTGAAGTTAATTGCTATACATTGCTGGAGTGATGTATCGCTACTGTAACACACCCTTTCTCTGCAATTAAACCAACAAAACCTAGTGGACGGTGCTTGTAGCCACCCACCGTTCCCACAGCTCAATGACCGTAAATTTGAAAGTAATTACGCAATATTACAACCTCTTTATGTACTTACTTAAAAGGCGACTGCAGGCTTGATTAGGTTAATCTAACAATATGTATTATCTAGTGAAGCAGATATTGTACAAGAGCAAGGAGAAGAAGCGTAAGTTAATAATAAAAACAGCACTCTAAGTAAACCTGGCAATATTTGTTTGGCTTTTTGACCTAAGTTATATATAAAAATTTTTGGCTTTTTTTGTATCGATATAATATTGTTCCGCCAACAAATTTTTTTTAAAAATTTTAATCGTTATTTTGATGTTTGTTGTACCAAAAGTCATCTTTTTGTCCACGTTCATGTTTTTGTACTGAGTGGATATAAAATAAGTTGAATTTGGAATAACAACGTGACTCACATTGGATTCTGACGACGAGACACCCAATTCTTAAGGAGAGGCAAAATTTAAAAGAGGAACTCTGTTTGCCTGGAAATGCACTCGATAGATAGACTCTTTTTGTTTTTTATTCGATTCCACTCTCATTTACACTTGATCGGTCAAAACAAAGGGATTTGTCGTGCATTTTATGACTATATTCAATTTTCATGCTATTATGTTTTGTAAATAATTGAAAATTCTGTTTTCGGTCCCGACGGGAAAGCATTCTTTAGTTGGCCTTGTGCAATTTTAACACAAATTCGATAAAAAATTGTTGACATTTTTAAATTTATGGGCAAAACAAGCATGAGACGTCTGTCAGCGCCAGAATCCTTAATTCGGGTTAATTATACGTTAATTTGACTAAAATTAGGTCTCAACTTTGTTTTTCCAGTTTTTTCTTTTTTGACTGATAAGGGTTAAGCAATCCAATACCTCGAGAAACCTAAAACATGGTTTTTGAATGCTAAGGTGTTTTCGGTTTCTTAAAAAGGTTATTTACCAGTTGAGAGCTAGAACGTGATTGTTTTTTTTGGTTCTGGAGGAAGGATTTTGCGAAGTTTTGACGTCCAAGAAAGAAAAACGAACGCAAAAAAGATCTGAAGGACGATAAAGAGGGACACTTTCACTCATCAGACTTATCACTCTTATCAGCTTGGGTTTAAGGCGAATTTAAAGAACTCTTGAGCGGTCAAACGTTTTGTTCAAAATGTTCGAAATTAAAGTGTAAAGATTACAAGAACAGGGTTTTATTGTTTTTGCGTCTTTTAAATTAAGTTTATTCTTTTATTATACTTTTTTATTTTACTATATTTTATTGTACACTACTTAGCGTCTAGTATCGAGTACAATATCACTATTTATACTTAATTTACTATTTTTTTTGTAATTTCATGTTTTATATAATATATGTTCTTGTAACCTGTTTTAGAAGTCGGTCTCGGTAATTTATTCCTGTCTGACAGCTCGTCCTTGTTGTTATCTTATGAAAAAAGGTGAGCGGATGTCTCTATTGTCAGTATGTAAACAAATATGTTTTTGTTATGCTGGTCTTACATGTTTCTTAATCTTCTGAAAGCATATTCTTACTTTTCCACAGTTAAAACAGGTCCAGTGGGGTTACAAAAAATTATTTTTACTTATTACGAAAACGTATTTGTACTTATATTTCACGATCAGTTAGTCTGGGAGTAAACAACATCACTACGTTTTGTGGATTTTCGAATTTAGTGCTTTTGTAAAGTAAACAAGACTGAAATTATTTATTTTTAGGTATATTTATCAAGATTTATTCGTTTATTTAAAGATTTTTCCGTTTTAGGTGCCAAAGTTTCTACCAAACTAACAGTACAGCGTCAGATTCAGGATTCTACGCCAAATCTTCCTTTGTTCTCTCAAAACGATTCAGACTGTGATACGGCAAAGTGTGTGACTCCCAAGTTCAGACAAAAGTTTGCTCGGGAACACCCAAGTGACCATTCAGATAACACACATAACTCGAGCGACGATAACACACGAACCGACCACTCAGAGGTCGATAACATAAAATCTGAGGATTCAAGTGCAGAGAACACCAAATCAGCCAGCTCGAGAGAGGACAACGGCGATAATTTAGAAGAAGAGCACGCCAAAGTTGACGAAGATAATATAAAGTTTAGTCGTTCAGGTAAAGAAGACTCAAAAAGTGACAATTCAGAGCAAGATACTACAAAAACTGAGGAAGAGAATAGCGAGGGCTTAGAGCCAGAAGGGAAGAAACAAGTTCAATCTCGACAACTTTTGGAGCGCTTAGTTCCGTTTCGATGGATTTTCAGTGAAGAAAAACGCGTAAGTGAGCCTTTTCGGATCTTATTTATATTTTACTGATTGCAAAAACTTTGATTGGAGCGGGGAACAAACGTTTGCGCATTACAAGTCTCAAAAAGTAATGTTACTACTTTCGATCGCGATTTTTTATATTATAGTAGCTTTCCGATGTTTTTTAATTTTGTAGTAGCGTCAAATTGTCGGCATTTGTTAAACAGAAACTTGAAGCGTCTTGTTTAATCTACGTGAACATGAATTCACTCAATCTTTGATCAAAATAAGAAGTAGTTGAATGTTTATTGTGTAAAAATTACTTAATTTTGTAATTCAGTTCATCTACTAATCATAAGAGGTTTTAAATGATGTTTCTTGATTTCAGGAGATGAGTGATAAGTCTGAAAAAGATAATTCGTCTGTCGAAATGGCAGTTGAAGCCGACCCCAACACAATAGCCTCCAGGCCATCATCAGCGGCGGATATACATAAAGAAAATGGAAAAATTGAGGTGAAGGAGAAGAATGGTAAGATTGAGTTTTTCTTGGTTTTTAGGTAACAAATTTGAAATTCTGGTTATTTGGTGAAGCATAGATGAAAATATTGCTAATAGCCGTTCCAGGGATGACGACGTCTTTGAGCCGTTCTGTATTTTAAAAATGTTTTAGACTGATCGTAAATTTGAGTGTTTTAGGCCCTAAAATCCACCCGGTTTCCTCGACAAGTTCGTTAAAATCAACTTTAAGCCATCAGAGTGCTTCAACACAACTAACGCCGAAGAAGGCCAGTTCAAAGAGTAACATGACTATATCGTCGGCTACAGCTGCCACACTCAATTTGGCGGCTCCAACTACAATTGGCAGTGCTGGTGGGGCTGCTATGTTAAGGCCGGTTAAGAAAAAGGTAATAGAATTAGAGTGTGCTGAGATACGATGGCATTACAAAAAGACTGGAGAGAGCAAATGGACTCCATTTAGAGGTAGGTTATTTATTATTGACTTTTTATAGGAAACTGGTTTCTATTTTATTTACCTACTTTAAGAATAATATCGTCATTACCTTGAGAAGTATGAGAAAAGTGTAAAATTTTTAAATTTTGAATAAACTTTTTTAGGTTACGACTCAATGGTGCTAGAAGTAGCCTACCGTGCCTCAAAAGGGATCCCCTTGGATAAGAAAACAATAGCTTTAGGCGAACAACTTCCTCAAACCAAAAATGTAATCGTTTTGGACAACTTATACGAATGGAATCCAGAAGACAAGACCGATCACGTAACTTCAGTTTACTGGAAGGACGAAAACCTTAAAATACGAAGAGGATCGTGGTTCTTTGCTGACACGATGCAGCCGATAGGAGAAGAATTGGCAGAGACAGTAGAACTACATCATCTGGAGAAGTTCAGAAACCAGATGATTCCAGATTCTCCGGTTTTTAATGAAAACGAGGTTAATAAGAAGCCAGGTAAGTAAATATTGTTATCTTTTCGTATTTCAAAAAAACTAAAACTATTGTCGCAAAAGCGATTAAAAACAAGTTAACAAATCAACATATTTTCGTAAGATTGAAGACAAAGAAAATTGTCCAAATAGTCTTTGTCTGACTTTTAACTGTTTTTCTATTTTGTAAAATCATCAATCTTCCATTAAAACCATATTGTGGGAAGTGATCCCAAAAAACTTTGCTGCTAATAAATTCTGTTACAGTAAACTAATAGTAGTCGATATTAAAACTAAAGCTTATTTAAGCACACTATCAATATAAAAAAGAAAGCATTAATTGATATTTTTTGTTTAGTGTTGACAATGCTGAAATGGGAAGAGCACGATGAAGTTCGTTGGAACTCGGTGATAGATGTGTCTTTCTACAACAATACCAAAGCCAACAGATTGTTTCGTTTTGTGACCCGAGGCAAAGGAGTCTTCCCATTAAAGCGAGGATTCAGCTCAGAAGCTTCGATCGATGAGGGAATGCCGAACTTTTCCGACCTTATTTTAGTTGTCCATGGTATTGGACAAAAGGGTTACGAGAATCTGATTGCCAAAAACACAACACAGTAAGTTGACAACCTTATCTTTATAAGGTTGTTCGCAGTTTTACAAGTTTTACTGCAAAGTAGTAGGAAATAATAAGCATTAACAAGATGTGGTTAAAACTAGCCTTTTTAGGATTCGAGAAGTGATTGAGCACCTGATGGACAAGTACCACTCGCACGAGAAAAGACGACCAATGATATTGCCAATTGAATGGAGATCTTCGCTTGTATTAGATAACGGTCTAACAGAGACTATTACATTGCCCAGGATGCCTCAAGTCAGAAGTACATTGAATTCTATTGCTATGGATATTATGTATTACCAGTCGCCGTTGTACCGAACGGAGGTACGTTTTCTGATCATTTTTGTTCAAAGATTGCCTAATAATATATTTTATATTATTATATTGCTGTTTTCAGATCGTAAATGGGGTCATAAAGTGCCTTAATGCAACTTATACAAAGTTTGTGAAGAACAACCCAAATTTTGATGGTGCCGTTTCTCTATTCGCTCACTCTTTGGGTTCAGTTATTGCATACGATATCATTACCAACTACTCTCCTCTTCTGTTATACGATGAGTTTGTGACAAAAGCAATCGAGCACAGAAAGAACGAGACTGAAGAGAGCGAGGAAAAGAAACTCTTCACTGATTTTTATGAATCCAGAAGGCGGATTCTGGAAAAAGATGGACACATGCAAGAGATCCTTCTAAAACGAGATGAAGATCTCAAGTTCAAGGTCAAGAATCTGTTTTGTGTGGGATCACCGTTGGGAGTCTTTATCATAATGAGAGGAGCGTCGGCCGAAGAGTTGTTACCTAAAAAGACACAATGCGAACGTATCTACAACATCTTCCATCCTTACGATCCGGTAGCCTATCGTCTGGAGCCAATGTTCCATGAAAACTACAAGAATATCAGGCCGATCAAACTGTTTACATACAATGAAGTCAACCGAGACTACAGTAAGCTCGGCTACGATTGTCATCGGAGTTATCTGAAGAAGCTGAAGAAACAACAAAAGAAGGAAGCAGCTGCTGCTTCTGGAGAAAAGACGGCCGAATCTGATGAAAAGAGGAAGGAAGCCGACGATGACGATGAAGACTCGGATTCTGGCGACTGTTCTTCCATTCATTCACCAGGTACAGAATTTTAATGTAAAGTTTTTTTTGGCAAAACAAAAGTTTTCTAAAAATATTTTTAACATGAGGGCGCGATTTGCCAGGGCGTTCTGCAGGTTGCGGAGACAAGTTATACCATAAAACGTAGCTTGAAATAAAAATATTAAAAATTATAACATTTATTAAATAAACAGTTTCAAAACCTATTACTGATCACTTCACTCTTCTTTAGACTGTTATTCAGGCCCTTCACCACGCTCTGATAGCCCTGTAGGTCCAGAAGATATGCAAGAAAATATGGGTAATGGGACCAATCCCAATGTAAATACACCTTTGAAAGTCGAAACAACCCAAAGCAGATGGTGGAGGTTTGGAAGTACGGCCGAGAAGAAGCCGAAGGAAGAAGGAGTGAAAGATAAAGAAGAAAAGCCAGAACAGCCAGCAGAAAAGAAGGAAGAGAAAGTAGAAAAGAAAGAAGACAAAGTGGTACTGACTCCTGCTGAACAACTCGCTGAAGGCATACCTAGTAAGTTTTTGTGTTTATTTGGAGATATTCGAAAAAATATGAGGTTTTAGGTAACAAATTGATATATAATACGGGGTTCTTTAGGCTTATCTTTAGTTTTTGTTTATTTTTTCTACCTTTACATACAATAAGACACAGAAAGTTAAATTTGTTGAAAACTTTTTTAATTTAATACTTTTTAGACGACGAGAAAGTGCCTTACCGAATCGACTTTCAACTTCAAACGTCGCTAACTGACAAGAGTTACTGGTCGGTCCTGAAGTCGCACTTCGGCTATTGGACCAACTACGATGTCACTGCCTTTCTGATTAATCAGTTATATCCTCCATCTGTCTCTGAACCATCTCCTAAAGTCTAGTCAAACACTTTTAACGTAATCCTGTAAGTTATTTGCAACTTTACTACGGTGAACTAACGTATTCGGGTCTTGTGGAAATAAACAAAAGCTGTAGATGTTAACTATATATTGCAATAGGCCTTATTTCGTAGCTTTGTATATTTTGTAATTCCGATGACATTAATGTTTATATGGGTACATAACTTTATACCGTTGAATTATATGATTGTATTAACGTTTCTTGAAAATAAATACTATGACATCAAGGTTTAGATTTATGACATTTGGAGTTAGTTTTAAATTAAAATCGAAATAATAAAGTAGTATTAATATAGAGTATGAAACCCCAAAGTATAAGGTAAATTTCCCGAAAACAGGTATTAACTATAGTTTGTGCTGTCAAAAAGGTTGTCATAGTGACACAAACAACTCCAAGGATCTACGAACAAATAAAACAATGTCAGCCTTCGGAAATGTTGGTTAGTAACGCTGTAGCTTCTTCTGATGTTATTTCCACGGTAAATCACATAGATTTAAAATGGCATCCGATCAAGGATATTCTGGCTGTGGCATCGTTTACTGCAAACAAAGGCGGTTACATCAGCTTCACTACCCATAAGGTATGGTTTTTAGAAATGTTACTTTAATTAAAAATATTAAAATTGTGATAAGCTACTAAATCACAACATTTTACATTCAATTAAATATTATTTATAATTATTACTACGTATATAAAATTATTTATCTTCAGGGAGGTGACTCTTTCTTCGACTTACCGGCCAAGCAAGAAGAGAAACCAACTCAATTACTGTGGCATTCTACTGAAGCATTCGTTATTGTAGGATGGGATTCTGGACGGATTCTTTTGGTTGATCCCTTCGAAGAATTCGGTAAGTTTACAAATTTCGATAAATATTTTGTTTTTAGAAAGAGAAATCGAAGGAACTGAACGCTCAACCAGTATAACATGTTTATGTTGGGATTCAGACAATGCCACATTGGTAGCTGGAGATACTGTGAGTTATTTATTGTTTTACCAGAGTTTAACTAACGTTTTATACGATTAAAGTTTATATTTTTAACGTAATATAAGGTTCTTTACCTATTTTACTAATATTTCTGAGCCCTTTTACGTTAAAATTTTAAGACGTTTGCATATTACAGAAAGGAGTAGTGAGTTACTACAGTGGCATCAACACAAACGACAAGCTTGCAATTAGTAAAAGGATTGAGATTGACGAAGGAATTGTGTCGCTAACAGTGAAGCAGCTCAAAAAGTGAGAAGTGAAACTTTTAATTGAGAGTAAAATAATGAAAAATATAATAAAAATCAAAAATTGTCATTTTTAGGACAAAGGAAAGAGTTAACAGTGCACATACCACGGACGAACTGACTGAAATTCTGAGCGTTAACAGACGGAAAATAAAGGTGGGGCTTTTGAGCTAAAGTCTATATTGTCTCTTGAGGTGAAGACTATATTGTCTATGATTGGAAAAATTTCTTTTGTAACAAAAATGCATAATTAAAAATGAATTTAAGGTTTTAAATTTAGGAACAAAACCAAATAGAAGATAGTGAAGCCAATACCTTTAAGAAAGAAGCGGTAGAGACAGTACTAGTTGTGAGTACCAACAAGAACAATCTGTACACTCTAAAGGAAAATGGGGAACAAGCTCTCATTTACACGGTAAGATTTATTTTTTAATAGTATTTTTATCGTATCTTTTTATGTTTTTACATAGTTATAAATTTGTAATTACGGTAGGTTCACATTTTACTGTAGTTTTCTTTTAAAATGTGTCATTATGACATTTTTATCTACAGACAGACAGCCCGGCCAGGAGAGTTTTGCAAATGCGTGACAGACCTTATGTCATCATTTTGACAGAAGGTCTTATGTTCTACCAGATTACATTTGAAAATACTGCAGTAAAGGACAAAATCAAAGTAAAGATTAGAAATAATTTTTTTGGTATTATTTATAATGTTTTTATTTAAATTTATGTTTCAAAGTTGTTAAAAGGGTACTGTTTTTAGGTGAAACTTTCTGGTCGTCGAGAGTACTTTGATGCCATTTCTGTAGACTCGGATACTGTAGCCATCTGTTACGGTGACAGAGAGATTAGAGTTTGGAATCTACAATCAGAAGATAGTGCGGTTTATAGACTGGATCAAGACAAAGGATATCAAGGGACAGAAAATATTGTGGCTTTGAGTTACTGTAACAGACGGAGTAAGTTTACTATTGCAAGCATAAATACGAAACTATCTTTATTACGTGTCTTTGCTATGATTGTTGTACCTAATAGGACAGTGAGTAAACTGTAGTTTCAACTATAAATGCCGTTCTAGATTACATATCTGGTGGAACCTTAAACGGTAAAGTGGCCATGTGGAAGCGACACAAAGAAACCTTCGAAATACCGGTCGATCAGCAATGGAGACTTCAGTCTGCTCTAGTTGTAAATATGAAAGTGGGTTTACAGGTTTTATCTTTTATATAAATTAAAGTTTACTTTGTTTTCAAAGACATACTTTCAAGGTAGTGTCAATGGCATGGTCACATCTCACACCAACACTGGCACTCAACTCTGGGGATTCTATCGAGATCTTTCGAACACAAGGTGTTGAGTATCATGTTCACAAGGATGTAAGTAATCAGCATTATTTTAAAAAAGTTGTTCAAATAGTTCTGTGCCTCTACTCAAAGAAAATTTTTGGAGGCACAGAATTAAGTGAAAAATATAATAGAAATGTCTTCTTATTGTTTTTAAACTTAATTTTATTAAAATTATAGTACGCAGTCGTGCAATCCAGTCCACAGATCGTATCTTTTGTGAAGATCACCGAGCCTATCGAGACTCAAGAAGTCCAGTTTTCTCACACAATCAAAGGCTTCAAGCTGAATGGAAGTAATCTGATTACGTGGGATGACAATCAGGTAAAATAACTTTCATACCTAAAATAAGCGATAAAAACAAGGTTGTTAACAAAAACTGCTTACTCTGTAGCCATAGAATTACAAATAAATTTACGAAAATTGTTTCAAAAGCTTATCAGTACAATTGCTTTATAGGTATACGTGAATGAGATAATAGACGCAGAAGATGCGCCAATTGAACTGAACCAAGTGTCTCAACTGAATGCGTCAGTGAAAGCAGCCAATTGTTACAATCAACAGTTGTATTCGATTGAGAATGGCGCATTATGCATCAGAACGTTCCAAGGCACGTTGAAGAAGATCGTGACTTTTCGAGAAGTAGAAGGTGAAGTTCAGATACTGGATATGAATGCCAAGTGGTTGTGTGTGGGGTCAAGTCAGGCTTACATTAGAGTGTATAACATGGATGATAGGTATTTTTATGTTGTTATAATAACAGATTAATTGAAATTTATTTTTAAATCATACTGTAACCTTTCTATTAATGTTACGCCATTTCAGTAGCCTAAAACAAATGTACCAGTCGAACCAGTTGAGTCTGAATATTGAGGACTTTGATCGGTTTGACAGTATCAAGATCAACAATGCTGGCAACAAAGTGAGTATTACTATGAAGCGGAAAGATACCACGGACGAACGTATCTTCATATGGGATGCCGAGTCTGATATACTGGGGTACTTTTCATTTCCCGATGGGCTTTCTGATACTCAACAGTACGAGAGCAAGTTGGAAGAGAACCAACCGGCTGATGGACGACCGAAAACGGCTGCTGCCAAGTAAGCTTGTTACTGTAACTTTTCTATAATTGTTTGTTGCTGTTATATATTGTTTTTGTTAGGGGGTGGGATGAAAAAGATTTTAAGATATTTTGACGTACTGTAATGTTGGTTATTTAATCTACTTCACTTTAGACGTATCGAAAAGTATCAGAGTAGATACAGATTGCCAGGTTACTATCCTGGAGTACATTACTGGGACGTGAACGATCCTCGATTTTTTGTCTGTGAAGCTGTAAGGATTGATTCTGATGAGGTATGTGATGAGCTGTACTTCAGTCAATAGTATGATACAATTTTTATCTTAATTCAAGCTTTAATAGTGCTTGAAGTGGCAGAATCTTGCTTCGATAAAATGTAATAAACCTATTTTAGTCGCAAAACATGTTACTCACCCTTTTTGTGACTTCTGAATACGGTATTCAAATCAACGACATTCAACAAAAGTCAGTTAAGGCCGACCAGCTAATGTATATGAACGTACCCTACCTCTACTTCCTCAAAAATGTAAGGACTTGTAAAATACGTCTTTTTTCAATGTTACTGTTTTTTGTAATCTTACCAAAATCTTACTTTTCCAGGTAGAAGTAGACGAAGAAGATGATATTGCAGTAGAAAGAAGTGTTTCTCGGTTGATAATAAGACGAACATTACGAGAGTTCATCGGCATAGAAGCTGACAACAAGTCAGCAGTAGAAGCCATGTTGAACTTCAGCTATTACCTATGTGCAGAACAAATGGACAATGCCTTCAAAGCCATCAAGTTCATTAAAAGTGACTCAGTCTGGGATCATATGGCTAGGACCTGTGTCAAGACCAGACGAATGGATGTAGCCATCGTATGTTTGGGACACATGAAGAAGGCCAGAAGTGTCAAAGCATTAAAAGAAGCCATCGCTAGGAATGAGAGTACCGAGTTACAGGCAGCCGTCTTGGCCATCGAGTTGGACATGATCGTATGTTTGGCTTTTAAGCAGTTATATTGTGTTAGTTAACATGCTTTCTTGGATCTTTTTAAATTTACAACGCTAATATGGACTGATGACTTACTATAATATGGTGATATCTTTTACAGCACTTTTATTCCAGGAAGAAGCGGTTAACATATACCTAAAGACCGATAGATACGATCTACTTAACAAATTATACCAAGCCCAGAATAAGTGGAATGAAGCCTTTGAAGTAGCTTCCAAACATGATCGTATTCACTTGAGAAACACTCATTACAACTACGCGTGTTATCTCGAGAGTATCGGCGAGATTGAACAAGCTATAGAGAAGTTAGTCGGAATTTAATATGTATATCAAAGTTTAACATTACATATTATATTGTAATATAAATCGTACAGGTCCTGAACAAATTCATAACCGTATGTTTTAGCTACGAAAAGTCCCAAACTCATCATTCTGAAGTGCCAAGAATGCTATGCGAAGAGCCAAAAGCAGTCGATTTGTACATCAAACGGAAAAGGGAACGGTAAGCTATAGTACTAAGGTAAATTAGGTACAAGAAGAACGTACTCTTTCACTTTTTTAAGTATCATAGAATAGATTAGTCTTTATGTGCTTATAAAGTAAGGCTAAAAGTAAAAATGCATTTTCAGAGAGCTTTACTTATGGTGGGCAAGGTATTTGGAAAGTGTAAGTGACTTGGAAGGCGCCAGAAACTACTACAAGTATGCAAATGAGCACGTTTCGGTTGTACGAATCTACTGCTATCATGACAGACTTGCTGAAGTAAGTTATCAAGGGAGAGTTACTACAGTTTTTAGTTAGGGGCATGCCAATTCTTTTTGTCTCATAGATGGGCTGATAATTGAAGAGACGGGATTTCTGAAAAATAATAATCAGATCCTAATTCAATTATCTTAAGGCAGTTGAGACAGTGAACAAAACAGATGATAGAGCTGCCGCTTTTCATCTTGCCAGGTATTACGAGTCCAAAGGTGATGTCGAAAATGCTGTAAAATACTTTGGTAAAGCTTGTAGCTTCAACAGTGCCATCAGATTGGCCAAGGAGAACGGACTAAATGATCAGTTGTCTAGCTTTGCTTTGAATGCGGGAGAGAATGAACAAATAGACACGGCCAAGTATTACGAACAACAACCTGGCCATGTTGACAAGGCTGTTATGCTCTACCACAAAGTAAGTGATTGATAATTTTTTTTCAAATTAAACGTATCAAAACTGTATTGATCCACATAACACTAAAGTAATACAAACACAATTACAGGCCGGACAAGTTGGCAAAGCCCTAGACTTGGCCTTCCGAACAGAACAGATCAGTGCTCTCGACCCGATAATTCGGGATTTAGGACCAAACTCCGATCCAAATGTCCTAGAAAGAGCGGCACACTTCTTTGCCCAGAATCAACGAGAAAATGAAGCAGTTCAACTTCTAGTCTACGCCAAAAAGTTCCAAGAAGCAGTCGAACTTTGCTTGGAAGCAAACGTTATCATCGACGAAAACCTGGCCGAAATTCTAACTCCACCAAGAACAGGTAGGTATCATTTATAATTGCATATAATCATGGTAATGATTTCAATTATCATGTGCTTCATCTTTAGATGCAAATAGAAAAGAGCTACTAACGGAATTGGCCAAGGTTTGCATGCAACAAGGAAACTATCATTATGCGGCTAAAAAGTACACTCAAGCTGGACGAAAAGTGGATGTAAGTTACAGAAATATACTGATAAAATGGTCAATGGTTTAAATCAACAATATCTTTCTAGACTTCTTATCCTGGGCAATCGAATCAACTTGAAACCCATTACTTTTAGGCGATGAAGGCTCTACTCCGTTCAGGGGATACCCCAAAGATAATATTATATGCAAACACGGCCAAAAACAAGGAGATATACCGCATGGTCGGAAACTATCTTCAAAGTTTGGAATGGAAGGAAGACGCGACATTAATGAGACAGATCGAGAACTTTTACATAAAAGCCAATGCCATGGATTCACTGGCTTCATTCTACGACTCATGTGGCCAAGTTGAAGTAGATGACTACAGAGATTACGACAAAGCTATAACTGCTTACAATGAAGCCGTACGATGCTGGAATAAGAAAGAAGAGCGAGATGGAGAACTGGAAGAAAAAGAAGGCAACATGAGGAGCAATATCAAAAATAAAATCACCAGAATTAAGGCTTTCCTCGAAGCCAAATCGTAGGTTTTACTATAATATAAATCAATATACTTGTAATAATATAAACTGTGATTATATATATAAGTGTCTGTTGATAAGATTAACTAACTTTAAAAACAAGAACAGCCTAAAACCAGCAAACTACTTTCAGAATGTACGAAAAAGACCCTGGAGAAGCGCTAAAAAGACTTTCGGAAATGTGTGATCAACCCAACATAGACAACCACGTCAGACTAGGTGATATATACGGCCTACTGGTAGCTCATAATGTAAAGCGGGAAAATTGGAAGAAAGCCTATCAGTTGGTACAACAATATCAAACAAAGCATGCGGCTCGAGACATCTCCGAGTACTTAAACACTTCTGTTCTCGACGAAATCTGCAATAAAAATGGAGCACCACGCTTCAAGAAGTACGAAGAAAAGAATGACGACTTTGGGGACACTATAGAATACAGTCACGCTATGAGAAGGAGAATTTCCAACGGTACCGACGAGTTATCCGACTAAAACGAGGTTATCTATATTATATTTATACAAATAAAGACTTTTATCATAACATATAAGAATAGTATAGACCAAGATAACTTTTCGCTATTTTTAAAACTATTCTTATACATTTTTTTGTCGGCTTCAGATTAGTACTGTATAGTTTTTGAAGAGTCCCACAACGAAAACAATGTATGCTAAAACGGAATGCCATGAATATATTTTTTTCTTGATAAAAAAATAAAATGGGAAAAAACAAAATAACTAAACTGTTATCTGCACTAACTATGCAGGCACACAGATCGGGTGTTTTTAAACAAGTTCACAAAGCACACCGAGTTGGTAGACATCGTACGAAGCGAGCGATTCACAGAGATGTAAAAGGTATGCGGTTTTTATTTGATATTTGATTGTTTAGGTAAAAAGATCACCAAAAGAGCGAGTGGACCTGGTGGAAAATTGGCTAGAGTCATTTCCAATGTTGATAGGAAGAATCAGAGGAAACAATGGAGGGAATTGAAGAACAAGATGCTACAACAACAAGCTCAATTAGAAGGTGGACCTAACAGAGCTCCCCAAATGGTCACTGTTTTGTGTTTGGACGAAGAATTGCTGGCTACTGAGATTGTGGACAAACTGGTGAAGGTTGATGAGGAAGCCCAAGTGTTTAGAAGCGATCGTGCAGGCGTTACCTACTTGAACATACCAAGATTCAAGTCTCGTTTCGGATTTTTATGTCCGAACCCAAAGATATTGGAGAGTTTATTGGACGCGATGAAGGTATCTGACGCTATGATGATTGTTTGGCCTACAGATGGGGAATTGAGCGACGAGCAGACTGAACTTTTGGATATTGTTTTAGCTCACGGAACTCCAGCATTGGTTCATGTTGTCGCTGGTATGCCGCCATCAGGCAAACAGCGGGAAGCTTTGAGGAAAAATTTGGAAAAGAAGATTGACAGATGGTAAAATATTCTAACATTGCTTTTCAAACTAATTATTTGCTATTACTAAAATAATTAAAAATATCACTTTAGGGTATCTACGAAGAGAGGTATCTCGTTCTTGGACACAGATGCCAACAGTTTGGTTCTTCTCAGACATCTGTCAACTTTGAAAAAGAAAACTCATCAGACTAGACGGCCTTTTATTTTGATTGAACAAGCTGAGATGGTAGACAACAAAGGTGGTATTGGAACGCTGAAGGTGACAGGTTATGTTAGAGGACCACCTTTGAATGTCAATAGATTAGTACATATTCAAGGATGGGGCGATTTCCAGTTGGAGAAGATTGTTGATGGCAGAGATCCAAGGTCTTTAAAAAGACGAGTGGTAAGTTTGTTAATTTTGGGCACTATGTAAATAATACTATGTGTATGTTTTAGGTAATAAACATGCAATAACAAAAATAATGACAATTTCAGTACAACACGGAAGAGACAGATGTTATTGCTGTAGCAGATCAAAACGAGTTGGAATCTTTACAATCAGAAGTCATTCCAGACCCAATGGATACAGAACAGCCAGATGTTGATGAAGGACCTCAATTTGATGGTGTTTGTAAGTTACTTTGAAATATTTTTAGGCATCCTTTAAAACACTTTTTTTATAAAAGTCGAGCAACGGTTCAATACAGATTTTAATTTGAAAACTTTTGAACAAGTTTGAATTTTCACGTAGCCACTGTGTTTCACTCTTATAAAAAACGTGTTTTAAATAAAGTTGTATTAATCTTCTTGTTTAAAAGTTACTTGTTTTGTAATATCAAAAACGAACTTTTCTAGTCAAAGTACCAAAACTGAAGAAGAAGGTACCAGCTGGAATGTCAGAGTACCAAGCGTCGTGGATCGTAGACAATGATGAGTTTAACGATGACTCTGATGGTGCTGAAGATGAGGAGGACTTTGAGGGTGAAGAGGAAGATAGTGAAGATGAAGATTATCTGGAGAGAGACATGAATCCGATGGAGGAAGAAGAGGAGGACGACGCCATGAGTATAGGTTCCGCTATGAATGAGACGATATCTATAGCTGGCATTGAGGACAGAGCAGCTGATGAGGACGAGGTCAGAAAGTTCAGGGAAGAGAACGAGGACAAACAATGGCCAGATCAAGTGGAATGTCCTATTGATCAACAAGCGCGGGTCCGGTTTCAGAAGTACAGAGGATTGAAGAGTTTTAGGTATGAAATTTAATATTTTTAGCGTTTATAAAGACTTTAAAGCAAGAATGTTTTAAATTTTTAATTTAGGACATCTCCATGGGACGAGAGGGAGAACTTGCCAATAGATTACGCTAGAATCTTCAAGTTTGCTTCATTTTCGAGAACGAAGAGACTTGTTATCAAAGAACAACAAGCTGATTATACTGAAGAAAAGGCATCTCAAGTGGCCAAAACTGGTGTATATGTTACAGTATATGTCAAGAATGTACCTGCTCATATCTTGAGTATGTTTTTTGTTTTTTAATTGGTTTTAGGTATCAATTTTTATTTTTTAAAGAATTTTTTAGTGATGTTTTATGGTTTATAGTGTATAATACTTGTATTTTAGACGACATTGATCCCAGATATCCGCTAGCATTGTACGGTCTTCTGAAGCACGAACAGAAGTTCTCCGTGATGAATGTGGTTCTGAGGAAATATAATGGATACACAGCTCCCGTTAAGAACAAGGAGACTTTGGTATTCCATGTTGGGCCAAGAAGGTTTGCGGTCGATCCCATTTTCTCACAACATTCAACTGGAGACAAGTATAAGGTACGTTATCTTGGTGCATTGGTCTTGATATTTTTAGTATTGTAATGTTTTGCATTTTGTAAGTTTTTTTATTTTCAGATGGAAAGGTTTATGCCAGAGGGCACACCGTTTGTTGCCAGTTACTATGGCCCAGTGACGTTCGGACCTTGTCCAGTGTTAGTGTTCAAACGAGATATGGAAGGAAACGAGACCTTTGTAGCTTATGGAAGTGTACTGAACGCTAATCCAGACAGAATTGTGCTGAAGAGAATCGTACTATCAGGACATCCTTACAAGATCACCAAGAGGTCTGCCGTCGTCAGATTCATGTTCTTCAATAAAGGTAAGTTATTTTTTTTATTGTGATATCATCAAGACATAGGAGTGTCTAATTGTAGAGTTATTCACTGATGAATTAATGTAAACTTAAAATAATATTGTATAGCTTACTCAATATTTATTTACAGAGGACATTGACTGGTTCAAACCTGTCGAACTCTATACAGACAACGGTCATCGTGGTCATATCAAGGATTCTATTGGTACACACGGCTTGATGAAGTGTGTGTTCAACACTCCTTTGGGAAAACAAGATGCAGTCAAGATGAACTTGTTCAAGAGAGTGTTCCCTAGATGGACCTTCACTCCTTACTTTGTTCAACGACAGAATCTGGCACCAGTCGTGGAAGATACGGCGAATTGGGTGGAAGAATCTAAGGACGTGGAGATGGAGTGAAGATACGATGATATTCATGTTATTGCTGTTTGACTTTCTTGTTATTGTTGATTAGTAAATTGTTAAATTTTTGTTTTTATCGTTATATTAACTACGTTTTTATCGTTTTTACTTAAATTTAAATATTTTTTTTGCTTTAAACTTCAAAGAGTAAGTAAAGTAATTTTGTAGTCGAATGGACTATCTTCAAACAGATGAAAGAGCAAAGAAACTTGAGTTGAGTAACATAAGAGATGTATTGGAATCACAGAATACTTTCGCAACTAACGTGGTTGTCGTAACGGATGAGAAGGACTATGTGAAGTGCAGTATACCACAATGCTCAACTATAAATGCACCTTTAAAAAGTGGGAACGATATGGTGGACAAATGTGTCTACATCTTCTTGACTTTGTCTAAAGAAGTCGAGAAGTTAGGATCAGAAGCCAGAGGACGATTTTATAACGGACTGTTGTTGTACGAAGACGGATGTAAGTGAAATATATATTGTTTCAGTGAAAAATGTGGCTTAAAAGGTTGTTTTATAAGTTGAAAGTAATGGGTTTACATAGAAGTGTTATGTCTGATATTGACATTCGATGTTTTAGGCGATGAGAAGTCACAAACCGAGATAATTGAACTTATGACGACTTATTTTCCATTTTTACATGACTTGACAAATTTTGTAGTACGAGTAAAGGAAGTTGCATCTACTATTATCACGCAGTTGTACATGTTCTTTCAATTGAAGTAAGTTTTAAAAAAATTTTTTTAATATTAAGTAATCTTGCTTTTTAAGATCTAATACAATTTGATCAGTACTATAATCTTTATATTCAGAGATAACCTGCTAGCTAAAGCGAAGGAGAGACCAATGTGGAGATTGTGGCGATGTCTGGGAGATGCTCTAGTTATATTGGCTACAATACAAGAGATTTTGGAGCACAAACCTGTAATATACGATCATTTTAAAGAGTATCGAGACTCCATAACAATTGTAGCTCAGAATCCAGGACAATTTGAGTTGAATTCAGAGAGAGATCGGCTACAGTTACTTGTTGACTTGACTGGCATTGTGGAACAAGAACTCTTCAGTGATCTGATACTGAAAGTAAGTTGTTTTACTTTTGTTATACATGTTATAAATAAAAATTTTTTAAATTTATTAAAATATAGATTAAAAGATTTTCTGTTTTATTTTTGATGAAAATGTCATAATCACTATCTTGTTTTAGTCGTTCTGTGAGTCGAACATTGATGGAATTTTCTCGAAGAACAAACAGTTTCTGGAACGATTCAGGACCATTATCAGTGATTCCTTGTACAAATGGGACCAAGTGGCTCAAACTGACTTTCCTGATCGACAATGTCTGATCGTACTGTGCAACCTGACTGTCTTCTACTCGCATCTAACACACAGTAATCCAGATAAGAAGCTGATTAAGCAGATATCTACAACTCAACGTCGCCTGATAGGCTTCCATCTTGTTGGTGACATCATCTTTATGCCTTTGATGTTTCTAAATAGTAATCTACATTCATCATCAGTCAGACATCTGGTTACACCATCGTTGGACGAAGCCACGAATCTGATGTTGACTCAACAATCAGAACAACTTCAGCGAGAGACTCAGCTGGCTACAGAGATTGTGAACGAGTGGAAGGCCGAGACAAGGAATGTCATCAAGGATTCAGGGAGCGGTTTAGGTAATGGAACTGCCAACCAGCTGACAGTTCTCAGGCTTAATGCTGTGTTAAAGGGAGCTAGACTGGCTGACAGAGTGGGTCGACTGGTCAAGTGCATTCTGAATGCTCATCTCTTCAAAGATCGACCAATTTCTCGGTCGAATGCCTTGTACCTATTCAAGTTGATAGAGATCATGAAGACGGTCAAATTCACGATGACATATTATTGGAACGACGTCATTGAGTGGATTCAACAAGCAAAACAATATTGGAGTAAGAGTTTTGTCAGAATCATTGAAGGAATCAGAAGTGTGATGGGTAACAGTAGTAAGAACGATCCCTACTACCTTGATGTGTTGTCGTCTTTACAACTGGCATCGTTGTATGTCAGTAACTCAACATCGAAACAAGCTTTGATGGCTTCTGGGATGGCTTTGGATATGGCGAACTATTTGGTATGTTTTGTATACGTCGTATAACGATAAGTCGTTGGTTTTAACTTTTTTGTGCATAATAATTTTTAAATGTTATATGCTTATACCTTACTTTTGTAGAAGAACTTGCGTAATTCTGAGATCTTGGAAGTAGATGAGATCATGGTACGATTGGATTCAATTTGTAACATTGAGGATATACTCGATCGTGTTACCGGCTGCTCTTTTCTTTACTTCCATAGAGAATTGACCAGTATTTACCTGGAGGCGTTGATCACAATGGATTTGAATGTTGATGGAGTTAAGGTAAGGTTAGAGGTTGGATGATATGTTGTTTTAGAAGTTTTTTGACGCCTTGGGAGATTCCATGGATGTTATGAAGGACTGCAGACACAAACCGGTTGATAAACTAGTCGATGAGTTTAGAAACGGCGTTTTTGCTTTGGTCGATGAAGTGAGTATTGTTATTTGGGGTCATAACGATCTATTTTGGGCTTTGCTTTAGGTTTATTAAGGGCGTAATTGAAACAGGCTTAAGCTTTGTTTCACTTTTTAAATGAATGCACTTTTAAGACTTTGGTAGAGAAGTTGTCTACAATGATTGAGAACGATCTCCGAGTCCTGGCCCATTCACGGCAGAACATTGACGAAGACTTCATCGAAACAGAAGTCTTCAAGACCAAGAAGGCGAAGAACGTCTACCTTTTCGAGAATCAAGAAAAATTCCAAAGGATTCGAGAGTTGATAGAAATGGAGCCATTGGTACTGTGTGGTCGACAGCTTCATTTGAAAGAGAAGGTGGAGCACAGTATCCAGAAGGTCTTCTACGAGCTTACTGTGGTGGCGCTCCACGATTCAGAAACCTATGCTCAGATGAGGCTACTGGCTAAGAAGAGGTACAACCTGCAGCTACTGGACAGCTACCTTCCTCACATGGTGATCGACCAGGGATTGGACATATTGAAAGTGGCAGCGAGTTTGGACAGTTTTGTTGAGAATTACTGCTACGATCTGAAAGAACATGTAAGTTGGAGGTATTATAGTGGCTTCTTTATGGTGTTACAGTATACCTTGTATTCAAAACATAATGATGAAGTATTTTTTGAGTTTAAAAATAACATGTTATACATGGAATCTAAATTATATTACAATTTGTAAGTGTCACATTCTGGGTATTGCTTCAAATTTACATTGTAGTTAATAGTAGTAGAAAGCTGCTTTGTTATGATAGTGAACTACCTTACATTCAACTACCATTACACATCAAGTAATTGCTTTTCCAATACAAAGCAGTCGATATTAATAGTCTTTTTGTTTGAAATGACATTATGAAATGCAGTTATTAGCAAGATGTACAATTACTTTGGCTGTTTATAGAAACATATACTATACTCTTTATATACAAAGACGTAACGTAGGAATCAAGATATAAAAATAAATAGCTTTACAAAGTAACATATACATCACTATAAGGTATAGTATGAAGCAATACGAAACATATAAGACAATATATTAGCTAATAAAAGCCCATGTAATTCCTGGTATTGCAGGCGTTTTACGAGAAAAAGTCGGCGACAAAGATGTTGAATGTGATGCGAGTGGAGAACGTGGTATCGTCGATTAAAACCCGCGGCATGGGGGTTGTTCACAATACGGTAGGGATTAGGCCAGATTAAGGGTGATCTTTGTGTTTGTAGTTGAATGTTGCCTATACTTTGCTCAAGAAGAAACTCAAACTACTGTCCCAGTTGATGTTCACCGAACAGATCAAGTTGCAGTTAGTCAAAGACATACGACATTACAGGGACAACATAGACGAGCTCGATCAAATGGTAATTTTTAGTTATATTGGGAGTTTAAAGGAGTTACATAGAAATTATACTATGGGGATTGCGGTTATAGTAGAAAGGTAATAGTTGTTTTAAATGAATCACATTCAAGATAATATGTGTTACAGTACCCAGTGCGAAGAGCCGAGAAGTTCAACGCCTCGGTAGGCAAACTTGGCACAGCTCCAAATGGCAGAACATACCTAGATGCATTCAGACAAGTATTAATCGAAATTGGGAATACGCTAGGCTTTGTTCGTATGTTACAGTCAGCTATACTGAGTGTCAATTGTTTTACTGCCGAGTTCGATGGTACTGATGACGACGAGACTGTGGCTGGGCCTAGTAATCCCTTGATTACATTCTACGATTGCCTCAGTAATGCGATGACACCTTTTCTGAAGGAAAGTGACTACATTCAGGTATGGATACGTATATTCACGTATTTATAACATAATATAGTTATATTCACGTATCACATCATAGCATCATTCAAAGTACTCAAGGATAATTTGTCAGTTGGGTGATATTGTAGCCAGAAGCTTACACTTTGTTATTGCATATCTTGGTACAAAAAACAAGTTTGTATCCTGCTTTTTTGTGCCATAATGTAATAAGGTCCTTCTTTGGTAATATTGTAGGATATCTTCAACTACAATTGACTTTTTATTATGTTATTGCAAGTTGTGAAACCTAATGTGTAAACATTGTGCCACTTCAGCTGATGTGTCAAGTGTTCTCCAAAGAGTTGAGGAACATGGACCGCTTCTCTCACCTCCGCAACCTGTTCATCTTGATCCCGCCCTTGAGTATCAACTACGTCGAGTACCTCTTCTCATCCAAAACAAGGTCCTTGAAGACCAATGCTCCTGACCATGAGCTGATCTTTGTGGAAGACGGCTTTCCGATGGGTGTAGCCTTTGTGATGTCATTGCTGAATCAAGATTACTTCTTTGATTCGCTGAACTGGTTTGACTCAGTAAAGAACAACCTGAATGGAGCTACTCAGAATACACAGAAAGAAGAGCAGAATGCTCTCAAAAACAAGGATAACTTCTTTGCTCAGACCTTGGCCATCAGGTTGGCCAGGTTTCAAGAGATCGACGCTGAGTTCGACTACTTAAAGTACAATTTACAGTCGGCCAGGATGTTGTTCAAATCTAGTCAGGCGAATGAGAGTGATGATGAGCATTTTCTAGAAGATGCTGACTTCTAAAGTTACAGTAGTTTACTTTAGGCACTGTAAAAGGTCTATTTGGGTATACAATTTTAAAAATATTTGGTCGAAAAGTTTGTAGAAATTAATTTTTCTGGATAAAAAGAAGGAAAAACCTTTAAAAAAGTGATTTCTATGGACTTTTTGACCAGTTTAGTAATTCATATCATATTTTTAATAATTATCTTTACGGTTACAGTAAATTGAATTTGTGATACTGTATATTGTTATTTTTGTAACATTCCGTACCTTCATATGTCATTATCTTTACTATGATCATTGTATATTGTTTACCGTAGCTATCATAGCCAGTTAACTTGATGTGTACTTACGTTCGCTTTCGTAATTCCATTCGTATTTATTGTTGTTGGGGCATGGGGGAAGATACGTCATTACCGCGCGTCTTTTGCATTAATTAATCTATGATAGTAGCAATAAAATATGACTGCTCGTACTATTTTAATTAAAATATTACACTTTGAGTGTATTTTGGTGTTATTCTGCTGTGCAGGGTTTCGTAGGAAGGGGTCATATCGCTTACAATGACATTTTATTAAGCATGATATACCATAGTTACTAAAGACTTATTGAGAGTAAGATGGTATACTATTAGGTTTTTCAAATAATTCTGTTCTTACTAAACCCGCAAATTTTCTTTGAGAGGGGGCACAGAATTATTTGAACAACCTAATATATTGAGTTTTTTTATTATACTGGCTCTACAGGTTACATATAGGAGATTTATAAAAATTTTACTGCATAGTAAATGTGTATACTTTCATTCTCTATAGATTATACATACAATTATATAATATACATGTAGTATAAATACATGTCCAAATGATTTTAAATTGTTTCGCACATTTACAATGTCAACATGTTGTACTATGTGTTGATACGACTGTACACAACTATTTTTACTGCACGGTAACCTTTGCTGTGTCTAATATCTCTTTGGAAATACATGTCTTATTGTTGTGCCAATATGATCGACTACATCATACATTTGATATCATAGTAGGTCTTTAAACGGCTGCCGTCATTAATCTCGGCAGTTTATTGTCCTCCACATTAGAGCCGGTTATGATATACAGTGGTGGTGTTATACTATGGTTAATGTATACAATGGTTAGTGTACACCATGGTTAAATATACCGTGGATAAGGTACACCATGGTACATGTATACCATGGATAAAGTACACCTTACTTATGGTATAGAGACGATACGACGGCAGACAAATGGCCATGTTTTACTCTGTAATCATTCTTGTTTTATGGTAATTATACCATAAATCTTTACATTGTGTTTTTATCGTATGATTGATTATATGTTGTAGGTATAGGGACTTATGTTTGATTACATGTTGTAGTTATATGTGTCGGTATAACACCTACCTATACGATATAATTAGAGAAGATACGTCGTATTAAGCGGAAGTCAACCCCATATCCACGTGTTTGGTACGGTTTATTGTCTATTTACGTTGTAATAGCCCGACATACGTAAGGTACAGTGTAATTTAAAGTGTTCTACAATGTCATTATGGTGATACCATGTAACTAGAGCGGTATACAATGTAATTTTAAGGAAGATACGATGTAATTCTGTGAACTTTAGTATGTTGTTATACCATTTAAGCAGGTAATTGTAAGTGGCTGAGTGATGCTTTGTAATGAACACTATAAGTAAATAGACCTACACTTCACGGTAATTTAAATGTTTGCTTTACTTCTCGGTTCATCCGACGATTACAGGGTTTTGTAAAGAATTGTATGTTAAGTGTACCACAATGATATGATTATATTACTTGATAACATTGTGATTATACGATGTAATGTAGTGTTGTTTACACGACACTGTAGTAATGATCATGTTACGATATAGTATAGTTGTACCTTGGTTAACATGTGTATATATGAAAGTTTATCATCATGAAAAGCTCAGACATCCATCTCTTACCCACGGTAAATATGCAAGATGATCTCATGACGTTTCGTCTCGTACTCAGTATACTACCTAAGTCTTTCCATATATATGTGTTAATGTATTCGTATCTTACTATCAACCTCAATATCCTTTTCGTATCTTTTCTAAAATAGGCTGTTGGTTAGTTCGTTACTCCGTCGTATCTTATTTTAAAGATATATTCTTACTGTGGTACCTTGACTATCTTCATGGCATCTTAATATCAACAACAAACCCTTCTGAACCCACTTATTGCTCGTATAATCACCTTTATTAGCCATATGTATCTTTAATGCCATTAAAAATCGTATGTTGTAATTGCTGCATGATACTGTGGCCGAGAGTGGGCGTGGCTTCGTATGTAACGTGCAAATTTGTACTAAATATATGAATATAATGCTTAATCTGCTAAGATAACATCGGATACCAGGTCAATACATGCTCTGATATTACTAGTTTCCTGTCTTTGGAGCTTTACTACGGTAAATCCAGTTGAGTATATGTTTATGATATCTTGTTGTTTACATTATATACATATGTGTATGCAAATGTGCCATGTATTACACTCATTGTGTATGTTTTTGAATATTTAAGTTATGTATATGTTGTGGTTAACATGTGATGTCATTTTATGTTTATCTTACTTGACTTACCAAGTTTAAATAGTATTTATTGAGGTTTGTGTACATGTAAACGATACCCATAAACGTAACGTATATATATTTAGCTTTGTGTACATACAATATGAGTCTTGTGGTGTTGATGTATTTGGCTACAGACAATGCTATGTTTGTTGACTGTATATACATTGTGTGATTAAGATACGATTTGAGGATGTGTTGTCTTTTAAACTCTTAGTATGTAATTATAACCGGTGTACATTACTTGTAATGTATGTATGTTATCTATACTAGACCTTATCTATAATAGACCACGCCCCTTTTCTTTGTAGCCAAGCAATTACCGTGGTAAACCGCCATACATTACAATTAAGTCTCCGTCGTATGTTTGTTTTACTCCAAGGTAAGAGTACTTACCTCAAGGTTAAGCATTGAACTTACATCTTACTTTACAGTAAAGTATCGTACATACTTTGAAGTAAAAAGTATCGTACTTTGGGGTTAACGCTCGGTAATTATGAATTGTGCGAGCTGATGTAGTCATATATGATACGTGTAGTTGTGATATTTGATGTGTAACATTACATTTACCGTTCTGTAGTGTACGTTTTGTAATATAGGATGTGTAATATGCCATTTTTTACCTAGTATGTAATATTTGATACGTTTTTGACATTACTTTATATATTATATACCTTGTTACTTTACTATTATATGAACTTTAACAAAAGATGACATGTCATATACATATATTAATATCTATGTTATGACATACATATGTGCATCTATATGTATAATATACATATGATATTACATATATATGCATCTTCTATATATATTATGTATACATGATATGATCTACCTTGTATGTCAGAAAGGTACCATTCTGTCAATCTGCCCATTGTCAGTATATAAATATGATAGACATATCTTCGTGCCGTGAAATCGACTATTCATATATATTATATGAATGTGAACCTTCGTATGAATCGCTAATATTCGGGTTTGCGTCCTTTTACCGTGGTATAAGTAAATGTTTGCAGACATGTCTTGGGTCTTGTGGGTCATGTTTATGATGACTACCGTACTCGCTGTGCCATTATATTCGCTACAGAGTAAGTTTATATCTTTTATTTTTATTGTGTGCTTTATTTCTACTGTGAGGTTGCAGTATACTGTAACATAGTAATGTCAAACATGTAAAATTACTGTCTTTCCACTTTACGACAACTTTTGCCTATATTATGTTTCATTTTACAATCCGAACATAGCATTACTCTGTTCTTTGTCATTCTGTCACAAGACGGTCGTATCTTCATTCGTCTTCGTATAACGCCAGAATATTTGGGCTTTTAAAGAACATAGAACAAGATACGATCCCAAACATATGTTTCTGACATTAAAGTGCATGCTGTCATTAGCATGTTTACATGGATGTAAGTGCATGTAAATATAATATATCCGGATGTAATTAGCTGAAGATAACTGTGACTTTACTGACTCTAACATACGATGTTGACCCAGCAATAATATACCCTGTAACATCCGTAAAAGTATTGTGCCATGGATGCGGATGTTTACTGCAAGGTATTGTCGTTGTACCAATGGGTACATGTACATTAACTTTTACTCAGTAAACATACCGGAACACACCCTTAGAACATACCACGCAGCCGTGGTGTTCCTTGTGACACATAATAATTAAACTCGCACAGTAATTACCGTGGTAAGTTGTGATTCTCACTACCGGGACTGTCGTATTAACAAACATGTTCGTATGTGAGCGTTTCGTAACCGAATACGTGACATATCACAAGTTGTGCCAGCAAGATACATAATGATAGGATTACAGATATCGTATGTTGAAAACTAATAGGATTACTACCGCTTTGTTATCCTTACTTTGCAAAAACATACCATCATAGGGTTTCGCGAATACGATAGAAGCTTACGGTATAATCTTACTGTAATTACTTAAAGTATTCTATTGCAAGTTTCTAGATATGATAATTGTATTGAGTACTTTAATATACCTGTTACAATTAACAGTAATGATCAAAGGTCTATCAATAGTGTCTACTATAACCACTTCATTTATTTTTTGTGTGAGAGTATATCTCCTCTTTTACAGCCTTTTACTGCGTTGATATTCCAGTTTTACAGCAAACTTCAAAATTTCATTGCAATACCTCTTTTCTGTTCCTCGCTCTTTTATACACTCTCTATATAATATAAATTTACATACTATCCATCATGCTATCTACACTGATATTACAATGTCTATGTTAATATAAAAATTCATTTTAAACCAACTACATCCACCATCAACAAGGTTATTGTTTTAGGGATAGACGAGGACCCGGACGTTGTGATGCAGAAGATGGTAGCGTTGTGTTCCAAGTCGATAGGCTCAAATACGATGGTAGACTCGTTGGTAGCGCAGTTGTGTGCCAACATTCGTATGTAGCCTTCATCACGCGGTGATGTTGTAGCGGAGCACGTTGAGGTAGTAACAGTGATCGGCCTCGTCGGAGCCATCTCTGAATACCACGTTAGTACTATGAGATGTTCACGTGTATGTATGTGGGTGTGTACATGTGTGTTATTAATAGACATACATATAGATATACACGTGCATATATAATGTAAAAAGCTAATTATATACATGTATATATCTATGTACGTGTTTTTACATCACCATAATGCATATTAACATAGTAATATATGTTTACCACACGTATCTACGTTCAAACAAACCAAACGTACATGTACATACACGCATATTACACACACTAATGTGATAGTGACATTGTATATGTTTGTCTTTTACAGTAAACCCTTTACAATCAAAGCTTACTGTATCGAGTCGCCATGTACATGTCGCTACATATGTTCTTTTGTAGAAACATGTACGTATATGTGCTATATTTATGATCGTATAGTAATATATATGTATATGTCACGTTGGCTGGGATATATTTGTAATCGACAGAGTAAGAAAACCTCGTTATAGACAAGTTTCACCATGACACAACACGTTGTGACATTTTACAATAGTAGGGTATACTGTAACGTTTAACATAATAAATTAATCGTATCTTTGTGATTGTATACATGACGCGGTTTACATATAAATAACCTTTACATACCATATAAAATGAAGATATATACCTATATTCATACATCTTATTAGATCAACACTAAATGATATGATAGTAGATAAACACCCCTCTCATGGTTAATATACTTACATATTACCGCTAATATCTATAAGTAAACATGTCACAGTGACAGTTGCCATTCGTTGTATACCAACAACAACAATAGTAATAACAATAATTAATTCGTATATAACACATTACTATGATATATCCACGCTACAGTAAGGTTTTGCATGCATAACATACACAACATACGACAATAGTGTAGGAGACAACAATTTTACAATTCGAATACTAAGAAAACATACTACAATCATACAACACGCAACAGTATCACAACATACTATAGTAACGGACTTACCGACATTGTCGTATCCCATCACATACCAAAAGTGGATGTAGACAAGCCTTAGCATCGCGACAAGAGAACCAGGTATCTTGACAATCGTCTATAGATCGTATCAGATCCTGGAATGTGTATTGAGCTTTACAATAGTAAAAGAAAATTACTGTAGAAAACACGAAATTGGTCGGAAAGTAGTAGGCTTTACAATTACTTTGTGTAATAACTGCATTGTAATACCCATATTACTGCAAAAAAACTACTGCGTGCGTCGTATCTTAATTACTTTTCAGTATTTGGATCTATTTCGATCTCAAATAACAGTTAAGCTTCGTATGTTACAATTCAAACCCATTAATTAGAACATACGATGGTACATGTTATCGTCAAAGGACCATTATATCTTATGCCCTTACTTTACAGTAAAAAACCGTTTTTTGTATTTGTCAAGCAATAAATATATTTTACTATGAATAAACGCCTATATATTACAAATGTAAAATTGTACTATGGTTATAACTTACCGCATCCTTCTCGTTCTCCCCGATACAGTATACCTTGGACTCGTCCGACCAGTCGGTACAATCAGCCTTTCCATCACACATGTACATCTTAGGTATGCATTGTACCCCATCAGCACAAGACACTTCCGTATCTTCGTTACATTCACTGCAAAATCAATATATTTTAGGTTTTTCAAATAATTCTGTGCCCCTAACCCTGAAAATTTGTTTTGAGGAAGAGCAAAGAATTAATAGAACAATCTAGTACTACTTGTTTTAAATACTTTTTAACACTATTCAAGTCTAATGAAATACATTCGATGTTACCTATAACTGTATGTAAAATTATAAAATAAAGTTTACCTTGTGCTATTGTTGCCATTACATTTAGAAACAAAAAGGTAAATTAAAATTGGAAAAGTAGCAGATATCTTCATCGCAATAAACAAAACAAACTTGACATAAACACAAACATATACACAGCGATACACATCAGCTGGATCAAACATAACGTACGATCAATCGATAATTCGTAATTGTAAAATTATGAAATTAGTCAATTTAAAAATAAAAAATTGTGAAATTAAAAAAATATATTCATTATTTTGTTAGTTCAGTGACAGTCGGTTGCTCTTTTCCGTTGAAATGCCGAAAAAGAGTAAGAAAAGTCAGAAAAATGTACATGATGTAAGTGCTATATCTTATTGTTTTAGTATAGTACTGGTTGTTTGAAAATAATATTAGTTATTTTAAACTTCCATTTTTGACTTTACATTGTAACTTCAGACGGATTCTTCGACCGACGATCCGAAGAAAAAACAGAACAAAAAGCAAATGGAATACATACTGGCCGCCATGTACTTCCTCGACTGGAATGTAAGTTAACATGTTCTTAAAGTCACTTCTTGTTATCATTGGACTAATTAGTCTTAAAACCATTTATATTGTTATCATAGAATCAGGTTATAAATACGATTGCAGATTTATATTTTACCTTCCAGAAGTCCCTATTAGAAGCGTACACTCACAACATCAAGGAGCTGTACCTCGTCCCTCTGACCGAGCACTGTCTTCGGAAGAAAGTAATGTTGGAAGAAGCATGTAAGTCACTATATTATACATCGTTTGGTACTACAGTTACACCTACACCCACAAAAGACTACAATATTATAGTTGTTTGACAAATAAGAGTTCAAATAAGACTACAATATTTATTTTTCAATTAAGAGTACAATACTTATTTGTTGTACGATCAGCTGTTAAACAAGAGTACGATACTCAGCTATGTACAATGTTTTACCTTATTTAGATTTGAGTACTAATACAAATTAGCATTAATGGGTTGTTGTTTGTGTTTAAACTACATAACTTAAGGTAATCAATTGAATTTTAAGTTATGCAGTTTCTTAGCCTAAGATATGCAGAGTAAACGTTCTTACATAATGTAATTCAATTAATATTATATGTCTTTTCATAAGTTCCTCTTTGCATAGTAAATGACTGACAGAGCAGAAAGTGCAATAAATTACTTGTTCCTCTTGCAAAAGACGAGATACGATATTTTATAGTAGTAAATAGAAGCAATTCTGCGTAGTTTTATAAAAAATAAGTTAAAGTTACAAAAACTGACAAGGGAAGTGTCTCACCTCATTCCGGAGATATGAATCGAGACTAGACTCATTTGAAAGCCTATTTGAATACAAATCCAATAAAAAAAATTTAGCTGCCGAATAAGCCCCTGAGGCAAGTTATGACGGTTTAAAAATTTGCAGTGCTTTCCCTGGTTTGAGTTTGAAAACGATTGGGAGCGAGAAAGAAAACAAGGAGAACCGATGATTCGGTAGTTCAGTGGTTAGGTGTTGGGTTTAGGGGTGAAAGGATAAGGGTTCGATCCCTGCCAACTCGTTTTGCTTTAACAACTTCCAAAAAAAATTTTTTTTGTTTTTTATACTGTACAACAATCAACAGACTAGTTTTAATCATTTGAATACAAAAATTAAGCAGTTTGACAAATTATTAAACTCTAAAATTTTTTGAAAATTTTTCGAATATGTATATATTGAGTAGACGCACCAATGGTGCTTGGTTTGACATATTCAAGACTGATGACATTCATCACTTCCCTGATTATAAGCTGTCTTACAATGACGCCGAAGCTGTTAAATTTTCTGAAGGCAGGGAAAATAAAGTTACTTTTGCTGTTGGTTTCGTTATTCCAGGTGATAAGGTTGCTCAACTTTTTTCCAAAACATGAAAAATTTTCAAAAAATTTTAAAGTTTAATAATTTGTCAAACTGCTTAATTTTTGTATTCAAATGATTAAAACTAGTCTGTTGATTGTTGTACAGTATAAAAAACAAAAAAAATTTTTTTTTGGAAGTTGTTAAAGCAAAACGAGTTGGCAGGGATCGAACCCTTATCCTTTCACCCCTAAACCCAACACCTAACCACTGAACCACCGAATCATCGGTTCTCCTTGTTTTCTTTCTCGCTCCCAATCGTTTTCAAACTCAAACCAGGGAAGCACTGCAAATTTTAAAACCGTCATAACTTGCCTCAGGGGCTTACTCGGCAGCTAAATTTTTTTTGTTGAATTTGTATTCAAATAGGCTTTCAAATGAGCCTAGTCTCGATTCATATCTCCGGAATGAGGTGAGACACTTCCCTTGTGAGGACACAAGCTATAAATGTCCAAGAATTACTAATGACAATAACGTAATACCATGTTTCAGTGAGCATGGACTTCAGTGGCAAATCGTCCAAAGTAATCGCCGCTGGCAAAAAACTAGAACAAGGAGTCAAGGTGGAGCTGGGCAACGATGAGCTCCAGAACCTACAACGTCGTCTTCGCAACGAGTACGAAGTCCAAAAAGAAACCCAAGCCGAGGATCCTGACTATGTGCCAGTCAAAAAGGAACGGTGGACATCGTTGGCAGAAATATCAGTCATGTACCGCCTTCGAACCCTGATTCAGATGTCAGGATCCACCTTAATCTTCATGACCAAGACCAGGTCGTGGTTAGAAAAGCATCGCAAGCTCTTAGGACAACATCCAAAGGAGTGCGGAGAAGTACTGGACTACACATTACTGTGCTTCGAAACCATCTGTTGTCAAGCTGACATCTTCTCCTTGACTCCAGTCGACAGAAGCATCATACGATCTGACTGTAAAGGATACATCACTATGGACGACCCATATGTGGGAGATCCTGACAGAAAGAGAGACGAACCATTGGTGCTCAAGGAGAATATCAAAGAGAAGGCCAAGAGATTGGAGTCTCAGATTAACTATTACAGGTAAGGTTAATATAGACCTGCTCGCCAAAATAATAAATTTGAAAAAATATGTCCTTGAAACCGATCATTGCTTAAATTAAAAATGATATATTACATCTTCAGATCCTCGGTCAACACAATCGCCAGCTCTTTGATCGATATTACCCAAGCTATCGCCAAGAAGATACCTCGAAATGCGTTGGCAGTAACCACCAAAGACGTCAAGATGATTCTGGAGCGACTTCCACCTGCCTACTACTTTCCGACCAAGATCGTGTTTTCAGAAGGCACACAAAAGCTACTCGAGCGACATCCACCTAATAAAAGACGAATTATCCAACAAGACGACGTAAGTATCTACAACAACATACGATAACATATTTTATACCTATATATTCACCTCTACCTTATAATAATGGCATCTACAACATTACCTTTGTATTGTTTACACAAACTATAAGTATATTGTATACATGCGCTTTAACATATAGAGTATACAAATATGTAAACATACTAATAGGTAACGCTACACCCAGAATAAAATCAAATTTCAGAGAGCTGCGGCCAAGTCAGAATCTTCCAAAACCGTCTCCAAGAAGTCGGTCGTCAAATCAGTGAAAAGCAAGAAGTCTGTGGTATCAGAGAAGAAATCGGTCAAATCAGAAAAACCATCTTCGGCCAAAGAAACACAAGACAAGTAAGTCATTCCTTTTGATATTAATCATGGTCAATATATTTAGATAACTCTATTTAACCGCGATTAACATTGAAAGGCAGCGTGATTTTCTATAAAAAACTAGCTAATAAAGCAAATTATAATAATTTTACCTTCTTCACAATTTTTTATTTATCCGCTTTTACTTACCTACTTCAGAACGCCCAGCAACGTCAACAGTCCCAACGAATAAGATTCAACGATCATGGTCTCAATATCCTCAGCTACGTTCCATGGATTCGGTTTTAAAATCTGTAATATTCATAATATTGCCATCAATGATTGCGAATTAAATTATTGTAGCTTACTTACTGCGCCCTCAACTCAAACATTTGAGGACATTTTATACGAAAAAATATTGTCAGAATAAGAAAAAACAAGATTTTGTAGAAAAAATAGAGGAATATATATTGTATTCCGGAATACTGTGAATGAAGCTGTTTATTGACATTTGTGATAATTTATTGGATTTACAACCTCGCCTTCAACTGTTGCTGCTTCTCTTTGAGTCCGGCGGAAACGGCACGGCCAAAGTCGGCGTGAACACGGTTGAAGTGAGCGACACAACGTTCTTGGATGGCTTCTGTAGCGCCACTCAACGAGCCCACAATGTTCTCGACCAATCTCTTGCGGGCGCCGTCGTCCAAGACCTAAAAAGGGTAAGTTTAGGTAACATTTTTCATATATATTATAGGTAACGTTTTCAATGTTGTTGTAGTTAGTTTAGGTTATGCATAATGCAAATCATATTTACATTATGACTAATCAGAAATTGTCAAACCCCGAAAATGAGGCTTACATTTTTCCAGAAGATTTTGGGTTGGCTGAAGTTGTCTTCACCTCCACTTTCGTAGCGTCCCACTTCGCCTGTAACTGCCCATCTGTGTTCTTGAGGTCCTCGGGTTACTGGGCCGTTGAACGAGGTCGGGTGGAAGTTGGGGGCTGATCCTTGGTTGTTTCCTAAGGACATTAAGCCGTCTCTGAAAGGTCAAATCATTATTTCACTTAACTTTCTTTAAATTTAAAAATAGAACTTTGACTAATATCAATTACAATTTGAGCTCGTTAATCCAAATTCATGATCTTGCACACATTGTTTTTAATATCTGAAGTTGTATGTTCTTTTAAACTTGTTTGTTTAATAGCAAAATGTAAGTTAACCTACCTTTGAATATTGTTGACGCGAGTCTTGTATGGACAATTGATAGGCAGCTGGTTGTAGTTGGGGCCAAGACGATGGAAGTGTGTGTCAGTGTAGGAGAAGAGACGACCTTGGAGCATCTTGTCAGGAGAGAAGTCGATTCCAGGGATGACATGAGCAGGAGAGAAGGCGGCTTGTTCAACTTCGGCAAAGTAATTGCTTGGGTTCTTGTTGAGCACGAACTTTCCGACCGGGATCAGTGGGAACTCAGAGTGGGGCCAGACCTTGGTCAAGTCGAACGGATTCCAACGGAACTTGTTCGCTTGCTCGTTTGTCATTACCTACAACAATATTGATTTGGTTTTGGAATTTCGTGTATTTCAATTTGCTTTGTAATTACTATAATGTACTATAATTTATTTTGGTGATCAGAAGAAAGCTTACTTGGATGAAGAAGTTCCATTGAGGGTAATCTCCACGTTCGATGGCATTGTAGAGATCTCTGATCGAGTAATCTGGGTCGGTTCCGCTGATCCTTTCGGCTTCGGATGCTGACAGATTCTTTATGCCTTGGGCTACCTGAAATTTGATTTTGTTATTAATAATCAAATACCTACAACAATATAAAAACGAAGAATGGTTAAGCTTTTTATGGTTGACATTATAGTAGAGTATACATAACCTCAAGCACAACCCACCTTGGCATGGAACTTGCACCACACAGCTTCGCCTTTAGCGTTGATCAACTTGAAGGTATGAGACCCGTAGCCGTTCATGTGTCTGTAGCCATCTGGAGTGCCTCGATCTCCAAACAGGAACATGAACTGGTGCATGAGTTCAGGTCGCAGTGAGAAGAAGTCCCACACCATGTTGGGGTCCTTCAGATGTGTAGCTGGATTCCGTTTCTGGGTGTGGATGAAGCTGGGGAAGAGGATGGGGTCACGGATGAAGAAGATGGGGGTGTTGTTTCCGACCAGATCCCAGTTACCGTCCTCCGTATAGAACTTCATCGCGAAGCCACGTGGGTCACGAGCTGTGTCAGCACTGCCACTTTCACCTCCTTCAAGTAAAGGTAAAGTTATTTTATATAATGATCAAAATCTCTTAGTAGAAGATACACAATGAATGTCTTACATTAGAATTCAACCATTATCAACATAGAACAATCAAAGCCTACAACAATATAAAAAAAAATCCTCACCGACAGTCGAGAATCTGATGAACATTGGAGTTTTCTTGCCAATCTCATTGAACACACAAGCCTTGGTGTACTTGGAGATGTCATGCGTAACTTCGAAGTATCCATGAGCACCAGCTCCTTTGGCGTGTACCACTCTTTCTGGGATCCTCTCTCGGTCAAAGTGGGCCAACTCGTCCATGAAGACAAAGTCTTGGACTAGCAGCGGACCTCGGGGACCGGCTGTCACGGACGCGGTTCTGGACGGGATTGGCACACCGAACGAGGTCCTCATCTCCTCGGGTCGGTTCTTCTTACGGTACTCATCGAGCTGATTCTCGGCGGTACTCTTCTTGTTCGACATGGTGTTTGGCTGGGGATCGACCGGACTGAAAGAAACGCCTCTATAGGAATTATAAATAAAAGTGATAAGAACGTTGGTCAGAGGACTCCACTGGAAGGTTACTTCCAATTTGAATAACAAGTACAAGTTATGGTTTGGATATAAAACGAGATTTAAAAAAGTTTGAAGGTTTATTGGCTAACACAACTTCGAATGAAACAAAATATTGTTTGAGAAACTATAAAAACGTGGCTGAGCAGCGACAGTGATATTACATGTGCCAGCGATTAAAAGGAATGACCCTAGTGTGGGCTTGTTATCGAGACTACAACAACTGTATCCTTCGCTTGTCAACACAACCGCTCACTATCTTGTTTTTAAGGATAAGGTCACAATTAAAGAGATCTTCGAGTATAGTTATGGATATGTCATTATGTCGCATTTGTGGTTGTATCAGTCACTGATCGAGATGTTGGTAACGTATTTACGCTCGATGGTGTCTCGTTTATGGGCCGTTTTACTGTGGCGACTGAAGAAGCGCTTCACAATCGATTCTCGATCTGCAAACGAGGAGTGTAAAGAACACAGTGAAGATAGTGTTATTGCTATTTATCTTGTAACATTCAGTAACAATTGTGTTTTGTATTATCGATGATGATATTGTTACTATTATGGGGAATATCAGCTCAAAGTTTGAAAATATATAAAATTATGTTGTCAAATGGATTTAAGTTACGAAAATGAATTCAAGAACGACTTACGAACTCTGATACGTTGGCACATCATCTGCAGTATCAGCTGATTCCACATTTCACTCGGTTCCCTCTTGTTGAGGAGTTTGCCAGCTATCAGAGCACGTCCATCCTCGGTGTATGTGATCACGTCTCTGTGCGTATCCTTGAAGATACTCGAATCGCCGGGGGCACTGTAGAAGTCAGGGACATCTTGTGCCCCATTCATGAGGTGTGTAGACATCATGGTGGTTTACTATCGAAATAGAGAAAGTTAGTCAGAAGGGACGCGGTTACTCGAATACAATTACCTTACTGTTAACTTCTTTGCTAGAACAGAAGGGGAGAGTTTGTAAATGTTTATTCAGCGACAAATGCCTGGGGTTACAAAACAAAAATAACCAAATTAAAACCCTTAATTCGTGTTTGTGATATTGGCGGTGAGACGACACGTAAATAACGTCCGGTAATTCAGGGAATGTGATCGGTAAGAGGGCACGCAAACAACCTTTATGATTACTTTTAACTCATAAAACTCGTAAAAAAGCAATTCAGGTAACAAAGTTCACTCCCACTGCTTCTGCAAACATATTTTTATGACTTACAACAACATACAGTAGTACTTTAGTCACTTACAACAAACTACAGTACCCCATACCCCACGGCTACCAGGACAACATAGTTTATTTAAATAAGCTTTACCAATCACAGAAAATAATTATGCCAAATGAGAGGTTGTGTACCCGAGCCGCAAATAATAAGTGGATAATATGAAACTGGATATAAGAAATTTGGAATAGCTACAAAATGCTTGAAATACATTAATAATATATTAAATATCTGTTTTCTCTAACGGTTCTTCAATTCGGAATACTGGCGTTTCGTGAGGCGACCACAACAACATCCTATTAAGAGGAGTACCATCAGTACCACTCCGGTCACTGTCAGGATAGAGGTGCGTTGGGGGTGGTTGGCGATGGCTTCGTAGGCTTCGGCCCAGGTTTCTGGCAGTTCCATTTTGTATTCGTCGTGAGCAATGTTCCACAGCTTCTTTCGCTCCACCAACTTGGTACGACAGCCCGAGGACATTGGGGTTTGGGGCACGTCGAGAGCATCGATCAGGCAGGTGATGACTAAAATAATTATTGTAATGCTATAAATTGCAATTTGAAGAAAAAATCACTTAAATTAATAACCAACTTGTAAAAAAAACAATAAGAAAACAGTAAAACATGAATCATCTGCTACAATTCACCATCAATGACAACATATATCTAAACTTACTTCTACCCTGCCCTGGAGGCACATCACGGCAGATCCTCTGGACGTCGACTGAACAAGCTTCGTGAAGTGATGGGTCCATGTGAATATCGACCAGAGATTCCTGGGTTCTTCTGATCAATTGGGCGGCACAATTCCTGTCCGAGATCTGATTCGTGTAGAGATCAGCCTTCAGACATTCCAGAACCGAGTCGAAGTTGCCGCCCTTCGTGAGGATGATGTTAGAGCAATGTCTGTTTATGATTCCCTTACAGGCTTTGTAGAGTTGAGGGTCGAGCGTGACGTCGAATTCACCTTCCAATATCAATTTGGAGACCTACAAACGTTTAATTACAAAAGGTAACAAAACACTCGTTATGTTTTGATGATTGGAGAATTAATCTTCTACAATAATATCTTTAACCAAGACCATTTTTTTTGACAAACACTAAAGAAATTGTCTCATCATAACCGTGAACTTACCTCGTCTTTACATTGTGGACCTAGGTGTACTTGGCTGTTGAACTGAGTGTATTTGGCTCTCAAACAGTTGGCAATTGCTGGTTCCAAAGCGTCCTTGGAACGTTGAGGACTGTTCAATCGTCGGTATTCCTCTGGACAACTTAAAAGAGAACATTATCATTAAAATTGTCATTTCATTAAATTTCATTTAAAAAGGCGTCCTCGATTATTTTGACTTACTGAGTTTCGGCTTCAGATTTACAAGCAGCCAGAAGTCCTGGATTCAACCGGTCGTCTTCCAGTCGTTCCAGCATTCTCTCCTTCACAAGTTGTTGACATCCCCTCTGGAGAAGTCTGACAATCTTGGTGTTACTTAGACAGTCTAGTACTTTGTCATCGTTTTGGCTACGACAATACTTGTTAATATCATAACTGCAGGTCTTCTAAAAAAATGGCAAAAACTAGAAGTATGACTGACATATTGTACCATTAGAATGTTAAAGCGACGTACCTGCAGTTCATTGTCAAAACTGTTGTCCGCGGCTTCAACTTGTTGTCGTTGGAAGACGTATCTCTTACATTCGGTGTCTGCAAATGTAACAGTAAGACATTTTTAAAATATTTTTTCAAAGATTTTACGAAAAATTGACAAAAAACATTATAATTAAGAAAATGACGTTAGATCCAACAAAATAACAAAGATAAACATACCAAGTTCGTCAAAGTGACTTCTCAAACACTCGACCACACCTTCGAACGTGTTCTGGTTGTTGCACTGGAATCTGTTCAGATCTTTGCTACAAGCATTCATCATCACTGGATCTACATCCTTCATGTGTTCCTTGTCATCGAACTGAAATAACACGGTAAAACAACATGTTACAGAGATTACAACAGTTGTAAGTAAGCAAAACTTTGGAGCACCGAAAGAAATTAAAAACGAAACGCCACCAAGCTAAAGAATCATCTCATCTTACCTACTCTTACCTAGATCTACATCTGTAGGCGTAGCTACAGATATAATCACTAAAAAATACCTTGAACCGAACCTGCGCTTTAATAAAAAATAAGATTTTTTACAGAATACATTTACAAAAGTTACTTTTACCTCAACCATATTTTGTGTAATCTCAACTACGTTACCCTAAGCTAGAAGCCAAACTCACATCCACCTGTTCTTGTTGAAGGAAGGCATTTCGGAGCTGTTTCTTGCATTCCTTCCTGAGGTCCTTGTTCTCTCCCAGTACCTTGTGCTCGAACATGATGTTAGACAAACAACGGATGATCGCTCCTCTAAAATTATTCAATTTACTTTACATACATGTATTATATGTTACATGATTATTCAAGATTGATACAATTCGAAAATCAATGGCTAAGAAATCCCATTTGCTCTTGCTTACCACTACTCAAGTCAAAACTTACTCGTCGTTACCAAAAGCTGAGCAATAGACGTCGATGTCAGGCTTACAAGCTTGCGTGAACTTGTAGTTGAAGTGGTAGTCCCTCATGGAGATCAGCTCAAAGTGTTGCACATAGGATCGGCATTTTCCGTTCATTTCGTGAGCATCTTTATGTTGAGATAGACACATCATCACATCTCCATGGTCGATGTCTTCGTTCATCAACTGTTTACAGTAAACGTCGATTACCGGTCGACAAGCCATAGTAAGGAGTCGATTCAGTTTGGTATCCTTGGATTCCATTTGAGTGAACTTGTAGATCTCTTCGTGACATTTGGAGTGTTTCTCTTTGAATTGAGGTGCTTCGAATTGCTTTTGAAGACAATTCATTTCCTGAAACAGGTGATATTGATGAAGAATATCATGGTAATTCGTACCATTTTATAAAAACTATAAGTGGTAAAAATAATAATAATGTCATATATAATGACAGTTAAAAAACCAAGAACACTTACCTCTTGTGGCTTCACATTCTGAGAACAGTATTCAGACAGAGCTTCACGACAACTTTCTTCAATGTCAGGGATCAGATTGACACGTTGAGCACGTTCCCTGAGTACACGGTGAACTTGATTCTGACACTCTTGTACCAAAGGCTTCTCCTCATCGTACGAATTACGGTATAAACAAGCCAGGACTTGGGGACCTGGGTCAGGCCGTTGTTCTTTCGGCTGATTCTGATGCCAGTTATCTACAGCAGAACATCTGAAAACAAGGCAATGATGTGTAAGGTAAAACAATAGCACATACTTGACGATAGTAATATAAACATACCCAAAATAATGATTAGAATAGCTTTAAGTATGTTTTTATTATTAGTGACTACACCCACCTCTCAATGGCATCCTTCTGACAAGCTTCATAAAGTTGTGGGTCCAGACTCCAATCTCTGGCCATGAAGTACTGTACCTCCAGAAGTCTGTCCTCACAATCATCTGTCATATCAGGTCCATCCAAATTGGACATCAGACAACTCAAAGTCTGAGCCTCAGACACCGCGTCCATCTTACACTTGCCTTCGATCAGAGGTCTACACGACTGCCACAAGACCTTGTCTACACGGTAATCAGATCCAACATCAGCTACCTTCATCAAATCTTTCAGAGCATTCACACATTGTGGGCCAAGGGTCTTCTTCTCGTCTCTGGCTTCAGCGTGAGCCATCAGACAATGAACGGTCTTTCCGGCTGTCTCGAGGTCGCCTTTTGGACTACAATACTTGTCGATTTCCTAAAATAATGGTAAATTATAAATTTGCAAGCAATATCCCTTATAATTTTAAGTGCAATAAGTATATATAAATAAAGGTGATAGCAATAAGTAAACGTACCTGTGCACAAGTCATGACCAACTCTGGACTCATTCTGAATTCAGACACCATCATGGCTCGGTGTTGTTGCATCTCGTGGGTACATTCTGGAGTGAATGGCATAAGATCGGGAGTAGCTTGAGGTTCTTTCTTGTCCTTCTCAGCTTGTTGTTTATCATGTTGTTGTTTAGTAAAGTGGTGATGACCATTTTCCAGACACAACAAAACCCAACTCAAATGGAAGTTTTGGGACCTTTCGAATCCGACTTGAGGAGTACATTGATATGCCTTCATCTCGTTCTTACATCCCTTCAACAATGGATGGGCTAGTCTGTAATCTTGACCCATTAAGCCGGCACGTTCAGACAAGATTTTACCACACTGAAATGATATGGAGGTTAAATGATAGTTAATGTAACATTCTTTATCATTAAAACAATAACAGAAATCTAAAAATTAACATTATAATAAAAAATCTGTCAAAAACCTTACCTCTGGTTCCATCAACTTGTCGTCCTTGTGGTCCATCAAACATTGGAATACTCGACCTTCTCCACCTTGAACTTCAGAACAGAATCGTTCTCTGTCTTCTCTGCAAGCAAAGTACAACGGTCTGTCCATGTGCCAGTCTTCAGATTGCAGTTCAGCTATCCTCATCACTTCCTTTCTACATTCTAATGGCAAATTCTTGACAACCTCAGCCTTGACAGGATCTTTCGGGATATTAACCATCTTATCAATCAAACACTCAAGAACAGAGCCTTGTGAATGAGGATAACGAGCTCCTTGGTGTGCTGAAGGCTTGGTCAAGGTTCCACAACCAAGATTACCTACAGTTGGACCACACTTCTCGACGAATGGGGCCACAAGTCGGAAGTCAGAGAAAGCGAGACGTTCAGTTCTCACTGTAACATCATTTTTATGTACGATATTAAATTGAATTATAATTAATTATAATTCTATAAGATTTCTCGACGCTATGTTACTAAGAAAAAAAGTTTAATTAGCATCTCGTAAAAGTTTATACCTAAAATTAAAAAAAAAGTCAAAAAGATACCTAAAAATTGGAAACACTGTGTGTTTTGGTCCATAGTATGGGCAAAGTCCATAATACAAGACAAAGCATAGCCTGGTCGTTGATCGTTGGCACAAGCAGCTATTCCTGGATTAGCTTTGATTTCGTTATCACAGAAATGTTTTATAGCACCGATAAATCTGGCATCTTGAGTCAATACAATCTAAACAACATACTATGGTTATATAAAACAAGATATTGTTAAGAAATTTATTTTAAAGTTATTTAACATAAAATCTTACCTTGAACTCCCAGACAGCTTGAGCACAATCTGGAGTCAGCTTCTCGGTTTCACTGTAGCCAGCTTCCTGAAGACACTCCAACGCAGCCATATCACTCAAGACTTCATTGGGAGGTAGCTGAGCGATCGCCTTCTTACAGTATTTGTCCAAATCTCCTCGACATTCAACTTTATGGACAAGTTGAGGTCCATTGCCAATGTTTTGTTGATTCGCGTTTGGAGCTTGAGCTAAACACCAATAATATAACTTTATAAGCGCTTACCTTGAGCATTTTGAGGAGGTTGACCTGCGTTTGGATCTTGCGCACCACCTGAAATATTTTAATTTATAAAAACGTTGGCTCTTCCAAATTTTATTAAGGATAATATAAGAAAAAAGTCTAAAAACACAAAAAATAAAAACAATCCGTTACCTAGTGCCAAGATACATATTGAGAGTATAAAAACCCTCATCGTGCTGATCTCGTCGCCAAACGAGAAATAAAAGAAACAACACGACAAACAGAAGAAGACTTGTCTCTTCTGTTTAAGACCACGCCAACGTGAAACCTCCGACTTCTCGCCCGGGAAACTCTTTTGGCGAACCGGGTTCACCTAATAAGGCTGTTTATTTTGTTTACGTTATCAGCGGCCTCGAAAAACAATCACTTTTGCTTTCGCCACCTTATTTTAGATCACTTTTTCGAATCGAAAAGACCAAAGGGAATTCGGCTACGGTAGAGAGAAACGGATTCATGAAGGCGTGAGATGTATACGTCATCGAGACATGACCACTTTTTGCGCACACCGAATATCTCTTTATTCACAGAAATTATGAAAAAGCTAACAAAACCAGTAAATTCTAGGAAAAATTGTTAAAATGCGGTAAAATTAGGAAAAAAGGTAACAAAAGCTATGGGAAACTATTCGAATACTCGTATTTTAGAACTTCTCCAGTTTGTAAAACTGGGAGTAAAGTAGTGATGTGGCTGAAATGGCATCGCTCACGCCGACTGTCTGTTGTGGGTATTTGCATACTAGTACTGGGGTGTAGATGAACACCACTTCGTTTCTCATCCATGATGCCAGAGGGCTGAAATATGGTAAAAGATTATATATTTTCTCTATAATAAGTAAAAGTCTGTATACAAAAGTTGACAAGATAGACTAGTTGTACCTAAAAATTGTTATTAAGAAGACTTACTTGTGCTGGTTGAACTGGTACACCTTGTCGATCTGTTTGTCAAGTAAAACACTACTACCCGATCGTATCTCTAGTTTGTCATTGCCATATTTGTCGTTACCCAAGTTGCATGACTGTCTGCCGGCTAGTCTAGCTCCAGCAGCTAGTCCAGCCCCTAAATTGGACCAGTCTGTTCCTCGGCTAACCTGAATATTGTTTTTGTTAGGCCAGTTTGTGATTATTTTGATAAGTGGGTTAAAATTTTAGCCAGATTACTTTACTTTTTGTTAGGCATAAGTAAACGTACCACAATGTGATATGTTAGACATTGGAAGTGAATGCGTTGTAGACGGTAGTTGTAGTTTTTGGCAGCCGGGTTGTTCTTATCATGGCCTAAGGTTGTGAGCAGCCAGTAAAGCATCTCAACTACCTAAAAGAATTTGTTTTAACTTTCGCTGCTTATAGTTTTAAATTTTTTTACAAGTTTTGGAAAGTTTTTTCTTACTTTGTAAGCATGAAGTGCACCAGCTCGTACTGGATATTGTTCTTGATAAGGGCCGTTTCCAACTTTGGAGATGAATGCCAGTTCTTGTTCGTTGATGGAAAGTGAATCTACGTATGGTATGATCTTAAAATAAATTTTTATATTACATCTACTAAGAGATATAATATTAGTTATGTCTGTTATTGTGTAGACTTACCCTGTACAGAACTTCGTGAGCATGAGAGGCGTCACCCATACTTCCCAGTTCCATGTGAATTGGAATCAAGGGATTCACTTGCATCAACGATCGCTTGATGAGTCGTAGCTTCTCTAGACGGACTTGACGTTGCTAAAATAGAGTTGTTAATCGTATATTATAACAGATAAAGACTTCTAAGCATACCGTATGTTTGATGGTAATGACAATGCAAATTGGTCTACTTACTTGAGCTTCTAACAAATGAATACCCGAGAATACGACGAGATCAGGACGGTACTGAGCTATGGCTTTGAAGAACATTTCAATGACTACTGAGCTGCCACTGAAATGAATCTAGTTCGTTATATGGTTATCAAAGAAAGTACATATAGGTTGTTACATAGTAATAAAAATGTACATTATTGGTTATATAAATTATATATATTTATAAAGACTCATATATCACTGGTTACCTGTATTGATCATGAGATGTGATGAAACGTGAAGAAGCTGGTGAGACATATTCTCCTTGAATCTCTCCTTGTTTGTACTCCAGAATCACGTGCATTTCATCTTGTACAATCCTCGTCGAGTTGTTTCTTTGGATTGACGGATGTAGTAAAGCCTGAGAACGTGGTCCAATTGGTCCCACCAAGTACGCCTAAACTCAAAAGTATTATAAAAATAAAAGATATAATACTACACGATATTAAATAGTATTAAAATACTAAACAGTACTATTTACAATATTTAACTAGTATGTAAACATACTAAATCAGCCTAAACACAAAGAACTATGAAATAAGGTAACTTACAGTAGTCAATGGAAATGAAGATGCAATTTGCTGTGCCATCAGAGCAGCGTTACCTCCAATCGAGTAGTGAGCACGTTGATTTTTGAGTTCGGCCGTGGCCACCAACTTCTCAAAGGCTTCTTCTTCACCCATGTAGCGCTCAGCTGGTGCTCCACGAGAGAAGAAGTAGATGAAGGTCTCGTAGAGGTCCTTCAGACTGTTCATGACTTCATGGTCACAGACTTCTGATGATGACAAGTTCAACTTGTTCACCATGCCTACTCCAGACACGATGACATCTACGTTACAGTTGATGCTAAAACAGTACAATGCTAAGATGGCTATTATTAGATAGCGTTTTGTCGGTGTCACTAAATTTATTATGTGATACAACCAGTTGTGCTAGGGTGTAATGTAACATCATTAATTAACTTATTTAAACAGTACTGTAATGCAATGATAGTGCCCTACTCTTACCCCACAACAACCTTTCTGAACTTGATAGATGGCTGTGATATGACTCTGTCCCATGACTTTACTATGGCCTGCTCCACAGACATAGAATCCAGTCGATTCTGTTCGTTGAAGTAACTGTAGAGCCATGGCGCCGCAAAGAAGATGAAAGCCCAATGTAACAAGTGATTGTACGGAGTGTTGAAGGGGAACATAATCACATCTGAAGACTTGTAACAGGAGTTTAATTGAAATGGCAGCGACAAAATTAAATGAACGGAAAGTTAACTTGTAATTCCGAGTTAATTTGTCTACATAAACCTTAAGGCAATGGGTTTTTGCACATGATAGATGTAGTACACTATATATTAACTATAACAACGATAATATAATAATTATTTAAATCTATAGATAAGAATATAAAAGTAATTGAGTAAAAAGTCTCTGTAAACTGTAATGTTGTGATTAATTTGGAAAAACGTTGATAAAAGAAACAAAAAAAACATTAAGCGACCATCCGACGTTCACAAACATAAACAACATTGTTTTTTCTTAAGAGAAAATATTTTTGGCCATTCCGAGTGTGTCCCTATCTTCTGCGAGCCGCGGCGAGAGAAAAACACACAAGGAGAAGATATAACAACAAACAACGCTTTATCAAACAATTAATGGCGGTTGGAAGCGTCAATAAGAAGTGACAGTTGTGATTAGCATGTTTTATTTACAGTAGCTTGTAAATCATTATGTATTTGCAGTTCGTGAAAAAGTTTTGTTTTTTGTAGGTTTTAATTATTTGTCTTATGCAGCTTTTTTAATTTTAAAAATGCAAATTTTTAACAAAAAATGTGTGCCAAAAGTGATAACTGTAATATATAAGCATACAATAAAGAATTCCATATTTTTTTTTATTAACCTGCTTGACATTTTACTTATTTCCTCATTGCAAAGAAAAATAATCACAGATATCAAAAAAATTAGATCAGTTTATCATAGTTGCCTCCGAAATAAAGTTCTCGCCAGTTGCCGATGGAGGTAACCAAGGAAGTGTACCAACTTGTTTCTTGCCTGCACTCATCCATCCATACCCTCCCACAGATTTCAACCGGAACATCCTATTATGGGCGGCTTCCATTATTGGCGGAATCCACCATGGGCGGTTCCCCTATTATCTTTGATATAAAAATTTTAATTTTTAAAAATAATTGTCAACTTAATTAGTCAGTAGTACTACCTGACCTTACCCCTCACCTTTTTGGCCTTACCCAAGTCTACACCTGACCTTTTTGGCCTTACCCAGGTCCAAACCTGATCTTTTTGGCCCTACCTGACCCTACTCCTGATCTTTTTGGCCTTACCCAAGTCCAAACCTGACCTTTTTGGCCCTACCTGACCCAACCCCTGATCTTTCTAGCCCTATTCAAGTCTACCCTTGACCTTTTTAACCGTACCCGACCCTAGCCCTGATCTAGCGATCGGCTTCGCCTATCCCTAAATTGCGCTGTTCGGGCGCTTCGACTGTTGTACATTAGCTATAGCACCCCGTCGTTACAACCGCCAAACGGTCGATAAAATCAAAAATCACTATTTTATTCGTCTTCAGCGTTCAATTTGGACCATAAAAAAAAGAACGGAGCGATTTGGACAACTTTTAAATTTTCTACAAACTTCTTGACCGGTCCAAAATTTCAAAAATTTCAGCCGGCTGGTTCCTCAATGAACCCGAAGTTTCCATTATTGGTCGACTTTGTGTTAACCATGGAATTCACACACAAACAAAACGTGTATTATGGTACTATTTAGCATGCTCTACAACTCTATAATACATAATTTTTTGATTAGACATCATCTATATACCGAAAAATGGCAAAAAAAGTCGCAATTTTGCAAAAAAATTTTTGGTTGAAATTTTTGAACAGAGTTTGAAGCCGGTATAGAAGCTGCAGGTCCCAAACTTGGAGTATAGAAGCACCATAAGGTCCCACAGGACAGTTTTTGGAATTACGGTGATAGCCCCTCTGGCTGATTTAAAAAATTTTTTTTGTGTTTTGAGGGTGTGGTAACTTGCAAATTTTTGAAAAATCACCTAAGGCGTATTTTAAAATGCGAAGCTTTGAAACTTGGCCCCTTTTTAACACACCGTAAGAGCACTGTAAAACCAAAATTACAGCTTTCTAAAATCAAGGCAAAGTGGACGAACTTTAGGCCAAAAACTACATCTAGCAGAAACCCGGGTACAGCGATTTCTTGGACAAAACAGGACCCATGTGAGTTTCGACGCCAGGTACGGTGTTAACAGAAAAGAAGACAACATGAAGGATTCCAACCACACCAACTGTAGAAGCTCTGATGGACGAAATGGACGAAGAGGGAAATGGATTTACCTCGGAAGACGAAGAATATGATGATGGAAATCATAATCAGTCCAACAGGAGCCAAGGTAGTGGCGAAAATAAAGGAATCCAAAACCAAAATGAATCCAAAAGACGTCAGGACGATGGGGGCAACGTGGAAGCGCGTAGTATCGCAGGATATAGTGTGTATCAAGACGCCAGAGACCAACCTCAAGACCAGCACTCGGATTCAGCAAGTAATGCGAGTATCAAGCTCCAGGAGATGTCCATGAACGAGTTCATGAAGCAGCTGAGAGCACATCATTGGAGTTGGAAACAAGAAGACTTCAACCCATGTTAGATACACCGATGCCTACATTCAAACTCAGACTCCAGATGTTTTGCTCGGTGCAGCAGCCATATTAAAGATAGATTTCAATATTACGCCGTTCAAACACCAGTCTGGATTGAGCATCGTTACCACGGCAGCAGGAAACCCGTTATTTGGTTCACTGCCGTTGCCATTCCCGACGACAATCACGACATTGATGGCTCATAGCTTCACAGAGTCACAGAAGAACGGGTCTGGTACGATCAAATGGTTGATATACAGCATCTGGGTATCACGGACAATGATTTTCTGACAACTCCAGAGCAGGATATTGTCGATCAACTTCACAGCACGATGTACCGTAACAAAGAAGGACGATACGTTGTGGAGTACCCGATAAAGTATTGTATTCGGCAGCTGGATTCACAATTCCCAGCAGCGTTGACCAGACTGAAGTCAACTACTGAGAAGTTGAAGAAGGACCCAGCATTGTGGAAAACAGTTCAAGAGACGATTCAGAAGCAATTGGACGATGAAATCATCAGTGAAATCAACGTGGATGATCCTTTGCCTCAGGACAGCCTTCCACCGCATTACCTACCTCATCACTTGGTAAAGAAGGATTCAGCTACGCCGGCATATAGAATGGTACTGGATCCGACTTGTAAGTCGAAGCAATAAGGACTAAGTTTAAATGATCGTTTATACAAGGAAAAGCCGGAGTTGCCAACTATATTTGGCATAATATACTAAGGTACTAGTTATTGCGGACGTGGAAAAAGCCTTCCATCAAGTCGAGATAGCACCTAAACATCGTGCTATTTGTCGATGGTTGATGGTAAAGGACTTGAACAAGCCAGTGACAGCCCATAACATCAGAGTCTTCGAGTTCAACAGGCTCTCATTTGGATTGGTGCCATCCCCCTTCATGTTACAGGAGGTAATCAAGGAGCACGTTATGCAGAACGCTGGCGAACTTGGCCCAGAGACCATGATGAACATGTACGTCGACAATTTAAGCTTTCAAGCTGCTGATGATGAAGAAGCTTAAGCCAAATCAGAAAAGGCAATCCAAGTACTGGAAGAAGCTCAGATGAATCTGAGAGAATTCATATCAAATGGACGGATTAACCTTCCAGAGAAGCGTATGGGAGACCCAGAACGGGCTAAGTTATTGGGAATTAAGTGGAATGTAAGGAAGATTTTGTATATCAACCATTTGATCGTACCAGACCCGTTCCGTTTCCTTCTGTGGCTCTGTGAAGCTATGAGCCATCAATGTCGTGATTGTCGTAGGGAATGGCAACGGCAGTGAACCAAATAACGGGTTTCCTGCTGCCGTGGTAACGATGCTCAATCCAGGCTGGTGTTTGAACGGCGTAATATTGAAATCTATCTTTAATATGGCTGCTGCACCGAGCAAAACATCTGGAGTCTGAGTTTGAATGTAGGCATCGGTGTATCTAACATGGGTTGAAGTCTTCTTGTTTCCAACTCCAATGATGTGCTCTCAGATGCTTCATGAACTCGTTCATGGACATCTCCTGGAGCTTGATACTCGCATTACTTGCTGAATCCGAGTGCTGGTCTTGAGGTTGGTCTCTGGCGTCTTGATACACACTATATCCTGCGATACTACGCGCTTCCACGTTGCCCCCATCGTCCTGACGTCTTTTGGATTCATTTTGGTTTTGGATTCCTTTATTTTCGCCACTACCTTGGCTCCTGTTGGACTGATTATGATTTCCATCATCATATTCTTCGTCTTCCGAGGTAAATCCATTTCCCTCTTCGTCCATTTCGTCCATCAGAGCTTCTACAGTTGGTGTGGTTGGAATCCTTCATGTTGTCTTCTTTTCTGTTAACACCGTACCTGGCGTCGAAACTCACATGGGTCCTGTTTTGTCCAAGAAATCGCTGTACCCGGGCTTCTGCTAAATGTAGTTTTTGGCCTAAAGTTGGCGTCCACTTTGCCAGTTCCTCGTTTACTTCGGCCAAAACTTCCTCGTCTGCGTGGTCACAGCTTCTGAGTGCTTCTTCGAGGCGTTTCATCGTCTCGCACTTTGCTTGAAAGTCTAAGAACCTTTCAAACCATCTTTCTTGCTTCTTGGTGGTGTCGAGATCTTCAAAATCATCCATTATAACCGGTTCAATATCCTGCTCAAGCATTCTGGTCACTTTCTTTCGTGCCTTCCCATACAGGCGGATGCCTTTCTGAATCTTCTCCATACCAATTAGCGTTGTGTCACTCATATTCCTCACCATTTAAACAAAAACCTTCGTATTGATGTGTTGAATATCGTCGTAGTTCCAGTAAGAGCGGCCAAGTTTTGAAGTTTGGCTTGAGCCCCCAATAACTGTGCAATTCCACTTGATCAGAGTGAAGATGCACGGTTTCCTTCGTGATGGTTCAGTTGTCGTAGTGGCCAACTCTCTTTCCGTCGGAACTCTTTACGATATCAATCTAGAGTTTTACCCTAACAAAGGTAGAATATAAATTAGACGCTGTACTAAGCGATAGAACACTGAGCCCAGCTATAATAATATAAACCTTGATATCAACCAGTTAACAACAACAAAAAACTAATCTGAATATTCAAAAATTCTCTCTCTCTCGAATTAATTACCGTAGAACCCGCGTCAGTGCACAATGCCAAGATCGCGTTGTGACCGAACGACGGCGGCAATTCAAAGCGAGAATACAGAGAGAGACTTGACACAAAATGAGACAAGTATTACATTATAATAATAAAATATAAATTCTCGGAGAGATCCGATGGAATCGGACAAAGAGAAGAACCGAAAACCCGGACCAGAGACCAATCAAGAAGAAGAGAACCCCTAGCAAGGACAAGGAGAAGACCAAGCCAACGGCACAGCCAAGGCACTGGTCACTTCCAAAGAGTTTGGGGACGTCAAAGAGGAGAAGCCCTAGCCTGCAGAGAACGGATGAAAACTCACAAGTGGAATCCTTGGACTCAGGACCAAGATGGGACTACTACTGGAGGCAACCAGTTGAAGGTGAGGACATTGTGCCAGTCTATGACCATGAAATAGAAGTTTTTTTTGCTCCAAAAGAGAAGAAAGCTAAGGAAATGGCGGCTAGTCTACCTGGTCAAATTGGTGGAGCAATGGGCTTAAGAGAATCAAGCAGAAGATACGGAAAAAGCCCCAGTCTACCTTCTACTGATTCTGATCAAGAAGGCCCAGCCCCTCGAAGAGAGAAGCCAGCTTGAACATAAGTCAAAGTAAGACTGTCAGGCTCGCAACTTCAACGCTTGTCCCCGAGCTCATGAAAAGAAGAACAGGAACAGAAGAATGCCAGAAGAGATTTTGTTGGCTCCAGATTCCAATGGCCAAGCTGCACAATCGAATCCAGCAACGAGGCGGTTCTTGTTCAACTCTCTGGACCAAGTAACTCAGGATCACGTCAGGCAAGAACTATTGGACCTATACCACATCAACATGAATGGTCAGGCCTAGTCTTTGTCGTGGCAGCCGACTTTCATTCACCAGGCAAGCCACAGATCAAGCTATGATCGAGTTCGGGAATTCACACTGAATCCACAAGTCATTCTCTCCCCATTCTACCGTTGTCAGCCTGGAGAAGGTAGCCATAGAGTATGCAGATTCCCGACCCATACAGAAGAGTACGTGCCAGGATTCAGGTATAGCTGTGTTGCTGAAGCCATGACAGTCGAAGTTCTGCAATGTCTATATACGAAGGTCAAGAAAAGCTTATTCGGCAGCTAAATTTTTTTTGTTTAATTTGTATTCAGATAAGCTTTCCAATGAGCCTAGTCTCGATTCATATCTCCGGAATGAGGTGAGACACTTCCCTTGTAAGAGCTATTATTCTACTAGTGATAACTCTTGATTGATATCAAATAGAGGTCCGACGGAGACAGAGTTGACCATCTGGACAACTAAATCTAACACGAAGGACCGCGCATTTTCAACCTGATCAATTGGATTTGCACACACCACATATCTATATTTTTTCCTTTATTTGAAGGTAAGTAAGTAGTAAGTAGGTAGAGGCGTCAATGTTCGTATGGTACTACGGCTTCTTCCGGTCCTGGAAATATAGCCAGTAAAAAACTTTTTTTTTTAAATTTTATTTTGCAACCACTGATACCACATCAGAAAAATATATATTAAAATTTTGAAATTTGGGTTACTGTAGGTGTACTGTAACATTCTGATATTTTTTGTAACTTGAACTATTTGACAGAATTTCACCAAATTTTTTTTAAATTGTAGAACACATAAACGTAAACAATATTGAAGTTAACAACTTTTTTCTAAAATGCCCAAAAGACACAAAAAAATTAAAAACTGCAAAACTGTAAAAAATTTTAAAGTGCCTTTTTCTCAAAAAAATTGTAATAGAAACAACTTTTCAAACCAGATAATACTTCAAAAATTTAGAGAAAATGCGAAGATCTTTGTCAAAACGCGATTCGAAAGGCTTCGGTAGCCAAATCAATCGTCGTTACAAAAAAGCAAAGCCAAAAGTAGCTTCAGATTCTACATCGCGTCATTTAAAGAGCAAAAGCGACACTACACTCTAATTGAAACTTACAAAGATTCAATTTCGTTGTTTGATTCTCCGTACAAACGCAAGCCATCACAGGCTATCAGTGAAACTGTACAAAAGCCTAGTACTACTGAGTGCAAAGTCTGTAAATTGCCACCGATCTCAGACATTCTAAAATTCTCAGGTGAACTTCATGCATTCCCTAGCTTTTGTGACTATTTCGAAGTCCATGTGCACAACACGCCATTTTCAGATTGAAGCACGCTCTTACTGGTAGTCTTGTTGAACATCTAGTTCAGAACGTTCGTCTTACTCAGGCTACGTACGGTACAATTATCAAATCGCTTCATACACGGTAAAATAAAATATGTTTTATGATACTATTTTGAGTACGATACTAAATATTGTGTAAGATTTTAGATATTTTAGGTATGACATGGGTGTGGCCAGGGCCGGGCGCGAAGGGGGGGACGGGGGATACCCCCAAGAAAAAAAATTTTTTTTAAAAGTTGGACGTGGTCCTCCTTGAGGATTTTCGGACAAAAAAACTTCGCAAAAATCGGCACAGGTGCCGATTTTTTGGACCCCTGCCCCCAATCCAAAAGTCCCCGCTTGGCCGTGGTTATGGCATGGGAGTGGCATGGGTATGGTATGGGAGTGGAATGGGTATGGCATGAAATGGGTATGGGTACAGGTATGGGAAGGGTTTGGAATGGGTATGACATTTCTATGGGTATGGCATGGGTACGGGTATGGGTATGGAATGGGTATGGCATGGGTTTGGGTATGGCATGGGAATGTCATGGGGATGGCATGCATATGACATGGGTATGGGTACGATATGGATATTGGAATGGGTTGGGGTATGGATATGGATACGGGAAGGGTAATGATATTGGCATGGGTACGGGTATGGGTACGGATCAAATCTAAATTGGGGTGCAAGGCCCGAGCCGATTAGTTTGAATGTTTTAAACTGTATTAAAATTGGCAGATTTGAAATGCAAAAATCCTTTGAATCTTAAAGTAAAGTAGAAGTAAAAGTAAAAGTGGAGGGCCCGAAGGGACCTCTCCTGTTCATAGGACCGTTGATTTGGTCCCCGGCTGTAAATGCAGAGCCGTGGTAAGTTGTGACAAAAAAGTGAAGCCGCTAATCCGGACATTTTGTCAAAATGAACTTCATGGGAAATGAAAATTTTTATGCAAAAATTTTAAAGAATTTTTAAAAAAGCGAGCGGCCGTGAAAATGAAAAACTTTTTGCTATTCGAATTTAAAAATGAAAAAAGTGGTCGGTTTTTTAGAATATGTTGTAAAAGATTCCTTTGGATTGATCATGAGTATAATAAATCTTAAGCTTAAACAAGAGATGCTTCGAAACGTGCCGAGGGCCGAAGGCCCGAGGCATTCGAATTGTAAAAAGATCGTCCTTTGTTGAGTATGATGCTGTTTCCTTACAATGCAGTTACAGAATGATACTGTACTATTTGAAAATTGTGAAGACGAACGAGGGCCGTTGGCCCAAGCCCATGAATTTAAATACTATAAGCTGTATTGAGATTGGCTTATTGAAAACAAAAGAACATGAAATTACAATGTCCAGGTTAAAAGCAATGCGCGAGAGCAGCAGGCCCAAGCTAATTTGTATGAATGTTGTGAAATGTATTGATTTTGGAAAATGCGAAGGAAATTGCAATGTCCAGATCATAGGAGGCCCGTAGGGGCTCCGTTGAAGTGGTATAGTAATAAATGAAATGAAAATGACAGTACACCTACAGTATCCCAAATTTTCTCACCCCTGTCTGACCCATGTTCGGTTTTAGCTTTTAAAAAAAAGCTAACTTACATCCTTTTGTGAAATCTTGATATCACATTGTTTTTAGTGTTCTTCGCGTGCCTCATGGACAGGTTGTGCTCTACAATGCGTAGACATCGCGCCTTTTGTTCTTCGGCTGGCATCATAGCCCCTCGGCCTAAAAACTTTCTTATATTACTCGTATTCTGCCCTGAGGCGATTTTTTGAAATTCGAAAAAAGTGAAACCCAGTGCATATATTTCTAATGATGCAAATCTAAAAATTCTTTTTGCATAAGATTTTAAATCAAAAACGCGCATCGCATGCAAGAAACGAGCCATTTTTGTCGATTGCCTCGGGCGTTATTTCGATTTTTCGCAATTCATGAAAAGTTTGAGTTGAAATTACAAATTGCAAATTTAAGGTCCTTAGGCAACTGCAACAACACTTGTTTTACGACTTTGCACCATTTTCATTTTTATGCATTTTATTCGCACTTTAAATTTTCACATTGCACTTTTGCATATCGACCGCTCAATTTTTCAAAATTTTTTTTAGGCGATTATTCTACGTTTTAAGATAGTATGAGTTTGCTATTAAACTTTTTTTGAAACTGCACTCATTCCCGACTTATGATTTTTTAAAAAATCTACCCCGATTTAAGCCTAAAACAAAAAAAAATTTTTTAAAAATCTTTAAAGTCGGAATTCAGAAATCCGCTATCATTATTGTCTTTGTAATTTGATTAAGTTTTTTTGTGCAAATTTGCAGCTTTCAACTATGACTTTGAATTTCGATACGATTGCAAGAAGGAATGACATTTAAAAATTTTTTGTAAATTTTGCCCTTTGGGGGCTTATAACTTTCGATCGGTCAGTTATAGAAAGCTGTATCGTCTTAAATTTAAAAAACATGTCATAATTTAATAAATTTCAGAACTCAACTTCGTTTTGTAGGTATTGTTGCAACGCAAATCGAACGATGTATAATACTTGTCTGTTTGTCTTTGTCTATTTGTAAAAATCTAGGTAAAACATGACTAAGCTCAGTTTGGAGGTGCGATTTCGCATGCGGCTTTGACTTTAAACAAGGTGAGTGCTATTGAACGCCATCGTACGTTTGTAAAAGTTTTTGAAGAAGACGTTATAACTGTTAGACATGTTCATAAGTAGTTTGCAAAGTTTCGTACTGTGAACCTTGACCTTGAGGACAAAGAACACAAACAAGGTCATGAAGTGGCAGATGCCTCAATTGATCAAGTTGAACACCAATTTAGCTACAGCGGAGTTGTCGCATAATTTTTCCGGAATCCCGCAAACCGTCGTGAATCGTCTTCACAAATCAGGAAAGGTCAACAGACGGGTGCTTCACAAACTCAGTAATTTCAACATGGCGACAAGGGTCGATACTTGTGGTATTTTACTTCGTCTGTCGCAAACCTGATGGTTTTTCGAAACGATTACTACTGCGGGCGAAAGTCGGATACTGTACAATAAAACGGAAGTCAAAAGACAATGGATTGATATTGGTTCAAAACAATTTCTGTCGTAGACCACAATACGCAACGCAAGATTCTTTTTACCATGAAGGTCAGGTTTTGGAGTAGATACAGCTTTTGAACCAATATCAATCTATTGTATTTTGACCTTTGTTTTATCGTACAGTATCCAGCTTTCATCCGAATTAATAATTGGTTCGAAAAACCCTCAGGTTTTGGACAGGCGAAGTAAAATACCACAAGTATTGACCTTTGTCGCCATGTTGAAATTACTGAGTTTGTGAAGCACCCGTCTGCCACTTTTGTTGATCTTTCCTATAGTGAAGATTATTCACGATGGTTTGCGGGGTGCTGGGAAGAATATGCGACAACTGCGCTGTTCCTAAATTGATGTTAAACTTGATCAATTGATGGCATCTGCCACTTCATGACCTCGATTGTGTTCTTTGTCCTCAAGGTCAAGGTTCACAGTACGAAACTTTGAAAACCACGTATGAACATGTCCGATATCGCACCTCCAAACTGAGATTAGGCATGTTTTACCTACATTTTTACAAATAGATAAAGACAAACTGTTAAGTATTATACATTTTTTGATTTGCGTTGCAACCAGGTTTGGCAACAGGAGAGGGCATTGGCGATTTTCCATTCCCTGCTTTGTGCCCTGCTATGCCCTGCCCTGTACAGGACATTCGAATTTCATGCCCTGCCCTACCATGCCCTTGCCCTGCAGGGCATCAGGGCATTTACAGGGTATTTACGGGGCATATGGGTATATTTTGGCGGACGCCTCCACCGAGCGGTCGATAATCGGCGGACGCCATAACTTGGTTAGTTTAGTAGCGAGCTCCCAAAGGCGTTAAGTCTAATTAAAGTAGTAGAAGGATCACACTGAAGCTCTACAGTCAAATGAGTACAGTTTCGTCGGAAGTCTTCGTCGATCAGCTTCAGAAGGTGGGGTTTCTTCAACGCTGATGGTCTACCAGATCGAACTTTTCGGACATGTCAAAGTCACCGTTTTTGAACTTGTGGAACCAAACTTTTGTGGTGTCGTAACAGACAACTGAAGACCCTACAACACTGCATAGTTCCTTCGTCGCTATTGTTGCGTTGCCGTGTTCACGTAATTTGAGAAGCAACACTGCCCGAACATTATTGTGTTTTTTGTTTTTAGCCCTGGGACATCTCTTTATACAGGTTGCCAACAGAAAGTTCTAGCTAGAACTGTCCAGAATTTTTTTTAAAACTTTTGAAAAATCGGCCAGAAACTTTCGCAAACATCCAATAAGTCACTGAGAATATTGATTGTTTGTAATTGATACAAACAATTGGTGACCCGACGTCCTACATCGACCGACCGACCCCGACGTGGGCCGACCGACATCGACCAACACCGACCAACCGACATTTTCATGTCAGGAGACATTCGACGCCAGATAGGCCTGGCAAAAGGCCGACTCCTTACGAAAATCAACCGAGCTAGAGGAGGATTTGAAAGTACGACTCAACATCTCAACCTCGGTTACTCCATCCCCAACATTTTTGGCCAAGGTGGACAATACTTCCGAAACACAGCCAGAAGTCAACACGGCTATCGTGCCAATCCTCAACCGATCGTTTTTGCCAAAACTTCAAGTTCAAAGATTTAATGGCGATGTTACTCAATGGTTAAGCTGGCGGCCATCATTCTACTCCGCAATTCATGACCGCAACGACGTGGATAACAACACCAAACTACTGTACCTGAAGGCTTGTTTGACAGGAGACGACGAAGATGAATTATCAGGGGTTTGCTCACTTGGATATTCCTACTCGACCGTAATTCACCGTCTTCAAGACCGATTTGGGAATCAAAGCCGACTGCGCACCCAGCTACATACTCAACTGGCAAGTATAAAACCGGCTGAAAAATCAACTCCAGATCTTCGATCTACTTATCGACTGTCGCTGCCGTAATCAGCCAACTACGTGCCATCGCAGACGATGTAAACCATGTTATCATCATGAGTCAAACCGTGAGCAAGAGTCTACTACGTCTTCTGACCCTGTTGGAAATCAAACGCCACGAACAACTTTGGTCGATTAAAAAATTACTTGAGGAAATAGACCAACTGATTCTTGAACGTGAACACGTCGAACGACTCCAAGCGTCTTATGGAACTAAACCAATAACGCTACAAAATCAACATTCTTCGTCAAAACAGAAGAACACGCCTTCACAGCCAGCCAGATTTCCATCAAGAAAAGCATGTTATTGGTGCCACAAAAAACACCACAGCAGCATTTGTACTTCAACTTTTGGTACGGAACCTACAAGACAAACAGACTCTCCTCCTGCTCGACCTTCGACTTCTTGGCACCGCCCGACTCAACCTCAACTCAACAAACCTGTTGCTAAGCCATTTTCTAAACCTACTGGAGGCAATGCCACCCCTATTTAAGAAGTTGCGATGATGACTATCAACAATGAGAATGAAAGCACAGACAATGACAGCAACAACGGCTACGAGCTCTTTGCACTTTCATCTAACAAAGACGAGAAGATCAAGGAGTATTATGGTTCCACGCCTTCTGCTCTGCTGTGCTGCTATGTACGATTGACTAATCCATACGACCCAGAACGATCAGCTACTGTTCTAGCACTTTTGGTTACCGGATCCACCCACAGTTACTGTACACCAGATTTAAATAAAATCAGAATTTTAAGGTTTTAAAACTAGTATTCTTATCGACCGGTTGATAATTTTTAGCATATTTTAATTGTAAATCTTATATATATTATTCTTGTTCTGTTGTTCTAAAACGTATAGAAATTGCATTAGGTGCAATTTTAAGCAAAAACCCTTCTTTTTTGTACAAATTAAACATTTGTAAATTACCGATCGGTCGATAACAATATTGCTTTTAAAAACACAAATTAATGCTTTAATATGTAGAATATGACAGATAACAAATTCTACACTTAGTTACTAAATTCGAACTCCATACTCTATGACTCCCCTCAGTAAGTTGTGAGCGAATACAAGTGAATAAATAAAAAAAATAAAAACACTTAGCTAGAGCTGCTAAACTAAACAAGTTATGGCCTAAGCCGATTATCGACCGCTCGGCGGAGGCGTCCGCCACAATATACCCAAATGCCGATAAAAATAACAATAAAATCTTACTTCTTGTTGCCCATTTTGTCAGTAACGAAGATCAATAACCAGTATACAAGGTAAACGGATGCCCGGGTGACCACCGTTGAAATTTCAATGGAAATAATGAAAATAAAATCGTTTCTGACATTTTTGAAAAAAAGAAAAGTACAAGTGAGAGAGCCATGCAAATTTTCAAAAAATCATTTTTTTAATTAAAATTTTGGAAAATCGGCGAAAAAATTTTATAAAATTTAAAAAAAAGGAGCGGTAATTCAATAGCAAAAATGTGATTAGCAACAGGTTTTAACGGTAGAATTTGAAAAAAACGTGCGAGGGCCGCAGGCCCGAGCATATTAGTTTGATTATGTTTTTTTATATGAGTAATATAAAAAACATGAAGTTGTAAAGTCCAGATAAAAATGATCAAAAGCAATGTTAGGGCCGCGGACCTGAGCTCATGATATGATATCTTCAAATGAAAATTTTTTCATTGATTATAACATCATTAAAAAAGGATTTGCAAAGGCCGAAGGCCCGAGCTCATGATTTAGCATATTATAAACTGGATTCAATGTCCAGATCATAGGATGCCTGAGGGCATCCGGTGATCGCCTTTTAAAATACTACTTTAATTATTTTATTTTATTTACAGCCAACAGATGAACAATACTTACTATAATATCTACAAATTTTTAAATCTAATAGCTTATACTTTCAAAAAAAATATACTGATCAGTTCAACATTAAAACTTAAAATATATGCCAGGTGCGTTACAAAAAAAATTGGACGTTCAGTCAAAAACAGCGAATTCTTGTCTGTAAGCGCGCAGAGAAAAAAAAGACGTTGTTCTCTTCGCGGCGAGAGAGCATGGTCTCTTCTATCTTTTCAGACAAGAAATTTGGAATTCTTGTCTAAATGCCTTTTAGACAAGAATTCGCGGTTTTTGACCGAACGTCTAATTTTTTTTTGTAACGCACGTGGCATATATCTTAAAATAACACTTTTCAAAGCGTTTTATTAAATAATCAACAGAACATACTTAAAAGTGAAGTTAATATAGTAATTAGCAGTAATTCCAGTGCAAATCAACCACTCAACATATGTGTATAATAAACACTGACTCAGTTGTTGGACATGAAACACTTTAAATTTTAAAATACTTCATTAAGAAAGCCGCAAAGCATCCAAATAGTATGGATAAGGTTACTACGTGTAATGGTAGCACTCTAGTCTTTCTATCCTCCAACCTGAGTCGTGCCAAAGCAGACCCGATTCAAAGCAACTCCGACTTCATATCATCCTTTTATTATTTCTTCGAGGAGACTCCTACTAGACTCGTCTGTCTAGCAGGCCTACAAAGAATCAAACTGACCTTTATACGGCGATATCGGGTCTTTTCGTATTTTAGAGAAGACTCGATATCAGACCGTAACATACGCTTAACACTTTGAAAGTTTTGTTGATTGAGCAAAAATTTTTAAAACGGAAGTAAGCAAAAACAGAATTGTATTTAATTTACGTTCACATTCAGTACTCTTAATGCAATTTCAAATAGAAAGTTCGAATCCTTATCTTTTAAATGTATAAATTGGAAGCAATTAGACAAGAAATTCATATTATGTTGTGCCTATGAAGATATGCAAATTATATGTGACAGTAGCTGTTTTCGGATTTGTTTATGCGTCTGTCGTTAGCCCTTGGCGGAAAGCCAGTCAAGTTTGTTCGAAACGTTCGAATGGGCTTATTCTTTGTTTATAAGCCTACACTTTTAAGTGTGCATAGTACTATTTTTAGTGTTAAAAATTGTAATATTTAAGAATTACAGTATTACATATCTGGATTTTATAAAAAAAAAGTTTTTTTAAATTTTTTTTGTTTATGATATAGCCAATGTACATACTGTTTTAACTGTAAAAACATGGAATAGTACTTGAAAGAGTGGAGTAGATCAAATCTAACTTTGATTTAGACATTTTAACTATTAAGGGTGTAAAACTGGCCCAGTTTAGGCGGCATCTTTGATTTTTTCGAACCGTGCCGTACCCTATTTTAGGCTGAAGCCGGCTTACACAACAGGCTGTATAGTTCGGCTTATACGATTCGTTTATCACCAAGGGTTGAACACAAGACAGAACAGAAGAAAAGACTGAAATGCCCTGTACCGGGCTGGGTATATCAGAGCACAAGACAGGGCAAGAAAAATTGTCAATGTCCTGTCTTGTGTCCAAGCCTCTCCTTACCTTTACTTTTTAACCGAAAAGGCTTTAAACAAGTCAAACAGTATCTATCAATGTTTTTAAGAAGGTTTTAAAAAAAGATGTTAGATATATGCCTAGAAAACAAATTTTGAAATTGTAAGCACGGAACTAGTCAATACCTACGTGAAAAGCTTCCGAGCTTCTATAAATCCAGCTGCTGAGTACTTTCAGCGGAAATCAGATTCGGCGAAATTAGCCGACCTCAACGTTCTGTTCCTTTTTTGGGGATTTGTGGGTCGTGTACTTTATTACTTCTTTTGCATTATACTTGTCATTTACTGTTTCTTTTGTGTCATGACTTCTTGTTTTCACTATATATTAATAGTATTAGCAAAGACTTTTATCTAATAGTACTAGCTATCTATTACCTTTGTTCATAACTGCCAATATCTCTTCTGTATTACACTTGCTATTTATTTTTCATTCCTTCCAGTACAGAACATACAATAGCCATGCCCATCGGGTTTCAATAGATACGCTCATTCAGTATGCTGTTTAATATGAGAGAAGGTATTGTTGAGAATGAAAACGGCCATAAATTATTCCCAAGACTTTTGGGACAATATTCTGATGGCTTAAGTGACTGCGGGCGCCGGAATTGGATTAAAACATACCAATATCACTCTGAAAGGCCGGATTCGACGTGTACTTTTAATACGGTGCTCAGGGAGAGGGAGGGGGAGGGAATGGGTCGACGTTCGGGTTAAGTGTCATTGGGTTGTATACATAACAAGATAGTATATCTAAGGCATTTTTATGCTTTTTTATCTATGATTTTTACTAAGATGTTGCTTTTTGTTTGGTTAAACCAGGATCTTCCAGTAGCAAGTGTTGTGTATCACCTATGATAATATATCTATAATAACATATGCCTATTATAACTGTTTTCGCAGTACTCAACCACTCTTTATGTATCATAATACCTATCATTATCTCGTTTTCCAAGTACATCTATAAAGTAAAGCAATGAAAAGGTATCAAATTCAAAAAATAAGCCAATGTTATCACATTTTGAGTACATCTCCCCATACCATCGTTTGTTATTGTGCTACGGAGGCGGTGTATAATCCACACTTAATTGCACACTTATTTAAAGATGTATTAACATATTTGAGGCTGTTTTTAATTTCTTTGAGTATGTTAATCACGTAGTATAGCCTTTGTTTAGGTTTAATTTCCCTAAAATATCGTGGCTTTGGGTGATGGATACTGGCGGCGTTCGTTTGATGATGCTATGGTTAAGTGTTGTGGATTCTGTATAAATTTATATAGATTGTTGTGGTAGCTTGCGTATAGGTTGTCTGGGGAGTGAGCTTGGTCTGGCAGACGATATTTTTTAGTTTTTAAAAAATTTGTTTAGGTATGAAACTGAAATAAGTTTTTGTAGTAATAAAGATGATTTTCAGTATAACTAATGTGTAATTTTCTTAATGTAGTACCAAATCTATTTTTTGTGCTACGAAGTCTATTTTTAGTCTAATATTGACGTATAATCCTTAAACAAAAGCAGAGTATTGCAATTACATTCTTGTGGTACTCATTTGTTTACCCCACCGAGACATATTGAGGGTGACATGACATGTTTTGGCCTGCAAAACCCCGACTCTAGTCCAGGGTTGTATTGCTAATTAAACGGTGTTATCATGCTTAATATGATATCTAATCGAAGGCGTTTCGTGGCAGTTCAGAAGTGAGGCCACGAGAGGATGGCGTGTCGGAACTCGTTAGCACCATGTTTTGAGTTCTTCTCCGAGATTCATCTTGCTCGCATTTTGTTCGGCCGCAAGATTATTCAGCTTCGTTGGGCCGAAAACGCGTCATGCTGACCTGTTATTACAGGGTTCAGATTACTGTAAACGGTCTGGCTTGTTGCAGACGAAAGATACGTTAATTGCTGCTGTGAGTGCACTATTGGTTGTATTGGAGGCATCTGCTGGTGGTGTCGGGAGTTTGTGACATTTTACAAAGATTTTAATCTGGTTGAGAGGTGGGATGATATTGTTGCACTATCTTTATTGATTATATTGTACTAAAGAACTGTAAGTACAATGTCACTTTGAATTTAGATTTTACTGGTTTGGTTATTTTTTTATATGAAACTTAACGTAAATTAACAAACCTTTCGTGTTATTAAGTTGTATTAAAAGTAATGAGCTACTGAACTCTATATCAACTATGAGAAAAAGCTAATTACTTATTATACAACCTAATATAAACCTTAACATAACTTAACAAACCTTTTATGTTACAAAAGGCTACTCTATGAACTTTTTGACCAAATTAAGTGTAGCAAGAAGAAGATATATCATCACAATAACTAATGTCTCACCTGCTATTGCCTTCTAATAATATGAATATTGTAGCTTCATACATGAAGACCTTACTTCCTCTACACATCGTATCTTGTCACAAACATACGTAAACATGGACGAAGATGACTGCTCCGTTATACCTCCAGAAGGCCTGCGAATGGCCATGGTGGCTGTGGCAGGTACCTTCATTGCCGTGGTATCCCTGATCTTTAATGCCTTCTTGTTTGTGTTATTGATATCGAATCCACAATACAGACGAACACATCTGCTATATCTTGCATTTCTGGCACTAATTGACACCTTCTTATCAGGTACGGGATCAGATTTGTGTTTACTCGGAACTACATTCATTATATTATGTTAGGTTGTGTTTGTTGAGATTATATTTTTATTACACCATTCTATTTATATACTAGGGTATATATTAACGTATGTTTAGAGACAAAAGAATAACATATAAGATGTTCTTTTACAGAACAAAGTAATATTTTACATTAAGAAGTCTTTTGGTATACATGTTAACAACAAAATGCATTAAAACACACGTAATAACCATGGTATTCCACCTTTTCAGCGTCGTACATCTTGATCTTTCCGGTCAATTTGTTCATGGACTACTTTGAGAGCGACTTCTTGGCTTGGGCATGGTTCAATTATGTCAAGCCTATGCTAGCCATTTGTCATGTAGCCATCACGAGTTCAGCGCTGCTACTGACGTCAGCGACCTTCGAGCGATATCTTACCATTTCTAAGATACGAAGTCAGTTCTCGACCACTTTTCGACTGATTATCGTTATGATTACTGTACTTTTTGCTGTCGCTGCTAAAGCGCCAATGTACTTTGAGCTAATAGTAAGTGTCATATTGCTTTTTGTATTTTAGAACTGTACTTTTGATTACTTTACTTATATAAACCATGATGACAATGTTTACATATATATATATATATGTAATCATGATGACTATGTAAATGTATAGATATGTACAATATGCTAACTATAACATAACTTAAAATAGGTTGTTGAAAACACAAACTGTACTGGTGTTACTGGCTACTCAGCGTACATGGCCGAGTGGAGCTATGAAGAACCGTACCAGACTGTGTACAAGTTTTGGTTCAGGAACATTATCGGAACGTTCCTACCGTTCTTTCTTTCTCTACATTTTAATTTAAGCATCGTGGCACGGCTGAGACAACAACATACTGGAGCACGTTTATTCAGATTTGCTACATCTGAACATAGAGTAAGAAGAAGTTGTTTTACCTATCATACTTTACCTTGCTTCTATCGTCTACAATTTATTTTAAATTTAAATCTGGGTTATGTTGTTTTAAATTTTGAAGTTTTTAATAATAAGTTTTGTTCAGAGGAATATACGAGCAGCTACTCGTATGTTGGTGCTGATTACCAGTACTTACATTGTATGCAACTCACTATCAGTTGTCATAGCTGCTTGGGAGTTTATTGACAAAGTAAGTTAACATGTTTTTGTATTTTATGTAGTAGTCCTTTTTATTCTTTTTATCTACTTTTATATCTTAAATTACTGCTTAATGCTTTTTCACTTTTGTAGGAATCGCTGTATACCAGTCAACTACGACCCTTCTATACATACGCAACAGACCTGGTGTCTATATTGACTGTTGTCGCTTGCTCAATTCGACTACCAATCTACTACTTTTGCAATGTAAGTAATCGGCAAAGTAGTTGGGTAGGGAATGAATGGGTAGTGGTAAGCTAAAGTAGAGTTAGAAAAGGCAAAGGCAGGCTTGGGTAAGGCTTGAATCAGAAAGGGTAGGCTTGGGCAGGGCTAGGATTGGGTGGGGCTAGAAGAAGTTTATTTTTGAATTTACATCGGGGGTGATCTATTCAGTAAGCAGATCCATTCTTAGAGTGTCCCATTTTCGGAAGAGGTTTAGAGAAAAGGCTAACATTAAAGGAGCTGCTCAGGTTTTTTGCGAAAAAAATGAACGTCGAATTTTTGCGACAGAATGCCAATGATATTTGAATGGGCGAACTGGTCCTTTAACATGGTTAAAACTTTTTTGCAAATTGCAAATGCTTGTGTGTTGCAACTGTTTTTAAACAGTTTTAACTTATGAACGGGTGACAAAGCCTAAAGTTTAGTAATCAGCAAGTTTTATCTGATAAACTAAATTTTTAATGTGTTTCAAGTGCTCAAGTGCAGGATTATTCCACGAAACGTGATAATGTAAAGATTTACGTTCCTGTGAAGTATATGTTTTCAGAGAAGACTTCGGCGTGAAGTCAACGACAGACTCCTCAGATTCTGTGGCTGTGAACCCGAGAAAGTTGAAGGAGGATTCTCGAGGAAGAGCCGGCTCACAACTATAAGGTAAAATAACATTTAAAAAAATAGTATCATACATTGTTTACCAGACAAATTTCTGTCAAAAAAATATTTGCATAACAACAAGGATTACATTCAACTATCTTTCAGACACTTTACTCTAGTTATTATTAAGTATATTTCAGACACTCTAATTATCATAAGTCCAAATTTTACAAACTTAAAATTAAAAAAAGTACTTTTTAATGTAAACATAGAGCCTATAGTAAAATTGAAATTACTACCTCTATTTAACTTATACAGACAAACCTAACTCACATTATTTTAGGTACTTGAATACGGGCGACGGATTTGTGTTGAGTAACAATGGCAGTAGAAGACATGAACCCAAATGTATCGTGGGAACGGGCTTCGATCGTGTCGTGCTTCAAGTCGCGATGCAAGATTGGAGCCGCGGAATGTGTCGTGGTGCTCATCTTTGATTCATATCTACATTTATGATAAACTCTTTAGGGAAATGAAGCTTTAACACTTATAAAAAGACTAATTTAATCAAAAATTAAAATTAAAGACAAAAGTTGGCGCTAAAATAAACAAAATGCCAAAGGCTTTCGTGGCGAGAAACAATTACGCATTAGAAGTAAGATCTAGGTTCAATTTTAAACTAAAAATAGTAAATCAACTTAAAATCTTTATCCTAAGTTGTAGGATTCAACGCATTAGCATAAAAGCATTTTTTAATTTGATTTCGAAGAATAATAAGTCGTATAACAGAACATTCTTCCACAACACGAACTTGAATGCTTTGTTGGCTCACCTGGCCAAACTGGCTCTAATTATCATTTTTGATTTTTTATATTTTGCTCAATATATGTTAATATAACCCATATTTGAACTCGCTTTTAAAAACAGTTTGCGTAACATTGGCTATAGAGTAAGTAAACCTATGATAATCCCATACCAAAGCAAACTGTTCAGAATAGAGGCTAGTAAGTCTACCAAACTGTATATTGTTTTGTAATTTCATAGTATTTTCAACAAATATTATGATAAATGTTGTTTTCAAAATAGTAACGTACTTTCAACCAGTAATACTGGTACTGGCAACAAATCTGACGTAATTATGATAAGCTGTTTCAGGACAATCGAACTACTGATAACAGTAACACAATGAACAGACGGAAAACCATTTATTTCTATTGTAAAACCCTTTTAAGTGAGTTTGGCGATTGTATATTAATATAGAGGGGCTCTTTTCAAGTTCGAACTTGTTTTTGGTTATTTTGTTATTTGACAATTATTTTGTGTTTTAAGTTTGAACAGTGGTTTGTAAATGATAAAATATGATTTTTAAAGCTTTTAGGGAGATATTAGAGAGTACAGTAAAGTTAGAAAAACTATTGGTAATCAGAGAGCATAATAACTACTTTACTATTCAATTTATATCATTATATGCTATTGTAGTATACAAAATCTTCATAATCTAACGTTAAACATTATTTTCGTATTATGATACGTCATTATAGCCTTAAAGTGCTATTTTAAACACAAACATAGTCATCAGAATGTGTTCTTATTAAATTATGATGACTTTAACCTTTGACTGTTTACTTTCTCAAATTATAACACATTTCCTAATAACGTGTCACAAACGTCCTCACGCCGTCTCTATTCCGGAGTGTACTTTGTAGCCGGGCTGTCTCGTATGTAGTATGTGTGTTCGCTTCTTGGCCGAAGCACGGCCGCCTTCTTAATATTCTACATTGTATTCTGTTTCATTTAATACTGACCGTGCATAGCAACGGTTATTTAAGCCCTTCTCTCGAGCACTTGTTTAACTTTTACATAGTATTCTTTGACAGTAACTGCTCTTAATAGTATTTATTTTGATTTATAGCTACGTTAAACACTAAAGTACTACTTAACAAAATATTGGTTTAAATAGAACTAGTTGTTTTTTTAACATAACCACCTACCATCAGTCATTAAAGCAACTAAGACAGTCACTATCAAACTGTTATTTTGTTTGTCTAATGAAAATCCGGGAACCAATTGCATCATCAGCCCATTAAAAGCGAGCCGCTCGAACAGATCCAGGCTTTATTAGTTTATACTTACAAATAGAATCGCCGCTAACTTATTTTATATATCACACTGTCATGGAGCCGGGAAATGAAGGTCAGTTGAAACCTGATTCTGTGATCGGGAGTGATAAATCACGGCATCACAGTCGTATATTATGTTCAATAGACGCTTATTGTTCGGATGACATTCAAATTCGCAGTGATATTCGGAATTTTTGATGGCATTTTGATGCAAAGATGACATTTTATTGTAGTTACATTAAAAGAGAAATGTCAATTTAAATAAAATGGCATCATTTTGTTATCTATATGTCACAAAACTAAAGAATTTTAGTTATTTTTGGTTTTGAAACTGTAAAGTTATGTTTTCTATACTAAAAGCATATTTAAAGTCAGCTAAAACGTTTAAATATAGTTTTATTTACTATAAAAACAGTTATAATACCAAGTCTTATCTAAAGTCGTACAGTATCCCTAACTATAGCCCAACAAACGTGTGTCCATGATCTATAGTGATACCTTTTGTCTTGCCCGATATCTGATCAGGAACCCAAAAGTTGTTTTGTTTTATATAACATTACCTCACTTGTGTCTTTTCGAAGATTTATTTATCTTTCACGTTCCGTTTTTTATAGAAGGCACATCCTTTATTGCAAGGCCAGGCCGCGTCTCCAAGTCCAATGGAATAGTCGGGCTGATAGAGAGAGAGTTAACCATGCCCCGAGTGATCGTCTCCCTTCTGCTCACCATCCTCCTCTCCGTGTACGCGACAGAAGTGGCACGTAGCGTCAGAATCCACGATCCCGACCTTGTCACGAGTCCGGAGAGTTTGGAGTTGGTCATAAAGGAGACTAAGCAGATTACTCTGACGTTAAAGTAAGTTTTAAGCTTTCTTTCGCTTTGTGGCTAGTTTTTTTAAACTTTTTTTAAAACTATTTGGCCTTAAACGGTCAAATATGTTAATGTACTTATTTTATGTTCCTGTTTACTGTGAGCAATTTAAATTTTATATTTACTTTACATTACAAAACTACAAAACACCTGCCACTAAAACCACTTTTTTAAATTTTACATACCGTATTTTTAGATTAAAATAAAAAATATTTTAATAGCCCAAGCCAACTTTTATAATTTCCCCTGCTTTCTAGACCGCCGTTTCACCCTAAATGACAATATTTTTTAAACTTTCTTATTTTTCAGCAAAAGCATAACCGATACTTTGCTAATTACCTTCAAACCCAAGCCATATTACACGTTATCACAAGAGTCTTTCAACATATCAAGTGCCAATAATGTTATGCATCTTAATGTTACCGGTGATTTCGTGGCTAGCAAGACTTTTGTCGAATTGGCTAGCTGCAAAACGCAAAATGGAGAAGACTGCCCTGTTAAGTAAGCTATATAAAATTTCACATATCTTAATATTTTAATAAAAGTTTATCAAAAAGCAAGTTAAAATGACCCAATCTCCTCATAACTCAAATTCTACGCAATTTTGGACCAAAAGATAGATTTAAAAAAACTAATTTTTTAAAATAAAAGTATTTATAATTAGTTCAAAACATAATATACCATGTTTATTTCAGTGCAACAAAGGTTTTCACTTCCGTTACAATCATGTACAGCTATGTCATGAAGTTCTTGATAATGGCAACCGGCTGGATCTACTTTGTAGCCTGGAGTGTCTCCTTTTACCCCCAAATCTGGCTAAACTTCCGTCGAAAGAGTGTAGAAGGTCTTAATTTTGACTTCCTGTACCTGAATATCATTGGCTTTACGTGTTACTCCATCTACAATGTGTTCATGTTTTTCGACGAAGAAGTTCAAGAGCTGTACGAACTCGAGAAGCCCAGAAGTGTGATTCCTGTGTTCCCCAACGATGTAGTCTTTGCCCTTCATGCATTGGTGGCTTGTATTATCACCGGGTTACAGTGTTTTATATATGAAGTAAGTTGGCTTTTCCATTCATGTCATACCTTTCCTTACTGTGTCATGCATTGTATTAAATGAATACTGTTATAGGAAAAGTGACTGTACTTTAGTTCGTGATATCTTTACACGGAACTTGGGTATTTGATTACAATGTTCTCTTAACCGGTTGTTACTGACCAGTAGTGCAAATAAACTTTGTAATCAAATACCTACAACAATATCAAGTACACGCAACAGTATTGTTATCTCTGACTCATTTTTGTACTATTTTGAAATCTTCAAAACACCATTTTAAAACTTATAAACCGTATTCATAACCAATTTTTGTAGCGTGGACAACAAAGAATCTCGTACATTTGCTGGGGATGGAGTTCGACGTTAATAGCGATTTCACTCGGATGCCTAGGGGCTTCTTTGTTCAAGGCTATCAACTGGCTTCAGTTCATCAATTACTTGTCGTATATTAAGTTGGCAGTAACGGCGAGCAAATACCTGCCTCAAGCCATCCTTAACTTCAAACGAAAAAGTACAGTAGGATGGTCGATTGGCAATATCTTGCTGGACTTTACTGGAGGTTCTATGGACATCTTGCAGATGATTCTACAGGCTGTGAATACAGGTGAGATATTTTAAAATTACCACTTACAAGTTAGATAAAATATGCCTAAAAGCATATTATTCAAACTATTAGGTCGTTCACTTAATTCTGCGTCCTCTGACGCTTTAAAAAATAAGCATACGCCAATCCTTATTCGAATACGTCGATGCCCTTTATTCGAATTTCAGACGATTGGAGTGGATTTACTGGAAACAAAGTCAAGTTCGGTCTGGGTATAGTATCCATGGGATTCGACGTACTGTTCATTATACAACACTACTGTTTATATAGACATACGGAGGTAAGACTACTATGTTACAACAAAAACTAACGTCTGATTTCAGAGCTTCGATCTGAAACCTACCAAACCGTCGGTAGTCACCGTGAATACAGTAGAAGTAATAGCGTGAACCAGAGAATATTAAGCTACGTGTCTGTATAAATATTAACATATATATATAAATAGGGCTTTAAACTGTTTTTGTTATTAAAGCGTTCGAAGGTGTAAGAGTCGGAGTATTTACATGTCATTGTTTTACCATTCGCTTCAGTTGTTCGTTTTCTTCTTTCAGCTTCCCATTCACTTTTAGTACGGTAGCGAGTTGCTGCAATTACGGTAATCATTATTAAGAAAAAGACATCTTTAATACAAAATTACTAAACTGTAATAAAATGTTACCTACCTTTTCTAAAGCATTGAGTCGTGCATTCAAAACAGAAACGTCGTCTTTTGGAGCTTTGCTCTCTGAAGTATCTTTTGACTAAAACAATTATAAAATTATTATGAACCTTAAACAATAAAATAAAGCATCTAAAGCAATCCTATAAAACCAGGCTATGAACTTCAAAAAATAAACTCAAAACCTACCTTAACGCTGCCACTAACACTGATAGTGTCCACGTCTGTACTATTGTTATCTTCGCAATCTGCATCCAAATCTGACGGTAACTGATCGTTCTTCTTCAACATTTTTTCAAGCTTGTGGCTGCTTTCTTCATCTCCTTCCACCAACTCAAGGTCGTCTCCGCTTGTCTACAACGATATACGAATTGCATTGTTCAATTGTATAACAAAGTATTTAAAATATTTTAATATAAAACACTTGTTATAAATTTTAAACTAACTTTAAATGCATAAAACGAAAAAATTATACTTTATAAAGTTATTCTTACCGTCCCATCAGTTGAAATAAAGTTAGCTGGTCTTCTTTTCTCCCTCAGCTTCCTTTGGCGATTGTCCACATGTCGTTGAGTTGGACGAGTGTGAGGCAAACTATGATGGTGATGATGAACTTGCCGTTTCTCTCGATTCCTCTTCTGCATACTTTCTAAAATCACCATAATTAAAACATTTTAAACGAAAAGCCAATAAATATATACACATTACAAACAAATTTAAACCCAGCTTACCAGAAGCAGGAGAATCTGAAGTTAACGCCGTCGTAGCCATGGTTAAAACTATAACATTATGTTACTTATCTCATTTGTTATTAATCACCAATATTTGAAGCGAAACAAACGCTGTTTAAAAAAATAATGCCGTAAAACGATAAACTTTATAACATGGTAACAAATGAAAATCAACAAAATAGTACTCAAGCCTTAATCTTGATAGATTTAACTGTAGACGCTCTGATACCACGAACTTCTCCAGTATACTTCTGCATCTCTCTTTTGACGTCTGGAATCTGAGACCTTCTTCTGACCAACGCCTTTTTGTACTGTAGCCTCCTCTTGATTCTCGAGTGTTCTGTACCTTTCTTTCTCTTTTGTACCAAACCTTTGTTCTTTTCTATCTAAAAATACAATTTAAGCATGTAAAATATACCACAATCAGGGACGTCGCTACGGTTTTTCTCTGGGGGGGAGGTCGAAAAATTTTTTTTGTGGACCGATTTTTCAAAATTTTTTTTTTCGTTTTTCCGCGTACAGGTACCTACCTGTGGAATTTTTTTCGGATCGGCTCGTATTTACATTAAAATTTTATAAAACCTTTAATTATCGTAAAACCAACCTGATAGTTAATTCCTCTTTTCTCCACATCGTCATCCTCCTTGTCATAATCATCCCAACCTTCAACAAATGTTTCTTCCACTTCAGAATCATCATCTTGTTCATGCTTCTTCTGAAATAATTTCCTTTCTTCCACTTCTTTATCCTTCCCCTTCTGTTTAGCTGCAGCTTCTTCTTGTTTCCTCCTCTCAGCTGCTGCCAACGCCATCCTTTCCCGCAATGTCATCTTCTGCACGGGTTTATCTTCTTGTACCTGATCATCATCATCCTCAAAAAACTGATCAAAATTCAAAACAGAATTTTTCTTATCCAACCTCTTTTGTCTTTCTGTAGCATCTTCTTCTTCCAAATCGAGTAACTCTTGTTCTTCATCATTCAAGTACCCATCTTCTTTAGTTCTAGTCTTGTTGTTTACATAGAAATCTCTTCGACTTTTTCCCCATTGATTCGCGGATACTACTAAACATTAAAAAAGTCATAAAATATGATTTGAGCTTACTTTTCATAAGAGGTTCTTCGTCAGGTTTGTCCAAGTCGTCTTCCTCGTAGAGATCGTCCAATCCATCAGCTTGAACATTCAGAACTTCAATCTCCTTTCCTTTCCTAGCTTTCTTAGTCACATTAATATCCTTGTTGCGCTCATTGTGGAACGCGTCAACCTCATCATACACATCATCCGTATCTCTTTCCGGTTCTGTTGCAGAAGTAATTTGTCGCCTAAAAACAAAAAATAAGCCAATACTTTAAAAATAATTTGTTTATTATCAATTAAAAGCAAAATAAGTAACTTACCTCTTTCCTCCCTTCCTTTTGGCCATTTTCAGAAGGTAATTGTTGTTCGAAAATGTAACAAGTTCAGTTTCGAATAAAGTCGACTTTTTCTCTTTTTTAACAGTTTTTAGGTCAACTCTCACTCTCTGTTTGGGTCAAGTCTTTTTTATAATTTCAGAATTTTGTCGATCTGAATTTCCCGCCGTTTCGTAGTTGATATTTATTTATCATAAAGAAGCATCGTTGCCTCTCTCTTATCAAGGTGATACCCAGCTTGTTATTACGAAACTTGATTGTTCAGTTTTCAGAGAATGTTTTGGGAAGAGCAAGTGAACGACAAGCAAGAATCTGAGCTTCAGAAGTTGGTGAATGAGGACAAGTTCGATGCTGTTATCACTCATCCGCTATGTTTCCAGGAACTCAGACAGAATTCAGACTATTTGGTTCATTATTTGACCAAAAAAGAACATTTGCAGAGGATGTTGGATCGGTCTCTGTACCGCATCATAGTAGACGATGTTGATCCTGTAGACCAGTTCAAGTACGTTTTTTTACTTTTTTTTGCATTTTAATGTTTAGAAATTCAATCAGTTCTATTGCTGTCTTATGTATGGGTAACAGTTACATCAGCGAAGCTTTAATGGACGATAAGGAAATCTGGACGCCCATCGCCGAGTTCTTGAAGGATTCTGATTCTAAACCATATGTCAATCATGTTACATGCGGATTCTACAAGCGATTAATTGTAGCACTGGTGAGCAAGATGACGGAGTTTGACACAGAGGTAACCTTTCTTGGATTTTGATTAGATTTTAATATTAAAAAAGCGTAGCACTTGAATTATAAGAATCAATTGCAGCTGATTCACATTTTGGAAAACGATGGTTTTGTGGATTTGATGCTTGCCAATCTCAAGTATGGAGCCATTGCGGAATTGATTACGAAAATTCCAATGCACGGTGTCAATGAATTCGTTCAATCAGCCATTTTTGAGGTAATAAGGGTTTTATTTTTACTTATTTTAGGTATTTTTTAAAAGATTTTACAGAAACGGTTTAAAAACCTAAAAAAATTTTCAGATGTACGTCCGTCAAAATTTGCCGATAAAGATGTACGAAGAGATGATGAAAGAAGATGTGTCAGACGATGTGCTGGAGAATATTGTTTATCTTCACAGTGAATTCGATGAAATGCAATTGAAGTCTTGTTTCAGTGCTCGAGTGTTCTCTGAGCATCTGTTCAACGTAGAACCGTTATCGATATTATTGGACGCAGCATTTCCAGCTGATCGATCTTGTTTTAAACCTAGAGTTACTACAGCCGCTTGCCAGATTCTTCAGTTGTTTTTGGATTTAAATCATTCCTCGAACGAAGCGGGTTTTAAAGTTCATCCAGAACATTACATGAAAATACCAATGAACGAGATGTACGATCGAGGCTATAGGCTGGAGACATATTTGATGAACAAGGCTGACTTGATTGTTTCTTATCTACTACAATGTTTAGAGGTATATTTGGTACTAATTCTTTCTTTTTAAACTAAATTTGGCCTTACGATCTTAATATGTTTACTTTTGGATGTTAAAAATTTTGCTTTAGGATCAAGATGCTGATGCTACAGTAACCGCTGTGAACTGTCTTACCGTTCTTCAAGGCCTTTTGAATTCAGACTTTCTGACGACACACAGAAGTTTCAAGACAGTTTTTAGTCAAGACAGAACTCACTGGAGGCTGTTATTAAGTGAATTGTTCAACAACGCTCATTCTACCATCATAGCTACTCGTATTGTCAGTGTCTTTGCTTATATGTTGAACTGCAGCTCTGATCTTGAAGACTTTCCTTTGGTAGACATGTTGGTGGCATGTGAAGAGAACATTTGTCATATCGTGGCGACGAAGGTAAAGCAATACGAAGCGATGTCACCGGATGAACGTGATCGTATACAGTACGCGGCTACTCAGCAACTGTCAGCTTATATTAGACTGGCACAAGAAGATGATTCGACCAGGGCAAAGTACATGAATATGCTTATTAATGGTAAGTTCTGTGTTTATTACAGTAGTTTTATTAATATTTGTTTAAATTCACATTTTTTAACGATATTTTTATTTTCAGAATCTTCTGCATCAGAAGCTTGGAACGAGTTGTCAAACAAGACTATATTGAGTATGACCGACGCTTCAAGGCTAACCAATCTCACAACTACGACCAACCAATCAGTGGTAGTCGATGAACTGGAGGAATCTGCTGATCATGAAGACTTCTCTTTCGCTGACCTGATTGGAAAGGAAAAACCTGTGAAATACATTGGATTTGATACGTATGCTGATAAGACGACGAACATGTTCTCGGACATGAAGATAAAGGAATCTGAAGCGGATTTTGAAGCTGCACAGAGTTCTCAAGATGTGAATGTTGAAGTATCTGATGACGAATTTGAGAAATTGACGCCAGAAGACTGGGAATTCGATAAAAGTATTAAGAATGATCAAGTTGTGCCTTCTGAATCCGAATCCAAAAAAACGACGACGGAATTTTCACCCACTAAAGATTCAAATTTAAAAGACGAATCAGTTGATGAAGAAGAAGAATCGGTTGAAGAATCTTCTGCTAATGTTATAGACGAATGGGAGGATCAGGGACGGATGGCAGATGACTTCCCACCCTTCTGTAACACTCCAGATGCCAAAAAGATCATGGAGGAGAATGTCTCCGAGAACAAATCTGAGAGGTTTGATTCTCCTGACATTGTCTTTGACCGTTTGGATTCTGAGAAGAGTAAGTTCAAAGTAAATTTCGTGTAATTGAAGTTTAGAAACACCAAAGCATTCGAGGATCCATCGTGGAATAACATCACCGTGCTCATCCAGGATCGATCTCTTTGATGAATGTGACACTCCAAAGAGAAGCGGTCAAAATTATGGTACTTTTAGGCTGATTTCGCTATCCTTGATAAACTTGCGTTAGAAAAGCTTGATATTGTTAATAATAGAGTCACTCTGACACTATAAAGTTATAACGAAGTAATATAATCAGAAGCATAATGATTTGTCCGGTGATTAGTAATTTCGTTTCAGAACCTACGAAAGAAGATTCACTGTTTGGCGACTTCTCCTCATCGTCACCGAAGGCCTTTTCCCCAGAAGAATCAACCGAAAACGACTGGCCTACCACGTCTTTGACGACCTCACCTCAAAACTCATCACTTTTCTCATCTAACGACTTGTTCAATGATACTCCGAAGAAGACAGAATCTGATGACTGGCCGACTTCACCCAGCACTCCGAAGAAGGACGATGCGGGCTGGGCCAACTTTTAACGGGACTCTTGTGTTATACTGGTATATAATTATAATAAACTAATTTTGTAATTTGCACCTTATTTAAAATGTTGTAGAACATTCGCATATCTTTTTTGTTATTAATCTTTTGTTATATATACATTTTTTTCTAATATTTACAGTTTGTTGTATAACTAGTACATTTTACAGTATCGTAGTATTAATAGTGTAAAGATGTCGAAGAGGAAGGTGTTGTTAATGGGAAAGAGCGGGGCTGGTAAGACGAGTATGAGGTCCATCATATTTGCAAACTACATTGCCAGAGATACCAGCCGTCTGGGACCTACCATGGAAGTGGAACATGCTCATGTAAAGTATGTTTTCTTTGTGTTATATTCTCTTTTCTGTTTTTTTTTGTTATTACTATTAGTAACCAAGGTCAACATAGGGGTATCTAACATTTTTTTTAATTTAAGATTTCTGGGTAATATGGTACTCCATCTGTGGGACTGTGGAGGTCAAGAAACCTTCATGGAGAACTATATGAGAGCCCAAAGAGATCAGATATTCAAGAATGTGCAAGTCTTAATCTATGTCTTTGATGTGGAAAGCAGAGAAGTAGACAAAGACTTCAGGAACTACCAAACGTGTCTAGAAGCTCTACTTCAGAACAGTTCGTCAGCTCGTGTCTTCTGTCTCATCCACAAGATGGATCTAATTCAAGAAGGGAGTCGAGAAGAAGTGTTCAAGGAAAAGAGCGACAACATCCTCAAGATAAGTATTGCAATAGGATGGGATCCCAACTCTCTGGAATGCTTCAGGTCTTCCATCTGGGATGAGACTCTGTATAAAGCGTGGTCGGCCATTGTGTACCAATTGGTTCCGAATGTCTCGTCGATGGAAGCAAAACTGGAGTCATTTGCCAAAATTGTCGATGCTGACGAAGTAAGTTGAACTTTGAAATTGAGTTTTAGGTTAAAAAGACGTTTTGTATTTTTTTTGCTTATTTTGGGCTGCAATACAATTTTGTCGATTGTTTAAACAACATATTTAGGTACTTCTGTTCGAAAAGGCCACATTTCTTGTCATTGCCCAAACTCAACGTACTTCCCACGACGATATTCACCGATTCGAGAAGGTCTCCAACATAATCAAACAGTTCAAGCTCTCTTGCAGGCAGGTCTTTTGAGTTGCTTTCGTAGTCGAGTGGGTAAAGGGGTTGTTTGGCGTGCGAAAGGCCGCGGGTTCGAGGACGAAAGAAGGGCGGGATCGTTTTGGTGGCCCTGTCTTTATATGTCCGTCGAAGAGTGACGAACGGACTATTCTCGGGTTGTTCAGTTGATTTACTTCTCGATGCACAATCCGCTTACATTTTTACATTACAATTTTAATTTTTTTTTTAAATTTTTTGTTTTTTCAAATTTTGTCAATTTTTAATATTGTTTTCGTATTTCAGCCGTATGGGCTCACAATTCGACTCAATCGAAATCCGAAACAAAAACTTCTCAGCCTTTATCGACAGTTTCACCAACAATACTTACATTATGTTAGTCTTGCCGGACGGAAATATATCGACAACTGCGACCATGATTAACATCCGAAGTGCCAGAAAGTTCTTTGACAAGCTGGACTGCAAGTAACTCTAAGAGATTCCACTGTATATTACAAATTTACAAAATAAATCTTTATTTAAATATGATGTGGTTGTAGTAAAAGTATGGTAATGTCCGTTCAATACTTGAAGGTAGCCTAAATTTCAACTTTGATATCGCGTTGTGATAAATAGCTTTTGTCAGGTTATTAATATCGTTTTGTGAAGTTTCCAGGGCATGGGTGTTCGATCGGCCTCAATAGCACCAGGCCCATCCATTCACCGTCCCCTCAAGAGCCATGTACACGATCCGCTGAGACGAAAGGTCCGTCCAGGCCCAGCATCTCTGATTTGTTATGGCCTCGAGTTTACTCTGATCTCACTGATATTCACTGCCAAGTTGGACCAACTTCAGATCTCTTCGGAAGAGTACTTCATAACCCTGGACATGTACGTGCCGTGGGCTGTGATGCAGATTCTCCCGTCAATTGCTCAATCATCCAAACTCATAGCTGGCGGGTCACTTATTCTACACGGTATTGGAGTCAACCGACGAGTCGTGAGTTTTACGTTTATTAGTATGGTCCTTTCAACGCGTGTTAGTACTTATACTAAGGAACTAACATAAACTTCACATTATTTCAGACCAGGATAACATTCCCTGAGATTCTGGCATTTGGTGGCTGGTTTCTCCTGTTACCTTTGTCACTATTCTTTGGCGAATCAGATGTTATTCTTCTGGAGTTTATGATGAGCTGTTTTCTCCTCCCTCTCACATTATTCAACCTGATCACCAAAAGAAAACGCCTTCACAGGAAAAAGCCCAACACTTTTCACAGTGCCTTCTCTGTAGCCTCGACGCCCACTTCTCAATGTAGCTCAGCATACCTATCTACATCACGTATCTCAAATATGAATGTCAGTCAGGTCAACAGGTCTCGGCAAGACAATCTCTTTGAAGATTCAATGATGGACACGAGCCCGATTCGGCCGATGGAGCGGGAAATGACACCTTTTTCGGAAATCAGTGGTCGATTAGACAGCTTATCACTGGGCTTTGGATTTGGCTCTAATAAGGATTTGGTGAGGGACAACAGGTCATCAATGTTGAGCAAAGGAGCTCTGACACCGTCCAAAGTTTCGAAGAATGGTGGAAGTCCGTTCAAGTCGTTTGGTGGAAACATTGAACCGGTAGGTTTAAATTTTGAAGAATATTGCTTGTTGAACATGAGCTGAATTGTTTTAAATTTTCATATAACTGCCAACTCCATTTTTCAGCTTTGGTCAGGCCGCAATTTCTCATCATCTCCACCGAAGCCGGCCTTCTACAGTTTAACTAAAACTCAGTCTCTCATCAACCAGCCGAGCCAGCCGTTTGGACTAACCAAAAGACGTCTAGACTTCAACACTTTTTCTACCCAAACCACTCCAGCTCCAGCGTTCTCAATCCAGTCGGCTCCAGTTTGGAAAAGCCGGCTTCGCTCAGCTGCTACCGCCAGTACATGCTCATCTACGTCGACTCGTCGCGATCTCACCAAACCCAAGAGCAACAGAATCTCCTTCAAGCAGGCGCTGATTGGATGTCTGGCGGCGGTCGGCGGAGTTTACGTGATCAAAATGATGTTGGATCTTGCTCAATCGTTTGCCTGAACTTTGTAAGTCTTGGGCTCTAGATGAATATTGTTTTAGATGTTATTGTTATCTTCTAGGCAAGCTTGGTTACCTTATTGTAGGATTATCTTCATTTGTTGTCACTTTTCAACACCTATCTTGTTAACGTATTCTACTGTTTACTTTTTCATATTGCCCTTATCACTGTCATCATAATATAAATTGATCAATTCGATTATGTTTAATATCTAAATTAATATGGAAAGTATCTTCCTGGTTACCTTGTTGTCTTGGTCACTTTGTTATCTCACTCCGGCTCTTTTCTATCTCGGTGTCTTCGTTAACATATTTATTATATATATATTTCAGTATTACTTGTTGATTTACACTCTTTACACGTATACCCACTATTTAAATAAACTTTGAGTTCCGTTTATATTACCCTCAGTATCGGTTTGTGAAATTTTAGTTTTGAAAAGGTTTAACATAACATCACACTACTTATCATAGACTGTATTACTTTGATTTATACAGTTTACACGTATTTCCACTCTGAATAAGCTTTGAATTTTGTTAATAATACATTACCGTCCATGTTAGCATAATAATCGTCATACTGAAGATGGCAGTCTTAAAAGCACCGGAAGAACATTGGTCAGGAGGAGGGACCTAATAATGTTATTTTAGGTAATTTACTGTAAAGCTTACGTCGTATTTCTCTGAGAATATTATTGTAGGTCTGGCACGATATGTGGATTCAGTGAGGGAACATTCTTCTACTATAATATAGTTTTTTATATTATGATAGGTTCGCGACATTTTTATGTTGCGATATAGGCATTAAAGACATCTTCCATTAAAGAAGACATCTTTACATTTCAACGTCTACCACCTTCTTAAGAAACTATAACAACGATAAACCCTACCTCTAACAGGCTTATATTGGTATTGCATGGCAATTCGGTTGGCAGTCGATGGACTAGGCTTACAAGTCCCTTCGACTACAATCATATTCAGTCTTTTCTCTGGGCTCGGGAGTACTGTAGCAGTGTTGTAACAGTCTTTAGTGACCTTATAGCGTACTGTAATTTTGTTGTACGATACCAGCTTGTACGAATTCTCTTCTACCACACATTGCTCAATAAAGTCACGACCTTGGAAGTGGCAGGTCTGGTTCTGATAGTACGGTTTGCTTTCCGTTGATATGAATGAGAATCTAGAACAAAGTACGTTTTGTATTTCCAATGTTGAACACTTAATCTTGTCACACGACCTTTTAAAGCCAAACAATATTGTACATGCTTGTAAAAGTTGAACTTACATTAGGCTGACTACAGTGTTAAAAAGAGAGTTGAATATTGTCATAGGTCTAAAAGAAAAGCTAGCTGGTCCTTTAAATTTCTCGTATCTTTTATCTTTGATACCACATTCTGCTTGGTAATCTCTTCTAGATGTCCTAAACACAAGTACTTTAGTTTAATATAAATATTAATGTAAAGTACGACATTTACATTGCAATTGACCAACAATAATTAAGCCAAACTTACTTTTCCAAGACTTTCCGACCGACCAGATGGTCCAAAAGTTGTGGTTCCATGGTCGAAAGATGTAAATGTTCATTAGCAACAGTAGACCCCAATATGAACATGTCACTTGTCAGCAGATAACACTTGACATTGTCATTTCTGCAGTCTGCCATACCTCCATCGTTCTCGAAAGCTTCAGTAAAGAGCTCGTTGAAGATCTTCTTGTTCCATTGAACACCCAGTAAGGCGGTTACTGCTTTCGTATCTTTGTTATCCAACGTACGATATGTAGTTACTATCTGAGTGAAAGGATCTACTCGTATATTCGTTGCTTCCGAATCTACCGGTCGTTTCAAAAGTTGAGGTTGGTCTTCGAAAAAGTGTTGCATACTCTTGTTGTTACTAAAAGAATGATAACGGTGTTGCGTATAAAATAGCGCACAGTAATATAGATTTCGTATCTCGTACAATACACGTTGATATAAACTTACCATGCCGGATAGAAGGTCACAATCCCAGGCAAAGTCTCCACGAAGGCTGAGTGAAAGTGTGGATGCCTTTGCTCGTCCGTGATGCTTATTCTAGTCTCACAGGTCTGGTTCACATCCAGATATGGCCATTGTTGTCGCCACTCACTCATAGCTCGATGAAACAGCGACAACAGTCGTCTATCGCGAACTGACATACATTCAGCTTCTTTCTCAGCCAAATCCATCAGACTTTCGTATTGGGAGAACAGAGGATTCACACTTAGGAACTCGGAACACAGCGATCTGCAAAGGTCAAAATCAAAACATTTAAATGGCTAACAATAGATTTCCTAAGGACTACAACAACATTTTTTACGCGACTTTTGCCTCCAATTGTGACTTTTCTATGTACTTTTTGACCAACCCTGACATTAACACGACATTAAAGAGACTATCAATTCCCATAAAGAGAAGTGGTAGTCATAGTAATATAATAAAGCTTACGGTTGGCGTATCCAATCGGCTACAAGTTCGTTCTCTTCGAATATCATCTCTTTGGTGTCTTCCTCAACATCTATCACTTCGCTTTTCTTGTTCCAAACAAAGCCAATCGTCAGTGGGGTATCTTTGACTTTGGCACAACGATACTGTTTGGTACCCTGAAATATAATTATTGTAAGTTCTTGCATCTATATATTTATACTTTGTTACCTAAAAACTTACATCATCAATAGCTTCACTGCAATCTCCTTTAATCATCTTGTCTCTAAACTTTTTAAACTTTTCCGAGTGATCTGGCTCCAGTTCTAGCTGAAAAACAGAGTACGTCAGCCATAGTAAACATTAAGAAATATATTAGACTAAAACATTAACACATATAGATTTTCATCCCAACTTACAATATCCAAGGTAAATATAGAGTCGATAAGTCCCATGATCTTCTTAACCCGCTCATCAGCTGGCCCGTACTGTACTCGAGTACCGTGCCTAATACTGCCTTTCACGTTATGACACGCTGTCCTTCTGACAGAATACACTTCTCGTGGAGGTACCTTCAGGTTGGGATGGTAAAAGACAATGCCATTGTTATCAATGACGAAAGAGTACATGTTCTCATTACTTTTGGACAACAACCTCAGGCTCTCAAGTGTAATATCCACTGATGCCACTCCCAACAGGCTAATGCTTTCGTCACTGACATTGTTCATGAAGTTCAACAACGGCGCAGAGACACTGATCACAGCACCTTCACCTTGAGTATCCATGTAAGGGTAAGAGAAAATTGGAAGACGATCTTCCGGAGGTATCATACTCAACTCATCAGCCAAAGGCTTGACCAGTTTCGACAAGTAGGTACGAGATTGCATTCTTACATCAGATATAGAGTCAACGATGGAGTAGGTACCATCTGTTTCACAAGCTATCCACTTTAGGGCTGGTATATGGCCAGTACCGTAACCCATAGAGTAGCCAAAGATTCGTACCTAAAAGAGTATGTCATATAGGTAATGATCTTGTTATTGTAATAAATATCATCCTACATAATTATCATTAAGACCAACCTTCTGTTTAGGATAATGCCTTCTGAACATCTTGACCTCTTCAGTAGGCCAGAACTCGATACCATCAGTAAACAACATGATAGCCTTATGTCCCCCACTGGTCTGACGTTTCTTGTACGCCTTTTTGTAAGAATCCTACAAGAAAACACCAATAATCCATTACATTGTATTAGACTTACAGATACAAACTGTGCCAAAGACATGTTGATAGCCGGAGGTAACGTAGCCTGGTCTTTCTCTTCGATCGTATCCATGATATTCTGAAACAGACGTTTGTTCCTAGTCGTGGCTTGAATAAATCCATCGCCAGAGCACGACGACAGCAGTAGCTCTTTTTTACTGTTGTACCAGATGGCGTTAAAGTAGTCATTCGGTGTTAGAGTAGTCAGAATGTACATTATAATCATCTTCATCAAGTGTAATGTCTGACCCTTGATTGAACCACTGCTGAAAATTAAAATTTATAACCAAAACCATTTTATATTATTGTAAGATCTTTGTTTTTAAATTAGTATACGAGTCTTTTCCATAAATCTATACGAGCTCATAAAAAGCGGCCATAAAGCAAGCCTTTAAAAACGCGCTCACCCAAAAATTTAAAACTTGTCCTCAACTTACTAGTCCAACAGGAAAAGCACATCCTTAGGCGCAGATTCAGCCCCCACAAACCATGGTCTAAACCTTGGATCGAACAGATCTATGGTCACTTGGTTTGGCTCAGCTTCCCATCTGAAGGAAGGGAAAACTCGGGTTAGGCCGCTGTAAGTCCCAATGTATTGTCGTTGGATTGTCGGATCTACATTGACATTGTCTTGGAAAGTCCTTTCTATTTCTGGCAGTCCAGTCCATTCAAAATCACGAACTACTTCTTGATCTAAACAAAAAGATAAGTTTACTCTCGAGCTAACACAATTTCAATTTTGCTTGGTGAATTGGTAAGTGTTTTTGATAACAAAATTTATCCTAAAAATGTCCAATCAAACAAAAAAAATGTTTGGAAAGTGGAACGTAGTTAAAAATGTCATTACTAAGTATGTGAGCGCTGTAAAGGTCCATTAGTTTTCGAAAACAAACATACCACACTTGACAGCCTCTACATTAATATGAACTCCGCTCTTCTGCATTGCCAAGTCCATGAAATAGAGGTTGGAATTGTTAATTCGCTTCTGGAAGTTGTAACACTCGAAAGCATCCTGTAAATCGATGTATTTATTATTACTTTATGTCACGGAAGCACAATAATTTTAGGAATCAATTTTGGCGTTTCGCCCAACTTTTGTAAATTTATTTCTTGAAGAAAAACAGGACAAAATCTTTTTTTCACTGATTTCGATTGAAATATTGAGGGTAAGGTTTGATTTCGTGTTGTGTTAGTCCTTATAATAAACTGTTTCAACATATTTTACTTGAAATTGACTTACATCGATACGTTGTTGATAGTAATCCATGTCTGTTGTCACTTTTTCCGTGGTTTTGATAATTTTCTAAACTCAAATACGTTTTAATTAAGGGTAACGTACTCGTAAAGAGTTGACTTTCTTCTCGAAGAAGTTGTTGAAGCTGTCAGAGACATCTCTCGAATAATCGTTGAAGTCCATGGTCTTCAGGCCTAGCTTCCCGTTTACTTCTGAGTCCAGACCCTAAAATATACTTGTAAATCGATGAAGACTTTCTTTGGTGTTTTTTAAGCCTGTAAAACTGTAGTTTTTCTTTCATTTTCTTCGTAAAACTTTAGGATTCGTCTGGTTTTACATGGTTACTGTTCCTTTTTACTTACTTTTTTGATTTTTTCCAGAAACACGGTCTCTTCGAAGATCTGGTCCCATTTTTGATTGATCTGGTACAACGAGTCAAGCAGTCGTTCTTCATTCAAACTCAATATCAGAGGTAACAGCGGTAGTGTGAATATATATTGTATCAGCATCATTTCATCGACAACGAGGCTAACTCTGATAAACCATCCAATCTACAGTATTCCTAGTGTAAGGTCATCAGTACTCGGCTGGTACTAAGTCCACTTGATGGTTGGAAAGGTCATTCTTTTTGGGGTTAAATGTCTTGGAGAGAAAAGACTTCTGAATTCATGAAAAGGGTTGGCTTCGGGAGAATAAGAGAAGCCAGTCGCGCCTCTTTTGGCCGGAAGGGCGGCCCAAAAGTAAGGAATTCGGGAGGCATCGCCTTTCTCACGCACCATCTCCTTCTCCATTCGTCTTTGGCATCGGAGCAGAAGAAGCGCTTTGTTTTAGATTTATCGTGCTGTTGGAATACCTAATCGGTCGTTCGGTCACCTTTATCAGCGGCTGTAGGACTGGTAATTCAATAGGACATAAATTGAGGTTTTTTGTTTAAAAATGGCAACGTTTTAAAGCAAATTCGTAGTTGAACTCAAGGTTGTAAAACTAAGTTAGAGTTAAAAAGAAGGTCGAGATTATCATGTTTACGTTGTGATAACTAAGAGTTGACATTGTTTCTTTTCATCTTGCTGCTATTGTGATTGAAATTGAGATGGTTTGATAATAGAGGATCCAATAAGCAGACAGATGTCGTTAATCCGATGGGAGAATTTACATAAAATTATTTAATTAAAACAATATTGACACAAGCTTCTCTCGGAAACCGGTTATTGCACAGTAAGTGGGGAAGACACACTTTGCAACATATATTGATATTAAATTGGCATTAATGACACATTTAGGGTAATATCGCAGATCTACACAAAATTATAACACTTCAAGAAGGCGTAGTACAGGTCTTGGGATGAAAAAATTTTTTTAGATATTCACGTTAGATATCAAGCTTAATGCTCTAGTTTTTTAACATACATGTACGTAGTTGTGCACTAAGTAACCTCTCATTAGTAGACTAATTACTGTCTGCATAATTTGTAGTTTTACCAAATCATAAGTAACTATACAACTAATAACACATTACTGGTTCTTAAAATCATAAAAACTATGGTTAAAACCCAAATGAAAGCTAGTTATTCATGTAAATTACATTGATATTATAGTTGACATGGTCATTATCATCATCTCATCTTCTTTCCTTAGGTTTCTAGTTATATCTTACAAATTATGGGTTGTTTTGTGTAATCCGCGAGTCCACTCTGCTCGTGAATGTGGTAATTATTGAGTCATCTGTTTGACATACAACATTGTGACAGGAAAAAGTGCGCGGATCCGGTTTGGGAAGCCAACGTCCTTGGCATCTGCTTCTTGTACGACAAGTTGTTGGTGGATAATCCGGCTTTGATGTTGCTTTCCGTTTACCTCATCGGACCACGGTCATTTGCATTGTTACTGCTCGGATTAGATTACATACTATATAATGGTAACAACATGCATTCACGTGTTGTTGAAGGCGTTTTGAAGTCAAAAAAGTGCAAATCATTAAAAAACTAATTTTAAAATTCGAACTGTAAAAAGTTACAGAAAATGGGGGGAAATTTGAAAAAAAAGCTTAAGACCGGTTTTTCTTGGTTTTTTGTAGGAGATAGGCTAACAAAGATTTTTAATACTAGTGCTACGAGTTTTGGTTGGTCTTATGGTCTCTACATTCTACTGTGACTCTTCGGAATCCAACTAGAAACAGTGTTTTTGTATATCATACCTTTATTTTATATAAAGTGTGATAACTAGAATCTACTATCATGCTGAATTCACATTCATGACAAGGCAGAATTCACACTTATAACACGGTAGAAGAATGCAAAAGGTATAGAAGAATGCACAAGGCAGGTTGTCAAGTGTTTACCACAAAAGAGCCATTAAAGCCATCAGATGTTTCTTTCGTATAACTTTAGAATCCTGGAGGATCCGGATGAGTAACATGGCTAATAAAGCAGGATCCTGTCCTTGAATTTATTTATTGCTTCGTAGCCCTTTTTTGAATTGGATGAGACGGCATCTTGTTGTTGTGGCTCCTCTCACCTGCGAGCGGATTCATCATCTTTAGAAATCCGGCTCAAACCCATTCCTTTCGCTTTCCCTTCACCTGAACTCGTTCCGGACTGCCGAACCCAGATCGGGGCGGGCTTCTGTGCTCATCTGCTTTTAAGCCATCTGAAGTGTCCGAAGCGACGTCACAAAGTCATTCGTTCATCTACAACAACATGGCGTCGATCCTGCTCTTCGTTTGCGTCTTAAGCGCCGTGCTTGTTTTGAATGTCGACGCGGTAAGTACCGTAATACTTATTGCATAACGCTCACATTCTGGTTTTAAACTTGTTTTTTACTTTTTTACACTTTGGTACGCCTATTAGTACAAGTTAAGGTTTGTGTACAAGATTGATGGTACTGAAGTCTTAAGATATCTACAGTACGATACATTTTTAAGCGATCTCAAATACCAAGTTTTTTTAATCTATAGTAACCTTTTGTTACTTACAGTACCTATACCACCTTAATGACATTTGTAAATACAAATTTTAAAGTTACAGTAACCCTGTTACAGTGTATTGGCTCTGGAGTTTGTGGAGGCGGCGGAGGCTGCTACTCGCCCCCACCAGTATCGTGCGGCGGTGGATGTTCACCAGGCTACAGCTGTGGACATTATGGGTGTGCTCGTCGACGTGCTCGTGCACACGGCTCAAATACTGTAGCTGTAGATGAGAAACAATCTCTGCTCTTCGGTCCTCAACGCTTCCAAAAGGCTCAACAGCCATTGCCAAGAGTAAGTCATTGAGATGTTAGATGGTAATACGAAAATTACAGTAATGTTCTTATTCTTTATGTTGTATGAATTTAGTACTAGTAAGAGATTAAATATCATAACAATAGTATGTTCTTGTAAACTATAAGCTACTACTCTTCAGGACCCTAACCAAATGTTCTTAGAATGCTGTGAAGACCGTGGCCTTCCAGATTCTTGTTTGAGCAAATGTAACTACAACAAATACACAAAGGAATCTGTAAGTAATTTACTTATATCTAGGTTACTTAATCTGTTTCGCAACATTGTTATTACCTATTACAATCCGTATGTTACAGCTGATGTCAATGTACTTCAAAACCGATGCTTGCCCAATTGAGGCTGCTGCCGAGCTACAGTACTGCGCTGCCCGTGGACGTGACCACCGTGCCTGCTGTGTACGCAACGGTGTTCAGACTACATTGGCCGGAGACAAGTGCTTGACGTTCTGTGACCAGCGACCTGGCAACGTGACTCAGCTGGACTTCAGCTACGCTTCGTGCTATGACAGATTCGAGCAGATGAAGGGCTGCTTCTGGAACTCGGCCCTCAACGAACAACGTCACTAACACTGCCATTCTTACCCATTCCTTGTGCAATTGTTCATTTTAACTTGTATCTACATACTGTATTTATAGTACATATTACACTTAGCTGATATTGTTTTATCTATTACCACACTAGCTGACTTTGTACCTTACTTTTGATAGGTAGTACTTGACAGTATACATCACATAATATCAATACATTATCATACAACATCTACAACTGCTCACTACTAAAACCTCTTTATTCGGAATAAACTGTAACGATTACTACATGTTCTACTTCTTCTCCTTCTCCGAATTCGAGTTCTGAGTCTTCTCCACGGGCAGGTCTTCCACTGGTTTCATCACCGTGGGGTACTGTAAGGAGAAATTCAAAAATTGAAAAAAACACATGCATTTTTAAAATTAAAAAGTTGAAAAACAAGCAAAAATTTTCAAAAAATAATTGAAAAAGTCATAAACGTTTTGAAAGTAGACTTACCAGTTCAGTGACATTACTGACAATCGGATTACTGACTAGGTTGTTGGCAGCCGGCTTCTCCGTCTTCAACGCAGGTTTAATGGTATGAACAGCAGATTTAGGCTTCTCAATTCGGTTTACAATATAAATTTTTAAAAAATCGGTAGATTTTTTAAAATTTTTATCAACTTGATATAAAAATGCTTTAATTTTACAAAATTTAAAACTCAAAAACTCTTAAAAGTTAAAAACGCGGTCAGCTGAACTCACATCCTCCTTGTCCTTATCGCCCTTTTTGGCATCTTTCTTGCCTTCTTTCTTATCATCTTTCTTATCTTCCTTCTCCTCCTTCTTGCTTTCCTTCTTACTCTCCTTCTTGCTCTCTTTCTTACTCTCCTTCTTCTCTTCCTTCTTGCTTTCCTTCTTCTCTTCCTTCTTCTCCGGAGTCTTTGGCTTATCCGACTTCTTGCCTTTCTTACTTTCTGCCTTATCCTTTTCTGGAGTCTTGCCCTTGGCGCCTTTGTTTGGGCTTGGCTTACCCTTATCCTTCTCTTTGTCTTTGGCTGCAGGTGCTGGCGACTTCTGAAAGTTTCATTATCTTTAACAAAAAAATAACAATTAATCTTTTACATTCTTAAAAAGTTGAAGATTGGTCTTACTTTCTTTGATCCACATAGTAATAGTAACGGAATTAAAAAGGCGGACTGCAGAATCCAGCTCCATAGCATGAGAAGAAGCTTGTTCATCGTCGGCTGACTCTTTAACAACTACGGTTTGTCTAGATTTCGTGGACCGCCCGACCGGTCGAGACAGTTGTTGTGAAATGACAATTAAAATCAGAAAGACAAAATGAAAATGGAATAGGTGAAAAGATAAACTAAGGATTCGAAAGACACAAGTACAATTTATTCAAAAGAATCATGATCGTATCTCGAGAGTGATTGTAGATGCATCTGTCGAACATTTCAGGTTCAGTTCTTTGTTGTCCATTTTGCTAATATCCATCATTTTTTGGACCAGCTAAAAAAGTCAAATAAAAATACAAAATGTCACAAAAATTACTGTTTTAAAAATGTTAGTGTCTGGTAAAATTTGATAAATAAAAAATAAACATAAACTATTAGATAGTTCATTATAAAGCAGGTTTCAATTGATGAATTGCCTTATCAATTGATTAGCAATATAAACTTGGACAACTTACTTGTATTGCCATTTCTTTTTCGTCTTTGCTAAACTTGAGAACTGAGACATTATCATTGAGCCCTATAATATGAATCCGATTAAAAATGTAACACAATAAAGTTAAAACGTTAAAAGACCGATTCAAAGTCAAAAATTGGATAAAAGTGAAATTACCTTTGGCGGTACTAGCATTACTGACTGAAGATTTTGCTGTGGGCGATTGTTCCATGCCTGTTGTCACTTTATCGATTGATTTAGTCTCTGATTTGCTATCAGAAGTATTACTTTTGGTTACAAAAGGCGAAGATACGACGATATTACTGTCTACATCACCTTGAGAGTCCACAACTCGACTCTTGATTTTATCATTTTTGATTCGACGCTGAAAAATGTCATCAATATAAAGCTTGTTGGCCTTCACCTTTTAAACTTACTACTCGAACTAGTAAATTACTACTGCGACTAGCCAACAGATCAAAATAGTATTTTAAGTTTACGAAAAAAGACAACATTACGACCAAAACCTACTCTATCTCTTGAACAACACATATACAACGTTGAGTGCAACAGTAAAAGCGACCCTACGTATATTATGTTGGACAACCAATCCCACATTGTAGATAACAACAAGTTGAAGCTTCACCAATGTTAGAGTAGACCGGTCATACAAGAAGTTTATTAACAAAATAAATTACAAAAGTGGTATTTTATACTTTCCAAAAATGACTTTGAAAAAATCCCAAATTCTCTGCGCTCTCCACGTTCACTCTTTTCTTTCTATGACATATTTCGAAAAATTTTTAATTTTCACAATAGCAAAGTCTACTAAAATACCCAAGTTTTACTACTTTACTCAATGAAAACTTGACGTTTGTCCTTTTTAAAGCTATTTATTGAACTAACAAGTACAACAACATCCCTGATACCCTAAGCTCATCCAGTGAATCCAGTAGCATTCTTGCCCTTCTTTATCATTTCGTTCATGGCTTTGGCCTTGTCCAAATAAAGTTTGGCAGCATCCAAATCCTTGGCTACTCCGTCCCCAATCTTCAGTATCCTGGCAGCATTGAGACAAGACTGTGGAATGTTGAGATCACAAGCTAACTTGGCGTACTTCAGAGCCTTCTCCATGTCCTTCTCTAAGCGACCGAGTTTGTCGCGGTTCACTTCTGAAGACGGGTTCTTCACTCCCTTCACAGCTATCTTCATACTGTCACTGTTGATGTACCACGTACTCAACAGCCAGCATGCCTCTGCATCCTCCATATCGCAAGCTCTAAAATACCAAAATTACAATATTACCTAAAATTTTGTTTGAATGTGTCTTTTTAAATTGCCTAATTCAGTGTTTAATAGTAACAATACAATATTAAGTAGAACATACTTTTTCATGTAATGTTCAGCTAGTTTGGAGTCAGGTTTCCTGTCTGGCTCGCCATTCCAATATACCAATGATAGGTACCTACAGCCTGGGGGTACTTTACCTTCACATGACACTGTCAATGGCTCTATCGTATTCTTTAAGCTCGCTTCGCATTCTAAAGTTATTTTAAACGTTTAATCATTCGGCATATGATGAAAATTTAGAAATGAAAACCATACATACCTTTTCCTGCAAGTGTGTACATGGCATACTTAAAACAACTCCTTGGGAACTTCCTTTCCTCGCAGTTATCCTTGAATATTTGATATGCTTTGGCAAAGCTCAGGTCAATCGCTTCCAGGTACTCTCCCAGCACGTGACAAGTATCTGGTTTTTTCTCCTACAACTAAATATAAACCATAATGTCACCCTACTTCATAACATCCATAGCGATACTCTATTCCAATATTCTTTACGTATTCCCTCCTTTCTTTCTGTTCTTCTTCTATCGTTTCGGAAACTTGTGCCTTATTCATCTGATAACATTAAAAACATAATCAAACAATTAACTCGTACTTTTATAAGTACAATACTGTACTAACACAAAGAATGCTTTAAGCCAGTATTTTTAAAAGATAACAGTACTTTTGCAAACGATTCCAACCATCATTAACTCCGAATTAGGTAACATAGATTTATGAACGAAGACAAATAAAATACATTGGCAATAATAAGTTATCTGGCGACACAATATAGTCATAGTTTCAAAGTACGTTACAAGGTTCGGTTACGATTCTTCCATTCGGCCCAAGATGTAGTTGACGGCCAAGTCCTCGTTTTTGTCGCATGCAAAGTATGCTTCAATCACAAGTTGTTCCGGGAAACCCATCGATTGTAACTAAAGTACGCTAATTAATGATCTTTTGCCAAAATTTAAATTTAGGTAACAATGTAACTTCCAATATACTAAAATGCAACCCATTTTCCTAGTATATAAATTCCTGTTCTCATACTTACTACTAAAATAAAACAACTTACTCTTTGAATGGCATTTCGGTCGCTTTCAGTGATAGCAATGGTCATATGACCAGCCTGAGCAGCAGCTCCTGCGGCATCTTCACCTTCTTCTTGACCTTCAATTGGATCTTCGTTCAACATTCTCAGAAACTCGTCTTGATTTTGGCGAATAGCATCAAAGAGTTCTGGGTTCGACTGGGACACTTGACCCAATACTTCCGACAACATATGAGGACTGTTTCGAACCAAACTACAGATTTGAGCAAATTGAGGGGAATCTCTCAAGAAAGACAAGTCTCCACCAATTGGACCATCATCTTCCTCAGAGACTGGACGAGGGTTATCAAGAGCACGCGATCCAGCATCTAAAATCATATTTTTGAATTATAGTACCGATCGATATGAACTTCAGCAGACCCCGAAAACATCCAAAATGCACAAACAACTAGTAATCCACTTAAAACAACCTACCAACTTCTGGGATTCCTGTGCACAAGTATTCAACAGCTCTGTCGGCGTTGAAAAATGCAGCTCTCATAGCCTTAATGACTTCATCTCTTGGATATCCCATAGCTGCAACCGTGTTGACTTGCTCTTCTTGTTCAGGAGTAACTGAAACAAATAAAAATCAAATTCACTAATACTTACATGGCTCTTCTCCAACAGGAGCGGCTGGTGGAGCAGTAGCTGGCTCAGCACTTGAGGAAGCAGCAGCTGGTGCGGCTTCAGCTTGAGGTTTTGGAGCGGGTTCTTCTACACTAGGTTCAGCAGGCTTCTTCTAAACAAAATTTTATGTATATCTTTTTATTAGAATAGTAAAAAATAAAATATTCTCTGAGAAGGTTTACCTAAACTTCATAAATTCTTTTAAAAACTGCAGAACTTACTCGAGAAACCATTACAACAATATATTTCTTCGGGTCGACATTCACGTCCTTTAAAACCTGTGTGTCCTCTAGAATCTTGCCATTATAGATAAGTTTTTGTCTCTCAACTTCATACTCATCCACTCCTTTGTCTGTTTCAATCTTCTTCTTTATATCAGCTACAGTTGTTTCTGGAGCAAAGGAAAAAACAAAGCTCTTCTGGGTAATGGTCTTGAATGTAACTTCAATTTGGTCACCCATTTTTTCCAAACTAAAATAATAACAATAAAAAAATAAACGGTTTTTTCAAAAAAAGAGATATATTATAAACCATTATATATGAAAATACATACTAAAAATAAATGACAACAATATATACAGCTCACCAAACATAAAATAACAAAGCTGTACACTATGTAAACGCTTTATACCTAAATTTGGCACCTACCAAGCGCAAAAAAATATTTTTTAACAAAAAATCTGATGACGGCTCTTCGCCAAAACAAAAATAATTGTCATTTATGTTTTCGTGCCAGAACCTAATAGATGTTAGTGTGCAAATGACAAAATAAATGTTACGACATTACAATGTAAGTAAACTGTTTAAAATGCTCTTTCTTCTACAATTTAACATTTTTTTCAAAAAAGTTACAATTGAAATGCAACAAAAAACTATAAAATTAGTTCAACGGATAAAAATAGGTATCAAAGCAACATTCTACAAAAATAGTAGCAACATGTTTAAATTATTAAATTACAAATAACTAATGTTTTTAATTTAAATAACAAAAGAGCGAAAAATAGGTAAACATACTACGTTTCGCGCTGTTAAATTGTCAACAAAATCAAAACAGTTTTCAGAATGATTATTGAAACACGTTTTGTCGTATAACATGTCTGCTGAATAAAATCAGATTTTCTGCAACTTTTGGCCGTCAAGTCTAGATTTCGCGAGCTTTTGGAACACACCATGTCGATCTTGGACACATCGGGACCAGCAGTTTGTCGCATTTGTCGCAGCGGAGAGCTCTCGGCACCAGTCAAAGGAGAACCTTTATATTCACCATGCCGTTGCAAGTAAGTTCATTTCATTGTGGTTTACCTGTTTTTAGAGGAACAATGGGGTTGTTCCACGCATCTTGCCTGACTAAATGGTTGGTAACGTCTCGGACACGGTCATGCGAAATCTGCAGGACCTTTTTCTATATTAATACGTATGTTGTTTTAGGTAACATTTATTAAAATTCTTACATTGTTTTTGCAATTCTTATGTAATTTCTTAGTTTTATATTGTTTAATTTACAGTTTCTATCCTTCGTTTTGGGAGTATATCAGAAATGAAGCGAGGAAGAACATCCAGGTGGACTTGTTGTGCTTTCTCTTCCTGACCCCATTGACTGGTGTCAGTGCTTTTCTGTGTATTTATAGTGGAGTCCGGTCAAATTTGTTTTACAACACTACAGATGGATCGTCGGCACCATTTGCTATAGGTACGTATCATGATTTATTAATGTAGTATGTTTATTGATGTCACTTTACTTTTCTCATATTTTTTGATCAATTTATTTTTACTTTGACATTGTTTTCAGTAACTTAATTTTTATTTTTTTAGCGTTGTTATTTTTATCCTTCCTGTTGATCACGATGTATCTGAGTTGGCTCGGTGTCACAGTGACACATCATCTCACGGTCTTCAGGCATTACAAAGAGAATAATCCGGTAATTTTTGTTTTTTTTTTTTGGTACTGGAGGTACTGTTGGTACTTGTTTTTCTTAAAAACTTGATTTTATTTTTTATTTTATTTTTTTTATGAGTTTTGCAGGGATTTTGGGTTGCTTATATACCTTGATTTGAAAAAGTTGATTATAACTTTGCTATTTTAGAAGTACCAAGTGAACTTGTCGGATTCAGACATCAGCACAGGGACGGTGACTCTCAAAGAGCAACATGAAATGGTCAGGATTGAGGTAATTTATTTTAAGACAATATTAAGTTATTGTTTAGGTATTCGTATTTTTTATAATACCGAAGGCATAGGCAAGTGATGACATAAAATGGATTTTATTTATCAATGTAATTGCATATCATATTACACTTGTACATTGTCATCGTATTTTAGCACGAAATCGTGGGCGAAGGGGTCGTCGAAAGCATAGAACTGAACTCAACTGATGATACTGTGCGGATTCCAGACAGTTTCACTTCAGAATCCGTGGTACGATCATTTACGGCCACTAGTACACCACGACATGTAAAATAAGTAATATCTTGTAACTTTTAATTTTTAATTATTTACTAACACTTTATAGCTACATAACTTAACATAACCTAACTTGTACTTAAACTACATTAAATATTAACTTCTCTATTTGGTTGTGTAATATTGGATTCAGTCGAAGGTCTGGTTTTAGCAATGGTTTATCCTGACTTTGATTTAAAAGTTATTATTATAGTTGATGTACTGGGTAAGAGACACTGTAGTATACATAAGGGTATTATAGTTTAAAACGGCTTCCATAGTCGGACAAAAGTCATGGCACTTTTAGGTTTACGGTAACACCAATAGTTGAATAATACCTCATTTAATAGTCTGCTGATTATACTGTAATATTTCTCGAATTTAATTACTTCTACACCGTGCACACTCCTGTTTAATGCTTCTAGGCATTGATTAACATATTCTTCATCTTCCAAATAGTTCTTAATTGTTATGGCTTTAGGGCTTATAAAGCCGAGTAGGGTAAAGTCAGGTATCTGATGTCTTCGTATGTTACTTGGAGTAAAGTAAATGTGTTTAGGTACAGTATGACAAAATAGAAGATGGGATAATTGTTTTGAGTGTGTTGGTGAAAGCTCTATACCATCTAGGACCATTACATCTGAACTGTCTAACTTTGGAGCTGTCCGAAGGGCCCATAAAGGGAATGGTACACTTGGGTCTGGAATACAAATGTAGTTGGTCTACTGTAATTAAGGATAAGGTTATTTTTTTAATCAAATTTATAGAATAATCGTTGGTTTAGATTCAGTTCAAAACCATTTACCTGCCTGATCAGTCTTCGTAACCCTCCAAAACGGATCGTATGTTTCGACTACATCATTGCTGATGTACAGCACTCTTTTACTGTTGCTTTTCCTTGGTCGATTCTTCATTCGGTCGATTACTTTATCAGCCACTCTACTCGTTTCTCTTAGCTTGTCCAAATCTCTGCAGCTGAAGAACATGAACACATCGTGAAGAACGTAAACGTTAGCGAGGAAGCCCGACATGGATAATATATTTACGATGAGCAGGTCGGAGGAGGTGGATGAGGGATGGGAACAAGCTCGCGAGCGTTTTTCTTTCGACGTGATCGCTCTCCTGACACATCGTGGTCGTCCCATTAAAGATTAGTCGGTGATGGAGGTAACGACAAGTAAAATGATTTAAAAGTGCAAGAAGATAGAGCAAAAATTTGCATAAAAAATAGTCAAAATGGAGATTCTCACGTTGTTGGAAAGACAATTTTTTTAATTTTGTGTTGTTACTGTCTCATTTGCAAAAACAAATCGACAGTTCAGTGGCTGCCTACATGAGTTGAAGATGGAACAGAAAGTCAAGGTAACACCGTCGGATGTTGTAAGTAGTACTCTTTTTGCACTCTTTCTAATGAATATTATTTGAAAATGTGTAACTGTATTCGAATATGGATGACCTCTTTAAAAGTTTATCTAAAATATTAAATTTTGTCGTTTTTTTTGAAATTTTGGCCAGATTACTATAGATTTTTATCTATATTATCATTGTTTTTTTAATTATGTAACTTTATATAATTTTTTAGGTTTTCTTTCCGTACACTGAATTCAGTCAGCAAGAATTGACCATCAAAAACGAATGGGACAAGCCCTTTATGTTCAAGATGAAGAGTACCAGACCTGGAGTCCTCAAGATGCGTCCTGTCTTTGGTATCATCAAACCCAAGGCTAGTGTAAGTTTATTTTTGCTTTGATTTTTCTAGAAATCTATATTTTCATTTTTTGTCCAAGAATGGTATAGTTAGAAGCCTTCTTACACGTCGTAATGTCATCCACAACTTTAGAAGACGATCAAACTGTCGATGCGATGTGCCGACCCCAACGATGCCAAGATAAGTGAAAAGGACCGATTCACAGTTGTTGCAGCTCCAATACCTAAGAAGTTGGTCAGTGTTGCGGCCATCTTCAAAGAGAACAAAGCTCCAGAAGTCCGTCTTCAAGCAGTTCGAAAGGTTCTGAAGATCAAGATTGGAGAGAAGAAGCCATCTGTAGCTACTGCCTCAGCGGAAGAGAAGAAAGAGAGCAAGGAGGAAATCAAAGAAAAAAAGGAAAGCAAGGAAGAAATAAAGGAAGAAAAGAAGGAAAGCAAAGAAGAAGTAAAGCCTGAGAAGAAGGAGAGCAAGGAAGAGGTCAAGACAGTCCAGAGTGAGGTCAAGAAGGTGGAGAAGAAAGTGAGTTATTAAAATTGTTTAGCTTTATTGTATGGAAAAGACAATGAAAGCTTTGGGATTATTATATTAAATTGAGCAAAAAGTAACTAAATCTCTAGTTTAATATAACTAAAATAATATTTTCAGGAGAAGATCAAAGAGGACACCAAGGACAAAAGCAAGAAGAGTCACAAAAGAAAGAAGAGTAGTCGGGGCAAGATCAAGAAGGAAAAGAAGACGAAAAAGTCGACTGACGATCAAGCAGCCGCCAAAAAGACTGGAGAAGAAGAAAAAGAAAGCTCGAGCACTAAAACTTGGTGCTCGACTTGTTCATGTCACTCGAACTGCGGCAGAACTCACAAAAGCACTGCCAAGACTAAAACTACCTGACTTTAGTTCCAATAAAGGGCTCTTGATTACATTTGTGACTTTGTTTTAAGGTTTTTGAATTTGGCGGGCTTTTAAATAAATTGAATGATTGTCAATATTGGTTAGTAACAAGATACTAGAATAACTAATTAAAAATTACCTATAAAAAACCAATTCATGTGTAATAGCTACAAATTGTGTCATCTTGACAGAATTTAAAATTACTAATTTTTGAAAATCTTAATTGCGCGGCAGAGTGCGCCCATATTATCCTCTGTTTTTTTATTTTTCCGACTTTTTGTCTCTGTGTCGGAATTCCTAAACAAAATCATGTATCAAGTAAGTTTTGAATTTATTTTCATATATATAAACTTGTAGTTTTGAATCTTCTTATGAGTAAAACGTTAAATTTAAGAGGTTTAATATCGAAGTTTAACTATAAGTCATTAAAACTGTAATACGCACGTAAATACAGGCTTAGTCTCGAAAGATCAGATAATAATCACCAAAAAGGTATAAACAAAAGTGGGTATCAGGCGTTATCACTGTATTTTTCGAGGTTTAAAAGAACGTTTTGTTATCTTCTTTTGGCTCTAAAACAATATGAAGTTCGAATTGTGCTTTGAACGTTAGGGGAGTAGTTTCCGTACGAGTAATTACTTCTATTTAAGAAAGATGTTTTTCTTTCTTAAACCTAGTTGCAATTACGTATCGAGGTTATTTGTAAGGTCAGAAATGTATATTGCAATATATTAATATTGTGGCAGTTAGAATGAAGGAAAGATTAATATAAAGTGCGGAGAGATGGCCTGATTGATAAAGAGCGTCGCGCCACTATGTTCTCATGCCTATTATAAGAGATATGCTTCAGGTTTGTGAGTCCTCAGTTCAAGAATGCCTCAGGTTCCTCAAGACGTCTTTATTGCTTCGGCCGTGCGAACGCCGATTGCCACGTTCAGAGGATCGTTCGCCACTCTGACATCTGTCGATTTGGGAGCTTTGGTTGGAGGAGAAGCTTTGAAACGAGCTGGTGAGTTTAATATTGTTTGTTTGTGTATTTCTTTAGGTGTTTCTGCTGATAATGTGGACGAAACTATCTGCGGATCTGTTTTGACGGCTAATCAAGGACAGAACGTTGGAAGACAAGTTGCTTTAAAGATTGGTAAGGATGTTAACATAGTGTTTATTAAATCAAAATTCATTACATACACATTATACTTGCTAAATTTGTACTTTTAGCAAGATTTTACTTGACTTTTGTTAATTTTGATTTTATATTGAACTTCTATTTTTTAGGTATTCCACAAGATCGCCAAGCTTTTACAGTCAACAAAGTATGCTCTTCTGGTCTCAAAGCTTTGATTTTGGCTACACAAGCTGTTCAACTAGGCTACAGAGACACCGTGCTTGTTGTAGGAACTGAAAGTATGAGTAACGCTCCATTCTACTTAAACCGTGGAGATCATGGTTACGGAGATCTGAAGCTTATTGTAAGTTTTTGGTTGTTTTGCGAACGTATTTTATTACTTATTGTAATATAAACGACGTTTTAAACTGTTAACACATTGGAGTAATTTTAATTTTAAGGACGGTATTCAAAGAGATGGTATCAGTGACGCCATCCTCAACGATCCTATGGGACTTTGTGCCGAAAAGTCGGCTAAGGAATACGACTGTTCTCGTCAAGAGCAAGATGCTTTCGCTTTAGAGTCTTACTCAAGGACTGCCAAGACATGGGAATCTGGAGCCTATTCGTCAGAAGTTGTAGCTGTTTCTATTCCTCAACGACGAGGAAACCCAGTAGTTGTGAAGGAAGATGAGGAATACAAGAGGTTGATCAAGGAGAAAGTGCCAACGCTTCCCCCAGCCTTCTTGAAGGATGGTTCTGGTACTATTACGGCTGCCAATGCCAGTTCTCTTAATGATGGAGCTGCTTCGTTAGTTGTTGTTTCCAAAAAGATGGCTCAATCTGGAAACCTGAAGCCTGTAGCTAAGGTTGTAGCTTATGCTGAAGCTGGAAGAGCGCCAGTTGACTTTACAGTCGCACCAGTTAATGCTGTTGAAAAGGTGAGTACTATATTGTTTTACACCTTTGGGCTTTTATTGTTTTAGATATATTTTGTTGTTCATAACTAGGTTGTTTATAGTTTTATAAAGTATTTTGGTTTACGTATACTTTTTTAGTTATTGGAGGAAACTGGATTGACTAAACAACAGATCAGCTTATGGGAAGTTAACGAAGCTTTCTCGGTGACAGCTTTGGCTTTCATTAAGCACTTTAATCTAGATCCAAAAACTGTTAATGCTAGAGGTGGCGCCGTAGCTCTTGGACATCCTATTGGGTACGTTTTATTGTACTTTAAGTTTAAAAGTCACTAATTTTTAAAATATTTAAAAATTTTAAAATCATTGTGAAGTTATTACTATTTTACGAAAATTTCGCTAAACTATTTTATTTTAAAAATATTTATTTTGGTGTTAGTGTTAAAGTTAAAAAATGTTTTAGTATGTCCGGGGCTCGTATTGTAGTAGCTCTTGCTCACCAACTACAACCAGGTCAATACGGAGTTGCGGCGATCTGCAACGGCGGCGGCGAAGCGACAGCAGTCTTAATACAGAAGCTGTAAACCTGCACTTTGTACCTTTGAATGTTAAATATCTGAATAAAGTTTTGTTTGATACTTGTGATATTGGCTGCTGAATGTTCTCTGATCTTCTCTACCGATCAAACTATTTCTTTTCATTTTGTTTTTAGTGATTTGGGAATAAGATCCATTCGTCTGAAATGATCCGCCGGTCTTCGCTAGTTTCCATCAAGTCTTTCAGATCTTTGTCGACCTCTGGCTTGTTGGCCAAGGAAATCAAGGTAATCTTTTCTATTTTAATTAGAAATGTTTGGAATTGTGATTTTAAGAATATTTTTGACCAAGAACGGCGATTTTTTTATTTGCTTTTGGAAAAGAACGCGTTTTTGAAGGGTTTTAACTCCAGAAACAAGTAGTTTATGCTTTCAAAAGGTGTATTTAATAAAATGTACGGTTAAATTAAAATGTCAATTTGTTAGTAAAATAGGTAATATTGTTATCTTCAGGAGGCTTTAATCTTGGGAGCTGTGAGAACTCCAGTTGGATCTTTCCGTTCGGCTTTGGCTCCATTATCGGCTCCAGAATTGGGAGCAATTGCTATTAAAGGAGTACTAGAGAAGACCAAGGTACCAGCTGAACAGGTCCAGGAAATTTTCTTTGGAAATGTGCTACAAGCTGGAGTTGGCCAAGCGCCAGCCAGGCAAGCTGTCTTGAAAGCAGGTAATCTAAATTATTTAAGTTCTTGTGAAATGTGGAAATACACTTTACACAAGGTAGTACCAACAATATTATTCTAGGTTTGTCACCATCAACCGCCGTAACCACAGTCAACAAAGTCTGCGCTTCTGGATTGAAGTCGATCATGTTGGCGGCTCAGCAGATTCAGCTAGATCATCAACAAGTTTGTATTGGGGGAGGCATGGAAAGTATGAGTAACGCTCCCTTTTACCTCAACAGAAACGACCCACCGTACGGAGGATTCAAGGCCGAGGACAGTATTCTGAAGGACGGTCTTACTGATGCCTTCGAAGGTATACATATGGGTAATTGTGGAGAAAAGACGTCCAGAGAACAGAATATTTCGAGAGAAGCTCAAGATGAGTTTGCGATCAGAAGTTACAAACTGGCAGCTGAGTCTTGGGACAAGGGAGTCTACAATGAGGAAGTGATTCCAGTCACGATTAAGTCGAGAAAGGGAGAGGTTGTCGTGTCGAAGGACGAAGAGTACCTCAAGGTCAACTTTGACAAGCTGAAGACGTTGAGAACGGTGTTCCAAAAGGGTAAGGGTTGTGTTTAGTAGATATATGACATATTATGATGAGTATGGTTAACTGCATCTTGTTTTTGTGTTTTACTTTTAAGAAGTCGAATATTTGTTTGGGTTTTCCTACAAAAGTGTATTAAAATGAAATCATTTTGCAGAAAACGGTCACATTACGGCAGGAAACGCCCCAAGCATCAACGATGGAGCATGTGCTGTATTGTTGTCATCAGCTGAGAAGGCGGCTGAATTCGGAGTGAAACCCTTGGCCAAAGTGGTAACTTACGGTGATGCTGCCCTCTCTCCCTTGGACTTTGCTTTAGCCCCAGGACACGTGATTCCAAAGGTAGAGTTGGACTTTTACTCTCTTAACTTACTCTTTGTGTGACATTCTTTCCTACCGTGTTTGTAGAGTTAAACTACGTCATCTTTTCGAATTTTAAATTATTTTTAGTTTGTTTTGCTACTAATTTGGATTTACCTAGGAAATTGCAAAAATAAATCATTTTTGGGATAGATATTAATGGATAACGTAATCTTCATTGTGTTCTTTAAAGTAATTGTTAATCAAACTGATAGTAATTGTCACGTTTAGATGCTGAAACAAGCCGGTCTGAGCATAGAGGACATTTCTTTGTTTGAAATCAACGAAGCCTTCTCGGTGGTGGCATTGGCTACGATCAAGAACCTTGGATTGGACATCAACAAGGTCAATGTTCACGGTGGTGCTGTTGCTCTTGGTCATCCCATTGGGTATGTTACTTTCATTTATGTTAATAATGGTATTATAAGTCGGTTTTTCTATTTTAAAATAGAAGTTTTGTCACAAAAGGTTGATTAAATATTTTAAAAAATTTATTTTACAGTAATATGTGATGTTACTCTTTGATTCACAGTGCTTTGGCCTATTTTTGTACCTTAAAATGCATATATTTTTGAGTTTTACGTGTCTGCAATTCAATTTCCTTCGAATTTGTAGTTTTAAAATTGAGTTTTCTTGCAAATGTTCTTTTTTCAGAATGTCAGGTGCTCGCATCCTCACCCATCTTGTACACAACCTCAAGACCGGCCAATTTGGAGCCGCGGCCATCTGCAACGGTGGCGGTGGCGCCAGCGGAATGATCATCCAGAAACTATAGACCAACCCTAACTAGTCTTTGAATTATTTATTAAACGAATGGCAACGTGAAACAAGCATATGACATCTGAATGGCCATGTCATCGAGGGATGATGGAGTAGGCTGAGGCGGTTGACCATTCAGACATCACTGTAATAGTAATACCCATTTTGTAAGTGAGTTGTGGGACGATTGGCCCCTCGCGTAGGGGACCCTGAGCAATAATTAGAGGCATGCATTGAGAAGTCTAGACCCGATTAGTGAAGCGCCGATGACTGAGGGATGTCATCGTGCACAGAGTGAGTTACAATTGTATGTCTGAAGTTGAAAGTGATTACAATTTGAGATCTACTGGTGGCTAGTGGTAGGAGTCGTCGTGTAATGCTTTGGAAATAAGTGTTTTGATCATCTTTGGTTGATAAAGCTAGTTTAAACATATTTTAGATTAAAAAAGTAACTCAATGTTACAGAACTTATTTCAAAACATTGCACGATACCTTCCCACTACACTGTAAATAGAATCAAAGCGAGACTGCAGTCATATTACCATTTGAGCTGTCGTTGTTCTGTCCGAGACCACTGTCCGTGTCGCGGTCCGGCTTCTGAATCGTTGCATTGGGTTCATTAATGGAGTCGTATCGTCGTTTCCACGATCCCTGATTAAAGTAGGGGTAGATCTTCTTGAACGCCCGACGATAGGGTCGTAGCAGGAGTAGCGTCGTTAGGGCATTCGTCAGGGGATGGGCCCCGATGATGGCTTCTCCGAACACGAACCAATTCAAGTTAATTTCCACGTTAAACATGAAGCACAGACCTGAAAACACACATCATTAGGTTGTCATAGGTTGATGTTGTCATTAAAAGTGATAGAAAAGATATAAAAGGTTGTCGTCAAAGCAAAAGTGCATTTCTAGTTCTACTGTAACTAAGCTTAACTGCTACTATAGTATTTCTACTGTTATTTCCTCAGAAGGCGATATTGTTATAGCCTTTCAAAGTTTGATGTGATGGACAGTTTTCGTGACAATTTCATCAAAAGTCCTTCAAACTTTAACATCTAGTGTTATAGGTCTATAAAAAGACCTTCTAAACGTATAAGGACAATGATGTTTGATGCCATTTCTAATTTATACAAAGAAGTGAACTTAGGGATTAGTTTGGTCACAAGTTGGTCAAAATAATTAAGACGTCTGAAGTTAAATGGTTACTTAATTCAACATAAAGTGTCTATGGAAGGCAATTCTAGGTTGTTTTTGACCAAATTACTACATTATTTCGTATATTTCGACCTTGTTGATACATAGACTAGGTAAACAAGCTCAATTCCTTAAATTTTGCTGTATCAATGATGTTCACCACGTTCAATGTTGTTCACCACACTGATTTCTAATTTTTGTGGGCTAATTTCGGCGGTCCCTGATACCTTATGTTAGCCCACAATTACATTTTTTTATGCTATCCTTCAATTACACTTTCCTATGCCATCCTTCAATTACGTTGTCCCTCAATTACAGTTTGTTCTCTAAACCCATGCCTAATTGGGGCTGTAGGCCTAATTAGTGATTGTTTTCGGGATACGTACTTGCAATATAATAAGGAGTCGCCAGCACCAGCGGCATGAATGCCTGTAGAATGTAGGTGTAAACAACGCTCTTCTGCTGCTGTAGTTGTCGCGGGTTGAGGGCGCGGCCAATTTGTTTGCGGGCTGTCTTGCTTTGGCGGCGGAGAATCGAGGACAACACCATCAGGTTGCAGACGAAGGAGAAGATGAAGAAGGACGGGGCGAGGACGAAGAACACGAACTGAAAACAAGGCTTATCATGGATAATATGATTTTTGTTATTATGAATAATAGTTTAGTATTCCGTTGTTCTGTCTTAAATATATTTCATAAAAGTTAAATCATGCTTTCCCGTACTATATTATGGTAGGATATGACAGTTCCTTTATGTCTTTCCAAACCATATTGCCAAATAAGCGCATAAAAGTTACATTATGTTGTTCTGAATGCTATTGTAAGCCATGAATAACATTATCTTGCATAATGTGGCTGCTACATACTATAATATCCCACTTAATATTATATTGGGATAATATTATAGTATCAGCACAGTTAATAGTCACTTATTAAGCATTGTGCACTTCTCTCCCTATTCATAAATAATGCATGTTTTTGTCATTCAATAACAAAATACTCCAAAATAACACTTTCGGCGTCAACGTGCACGGCTACACTTCCGTGAATACCCTAATGGAACCATGAGGAGTTCCGCTTAAGGGTGGTGCATTTTAGCCCAAACAACAATAGCTGCCGTTGTTCCGACAGTGCAGAGATATATGCAAATATACTGTTGTTCTTAAGGTATAGAGGCTTAAGTAGGCTTTACACCGGTTGTGGGGTCGGAATTTAATGTCTTCGCTAATACGTCAGAAAGTAATGCTACAATAATGTCAACATATATTCTGACATATACGACCTTAAATATGTGCACAATACCAAGAAAAGCTCTTAACGTACAAAGCCAGCGAACTATGGTAACATACCACGCTCTTATAAAAATTTTCGTAAACATGTCAACAAGCCTGTATATCATGATGACTAAATATACGATAATATATGAATACATTAATCTTCGATACCATAAACATACCAAGTTTGTGTACAACGACATCCTGACGTATAGGAACATGTAGTCGTACAGTACGACGTCTTGTAGAAACAAATCGTATATTGCCACTAACATGGGGATAGCGAAACATATACTAATGATGACCGCCAGTGATCGTATCTTCATCTCGTAGTTCTGACATACGTAGAGGTACTGGTCGATGGCCAGCACTGGGAACACGAAGTAACAAACATACGACGAGTTGAACAAGATGGTCCTCAGGAAACTGGCCATAAACAAACTCAGTTTGTACTGAAACAAGGTCATGTTGATTTACAAGGGTAATGGGAATGTAAAGTATGGTAAAAGGTTAATGTAGGCATTTTAGAACTACATTCTATCGTCATTTTAAGCTTTAGATGACTTAAATGATATCATGTAGGTTACTTATATCCGCTGTATTATATGATACTATTTGTAATTTACATAATGTTTTAAACTGATAAGCCTAATCTGGTCATTGAATGTGAAAGTAATCCATTTATACTATCTATTTGCTCATTAATCCTATCAAATCACTGTGCTAGTACTATAATCCTGTCATATTACCGTGACACTTCGGGGAAACAAATTGACGCAATTATGATTATCCGTTTACAGAGTAAACAAATTGAAATTATTTATGGACATAAGCCATAATTATAGAATAAATGCCAATTACTACGAATGGCCATTTCGGCAAAATGTTTTTAAATTCAAAGTAATTTCGAAAAATTAACCTCTCCTAAAATACGAAGTTTTTTAAGTTCTACACATTACTGACCATAAAACTTTGAAATTTTAAACTCTAAGTATCATACATACAAAGCTTAACTTACCTCTTTATATACCGCCACTAAATATACGAACGACATGATCAGGAACGCTATCAGACCGAACAGATTGGCCATCGTCATCCCCAAGGTCGGGTATTTGACTCGCGATGTGATCAAACCTGGCTTCAGTCCCATATATGCCAGCAGTAGATTGGGTGGTAAGGCCAGTACGTAGAGTATGACGTAGAATATACTGTTAGGCACATACGACTCCAAAGCGGGGACATAGTCCCCAATGGCCGAGACATTCTCGACCGGTTTGAAGAAACTCATCTGAACGTATTTTAGGTTTAATATGGTATATCACAGAGGTATGTGTTGATATTTACGTAAACACGGTGTGATTAGATAAAATTTAAGTTGTAAAACAACGATTATCAACTGATTGCTACAAAAACGGCAAGATATACAAAATAAGCGATAATGTAGACATACCACGTACCTAATTCAATTATAATAAACATTTCAATACACTATATACTATATACTGATTTAATTATCAACATACGCATATCACCAAGCACACTCACATAACAACACTCGATCCACTTTAATAAGATTTGGCAGTAAAAAACGGTAGTAACCAATGAAACAAAGACATATAACACCAAACAAAGCCTTGATTCTAATTGAATTCATACGCGAAACACGATAATATGACGGTCATTGAGCACGGCACATTCGCGACAGACCCACATAGATACATGTTATACATGAATAGAGTTGCAGAACTGCAAGAGCAATGACAAACAAAGCTGTAGACCGTGAAGCCGGTGGGCTGATGTCTGATTGGGGTGTAAAACATTAGTCAGGTACTATCAGTTGTATACTATTATTTACGTACCGTCAGATGTGTATTATATTGTCAGTTCTTAACTGGTGGTTTAAGCAAATCGTAGGCGAAAGACTTAAGGGTTAAGGGTCAAAAAGTAACTAGAAAAAGTAGATCAAAAATAGAACAAAAAGAAAATTTTTGGCATTTTTTTAGATATATCAGCATTTACAGGTCGAGAAGTTCCTAGAATCGTCTTCATCAAGCAAAAATATTATCTTCTACAGCATTTTCTAACTATAAGAAACCTTTAACTTATCAATTACAGTACCCCAATATGATAAGAAACTCTTCAACACTACTAATGTAAATCCCACCAAACCTTCTCCAGACTTTTTGACCACCCCGCCCCGCATAGTACAACAATGTCAGCGATATGTTGTGGAAAGTAAAGTTAATTGTGTCAGGCGGGCAAAACAAAAGATTTCCGTTACTTTTTCACGCATCGCGGGGCCAAAACAGCCTGCGGGCCCACAAAGCGCGGCCGTCTCATAAATACCCGAAATCGGATTTGGCCGCCAAAAAGGTATGGCCATGCGAAGTTTGACCTCGGATTTATGGCCAATTGAGGATGGGTTCGAGTGTTTCCAAAATAGATAAGAAGAATGCCCACGGGGGAATTACTGTAGCGAGCGTGGGGGAACCTTAATAACTGCAGATACGTTGCCGAATGCAGCTGCAGTTGATGATAAAAACAGTAGGATAACTGTAGGAGATGTATATCAAGTGCAAATAGTTATGACAGATAAACATATTGCAACAAATGACATTAAAATTTTGAAAAATGGTATAACAAAGTACCCAAAGATAACATCGTAAAACATAAGATTTTAGCAAAAGTAGCTGCAGTAGACAGACACATAGAAGTAAGATGGCAGCCCATCAATATTTATTGCATTTGTAGCTGATATTATGAGAAATATAGCACTGTTTCAGTAAATAGCATGTTTGCAAAGTAATAATCTGTTTATACATGTACATTACCAAGAGAAAAATAACTGAAATTTTAAAAAATGGCAACAAGCTTTTTTAAAATATATAAAAAATATTGAACATCTCGAACAAAAATCTATGTTGTGATAGAAAATCATTCAATCTTAGGTTCCTTCTTTTCTTCACTTTGACCTAATACTTGATTTTGATGTAAAATAGACAAGAAACCCCAAGTAAGGTAGTCAAAAGTTCACAGACTAAACCTCCAAAACAATTCTAACTTAAACCCAATACTTATACCTAGTACTAAAGACAAACCGAGTACCTAGTACTTTCCCTTTAAACCCAAACCTTGAAGTGTTTTGGCCGAGCCAAGTGGCTGGCCTGGCCATTTCCGCGAAATTGAATTTCAATATTATTGTTGACTGAGCTCTTGAACTGACCCCTAAAACACCTTCCTCATTCGACATCCGAGAAGCGCGCGCCTCGAATTCCACCATTATTAAAAATTGGGGGGGGGGGGGGTAGGCCTACGTCAACGGCGGAAAACAAAAATGAAGCGCGTAATCCTCGGTCGATCAGGCCGCCTTAAGCCATCTTAAAGTCACATTTGTCATGCCTAACGTCGTATTTTTATAACTCCAGCCTCATTTTTCTTTTTTAATTCGCGAAAACATGAATACGCGACCGTGATCACGTCAAAGAACGTGTCTTAAAGTACAGTATGAGGGATGGTGGGTTATAAAATATCGTAGGAAAGATGATGGGTTATAGAGTACAGAATAACATAGGATGGCTTAAAGAGTACACTATAAAGAAGAATGAGTTGTAAAGAACAACACGAGAAGAGTTAAGAAGTTATAGCAACTTATTGTACTATAAACAACCACAGTGTTAGCACCAAAAGTGTAAGTTAATGTAATCAAAAGTATAATCTCATAAACTGTAAGCAAAAGGCCACAACAATGTGTTACTTTCCTCACTTTGTAGTAATTAAAAAGGCGGAAGCCAATGTTGCAATTCGAGCCAAGTCTAACGTGAAAATTAAAATGTTGCCGTCACGCTGGCTAGCAGCCGAATTAAATGCAAATTATCCGGAATTAAATAAACCAAGTTTAACAAAGTCTGGCCGCTTGCTCCCGAGCCCCGTGGCCTTCTCAATTTACCCTATATATACATCCGAAACTTAAAAATAGCCCGAGGTAATCACGTAGGTAGAGAATCACGTAAATACGAGTGAATTACATTTGATTATCGTCCACCAAACAAGGTTGCCGCGTCACACGCTGGAAGTGTTTAAAGGCACATTTAAATGAATGAGCCAAAGTTTGAGTGACATTGTTTTGAGGACAATAATCTATGAACGGTCCGGGCAGCCGGCTGTCCGAACAAATTGATTTAATTCGGATGATGCAGAGGGAAAGACTGTAGCCAATTGAAGAAAGACTGTAGTCAGTTCTGATTACTTAAAACGACAATTAATGCCCTGACTTCTGAAGGCATTTATAGACTTCTGAAAGACCTTATACACTTCTGAAGACGGTCACGAAAATATCCTTCTGGAGACATAAAAACTTTAAAAGAATGCTACAAAACAAACTTCAGAAGACTTCTACAAAAAACCGCTTGTGAAGTCATTAGTCATTCCGCTAACCTCACGAGGTCATGTCAAATTCTATTCATAAACGTTTGGCGACTTGCAAAAACTTCGGAACTCTGGAATAGTGGCACGGTATTAAGGGAAAGAGAGAACCGGAATGCACACTCTGAATACCACCAATTATGGCACTGAAATGTTTTCAATACTCCAAAGTTCAAGGCTGAACAAAGCTGGGGAGCAGCGGAATGAAACTCCAAGTTCAACAAGTCACATCAGAAGCCGCAAACATTGCGTGGGCCCTCGAGATTAGCATATATTTGGCCACAAAGTCTGGGACCGGAAGAGAAATAAAGAAACTTTATGCGCACCCAATAAAAGAATAGAGAATCCCTTGGCTCAATGATCAGTAGTAGTTATAGAAGTCACGTATGATGGTGTGTTACTTAGTAGAGGTATATCAGACTATAGGTGAGGAGAGTTAAGTAGAGGTGCTATAAATAACACAGTTATGGAAAGTATAAACAAGATAGATTTGCTAAAAAATTATAAAGCCAAAGCTAACAAGTGTAGTCTTATGCCCTCAGGGCTAGTAGAGGATAGTATAGCTATGTGTAGGTAGTGCCTTATGAATCGTCACACATGATAAATTCCAAAATAAATAGCTAGATGTCACGGAGTAAAGTCGCCCCAGTAGACTAAAGATCGTCCGCAAACAGCACGGTAAGTGGTAATCAAAAGAGTTATTCAACCAGCTATCCATGTTATTCATGAAGCCTGCAGAACCCCAACATGTCATGGCGCCTTTTATTAAATCAGAAAATGTTTTAAAAGTTTGAAAAGTCCCTGGGGGACGTTGTCCAAGAAGAATACAGTCCAAATATAAAGGGACATGAAAATAATCGCCTCCCTTCCCCCTAATCCTCGCATGATGCTATGCAGTGGACTGAAAACATTCGCGGGCCGGGCCGATCAGCAGAGCGTGGCCGAGCGAGAAGGATCTTCTGTTTCTGACGGCCCTGTGCCCCCAAATGACAACGCCACTTGTTATTACACGGAATGTAGATTATTTGAAATTAAAATCCCGCTTAAGGCTAGAGTATGTATATCATGAAGAATATTCCTTATCATGGAGAATATCCCTTACCATGAAGGATATTCCCTATCTAAATTAGTTGTCTTATAATTATTTGTCATTAGCCAATTAGTTTAAAATTCCTTCGAATTCATTAATAGCCATGGAGAACATTGAGCAGATTATAAATAAACGTTTCTACAAAACTGACGTTCCGAACGTTCCCAGTACAGTTTTAACTAATCGCCTTAAGAAATGATAAGAAGGTGGTAAAATAGATTCGAAGGAGATTTACAGCATAAACACTAATTAATGTAATGAAGTAAATTAATTTGGCCATTACCCGTAAACACTGGCAATACATCACATCTGCAAGCCAATGCATCAAAACCTTACTAAAATACGATTAAATTACATAATTAATGGGGCCTAATTGTGTTTTGCGCGGAAAGACGGTGACCGGTGTGAGTAATGTGCATGAGGTAGGCCTAATGTGGGTATGGTGCATTCGCGAACGTAGGTGTAAAGAACTGCTGGAACGTGAAAGCGGTTGTCGCTTGGACGCCCAATAAGTGGGACAAAGAAAGTGTGTGCAAAGCCGGAAGCTCATTCTCGAATTAATTTATGATACTGCCTTCAATCCGCGCTAGTTGTTATATTAAAATTTAATTTGAAAACGGAAATAAAAGTAGGGCAGCCGGCTTCCGCGAATTCAAAACTTTCGTTAAAGTTTAAGTACGCAGAGGAGGACAAAGCGAGCGAACGGCAATGCGATTACAATGACAATCATGGCATCAGCATTATTCTATTACCGTGTGTTGCATGGGTGGCGGATT